GGTGGCACAAAGAATCAATAGGCTCGCAAGCCCCTCTATTCTCTAAGGAGGACCTTGCGAACTATTCTGTTCCCTTCTAGTTTAGGAGGGGTCAGATCGTGGCACAAATCGTTAATAGGTTCGCAGGTCCCTTTGTTCTCTTAAGGTGGACGTCGCGAACGATTTCATTCACTTCTGATTTAAGGGGGATCAGACAGTGGCATAAATCATTGATCGGTTCGCGAGTCCCTTTGTTCTTAGAGGTAGACATCGCAAAATATTCTACCAACTTTCGATTCAGGGAGTGTCATATGGTGACAAGAATAATCATAAAGAATCAAGAGGTTCGCGAGTCCGATTGTTCTTTACGGTAGACGTCGCGAGGTGTTCCTCTTTACGATGCTCTTAAAGCCATTATAGATACCTGATATTCGGAAATAATCAGTACAGATGCCTAACTGCCTCGCGAGATAATTAATTCATAACCCTTATGCTCACCTCTCTTCCCTCGCAAGGCGAATCCTTCTCGCAAGTCTAGTCATCGTCGATCATGATATACCGTTGGCGTTTCTTCGCGGGTTCCTTAAAATCCTCGTCTACTACGTCGCTATCGTCGTATAGTCGCTTTCGCGCGCCCTGCGAAGGGAGAGGGCCCTGTGCGGTGAGCCCAAGTAATTCATGCCACTCGCGGCTGACTGCACGGAACCGGAGCCGCCGACTCTCGATCACCCCTGGCGCCTCCTGGATCATTCGCGCATACGCTGTCCCTGCGACCCATGCACTATGTGCGGCCTGGTCATCTGCAATGCTCTCCTCGATTCCGTAGTCTTTCTTGAACCCGCCGCTCGCGAGGTGCATCCGCGAGATCCCTATTACGATATGCCGGTACGTCGGTACGTTGATATTCACGTGAAGATGTGTCGCGAACTCCTGCCGGAGAATCGCCCCAAGGGAGTCTGTGGGCCAGTGGCTCGACCCTCGCGGCCAGAGGAACGGCGAGCGCTGAAAAGGCTGTGGGATCTCCGCCGCGAGCATCGTCGCATGCTCGAGGAACGGGAGTACAAGCCAGAGGTAGTAGACGAGGAGCTCACTAACCTCTCGCGGGAGGTAGCGGTGGATGATACGGATAGAGTTTGTCACGCCTTGCGCCTTATGGTACGCAGTCACGATCGCGATAAGGCCATTCTCAATAAAAATGTTGCGGTGCCGGCCTTCAGGCGTGTTACGGTGCCGGACGGAAAGTAGCTCTGTCGCGCGCGCAGGCTGACCACTAGTTATGTGGATCGCGAGGAGGAGTCGCCGGAGGAACTGATTGACTAACCCGCGATAGTCCTCGACGGCGGCCTTCTGGAATCGAACCCGCGAGTCTGACTGCCGGACAGAGATGAATTCCTCACGGAGTGTATCGCTCGCAAGAATATGGTCAACGAGCCAACGCTCTCCCGTCGTTGGAAGTACCGCGTGGTTCCGTGGATCGGAGAGGAAATTCCAGCCTCGCGAGTTATTGATTGGGTCGTCTACAAGCTGGGAGAGGGGGAGCGTTGGGATAGTCCCCTCGCGAGTCTTATTACCGCTATCCTCGTCCTCGCGAAGGAGGAAGAGCTGCTCGAGGTCCCACCGCGCGAGCTCAATCTGCGTCTCGACGAACCGCCGGAGGTCTGATATCGCGAGGTGGACCTCGCGGAAGGTGAGGCTCTGACGGTCGTCGGACCAGATGAGGTATCCAAGGCCGGTCGACGTCGTCTGTACCCGCTTCCCATACGCGCGGAGCCGTGTGATCCAGTGGAAGGGCGTACGGGTTCCAAAGACAAGGAAGCGCTCGCGCATCTCGTCAATCATATCTCCTGTATACGCGACCTGACCATCGTCGACGAGCTGGACTGCACGCTGTGCGACGAGGAGCTGCGACATCTTGATGATTGCAGAGAGGAATGGCGTATAGTGCTCAGGGTCGCGATACGTGAGGTTCTCTACGTCAATGCTAAGCGCCGCGAGGAACCCGACCACTACACTCTCGTAGATATCCCCCTTGAGTTCGTGGTCGAGGAGGGCGATTGAGAGGTCAAGGCTCGCGCGATCAAGCTGATCGCTTGAGGCAGTAGGGTCGCGAGCGTGTTCCTCAAGGCGACTAAGCGCCGCGAGCTGCACAGTCGTTAGGCGATGCCGGAGGGTGATCGGCTGACTAGGTCGCGAGATACGGTAGACGAAGCAAATCAAGCGTACCCATATGCGCTGATAGCGATGGACGGTCGTAGGCTGGAGGTGGATCCGTAGCGGCTGGATTGCGAAGCCCTCTGCCCGTCGCCGGAACGTGTTTAGGCGGGCCTAAATATTAACTATCAACTACTGACTCGCGAGGTAGAAGAGGATAGGGGGATTGCACCTACCTGGTCGAACTCATTAATCCGGTTCGCAAGGACGGACGTAAGGGCCGTGTTAAGGAGACGTCGGACGCTCTCTGCGATGACTATAAGGACTGGCTCTGTGACAGGGTCTGGGCCGATCGCGAGGCGTGCGACGGCTATAAAGGAGTGGCCGCCGACGACCTCAGGCCACCGCGTGCGTTCGAGCCATGGCGTTGTCTTATCAGTACCTGTCTCGCGAGTAGTAGGTGCGAGCTGATTCTCTACCTCCGCGAGTATATTCGCCCGTTTGATCGCCTGATCTACCTCTGCGCGCATGATATCCGCCGGCGTACGGTCAAGCTCTTCCCGCGTCCGTCGTCGAGGCTCCGTAGGCGTCACAATAAAGAAGGCGCTTGCCCCTTTGATATTGGTAAAGAGCCGCTGGCAGCTCACCGGCTGCGGCCGTGGAATTGTCGCCCTTACGGCCGCTGGAGGCCGCCCAGCCGGCCGTGTAGGCGCCCTAGGGTGGACTGTTTGTCGGTGCTTCCGCATCTGATCGAAGGAGGTCGTCGCGAACGAGTCGCAGTTAGGCTCGGGGCAGCTATACCCGTGGTGCGTTGGGATGCCAGGGATTGGTGGGAGTGTAGGGTCTGGCGGCGCGAACGGCTCGCACGCTGGATCCCACGGACGACGGTCCCACGCCGTCACTACCGCCGCGCGGCGGAGGTCCGTAGTGCTCGCGGTCGGGTGGGCCTTATGGTGCTTCCGAAGATGGCTCTCGATCCAGTGCGGGCTCACGCCTATCTCGCAGGGCTGGCAGATCCAGACGCGGAGGGGTTCGTAGAAGGTGAAGAGGTCCATGTCGAAACGAGGAGTCGAGCGCGAGCGCGCAATCAATTGAGGAGTCTATACCTATTGTACCCTCGCGAGGGCGAGAGGGAGACGCAGCGACCGTTACTAGTAATAGACTCGCTCTTTTATCTACTCGTAGGGTCTACTAGACGCGTCGCGTCGCGTTCTATCGTCAAGGAAGTGATCGATCACAAAGCGATAGATCCGGACTCCCCGTCTATGGTTATCGGACCCCCCTCGGTGGTAATTGGAACCTTCCCCCCCCCCCCCCCCCTCCCCGGCCGGCGGGTTCGGGGCACGCACGGCGGGGGTCCGGGGCGGGCGCCGGGGGCGTGTCGAAGGGGGGCCCCGGCCGGGGGCGGAATGGTAATCAGACTGCAGGGTTTTCAAACTCTGCCTGTATCCCCGCCCGCAATGCTCCCAATTTTGTTTCACGCTTGGATCAAGTGCAATTGCCTCTATCATGCAGTTGCTAAATGGATATAGCTTCCCCGCATAGAGGACTTCCTTCACCGAGGCGTAGAACTGAGTATAGAGAAGGCCATCTGTTCAGAGCGATGAACGGCTCCGAGTCTCTATGATGAGTGATCTACTATCGCGCAGAAAGGAGAAGGGGAAGAAGGTCGACGAGGCAGCATTCGGGGGTTAATGGTCTGCCCAGTACTTTTCGACACAGCATCGGCGCCACATGAACACTAGAGGCTCTGTAGAGTTTAGTGGCCCAGTAGTATAATCGGCGGCCGTCTAGTCAGGGGCCGTCGGACAAATCTCCTTCCCAATATCTCGGTACATGGTTATAATGTGCTCCGGGTCGATAGCTGAGGACCAGGTCTGATCGAATCGTTGTTGCATACCATGCCAGGTCTTACTCTTAGTTGCCACCTTCAGGTTCTTTGCAGCAAGAAGGAGATAAGGGCGTCGAAATTGTTGGAGATCTTTTTGGTCGATGATCTCAAGCATAGCCATCTATATAGCTGCAAGCCCTTCCGGCGGAAGAAAGTGACTCAATTACTACTATCTCGCTAGGGTAGTTACAGAGCGCGCTTCCTTCTAAGCCGCCCACGTGTTCATCAGGGCATGAGCGTAGCTCGAAGGATAGTGTTGAAGATAGTGCCCCAAGTAAGCTACCTCAAGGGCCGGGAAAAAGACTTAGTCTATCCAAATCCCAAATTCTTCTCCGCTTAGACGGGCGGTAGGAGATCGTGGATGGGAAAGACTAGGAAAGAGAATATAGATCGATGTATCCTCTATGCCGACCACTCGGCCTAGTATATAGTGCTTGATTTTGTGAACGGGCATATGAGTTCGGCGAGTACGGCTACTACGACGGTCGGTATACTCCACCTGTAACGGATCAAGGTAGAGGGATGACTAGAGGTCTGACACCGGGCGCTAGACGGGTTGCTACCGGATTCCTTGGCTAGCGGCGGCGAGACTGCCTATAAAGGCTATTACGCTGTCGGTGTCGAACATAACCTCCGGGGCCATCAACTCTTCTTCCTCCTCTGCGATTAAGACCACCGGGGGCGTCTTGTAGTCGTTGCTAAGGCCACAAAATAGTCGCCAGCGGTCGGTAGCAGACCATTTTTTCGTCTAGGTAGTCTCTGCATCGGGTAGTCGTGGACTACTAAGCACCTAGGGGCAGGGCCACTTTTGCAGATCGGCCAGCCTAATAGTTGGGATGGGAGATCTATCCTAGCTAACTGGCGGCTCTATTGACTACTAATGACACTCGGGGCAACAACCTTGGAAATGGAGGATCTGTCGTGCTAGTCGCACCCCAAGGCTATCAGGGCTCTCAGTGCTAGTGCTCGATCAGAAGGACTATAGATAGTCAACGTCGCTCTCTCCTAATCCATATACGCTGTCTGTTAAGTCATCTATGCTTGAATCGGCTGAAATATCGGGATTGTCGAATAGAAGCGGTTCGTGGTCATTGGCGGAGATTGTGCCTTTAGTAGGCTCATCATTGTCTAGAATCGCTTCAGCAGACGGGTTGTAGTTGATAGTTACCTCCTCCTGCTGCGGAGTATTTCCGCCCTTAGAATTGAATAGACTAGGATCATCTAGGGAGAAATCATTATCGTCGGATGAAGGAAGCGAGCCTTCTAGTGTGAGTTGTGGCTCTGGTATAGACCCTGCATCAAGTGTATCTGGAGCAACAGCACGCTCAGGGGTAGGCCCCAACTGTAGAGATGCGCCTGCCTCTCGTCTCGGCTCGTGTAGATCCCGAACGACTTGTTCTAAACCTACAGTTGATAGTTAAGAAAGAGCCCGTGCGGAATCAAATTGGCAAATTATAACCCGCTTACGCGTTCGTGGACTTCCCGGAACTGATGACTTCCGGGACGGCAGTGGACCTCGCTTTCGCCGCTGATAACGGAGCCGTCGAGCTTCATTCTTCTTAGCCCTCGTTTTGTATGTCGCCGTAGGACCTCTTCGACCCATTTTGCTAGCATTTGAAGGTGGTTAGAGCAACATAGGATGAGGTAGCGTGACAACGCTGTCCGCCCCTGATGAAACACCACAGACTGGATATATCGTTTCTTAGCACTGAACACAATCGGCGCCGGCCGGCAGAATCCACATATGCGCACACCGTGAATGACCGTCAATGAAACTAGATTTGTATGTTCCGTGATTGAATTAGATCATTGTGTAGATATTATACGTTAACGTTTATGTGATCGATTAGGTGTGAGAATTCAAGTTTTAGATACTACCTCCTGTTTACGCACTAGCACAACAGACCCCGGTTAGTAGATGCTATGGCACGTGACTAGCCTAGGTTTTCGTCCGAGTTTCTATTGGCTGAAACACTATCCGCCCTATCCTGCCACCATTTTCGAGGGCGATTAAAAGATGGAGGAATTCTGGAAGAAGACTACTGTTTTGATTCTAATGATGCTATATTCAATGTACAATAAGCGTCGTGGCGCTGATGGTTTGTGTCTTGAATTTCGTACCACGTGACCTTCGTCCGGGGTTTTTCGTTCGAGTTTCTATTGGCTGAGAGTATTTCGCTTCCCCTGCGACCAATTTTCAATAATATGTAAAAAGAAAACTAATTTTAGAATCTGGCGGATGCGAGCTTTCTAATCATACTGAAGTGCTTTCTATCCGGGCGTTGTGGTGTTGTGGTCACCTGCCACGATTTGCCCGTTGGACAAAAAAACAGGATCTTTCGAAAGTAGCCAAGGGAAGTTCACGGTTTATCAACCTTAATCCTGAAATGAAGGACAAGTTGATGTTCGAGTTCCCTGGGAAAAATATCACAGACCCGGAAGTAAAGACACAAACAACACGTCTTAACAAGCCAGTTCCAATTGAGGAATTTCATAGTTTCGGTATGTGGCTGCAATATTGGCATCGGTATTCGCGCGCTGTTCAAGTACCTCTCATGTATGGACTCGGAGAGTTCGACCAATTTTGGTCTTCCAACAATGCTGCTTTGGAGGAATACCGCGCTGCTTTTCCATATTGTGCAAAGATTGAATCCGGAGTTGTACTTATGGCACCACACTGTATCGAATTGAGCTGGCAAGGTAGAGGGTGGATTGCAAGGTACTGTGGTTTTGCGATCGAGTGTGCGGGTTGGTTTTCTTCCAAGCAAGTCTCGTCGCAGATACAGTCGGATGGATGGATGGATGGATGATATCATTTACCCTGACCCCACGCAATGAAAAGCGATATGCAGGCCACCACAACTATATATCCGTGTGTGTACAAGTTGAGTGTACTACTTCCTGAAAACGAGCTCAGAGCCTCGTCAAGGCCTACTGTGGCCTAATTGCCGCTCCCATTGTTAGACTGGTCTCAAAAGAGTGATCAAATGTGTCTTGGTCAAGCCGACTTCGAGATTGACTGTACGTTTGGCCTTATGAGAGCTTTCGGGAGCTCAGCCTCACTGGAACGCAACACTGCCTGACGCGACCCTACAAGGCATATCCACAAACAGCCTAGTCAACGCGGATCTTGTGGAACAACTTCCGGGAATTGACTTTAGTGACGACAAAAACTACATGTTGACAGTCTAGGTAAGTACATTTTGAGGTATCGCTAGCATATAATTGTATGTGAGTAGGGAGACATATATTAAGATCCAACAACCAGCCATTCGGAATCTAAAATGATAAGCTTTTATTTTAGAAGTGGATAGTGCATTGCTTTCGGGTGAATGGAGTGGTACAAAAATTCCACGGTCGAGTGTTTCAGCACAGAATATATAGAGGATATATGGGGCATTGATTCATAGAATGATAATTGTTCTCTATCTCTTTCAGAATACTCCATTTCTTTAGATTGGTGGCATTCAAGCAAACATCAGTCATAATCGCCTAACCATTAAGAGTGCCTCTCGGTTTGAATGGACGAATCTTTTAGGACAAGTTTGTTAATGCATATAGATAGTATTTCTCTGATATCTCGATAAGTTTGCTAAAAGGCATTATCCAGTGAAACATCACGGACCTCTGTGGAAAGCTCACCTGCAAATTCTAACCCAAATTTCATAGTCGCTTGCGTGACACCTATGCTATTGAATGCACTGGTAAGGAAGTGAACAATTTTTTCTCAGATATATACCTATGATTCTGCCTTCTGCGTAACATGTTCGGAACATTTCAACCCATGAAGAGTTTCTTTTGACAGACTACGAAGCTTAGAAACAGTTGGCGGCTATATCTCGTGTTACATACGTAGTGAATTAACAATGAAACTCGAATAGGCCCTGAAAAAGGCTTTCCAGCACCTCCAGCAGGACCAGAAGATACCTTTCAACGACGGCCAGCTGATGCAAAAAAGGAAGAAAAACAGCGCAAAGATGAATGAATGATACAAAAGACGAGAGATCCCATACTAGGACTGGAGATCAGCCAGATAAGTCACACCAGAGTCCATCAACCACCAAGCAGCCATCTCATGCATCCAACGTAACAATGGCCTCTCTAATGGCATAGCTCTGAGCTCTTTGCACAGTCTCCACATTATTGTTTCACTGCAAAACTCGACGCTGTTATCTCCTTCCGAGAAACTGATAGCTAGTCGGCCATCCAAATAGTCCATATTTTTCATCTGCATTTCGAACTCGACTTTATTCTTGCTGCGAGATTTCACTCGATACACACCGCAAACAAGGTCTCCTTCTTGAAAATCAAGGGAGGCGATATGTGATGCCGAGAAACTCATTCGCTCTTCGGCGGTTGTGCATGTGATCCGATATACAAAGGCTTGTGGAAAGTGGGAAAAGGCTATCACGTTACGTCGAACTAATTTTGTCAAGAGGGCATCGACGGATTCATCTGAGGGTAGCGATTTTCGCGAGATTGATCTTGCGCATAGGTAATATAATGCGTAGTACTGGCTCGAGAACACGGCATTAGGTATGGTCTCGACATGTACTAGCTTTGGACATAATTCGGAAAAGCTTCCGCAATGGAATCGATGCTGGATACGGCATGCCAGCTTCTGATGGAAGATGTAGAAATAGAAGGCCGATGAGCTAGCTATAATCGCAGCTGCAATCATGAGTAGACGTATCATCTTGCGATAATGACTCTTTTAACCCTAGCATAAGTTTCCAACCTAACAAGAGTATTTCCTTACCTCGGGCCGTTGATGTAGATGTCGACAAAAAGAACAGAAGATGTCAGCGCGTCATCAGAGGGGGATGGGGATTGAAACCTAGTTACTAAGGCTTTCTTGGCATAAGGTTGTCAGCTTTGGCAAAATTGGAATTAATAATACATGATTTTTGACATGCTAAACATGTACTGGGATACGGATAAAAGCCAATGATGTACAATTAGCGTTTGATGAATTCTGTTTATACTTTGATTGACTTGACTTGAAGCTGAATCAAGAGGAGTGTCGACAGCTCAACTATCTTCTCTAGATCACATAGCCTTTCTTCATGTTTACAACTGACCCCACGAAGACCCAGAATACCACTATACATAACATCTTTGGCATGGGGGTTCATTGAGAGCATAAATGCAGAGGCAATCAGCAGTCCGTGGAAGACTAATGTGTGAACATCATAGGCTAGGGAATAATATCGAGCGCCGAGCCAACGTAATAAATTCGCTGCGCACCGAGCCGGCCATCTCAAGCTACTGAGTAAAATATGCAAATATAACGGCTCTATAAGCGCGTAAATGCCTTAAGACATATGTATAGCGCGTACAGTTTTTCACCATATGTAAGCTAAACAAGATGAGGATCAGCCATTTTGCAGAATAATATGTAAACGTGGGCTAGGTCCATATCGGTAGCGTGTCTCTTCAATCAGCTGTTCTATCCCACATAAGACTTCACTAAAACAAGCACCATGCTGGATCAGAAATTGGAGACGATGACCTGGACCGTATTGCCAAATGTATCCTCTAGCAGTTTGGGAATCCCCGATGGAACTTGATTCAACAAAGCCCCATGTTAGAACAAAACATCCAGTGAGTAGCCCGGACCATATTGTAGGAATGTGTCCTCTAGTAACTGGTTGATACCACATGGAACACTTTCAAATGACGCACCATTCCGAATCAGAGTGTCTATTTGAAAGAATCTCCCTCCATCCTGACGAAATGTGTCCTCTAATAGCTTGTTTATTCCACAAGAGACTTCATTCAGCGTAGCACCGCTCTGAAGTATTAATTGAAGGACGTACCCGGTACCCTTTCGGCGAAACGTGCTCTCAACAAGGTCTCCGCATGGAACATATTTGAGTGTTGCTCCGTGCTCAACTAGTGCCTGTGAGACAGATATCTGTTCTTGTCGAAACGAATGTAGCAACAGCTGGCAACGCGGAAGGTAGTGTAATCCCTCAATAACTTGGTTTCGCTGATCTACATCACAGGTAGTCATATTTCTTACTAGCCACATAACACTATCCAACTGGAACACGTGATGCGTTCGTTGGCATGTTGCACAGAATTGCAAGAAATTCCAGAAATCGAGATTCTGAGCAACTAGAATGAGTATTTCCTCAGGCAAAAAGGAAAGGAAATTCATTCAATGGTGAAAAAAGCCGATATATGCTATGAATAAACTGAGTGATCGAGACGATAAGTGGACCTGTCAAAAAAATGAGCATTGTGGCATTTGGAAGGCGGAGGTATGACATGATACTTAATATTTCAGAAATGGCGCTGAAAACTTGATATTTACACGAATTCTCAACCTCTGCAATGAAGGCTAAATTGATTTATCCTCTCTTATTATTAATCAGCCCCCAAGATAACTAACTTATGCGAGGGCGTGTTACAAATGGTATTTTATGTAAGGTCCGTGATGACCACAATTTCGGCAATGTTGAGTAATCGGAAATTAACACGCCATGGTTAGCCCATGTCGACAGCCCCATCTTGAAAATAATCGGCATGAATGTTTGTTTTAACTGTTGCTATGGTTATAAATATGGACTCGGACCAATATGACTAGTAAACTTTAGTTAAATCCTTTCCATAGACAGGACGATCTAGAGGCAACTTAGTAGGTGGACGGTGGACTCACTGCGCGTTTGATTAACAATCATAACCTGTATTCTGAGGAGTCAGATACTGACTAAACTAACTAGTTAACGTTAGTATCGAATCTATTATCAATATGCGGCCGGGTTCCTACGACTAACGTTACTGGACCGGTCTTCTCATCATACATTTTGGAATCTGACAAAGGCCTATATCCCACATATGTGGCGTATTAACAATCGCAGAGTGTACGTGGTAAAACCAGGTTCGGGACTAATTGTCTAAAGAGACATTATTGATTCACAAATCATATGTATCTCGCAGCCCGGCAGTGGATGTGAACCAGAAGTCAGGTTTAATTGGTGGCGATTCTAGAGCAGGAGGCCGGAAGTAACGGATCCCATCCGAGCAAATACAAGCTTATTGTTCATCAAGAACGCAGATCTTTTATGTTACATTATCCCCAGAACCTTGGACCCCAAACTACTATCCAAATCATTGGTTAGCTTGTAGTCAATCAGGATGTCACGATCGAGAGTATGGTTCGTGCTCACCGTCATGGCCTGGAACGCCCATGTTACACTCGGGACGATTATATTGTTGAGTAACCATGCAACCGTGGGAAGTCGAATAACACCGACAAAAACGATGTGTGGAAAGTATGATGTCACCCGGATTCTTAAGGTCCCAGCTCAGCCACTTTCGGGCGTTGTTAGGCTAGACCCCGGGTAGATTCCTAGTTGACTCGTTGATGCATAGTGCTGGCTTTTCACATGGCCACTGGCTCAGTTTACAAACGAAATTACGCCGCAAATCTACCCCCATATATCCTCTATATATATTTCGTGTGCCTCCTCCTCCGACATGAAACTTCTCATACATTCTTCATTCTTGAATTGACTTTGAAATCACATGAGATATTTGTGTGCTAATCACTGCTTAAATCTACAAGATGTCGGAAAGTGCGAATTTAGTCTTGGTCATCGGTGGCACAGGGGCTCAGGGAACACCGGTCGTCAAAGGTTTGCCAAGCCTTTTCTGGTGGGAATATTGCTAACAAAGTTCATAGCATTGGCATCTGGTTCTAAATACTCCGTACGCGTCCTGACCAGAAATTCTTCATCAAAGGAAGCGACTGAGCTGGCCGCAATTCCTGGAGTGACGATTTTTGAGGGAGAGACTTACCACGAACCCACCCTTCGAAAGGCTTTGAAAGACGTCTCTTATGTCTTTGTCAATACCAATGGCTTTGCCATTGGTGAACAGGCTGAGATATACTGGGGCATTCGCCTCTACGAGCTGGCTCGTGAATTCCGCGTAAAACATCTCCTCTACGCGGGCCTTGAATACGCCTCAAAGCTCGGGAACTTTGACCCTAAATATCGGACTGGGCATCTGGATGGAAAGGGGAAAGTGGTCGACTATATCTCGAATCAGCCAACTACTCCGATGGCGTGGTCTATCCTGACGTCGTGCTTATATATTCAGGGCCTCTCGGAGATTCTCCGGCCGCTCCCGGACCCGAATGACTCAGAGACGATGGTCTTCGCAGCGCCCCTAGGGGATGGGAAATGTCCTCTTATCCATCTTGAGGACTACGGATCCTACGCCCGTTGGCTCTTTGACAATCCTGCTCGGAGCAAGGGGCTCGAATTGCATGTGGGTACAGAGGATATTGCGTGGAAAGACCTCGCCGCAGCCTTTACAGCTGTGACTGGTCGGAAAGCTGTCTACAAGGATGTTACATTGGACGAATATTTCCAACTTGGGATATGGCCGGATCCAGATGCCAAATTGGGTTATTCCGCCCGTCCTGACGAACCCACCCTCTTCACAGTGCGGGAGAACTTTTCGGGGTTTTGGAACACTTGGAAAGACAATCTGACAAAGAGGAATTATCAGCTATTAGATGACATATTGCCGACCAGAGTCAAGAGTGTGAGAGAATGGATGGAGAAAACTGGATATACAGGGAAGCCCGCATCGGTTCTGAAAGACCATCGTGATGCGACTCGAAAAGTTTAATTATTGAATCAGATAAGTTGATCCGTACCATGCTCGAAAGAGTGGAAGTATATGTCTGTCATTGTTTTGTATTTATATTTCATGCTTATGATATTCATTGTAGGTCCTGGAGAGACACTAGTGATCCATATGGTGCTATCTTATCTTCGTCTGTGGAGTGCATCCTAATTTGATTATGTGCATTCTCCCCTTCTGTACCATTCGTTTCCTCTCTGGACACGTTGCTTAATGTCCGTGTTGTATGACCAAAAAAAAACCACCAGGTTCATATTATTGGTTTCATGTTATTGGCTGGAGAGCTAGCCAATGTCGTGTGAGCTCAAATTGGTTTTCCCAGTGAACTTATTGTGCTGTCTCGGGATAATAGTTCGGACTTGGGTTGGATAATGCTTTCCATCTACTACAGTAAGTGTCAGTAGATTCCATCATTTCAAATTCAGTACTTCCCTATCTCCCTGGGCTTGCACGTCGGGGGTCCGGGGCGGGCGCGGAGGGTGTACCGAAGCGGGCCCCCCTCCACGGAATCGTGAAGTGTCTGCATTTCATGAGAATATGGTGGTATATCTGATTTCGAATATCGTTGTACAATGAGATTGTTTATAGGCTACTGTATACAATAGGAATATTGAAAAGAGAGCCTTTGCATTTACACAAGAGCATAGGGAAACCTAATGATAGGGAAAACCCACACTAAGGCATTTATGACACCCCATTCCATCCGACTAACAAGGATCCATCAACACGACATCTCCTTGTTGCTTACTTCTATCCATGCCGTGCCTCCGTCAGTCCTACATCCGGTTGTCAAGCGTGCCGAATCAAACTTCATCATGTACAAACTATCCACGTCGAGCCTCTGTCAGTTCTGTACGCGGTATTCGAAGCCATCGCTCTTCGGTCAAGGATAATCACTTCCCTTCTATTCACGCCCATCCTAGTCAGCGCTATGTGCTTAAAGGCGTCATTCTCCAGTCAAGGGTCATCACTTACCCACCGATGTTAACAAAAAGACTAACATCCATTGCATGGGCACTCAGTTGCGTAAAATGTGATATCCGGGAATTCAGTCTCAATGCCTAGTTCCACACAGTACTCCATCTGTTCATACGACATCTTATTTCCAGCAACCCACATATCGAGAGAATTCAGTGATCCAGTGGCACAGTTGTCTCCGCCAAAAATGATGCCATAATCATTAAAACACGACACAATGTTGTCTTGAATGTTTCCGCAAGCTGATCCGACCTGAGAATCCGAGATCCCACCGATGTTAATACCCATTCTGTTTCCTGCGTAGGAGTTCCCGTTCTGATCAAGCCCGTGATTGCCTACGCAGTAGGTGATAACTTGTGCATTCACCGTCAAGCTGAATGCCGCTAATCCGATTAAAATCGCCTTAGGGGTTTTGATAAACATAGCGGTGACTATGAGACGTTTAAGCCGAAGGAATTTTTGAAGTTGTTAAATCGTTTGAAGAAAGGCTTAATAATAAAAACTGATAATCTGAGAATTTCCAAATGTAACTCAGTCCAGGTTTTGTTGAAGGATATATATACCTTTGATATTCAAGTTAGACATTGCTGATGAGTACTGACTTACAGTCCTACAGATCGTAGGGTGGCCTTACATGATCCACTTTCCCAATGAGGAAACTCCTCCTAGAAAGTCCATAGGGCTGATATACAGTCACTAGTATTAGGAGGTGCTACTTAGCTTTAAGCCGCTTTCTAGCACTTATTTAGGTCTAAATCTTAGTAAGGTCCTAATAAAGCTCCTCTAATAATATAAGATTATAGACTAAGTACTCATAATTACTACGATGTTTTTTCCTTTCTTCTGGATCTAGATTATTAAAATAATTTCTAATTTCTTCCTTCATTTGAGATTCTGCAAGCAATTTATCTGGGCTTTTATAAGGTTCAAACCTTTTCTTATAATCAGATTCCTAACGACCTCTATACAATTGGCATAATACTTACACTATAGCAGAAGCTTCAGTTCTTCTCTACTAAGGACTAGGATGATAACTAGCGTATATAGTATCGCAATAGTCTTAAACATTGCCTTAAGCCCTATCAATAGCGGCTTTTGAGCACCTAGTCATAAGCCAAAGTTTCAGCTATTAGTCCTAGCTATCTCTAAGCTTGAGATGATATGTGAACTAGAAGTATCTTAATAATTAATGGCTAGTTAATACGACGAGCTTTCGTAATACCTTAATAGTAGTATATGATATAACTAATTTAGTCTATTCATAACTAATATTTCTAATAGCAACTATTCAGTCTAGTCCTCACATCTTCTAGAAAGAGCACTAGTCCGAATTTTTAGCGCTTATAAGCCTTGCCCGCGATGTGCTCTTAATCCCTACTACTAGTATAGGTATAGAGCGGCTTTTTAACTCTACTTAAGATGTCTACTACTATCGCTGAGGCTCTCTTAATCCTACAACGATCAAAGACCTAATGCTATTCGTGTGTACATCCTAGTTCGATATTAAGGATGAAAAAAGGGCAATAATCAATGAGTACCTCTCATTTAAAGAGATGTAGACGGCTAGGGAGGAAAGCGATACCTAGGCGAGTGAACTTGATCTAATTAGTGACGATGAGGAAGCAGGAGAGGGAGATTCTACTCAGATACGATACATAGATCAAGCTCCTAGCGAGCGAAGCTAAGGTAAGCGGCGAATGAGTATTATATCTACGCTAGAAGAGGGCGATAGATATGAAGATGAGGATAAAAGTGAAGATATAGGAGTCCTTCCACTACCTGATATGTAGCAGCGTATGTTAGAAAGAGTCCAGAAACGTTCAAGACTTCTTAATAGGTATGAAGCGATATGAAGCACAATATGTAGTTCTGTAGCCGATTTGATCTAAAAACAAAGCTCTTCTTATCTGATCTATATGAAATGTGTGGACTTCCTCTATAACTAGAAGATGTAAGCGAAATACTCAAAAATGCAGCCAAAATCTACATAAAATATGTAGGCCATGAGTTCCTACTGTTTGTCCTGTTTGATCACCTGCGGGTCACCCGTGGGACTTCGCCTCGAGAGGTTGTTGCCAAGTACAGCCAGGATGAAGACAGAGGAGTTTACGGTTCTGGCATTGAGTCCAGGACTTGTCAACACAAGGACCCAACCACGTAGGTATTCCATGATTTTGAGGAGGGCCAAATGCTAACTGTACTAGCTTTTGTTGAAGAGCTGGAGAAGTTCGGGGAGATGGTCAAGAGTTTCCAGGTTTACGAACCGAGTTTCCAAGGACCAATAACGCCTGAAGAAAGCGTCAAGGTGATGTACTCTGTCATCAGTGGTGCTAGTGTTAGTGAAAACGGTGCCTTTTGCTCTCACTGGGGAAACAGACCGTGGCTGTGAAATGAAGCATGTAGCTTTGATTGGTCTATAGATTGCAATCGCGACCCTGTATTCTGATAGTCACCCAGCGAATCCAGAATCTGGCTCTTGGGTTTGCGAGGTTTAATCACGGTCGCTGTCAAAGCATTGATTGTATTGATCTTTTCGCAGGGAATGTTTAATCGCCACCCAAGTCGCCAAAAATATCAGTCTGCGCACCCTCTAGATAACCCATGCTAGTAGAATAGGTGGGAACAGACGCGCCTTCCTTCCACTCGACATTGTTTCCTTCCCATTGGAAGGCAGCTATCATCTGCTTGGAACCATTGACTCCTGGACCAGGGGCGAGGCTGGGGATCTTGGGAATCCTGCCACTAGTGGGATTGATGATCTTGCACTTGTGGGCAGCCATGTACATGTTCTGCTGGCCAAAGCCATCCGGAACCCATCTATATCACTCATTGTTAGTCAGGAAAATAATTCAAATGCAAGGTCTATTATAACATGCACTTACCCGGTCACGCAGACGCACGCTTCGCAGGGAGCCAGATCAGGTATTGAATAGTTCGCCAGTCGCTCAAAGGGGGTCTGGGGAGCCGTCGAAATTACAACAAGCGTGTCCATGGTCACTTCCCACACGTTACTCTTATAAGAGATTGCGATTGCCGTTCCAGCGGCAGTCGTCTTGTTCGCCGCATGCAAGTTAGGCGAGGCCAGGCCCTTGGACGAGGTAACCAAACCTTCAGCCACGACCTCTTGGTTCGTCACCGAATAAGGAATGGGACGTTGGTTGTATTCCTTACCATCTGCATAGTAACCGGTCGAATTCTGCCAGTTCGCCCAGGGAACTGAAATTATCGCGTTGGCCGGAATCTCCCAGATGCCGGTAGGCTCAGCAAGGAGGCAATTCCGGCCTTTGGATAGGAACCTATATTTTTATATAAGCTAATCCTCCGATTATGGCGCCAATAATATTATTACACACCAGCTATCCCTTGTCAGGTTGTAAAGTGGATCGAAAACCACCAGATTGGGGTCGGTAGCGTTCTTCAACGTGCCTTGATAGGAGTTCTGCAAATCATCAGTCAAGGCCCCTTACAAGTCCGACAAGAATAAAAAATCAAATAAACTCACATCAGGGCAGAACATGCCATCGGTATACGCAGCAAGATGAGCGGAGGTTAGGTGGACGGCGAAGAGGATGGACGTCGATAGCTTGGAAAAGTAACCCATTCTGGACGATGACTGAAGAATTCTTTCTGAGTGTATTATGGTTGAAGAGGATGCTACATTGTGTATAAAATATCACTTTTAATTCACGTACATTACTATTAGTTAGTAATGTAGCGATTTCCCCTCCCCGCCTGAAACATGTTTGAAACGCTGGTCTAATGTTCCTGAAACAACTACCTCCTCTAGGGGAGGAATGAAACCTACTTTAATATCAACTAGGGACTTGATTAAACTGTGTATTTACGTATTCATTAATTCTGTCGTATTCTCATTGGATAAGTTGACGTGAAAACGTTTTGTTATAGCATGTGTGTGCGCTAATCAACATTTTTATGCGTCTTGACATAGCCTGAATCGGAAAATTATGCTAGAAAGAAACAACCTGGGTAACCCAGAACTCAGCTCAACATGGGTTCTAGGCTGGGCCTATGATCGATCACAAGGCTATGGATGGATCGATCGAATCGGACCCCCCTTCTCGTCGTGGTCTACGGACCCGGTCAGAGGGTTCGGGGCGCGGCCGCGGAGGGTCAAGAGCGGGCGCGGAGGGCGTGTCGGAACGGCACACCCAGGGGGGACCGGTTGGCAAGGAAACTGTTTGTCAAGGCCTAGTTTCTCTCTCTTCTTTCCCTTCCTCATCTTCGGTGTCCCGTCGACCACTGCGCCCAATATGACTTCCTGATCTTTGCTGGTTTTCTCCTTGGTAGACGCCCAGTCACACCTGAGTCTTAGGGGCCCACGATCAATCTTAGAAATATACTGAGTCGCACCCATGGCCTCCCTGCGAGTCTCTATTGCCCGAATCCGTGATACCACGACAATGGGTGTATCGTGAGACAGAACAGACCTGGACAACAACCTATTCCGGCCCTGTTCTACGAATGAACATCTTCCCTCGTTTGGGGTGAAGGCACGTGTATTAGATGAACAAAACAATAACAATCATAGCAAGGTGATGGATTCTTCCGTATTCACGCCCGGGGTGTGGGAAAAACCCGGTGGGAAAAACCATACCTAAAGAAAGCTATATCGCAAATATTACTCTACCTAACCAGAAAGATCCTTGGGGCTTTGTTCTAGTGCCTGCTGGAGCTGGACTGCTTTGATACGACGTCGACTAGTCTCCGAGGAGTCTGCAGCCAACCGCAGTAGCTCCTCGTCTGAGTAAGCACTGAAAACGTTTGGATCAAAGACATCTGTCAGAGGTCTGAGTACGTGCCGCTCAATCACCTGCCGACAAACATTGTCAACGAAGGTTTTCATCGTAACCTGTATCAACAGCTCAGCAAATATTCAATTTTAATGTTGAAGATGATCACCTTATAGTAGGCATTAAGGTCAGTTATCGCCTCGTAACAAGCTCGATCGACCATATTGACTTCAACCCGTTCCTGAAGAGCGACGACCATTCTGTTCATCTCGTCTGGAGAATTAGTGAAATGGAATCTACCACCCTATCCACTTTGAGTTGCACTTTCCACAGATTTTTTGATCTGCGCTTTTGCATCGCTCTGCCGCGCCTTTTGGATGTTGTGGAATAATAATGATTATACGTGACCAGATGACTCTGTTCATCGCGAACTAATTTTCTGAGCTCAGTATAAGTGTTTTCAGCATTCCTATTCAAGAGATTTGTGACACCTCTCACCAGGTTACCCCTAACGTTTACGTCTTTGACAACAAAAGCTATAGCTGATTCCGTGAAGTGAGACACTAGATTCACAACAGAGTCGACATGACGCCGCGAAATATCTTCCCAGCGAGATGATTGGCTATGGAACAATCGCTGTAGAAGGGAGTGGTTATAGTTTCCAGGAAGTTCACGACCTCTTGACTGATGATACATCTATTGTCGTAAGCATTATCCTACCAAAATGTCTTTTCCTTCTCACCTCTTTTATCCAAGTTGTCATCTCCTTTTTCGTAACCAGAAGCTCTTTTTTCTGATCATCCCCATCTCTAGCATCATCATCATCTTCAAGCTCTGATTCTTCAGAGGAAGCAGTTTTGCCATCATGCGAAGTGATCTTCCTTCGCTGACCGTGCCTCCTCATATAGCTTGCAAACTTTTCATTCTCTCTGTGTACCACTGCCCGGAGCTGACGAGACGAGTTTGCTTCATCAATCAGAAAAAAGTATCTATCACGATCGTCATAATTTCCATCGAGGCCATTTCTGACGATGTAATGAAAGTTATTGCTGACACGAGTCAGGAAAGTGCGAATTTGGCCGGGAGTCGTTCGTTCATTTCCGAGGTCTGAAATCTCTTCGCGAACACGCTTCAGCAAAGTCTGAATTTCTTTCTGGACCTTTGGAAGTTCTCGCTCGATATGACTATCAAGTAATCTTTCCAAGAATGAACGCAGATTGTCGATTCCGATTCTTGACTGGTCGAGATCTTGGACCCTCCACCGTTCACTAGAGAAGAAATCTAATTCTGCCCGATGGCGTTGCAGGAAACTCATTTCCTGAGCTAACTCATTCGGAGAAGGATTTATTGAGAAGAAAGAAGCCGAGGTTCAACTTCATGCGATCTTGGTTTTTGGCTAGTCGTGCGACTCGCTCTTCTGTGTCATCGTTGATAAGGTCGGGCTTTGTGATGATCCCTATAGTCCTGACACCCTCTTTGTCGAAATGACGTGCCCTCTGAATGATTTTCTGCGTTTCTGCGTCACTACTTGCTGGGATCACAGCAAGTATTATAGTGCGCGAGCTCTCCATGTAAGAATCGACAAGCCCTTGAACGAGTGAAACGTCTTCCTCATCCTCAGATACGGAGATCAAGCCGGGATGATCAACCAATGTCAGATGAAGACCTGTACTGCCGACCAACTCCAGTCTGAGAACGTCTGCAGCAAAAGCAAGGGCATCAGCGGAGTCGCTGAAGCCACGGACTCCCATCAGACGAGAAGCATCATGAATTATTTTGGGTAATTCGCTGAAGTCCACAAAGCCGCGTTGAAAAGTGGCAAATCGTTCTTTCTCCTCATGTGAGCGAGATGCGCTCGGCAAAAGGCTAGCTGTCGTGACGAAGGACGATCTCCGTGGGAAACTGAGTACAGAACCCATCTTTGCGAGGAAAAGGATATCCGCTGATACCCTCAAGAACGGAGCTTTTGCCTGCTGATTGGTCGCCACAAACGGCAAGCTGTGGCAAGGCAACATGATCGCCAACCCCGTTGGCTCGAACTAGGTCGATTTGATTGAGTCTTTCGGAAGTTTTGCCAGGGTGAAATCCAGGCCTAATGCTGCCGTCACTGCCATCATCAGCTCCATCTCCCTCGTCAGGAGGGATTGATTGGTGCATAGATATTGTCAATGGTGGGTAAATGGTAGACAGGGTAAATCAGACAATGAATACAGCTTCACAGTTCTATTTGGTGCCGGCATCTTATATTTAGCTTTTGAGTAGGGGCATAGAGAAATTCGGAGTCATTACAAACCATAGCTGTCGTTTGGATAGCATTAGCCCTGGATTCCGACCCGGCAAAACTTCCAAAAGACTCAATCAAATCCACCTAACTCGAGCCAATGGCGCTGGCGATCCCGGCCATCAATCACCACTTATGATGCAGAATCTGGACCAATGGTCTAACGACGGGGGTGTGCCAGCCTAATAAGCTTCTTGTGATAGGTGAGACAACAAGCCGTAGAATACCATGTCAACAATTTTTGGCATACTCTAGTAATACGTGACTTAAGAAATTCCGATAGTCAACGCATGCTCACCGGCGCAATTAATGTTACATTTCCGGCTGACTGTACTAAGTGCCATTGGTTGGGTTATGCCACATTCTATAAATCATAATTCTTCCCAAATTCCTTATAAATTGTTTAGGTGTTCGACATTCTCGAATGTCAAAGGGGCCGAATCGTTTCAACCCCGAGATCTTTACCGTCGGCGTCGCCTGGTTTGATCTCTTGCTCATTCCATAGTCCTGATATTTTCCAGCATTAGAGAGCGCTATTTGCGATATTGACAGAAAACAATACCGAATTTGCGCTCTCTTTTCCATCAATAGTAATTGGTGATGAAATCTTCCGTACATGGTTGCAGTTTGTAAGTCCTAAATTCTGTGCGACCTGTGAATAATGGGTATTTCGAACGAAATTGCAGGCCATCCACTGACTCGAATAATCTCCCCAACCTCGTCTCCATAGCTCGATGGCGCGACGAGCCAGCCCAATATTGCGCAATCAACATTATAGCACCCGCTTGCAAGTTTTCGAGGCAATTATTCTCAGCCGGCTGTTTGTTATTAAACGATCTGAATATATCTTAGGCAAAGGACTCCGCAGAGAACAAAGAGACCTCGGCAATGTCTATCTCTCTAGCAACCAAAACTACTCCTGCATCACTTGAGTATAGCGCACCATAAAGATGATCGAAATCAAAAACCCGGTGGAACAGAATTGACGTCAAACGTTGGACGATGAATCAACTGAAAATTATGGTGCCAGAACGTTATTTACGTATTGACAAACCTGGATGTGCTCGAGCTTGTCAAAAGATTATGGACATTCAACATCCACTCATCTTGCTATATTTATTGTTACAGGTATATTATTAAAGCCGGATTAAAGCATACCATCTGCTGGTGGATAGTGTCGAGGTTGGAGGCCTGAGAGTTTTTGTAAAGATATTGAATCTGAATTGACGGTATGTACGCCTCATTCGCATTGTCATGAAAACCTTTTGTGATTCCGTTGGAAGGGATGATTCCCTACAACTTGTTCGCTGCCATGAGTGGATCATCGAAAAGCTTTACCTCAATAAGAGGACCCAGAGGGTTTATATAAATTTTCCTCGTGAAAGAAACAGGACAGAACATCGGAGTAACTTGTGAAATCCGAATTGAGATCCTGTCTTTCTTCCCAGCCCTTTTGGAAGTGGCAGACCATCCTTCGAATACTATCACAGTGCGGAGTTTGATGAAACCTTTCCTTAAATGTATCGGGTCCTCCAATAATGAGAGATCTGATCAGCTTAGCTTCGTATTTCGTACCATACGAAAGGTGAGAGAGTCCATTAACCTCGTCCGTCTTAGATGCCAGGGATACTTTCGGCTGTGCACCGGCAGCACACGCGCGAGTGTAGAACCTATAAATCAACGCAGATATTTTGCCTTTCACACCATAGTCACATAATGTATAGCAGAATTTAAGGCGACCAATGTTGATTAAAGTTCTATTATTAGTCAATCCACTAACTACTCGAAGAAGCCGCTCGTTCAAAAAGATAATATTATTTCCACCAGTTCCAGCAACTCCAAGGCAGGTTCGGATGGATCCGACTTAGACTGTCCATTCCATACGACATGCCCTCAAAATGGAGTGGCTGGAATAGAGGAAGACGCTACTTGCAACCATGCCAGGTCGTAATCATAAGGGAGGCCTGCTCGTCTAGAAACGGAAGATGGGAGTGAATGAAATGAATAGATTCTGGAATGCCTAGTAGAGAAATAACATGAAACTATCTACAGATCTATCCATGAGGGTCCGTGGGAGTGAACACGGTCTCAACAGCTCGAAATCCAGAGAAGACATTGAGAGACCCAGAGCAAGGAACAGGATCTGATGGGTGGGTGCCTGAGGTGTCAGCGCCCACCGCCCTAGATAGATAGGATTTCCCTACTGGGAGATCATGATCAATAACTTCACTACCCGTTCGTTTCCTTTCCATGATCTCTCTCCAGGTCTCTGCTGTGACGTCCGACGACCTCCCCTGAGTCGACCGGCCATCAGGATCTGCTCCTTACTTTTCGCCAGATATCCAATAACGATCCTCAACACGCGAACAATATTTTCTTAGAGAGGAGGAAAAGATGATAGTTCTTGTAAATAACATTTCACAAGATGCGTCAAACAAAAATTTATATCTCCGTCGGCTAGTCGTCATCGTAGACATCAACTAACTCGCAAGAGATTTTCCACAGCTGATCCTCTGCCTCCTCGTCAAACGCATGGGACGCATAGCCCCGGTAAGCAGGATTGTGCGTCCCTCCTTCGAAAGGTCCCCACTCCCCACAGTCTTCAATATAGATACGTCCTTTACCTTCAAACTCCTTCCCAATTGCTGCAAGCACTGATGTGGCCGCACCTTGCTCGGGAGACTTGAACGTATTTTGCAATCTTGTGTCGCTTTGAAAGGCCTGTGTCACCGAGATTGGGAGATGGATGCCGAGATTAGTCCAGATGCCACCGGGATGTACGGTCAAGCCATGCAGTCCGCGATTACCGTAATGCCGTTCAATGTAATTCGCCATGTAGATATTGGCGGTTTTGGACTGAGCATATGCATCGAACGGAGTGTAAGAATCGGGCGCATCGAAATTGAGGTTGTCGAAGTTCACGCCGTAGCGTCGGTGGCCGGAGGATGTGAGTGCCACGACTCGTGACTGAAAATTCGATGTCGAGGATGCCAGAAGAGTGGGTTTGAGTAGCTGGAAGAGGAGAAAGTGCCCGAGATGATTGGATCCGAACTGGGCTTCGAAGCCGTCCACAGTGGTCGTCCGGGTCTGGATGGCCATGACTCCTGCATTGGCGATTAGGACGTTCAACTTGTTGTTCGGCTTCTTCAAAAGCTGGGCGGCGCAGGACCTAACACTTTCAAGTGATGCCAAGTCGCAATGTAGCAGCTCAACACGACCAGGACAGAGGATAGAAGCGAGGGCTTGCTCGCCCTTCTTCAGATCCCGAACAAGACCATAAACCGTAGCATTTGTTGTTGCTAAGGCACGAACAGTTTCGATGCCAATTCCAGAAGAGACACCAGTGACAACAAAGACTTTGCCGCCAAGTTTGCCCTCTAGAGCTTCGTCTTCTATTATTTGGAGAGCTGTTGGACGTCTATCCCCGGGTCCATCAAGATGTAGGTGTGATTCTATGTATCTGCTGGTCGACATTTTTGATACATGAACCGGAATAGCACATCTCATTTCAGCGCGCGTAATTGAGACGATGCTTTAACTGTTTTCTTAACTTACAATGTCCTCTTAAACTTATTTCATCTACTGCGAGAGACCGGAGATACAATTGTAAGGACGGATTTAACGGTCTTATCGGACTTTCTGTCAACACCTGCTGTCTCTGATGTTAGTCCGATTGGGACGCTAATATCTATAGCACGGGAGGACTGACGGGATGATTTTTTTGTTTCAAGATTATATCACTCGTTCATCATTTAGATCTATACATGTCCGCGGCGGAAGAACCTCGGGACCGAAACCAGCTAGCAGGTATTAACTTGGAAGGGCTTGACAAGAAATCCGTGTCGTGCTTCTATAACAGAATGTAGCTCACTAAACAGAGTGGATTAACTGAGGTGCAGAAGACTACCTATCTGATTATGTTAGTTATTAACTAACGTAATCGGTAATCGAGCTGGACACGCAACCGAGCTGAACACCCCAAAATACTATAGTAAACGCGATATTTTTATATCCTTATATCTCAACAGCAAAAACAACAACAACGACGACGATGACGTCTTGACTCTATATAATCATTGATTGGATATTTTGTCAAGATGTAACTGGTACTATCTAAGGATATTCAACATACCGAATCAATATTTAATTGTGTTACCATAAAATACGGTGTAATTTTTGATCCATAAAATTCAAATATATATATCTTGACTGTGCACCTACCAAAACCCTCAAGTCCGCCAATGCTCTATAATTCGTCCTTGTAATGCCGTATCCTAACAGGAATCCAAAAAAGTGATATGTGGTGATATTTAAGATTGTAAATTGCGTTTACTATGGTGTTTTGGGGTGCGGAGCTCGCTTACTGATTACGTTATACAGGGGCGCTGATCAAGCACGAAGTCAGACAGACGCTTTGGGTTTTGGGATGATTGAAAATGATGGTATTCAGGTCTAGCTATCATGTCCATATTTATAGCAGAGAAGCGGAGAAACTCTACATACAGATGAGATCTGGCCACATCGGGGCATAGTTCTCTGATTGGGAAATTGCCAGATGAGTAAGCGTCAGAATGCGGAAGTTGGCTAAATTACCTGGGTGGCCATTATACTGACAAATACTACGAACCTCGGTCTGGTGGCATCTGGGCCTTATCGCTGCACGACCGGATTTAAGTTGGCCCATAGCGCCCCGGAAAAAAACCTAGCTACAGAATGATAATTTAACGGCCCCACGTTTGAATTCACATCAAAGCCTCAACGGCCCATAGTTTTCACACATTAATCTTCCAGTGACTGCTGATTGCCTCAGCATTTTATCCTCTCTATGACCCCCCCTCCAGACTTCGAAGCCAGCAGTTTCTTGGAGAGTGTAGCACATACTACACGGTCTATCGCGACTTGTCTTCGGAACAACAAGCTGGATACGAAGAAGATCCAAATAATTCTATCGGAATACAGTTCTGATGCATTAATACACGGTCGCCTGATTGACATGGCGCGGTCTGATGATCGTTGTGTTGACCATGCAACATATTTGCTCCTTGCTCACATCGACTTTCTTTCGTGGCTGGTTTCGCATAACTATACAGTTACTGCGAGCTCGGTCAAATGGTATAGCTACAAAACACTGCAAAACAGGAACCGCGTGCGATATTCTCATTCATCTCCGAAATCGGGACAACTCCAGGAGTTGATTGAAAGAATACGGGAAAGGGAAGAACTCGTTCGGGCTGACATAGCCCGCTATCAAGTGAGCTAATTCCTCCAGGTTGTTGATTGGGAGTTACTCGCTAACTAAGGGACTCGAGATTACTGCCGGCCTAGATGGCTTCCAGCATTGCGTATCCCTTCCTTGTTCTCCAGGGAGTACATCACCTGAAGGTAATATCTCACTTACAACCCTCATCGGATTCTGCGATGAGTAATATCATTTGTACAGAATTCTACGACGCAATTCGTAAAGGCTGGGATACTGCGGAAGGTCTCCATTGAACTTGACTCAACTGTGCAGCCGTCCACTGTTACTTTGTGAGGGATCATTAATTGGATTAAATACTGCGCGATGAATCTGACTGCAAATCATCTTGGTTGGTGGTGTAAAGGGAAAGCGTCTTGAAGTCGCCTGGCATTTTTAAATATCGCCTGCTTACACTTATGGTCTGTTTGCGTAGGTTGCTATAACAAGGGTCAAGTAGTAATTGCTTCCAGGTCACAAATAGAGATTATTATTTCCAGGAAGTTATCAACGGACTATATGAGCCTCGACGCTTCGGCCATATAAGCAATACTGGGTGTACGGAAGCGTGCGCGGTGTCGATGGGATATCGAGAATCTTTATTCGCATACCACGTCCAGATGATGGTAGATCTGTGTCGACAATTGAAAATTCACGCGCAGTTGGATGGAATTCTCAATTCCTTCAACATATTCTGAAGTGTTGATGATATCCAAGTCGTCCGCGTTATCCAAGCTGAAGATATCTAAATCAGGATCTTCCCCTTCCATATCATCGTATCTTTCACCGTATTTGTCGCTTGTTATGTCGAGATGAGAAGCTGGATTCAAATTACAGACCAGCATATGCATCAGACTCAACAACATGTTGGAATGTCCAACTAAGACCCAGAGATCACAGTCTCGGTTGTAGAAGACTCTATTCATCTTCTCTTCGTCTTTTCGGTATCACTCACTTTGATCGGTGTCCATGTCTTCGACAGGGAATCCGGGGCCTTGAGGCTTTATATTCTTAGTCCTGCTACAAATAGTTATTAACAAGTTCTGAGTCTCTGCGGCTTGTTGCTGCTACCTTGAAATTGAGGTGGTAGAGGAAATCCGGTTGAAGTAAGTTTTGTTATTAAAGGCACTACTTGATAAATAGAACAAAATCGTGATGGTCTGTTTCAATACGTGTGTTCGGGATAGTAGACCTGAGCTTGACCTTGGCTAGATTTCTCTAGATCTGGCTCGACCACCCGGCTAGGTTCATAAGACCATGTGATGATCATTCTATCTCAAAAGTGAGTGGTCTAGGCAGTTTAACCAACGCCCAAAACGTTGGATTGAGGTAGATAACATAGGATGCACATTGCCCGACTGGTGACTTGGCATCCAATGGAACCACATCCGAACTGGTGCAGGGTAGCGACAACCTAAGCGAAAAGACCGCGGGTATCTTTTTGCTTTCTTTCTATTTCTAGTTTGTATCCTGAAAGAAATATTTTTTTTTTGTTATTATATTTCTTGCAACCGCAGGACTGGGACCCTAGGGAAATTGAATAGCGTAGTTCAGGAGCATATGCGAGTACTTTGCAACCCAGCGACCGTAACAGAATCATGAGGAGTCCTGCAAAAGGCGCCAGCCCTTGGACGTGCGGTACTTTGTGAGCTCTATGACATGAAAATGCCATCATTGTGGTGGAGGCGGGAGCAGGAAGCCAAGAAGTAGCGTGCTGAACTTACACGAAGGGCATTAACTTGGGCCGTGGAGGGGGCGAAACGGGAGTCGGAGCTTAATAGGAGACCTCGCTTGACAGTACGCCATTGTCTACTGTAGATAGGAAGGGGATCGCGCTCTAATAGCATCAATTGACCACGGATGGTAATTATTGCGCTAGAATAGAGTTAGCATAACGGTACGTTGTGGTTTGCTTGACTCGTGAAGCATTTTATCCTTTCCGATCATTTCTAGAGATGAAATGGTCTATTGGGATGTTTTACTGGATTATCAAATGGCATCACCCGATTATTTATGAGGCCGTAAAATCGGGTGAAATGGCATTTTGCGATGTTTTTTTTGGGTGGTCAAGCCTGATCACTTGATCATTGCTTCTGGGGTGTATGCGCTTGAGAGGTGGTTAACTTTAACCACCCCAATCCTAGTGAACAGAATATTCTGATATAACTGATGGGTGACCAAATTGAATCACTTTCATAATTCTTGGGGTAGTGAAATGGCGTGTCTATGTGTTTTAGGGGTAATTAATGTTAACACTTCTGATCATTGCTCCATATGGCAACTAGAAGAGATCCCGAGTAAGGCTCGGTGTGGCTATGGCGGCGACCTAAGTAGTTTGAACATTGTTTGAACCGAAGGGCCGCGCATTGTCGACCGACATGTTCTAATTCTAGTGGGTCATTAAGCAGCGTTATCAGACGCCTCCGTCGGTGTTTGTCGTATAACACCGAGCTCACACCACACCTGGGAGATCTATTGGTCACTTAGGAGGATAATGAGGCAGAATCATTTCGAAAGTCCGGCAAGGTCAGACAAGAATGCCAAGTCTTTCTCTGTAAGAAGTGTGTACAATCACAGAATATTGTATTACGGGATTCCGGAGACCGAGAGAGCACACTGCGTAGCACCGTAACGACCGTGATACATCATTTGCCCCGTGGAATGGTTCTGAATCAGAAGCTGTTCACCATTATTATCACGAAGTCACAACTAGTCTAACAGTCTAGTCTCCTCGCGTGGTAAGAAAAAACAAGCTCTAAGCTGAGAACAAATTAAGTCAGGCTGGTTAGATTGGGCCACCCAGCAAGGATCCAGATGATTCAATCTCTTTATACTTGAGCTTTTACGCATAGGCGATTTTGAATTACGAGAGAAGCGATGGTCCCTAGGAACATATGTCTCATTATAACCACAGCGACAAGACGCCGATCAACAGCGCTCGAGTTCCTCTCGCTGATGACAGCGCAGCTTGCATCCATCACATTTCATGGATGATACTGGTACCATAAACAAGAGAGACAATAGCGAGTATTCAATGTCTTCCATGCGAGGGCTCGAGCAGAACCTATGACCAATTCTTCGCATATGAGTCATGAATCTACCGCTTTGGATAAGCTTGGATTCGTTGGCGCGAAGACAGAAATATGCGAACTGGTCGAGAGCAATATGTTGCAATATTATTGAGTGACACACCTGTACTAGACAGCACCGTAGCAAGGCAGTGAAATGGCTTGAGAAAGTCTACAATGACGTTCAATAGTCACTATCATGCCTCAAGCATAAATTATATTCCGTTCGTCACATAACCGCTGGAGAGGGCCTCTTCTCAGCGCCTGACAGAGCTGGGGGCTGTCGGAATTGGGGCTCTTGAGTTGCTGTGGGGTTGGGCTCCAGGATTGGGGCTTGAGTGATAGGATACGGGTGGTTGCTACTAGGATGAAATGGCGACTCAGGATACTCCAAAAAGCGGGGATTTGATCAAGCCGATCATTCATGAGGGCGTGAATAAAAATGCGCCAAATATGGCGAAAGGTGTCCATCGTTTGGTTAGTGACAACTGCTAGGTGAAGCAGGAGGCGGTTGCGCGGCCCAATATATTAGCCTGGTCATCAAACAGTGGGTCGATAATTCTGACAGTTTTTTTCTCTTTCTGACACTCCGTACACCCAAGAGAGACGTTGTCTCACTATCTTGTCGAGGGGTCGCTTCGAAAGGTTGCATGTGATATCCACTCCTTTCGCGGGCAGGAGCTCGTGCTGAGTCCCATTATTTGGCATTCTGAGGATCTGTGAGAAATTCAAAATTCAAGATGGTGCGAACCAGGCTATTTAACTATTCAATCCATACTCCCAGTTCTCTTTGTTTGCTAGATAATTGGTCGTCTATAGCAAACAAAGAATCCAGCCGAGAAGAGCCACTTTTGGGTCCTATCCCGCCATCCGATTGGTAGGTCCTCCGCCAAGGGCTATTGTGAGATCTGATTGTCTACAGTACCCAAACGCGGCTTGTTGCTGAACAGTTAGGACAAATGTAAAGGAAAGCCCGTGAAGCTATAGGGCCCGGTGCTTCAGCGAACGCGCTTTCAATGTGTGTAAAGCTGTGCATAATGCTCTCTAATGGTAGACCTATCTACCCGCCCCCTGTAATAAATCGGGCCCTCACCGCGCTCAACAATAGGGACTGATTAGAAGGACTAGACCCGACGGATTAGACCCGCTCCGCTGGTTCTATACCGTGGTTACACAGCAAAGTTTGCTGCCTCAGGCAACACAAATGTCGCCTCTTCCGATGGACAACGGGTGAGCCGTGGATGTTATCACAAACAGAGCAGCTAAACTTATTCTCTGTATTCCATTGCCTCGCAATGATTATAAACCCCTCAAAATGCGCCGCAAAGTCCACAGAGCACTCATCCAACTCCTATTCTTCATTGCTATTCTCTCCCTAACCCTCTTCCTGAACCGCCCCCAATTCAGCTCCGCACCCAACATCTTCGCATGGACAAAAGTCCGGTACAGAACCACTGCCACCAAACTACCAGAGGCACGGGATATCTGTCCCAGTCTATCAGAAAGAACAAAACCAGCTCTAGTTGTATCCCGCGTCTCATCAGATGGCGATCCCTCATGGCTATCCGACATGCTCTCAACCCGCTACCACATCTGCATCTACAATGTCGATAGCCCGATCGACACAACCTCAGTCCACCTCCAAGTCCCCATGAATCGGGGCCACGAAGCAATGGTGTACTTAACCTTTTTGATTGACAACTACAACGCTTTTCCGTCCTCGGGAGCGGTCTTTGTGCATGGCTCCAGATGGGCATGGCACAATGATGCAAAGGACTATGACAACGTCGCTCTTCTCGCAGCACTAGATATCCCCCGTGCCCTCACGCCGAGCGGATATCATAATCTGCGCTGCGACTGGAGTACGAGTACATGTGACCCTTCTGCACCGGCGCAGGGAAGTCTTGAGATGAGAATGCAGGCTGCTCTTGAGCCATGGAGTGCGCGTGCGGCGAGTGAGATTGCGCTTCCTCTTGCGCTGGATGCGCTTTTTGGGTGGTGGGGTTTGAGGTTGGGGGAGTCTGGGGGAAGAATACGCCTTGGGAGAACTGAGGCTGTTCGCGCGCAGTGTTGTGCGCAATTTGTTGTTTCGCGTGAAAGGGTGTGGCAGCATGAACACCTCTTAGTCCGTACGGATTGGTAAATCATTGCTTTTCCGCTTATCTGCTACGGGTTTCTTGGTGATACTACGTGGGAACTGACGAGCGGAACCATGGCGTAATTGCCGGTTCTTTCATATCCCATATCACTCTAAACAATTGACTCGAATTTTCCAGTTTTGCAATGGTAAAGTACTTGCTCCTTGTCTCGATCACGACTTCTCTAAAATAGTAAAATTGCAGTGAGGCCCAGATACACGTTCTTTCTACTTTGAAGAGCCCCACAATAATGAAGAATACGTATTAAATACGCCCTTGCGGGAAACGCCCCAATCAACTACTAGCATAGAAGCATGGTCCACTCAACGAAAGTCCGTAAAATTGCTCATCTTCATCAAAAATACACTTATGCCGCCGAGACAAGTTCGATTTGGATTTGGTGTCAAAAGGAATTGGCAATGCCATTGGTAATTGACTTTCGGAGAGAAGTCCAACCTGACCGACCAAAGAAGTCACTTAAAATCTTCTCCGCCTTTTTTGATTCTGTGAAATCAACTAAACAATACATCTTTTCTGATGGAGGGTCCGGGATACGCAGATTATCCGGACATAAGTCCCGTAGTATTTCGACGACTTGATGCCAAGTAAATGGTTCCGCAGTTGCAAAGATTCTCTCAGAGGCGAGAGAGGTGTCTAGGAGTGCTGCAACATGAAGGCGAGCAGTATCTTCAACATCAACATACCACACTAGATGCCTGGTTAGCAAACCTGTCAAGTTTCATGAGATTTTATTCATCTGACCAGGAGGGTAAAGCCTCATAATATCCCCATAGCCTTGCAAAATCCTGCATATTGCTGCCATACTTGGTCCAACTATCTGGGGGCAGAGATAAGAGCCGAACTAGCTAATGAATTAGCAAAAACTAATTTACTAGCCGAATACTTACGTTATAGTCGGGTACAACGGAATTGAAAGCAAAGCTTGGCCTATTTTCCTCGACCCACAACCAAGCCTGTCGCTCACTTTCTGTTTTAGACGCAGCGTAGACGGAAAGGCCGGGTAAGCACGACTCGGGTGTATTCAATTCCACAGCGTTCAATGAAGTCTCGTTATATGTTCCTGGACGAATAAGCGATGAAATGAGATTTTGTCTCTTGTATCATACCTTTGTGGATTTTAGCGTATTTGTTGGCTTGTGGTAGTATGCAGGCGGTAGCAGAACTTGTTAGAACAACTCGCTTCACGGTGGATTGCTTCGACGCTGCCTCCAACCATGTCAAAGTAGACTTGACGGCCCGAGTAATGATTTCATGATCATCAAGGAACGAATTATCAGTTGCCTGGGCTATTAGTTCTAGCTTGCACAAATACAAGAGCCACATACAATTAGAGCCACTCCAGCAACGTCCGCCATCAGACGAGCGATGGCATCATGCTGGCCAAAGTCTGGAATGACCAATTCAAACCGATTGCCATACCTGTTTTGAAAAAATTCGTCCACCCATGGGCGAGGTTGGCGTACAGTCCCGCGAACACGATATCCCCGTTGCAACAATATATTGATTACATGCGACGCAATGTAACCATTTGCGCCAGTGACCAGAACGATTGACCCGGCTGATAAACCGTACAGATCTGTAGCCATTGTGTAAAGGAGATGCTTGTGATATAGGAAACCGTTGGCAGGCAAGGGGAGGTCGGAGCACTAATTAAAGGGCGAGGCGTCTGACCACACCAGGTAATTGCTTTCAAGTAAACTTAGCTTGTGAATGGTTTATCGGAATTACCGGATCAAGAGTTCGTCTGGAATCCATTACTCAGCCATTGGAACGATAAAACAAAACGTGAATCTGTTTACACAGCCTCAGTGAGCAAAACAAAGAATTGCTTCGATGATCAGTAAGGACTTATATTCGACCAGTTAAGTTTTCCCAAGCGTGTGCGCGCCAAGTCTACAAATTACATCGTCTGGTTTGAATTTCTGAATAAATTAGTTGATTCCAATCATGTCGGGACCGCCGGAATTTAGTTTCTATCGGCACGAGATCCCTACCAAATTTGGCAATTGCCGCTTTCAGAACCGATCCAATTTTATCAAATATTAGTGCCTTCCAGTGGCCCCCAACGCCTTCGGCTTGTGGACCCGATTCACACCGTCAACCCAAATTCCATCCATCAATCTTCTTGACGTTATTTGCATCCACCCACTATCCCAAAGGCGCCGAAAATAGGAGAATTGATAGGAACACTCCCGCTTGTGTTAGGGACACTCCTTATTTTGTAATCCGAGAACTTACATAATTTAAAATGTCATGTGATCTGTATTAGAATTTCATTTCTCTCTATTATTTACAATGGTCTTCGTGTATGCCCAACTTCACCACATGTACTGCACTTTGGGGGAGCCTTCTTCCGCCTCTAATTAGGCTCTTCTTTAGTATTTTGTTCTATCTATCTCCCGGGGATAAGTGGGACGTACCAGGTCTAAGTAGAGGGGCTAAAATTGACCAAAATGCCGTATCCGTTCTGTATTCGTTTCTTCAATCGGGTCGAGTCAAATGCCAAAATGACAAAATATTTCCGTATGCAACTTGACTCTCTTCATGCCTTATGTAGAACAGGAGTTCTTACAATGGACTCTCTCAAGAACCATAAGGGCCGAAGAAAACAAAATTTGAAATTTTATCATTTAAAATTTGCCAGAATTCCCAAATCCGGCGTCCGACACTTTATCGCGCATTTACCTATTCCGGGGTGAATATCGCTCGCAATAAGATTGACATCAGAGTTTATTAAATTTAATCCTCATTGCGTTGGTTTGTCTTCTTTTCCACCAAAGCTAAAACGTAGGCTTACAGTAAGCCATTTAAAACTTCCGAGAATTTCATTCTTCACAGGATTACGAATTGTCAACTAAATCTGTTTCTTCTGGGGCTCATCAAAGGTTAAGAGCCTTAGTCTGCACTATGAAAGAAGGTGTTTTAGAGATACAGTATGTCGTGGTGCCATTAATTCGCATGAACAATAGCTGATTGCCATTGTGAGCTGTCTAATTAACCTGAAGTGGCACATTTCGATCTTAATTTCATCCTCATACAACATCTAATTTTGTTGAATCTGCCGAACACCGAGAAACAGAATGTCTTCTTATATCGGAGCCAGGTCTGAGAATTCTGTTACCACCCTAGTTGAACACAGTCGCAAAATGCCAAGGTCACCTGCAGCTGGTTCACTCCTGCCAAACGCGAGAGTCGTGGCTAGCGGGCGAGGTATAACGCTAAAGATCGCGCTTTTAGAGCCATTTCTATACCTTCGGCATTTTGATAAGCCCAACTCAAGCCTCAGACAGCCGGCCGTCATCCGTGGTCAATTGCACATGGAGCTGAGTGAATGTGTCAAAATCAAAAGCATAAGGCTATGCTTTAAGGGTCGTGCTCATATTGACTGGCCTGGTGGTAAGTGAAACCTATTTGGTGGACTTTTTCCTCTTTCTTAACTATTTCTCAATTACTAGACATACCACAGAACGATAAAATCATCACCCAAGATCTTTTGTTCTATGACAGTGATCTCTTCCCCATGGCGACAGCATTTCCTTTGCATAGGCCGGTCTTAGATGATACCACACAGCCTCCGACATATGGCACAAGTCAATCGCTGACTCGTATGCGAACTTCTCTCGGAGCGGATAACAATATTCCTCAGTCCCATTCAGTCTTTTCGATTGGTACATATCTCTATGATTTTGAGTTCTTTCTTGATAGCTCTTTCCCAGAGACTATAAAGACTGGATTCGGGTCCGTAAGATATGATCTAGAGGCTGCTGTTGAGCGACGTCGATTTCTCTGGCCAACTCTACGAGGGAAATTAGAGGTACCCGTGATTCGGACTTTGGTAGAAGATTCACTAGAGCAGACAGAGTCGACCGTGTATTCTCATAATTGGAGAGATCGACTCATTTACGACGTCTGTGTCACTGGGAGTGCTTTCCTTATGGGTGGCCATATCCCTATTTCGATCCGATTGAGACCCGTGAGTGAAATCTCCTGTACACGAATAATTGTCAACATAACCGAAAAAACGGAACAACTGGCACGAAGGCGACACACGGGCACGGGTTGCTTAGAAAAGAAGATAACTGTTTTTGACACACAAAGCGACCCAGAGAGTGCAGGTAGGCTTTCTCATCATCTTTGCCACCCGCAGCTCATATAACCAAATTTGACATCGAGACTTTCGCAGTCATGAAAACGGAAAGCTTTTTGTGCCCAGGCAGCATGGATCTGTCACATGGCCTTAAAAAGGAGCCGATCTCTCGCAAGGCTACAGTAGAGTTCAATGTCCAACTCCCGAGCTGCGAAGATCGTGCAACAAGAGACTACCTGCGACAATTGAATATTGATACGACCTGGAAAAAGTGCGAAGTAAGCCACTTAATCAAGGTATGAAGTTGACATGGTTCTCATTTTCCCGTAAAAGATGTTTGACACCAAAAAGATTACTTTGCGTTTTTCCGCCACGGACAGCACAGGAAGACTAATTACATCAAACGTTTCGGTGACTCGTCCTATCCGACTGTTGTCATGTCGGGCATCACCCAACAACTACATGCTTCCTGCATATAGTCGGGTGGACTCACTCAATGCGCCCATCCCCCGAACTTCACAATTTTGTAAGTGTCTTGGCACACTTCTCCAAAGCCCTGCGGACGAATTAGCCCGGAAAAAGCGGTCTTTCCGAAAAGAAGAACCTTTAGAGAAGTCAATTGATTTTTTAACCAAAAAACAACATTTTTCTGAGTGAGAAATTTGTATTGAAGTCATACAGTGATGGTTACAACTGTCCTCTAAAGTGCAACCTGCTTGATAAATATATGTTTGTCCAGTTAAATTTCTATGGAACCCTTTATCTAGACATGCTTCTTCCCAACTGTTACTATGACAATGAGAACAATGAAATGTTTTTAGTAGGATATGCCGCAATTATAATTCGTAATATAAATTTTGTGTCAGATTCTTATCTTTCTTGGACCAACATCTATGTGATCGATATGAATTGTGTAGATAGTTGGACTGTTTCCTCTTTCTTTTCTTCTTTCTTCTTCCAATTTGGAAGTCCCATCGACAATAGTACTCAAAGTGAATATCGTCGTTTTCGTCGTTTTCTCTTCTGACCTGACTGCCTGGTCACAATACATTCGACTTTGCCCTGATGGATAAAATTTTGAAGCGATGAGATTTATCAAATTGTGCTTAGCTCGTTATCAGCTCGTATGAGTGCCGGGCAATGCGAAACTTATACACACCTGAGAGATCAGCAACTTGCCCTTTTCAGCTGTATGAAAACGACAAATACGATAAAAGCCGTTTGGCTATCGTCAAAACTCCCCGGGGGCAAACTGAAGTGAACACATATTCATCGGATCAATATAACGTTAGAATTTGTGAGAATTCACGTATGGGTCGAAGCCGAGTCGTCAGTGACAAAACAAGTTGGATCATGTCAAAATCTGAACGTACGATAGTCCATGGAATTGTGAATCACGAAGAAACAAATCTCTGATTTAGATAAACTTGGGAATGCCCAGCAATTTAAGTGGCATACTAGCTAATGAATGACCAAAAAACACAGGAAATATTGATGAGGGGTAAAATCCCTGTATGTGACCTGTAGGAACTCCAATTCTTGGCACAATCTTATCTCCAGCTTATTCGATTGCTTCTGTGGGTGGGCATTTTGCTCTTTTCTGGCTCCACGCTTGCTTGTTCGATACCAATGTATGGAAACATTTAGTGTAGGATTCTTCTGTAGCATTTTAAAATACCTTCGGTTTTCGACTTTTCAGCCTGGTCTATATGAATGGTTTCCCGCTTAGATACCCATGTAATTTGGTGATAACTGACCCTCAACACAAGAACCTTCAATATTCGTAGGATTTTCGAGACTTACGGTGGCCACTTTATCGGCAAAGGATAAATTCAGATCGATCCTTGCCGGACATTCGTGACAATTTTGGCCATCGCCTCTCAATGCACTTCGAATTTTTCGAACAAAACCGTCTTAATTGACATCGTCATGCCCCAAGGTTCTGGTAACGTAATCGAGGAGAAGCTTAAGCATATTAAGATCCTAGATAGAGACAGCATAGTACAATGGTGTACAATTGTCGATATCACGTGAATCTAGGTTAGCACGCTTTTTGAGAAGCTCTCGTGCCACATTCTCATAACCCTTGATGACGGCACAAAATAGAGGTGTATAACCGTTTATTTGGCATTCATTTAGATTGACTCCATCTTCGAGAAACATATTCATGATTTCAGGGTCGTTCACAGAGACACTACTAACGAGAGCCCCGGCCACACTAGGGCCATTTAGGTCGATTCCGATGCGGAGAAAGTCTTTAACAAAGTCGTCCCGCCTGACTTTCGCAGCCCATGAAAGCGGAGCCGGTGTAACCTCTCCTAGAGTTATCAACTTTTGAATAATAACATCAGTCTTGAGGTGGCATAATGTTGTGTCATGAGATCCGTAGACGAAAATGAGTCTACTTTGGGCTATCCAGTCGCTTTCTTTTATCGCTCTTCGGAAATTCCTTCCTATGACATGACGACTGTCTCAACACACTCATTCTCATGTAAAGGCCGAAGTCCATACCGCTTTCCTAAAAATAAGTATCGTGAGGCCCTCGGAGTTTCTAGTCAGCTTTTTCAAACCCCTGCGACTTCCAATCCTCGTCGGCAGCCTCCAAGATTGTCCCGAAATTCTGTATTTCATCCGGACTAGCTCCTTGCTTCGATGGATCGCGAGATTTGGGATATTCTGTCACCTGGGTATCACTATTCTGCCTATTGTTGCAATTCAGTTTGTCAAATAGTGAAAGCCGCCGTGTTTGCCTTTCGGGGACGCTCTTCACAATCAGCTGTTTGTGTGGAATGGCGCAATTAGCAGCAACGATCCCGGCTCTCGGAAACGTTTTTCTTCCGAAAATGAGCGTGAGCCTCACATTCAAGGCACACATAACGTAATCTGTGTAAATCTACCCAATGGTCCATACCACCAAGTAATTCCACCGGGGTTCGACTCTTTCGCTACTAATGTCCAGGATGAACGCGAGACTGACTACCGGGAGTGGCAGTGTCTTTTCTAGTGACAATATTTGCCGCCAGGTTTATCTGCTTTTTTTTTATCTTCCCTAGACCTAGATGGGTCCATTTGAAGATGGAACGTAGATTTAGGTGGGGAGCGACCACGTGAGAGGGGGGCGGCTCGCCAGGTACGGGAGCACGGGAGCACGGGAGCAGTATGTATAGTGGCCTAATTATCGTCGATCTTCCAGCGATTGGGTGGCGGGAATACAAATATCGGCTTAAACCCACAACAAGCGATTTATAATGGAACCTTAGGTGGCCCAACAAACCCCCACTTTCTTGTAACGTGACTAGTTATCTTACCGTTATGAACCAGAGAGGGTCGTTGGGTGGAAAATCCGTCGAATATGAAAATGACTGCATGAGCTAGTCAAGCCTATGATGCCTTTTGGTCTAGTGGTGTAGCATTGACAACAATCACGTGGGCACTCCTCGGTATTTATCTCACAATAAAGCCAATTGACCTTCTTATAATCTTCTCGTTCAATTCGCTGATCCATGCATATTCACACCGTCCTCCATATATCGTGGAGTTTCAATTGCAGGACGATACAGGATGTCGTCTCCTCCCCGCCTACCTCCTCCCGCACATTCAAGCAAGCCGAGTTTTGCAACATCAGTCGATACATATATCAGCAATGACAGCACGTGGGATTGGAAGAGATTTTCTAGTAACTCGGACACTGAGGCTCAACATAACCCACGAATGAGTTTTGCCTCAATACGATATCTGATTCTCACCATCTACCGCCGCCTATTTTCGCTGGTTTATTGCGCCAATACGGTCGCATTCATCATCATTATGGTGGAGAGCAGACAGAAAGTCCTTGCATTCGTCAACGCAGCGGGCATCAATTTACTAGTATGTGGTCTTTCACGACATCCGCTAGTGGTGAATGCCATATTTCTGAGCATCTGCCACATCTCACGTTCGGCTCCTCTCGTGCTGCGCAAAAGAGCCGCAGAAGCGTATCATTATGGAGGAGTCCACAGCGGATGCGGTGTAGCAGCCTTCTTATGGTATACTGGCTTGGTAGCTCTGATATCACGGGAATATTGGATTAATCGAGACCCGGGGATGATTTCCGTCCCCGTAATTGCTCTATCCTATGTTTTACTCCTCGTTCTCGTCGCCATCATTGTGGTTGCACATCCTAAGTTCCGGACAAAAAGACACGACTATTTTGAACTCATGCATCGATTCTTTGGATGGTTGGCAGTGACTCTTTTCTTAACTCTCCTGCTTGTCTTCTCTGATCAAGCCCGACTTGCGCAAGGCTTGTCTCTCGGACAGTACTTGCTCAAGCTCCCTGCGTTTTGGTTCGTGCTAGTCATCATTGTCTCCATCGTTCATCCTTGGCTCCTCCTTCGCCGCGTGCGAGTTTGGCCAGAGTACCTCTCACCGCATGCTATCCGACTCCACCTCGATCACACATCTACTGCATTTGGCAAAGTAATAGCACTCTCCAAGCACCCGCTCCAGGACTGGCACAGCTTTGCAACTTTCCCAGATTCCGATGGCAGGAGCTTTTCTTGCCTAGTATCTAGGGCAGGGGACTGGACAACCAGGTGTATCGATCAACGACCAACGTACTTATGGAAGCGCGGAGTGCTCATGTACGGCTTTATCCACGTGATGCGAGTTTTTCGCAGGGTGGTTGTGGTTGCCACGGGATCTGGAATAGGGCCATGTCTCTCTTTTTTGAGCGAGAAGAATCGCCCCTCGCTGCGAATCATCTGGCAGACGCGGAACCCGAACAGGACATACGGTCGTGACGTCCTCAACCTAGTGCAGCAGCTCGATCCCAATCTACTTCTCATTGATACTCACAACAGCGGACGAGTGGACATGGTGCCAATTGTCCGCGAACTCATTCGGGAATTTGATGCAGAAGCTGTGTGTGTGATCAGCAATCCACAGCTCACGAAAAACGTAGTCTTTGAGCTGAAGGCAAGTGGAGTGCCCGCTTTTGGGCCAATCTTCGACTCATAAATTAGAGCTAGAATATGAAAACGAACGATTACTCCAAATTCCATTTGAGGCCACTTGTCATATTTCCGCATTCTTGTTGTGCCTCCGATCTCTCCCGCTCCGGCAACCAAAGTACGAGGGACACTTCCGCAACAGCACAGTGTGTGTTTCACCTACTGCAGGCCCTAAGCTGGACTGGCTTGGACTTCGGAAAGATTCCGAGAGACAAAATCTGGAATTGGGGAGTCCGCAACGCAAAGCTGCCGCATCTGTGTCCACCACTCCGAATTAACTAGGAGCTGTGCAGAGACGGTATAAGCAATACTATCGGCGGCGCCACTTGTATGGCCTGAGTATTATTGTATTATTGCACAGCTAAGTCGCCCGTTGCGATTGGTCGCATGGGGTAGCCTGGTTGCACTCCGCGTGGGTTAGTACTGAGATGGTGGAGCCTGGACCGGCCAGGCTCGTGGGCAAATATTAAAAGGTGGCGTGGTGAAAACATGTTCTGACAGCTCACAGGACGCTCAGAGCCTATAACTGCACTCTGACTATTATAGAGCTACTATAACTCTCTCACTCCAAGAGACGTTTTTAAGTATTTTGCGACCTTGGTACGTGAGAATGGCACGGGCCGCGGGTGGGGACTGCTCAGGGGCCGCTTTGCCGGCGCTAGCACTAGCGAACCTTCCCTCGCGCAGCCACTGGCTCCTGGGTACTTGCCACTGAAGCCGGTGAAACTTGAGTTGCCTGCTTTGCCAATCGCCTGTGCGTAGACTATTTTCGGGGCGTAGAATGAATTCTCGAAATCAGTGTCTCTGCTTTCCTTTCGACGTTGGATTTCATCTTGTCAACCCAGCCACTCCTTTAATAACCAGACCTATTTCTCAAAGCTGGAGAATTAAGCTCCCCATTTCTTCTGAGCGGCCTTTTTTGGTCTCCAGAGCCCTCGACAATGGCATCCATCCGCGTCGGAGGAAACGGCGATGATGCTCCTCTCTTCGACAGTTTGGCCAAGCTCTATATCTCTGTGGCCATCATCTGGACGACTGCTCTCTTCGTCGGCTCCGCCTTTCTCATTGCCAATCGCCATGAGCAATGCATTCGCATTCGCAACCTGCCACTCGCACTGAGCGCGGTGTCATGTCTCCATGTCTACTGGATTCTGTGCATGGTCGCATATTCGATGGGTGGCAAGTATCCCTGTGCCGCGGAATACTGGATCATGAGCATCTATCTGCCTCTAGGAATCGCTCTTTTCCAAGCCAACAGCATGCAGCTCCTAAGCGTCTTCGGTATTCAGGAGAAGATGCTATTTAACGCGCAGCAACCGTACAGACCGCATTTCATCGATCGTGAAAAATCTCCTCGCCGAAACTTGTTTCGATGGAGACAGTTGAACCTCGTCCAACGAACGGAATTGTGCATTGTTGTTGGGTTGGTGATTCAAGTCAGTGCATCTTACGCGCCCGCTGATATTCACCTATTCATCTCTCATCTCTAGCTCTTTCTGTCGCTCTCTATCTTCCTCACCTCACGAAAATTCCAGAGCTTCGGCACCTTTTCCGAACATGTGAGTCCTGAGGAATGTCGGCGAGGTCCTGAATGGTAAGATTGCCCCTTGGATGGTAACGTGGTCGACGTCGTCTGACCAAAACAAAATTCAAGGATTCCTTCGATTCTCTGGCAATTGTTCTGGTCTTGGATATTTACACCATGTATTTTGTGGAAGATTCGCAATATTCACGACATACACAGCTGGCGGCTCCAGATCACCTGCTGCGTCATCGCCGCGTGAGCGCTTGACCGCATTCCTCGGCATCGCCGCCACAAAACAATTTTACTGACGGATCAGCAGTTTACCCGGTTCGCCCATGTGGTTCGCCGCGCTGTATTCGTCAACCGAAGTCTGGACAGCTATCAACAGATACTGGGTGCCGGCTCTCTGGTACGGAATAAAAAACCCAAATATAAACAGTTCAGCTGACAACACTCGCAGGTTTGCTCCCGGCATTATGACAATGGAGGCTGTTACTATCTTCTTCCCCTGTTATGAGCTTGTCGTCTCCAGGAGGCAGAGGAATCGGATCCTCAGGGAACTCCAAGCGTGGAATGAAAAGAAGGCAGTCAGCGCGGATGACTTGGATTCAGGAGCATCGCGAAATCAAAGTGAAGTCAGCCGCGTGCCAGAAGTTTATTCCCGAGAAGCTCTAGAGAGGTGCTTACTCGAAGACTCGAGCGCCCTTCTCCGATTTGCCGCGGCCAAGGAATTCAGCGGCGAGAATATTATCTTCCTGAATTACGTGCGCGATTGGAAGGCTTACTGGCGGAAGATCAATGAATCGAAGTCGGAATACGATTGGAAGCGCGATCCTCAGTATTACCGACTTCATTTCTTTAAGATTGCGGTCGAGATCTACGCAGTGTGCGTCAACCTCGAAACGGCAGAATTTCCCATCAACATTGAATCTCAGATTTATTCGGATCTAACGGAAATGTTCGGTGAAGCCGCCCAGTTTATCGGTCAATCTACATCAAGGGAAGCTGTAACATGCTCCCACAGGAATGTCCCTGGATCTTACAACTTGGTGCCGATGCACAGAAAGAAGTTGTCTACTGTGATAACAGTGGAGGAAGATACTCACGCTCTCTGTCTGGATGCATATCGCCACGAGAGCCAAAGTATCATAAATATCGAGCCTCGTGTTCCGAATTCTGTTATCGTTCCTCCGAATTTCACAGTCTCTGCTTTCCACCAAGCCGAGAGATCTGTTAAGAGCCTAGTGCTCACAAATACTTGGCCTAAGTTTATTAACTCGTCCAGCGACTTCTTAATTCATTCTAAATAACGGTGCAGGAGTTCTGTCGGAGGGCATATACGTCTATGGCTGGCAGTTTCGTCTTTGGAGTCTTTTATAGCGATATCCCTCAGGACATGACACTATAAATATACTTTGTGAATTTCCTTGCGAGGGGGGGGAGAAGTCGTAAAGAGAGCGATCCATTTGCCAACAAATGAACCTTGATGCGGGCCTCCTTTCCTCTCATTGTCCACCATGAACTATCGTATCTCATGTGACCAGCCTGGGATGCGTTCCCGGATTGTGCCTGAGGCAGCACGTGATATGGCTTTGTAGATAGTAGGGACTCTCTTTGACTCTTTTTTTCTTCTTCTTCCCTTCTCCAGCTAATAAGTCCCGTCGACCATAGTACTCAGACTGAATACCATCGTTTTCGTTGTTTTCTCATCCGACCTGACTGCCTGGTCAGACTTGCGACCTTTCTATTAAAGGAACTCAATTTGAGTGCTATAGTCGACGGGAGATCCAAGCTGAGAAAAGGAAGAACAGACAAAGGAAGAGTACCTACTTATCTACAACAGTCTATGTTTTGTGTCACCTGTCAAACGCAGTCTTCAAATGTAGTCGTCAAGCGCAGTCCCGTCGATCCTGGTCACAACAACTTACCCTCTCAGGACCACAATAATTTAACCGACTTTCTTAAGGTCTCTTAACGCTTATATAGAAATAACTTATAGAAAGAATCTACAAACCAGAACACTGTCAAGCATTATGCATCCAATTTAGGGAAAGTCAACTCTCGTTATGCAAAGGAGGGCGGAGGGCCGGGCTAGGGTCGGGCGGAGGGCAGGTGATACCAACTCTCTAAAATTTTTCACAAGGTCTATGAGTGATAATGTACATTGATGTTCAATATTTCGAACGCTACTCAGCTGCGTTTGCTTATTCAAGGGTCTTTGATTGTATGGCTATGGGAAATGCAAACAACAAACGGCTACCTGAGAATTTCGTCTGTACAAGAGCTAGCTATTGGACATGTCTGTACAGTCATGTGTTTCGTCGCATTCAGGAGATACTGCTCTAGTTGAGGTCTTGAGAGAAAGACTGCAAATATTTCATACCCGTGTCGCACATCATAGTCACAATAGTTGAATGTGGTTCCATACGCTCTGCCAGGCGGAGCGCAGCGGTCACATTAGCTCCAGTAGATGTGCCGCAGAAAATACCCTCCTCTCTTGCCAACCGAAAAGCCATTGTTCTCGCATCTTCCGTCGACACGCGGTCGATTTGATCAGCTAAACCATCGTACCACAGGGGCACCACATAGCCTGCACCAGTGCCATCGATCTTGTGTGATCCGGAAGGACCCCCAGACAGCACCGCCGATTCAGCAGGTTCAACTGCAACGCAAATGATGCGATTGTTCCGTTGACGGAGGATTTCCGAAGTCCCGCGGAATGATGCGGATGAGCCTACACTTTGTACGAACGCGTCGATTTGACCCCCGGTTTGCTCCCAGATCTCATCTGCAAGCTTGACATATGCCTCAAGCTGGTCTGTGTTGTCCATCTGAGCAGTGATAAAAGCGCCGGTTTTCTCAGCGATGGCATGGGCCTCACGAATCATGTCTTTGGTGAGCTTTTCCGTCTGCTTACCATTCTCACTGGGCAAAATTGTCAAATTGGCTCCGAGGAGCCTCATATGATCAAGCTTCTCTTTAGAGAAGGCATCAGAAGTAACGAGATGAAGGGGGTGCTTTTTGGCAGTGCAGATCAATGCCAACGACACGCCAGTACTCCCACCGGTGTACTCGACCACTGCGCCGCTAGGCTTCAATCGCCCGTCAGCCTCTGCAGCCTCGATCATGGCCAAGGCCATTCTATCTTTCATACTTCCGGTGGGGTTCTGGCTTTCTAGTTTTACAAACACTCGAGACCCATTCGACGGCGCAACGTGACGCAATTCCAACAGGGCGGTATTCCCAATCGTGTCTAGAACTGTTTTTATCGCCATGTCCGGGTTCTCGACTGTGAGCCTTTTGTCGAGAGAATGGCTTAAAGTCGGCTCTGCTGTAAAGATGTCTCTGGCGTCACGGAAAAGGGGAAAAGAAAGAACCTGGGATAGGAGATTGTGACAAATAAGAAAACTTCGGAATAAGATCTAGAGTCAGACTATGCAAAGGAAGGCGATTATGAGCGCCCAGGAGTACGGAAGAGGTTTAAATAGAAGCAATACTGATTCTGTAACGGTGAATGCAGCAAACATCTCAAATTCCGTAGTCTGTTTAATATTATGTCGAAGTCTCCCAGATCCACTGACATTTGGAATCATTTTCGGACCTGCCCCACTGTAAGGCTTGGAACGTGTCTGTTCCCACTCTACCCGAGGTTTGGAATCATCTACCCTCGCGCCACTGTCAAGTTTGGAATCATTTTGCTTTTTGACTTCGTTTTGCCCGGCCCATTATTCATCAGCTTCGCAGACATATCCCGGATCTGACTTTTGCCCAGTTCGATAACAATGTGGCGAACTAAACCGAATGGGTGGCTCTTCTATCTAGCTTGGGAAGCAGATTTTGGCGGATGGCAAAGTTCGAATCGCTTTGAAAGATGCCGCGAGGATTTGCAAGTTCCCCCCGCGGCGTAGCATTGTATCAAACACAGCCCGATGGTAGATGGTCGAGCGCCCAGCTGAATAAACACAAGACGCCGATGGCCATACTGCCCGACCGATTTAGTCATAGCATTGCGCAGACTATTATCATAAGCCTAGAACCGGGGACAGATAGAGTCAAGAGCCGGTAACGTGTTCGACCGCCAAGCATTGAAGACTTATTTGAGTGACTGAAAGCACCTCCGCTCTAAGAGATAAGTATCTTCACAGATCTCCTGTCACTTGCATGACTGTGGTTGACAAGAAATTAGTACAAACACTCCAATTTTCCCACTGAATACCTTTGATACAGTATGGGTGGAGGGATGATATCGTGTCGGAGTCTGGAATTCGCGTATCCACTAGAATGGTGCCAATTGCTTATTCCCAAGGAAGGCTTCGCCGCATAACACCTGCATAACTATAACGTAACCACGGGCGACTGGCCCACCTGCCCCCCAAATCGCGTCTCCCACGCGTTCCTACTCTCCTCAACCATCTACTATGCCGCCAAAACGCAGTATTTTGGGCCCTAATCCTTCTAATCAGGAAGGAAGGGTCCTACTCGCAATACAAGCATACAAGAATAACGAAATTGTCAATATTCGTGAAGCGGCACGTCGATTTGGTATTCCAAGAACCACCCTCAGGAACAGGCTCGCGGGCCAGACCTATCGTCCCACCACACGCGCAAATAACACGAAATTGACCCAATTGGAAGAGGAATCGTTAAAGAAATGGCTTCTTTCTATGGACGATCGAGGAATTGCTGCCGATCACGCTCTAATACGAGAAATGGCAAATATTCTACTTGCGAAGCGCGGCGAGGACCCTATCCAAATAGTCGGAGTTAATTGGTCAGGGACTTTCATGAAACGCCACGAGGACCTTACAATGCGCTTTAGTAGGGGCTATGACTATAAGCGCGCTCAATGTGAAGATCCAGTGGTTATTCGGGATTGGTTTACTACTGTCCGACGCACTATTGAGCAATACGGTATTCTGCCTATGGATATCTATAATTTTGACGAAACGGGCTTCGCAATGGGTATTACAAGCACCTCAAAGGTTGTTACACGCAGGGAATACTATGGTAGGCGCAAGTTAGTACGCCCTGGTAATCGCGAATGGGTCACTGCTATTGAAACAGTCAATGCAAGTGGATGGGCGCTTCCGCCTACTATCATCTTCAAAGGCAAGCGATATAATCAGTCTTGGTTCGTGGATCTTCCGTCCGATTGGCGCCTCGAAACGAGCGACAATGGATGGACTACTGATGAAATTGGTCTACGATGGTTAAAACACCATTTTATTCCATTGACTACACAGCGCACGCAGGGGGTATGGCGTCTATTAATATTAGACGGCCATGGAAGCCATATGACCGCAGCATTTGATGATTTATGTATAGAAAACAATATTGTTTCTATATGTATGCCACCGCATTCCTCACATCTATTACAACCTCTCGATGTGGGCTGCTTTGCTGTTATTAAGCGATCATATGGTCAGCTTATCCAGGACTGGATTCGCTGGGGCCGGAACCATATTGATAAGCTTGATTTCCTTACTGCATATCCACGTGCCCGAGATGAAGCATATCAAGGCATTACTATACGAAATAGCTTTGCCGCTGCTGGCCTCGTTCCGCTAGATGCGCAGCGTGTGCTAGACAAGCTAAATATTTTGCTTGCCGATATATATACACCATCACCACCAGGGACTAGTGGGAGCGACAGTAGCAGTTTTGTCCCCCATACACCTCATCATACAAAGGACCTAAGTCGTCAGGCACATTCAATCAATAAGCTCCTTCGCCAGCGTATGCATTCACCGCCTAGTCCTATTGTACAGGCTTTCGCGCAATTAGTCAAAGGATACGAAAGAGAGATGCATAAGAATGCTATATCGGCACGCGAGATTGAGAAACTACGCTCCCAGGTCAACCAAACGAAACAAAAGCAGGCAAAACCTAGCAAATGGATGGATAGTGAAGTAGGAATGACAGGCGAGGACAATGTACAGCGAATGTTGGATGATCAATTAGTCGTTGAAGTGGAAAACACTGCCGAAGCAGGTCCTTCGTCGGCAGCGGAACCAACCAAGCAGCGTGCGCCACCGCGGTGTTCAAATTGCTGGCAAATAGGGCATAGGAGGACTAAATGCCCTGATTAGTATGCGGGTATTTCATATGTAAAATAGGCGTTGGTAATTGACTTATATTGAATTAAATGCGTACGGTTGCGAGTGGGTGGGCCACTCGCCCGTGTGGGCCACTCGCCCGTGGTTTTCGTTATGGGGAAGGTAATTGGTCAGCAGACAGGCGATTGGCGCCCCGTGAATTCCTCCCTTGTTGATTTCAGATTATTTAAACACTCCGCTGTGAAAGACTAAGCACTATTCAAACACAATCATGCAAGGTTTCCTTGAGCTTCCTCCTCTTCAACTTTACTTGGCCAAAGATCAACACGTTTCAAGAACTGATCAGGATGGCACCAAACGGTAATAGCGGTCATAATGGCGCGACCTAACGTCGACGAAAGATTGGACGACCACGGATCAAAGACGACCAACAACGCGATGAGCAACGCGCTGAGGTACGAAATATACGCAGCTTGGTTTGTTGTAGTTTGGCTAAATTCGCGTAAAGGCGTCGTTTACAGCTCCGAAATGCTCAGCAAGCCTATCGGCAGCGGCGACAAGACACCATCGTTATTCTGCAAAATCGTCTGGCGGATCTAGAAAACGACATGGAGAGTATATCTCTCTTTTTCTCTCTTCTCCGACTGCTGTTCGACTCGAACATACCAGATAATTTCCCTCTCGTAACTAAGAACCTATACGACACTATTCAGCAATGCGTCTCACTCGCGAAGCTCGGGGGCGACAGTCTAGGCACCAAGGAAACAGATGCTGAGATACTCGAACATATGAAACATCTTACGTCGGCAAATACGAGTTCCCCCGCTGAGATCGGACCAGGTTCCAACTTGTCCACGAGTACTTTCAAGACTACGCTCGCCGAAGCTCCCAAACCCCCTGTTCTACGCGAGCCGCAGTCCACAAAAGCCCTTAGCTCCGACTTCAGACCTCCAACGACGTCGACGTGTATTGATTTTGATGTTATTGGCTTTGCCCCCAACAGGCCACTAATATCCGACTCGACCGATGTAGTCCTACTGAGTGACTATTTGGCGAGTCGATGGACCCTACCCCAACGTCTGGTTTGGCGTGTTCCCAAAATGCAATTCGCTTGCTGGTCGAGATGCCTCCGCGCAATCAAAAGATTCTGGAAGTGATTGGGGCTCCATCAACACCGAACAACCGAAACCAGATTATATCATTCTTTCGTGAGGTCCTTCAAGATGAAACAAGAGTAATCGTTGAGGCCCGAATCAATGTTCTCCACCAAATCCGGGCCTCAACGGTTGCTGAATTAGAGAGGTCTGGGCTTGACTTGCACTCTGAGATAGCCCACCCCCAGCTGTTGGATGCGCAGGACGTCCGGGAGTACCTTGAGACTAATGGTATCAGTGTTCAGCACCTTTCGCATGCCGATCCCATGTCTGCTAACGACGAGTTTCCGTCTTTGTTCAAATACCCTAATGTGCAGAATTTCAATGAGACAGCTTTTATCAGATGTGAGATCCCATTGCGCCAATCTGGCAATATCTGCTAACCGCCTCAGATCTTTCATTTTGTGATATTTGCATTGGTACAGGTCCTGCATTTCCGAAAAAAGAAGTTGAGTATGCGCTGCGGTTCGCAAACTCGATGTGAAATGTGTCCTGTCTTTGCGTCCAAAGTAAGACTTGACATGCAGGTAGTTTAGTTGTCAACCTTCCAACGTGACAAACATTTGCTCCTCTACTTTTTCAATTCCAAGCTCAGCGCTTGTCTAATGTCTAAAATTCGAATGACAATCCAATTCTCGTCTGCATTCATAATCTCGAATCATTTTGATCCTGTGAGTCTATTTCGCCACCTACCCGAGAGGCTTGGGCGGAGAGAGTGGGGAAAAGACAGTGCCAGGCACGAATGCACATACTCTACTTCGCTCGCCGTCGTGAGGGGTTGTTTATAAACCAAACAATAATGGCAGCATCCAGCTAGCGCTTGTCTGAGACAGGAACTTCATAAATATTCCGTGAACGCTATAAGGAAGGCAGGGAGGGTTGTTGTAGTTCAGAGGAATGGTTGCTCTACTTCATTTCAGTGGGAATACGTGAGGCTATATAGGACAAGTTTATATGTCGCAATTCAAAGGCCCTGCGATCCAGTGAATTTGTTCCTCGTGATCGTAGCTTGGAGCGCTCCCGTCTGATACCTTTTTCATAGGTGAGATGGCTGCGATAGTTGCGATGGAGGTGAACGCACAGAAGTTGCCTACTGAAGGGGATAAACACCAACCCGCCGCACCAGCAGGCCGCCCGATATCGATGCACGACGTTGCTGAAGGAGCTCATCAGGTGCTTGATCATATAGAAAACAATGGCACAATAGACCGATAAGTCAATGAATATATCCGGGCTATCCGCCAGTACGCACTGAACGCCCAACTGGGCACAACCAGGGGATGGCCAAAGTGCTTGAGGCGGTAACGAAGATCAACGCCGACACCGGACGTCTGAACCAGCGAATGGATAGTATTGAAAACACCACGACTACTTTATCGCCAACTTTGTCCTTCACCGTGGCAGATTCCGCGGCAGCGTGGCGCGACTTCTCAGCCAGGGACTGGCAGCCACCTTGGCGGAATGAAATACCCGTAGCAACGGACCGTCGTCTCCTGGCGTGTCTGAAGTCGAGCTTCGCGGAGACTCCGAGGTCGTTGTGAGCTCGCACCAAACCGTGAACAGATTCGCAAGCTATTTCCGCGAGAGCTAGTCGAGCGCCCAGAACGTCGAAAAGCGGTGACTACTCGACTAAAGAGTTTACGGCATTAACTGGGAATGCTACCTTCGTAGCAGCTCGTAAACTGCCATCAAGCGATGTAGCCATGGTGGCAAACAATGGCGTGGCAGCGGGCTACTCCGGAAGCATACCGAGTGGTTGAAGCCCTACGGGCTTGGCTTTGTGGTCTAAGAGCCGTCGTGGGGCGTCGTGGCGCACCAAGTTCTGGTAAGATCGATGAATCTCACCCGGACATGATGGCCGACGTCGCAACCGAACTGCAGGGATAGAACGACTGCGGCGAAGGATATCGTCCCACCAGTCGAGAGTGTCTGGTGAAGATTGCGGCGTTGGATGAGGCAAAATAGGCACTGGTTGATTGCCCTGCGTACCACCACCTCTCGCTGCACTTCCGAGCCTGAGCAGGCGGGGACCCAACACCAACTCCGATCAGACCGAGTCCAACCGACAAGGCCGAGCTGAATGCATCTATACATGCACCGGACGGACAGCGGGAGGCAGACCCATATCATAACCACACGTAGGTCACAATTGACCCAGAGGCAGAACCAACGAGAAAGGAGATCTCACTAGAGGCGCTCATCAAATCAGCGGAGGCCAGGCGAGGCCCAGGTTGCCCTAAAGACTCAAGGCCAAGCCCGCCCAAGGCATATGCCCTGCCCTCCGCACAATCGGCAAACTAGCGTTCAACAAGATCCCAAAGGGCCTCTCGGTGGGCCGAGACTGAACACACGATGTCTAAGAAGCCCGCGCGGAGAAGCGGGAAAACAATATGGATGAGCAGCAGGGCAACAGCCATTGCTTATGATGCAGTTGAAGCTCTCAGAAGGGGACCCTAGAGGGCAATATGCTGGCAGATATCCCTAGTAAACCACGCGTTGAATCATTAGACCAACTTATTTTTATTGAATCCACAGGCGATCGTGTGTATACTATAAATAATGGCAAAAGTTACGTTAGGCTGAAAATTAACGTGGGGGTGAAGCACACCTGTGGTGTGGGTGAGCGGAGGCACAGATGTTCGTGTCTACCACAGTATTCTTGGTAGCGTCGGCATAAAAACGAATAGTTGCTTGGACATGAAAGGGTCGGTAACCAAAGGAATTGAACAGAAAATATGCTTTCTGATTAAGATTACAATCATTCTCTCGTAACTGAACACAGCAAACACGCGAGCCATGGTTGTCAATTTGAGGTTATCATCATGAGATCATCCGAATCGGGTCATCGTCGATAGCGTAATCAAAAAATACTGGCTGTTCGGCATGATTATTTGAGGACCGAAAACAGCTCAAAAGAATCTCAGTTCCATACTCTTGCTTCTAAAATTGATTTATAAGAACGTATCTCGGTCTATTCAGTGGCTCTTATCCAGCGGAGGCAGACTTTTCCGTCTTTTGCTGTTCCCATCTGTCGTCGTCACTGACTGAACGAACGGAAGAAAATGATGAACCCAAACCGTGCAAACTCTCGATATGATAAAACATTTCCTTTTATCAGCTATCTCGCACCTTTCAGCGGGTCATACGAAGATGAGAAGGCGAGGACACGCCTCTTAGTGCGATCATACGCCGCACAGCGACGGTTCGACAGAGGCACAGACGCTATGAACGTTGTGAGCAAGGGTAACAACAAATATACCGAGTTCAGTGTTCAAAATTTAAAGTCATCTGTAATGGCTACAAATCCAGCCAAGCAGTCATCGCATTTACACGGCCTTACCCCAGAGGGTTCTCATCGGCATGAGGCTCGTTGTTCTTCTGGAAAAGACAGTTCTCAAAATGAGACCAATGATCGATTACATAGGAAGGGACGAAAGGGACCGACCGGTATCACCAGAGAACGCGTGCATGAGTCGATCAACGCCAAGCATCTCGGAATGGGTTCTTTAGACTTTTTGCAGAGTTATCCCATTAGCAAGTTGCCTCGGGGTTCTTTCGAAGAATGCTTTTCTTATAGTTCGTGGCCTCTGTGTTCCTCGCTAGGAAATTTTAACGATGGTAATAGGTGTGTCGGTCCTGTGGCCCAGCCTCATTCCTAGTAGTCCCAAGGATGGAACCAATGCTGTGATACATGCTTGGTCTCGCTCATACATGATGGATGAAACGTCCTGCTTAGCATTGTCCTTTGGCGCATTATGTCACAAACAATGCAACGGGCAGAGACCAGATATCCAACTTACGCCCGCGGTGAAAAGAAGGCTTATTTTGTTGGAGATGGAGTCAGCCCGTATTATCAATCAGGCCTTACAGACCGCTTATCACCCTATCACCGATTCTCTTATTCTGGGCGCTCTTTGTATGGCCAACAACAATTCCAACACCAATACGATGGCAGGCAAAAGAATATCACCTTTCAGCCCCCCACTTCACCATCTACAATGGCTGGACATATATGGAACCACCTCGTTGAACTCTGGCCATCACATGGGTCTTTTTCATCTGATTCAACTTAGGGGGGGGGCTTGACAGTATTGAACTGCCTGGCCTTGCAGCCATTATCTCCTTGTAAGCTGTCTCAATTCTGACCTGTTTATCGTCAGTTCATGGATTTTTCTCGTTTTAACAGTTGCTTCTTTGTAGCTCAGACATTTTAGCCGCCAGCAAGTCGCTTTCTGTCCCGAAGTTTCCCTTCTTTGCGCTGCAAGAAAAACGGAATCCCACATTACAAGAAATTGTAGGGTTTGGGCAAATGGACATGGAACTAGACTTTGGCCAATATTACGAAATTGGCTTTAATACGCAGCTAATCGAGGTTTTTCAGGCGATCAGGGCTTATTTATTCACTCTCGAGGAACTTGAAAAATGTCAAGGACCATTCGGAGATGAGGCACCACTCCGTGAACTTGCCGACCAGCGGAACCTCATTCAACACAGTTTGCTGTCTCTGCCTTCGGTAGAGCAGGTTCCTGGCTGTTACTCAAAAAGTCTCTTGCTATATGAGGCCTGCCGCATTTCGGGCCTGATATTTTCTGTTGGAGTTGTTTTTCCTATACCATACGAAGCCGCACCTCTGGCAAGCCTGATGAGATTGTTGAAACTAGAGCTCCAGAGAATCCCGCAATCACGTTGCCAGTCAGCTTGCGCCAAAGGCGTTTTGATATGGATGCTTGTACTTGGTGGCATAACGGCGATCGACACCCAGGAGAGATACTGGTTCGTGCACGAACTCCGAACTATGGCCGAAACGAGTTCCGTATGTGAGTGGAGTCAACTCAAGAGAATTCTGAAACGAATACTTTGGCTAGATGGTGCTTGTGACATTGCAGGACAGGAACTGTGGGATGAGGTCAAGAGCTCACGTCTATCCTAGAGCATATAGGTAGACCCTTCCCGAACTCATAGACATTTTAAGTAACAAATCGTGATTTCGTGTATCCTTCCATTGATGTGCCGCTCTGTCCCTTCTCGACTCAACCTACGAAGTGGCCATCCGACAATTTTTGCTGGAGTAAGATTAGGCTATGGTAAACATTTTGATCTGGAAATTCATAGGTTTACGAGCAGAAAGCCAAATCCCTCCGGTTCTCTCTAGTGCCATTGCCGCATTTTCTCTATCACTATCCAGGCAAGTAGGTGCGCCTATTCCTTGAACACAAGCATTTGTCTTGGTGAAAAGAAAAGTCACTGCAGTTACTACAGGGGTCTCTTGTAGGCACTAGCATGTACCAACAAAGCGAGATGCCAAAATATTATACAAGGTGATTGATACGCCAATGAGCAGTAGTATCTCCTGGTCTTGCTTCCTTCCTCACTATCACCAAAACTGGAGCATTTAACTTGCAAAATCTTGAATATGTATGTGTTTGTGTCAACGGCAGACGGCATTAATGTGTTTCCGTCATCAACAAGCCCGATAGTATCTGGACTAGGGATAGGCTAAATGAACTTGGAACACTCCAAGGTCGTCTGCTCCTTCCCACCATCCTAGCTCTACTTGAACCGTCACTTGCTGATAATCTATCAATTTCCGGGGGGTCATATAAATCAATCCAATCGACGGCTACATCCCACTCCACAGGATAAAAGGCCATAGACAGGTTTGTTCGAAACTATAAGTCCACTTTGACGGGTTTTCCAGCCCCATTGAATTGGTGTGGGGCAATAGGACTAGCCCCTTCAAACAGTTAGTCGAAGTCTTTAAGTACATTGAAAAGTGTCTAAGCTATTTCAGTAAACAGCCAACGTGCTGAAGACTCATTCTTGTCGTTCTCGCCCATAGCAAGCACTTCCCCCCGCCCCCCTCCAAGTCAATATGGAACAGGGCATCCTTTCTCAGCCCACAAACGCTCAGCATCGCTCTGAAATGGGGGTGGTGCTAAGCCATTAAACCTCCACTCCTCTCTGATCCCGTTAACAACGCTATACTCCCAGTCAAGCTCTCGCTCCTTCAAGAACGGGATTAAGACATTGTCAAGAGCTCCGTGGAAACGAGTCATGCGTGGAGGCTCTTTATCTAGGTGGGTGGCAAGGTGCTCGATGCTGAATCGGACGAAGTTGTTTCGAGGTTTCCCAGCAACGAAGAGCTTATTCGGATGCACTTCGATATAGATGACATCTACATAGAAAGCGGGTAGGGTCGCAGGAGGAGTTGAGTAGAGATTGGTAATGAGCTGGGCAAGCTTCTCCTGGTCAGGAGGAGAAAGGGCACGCGTGGCGTGGTAGATACGCCAGAGAGGCATTTTGCTGGATTTCACCGAATAAAAACGGGTATAAATATATGGAAATCGTGATGTCGAGGCAAATAATAGGCTTGGAATTTAGAAGTTCAAAATAGTCTACGCCTTATGAACGAGCATCCAGCCGTTATTTATAATACCCTCACACGTCCCAACAATCCATCATAACTCCGTTGGGGGCTCAACCTTGTTCTTACCAAGGGTTAAGGTGAGACCTCGGCTCGTTGACTGCGTACTCCAGCCCACTGAATGGCTCTTAGAAGCTTTCTGCGGGAAAGTGCTCGGCTTGATAGCGTAATCCAAAAACATGGCGATATTTTTTCGCTATTCAGCAAACCTACCGGCAGTACCTATCCAATAGCTGAAATTCTGAAGGCAGCGGTTCGCACAAATAATGACTTTACAAAAAATCTAAGTCAAAAACGTATAAATCCACGGAGTAATTGATAGAGGCGATCCCGTTTTTGTAATTTGGGAACTTACATAATTAAAAATCGAGAAGGGTGGAGCGGCTCGTTCAATAGTTCAAAAAAAGCTAAACATTGGCCATTTCTTTCGGGGCTGGAAAAAAGCCTCTGATATCCAATAGACAACCCACTATATAATGAGATTAAAAAGAAACTGGGCAGAATAAAAATATGGTGGTTGAAAGTTCAAAAAGTTCAAAGCAAATGTGGTACGGTCGAGCTTCAACGAGGTTTCTGAATCAGGTCGGATCCGGGTTGGGTACCCGCCTGCTTTTCATGCTAGTTTTCAAAAACCCTCGAAATATTGAAGCCACTTCACTCGCGAATTAGGTAACTTGTGCTGGACTTGAGGATGCGCATACCTGTTACCGGTACGGCGACAATATCTCCACACATCTGGTCATTGTTGGGGTCGGATGGTCTGTGGATGACTTGATTGGATGTTCATCCTGCTGGGTCATGTTCTTCATGTCTTCCAGGAAGATGCTTTGTGGGTCAATGTTACAGGTCTTTGATTGGATCTGCGGACCAATGTCGTTTGAAATGGAGAATTTCCCCACGGGATCCAGGCGTCTGAGAGATCAATGACCAGTGGTTAAAACGTGACTAACTATTTCCGATTATATAATTTCAGGACATGAATTTTGGGTAATCGAACTCCCACTGATTATATGATGTTGCCAATTGTAATGCTTGCTCAACACCTTGCTTTCGGAATATTGGTCCAGGGCCAACACAAATGAAATCGAGGGATAGAACTGCCACCAATTTAGCCAACGCGTTTCAAGTATTCTTTGTAGAACTCACTTCTTAAGAAAGTCGAGAGATTAAATTCCGATAATGCATCAATACGTGGACTAGAGTGAGGGGAGCCACTGTCGGTGTGGATCCCCTTTTGTTGCAGAAGCCTCTGCACGCCACTGGCATCCAGCCATTCATCAACTCCCGAGTCAACAACGAGTTGCCACGTCCTCGAGGACCGCGAAAGCATATTTGGGGACAAATTCTCTCTCTTGTTGTACATTGGGTTGAGGACCTTGGTCTTGAGCTCAATGGCGTCGCCGAAAGCATCATTCATGGCCATGTAGAATGCGGATATTAGACGATTGTGTTCGGACAATGTCAGTGGCTGACCGAAGATCTCGCCAATCTTCGCATTGCCTGGTGAGTTCACCAGTAGTTCGTATAAATACTCGCAACATTCTCGTACAAGGCGCTGTGAGAGGGTCCCCCGTTCTTCTTTTCGGCAACTGGCAGAATTTATCGTTGCTGGAGGGCTCAGCAATGCTGAACCCGGAGACGATGAATACATAGATGACGCTGATAATACGAGTCCGAATGGGAGCATTGCCTGTTTTTGATAAGAAGGCGTAAGGGCTTGCGAGGAGGGCCATTGCCACGAGCTGAATGGAAATTGAAGAGTGTCCTCCGGAATCGAGGAGTTAACGACTTCCAAGCGATCTGAATTAAAGTGGAGGGTAACATTTTGTGGAGCGCTCTTCTTGCGGCTGACATTTGTTGTAGAGGTACCTTCGACCGCGGCGGCAGGTTTATCGGCATCGTCACAGCCCTGTTTGGCGAGCGATACACATAGCCGGGTGATATTCTGGAGCACGGAGATGATATTCGGGTGTCGCGCAAGTATGTCCTCCTCGAAGAGAAGGTTACTGAACGACAGGAACGATTGACTCATCTCCTTGATGCCCTCCTCCAACCCCTGCACACGGGCTTGCAGATTACTGATCGTGTTCTCTTTCCGCCGGCGATAAGCTTGCTGTGCGACGCGGAGCTGCTTGCGACGTCTCTAGACATGTTGAGCTAGTGCTTTTGCGACTTTCCTATCAGTCACCCACCTCTGGGACCTCTTGGTCGTCTGTCACGGTCCGCGGACGGCCGCGTTTGCGTGTCTCCAGAGCTATGGGTTTCGTTTCAGCAATCACTTCAGCCATCACTTGTTGTTTTAGCAAAGAGTTAAATCATCGGGGTGCAACTAGAAGATTTAATGTGATGTAACGCAGAAGCAAAGTGACACGAAAGTAGTCGTGGCGACAGTTTATTCATCAAAGCTGGAGCGGTCGGAATGTTGAATAATCGAAAAATCAGCCTGATTGCTAAACATCTTGGCACGTCGCACTCCAAGACCACATACTTTCTGGAATGCTCGCTAGTTGAATCACATTCCGTTTAGAAATGTGATATGTATGTGTTGCAGGCATCGTTCGCCATGGCAGTCTTCAACTGTGAGTATTTCGGCAATCCATGGTGAAGAAAACTTCCAAATATTTGTGCACGGCTACTACGCTTTTATCTCCTTGCGTTCACAGTACAAGTGATATTTCTGAAACGGTCTTCGTTGGAATGGATGAAGTTTCTACTTAAACCTTCTTTCTCGGCCTTTATCATCAATTATTGCCAATAATTTCTTTTCCTTTGCGGGAAACCCGAAACAGCCTGAAGTATATACCCGATGTCTTAAACAACAGGATTAGTAAAACATTGTGAACGTTGACACCATTTGGAAAAACCCGACTTCGACTAAAGTATGGTACAGCAACGGGTTAGGGTGTTAGGGTGTCTGCCTATTGGAGTCTTGAGTCGGTTGCGCTAAATCGCGTTCAGGGCGACGGTAGGCATTTCTTGAGCAAAGGAGCCGCGGAGATGAAGCTCCATGAAAGGTTCTCGGGACTGGACAAAGCATCTTTTATCAAAGAAATCAAGAATCTATGCCAAGTCGCAGCACTGGACTATCTAGTCCAGACATTCTTAAAGCCATCTAGGACAAGCCAGGAATTGGCACATTCTGGGATACATGGGACAATAATTTCAACGACGACTATTCAAATAAACGCAGATGTCTCAAGCATAAACTCATGGCTTCTGTATCTCGCGGCGGTTTTTCAGGACTGGACGGCTTTCACCCTTATAATCCACCTTTCGCATCCATTGCTCAACGCTCCGCACCCTCTTTGGGAAGATCTGATCCAAAAACCCGTAGTTGCGCTTAATGATTCCTTTGTTATCTCCAGAACGCTGGTATAGCCTCCACCACGCGGAAAAATTCTGCCGGTATGAAAGTAAAGTTGGGTCGTCTCCAGCTGTCTCGGCGCCCAATTTGACTTCAGAGACCGGGGAAAATGCGCCGCTAGTGAACAACTCATCAAGCGAGATATCTTGATAGCGCGCTGGCTTCCCAGTGACTTTCGTAAAAGTAGCCGCAAGACTTTTGTAAGACACATGTTCTATTGCCACTTTGAGATTCAACCCTGCGGACTGGTCGATGTGTGAAAAAATCCAATGTACGTAAGGGCCTAGGTCTTCCAAGTGCACAAACGGGACCGACCCGTTTCAAGAGGTGCTTCGAAGACGTAAGTGCCGTCTTCTTCCTGGCGGGGCCGCAGCAACTCGAAGAGTGTTTCAATATACGGCCCCGTGGTTAGAATTGACCACCGCGTTGAATCTTCAATCTGCGGAATGGCAGAAAGCCACTGCTCCACATGGGCCTTTCCGTAGTAGTGACCGACTCGCAGTGCATCATCGTACTGCGTCTCGAACATGTAGTTATCTAGTGATGACCAGATGAAATGTTTCACGCCTGCTTGGGCTGCCAGCTCATATATACGAATCCCCCAGTAGATCTCATTCTTGATTCCAAGAACGAAGCTGTTTATGTTCACATATGCTAGGTCTACTCCGGCGAACGCCCTTCTAAGAGTTTCTTCATCATCGGTGGGCCCTAGATGCAGGGAAACTCTCGGAAGGCGTGCTAGGAGCTTGGAATTTTGCGAGGTTGAATCGCGAGTCAAGACACGAATGTTAGAGTACATTGGTTGGCGTGAAAGTTCTTTTGGATTATTGATCAGCTCAGATTTTGCATGTCGTTTGCATATACAACGGGAATAGTACCCACCTTGGACAATTGGTATGCCCTGGGCTCCCGAGCCACCAATGACAAGTACGGTTTGAGGAGGCATGGACATTGTTGAAGTTGGCTGAGGTTATTGCTGGTAAATGGGGATCGCAGCTTCTATTTATGGTCTCTCTAGAGAGGCCTTCCTCTTTGTGATTTATAATCATTTCCGTTTCGTGCTTCTTTCTCATCCGTCATTCAAAAGCTATTTGTCAGAAGCACATGATTAATAACTGTTATGTCTATTTGAATTCTTTCCAATGGCCTCATTGTGGCATAACGAATATCATACCAAGAGCTATTTGAACACTTTTATGACCCCACGGAATGTAATGTATGGTATGGTAATGCTACATTCTGACACCGGCCTTTGCTAATTTCTCTTCCAACGTGGTCCTTGGGGCTATTAAACAAGATCAGATTCCTTGTCCCAGCAATAATACTTATCTTCGGAAGATGCTGACACAGGGTACAGCTCACTACTGAAGCCTGATTACGGATACAGAGGGCGGGAAACAGGCTAGGCCATTCATCACAATTTGGTTTTGGTGTAGTCAAATTACTTGCCACTCTGCGTTTGGCCGAATTGTTGGGTTATCAATCTGATGGAGCTTCAGGTTCAAGGATCTTGTCCACTGAGCCCTGGAATTGAGGTATGATTGGTTGATAATTAAATAAGAAGGCGCGATGACGAGATCTTTTGTTGCCCCGACAAACGGACAGAGAAACTGATGGTACGGTTGCGAGGCAGACTATTTGAATGATTACAATATCATTGCAGAATTTGACTTCGTATGTCGCCAAACTTACTATGATACGCAATCGTCCGTCGGCGAAGGCAGCCGGAAATGTTGAATAATCTTGTATTTCCTTATCAGATACCCCATACGAGGAAAATACGCATTGGAGACTGTTAGCTTTCTCATATTGTCAGCCAGCAGTATGAAGGGATCCAATTGCTTACATACGGGTCCGCGCTCGCCAGGTGGCCAGGTTAAGTAAAAGCCAGTAATTACCAGTACTTTAAATTTTAGTCATTACTAGTTTTTAGGAGAAGTTACCAGCAGTTTGTGGTAATTAGTATATTGCGTTTAAATTAGACTAATTACTAGCGCCACGTACTGACCTCGCCAGGTGAGTAAGATTTGTATTTTTTTAAAAAAAGTAAGGTTAGGAATTACTAGTAGGCGAAATTCTCTAACTAGTAACTACCACTAAGGGACTTGTATTGCTCACCTGGCGAGCTCACCGTATTTCAGAGGGGAAACGCATGACAGATGAATTTCGATTACCTATATATAAGGAATATAATTACGAGTGGTTACTAGTAGAAGATTACGTTCTAACCTACCTAAAAATCACCGAGTTACTGGTATCTCTATTACTACTGCCTACTACCAACTATCTAAAAGCTCTTACGAATTCGAGGTAAGCTAAGAACTAGTAAATACTAGTATATTCAAAATTAGTAATTTAGTTATTAGTTGAGATATATAATTCTTCCTGTTTAGCGTAGGCCTAACAACTTTGCGGTAGGGCATTTACTAATTTTCAAAGTTGTAATTATGGTAGGGCAAATGATTTAAAGGGGCGTTTGGGGAATACCAAACCTCGTCGATTGTGGCCAGTTAAAAGGGAGAGGGGGAGTTTTCAGCTAAGTGAAGCACTAGTTTTCATAATCCTCGTGTGCTTTTGGAGTTTGACATGGACATTATGGTTATATTCTCTTGTAAAATCGGTAATTTCAGCCCAGATACAAGCTAAGAATCGTGATGTCCTTACAATTTACCCCTCCTGGTATTGTTCGACTCTTCCTAAGTTATTCTACGTTATCCGATCAGAAGCTGGACATTCCAATAGAGAAGACCATTTCTTACTCCCGCTTAGCGACAGTTCAGCTTAATATACTCCAACTTATTTTACGTAGTACTATGTATCAAGTCCTAATATTGGGAATGGAGTTAATTTCGAGAAGCTTAATCATGCGTACGAAGCACATGACAAAAGTCTTCTACCCGGAATCCATACAGCCATTCAAGATCTTGGGTTCTGAAGAATTGGCTGATATAGGCCTCTTTGTCGCTCTGAGAAACCGTTCCTGTGCAAGCTCTGCGAAGATCATTATGTTGCCTGGTCAATTCTGTAACCCTCTCAATTCTTTCTTGTCGACAATTTTCCCATGTTGCAAGGAGTTTCCCGTGAGACTCGCTAGATGGCTCGGCATGAGCAGTGAGAATCACCTCTGCAAGAGTTTCGGCGTCTTCTAAAGCTATGGCGCCGCCCTGACCAGCACTTGGAGGAATAGAGTGTGCCGCATCGCCTACGAGAACCACATGGCTCATAGTGGACGTAAATTGCAATGGTCCCATTAGAAAGTAGAATCTAGAGTAAGATTAACGGATTTTCATAGACGTGGTAAGGTCAGGATTAGCTCACGGCCATATGTCATATTGATCAAGTGGTGCTGAGGCAACCAGTTCTCGTAGCCATTCTGGATAATCATCTGCATACAAGCGTGACTGTAGCATACCGGACAGAGCTCGCTTATTAGCCGCAAGGGCCTGCCATTCATCCTTAGGTCGATCTGGCACTTCTATCGTCGTAAAGAGAAGTAAGTTAGACCTGGAGTTATCGGTGGGGAGGATAAAAAACAATCCACTGGACCCAACAACACAGCTCGGATCCGATCGAGTGGAGTGTTTCCAATAGTCATTCGACGTAAACGTAAAGATAACCATCTGGCCACTGAATGACAACGTGGCATGCGGTGCAACATAGTGCCTCATTTTTGAAAATATACCATCTGCACCGACAACAACTGAGGCTTCAAAGGATTCCTCGTTGGAAAATCTTACAACGACGCTGTCCTGTCCTTCCTTTACAACGCCTGTGCACTCCATGCCGAACCGAATCTCGATTTTCTTCTCCATTGCTCTCACAAGAAGTGCATCGTGAATCACACTGCGGTAGGCACGTATGGCAGGATAGCCGTTAATCTCCTCGGATCCGAGATTCATCCGCCCCAATCGTAACCCATCTGTGTTGATCATGTTCACACCAACATGGACGTGACCAGCATTGAAAATTTGCTCATATACACCAAGGTTCTTGAGAACACGAAGGGCATTGGGCGTGAGTACCATACTGCCACTGGCGGCATGACCATTAGATCGTCGCTCGAATACCGTTAGATGCAAACCACCCTGCTGAAGCCTGAGGGCTAAAGCCAGACCCTGAAACTGTCAGCAACAGATAACGAGACGATAATACATGTCATAAGGGCTTACTGCTATACCCCCACCAATAATTGCAATTTGAGTTGCATCAGACGACATTGTCACACATGGGAGCATCAACGTCTAGCGAATATCATCAGAAAGGCAGCTAATGGCCTGAATTTATATAGTACCACAACATCTTTAGCTATGACATCAATGATTATTTATCTAAACGAAGGTTGTGTTCCCGCATTTCCTTCGCCGTGGGTCAGAAGGAAATGTATTTCCGGTTTGTAGCAAACATCCGGAAAAACCAAAAACCCATAAAAAATACGGAATAAGGATTTCCACAAGTCAAACTCCGTATCTATTCAGTAGCGCAGCTGAGTCATTCCTGGCGAGACACAATGAGAACCGATAACGAAAAAGCACGATTCTACCCGTGGAACTCGCGCTCGTACTGGTCGGCCTAAGGTCCTTAACAATCTGATTGCAGATATATCTTTCAACTCGCTCGTCGGAATCCGTGGTGTGACGATATCTCCCTCCATCGACATCCAAGTTCTATCAGATCCGACTACCTATTAGAGCCCATTGATCTCGAGTATACATTACAGGGTATGTTTTCAACAATCCGCTTATTTCATGAAAGTATGTATTCTGCCCTTCCCTCTTCTAGTCTAGCGTCTCACATTATCTCTTACGTGATGCGGGTAGGTAGCTAGCTAACTAACGTAATCAACCACCGAGTGACGAATACCACCGAGTGACGAATTTCGCGTCCATCTCCTACAATCATTTCCTTGACGCGTTATTTTTCACCACCACTATACAAAATGCCTCTATCTCAAGAAAATCGCATTCAGATGGCTATTTCTGCATTCAAAAATAAAAAAATCAAATCAAAATTAAAGGCTGCTGAGATATTTAGTGTGCCTGAAGCTACGCTTCGCCGTCGACTCAACGGTAGGAAATCACGCGCAGAAACACGCGCCAACAGTCATAAATTAAACCCTCTTGAAGAAGAAGTCCTTGCGAAGAGGCTGCTAGATGCAGATAAGCGAGGATTTTCAATTCGGCCAGAGTTTCTACGGGGAATGGCGCAGATCCTGCTTCGCGAGCGCACAGGAGATCCTACTACGACCCTTGGTGTCAACTGGGCATATAAGTTTATCAAACGGCATCCAGCACTGCGCACACGATACAATCGGCGGATCACGTACCAGCGTGCAAAGCAAGAGGATCCAAAGATTATTAAACAATGGTTTGCGACCGTACGCGAGGCTATTCAAGAACATGGTATCCACGAGGACGATATCTGGAACTTTGATGAAACTGGCTTCGCAATGGGACTTTGTTCAACCTCTAAGGTTATTACTGCAGTCGATCGCAGTGAAAGGCCCCGTAGGGTTATTCAGGGGAATCGCGAATGGGTCACAATTATTGAATGTGTGAGCTCAAAGGGGATATCTATACCCCCATGGATCATCTTGAAAGCAGGATCTCAACACGCTGCTTGGTATCAAGAACCTGCTCTCTTCAATAAGGGCTATGCTATCGCAAGAAGTCAGAATGGCTGGACAACAGATGAAATTGGCCTCCGCTGGCTAAAAGAGATGTTTGAACCACATTCTAAAACCTATTCAACTGGTGCAAAGCGGTTGCTTATTCTTGATGGTCATAGTAGTCATCTAACTGCAGATTTTGATGCATTCTGTGAAGAGAATGCTATTATCTGTCTTTGCATGCCTCCTCATACCTCTCATCTTTTACAACCACTTGATGTTGGTGTTTTTGGTCCGCTAAAGCGCGCATATGGAAAACTAGTAGAAGAGATGATGGTTGCCGGCAACAACCATATCGACAAGGAGGATTTCTTGTCTCTCTATCCACCTGCTCGCGAAAAGGTGTTTACTAGGGAGAATATACGCAGTGGTTTTGCAGGTGCAGGACTTAACCCGCTAGATCAAGATCGGGTTCTTGAAAAGGTAACTTTTCAACTTCGGACACCAACACCACCTCTTGTTGAAGTTGAAGGCTCAGTCTCCTCTGCTTTTCAAACACCTCAGAATCCTCGCCAACTCGATCACAAGGTACGCAGTCTACAGAGAAGCCTTCGAAAACGAATGCTTTCTAGTAGTCCAGTATCTCATATTCAACATCTTGAAAAAGCTGCACAGATGGCAATGAATATGAACCTTATTCTTCGACAAGAAATCAAGGTTCTACAAGGTGAGAATAAGCGGAAAATGCAAAAGAGGGCAAGGAAGCGTGGTAATCTTGGTGATGATCTTGTTTTATTTGTACAGGAAGGTCAGAATCGAGTGCAACAGCTTGATACACAGCTTAATGAGCCGGCCGCTGAGACGACGCCAAGGCCTCGCCAGCGAGCTCCACGACGCTGTAGTGGATGCGGGACTACTGGTCATACTATAAGAAATTGTCCTAGTAAATAGCTATTGTTTTATCTTTTTATATGGTCTGATTTAATACATTTGTGGTTGAAAAGCTTGAAATTTAACGGTACGCGCGACGAAATTCGTCACTCGGTGGTATTCGTCACTCGGTGGTTGATTACGTTAATGTACTGTGTCCTTTGCTAAGACCGTATGCCCTTTATAAGTTATAACCTAAGTGTTAGAGTACGGAATTTGCGTATATACTAGTAAATCTACCAGGCAGTCTGATTTGACAATGATGAGAACGATAGTATTCGGTCTATCTATCCCGCCTATTAGTTACAGGGGCAGGAAGCGGAAAAGACTACCGGAATGTGGATATTGCCCTGCACGCCTAATTTCTATGATAGATCAAGTGATCAGGACGCGTCAGATGGCCGACCTAGTAAATTACTCATAGGAGATTTACCGTGACACTAAGCTTAACAACTTCCATTTTTCACAACATACCCTTCTTATCATTCGCTTAAAACTATTTCTTGGTCAAAATACCGCTAGTATCCTATCAGCTATAATGGCCGACGACGAAACACAACGCGTCGCAGATGTTGATGCCGTGTTGTCTACGTTCCAGATGTTTCTTGACGGCATTCGGGATCGGGACAAGAATCGCATGCTCTCCCTTGTGTTGCCGACTGGGGGTGCCACGCTCTCACGCTCCCCAGACACTTTGATTCTCACCCTGGCTGAGGTCGTTGAACGAATCCCATTTGATGGATCGGCTAGGGTCCTCGAGGAAGTTATCTATGATCCAGAAGTCAAGATCGACCACGATATTGCAATGATCTGGGCGCCGTACAAATTCTACATCGACGGGGAGATCCATCACGTGGGCACGAATATCGTATCTTTGTTGAAACGAGAGGGTGTATGGAAAATCAGTTGTGTAGCTGATAACAGTCGACAGCCTTCACCTAAGTAAATGAATCAAAGGATTGCGAACTTCGCAGTGGACACGCACATTTGTTTTCTGAAACGACGAGGACATACAGCTTTGCAAGGTTTTGTAACTTACTTGGGAACTCTTTCTTCGGGGGAAAAAGAAAGACAGATCTAGGTCTCTCTCACCACATATATTTTCCTGTATTGATAGTGTAATTCGCATGGCAAAGACGCAAGATGGAGGTGATGAGTATCTCATTTACCCCGATCGCTTACAACGAAAGTAATAGCAAGATATAGGAAGATAATAAAGCAGTTGCCTATTGCGCCACACTCTCCTTGTGGCTTGCTCTTTGTCGCTTGCTCAATAAAATATCAGCGGTAAGTCCTCGGCGGTGGCGCCAGAAAGAGTAACTCGGCGTGTATTGGTCAAGCCGATTTCGAGAATGAGTGTATCAGACAATCAAAATCCATGCCCTAATGGCATCTACGTCAGACTCACTATTCTCATTCTTATTGTTGTCGGACACACCGCATCCGACTCACATCACTCTTGGGGAAAGGGTAGGCGATCAATTGCCTTGTCCCAAATCACCACCGATGGGAGCGTTTAGTATCTAAACCCAAATCAGTAAGATTCAATTCTCAATCGCAAAACAATGAGAATACGGATGATCCAAAAGTTACAGCCTCAGGAAGACCAATTCATTTCTGATATTGATCAGTACTTTGATAGTGCCCGAGTTATCATTAGAGATACGGATGATCCAGACTGGCTCTACAATTGGTGGCGTACCCATAGGGGTGAATACCTTCAAATGGCAGAGGCTACCAGGGAATTTCTTGCTATCCCAGCTTCAGAGGTATCGGTTGAGATATTAATTAGTGTAGGGAGAGATCTTTTAAAATTTCGAAGATTTGCTCTAAAATAATTATCCGTAAAGGCAGATATTGGGAACAGCCTTAGCTAGATGAACTAGTGGGCGAGTAAAGAAAGGTGCGTGGTGATAAAAATGCGAAGACGAAGAGGGCCAATACGACTGCAAAGAAATCAAGAGAGCCCTGACCCTTTTAAGGCATTATGGATTAGCATGGGACCTATGTTGAAAGGCCGGGTACAAACATTTACCAGTCAAGCATCCTTTACTAAGAGCAGCGATGCCTTAAAAGTGTTTTAAGTTTACAAGACTTTGGCTTCTACTCTCCAACTCACGCCACAGGCCAGCAACTCCCTCCCACAAACTGGAGTTCCCGGACAAGAGATCCAAATGACCTCGGTCATGAAATAGCTTCGAAATGGTTTCTTTAACGTCGTCTTCGTCATGAAGACCTCCACCCAGCGGGTATCGGAGCAATGTAGTCAATTGAATGGCGACAGAATGCCATGTAAAGGCGGAACAGACTATCCAAGAAAAATGGTGAGGGGTATAAACCTCCAAATTCTCCCGGACAAGGCGGCAATAGCTCTTCGCACGGGCATATAAACTGCCAAGAAAAAAATATCAGCACCATTGATTTAATCGATATCCGTAAACTTACTCAAGTTCGCAGTCCGTTATGTTGGATGAAAGAGAAAGCGATGAAGCTTCGGCAAACTGAAACCATGCTTGGAGACCGACAAGACGAAATCGCTGCAGAGCGAGATTTGCCAAATCAATCATCAGCTTTTGACGAGGTACAGCAGTATCTAGACGGTCCAAAAATTTGGTCTGAAGGTATGTTCGTCGCTGTTCAAGAAACTGTTCGAGGAAAGAAGAGTAGATATCGTGGCCATCTGTTACCCGCTCTGACGGGAGATAGCGAAGTACCGTGCGAGAGATTGCTGCTATTTCGTATTGTAGCAGGGCCAGAGACATATCTGTGTAACCGTGGCGCGGGGGAGGCTTCGCGGTGGAGAACTCAGCGACATCCCAATCACGATCATTGCAGTTGAGGGGGGGGCGGTATGTCATCAACGCGCCAGGGGGAGACAAGTGAGTCCAGGCCACAATTGTCGGACACCCAAGTATCTAGGAGTAAAATATGATACCACATGCGGCGGCGCGATTCAATTTTCCAAGGGGAGAGCCCAAAAAGCTCTCCGTCACGATGAACTCCAATCCTTTGTGCCATTCGCGCAGCGGTCGCTAGCATAGAGCTTGCTTCAAGCATTTCGCCGCTCCAGAATAGGAGAGTCTGAGTATTGTCAGTTAGCGGGTATATTAGGGTATTTCGGACACCATGTCAATAGACTACCTACAATATACATTAGATACGTTTGTAGAGCAGACTCTTCATGGGTCGTGTGCAGCCTTAATCCTTCCAGCCCTTGGGTTGCACACGTTTTAAACCGTGTTTGAAGCGCATGCTTGGCTTCGCCCAGATGAATACGGCACTCTTCGTCGGTGATGCTGAGAGTGGCCAGGGAGTAGACGATGAAAACCAGACACTCAAACTGGGGCGCCCTAACGAGAACGCCTCGTCGAAACAAATTTAGTTCGCGGAGCATCTGAGGCACATGTAAAATTCGGATGAAAGGATCCACAAACTGAATATACGTGTTGATCAAATAATCAACGGCGGATGGGGACGGGTGATTTGCCATGTTAATAGAGCGGTAAAGATATTCACTTTCACTATTGAACGAGGGTTGGGTTCCTGCACCGTACTTTCCAACCTGATCGTGATCCAAAAGGAAGCTCAGGTTCCCAATCTGCGGTAAGCGAGAACTGGTGTAAGCTCTGAAGGACTAGACGACGAATTATCTTTTCTCACCTCGAAATACATAGTGGGCCAGAAGCCTGGCACCAGATATCTCGACTGATGTCTTTCATGGACAAGTTTCCCAGAACGCGAATGCCGGGCATCTAACAGGGGAGACGCTCCCGTGGAAGCTAACATGACAGAGGCTTCATTTTCAGCATCGGAAAATACACATCGGCAGGAACTAGGGGAGCTAGAAATGGCTGAATTGTCTGAAAACCAATTTTGATAAAATGTGCGCGCGCGCTTTGCGACTCTCTCTAGAGCCTGGTTGTCTGAGCTACTGCCTTCGTGGGATTGTGAGGCTTCGTTTGCAGGTATGTCGAACCAACACTGTTCATTCCTTTGCTTGCAGCGAACACAAGGGTAAGTCCGGGAACAGCGGACTTTGCGACGCCGGCAGTGCACGCATGGAAGAGTTAACGAAGTCGTGGAATCGGCAATATTCGAGGGTTCCTGCGGAGAATGATCGGTGGCTTCGTTGGCCCCCAGAAAAAGAGGCCCGTCCATTGCGTCTCTGGCTTTCTGAGGGGAGGACAGTTGAATGTCCATTGGAAATCGGACGCCGTTCCTTTACAGACAGTCGACAGAAGGCTCGGCACAGTGAGTGATGCTATCAAATGTTATTGAGGAGGCGATTCTTCATTTTCCAGCGGTAGTTATTTGTCAGATTAGATTTGTCATGTTGATTTTTAGTTCCCACCTACAGATTATTCAGCCCGAGCTCGCCGACCTCGCCGAGCTCGGCGAGCTCGCAGCTTAAGCAGAGCTACAGTTCGTAAAAAGATGCGGTGATGACAAGTTGTTGGAAGCTGGATCGCGTGTCAGCGCGCGAACTGACGTGCTGCGACATTTCCTTGACACCCTTTCCGGCACAATCACGATGAGCGACGAATGTCATCCCCAAGGATATAAGAGGCCCGCCAGGTGCGGTGCAAATGCCGTCAACGTCTCTAGTTTTCTTTACGACCCCGCATCCTACAATGACATTCCAAGAATTCAAAGGCAAACTTGCCATTGTCACCGGAGGCTCTAAGCAGAATGGCATTGGTTTCGCGACTGCCTTTGCGTTGGCCAAGGCCGGTGCTGATGTGCGTTACCTCGTGCAGTGAAAGCGGGCTGAGCTGACGGTGTTGCAGATTGTACTCCACTACAATTCGAACAAAGAGGCAGCTGAACACAGTGCCAATAAGATTCGCGAGCTTGAGGTCAGGGTCGCCGTTGTCCAAGGCGACGCGGGGTCTCTGAGCTTCGGAGACGACGTTGTTCGCGCTACCGTGGAGGCGTTCCCAGGTCGTCAGATCGACATCATTGTTAACAATGCCGGTCACGCTACCTTCCAGGAGGGCGCCGAGACGGCCGTAGTCGAGGAGTTCGACGCGTTGTTTCACCCTAACGTCAGAGGCCCGCACCTCCTAGTGCAGGCCGCACTTCCCTATCTCGCTTCTCCTGGCGGCCGCATTATTAATGTTGGCAGCGTTGTTGCCCGCACCGGCGCCAAACAAGCAGCCCTCTACTCAAGCACGAAAGGGGCTTTGAACACCTTGACACTGGCTTGGGCCGAAGAGCTCGGGGAGAGGGGCATCACCGTGAACGTGGTCGCTCCGGGACCGATCGATACGGATTATGCTCCTCCAGAGGAGCATCCGTTGACGAAGAAATTTCGGGCACAGCAGTACATCAAGCGCAACGGAAGTACGGAGGAGGTCGCGAATGTCATCGTGTTTGCGGCAAGTTCTGGCGCTAGCTTTGTATCGGGTCAGGTGCTAGGTGTTGATGGAGGTCTGAGTTACATATAATTCAGCGTCTTCGTGGGAAAATGGCTATAGAAAGACTAAGTGGCAGTTGAAGAATGAAACTTGGAGGCTGCCGTCAAGATTGGCCAACTCAGATAATTATAAGTCTTAACTCCGCGGTCGGGCAAGCAACTCGTTACAGGAAGGTTTCCCGGTTGCTTTCAGCTCAAAGAAATTGCCTTGTTAGATTCGTAGTAAACAGACTACCAAGATAATATATGCCGATAAGCGTAGCTTATAGTTATTTCGAATGTAATCAGTAAGCCAGTGGCCCATGTAAGCATATGCTTTTTGTTATGGGTGACTTAGTTTTCACTGTTCTCTTTGTTTTCACCACCCTTATATTTTCACATCTCAACAACACGACCCACTAATGACTGAAATCGTGAATTCCCAGATAACTTCAAACAAGCATTATATAATCCTCGGATTAGCGGCGGTCTGGAATTACATTATACCGTTTCTGGCGTCTCTTCAATCTGGCATTTCGCGAATGTTGCCGAGTTGAAGACAGGGGGTCACTTTCCTTGCTTTAACGAGATGGCGAGTACAATCTTATTGACATCGTCAGGGCGTGGTCAACCGAATTTTTCGCGGACCGCCTACAGAAGAGGAAAAGAGACAAAATCTAGAGAAGGAGCGTGACATTTTGCTGCGGGAGAAATTATACTGATGTGCGACAAGGACATGTTAATGCTCTCACGATGAAATCTTCCTTTGCCGATAGTCTCGGACATGGTTTCGCGTCTCTCAGACGAAGCTCTACACGTCTCACGCTAAATTCTTGGATACGAAGAAGCGAACGAAGGACCTTTGTTGGAAAGAATAAGGCACATCAAGAACAGAATTGCGGACGTCATATCAACTCTATCTACCCAGGTGAACGCACTCAATATTCTCAATAGAATCCTTCTGGTCGACATTTCGAGCATTTGGAACCTTCCGAGCCGAATAGTTTCGACATTTTCTATCGGGTTATGCGGTCAGACAGCCATGACCGATATGACAACCACTTTGGTTTGCGTTCTTCAAAGTCCATGAAAATGTAGCTCGTGAGCTAGATAATGGCACCGTTTAGTTCAATTCTCATGTTGATATCTCAACGGGACTTGAACACCGTTGGGAGGGAAGGGGATTCTTCGGTAGACTTTCCGGGAATGTGATCACATCTTTTGCCGCCATATCTTTCAATAATGCGCGATCGGGTTTTCCGTTTCCGGTCTGGAGCTTCATTAGCACACATATGCGGTGGAATGAGATTGCATTTTACGAACATTTGAAAGCGACAAAGAGTCAAGAAGTCCCATGCCCCCGAGAAGCTGCATCTTCGATGCCAGTGTCTTTGTCATCCATTGAAGGAAGTCCTCCAATATGAATTCTGATCCCGATCTTTTGACAAGATCTCCACGAGGCACAGGCTCTTCATCTCCATGCCTAAATGTCAATGCGTTTCAAGATTAACAACCGTCGCCCTTCGAGACAAAATATAAGTAGGTGACCACTTACATCTTTACGGCAACAAGGCTTGCGTCGACAATGTCTGGATGGAGAAGAATAGCGATTTCAATTTCGGACACAAAAACATGGTTTCCGTCGATTTTGAAGAGGTCCTATGTCAGGTCAGATCACTGATATAGTCGAGGTGTCAGGAAAGCGAGAACGAGTTATCTTGATGCGCCCCACGATATGGAACTGACCCTTTTCATCCACTCGAAAGAGGTCACCTGTCCGGAACCATCCATCGCTAGTAAAAGCTTCCGCAGTTTGATCAGGTTGATCCGAGTATCCCTTGGATGGCACCGGAGGTTTGATCAGCAGTTCCCCGGCCATGTCTCTATCCACAACCTGACCTGATTCAACATCAATGATTTTTGCTTCATAATTTGCTGCAAGCTCTCCCAAACTATTATCTGTAAATGTGGGAGGGATCCGAGGAACAGTAACAATTGACATGCCGAGCCTGTGAACACCAACCAATTAGTTAATGGACGAAAAATAGATTTATCATATATCGTACTCTGTTTAGCCCCATGCCGCAAGACATGGGGTTCCATATTGCCGAAATCATATTAATCAAAACAATGTAAGATCTCTCATTTGTTTGAGTAGCCGAACAGCTACTCGAATTTGGCGGATTGGCTGACTTTACGGCTTAATTAGTATGGGCTCTTCTTTGCCTCAGCGGGTCATGCGTCTTTGATCGATTATCCTGAGGCTGAAGACTTGCAAGGCATCGCAGCAACAAAGATTTTGGATCGCCGTATCGTGGCAGCAGCATAAGACTTTATTGTTTACGTTTGTTTTATTTACTGTCATTAGTTGTCACGGTGGTGCAATCTTCCCAGGAATTATCAATCCTTCGAACGGAAAATCCGTGATCTTTAACTGCCGGGTGACTGGCTTTACTAGTGGAGGAGAAGAGGAGAACAACGTTCTTGACACAAAGGAAAGTTAGGACCGACTCACTATCGATGCAACCGCTGCTACGTGCGGGGCGACTTGTGAATTCTTTGCAGAAAGAGAAATGATTTTTTTGATGCTGATATAGCCGGCTATATACGTGTTTCTCCCGCTGGTCCCTGGGACGCGTTTATCATCACAGATGGCGCATTGTTACGGGAGCCAATCCCGCTAGTGCCCAGGTCACTGCGGAAGCCGCGTAAAGGCGTTCGATGTGCTCTAATGGTTCCACACAATAGGTTAAACATCTGCAAACAATAATAACTTTCCCAATCTTCATTGACAACGGCATAAATATCTCAGCTTGTATACCCCGTCAGTCCCTTTATGTTATCACCATTACGCATCCGGGCCTGTGGTAAATCGAGATTTGCCTCGTAATGCCGCGCTAAACTTCATGAACAGCAAAGGAACCGGTAATGCTAAACAAGAGATCCCACCCAGCAGACTGGCTGACGGCCCGAGACCCAAATTCTCAAACATAGGCCGTGCAGCAATGGGCATCGCGCAGGCAAGAATCGACCGCAAAATAGTGTTTGCAGATACGGCACTGGCAGCAAATGGCCCATAAGTATCGACCAGGAAATTTAAACATTGCTGAAAGACAATATTGAACCCTGCAGCGATGAAACCTGGTGATTGTGCATCAGCTAAGAAATCGATCATGGTAAAACGTATCTTACCTCCTGCCACCACTGGTGATGGCCAGGGGTGCTTTGGAGCCGCAGTCCATCCAAACCAAAATAGGCCCCCGGTTAGCAGAACGCCCCCAACAATGATGGGAGGTAAACGAGCTTCGGGTACTGCTTTCCCGCCATTTTCTTTCAGGGCCCGCCTATAACGTGGCTGGTTTGCAAAGTTGATGAGGACCGCACAGATCACTCCGACTAGGATAGATAGGAAAGGGAGGGTTGATATGACTAGACTCCAGCGTCGGTCTTCATTGAAGACAATTGGAAAGACTTCGAGAGTCAAATAAATGAGGCTGTAGGTGAAGGAGGCGTAGAGGGCGAGTAGGGTGACCATCGGCTCGGTAAACAACATCCTGTCAAGATCGGGTTAGTCAAACTCTTCGGCAGGCGGATAAGGGGCACCTACACAAGTGGCCGAACAAGATGCTTGGTAGCAACATTATGCACATCGAACTTCTTGTCATGAGGATGCCAGTATCGTTCATCCCCTGTACTCTTGCGTAGCCTCCAGGCCTTTCGCTTCAGGAGAACTGGAGCGTATGTCTCCGGGAGGCATAGCGCACAGAGGGCGAATAAGAAGAAAGCGATGATGGCTTCGACGTACTGCGTCCCTGGAGCAAAGTCGTTAGCCTAGCTAATTAACGTACAAGTCCATTGAAGACAAGAAGAACTTACAACGCCACCCTAGACTATGGTTGACAGTCAAGGCAGAACCAACGATAGGCCCAATTGTAGGACCTCCTGTGATGCATAGCGCCACAAATGTCATCGCATTTCCACGTGTTGCGGGTGGGAAGATGTCTCCTAGGGCTGCAGGTACATTACTGATTGGCGCCGACGCAAAAATTCCACCAAAGAACCGTGTAAGAAAAATGGCAGCAGCATTTTTGCTTGTTGCTGTACCAATGCTGAAGAGGCCCAGAATAAAGACGGCGGGTAACATGCCCAACCGGCGACCGTAAATTTCACTGATGGGGGCCCAGATCATAGGGCCGAAGGCCCAACCCAAGACAAAGAGGGCTACAGTCAGGGATGTGACTTCAGTGCTAACTTTGGTATATTCTGCAATCTCTGTTGAGCCAGGAGAGATGATAGATGACCCGAGAGCACCCGTCATCGCAAGCAAGCTCATTTGAAAGACGAGCCATATCTTGTAGGGAGTGCTGAAATTTTTAGGATTTTTGGGATCGTCGGGCTGAAAATTGACCTTAAAGTTCTCAAGATTCTCAGCCTTGGCCTGTTCAATCGGCTGGGATTGGGATTCAAGATCGAGAGGTGCCATGGTTGGAGGACAATGGCGGGTTGAACAGTTGAAGCATATTAGCAAGAGAAGAAATAAGCCGGCATTATATTATATAGAGCTTTGACTCCCCCAATTTCAAACTCTCGCAAACACGCGTAGATAACATTGGAGCCGATATACCCGTGAAATCGTTCATTATAAACCACCAACCACTGGACTGAGGGTGGATTCGTATTTTCGCCTAGTGGTTACCCAACTTAAACGAGCACCCACAAGGTCGCTGAGTTTATCACTAAGGAAATGGTATCAAGGTAAAGAAATAGCGTACCTAAACTAGTCCATATCATACAAACATTAGTTCATCGGAATGGAATGATTTGCTATTCTTTAATAGTATTAGCGGCGGCCGCCGAGCCCCACATTTCATCCATTCCTGATTCCGTCATTCATCCGTCGACCCATACTACCTGCAGTCATGCACCTACAAGACCCGTACAGCATGGGACTCTAGCAGTTGAATTTCTCCCTTTTCCGGTGTTGCAGTCTCGAATTTCAACCTTGTTTCATATAGACATTACATTTAGCGGCGGCCGCTGGCTAATGTACTATCGCTGCAGATCGGCTGCAAGTCGGATTACGTATCGGACAACCTTGGGAGAACATCATTGGACAAATTGGGGGCCAAACTCTCCGATAACCCCCTCTCTTTGACTATGGAGCGTGCACCAAGAGTTTGTGCAACCTGCAAAGGTCGGAAGAAAGGTTGTGATAAAGCTCTTCCACGTTGTGGATATTGCACCCAACGTGGTCTGATATGTCTATACGAGGACCCGGCAGCGGCTTCAGAGGGCCGTCACAATCTGGTGGGGAGCAATGTATTATGGTCTACTACCAGTCCGTCGTTGCCCTCAAATCCCTTGACAAATTCAATCCTATCACAGCCGCGCATGACGATCGAAAACGCTCTACATCATGAAGTCTCCAATGTCTTTACAATCACGGAACGGGCGTTTTCAGAGGTCTGTGATCAATATTTCCGAAGCTTCCACCGGTGGCTCCCAGTAGTATCGCATGATCTACTGATGAACACCACCACTTTATATCTTGATAGATGTCCGCCTGCGGACTTTTCTCTTCTCGTGCTGGCCATGTATTTGGTTACATTGGATCCTTCAGACGACAATAGAGCACAGATTGTACCCCCACATACTTTATATCTTGAGTTGCGGATGTCTTTTACTTGCGTACAAACTGTGCTCGCCGCTTCTACAAGGCTTATTCAGACTGGGCTCCTTCTGGCGGCATACGAGTATGCTTGTGGAAGGCCTCATGCCGCATACATCTCCATTGGAACATGTGTACGGATTGCCTCTATCCTTGGGATTGATAGACCTAGCTGGCTGAATGAGAAGGTGAATGGTGACGCTGCCCTGGAGCTTAGGTCCCTTGAAATTCAAAACATATATTGGGGAATGATCATGCTCGAAAGGTGGGGCTATACTTATGGAAGCCAAATGAAGCCTCTTCGCTGACATTAATAAATTGTGCAGGCTTGTCTTATATGAATGTCCACTCGACCATCTCAAACCGGCATTGAATTTTCCAGCTCCTGGGACTGGACTGCCATCGGATCTTGTACCACCGACTTACGCTAGCTCACTTTCTTGTGCTCAAGATGTTGGACAAGTAGCTACCGTGGGTGATATACATTCAGCCAGCGTCAGCTCTTTCGGTCGCCAAATACAGGCAGTATCATTTCTAGTTCAAGTTTTACGGGTCACGGATGACCATATTGCGACGCCACTCCCAGAACTAAACAAATTGGATGAAAATCTACGGGAGTTCTTGACAATTTTGATGAGTCAAACCCCTGGCATACATCAATGCGGTGCCAATGGGATCTTGATAAGGTATATATAGCAGCATTGGGAAATTACAGAGCGAGATTTTTGCAATAATGAGCAATGAAGCTGATATTCAAAAGGTCCCTTGTCCGTCTACATCAGTATATTCTGAAGCGACCGTCTACGCCAGATCATCTGGTTCACGAGCAGTCACACGCCACTCTCGACACGCTTGCTCGTATGATGGTCGAGGTGGCTCATGACCACCTAGAGCAGTTCGTGCCGGGCCAAATCGACTCCCTCCCTCTCTCATGTTCGTATAATATGCGATCTATGATGGAGCTCATTGAGGATCGGCGGGGACATGTTAGCAGCAAAGAGCCTCCAGAAGGACTAGAAGCATTCGTGGCCCTTCATGAAGTTGTTTGCAAAAGGTGGAGATGTTCGTTGGAGCATTAGATTGGTGGAAAGGTATTCTGGAGAAGAAAGGATTGCTTTCCTTAACGTTATTAACTAAGTTAATTCCCAGAAAATTAGACTGGTCTGTTCTTCCCCTGCCTTTCAGGTATTACCTCCTTCGACATCCCCGTCTCTCTGCAGTGTCGGTTGATTCCGCCAGCTTTCCACGATCGCGTCACCATCTACCAATTACATTGCGCAGTCACAACCAATGCCCTTCCTTCGTTTAGCTATTTGGCCCGGGCGTGTAATTGTCCGCAAAGTCTGCTTTGTTGTCATACTCGGACCTTTCCAGACGTCTTAGATATTTCATGTCTACCAGCGCGGACATATTGAGGGGATGGGTGAATTGTGTTCCCATCCCAGGTTGTTCAAACCATGGCGCAACTGGCCCAAGAGTGACCGGAAGCTCCTTAATCACCTCGTAAACATGATAGTTGTATGGATAATCGCCGTCATTGTTGTCTAAATTGTAGGGGGGCAACGCCCTTTCAATGTAAGGCGCACCCAAGGGGCTAAAGAAGTTGCCACCTTCACCACCAAAGCGGTCAACCTTTCGGCCAACTGGGAGGATGACATCGCCCGAAATTCTTCTTCCAGAACTTTCATACACGAATCCATTCTGAAGAGGATAGTGGTACGAATCGTTATTGGGGTATGTCCACTTCTCAAGGAATTCGTACGGGCAAAGATCGCCAAATCGGGCATACGTCGCCAACTCTGTCGAAAGAGGAAAATATCTAGGAAGTTTGATCGGACCTAGGCTTGAATTACCGCAGACATAGGATGCGTTGGAGAAAGTTATGTTGGCGCAGGGGTCCGGTTGGCATCGCTGAGGATATGGAGGCTCCTAAACCCAATTAGATCATTGATTGTATCTTAGTTTATATATGTAACTTACCCAAACGTCGCCATCATCAGACTGCTGCCATGCCTGAGCGGTCGTTATGGCTGCACTAAGCAGCAGGATAGAATGAAGAGCAACTCGGTAAAACATGTTCACAGGGTAGGTGGCTCCAAAGCAAGAAGGTATTGAACTGTGTGTAATAGGATTGATGACACTAGTTTCTGAATGTGCGTCCTTGACAAGTATTTATATTGAGCGCCTGCGCAATTCACATGTCCCTTATGACTGTCCACATACTCCCCCTGTACAAGACTATATTATACTGACATTTTCCGTTGGCTCAACGTAGCCACCATTTTTTACAAATACCAAAAGCCACCAAAACGAACAGCAGTCATAACGGAGGCGTCTATCTAATGACACAATTGGTCACAGGTATCCACCGGGGAAATATATATAAAAATGGGATAATATGTTATCCAGAAAAGACTTATTACCATTTAGGTACATGCCATCCCTAGATGTCATGAAAACCGCTTTCCTAATCAGCGCTATCCTAACTACTTCGTATATAGTGTTTAATAATTGGAAAATTGTCAGAATGTTCATGTGCCAAAGGGATGGCATGTACCTAAGTGATAGTAAACCCTTTTTGGACAACATATTATATAGTGCAGAAATTACATTGCATGGAAGCCCCTACTTACATTCTTCAGGCTCCTCCGGGAATCACAACTATGGAGGAATCTCAGCGCTCTGACCCAATCTTTTACCTTTCATGAAATATTTCAGGGTTCTTTTTGCCCACCTAGTGTTCATTATAAACTGACCAAATTCGTTTTATTGACATTGAGCATGTTTCTCTTGCGCTCTCAGAAAATGTAATATCCGTAGGAGAAGTCATATACGAAGGTTGTTTTAGGCTACAAGAACTTCAAAAGTTACAAGCAAGCAGAATTCTGAAAATTTTGTTTGGTAGACTGGTCACTAACCATAAGTTTTGTTCAAGATAAGTTGTTCGTTTCACCCCTTATTCGGCCTGAACATGTAGCATGCCCCCCCCCCCCCCCCCCCCCCCCCCCCCCCCGGCCCCCAAAAAGACGCGGAACTGTGGCGTCTAGGGAGCTTGAATAACGCGAATAATGCAGTGAAAACAAATTCTAAGCCTCGATACATAGTATATAAATCGATAAATTCTTGCTAAGCGGTGGTGCCAGCGCAGAAACTGACTTAGCACCTAGAATTCAAGTCTGCCACCCTTCGTACTTTTATGGCCTTATCTGCTCCGACCTACTACCCCTAAGATGCACGACTGCTAACCTATAATGTCAATGCTCTTCCACTTTAGAGTTAAATTTAACCTATAATGACCTTATTATCTAGGAGGTCTAGGATCTAGGATACTATAGTGGTGGCCCATGTAGTGATAGCTTCGCAGTCGGTCAATACACCCTCCGGGTAACGTTGTGACCGGGTAGTCAGGTCAGAAGAAAAATCAACGAAAAGATGGTATCCAGTCTGAGTACTATGGTCGACGGGACTTCCAAGTCGGAGAAGGGAAGAAGAAGAAGGAAAAGAAACAAAGGGAATCCCTACTATCTACAAAGCCCTATCACGTCCTGCCTCCGGCACAATTCAGGAACGCTATCCGAGGCTGGTCACAGACGTGGATTGACATTGAAGAAATGCAGAGTCTGGTATCTGACGAGGCCATCAATTCTTTCTCAAACTGGGCAGATGAACATGGCGAGTATGTTTAATTAATGAGGCAAGAATACTTCTGTCACTGCAAACTTTCATTACAATATCGTTCCTTCATGTATCAAGCAGCCCAATACTCTTTTCGCTGTGGACTGATATCATGACTAGCACAGATAACTTATAATAACTTGTATTTTATCAAATAAATCCTCAAGTTACCCATCTATTTAGCAAAATCATGCACCGGGCAGGTAATGGGCGGCCCGCGAATAATTATTATGTCTATAATCGCCCCCTGGGTAATTTATCCAGCAGCCGCATTCTACCACTTACTCATCTAATCTACCCATAACGTAATCCACAAGCGACCTGCGACCCGCCCACCCCAAAACACCGTAGTAAATGCATTATTTTTACAACTCGATATTTCAACAACAATAGGTTAATTTTGTTTGATTATTCATAAGATACTGTTAATAGGCATAAAGAATAGCATAGACTAACGTAAACTTAGAATGAATGAATCTTTTGTAGAAATACACAAAAAAACATATGCATGATGCAAATATATATCTCTGAATCATAAACAACATCATCAAAATTTTTAACCTCATAAAGAGACGTGATATGATCTAAATATCGCTAGGCTATAATAGGACCTCATGTTAAGCTGTTGTTGTAGAGATATTGAGTTGTCATTTATCGCATTTACTATGGTGTTTTGGGGTGGGCGGTTCTCCTGTATGTGCGGGTCGCTTGTGGATTACGTTATGGCAACTCTGCCCCGAGCTGGATAGTTGGATAGATCACATTGAGCAGAGTTTTCCCGCTTCTCTGCTCCTATAAATATGGACATGATAGCTAGACCTGAATATTATCGTTTTCAATCATTATCACATGACACTATCTAGTAAATTTACTAGTGGATACGCGAATTCCAGACTCCGACATATTAGTCCACAATTTGATTATTATTTTGTGGGGGGTTTATGACGGCAAAACAAGGTGGCAGAAAATAGCGGTGTAGGGGTGGTCACAGACTTTGCGGTGCCACCGTACACGGGACTCGACACCAGAGTTCCCTGGAGGAAGCTCGTATGGAGACCACGTGGAGCGCATATGGGTGCAACAGTCCCGAAACAATATGGAGAATAAGAGCAATAGTAATACTGTAGCAATAATAATAAGCAATGTTATAGGGGAGAGCATGGTCCAGCTACACTCAGTGACATCTCACATCTCTCTGCGCCATAGCCAGCCCTAAGGCTGCCTCAATCTGACCACGAATCTATGTGGTTGCAAGGCCGGTCGAATCCCTCTGGAATAGAGACATAGTCTATCAGACTGATTCATATTGATTCAATCGCCAAAAGAGGGTCACTACAAGGTTACACTGATCGCAGCCAAAGTGACATCTACTTAGGTCTAGGCGGGTGTAACACTCACGGCTGAGGGAGCCCAAGGAAAGGCTGGGTAATCCTCGAATCATGTCTCACCAATCAGCCAATAATATGTTGCATGGCGTTTGCTCTGCGACCCGGTTCGCCCCAGATAACGCTAGGACGACAGTAACCCCGCACGCTAATCCCACAATCTCGGGCAGTTAGGGCGAATCGACTTGGACTAGCTGAGGCTTACTAGGAGAGTAACCATAACAGCCACTGGCCAGCAGGGAAGAAACTGTAGCAATATCACCCGCTGGCAAGGTGGCTACCTAATCTCAACTTGGCCTAGTTTGATTTCTGCTGATACACTCCCTAGCCGTTGATAAATAGGTCGTCTTCTCCTAAGAACCTTTGCCCAAGACTTGTGCCTGTCTGTAATCCACAAGCGCTCCACCTTGACCCAAGTCTCCGTCCGGCCCATCATGGCTGATGCTACGACTGACACTGGCCCGACGTCCGACAAACAGCCCGAGCCTGTTCATACCGTCGACGAGTCGGTTGGTGACGAGCCGGTTGGTGATCTCCAGCTTCCTCGAGGATGGATGTACAAGTCGTGGGGGATAGGGCGCTGGCGCACGCCCTGGTATGCGTCCCCGAGGTTCCAGCTGGGTACGGTCGCGTTCGTATGCTTCATGTGTCCCGGCATGTTCAATGCTCTCGGCGGTCTGGGCGGTGGTGGACAAGCCAGTCCGCATTTGGCAGATGAAATGGTATTGTTCACCTTCTCGGTAGGGAGGAGAAATTCGGAAGATGGGCTGATCGATCCTGCCAGAACCTCACCCTTTACAGTGTTTTCGCCTTTGTTGGTTTCTTCGCTGGCTCGATCGTCAATTGGGTCGGGATCCGACTGTCCCTCTCATTCGGCGGAATCGGATATTGCATTTATGCGATCAGTCTTCTCGTCTCTGAGCACAAATATGTTCCGGGGTTCAACATCTTCGCTGGTGCCTTATTGGGTTGCTGTGCAGGTATCCTGTGGTCGGCCCAGGGAGCGATCATGATGTCCTACCCTCACGAACACCAGAAAGGCCGGTATTTCGCGTGGTTCTGGGGTATCTTTAACATTGGCGCCTGTCTGGGCAGTCTTGTACGTATGGCGACTGCCAGTCATTGTCTCATCTAATCGACAGTTCTTAGATCGCTCTCGGCACGAATATCAACGTCAAAGTCGCTGCCAGTGTCTCCGACGGAACGTACATCGCCTTCATCGTCCTGATGTTCTTTGGCGCCTGCCTGGCTCTCATGCTCTGCGATGCGAAGAACGTCATTCGCCGCGACGGATCCCGGATTATCGTTAAGAAAAACCCAACATGGAAAACCGAGTTGTACGGGCTCTACGACACGCTTAAGAACGAACCTTTCGTCATCCTTCTTTTCCCTATGTTCTTTTCTTCCAACTGGTTTTACACATACCAAGGAAACGCAATTAACGTCGCCTACTTCAACACCCGCACGAGGGCCTTGAATTCCTTCCTATACTGGTTCGCTCAAATCTTGGCTGCGAGTGTCATCGGCCCGCTCCTCGATATGACGTACTTCCGTCGTTCAGTGCGTGCTCGCGGCGCGTGGGCCATCCTCTTCATCCTGACTATGGTTATCTGGGGTGGTGGCTGGGCCTGGCAGAAGCATTATACTCGCGCGACTGTAAACACCAAGCCCCCAACCGACTTCAAGGTTTGGGATTGGACGCATCCAGGATACGTCGGGCCCATGTTCTTGTACTTCTTCTATGGATTCTACGATGCGGTCTGGCAGGGTGTTATCTACTGGTCAGTCTTCTCTCATCTCTTGCCCCTTCCCCCGCCAGCTCCCCCATCCGTCCATTACCCCTCGTATCAAGCCGACTAAATCTAACCCCACACTTCCAGGTTAATGGGAGCTCTTTCCAACTCAGGCCGCAAAAGCGCCAACTTCGCCGGATTTTACAAAGGTATCCAATCCGCCGGTGCGGCCGTGGTGTGGAGTGTAGACTTCCACAATACGTCCTACGCGGCCGAGTTTGCCAGCAACTGGGGTCTACTTGGAGGATCACTGCTCATCGCGGCGCCAGTGATCTTCCTACGCATCAAGGACCATGTGGATATCACGGATGATCTGCAGAATACTGACGAGACGGTTGAGGATGTTCTTCCTCTCGGACATCCGGAGAAGTAGCTGAGATTCCCTAATCCTAGCCAGCTTAGACCGTTACTGTTGGTGATTAGCGTCCCTACAAGGGTTGTTAGGCAACTGCACCTTATCACTACCTAACTGACTTCCACGTTCGTGCTATCTCGCAGTCAAGCCCGATACATCAGTTTCAGTAAGGGGGCCTAGTCTCCGGTGGCGCAAATTTGTTAGTCTCGGCCTGTAACTGAGCTACGGCGGTCTCTCGTGTTTGTAAGGGGGTATTTAAGTTGATAATACTTAACGAGATTAATTAGCGTTTATTGTTGACCGTATCCCGCAATATACGTAACTGAAGACGTACTATGCTTTAGCGCCTAAGTTCTTACGCAGTTCTTAATTCGTTGTGTATTGGCCTAGGAAGAAATGGTTGGTTTCCCTAGGTTATTTAGCAATGGTGGAATGCCGTTCTAAAGATTTGTGGTTATATAAAGTCTCCTGTTCTTGATACACACCGTAAAGCTATAGTAAATTAGATTCTTTGTGATTTCATAGGTACTACCATAATGTTAGATATTGTGATAAATGGTAGATTGAATTGAATCCTCCCTTTTCAAAGTTGCCTATATGTTCCGTAGTATCCTTTATAGATGTATAGATTGCTATGACCGGGCGACTAGGAATGCATGAATGTCAGGATATTTTGCATAACTAGATTGTCTGCGATATAATTAGATCAATAAAGCGATATTCGAAATCAAATATACCTCCACACCCTCACGAAGTAATTCCCGAACCTTAATCTGTCGTTTGGAATGCTGATGCCGCGCTCACATGCTCCATCCCGATTGCGCACCCATTTGGCTAGTCGCCAGTAGGTTGGGTAGGATCCAGAAATCCGCAATTCGTGGATGCGTGCGGACGATAAACATTATATGGGTACCGTCAGTACTATCTAGAGCAATTTCTGAAGGAATTTCGCGATTTGGACTAGACGGTGACCGGAATCGGGTCACGTTGTGTCAAACAATCGCTGAGCCGAAACCATCTGCATTACTTGCGCCTATCAGCTATATAAATAAAGCGGGGTGGATAGGGATCAAGCAACCTGTAACAATAGCTGCTCGTAGGGACTCCATGCTGGCTATCATGATAATTCGGCAGCAACGTGAGTTGAACTAAGCGGTACCAGATGGTCAATATAAACAAGTTAGCAATAAAGCCGCGAACCTCAGCTGTCTGACGTTCGCAAACGGAAAAAGCCGGATGTCAAATTAATTCGCCGTCCCTGCACAGACGACTAAATTTGTCGGCCGGAAGTTAAAATATGAGGCATGAAATGGATCCCGTAATTTATTAGAGCTACCCGGAGGGGGGAACTCAGTGGCAAGCCAGATGCTGATATATGCATGACTACCCTGTGTTCTCATCCGTGGGTCATGTTCTGATATTGCACTATTGTCGAGGAACAGCAAATGGAGTATTAGGATGCCAATTCAATCGCTTCGAGGAAGATAGCAGCGTGTTGGGGTCTGACTTTAGGGGGTGCGATTAGTTATCTAGGTTACCACTTGCTAATAAGTCACATGACTGATGGTAGCTAAACCTAATCGGGTTAGGCAGTGTCAACCCTGTCTGCACACTAATACCCCCGTGGGGTTGGTGCGTAGTGAGAATATTATTCAATACCCATGAAGTGGAGTCAAGAAAGTAGCGACTTTACACGGTCTTTGGGTGTGGCTGTCATTGATTCTTGGGAATTTCGCTGTTGATTTGGTCTATTTGCCACCTATTACCTGCAATTTCCTCGCCCCACAACTCTATCACTATACGCCGTGCAGATTGATTCGCGGACGCCGTGCCAGCGGAAGAATCAATAGCCACATCTTCAGCGTCCATCTTTTCGCAACGAATTCTTGTAATCGTTCCATGGTCTAATTCGCGTTCATCTGGAATACGTAGGTGTTGTCCGTAGGCGGAGCCAATTGTATCTCTCTTCCCCTCATGATGTCCGAGGAAAGCACGGAATCTAGACTACACGCGCTGATGAGATTCAGACGCGCAGGTGGTCCAGAGGCGGGGTGTCGTGCCATAAGAAGACAAGAGACAGAATATAGGATACACATTCCGTGCTCATTCTTCAACCTTTTTCCTTCCCCCTTTAATTCTTTCCAGTATGGAGAAAACAGAGGGTCGTCACCAGCACGTTGAAGGGTCGTCAGCTCCCAGTCCACGCAGGATGGAGGCTGGCACGAACGAGGATTTCTACGCAGGAGATTCGGTGACGCATCTCTCTGAGGAGCATCGCCAGTATCTTCTCGCTCGGCATGGCACGCTAGATCTCGATCCCATCCCTGACATGAACGATGCCGACCCGTACAATTGGCCGCGATGGAGAGTAAGCCAGTTCCTTATCTGTTCCTGCATGTTTATTGTGTTCTGATGAAATTTCGCTTCAGAAAATAATTAATCTGGCCCTGGTCGCTTTCCATGCCATGATGAGTACCTTTACTGCTGCCGCAATCCTATCAGCCTTTGTCAACATCTCTACGGATCTGCACGTTAGCTTGCAGCGCACCAGTTATTTGGTCTCGCTATTCATCGCTGTTCTCGGTGGAGCGCCCTTATTCTGGCGTCCGCTGTGCAACCGATTTGGACGTCGTCCAATCTTCCTGATTTCGCTCATCTGCAGTCTGGCCGGTAACGTGGGTTGCGCGAAGAGCCCCTCATATGCCACAATGGGCCTTTGTCGTGCTATTACTGCCTTCTTCATCAGCCCTGCTGCGGCCATGGGGAGCGCTGTGGTCGCTGAGACCTTCTTCAAAAAGAATCGTGCGCATTGCATGGGTATCTGGACACTGATGGTGACCTTGGGTGTGCCGGCTGCGCCCTTCATCTTCGGATTTGTGGCGTTTCGTGTTGGATACCGTTGGATCTACTGGATCCTAGCCATTGTGAATTTTTTCTTTTCTTCTTTTGTTCAGACTCAGATGAGGGCTAACAGATATTGCCTATGATAGGTCAACGCTGTGCAGTTCATCCTCTACTTCTTCCTTGGGTCGGAGTCGCTCTACATGCGCAAAGACGATAGCGGTCAGCAGATCACTAATGTGAAACAGAGTATATTCAGATTCAGACGGATTAACCAGACTCCTTTCAAACTCTGGGACTTTTTCCAGCCCCTTAGCTACGTGATAAAGCCCTGCGTGCTAATTCCAGCGGCCGCATACGCAATGATCTTCCTCTGGGGGAGCGTGATGCTCACTATTGAGATCCCCCAGATCTATCCTAAAAAATTCGGATTAAACACGCAGGAAGTCGGCCTGAACTTTTTGGGACTGATCATCGGATCCGTCATTGGCGAACAGGTCGGGGGCTTCATATCCGATCGGTGGATGTTGCTACGCGCCAAACATACCAGCCAAACTCCGGCGCCGGAATACCGTCTGTGGCTAAGCTACATCGGCCATGCGTTAACCATTTGTGGTATTGTTGTTTTCGCGATCCAGCTACGCGATTCCGGTGATAAATGGAATGTCACCCCTATAGTGGGGTCGGCCATCGCTGCCGCAGGCAATCAAATTGTCACCACCATCAATATCACCTATGCCGTGGATTGTTACCGTGAGGATGCCGCGAGTGTTGGCGTTTTTATTACCTTCGTTCGTCAACTGTGGGGATTCATTGGTCCTTTCTGGTATGACAGCTTCCAAAGTCCTGTTTCATCGATAAAAGATAGTCACTGACCATAGTAGGTTTCCGCAGATGTTTAAGAACTGCGGCTGGGCCGGTGGTGCAGGCATTGCCGTAGCGCTGATGGTTGGTGTTAGCATCGTCCCAACCATGCTGGTGCAGTGGCACGGCGCGGCGTGGCGTTGACCCTTTCGGGAAGGACACTTGGATTAGGGGTGGTTAAACATTTTACCTTTATCTACAAATACTGATGTTTTTTTTCGTCATCAATTTACTGGTGGAAATTGTAGAGAGGATTTGTTGGTTCTTCGATCGTCGGCATTAGTGAGAATGGATTCTGAATATACTTCACACATGGCAGATTCTACTTTTCATGCAACTTTACAGAGAATTGGGGCGATGAATGACTTATCCAAAGCTAGCACTTCTCCTAGGATGTATAATCTAGTGGATTTCATGAAAAAGATACACACTCTGTACCTCTTGTGTGCCATTGCGTATCACCTTGAGTCAAGGTTATGAGAATTTGGAAGCAGTCTCAAAATTGGGTTCATTGCTTCGAGGCATTGCTGTTAATTGTCTTTTCTGGCTAATTTTGTTATTATAGTTTTTTTTTTTTTTTTTTTTTTTTCAATCTCCTCAGCTTACTATCATTCAATTCATTTGAAACATGGGTTCTCTCCAAGTCAAAGAGCGCAAATTTTGAAGGTGGCAAACTCTCAGCCTCGGTCCATCCAGCGCAGTCAGCTCCACCACCGGTAAGGAATGCGTCCACTACTTGCCTGCGCTTGAATATTATTATTACTATTAAACTAACTTTACTGCCCATCCCGAGCTCTATATTATACTTTAGAGGTAAAGCGAAGCATCTCCGTTCGAATTGAGATAATGAGCTGTAGGCATGATACTCTGTTACATCTAGCAATTCTGTTGGTCAAGTAGTAGAATTATATACAATAATGTTCGGGGTATACTATCTGGCTGATATGACAGTAGGCAGTTCGGTTTCTTCTGAGTCATCCAGAGGAATATGTTGATAAATATGCCGGTATGTCTTTATGCGCCGTTTTGTGACCATCCAATAGCCCCCGACTAGAATTGCACCGGATGAGCCCAATACCAGTATCAGAAGTAAAAGGCCACCGAGGGTATGGAAAGTGTCAATTGATTCACCCAAGACTTCCACAACCTGGTCATTGTTTTCTGTCGTGGGATCTGCCACAATGCTTGAAAGGGGACCCGATGGGTCCGCCGGGACTCCCTGGTTGGATTTATTGAATTGGAATGCCATCCAATCGGTGGGTACAGTAGTACGACCAACTGCGGAACTGCCCAAGATGTTGCCGTCGCGGTCGGTTGCGTCGGCTGATATCCAGTCTAAATAACCCTGAATGGTATGCATCGTCTCAAAGCCAGTCTTGTTCGTGGTTCCAACGAAACGACGGGGCTCTCTCTCCCCCGCCTGTGCGTAAAAGTTCCACGAAGCAACCTCTGTGGCGCCGTTCCAACTAATGTGAATGACAGTTGTCAGATTGTCTTCCGTGATTTCGGCAACAGAGACCACCAAATCCGGCGGTGCCGTCGGCCGACCAACGAATTCGAACTTATATGCTCGGTAGGTCGATAGTTGAGAGTTCACGAATTTGGCCTCCATCAAGTTGGCACCTTCGGGTGAAAATTCAGAATGATAGCCACTGTCGCTCCACCCAACAAATACATTGCCATTCGGAAGTGGCTGCACGTTGCCACGAAGTCGAGTCAGTTGGCCATCAGGGCGGTCATAACGCCGGATCACCTTCGCTGTCATCGGAGTACTGCCGGTGTTGAGCTCGACAATCAAAGCTGAAGAGACATCCTCTTCATTTTCTTCGTGATCGGCTGCATTGTTCAGGAAGGAGATGACGTGGCGGGTTCCCCCAGACTCGATAAATTTTGCATCATGCTGTTTAGAGAAGGTAAAGTCTTGATCGAAGTCGCTCTCCCGTCCCCCTAGTCGCCACAGGATTGAGCCATCCGCGCCGGAGATCAAGTAAATGGTGTTGGTGAAGCGGATGGAGATCAGATAGTTGCCGTCTGCATTCTTGTCAACCGAGTTAATATGCAGATAATCATTCCCTGGCGCCTCTTCTGGTTCTGTGTTGGCCAAAAGCTTGACCGATTCGTGCATCGCAACATTTCCGGGCGCAGAGGCATTCCACCGCATCACGACTTCGCCCGTGGCAATTTCCACCTCGTAAAACCCAACTGAGAGAAAAAATGACTGTTCCTGCGAGCGTCCGAGGTCCGCCAGGCTCAGTTGCGCGGGCTGATAACCGCAGGTGAGGGCCGTCTTGCCCCCTGGGAGGATATTGAATTCATGGAGATCGAATTGTGCCAAGTCTTCCAGTGCCTGCACCTCCGACTCGACTTCGTAGCTGTGGTTCATGACGATCCCACGTCCTTTTGAATGGCCGTCATTCTCATGTACAATGAACGAAAGGTAGGGATTGTCGTCGATGTGATGAACCGCCTTGAAATCATACACGTTGGCGTTGTTGAACAGGCGTGAGCCGACCCAGATCAGAACCTACTTTGGCATATTTGGTCAGACCATCCTGTCTCGCTGCGGGTGATAAGGAGAACGTACGCCATCTTCATCGTAGATATACGGCCCCACTTGAAACGGCTGGGGACCCGATTTCAGGTATTCGATTTTTCCATATGGTGCCACGAACCAATACCCTGGGCTCACGCGCGTGCGATCATGATATATCACCTCAAAATTCACTACCCAGACATCTGGAAGCTAGGAGCACGTTAGGAAGTGGCTTCGGAAGTTCTGGGGTCAAGGATTTTGTTACGGTGACCAAGGACATGAAGTCATCCAGATCGGATCGCGCAATAGCACCGCCGACGAATAACAGTAGGAACGGCGAGAGGGCGAGCATAACGGAGGTCATGTAGGATCGATGAAGCCATGGGAGGTGTTGAGAGGGTGTGTCGGCGCTGAAGCCTTGGAGACCAGGTGCCGCCGGGGAAAAATCAGTCTTCGACACCACACCTACGACTTCCACGTTTCACTATGAATCGTTGTTTCCAGCGATGTTCCGAGGGGCTAGGGGAGGCCAGGAGAAAGACACGGACTGAACGATGTCTGCGACGATGAGGAAGGACACAAGCCAAGCTGTGGATGCATCCCTCAGCTGAAACCAATGTCAGGCTCCCAGGCCACGATTGACCACGTGGGGCGATCAGTCTGGTTAGTTAGGTCTTTGGGTAGAATCACAGCCATACTTCTTTCCCGGTCACTACTATTAAACTACTGCGAGTTAGCACTCCGACTACTTCTATTACGAACGACGACGTCCATCTCGTCCGGCGAATGCAATGATCGACATGCCCGAGACGCAGTGCCGACACCCCCGCAGAGGCCCAGCCGAGGCAGCCTCGGAAGTATTTACTATTCGGATGACGCCTCTCCCTTCGCTGCTGCTTGCTGCCATCCTCCCTTCGTCGTAACTATGTCCTACCAAGGCCGTCCGATTCGCATCGCAGGTTGGTCCGCCGAGCTCGCGTGATGCGCCGCTGCTGACTCTCCAGGTGCTTCGGGCTCTGCCTCCGATCGCCGCCATGCCATCGCCGACTTTGCTCAACATCACCCCACCGATCCGGTCGATGTGATCATTGCCGATTTCATGAGCGAATTTAACATGGCCACCGCCGCGGGTCGGCGAGTGGACCAAGCACCTGATGCGGCGCCCGCATACGATCTGTCCTTCCTCGAGGCCCTGGCACCCGCCTTGAATGATCTCGCAACACATGGCATCAAGTTGGCCGTGAATGCCGGGGTGACAGATACAGAGGGACTCTATCACGCCGTAACCAGGTTGGTGCAATCGAAAGGGTTAGATCTGAAGGTCGGTGAGAGATCGCTCCCGCAGACCATCTCGGCTGCTGACGTCTCCCTAGGTCGCATGGGTCTCGGGTGACGAGGTCCTCCCGGCGGTCCAGGAAGCGCTGTCATCGGGACAATCCGAATTCCGAAACGTATATACGGGGGAGCGGTTAGCGGACTGGGCCTTCCAGCCCATCTACGCCCAATGCTACCTGGGGGGACTGGGGATTGCCGCTGCCCTGGCGGACGGCGCCGACATTGTCCTATGTGGCCGGGTGTCAGACGCATCGCCCGTCATTGGGGCCGCCTACTGGTACCATGGCTGGCGGCGGGACGAACTCGATAAGCTGGCCAAGGCCTTTGTAGCCGGCCATCTGATCGAGTGCAGCAACTACGTCTGTGGTGGCAACTTCACGGGATTCCAAGCGCTCGAGCATGCCGGCGGCGACGGCTGGGCCAATATCGGCTACCCCATCGCGGAGATTTCCGCCGAGGGCGACGTGGTGATCACGAAACAGGCGCACGCCACGGGAGGGGCGGTCTCGGTCGATACCTGCACCTCGCAATTGCTGTACGAAATCCAAGGCCCCTGGTATTATAACTCCGACGTCACCGCTGTGCTGGATGGTATCTCCTTCGAGCAGCGCGGCATCAACCGCGTTGCCGTGCACGGCGTCCGGTCGGGCCCGGCTCCGCCCACCACGAAAATCGGCATCACCGCGCGGGGCGGCTTCCAGGCAGAGGTATGGTGGTTTTTGACCGGGCTTGATCTCGAGGCCAAGGCCCGCATGCTGGAGGCGCAAGTACGCCGCCTGTTGGCCCCCTTTGCGGATCGCTTTACTGCGCTCAACTTTGACCTGCTGGGTGCTAGTGAACCAGATCCGCACAACCAGAACCGCGCCACGGTCCCCCTTCGCATCGTGGTGCAAGCACGGCGAGCGGAGGATCTCGCTCCCACGCGGTTCCTGAAGCCCATAACGGACAACATCATGCAAGGCTATCCCGGCGCTACCTTCCACCTTGACCTGCGGCAAGGGTTTCCGCGCCCCATCTTTGAGTACTATGTGAGTCTGCTGCCCCAGAGTGCGATCCGACACCGCGTCCATCTACCCTGGAAGCCCACGACTGCGACGCAGACGCTCGAGATTTCCCCTCCACCGCTCACGCAGAGCTACCCGGCCCGGCAGCCGTCACAAGCGCGCACCGATGTGGCCTTGAATCCGGCACGCGACTTTGGTCCCACGACCCGCGGTCCCCTGGGCTGGATCGTGCACGCACGTTCTGGGGACAAGGGCGCCGACGCGAACTGCGGCTTCTGGGTCCGGCGCCGCGACGAGTATCAGTGGCTTCGAGCCTTGCTCTCGACTGAGATGGCAAGTGACCTTCTGGGCGAGACGGGCCGGACCAATCCGCAATTGGTCATTGAGCGTTTCGAGTTGCCCGGCCTCCATGCCGTACATTTCCTGTTTCGAAACCTGCTCGACCGCGGCGTGGGCGTCACTACCACGGTTGATTTTCTGGGGAAGAATGTCGCGGAGTACCTACGGGCACGCCATGTCGACCTGCCGGTGCGATTCCTGAACCGCGGGAGGCTGTAGCGTCGGGGTGGTGAATGACGTAACTATGCTGTAGGTAGTGCGTTCGGATCGCGTTCGATCATCATAATAATCCATCACATTTTGTGTTTCAACTTGCCCACGCGGCGCTTGCTCAGATGTATATAGGTTCCAATAGTGCAAGCGCTCCGGCCTCTACCAGGGGAATCGGTGGTTGGTTGGACCAAAGAATAATGAGAGGGGACGTGGGGATGCCGAGGACGCACACCGCCAGATGTAGCTAACGTACAAGCTCACCACCAACAAACAAACCGGATCTACCAGCCCGTATTTTTATTCGTCTCGTCCCCCTTCGCTCCCTCTTCTCCCACTCACGCACTATTTATATATGGATTTAATCTTCCTTCCTATATCAGTTTATTCCATTCCTCACCATGGCTGATAGGGCTCGTGGACGTGGTTCGGGGCCGGGGCGACCGAGGCAGCGGAGCTGGCGGTCGCGGCAGAGGCCAGACGGCCTTGCCCTTGCGCTCAGGCCGGGGCGACTTTCGTGGTCGAGGAGACCGTAGCCAGGGTGACTTGCGGGGACGGGGACACTTTCGTGGTCGAGACTTTCAGGGCCGAGGCCGTGGTGGCTTTCGCTCTGGCCGGGACCAAGGCCCGCGCATTTTCGTGTATGTAGGAGCTTCGTCCCGAGGCAGACAGCGACTGACCCCCTTTCTAGCCAAGGAAACACGGTCTCCGTGCCCGATGCGAGTGTCACCAAAACCGAGGACACGCTGGCCAAGGCACTGGTCGGACAGAAGACGGCCCGCCAACGATATCCCGAACGTCCAGGGTACGGTACTTTGGGCGAGCCGGTGACTCTCTACGCCAATTACCTCCCACTCAGTCTCACGAGCAAGCCGCTGTTCCGCTATCACATCAGCATTTCGCCTGACGCCACCGGTCGTCAGCCAACAGGCAAGAAGGCACGGCAGATTGTGCATCTCCTGCTGGACGAGCATTTCTTACAGTTTCAGAACGACATTGCGACTGACTATCGATCGACCCTCATCTCTCGCGAGGAACTTCCCTATACCGAGAAATTTGACGTGCGGTACCGCGATGAGTACGAGGATGAGTACCCAGAAAACCCGCGTGTGTATCACGTTACATGCCAGTACACCGGCCAGCTCAATGCGGGTGATCTGGTAAACTATCTCACATCGACCGATGCAGATGCCATGCTAGAATCCAAGGCCGAGATTTTGCAAGCCTTGAACATCATCCTGGGGCATCGATCCAAGAGGGACCGCTCGGTGGTCTCTGTCGGTGCCAACAGGCATTATAGTCTGCGTCCAGATTCGGTCGAGAGATGTGATCTTGGCGCCGGCCTCGAAGTCGTGCGCGGTTTCTTTGTCAGTGTGCGCGCTGCGACAGCCCGTGTGCTACTCAATGTGCAGGTCAAATACCTGGCCTGCTACCAGGAAGGGCCGTTGAGCATGGTGATCAGCGAGTACCAGCGTTCCAACTCTCGGAATATTTACCGGCTGGAGGTCTTCTTGAAGCGTCTACGTGTCCGCATCACACATATTACCAGAAAAAATAGTCGCGGCCAGCTCAAACCTCGGATCAAGACGATCGCCGGTCTAGCCGCCCGCGGTGATGGAACGTCATCCCCGAACCCGCCGAAGATCCTTCGCCATGGTGCGGGCCCGAGGGATGTGCAATTCTTCCTGTCTGCTCCTGGATCGCAGCCTAGTAAACGGAGCTCCGAATCAAAGGGAAAGAAAGGCAAGAAAGCACCCAAGGAGGGACCAGCCCAGGCAGGACGTTATATTACTGTGGAAGAATACTTCAAACAAGGTCAATTCCAAATCTACTTTCAGAGTACAGGGTATTAACCGCTTGCGCAGAGTATGATCAACACCTGGATCCTGGCATGCCTGTGGTGAATGTTGGAAATCGCGAAAATCCCGTCTACCTCCCCGTGGAGGTGTGCGAAGTCGAGCCTGGTCAGCCCACCACCACCAAGCTCAGTCCCAACCAGACACAGAATATGCTTGGATTTGCGGTCATGGGCCGGAAGCCGGCGCAGAACGCTCAGTCCATCGTCACCAAAGGTGTGAGCATGCTTGGACTGGGAGAGCCATTGAATGCCACTTTGGTAGGAATTCTGTTGATATTGCGTTGTGTTCATCCTCTTAACTCTGGCACCTAGACTGCATTCGGCGTCCATCCGTCGACAAATCTGATCACCGTCCCAGGACGAGTTCTACCGGCTCCACGCATCTACTACAAAGATGTCAAATCCGGGAAGAAGGCCGTCGACACGATGGGCGGTAGTTGGAACATGCGCGCCATCAGGTTCTCCCAGCCAGTCGCTATGAGATCCTGGACCTGGCTATTCATTGACGCCGTCAAAGCCCGTCCTGTTTTCAAGTCGCCCGATGCCTTGAATAACTCTCTGCAGAGTTTTACGAATGTTCTGTGCCAAATGGGTATCGCTGCTGACACAGCCAAACCGGGAATGCGCATTGAGCTGAATGGCTCCAATGACGCAAATGAAGTCGAGTCCGCCGTGCGCGCCTTGCAAGAGAAACACCAACCGTCATTGATTCTGACGATCCTGCACTCCAAAGACACGGAGCTCTACAACTGCGTCAAACAGGTCTGCGATGTTCGATGTGGTGTTCGGAATGTCAATGTGCTCGCGGAGAAGTTCCAAGGTGCCAATGACCAATACAGCGCCAACGTGGGGCTCAAGGTCAACCTCAAGCTCGGTGGCTGCAACCAGTCGCTGCAGAAGTCAGACCTCGGCTTTTTCGCAGAAGGACGCACCATGCTCGTGGGCATCGACGTGACGCATCCATCTCCAGGCTCAGCACGATCTGCTCCCAGCATCGCCGGCATCGTGGCATCCGTTGATGCCGCGTTGGCCCAATGGCCCGCTGAAATCCGAATTCAGGCCGCGCGCCAGGAGATGGTGGCCGACCTGGATGTGCTCCTCCAGTCGCGACTCCGGCACTGGGCTCACTGCAACCGGAACGCTCTACCAGAGAATATTGTCATCTACCGCGACGGGGTCTCGGAGGGCCAGTATGACACGGTGATCGAGCAGGAACTCCCGCTGCTCAAGCGCGCCTGCGAGGCCGTCTACCCGGCTGATCAGACGAAGCAGGGCCGGCCACGGCTTGCGGTCATCGTGGTTGGGAAGCGGCACAACACCCGCTTCTATCCAACGCGCGATGCTGATGCCGACCGCGCGGCCAACCCCCTGCCTGGCACCGTGGTGGACCGCGCTGTCTCAGATCCCAGGCACTGGGACTTTTACCTGCAAGCCCACGCGGCGCTGCAGGGCACCGCTCGCCCCGCCCACTACTTCACCGTGTGGGATGAGATCTTCCACCCGCGCCACCCGGCGTCCGCAGCCGCGGCCGACGAACTGCAGACCCTCACCCACAAGATGTGCTATCTCTTCGGCCGCGCCACCAAGGCCGTGAGCGTGTGCCCGCCGGCCTACTACGCCGATCTGGTCTGCACCCGTGCCCGCTGCTACCTGAGCGACTTCTTTGATCCCGCCACTTCGGCGTCGGTCGCCAGCGTGGTTGGTAAGGAGGGTTGGCGGTGCGGTTGCTGAGGAAAGTGATATCGAGATTCATGCGAATGTGCGTGACTCGATGTTTTACATCTAAAACGTGCGATCCGGTTTCTTTTATCCTGATCGCATTGAGCTCCTTACTTTTCGGTCTCGTTAGTATTATGATCTACTTAGCTCGTAGTGTTTGTTAGCTAGTTAGTGGGAACTGTCGAGATCTAGATGTACGAGGGTCCCAATATGGAATTGCAATTCACAAAGGAATAAATCTCTGTCCAAATTCAACCTAGGGATGCCCAACAATATACAGTAGTAGGGGCGAACTAACTAATAAACTAGTACAAAATAGGAGATAGCGGTGAGAGTCCCATTCTTGATTGGAACATTTGAACCTGGAACCGAATCTATCAAGTCGTCACAGCTGTGGATGCTGAGTCAGCTCCTACACCCCGGAAGGCGCCGAAGGGCATGTCCATCCGACAGACACATCACACTCGGCCTTTCCCCTCAATCCAAGGAAGCAAATGCAAATATTTTTTCTCTCGTGCGCCATGTCGCACCTGGAATATCGTATATAGCATCCTTGAATCATGACGATCGTGTCGCGGCTCCTCCTATCTTGGCCCCGGATTCCCCGCCGATCCTGGGGTCTGCCCCCCCCGAGCCGACTGCACAGTACCACCGCAGCAGCAACATCGTCTGCCACAAATCTCCCACCCGCCCGGTCTGACAGGCTCTCTGCCCTCAAGTCTTCAAAGCCCTTCTCGGACTTCCTCACCGATACCTTTAACCGACAGCACGATTACCTTCGCATCAGCCTCACCGAGCGGTGCAACCTGCGATGTATATATTGCATGCCTGAGGAAGGCGTGGAGCTCTCACCGTCGGAGCAACTCCTGACGTCCCCAGAAATTATTTACCTGTCGTCTCTGTTCGTGTCGCAGGGTGTGACGAAGATCCGGCTGACGGGCGGGGAGCCCACCGTACGGAAAGACATTGTGCCGCTGATGCAGGAGATAGGCCGGTTGCGGCAGAATGGGCTCCAGGAACTATGCTTGACGACCAACGGCATCTCGTTACATCGCAAACTGGACCCTATGGTCGAGGCCGGGTTGACCGGGGTCAATCTGAGTCTCGACACATTGGATCCGTTCCAGTTCCAGATCATGACCCGTCGCAAGGGATTTGAGACCGTGATGAAAAGCATCGACCGCATTTTGGAAATGAACAAGGTCGGGGCGGGAATCAAGCTGAAAGTCAACTGTGTTATCATGCGGGGCCTGAACGATCGAGAGATCCTGCCTTTTGTTGAACTCGGCCGCGAGAAAAATATCGAGGTCCGCTTCATTGAGTACATGCCCTTTGGTGGGAACAAATGGAACAAGGGCAAGATGTTTTCATACCAGGAGATGCTGGCCGTGATCCAGGAGAAATACCCGTCTCTTGAGAAAGTGGCCGATCACAAGAACGACACGAGCAAGACATACCAGGTCCCCGGCTTTCAAGGCCGGGTTGGGTTTATCACGAGCATGACGCACAATTTCTGTGGCTCGTGCAATCGACTGCGGATCACCAGCGACGGCAATTTGAAAGTGTGTCTTTTTGGCAACGCCGAAGTCTCGCTCCGAGATATCATTCGCCAGGAGAATCACGGGCAGCCTATCGACGAGGATGCGATGCAGAAATTGCAGCTGCTTGAGACGGTGCAAACGGCCGCTAGAATCAGCGATGAGGGCGGGGTAGTTAATGAGCGAGAACGAGAGATTCTAGACATCATCGGGAAGGCCGTGAAGCGCAAGAAGGCGAAACATGCCGGCATGGGACAGCTGGAGAATATGAAGAACCGGCCGATGATTCTGATTGGTGGGTGATTCTTCCCATCTACGATTTCACGACGCTTTACGACTTGCTTTTATGTGTATATATCTGTGGATGGAGGTGTTGTTCGCCGCGCTTGCTCCGCTGTGTATGTGGCCTTACGTTGTTCCCTATCTCTCACTCTTCCTTTCTCTGTTCTGCCTTCTTCAGACATTCCCGAAAGACTGCTCAATACCATGCACTACAGATTTCGTATATTCATTGAAATCCGTCGAGGAAATCACGCTAATAGTGGCCCTAGATAATACATCAGGCATGACCCCGAGACCGATGACCCGAGGCCCGTCCTGGCTGCGCATACCTTCACACATTCTTCCCCGGTCACTGGGGACCTTGCACGCTCGCCTCTATCATAGCGGACGTTCGTCTCCAGCACCTGAGTTCTCACTGGTCTCTGATAAAGTCATCAATCGCAAGACTCTCTCACTCCCTACGGCGTCCGACCCAGACCTTCCGCATTTGACGCCATCCCAAACCGTACACATGACGCAGATAACAGAGAAGCCAGAAACAAAGCGACTAGCCACTTCCGCGTGCCATATCCTTTTCTCCAATTCCCGGCCTTGGGAACTTCTCCGGAAAGGCCAGGGCACGCATAAGGGTGATGTGTTCAGCGTTGCACGGATCGCAGGTATCATGGCCGCTAAACGAACTCCGGACCTCATTCCCCTCTGCCATCCCAGCATCGGCATTACAGGGATTGAAGTCTCTGTTGAGCTTGTGGGGCCGGAACAATCAGCCGATGATCATGGCATGATGCAGATTGTCGCGACAGTCAGCTGTCTCGGTCGAACTGGAGTCGAGATGGAGGCTATGACGGCGACCATGGGTGCTGCATTGACAGTCTACGATATGCTTAAGGCTGTAGATAAAGGTATGGTGATCAGCGGGGTACGCTTGCTAGAGAAGCAAGGCGGCAAGAGTGGACACTGGGTGCGACAAGAAGAGTCACAGAAGTAATTGCAGAGGCAAATGAATTAACGTGTCAACCCTTTGTTGTTGAACATATGTTGGGGCAGAAACAATGGACCGATAGTATGGTGCAGAATGACGACATGGGGGCGCCGCACGAGTTTATCAATACATAATCTTTTATGATTTGTTGGCTAATAGTAAATCATTGTTTGACATTAATAGGTCCGGAGCTTTGTGTGATTAGTCGGCTGTAAAGGCGAGACGCCTCAGCTACGTGGTAATCGTTGCAAATAGTAACTAAACCAAAAAGGGACGTGGACAGGTATCCACTGGACAGGGAACTTTCACTCTGGTAAGCGGTGAGATTTGTTTCCAGTGGCTGCAGGACAGGCTGCTCGCTTGTCACCAAGGCCTCAGCTTTCCCGCCTACCCACAATTTGAACGAACGTTCACGACCAGCTGCTCCGGTATTCTCTCAAAAGGATTTTCCAACACTATTTTCAGGAGAAGGAGAACCTAACCGCCTTAAGCTTTCTACTGTGACACACAACGTCATTACACCTGAAGATAACATATCTATATTTGTACTCGACTGGAGGAGCATGGATGATCATGGTAGAGGCTTGCGGTGAGAACAGAATAAGCTGTACCGAACAGGAGAGTGGGCTTTTGGGCGAAGGTGTCAGCGATCACCAGAGCTATGAGCCTCGAGTGCAGTCTGACGAGTGCTGAGACCTTCGCTAAGATATCTTATTCGTCAATAAGGCTGACATGAAATTCTAGTGCTTCCCTGACATCCGATGAAGCAATAAAATACCTGCATCATTTTTGTATAACACATCGTGGAAAACCTGGAGCCGGAAATGAGCCAGCCTATTCCTTTAAAAAAGATCCGAGTGGTCTTCTCAAGGGCACCATTCTTCTGCCGAATTGGGTGCCTTCCGAGGTCCGCAGAATCCAAGGGGCCGGCTGGTGGCGCACAGAACAGGCAGCCAAGCAGGAATTAGCTGTACTAGCATACAATTCTCTGTGGCAATTGGGAATGATGCGTGATATTCCTCAATCACCGACCAAAAAACTAGCGCTAAAATTTACTAGAGAAGGTGGATTTCCTTCTCTGGTGGAATCTTCAGAACAATATGATCCATGGGTAGACTTAGCAGAAGCCTGGTCATCGCTAGATCTCCACTGCTCTTACATCACAATTTCCAGGGACGGGAATCCTATTGAAGATCTGACCATGATGATGATCTTGCCAAAGTCAATTGTCATTCCAGAATCAATGCCGCTTTACTGGGACAGTGACCACGCACTTCACCTCAGTTTGACTTCCCCACAACCACTTTCAGGGGTCACAGCGGAAACGATCGATCACCTGAGGGAGATCACGGCTCTATATCTTCAGGCCCCATCCTCACGTCAACGTGGACCAGAAAGAGACTTTATTGCCCTCTTTGCTCCAGATATTCCACTGGAAATGCTGCCGGGTTGGTTTGATCGCTATAGCGGCAATGAACAGGCAGTAAACGTCTATTGCCGGAAGGACTCTCCGCTCTCGATGGGTATCATTCGCGATCACTCAAAGTATAGCGAGCCACGCTTGTTCAAGAAATGGATCACCCCAGATGAGACACGAACCGAAATCGAAATAGAATGCCAGGCATTACCCCGGCGGCGCAACCTCCTCCAACCCCGAAGCTTGATTAATGCCGCCGAGGAGGGGGAATTAGGCAGCCCCAAGGTGCATAGAATACCTGCAGCGGCCTGCACCATTGAAAAACTCCCAGCCACGAAAGCAATATTTGGACTTTTTATCTCAGCGATCCTTGACCGAGTAGAAGCCAGATATGTGGCCCAGAAGCTCAACGAGACCATCCTCAAGTCGATCGGGATCAACGATTTGAACCATGTTCTTACCGCCATCACCACACCAATCGCCCAGGCTAGCACAGATTACCAAAAATATGAATTCTTTGGGGATTCTGTCTTAAAATTCACCGTCTCTTGCCAGCTATTCTATCAAAATCCAGATTGGAATGAAGGATGCCTCTCCACCAACCGCGACAGCTTTATCGAGAATAACCGCCTTGCCCAGGCTGCGCTCTGCACGGGACTAGATCGTTTCATCTTGACTCGCAGATTTACTCCTCGCAAGTGGAACGCACCGCTGATATCTCAACACTCGAATGCGTTAGGCTCGACTGCCAAACGACCACTATCCGCAAAAGTTCTCGCAGATGTGGTGGAGGCTCTTATTGGCGCTGCATACAAAGACGGTGGGATCCCGAAAGCACAAGCTTGTCTCCACCATTTTCTCCCCGAAGTCGATCTCCTATCGCACAACGATTCATCTGTTCGCAATTCTACTTGTGGCAAAAGTGTCAGCAAGCCGGTGGATCATCACTGTTTGTCCCGTTTAACCGGTTACAACTTCAACAATCCGGCTATCCTGACTGAAGCTCTCGTTCATCCCTCTTGCGAACATGACACCGTAACCCAGTCCTACCAGCGAATCGAATTCCTCGGCGATGCAGTTCTAGATATGATTGTCGTGTCAACTATGTCTGCACACCCGACCCAGATCTCCGAGGGTCGAATGACGCTCATCAAACATGCTGTTGTTAATTCGAATCTCCTTGCTTTTCTTTGCATGGATTTCGCTATTCCCAATGAGGCCGATAAGATCAACACTGCGCTCGATGACAACCAGATTTCTCTCTGGCGTTTCCTCCGATTCAATGGTCCTACTATCAAGGTCTCCATGGAAGCTTGTCTAGGACGACACCAGCCTCTACGCGAAGAAATATGGAGAGCGTTGCAGGCAGCACCGGACTACCCATGGGAACTTTTCACCCGTCTACATGCCGACAAGTTCTTCTCCGACATCTTCGAGAGTGTCCTGGGTGCAATCTTCATTGACTCTGGGGGAAATATTGACATATGCCAAGCCTTTGTCGAACGCATCGGCCTGCTGCCTTACTTGCGTCGGCTCATCGCAGACAAAGTCAATGTCATCCATCCACGCAATCTCGCCCAGAATATGGTCAAGGGTGCTGGAAGCCTTGTCTTCAAGAAAAAAAGGATAGCGGCTTCAAACGGTGCCACGTATACTTGCATGTCCATCCTCAATGGGCAAGAGATTGCTGCTGTCCAAGGATGCGCTTCAGGCGAGGAGGCTGAGCTAAGGGTGGCCAAAGCCACAATTGAGTATTTGCAGGCACAATCTGATTGAGCTTTATGGTTCTAGTTTACTTGTACGAGCTCGCTGACAATTTCCTCTTGCTTGGCATCGAACAGCAGCGCGTTAAACCTACTCGTGACTTGACACATATTACCTGCCTCATGCTTTTATAAATAAGGGAGGTGATTATACAGTGGTGGTTGGGTTAGTCATTACATGCTCTTTATGGGGGGCAAGTTCTGATGGTATACAGTAGTTTGGGTATGATATGATACATTTGCATCAATGCTTTGATATATATCTTAGCAAGGCGGAGACGGAGAGAGCACAGGCCCGTCCTATATCTCTCCAACCTGTCATATTATTAAAGAAAAGGAGTTACAGCTTTGGCTTCTCGTTGAAGCGTGGAGCCTCCAGTGGATCGTAGGCACCTAGGCCAAGCGTATCGACGGGGGGGCGCCAGCATGGCCACCCGACAGGCTACGAGTATCGAGCAGACTCGGGCTCAGGTCTTCGATGCAAGTGGCGCCAATCAGACGCATGTTCATCTCCATCTCATCCTTGAGCAGCTGCATGGCGCGATCGACGCCGTCTAGGCCGTAGGCAGACATGGCGTACAGGAAAGGGCGACCGATGCCGACACCCGTGGCGCCCAAGCATAGTGCCTTGAGAATATCAGTCGCACGGCGCACGCCACCATCGACAAAAACCTCCAGCCGTTTCTCCCAGCCGCGCTCACGCAGTGCTGGCATCACCTCTGCCAGCACCTCAATGCCTGACCGTGCAGTGTCGAGCTGCCGGCCGCCATGGTTCGAGAGCACTACACCGTCCACACCGGCCTCAACGGCGCGCAGCACATCCTCGACACACTGCACCCCCTTGAGCACGATTGGCATGCGCGTGATACTCCGGAACCAGGGGATATCCTTCCACGACAGGGAAGGGTCAATGAACGATGAGATGGCGCGCGCCGCCCCCTGCGACCGGTCGACCCCGCTCTCGCCGCTTTGTACGTTGGACCCGGGGTCGGAAAATTTGGACCGCATGTCCTTTTCCCGACGACCGAGCTGCGGCGCATCTACCGTGATAAACAAGCCCTTGCACCCGCGCTTCTCGGCGTGCTGCACAATTCGTTGCGTGATCTCACGGTCTTTGTTCACGTAGAGTTGCAGCCACTGCACCTGGTCGCCCTGCCGGGCATCGACAATCTCGTCGAAGGAGCAGGATGCAAGTGTTGGGATCATCTGCACCACTTGGTGCTGCTTCGCAGCTTTCGTCAGAACCACTTCTCCCTCCGGGTGGCCAAGCTTGCCCAGCGCAGTCGCGGTGACGTAGAATGGAATCGAGACTTTACTGCCCAGCATCGTTGTTGTCATGTCCACATTCTCGACATCCACCAGCACCCGCGGTCGAAACCAGATCTTGTGGAACGCTGCGTGGTTTTCCCGCATGGTCTGAGAAACGTCTGTTAGCTCTATCTACCCCTCGGAAAAACACGAACACGCACAAGCTCATCGTCCGCTCCGCTGGAGTAATACGCCCACGCCGTATTCTTCATGACCTGGCGCGCCACCGCCTCAAAATCCATCAGGTTGTAGCATGCCGCGAGAGGTGGCATCCGCTTGATGCGTTCCAGCCGCGCTGCCTCATCAGGGTCAAAGGCTTTCTCTTCCCGTTCCACGGTCGTCATATCCACTTCACCCAGATGCTTTGACTGGTCTAGATATTTGTCCAGTGTGTCCGGTGGGTGGATGGGTTCGAATTCTTCGGTCGCATCCTTGCCGGCGTACTTGAGAATGATCTTCTGGCCGCCGGGATGCTCTGGATGTCGTTATAAGATGAAGAACGGGGGTATAGAGGAAGAGAGAGAGAAGGGGATCATACCGGGGAGGAACTCGGTGACGTCGTAGGCTTTGCCATGTACAATCACCCAGCACGAATCCTTGGAGTTGTGCTGAGCGACAGCGGCCCCCGTGAGCTTGTCTTGGCCCATGGTGGTATGTAAAGGAAAGGGATGCAGCTGGCTATCGCATTCAGGATGGGATGAGAGAGACAGGAAGAATAATGAAGGAATGGGTGGAAAGAAAGAAAAAGGGACCTCGGGCTAATGGGCAGCGAAACTGGAATTTTGCGGGGAGAGATTCTCGGCCGACTGGGGGCCAAACGATCACGTCATCCAAACCGGGATGTATGCACGACGAGATTTTGAGATATATACAAACTTCTAGACAGATTAGAATTAGGGTGAACTCTTAAGAAAGATTCAGCACCCTCGGTGGGACTGTTGCACAGTTCGGTGTGGCTAAGACGTTCTTACCCTGCCGAGACTCAACCATAACGTAGAGAGCTTTTACATCATCAAGGTCCATATATATCTCAAAGCCATAGCTGGGAGTATTAGCGAAGAATGTGACCTCCTCGATAGTGGGTTGATATCGCGGGCGCTATACATCTGCCAGTAGTCGTGCTCCATCGCCCAGTTCCAATTCATATATGTCGAGCTGCCCGTCGTGAATTCGGAGACCATTTGGATCACGATGGTGTTTTTCCACTTCGAGATTGCCTTCCAAGGATATTTGAAGAGATGGTATTATCGAGAGTGGCAAATATAACCAAATTGGTCGGTCTGTACCACCTTCCCATCTCCATCGTACTCTTTGAACTTACACATTGACCCTTACCCCATGAACATATGACCGGTCGTGTTATAGTCAAGGAGTTGGAAGCTTCCCTGTGTCCGTGCCTGGCTCGGGTCTGATGCAGCCATATTCACGCGACGAGACGTCTTGCCCTTCATATTAATGAGACCTACGTAGATAGCTATCCCCGTGGACTCGCTCTCGGACTGGCCGCCTAAGGCTCTCGCATAGTTGTCAATGTCATTACTAAACTATCGTCGGTTTCATTGTAGATGAGGGTATCCCGCGGCTCAGCGAAATTTGCGTCGTTATCAATGATGCTTCTCTGGGACCTCCGCCGAAGATTAGCGTGGTATCTCACAGGGCTGGGGACGGCAAACAATAGCTATAAGCTTGGCAGATAGCTGACCGACCGTCGTGGACATCAATCATACGAGAAGCGTTGTCTTCTTATTGGTCCCGAGTAAACGAGGCTCATGAGAACCGTTTCCCGGTATAGAACCACTATGATCAATGTCTAGGGCTTCATGCCTTACCTCTAACCAGGTACCCACTACGGAGGTCTCATATAGGTCGTTTAACCCGAACGAAGAATTCTGGTTAATTCAGGGACGTGGCGAATGACGGCCATCCATTACTATTTGGCTCCTGGATGTTCCCCGGGATGTCTCAGATCGGGCTGCCGTTGGCGTTGGGAGGCGTAGTGTACGAGTACAAGTGGGAGAGCGGTGAGGGCCTGACAATTGGAGGCGGATCTGTCCCTGTAGTCACGGTATGTCAGAGCTCAAGGTGTTGCTGCCTGAGGCCCAAGGTTACATCAGCGGATGTTGGTCACCTGATCCAGCGGATCGCCCGGGTTAATTGGCCCCCCCGGCCATCCTTTTTCAGACCTTGAACCTCATCTGTCCTTCCTCCCATCTGTCTCTTCCTAGACTGCTCCTCCATCATGGGGCTCTCAAACCGTTTCTTCCGCATCCCGCGGCCAGAGGCGAGTCCACACTTTTCTCCCCACGCTCCCTCCCCCGAAGCTAACGCGTGATCCGCAGACCTTCCTCTACGTGATGAGCCTGGAGACTGGCGCCTCTCTCATCACCCTGTCGCTACTGCTCAACAAGATCAGCGGTCTCTACGGCCTGCTCGCCCTGCTGACGGGCTACCACCTGTCGCCGGTGCAGCTGTCCATGTATCTTTACTCCCTCATCGCCCTCGGTCTCGCAACCCTGCTCTTCCCGCACATCCGCAAACAGTCGCCTCTTCAATGTCTCGCTCTGGCATGGCTCTACCTGATTGACAGCCTCATCAACGCTGCTTACACAGCTGCCTTTGGCGTGACGTGGTTTCTGGTGGTGTCTCAGCATTACGATAACGGCAAGGCTTCTGGCCCTGGGAGCGAGACGATCGCCCAGACTGCCGGTTTCACGAGCCCCAAATATGATGCGGCCTACGTTGAAATCCAGCACACCGAGGAGGGTAATCAGTTCGTGGCCCATCCCCCGCGCAGTGCCGAGCGTATCAGCAATGCCGTCCTTCAGCCCGAGAGTTTCCAAAGTATCATCTTCATTTCTCTTCTGTGGGCTGTTCGCCTCTATTTCGTCTTTGTGATGCTTGCTTTTGCGCGCCAGACCTTGCGCCTTTGGGTTGCTATCCCCCGTCATACTCAACTTCCGACGCACAGCCGCAATGTCTCGGTCGCAAGCGTGGCTGATATCGACCGCGAGCCCTTTTCGCCGTATAGCCCAGATGGCCAGGGTTGGAAAGGCAGGCTGGGGCGGGTCATGATTGGCATCGGTCATAACTACTGGCTGGGGGAAGAAGAGGATGGTAATTGGCTGAGTGGTATCAATCTTAAATTCCGCACCCGAGGCAACAACCCAAACGAGTTGCCAGGCCCCCTGGAGCGAGAGCGCAGACGTCGTTCCGGGACCGGTCCCCCTCAGCCGTCTCAATCGGTAGTGCGATCTGCTGCTCTTCAGCAACCGATCCACGAACACCCCGGAATGAACGTCAAGATGCAGGACTGGGCGGAGTCATAAGGGACAATTCTGGAATTGTTTATTGCATGCGGCAGTCACAGACTAGACTGTGTTTGATCCTCACATGGCTTGCATGGCTCAAGTGTCATTAGTGGTCATTTTCTACACTTCAAGCCTACTGAACAGACCTTGATCTGCCATGTCGCCGCTCGGGTGTCCACTGCTTGCTCCACGGATCACATGTTTAGGCTAGAAGTTGGAGGCATAAGGCCGCGCTGATTGAGCGTAGTCTTTGGTTGTTGCCGGTGTGTGTGGAGAGCATTGTTGTATTCGTATCATTGTGGGCTGGGCTCCTGGATATTGATCAACTTTTCTTCATATCTGGGTCGCCTGTTCATACCCACGGCACGCATACCGTCTCGGGTTCCGGCGTCGAGGCAATTATGGGTTTGAGCACTTACCGGCGCATTTGGAGGAAGGTCAATTATTCTACCATGGCATCTCTACCTGATTCACTTGGCAGGTATCTGGTGTCTTTGTACATCAACTCTCGCTATATACTGCCAATGCATTCTACTGGGTATCATGATAGCGGCCATTCTAGAGACCATTTGTCTTTCCTTTCGCAACCTTGCTTCAAAATGTCTTGCCCATCATCTTGGATGGTATCCATGGGCAATTATTGGGCGTCATCTAGTCATTGAGCTTTGATCTCCAATGAAGACTCCAGAATGTAGATTCTCATCTTTGCGGATTTCAAACAGGACTAGCTCTCTGAAATTCCACCAAAGTCTCTTAAGGCCCCTTTGATACGATATGTCGATTTCAGAATGTGTCCAAAATAAATCACTACAGTTCTTGGTCTGAGATCTAGTCAAGTGTGGAATGTTAGAGCATCGAGAGATTCAGCAGATGCTGTTATAGATTTATAATGCGAATTAACCCTAACCCAGCTAGCCATCGATCATTTTCAAGAGTCCATGAACCTTCCTTTGCCCTCTCTCCTTGAATTCAAGTGTGATATTCACTTCATATCAACTGCGATTCTTTAAGGTTTTCTGGGAGCACCTCCTAGCTCAGCAGCTCGGTGGGTTGCAGCTTGAACGGACTTGTCCACTATTTGTTTGAAGTCTAGCGATTCAAATGTCTGTAGCGCAGCATAGGTAGTCCCATTCGGACTGGTTACATTCTTGCGCAGCTGGGCGGGGTCATCCGACGACTCAACGAGCATCTTGCCCGCTCCAAGGCATGTTTGTGTAGCCAGTCGAGTAGCCTGCTCTTTCGGGAGTCCTAGGGCTTCGGCACTAGCGACTAGATGCTCAACCATAGCAAAAAGTATGCGGGTCCGGATCCTACTTTCTGTTAATTTTGACATGCCAACAACCATCGAGGATATTCGGACCCGGACACTCACCTGACAGACCAGTCACTACATCCAACAATTCTTCTCTGTCCACCCACTCAGTGGCTTTGCTAACACTGCCAAGAAGTTCATCCACCAGTTTCTTTTCAGCTTCTGTCACATCCGGGCTTGCAAAGAGTCCAGAAGCACCTTCGCCAACCAGCGCCGGGGTGTTCGGCATAACGCGAACGGTGTGGGCAGTTCTTCTATCGCTCGTCGTGGTCCATTCTTGCAAGCTCTTCAGGGTAATACCCGCGGCAATGCTGACAACAATAGGTAATGTCGATCTCTGTGACCAAGCAGTGGCCAGCTCTTCGCACACACTCTGCGTCACTTGAGGCTTGACTGCAAGGATCACAATATCCGCTTCTCCTCCAGCTTCAACATTCGAAGTCGTCGTGCGAACTCCCAGGGCCGCGATCTTTTCGCGATTGACATCCCACGGCTCCGAGACAGTGACGTTTCCACCCGTGATTCCCTGCTTCAGAAGGCCTTGGATGATGGCAGAAGCCATATTTCCACCGCCAATGAAGGCTAGCTTGCTGTGTTGAAGGGTTGGCATTGTAAGACTGGCGGCGTTGTTGTTCGGATGCAAGAAATCGTGCTAGTAAGCTAGATGCGTTCGGTGTCGAAAACCCTTGGAGCGGACCGGGTGGTGACCGGGAAGGAATTCCGGTTGGGTGGATGTGGCCGGATGTGGGGTAGTGAACGGGAAGCGAAAGTGGGATGAAAGATCCGCCGATGTCGGGGTAGCATAGAAATAAGATCATTATCAGGAATAATACCAGGGTTTTATCATAATCCCCAAGGCGTTGTACACGAGATGCTAAAATTGAATAACAAAAAGTCCTTTTATTGCCCCATCGGTGTCTTGTCCAATGTAGGGTTGTCAACGCAGGCTTCATACTAGAACGTCCGCGAAGCATAAATGCAAATCATCCAAAGAGTTTAAAATAAATGTTCCTCATCACGATTCATGTGTTATTTCAAATTGAAATGTAGTGATACCTCACTCATATCCAAACATATATCTTTTGTGAAACGCTGGGGTTTTACGCCGATATATAATTGCATCTCCAAGTGAGACTGGAGCCTAAGTGAGAATAATTCCACGCCAAGAAGATTGGGACTTCTTCTTGGAATAACCCGCCTTGAAATGCTTCTTCGATCGGCCCCCTACTTCCTGCTCGCTGATTTGGGACGTCTGTTGAATACATGACCCGTGTCCCGTGAATCAATGTCCAGTCACTGTTGAAAATCCAGGAATTGATAGCAGGATTGCCACTTCACTGACAGAACGCTTCACGGCTCTCCCCAGATTTCATCTGCAATTTGCCTAATCAGGCCCAGCTTCTGTTTCTCATCCTCCACACTCAGCGGATACCCCGTTTCGTGTGTACTGAATCCACATTGGGGACTGAGGCAGACCCTTTTGAGGGCCTCCTCGCGTGTCTCTCCGCTCCCTGCCGCAACAAATTCTGCAGCCTTGTAGATCCGTTCCTTGATCGCCTCCTTGTTCTCCAGCTCCCGGAGCTTCGTGCTGATCGCGCCAACAACGACGTTCTTATTCTTCGGCAGGAATTTGAGAGGCTCAAATCCGCCAGCCCGCTCTGTGTCGTACTCCAGGTAGAACGTGTTGACGTCGAGGTTCTCAAATAGCTTCTTCGCAATGATATCGTACGAGCCTTCGGCAAAATGTCTCCCACCAATGAAGTTGCCTCGGCACAGGTGAATGCCGGTGTGCATGTCCTCCGGAAGGCCACTGAGGCAGTCGTTGTACAGCTGAATGTACGCATCCAGCAAGTCCTCCACCGTGCCAATATTGTCCTTGTCCTCCTCCCAGCCCTGGCGGAATGATTTGGAGCAAAAGTACGCCATTCCTGGATCGTCAAACTGGACGTTTCTCAAACCGGCTTTGTACAGGGACTCCAGCTCCGCCTTGTACACCTTGGCAACGTCCTTGAAGTATTCCGCATCGTTGGCATACGCTTCTGGCGTGTATGCCTTTCCTTGCTTGTAACGCATGTGGAACCAAGCCGGGGTGATCATGGTCAGTTTGATGTTGCCCCATTCACTCTCGGGCAGCGACTGCTGGACCAACTGGAGCTCGTGCAGATTCGAAAGCGACTTGCTTGTGCTGTGCGATAGTTTGGACCCGGCAATCACCGAGTCTCCGGGCATCACTTTCCGGTCCGTCTCAATCAGACTCACGACATCCGGGTGGTACAGTCTGAACATCGAGGCCTCTGCGTCTTGCAAACGGATGGTTCCTGCATTGTCGGGTCAGTCGATGTCTTGGACCGGGACCTCCCCGAAACACCTACCCTGGAACTCGTCCCACATCAGCCCCCAGAAACGCGTGCGGTTGTACTCTCCGGAGGAAACCGCCTTGAACCCAAGGTCCCGCTGCAGCTTGACCACGTCCCCAACTGCCTGTTTCTCAACTGCCGGCAGCCCGGCCGCCTCGGCTGACACGCCCGTATCGCGGATCTTGGCGCGCACGTCGAGTAAACTCTCCGGACGCAACAACGAACCCATATGTTCCGCCCGGAAGGGCGGTGCGCTGTGCAGCTTGGAAACCATTTTGGATCGGGAGACTCAGTAGGGTGGAAAAAGTAACGATGGATCGAGTCGTAGCCGCAGATTTTGGAGGCCGGCGTGGGGTTGTCTGTATGTATAGTCCTTTCTTGCGGGGACCGGTGGGTTCGGATGTGGGGTTTTTTTTTCAACTAGAATGTGGTGCTACGTCCAGCGGGAGAGGAAGCATTCGAAGGACAGGCATTCCATATGATTGAAATCAGAACGTCGGGAGTAGGCTCCCTCGCGGTGGCGAAGTTCCATAGTTCGACGGGCTTCGTGACGTGAGGGGTTCGATGCTTGACTCGTTCGGTATTCACGCGGAGGGCAGCGACCGGTGGCCCCACTGGTGAGGTGTTGCCCACGTGGGGCAAGAAGAATCTGAGGTATTAGCCGTGGAGGGTGGTTAGTAGACACGGAGTATATGATTGTATGGAGCCCTGCTGCACTGTGCGATATGCAAACCACCCAAACCGGACCCTGCATCCTGATGCTTGAAGAGAATCGATCGTGGCGTTGATCCACCGGAGAATTGCCACTTTAGGGGGGATGGAAGGAGTCTAGAAGATGATTCTGATCGGTCCATCATCATCATCACCATCACCACTATCATCACCACCATCAATCAGATTATCAGCCTGATGTTCGTATTCTTCGCTTTATCTGGTGGTGGTCCGTCCGGATGATCGAACAGGAATTTAACCGAGAGCCGACCGTGTCGGACTCGGCCCGGCGGACACGCCTTCCCTGTTGGGCGCCGCGCGGGCAGTTTCAACCCGGATAAATCTGGGGATCGGGTGACTGGCTTCCTGGGACACTGTTGCTCGAGTTGTGGTTAAAACCCGCCGGTCTCTCTTCCTTCTTCTTCCTCTCTTTCTTTCCCCTTCCTTCCCTCCCTCCCTTCCTTCTCTCCCTCTCTCAGCAATGTCCTCCGCAACCACCGTCACCAAGACCAACATTGGTGTTTACACCAACCCCAACCATGACCTGTGGATCGCCGAGTCGACCCCCAAGGTCGAGGATGTGCAGGCCGGCCGCGGGCTGAAGCCCGGCGAGGTCACGGTGGAGGTGCGCAGCACGGGCATCTGCGGGTAAGCATGCCTCCTCCAGAAAGGACCCCGCCAACCAAACTGACGTCGCACCACCTAGCTCCGATGTGCATTTCTGGCATGCGGGCTGCATTGGCCCTATGATTGTCACGGGCGACCATGTTCTCGGCCACGAATCCGCCGGTCAGGTTATTGCGGTCGCGGACGACGTCAAGACGCTCCAGGTGGGCGACCGCGTCGCTATCGAGCCCAATATCATCTGCAATGCCTGCGAACCCTGCCTAACGGGCCGCTACAATGGATGTGAGAACGTGGCCTTCCTGTCCACCCCGCCCGTCGATGGCCTGTTGCGCCGCTACGTCAACCACCCGGCCATCTGGTGCCATAAGATCGGCGACATGAGCTACGAGGACGGTGCTCTCCTGGAGCCGCTCAGCGTGACCCTGGCGGCCGTGGAGCGCAGTGGACTCCGCCTCGGGGACCCGTTGCTGATCACCGGCGCTGGTCCGATTGGTCTGATCAGTCTGCTCAGCGCCCGGGCGGCCGGCGCATGCCCCATCGTGATCACAGATATTGACGAGGGTCGGTTGGCGTTCGCCAAGTCGCTCGTGCCGGACGTGCGCACGTACAAGGTGACGATCGGACAGTCGGCCGAGGATTGTGCGGCAGGCATCATCGACGCCATGAACGACGGCAAGGGCTCTGGGTCGGACGCGCTGCGCCCGAAGCTCGCCATCGAGTGCACTGGTGTGGAGAGCAGCGTCAACGCCGCCATCTGGAGTGTCAAGTTCGGCGGCAAGGTGTTTGTGATTGGCGTGGGCAAGAACGAGATGACCATTCCTTTCATGCGGCTGAGCACCCAGGAGATCGACCTGCAGTACCAGTACCGCTACTCCAACACCTGGCCGCGCGCCATCCGCCTCGTGCAGAACGGTGTCATCGAGCTGCGCAAGCTCGTCACCCACCGCTACACCCTGGAAGATGCGCTGAAGGCCTTCGAGACGGCTGCCAACCCGCGCACGGGCGCCATCAAGGTGCAGATTATGAGCTCGGAGGAGGATGTCCGGGCTGCCTCGGCGGGTCAGTCGATCTGATCATGTTCACCGTGTGGGAGGCAGAGGGCTTTCCGGAGACGTATGGACAACTTTTTGATGATGAATGACATCTAGAAATGCTTCTTAGGCACCATAGAAACTATGAAATGACGTTTGACTTCCTTTGTTGGACTGCGGATTAGATTCTAATTCTTTTGTTCTCTTTCCAAGACCTGATGGCCCGGGCGTTCCCCCGGGTACGTGAGGATGACATCGAGATGCAATGCTCGGGATCGTCCTCCACCGTTTCACCATCAAGTACTGCCTACATTTTTCTGCAAATGACACCGAAAAGAAATTGCAGTTTCATTTTGCGACGTTTACCAAGTCAGTAATTGTAGAGTTTCTAACGCCATGTGACTAGTCCGGATTCATGCGGATCCTCCTCGAGCCAGAACTCACGCCCAAGAAAGCCGCCGGATCCCTTCAGGAACCCGCCAACCGTGTCTCAAGCACGCTCTTTGGTAGGCCTCAATAGCTTCACCGACCTTGTAATCCTGCTGCGGACTTGGAGCTAAACGTGCCGGGAAGGGCTCCAGATTGGTCATCGCCATTCGTACCTGCAGTAGTACGCTTTCAATGGACGCCGTTGGCAGCCAGCCAGAATCAGTTAGTAGCTCCATACACATGGCTCCCCCGGCCGTAACATGGCCCCCGCCTCCCGCAGCAAATCCTCGAAAGCGTGGGCGGATCACCCGGGCAAATGGAGGGGCCATGGGGAATTGGGGAGGGAATCGAAGTTCCAGGACAATGCTTTTTAAGCCCAGGGCCTTCAGGTCCTCTGCCAGGGGAAGGGCGGGATCAAATGAGTGTAGTTCCACTATCCATTGATACACCGTGGAGATCAGATTGGGATCGACGTACCATCCGAGCTCGTGGAGAGGCTCTCGCTGTTGGACCTTCAAAGTGGCCTGGAAGTGCTGTTGCAGGACCTTGGTAGCGGAGGAAGTGGCATATTCGGGCATTGAAAGAAGCGACAAAGATTCGCCCTTGAGCGTGCCTGGAACAAAGTCTGTCTTGAGAGATTGATCCTGTGCAGGGTGAACATCCAGATTCGAGCCAGTCCTCGGATCGCTTTCAGTTGTGCAGTCCTCGATCTCGGAAAGGAAAATGCGCTCGTCATCAGATGCGGTTGCGACGCTAGTATCATCGTCCAATCTACCGTCCACGTTCAGCGTAGAGGACTGGTTTGACGAAGAGGGTTTACGCCTTTTTCTTCCTGTACGATCCGGTGAGCTTCTTTTTGTCTTTGCATTCTTTGCAAGACTCGCAAGATGGCTTGGCTGGCCTCGTTTTCCCAGAATGGAAAGAGGGATAACAACTGCCCGGCGGGCGGGATCCATCGCCTGGTACTTTGGGTCCTGCTTATACACCTGGGTGGGTGCAGCTTGAAGGCCCGATTCGGCTCTACATTTGACAAAGAGGTATCTGGGTTGGATCCAGTCCAGAAAATTCACCACGTAATGGGGGTTGGTACACCTGAATTTCTGAGGAGCGTTGACCACTTCGTTAAGTGAGATGGCCGCATGGATCTTCAGTTTGCTCCCAGGCCACATGCCGCCCGGGCCATGCCGCTGACAGTAACCTATCGAGGTATTGAAATCTCGGGATAGGTAAACGCCATCGCCACAAGCCCGACCGTTCGCAACGGTGTCAAAATTCAGTCCCTCACGCAAGATGCTGTGCCAGTTGAACAGAGGACTGCCATGCCACGCGAAAAGGGTAGGGTATTGGGGGTTAGCAGTTAGAGAAACCGTGTCGACAGCATCGATGAAGCGTTGCTCCTTGTCTGGGGCACCTTGGGCAAGTCGAAACTGAACAAACCCATCCATGCCCGACACGAGATGCTCAGGACGGTCATTGTCTTGCATGATGTATGACCGGTTGGATGCGACGATCCAACGCAAGAGCCCCAATGCGGCCGGGGATATCACTCCTGTCCATGACGAGAGCAGCCGACCATTGCTGTATGGACCCAGGAAGGCTTTCATCTGGTCGACATCAGGAAGGGTGTCAAGAACGATCTGCATTGTCTTTTGCTTTTCACAAGGGTTCAAGTCATCAAAGTTCTGGTCGTAGACGAAGAAGAACACCGACTCTCCAGCTGATCGGTGCGAGAGTTCCTTGGGCGACAGTTGTACTCCGGGCGAACTGGGGGATGATAGATAGATGTGAGGGGAAGATTCACCAAGGCGTTCAACCCGACCATGCCAAATGGCTGCGGCATCGCCTTCGGTTTTCGCTGCCGGAAATATCACAGCAATCCAATCGCCGATTCTGAGAGGGACCTTTTTATCCGGAAGAAGCTCCATTTGAGCGGCGTGAAAGCGAGCGGTGTATTGGCCGGCTGGAGGCGATTGGTTTTCCAAGGTGGCAATAAGATTCGAAAACTGGATTCTGATGCAGTCTGACACGGGCACACGAAGCCCAAGACCAGTTGGGAAATCTCTAAGCCTGCCCGACGATGCTCTAGCGTAGGTCAAACTGACAAGCATATCAACGACGTACGGTTGGGAGCGAACCTCGTGCTCTAGGTTTGGTCCCATGCCCAGCGTCATGTACTGGTAGAGACAGAGACCATTTGAGCAGACATAGGGCTTGAGGGCTTCAAAGTTATCTCTTGTCTTGCAGTGGCAAACAAGGCAGAACTCTGTGCACTTGACAAAGTGACGAAGTGCAAACTGCATTGCGAGCAGTGGTAATGAGAGTCTTGAGCCATCAGGATCGGCATCGACCATATGGTCAGCGGCAAGAAAGGTGGGAGCGGAAGCTGCCCACGTTTCTTCCTCATAGTCTTCGTCTGATGCCGTGTTGGTGTCGTCGAGGATCTTGCCTTGACTCCGTTGGAAGGATACTTCGGCTCCGGTCCAAGAATAGCCATACTTCAAACGAAGCCGTACGATATCCAGAAATCGATCATTGAGAAGACTATTGAGTGCTCCGCCAATGAAAAGGCTCCGGATGCCATGGCTCACCTTTTTGCTGTTTGTTTGCGGCCCTTCGTGACCAGTAGTTGTCGTGGCCTGACAGGCCTTCCTCGCATGCTCGAGAGATGGTTTGTAGGAGTTGCAAAGCCCGACATGGATTTGAACAACATAGCTCTTGGCATTGGCTCCATCATCGAGGATTCTTTTCAGATTCATGTATCGCGATGGATAACGGATGAGCATGACCAAATACTCGGAGGGGTGGACATCCCAGGTCTGCATGACCTCCTCCGAGAGGCCGAGATGAGCAATGCGGCAAGACACGGAGACGATCACGCAGCCGGTGATATCATCGAGGCATCCGACCCTGAATCCAGCGGCTTTTGCGGCCTGAAGATCTCGGCGCAGCGTGGTTCGCAGTTCCGTCTTGTCATGGACCGGAAGAGAAAAGCTCGGGTCGAAATCAGCGTCGGACTCATATTCGTCGGACTCATATTCGTCGTCCTCCTCGAACGCTTCCTCAGCACTATCCTGGCGGTCGGGATCATCTGGCATCGCCGTGGCCGGCGGATCACGATCGTGGATCACATGGTTAACAATGTCATCGATACGGCGCAGCATATGGTGGACCGACGAGCCCGTAAAGTTAGTGCGAGCCAAGGAGTCCATCACCGCTTCACTGACATTATCGGATGTCGAGAAGATGAAATAGCTGTGGTCGCGCGGATAATCGTGGGAGTCTGTTAGTCCTGGTCAGATATACGTGGCGCTCAGCCCCGGGGATTGGCTTACCGGATATGATGACTTGAAAATCGACTTGCATGTGGGAAGAAGTGAAAGTGAAAAGGATGGACTCATCATCATCGCCGGCTCTAACACGGCTCAAGTGAGGGAAAAGTTGAGGAGGCGTGGCTTGGTTGAGGTCATTTCGGAAATCTTTTCGAGGCATGGTGGTGATATTCTCGATATCAGTCGCTGGGTGTGACAAGACAAGCAGTGAAATGGGCGGCCTGACGAGGAAGAGATAAGATGCTGATGGGGGAACGATTGATGAAGCAAGCCGGGAAGTCGAGGATGTCAACAAGACGACAGCGGTCAGGTAGACACCAACGCGACGGTATCTACCGTCCAACCCGCTGCCTCATTTAGCGCTCGCCAGATTTCAGCACGGGGGAAGTACCGGCGGAAGTTGGAGCTGTTGTGTTCTTGATGGACGACGGAGAAAGGTCGCCCGTTCAGGTCCAGCATCGTGGGGAGAAAGCCTTGGGGGTCCACGTGATGAGGCTCTTTCCCAGGCATGGCAGTACCTATGCAGGATGGACGATGCTTCATATAGGTCGGTACCTATAAGATTAAATACATTTAATTATGGCAGTGATTATCATCGACATCTGGTCGTCTCCCTACAGTGGATCCGGACTCCCGCCGTGGAGTAAACCCTAAGCTGATAGAGAGAGCCAATCTGCCTCGCGTACCTGGAGACTAAGTTACGGACTTGCGTACTCTTAATAATAACACGGAGCCTCACTTGATCCCACCCACCACTGGCACCCCACATTTTCTTGTCCGCTCCAGCGATTCCGTCATCCGGTCCACAGATCCCGCCATTGACCAGCCCAGGCCGACCGCCCGCTCAGTGCTGCCGACCACCCGGGTCTACACGCCTCCCTCATCCATGCTTCCAAGATTGCACCATCTCAACGAATTAATAACAGAATATCTGATCCCCATGGGCCTGGATAATCCAAAGCCATCCCGCTCACGATTTGGTGAGTGGCTCACTGGGTCGCGATCGGCCATCTCCAGGCTAACATGTGTTGATAGGCTGTCGCACCTGTCGTGCCCGTAAAGTAAGATTCCAGCACCTCCTCCTGCCCAGATCTGGGGTCCTAAGGCATGGAATTTGTTACCGCAGGTTAAATGTGATGAGCGACCGGGCGAATGTGGGAATTGTGTCAGACTGCGCTTGGTCTGCTCGGGCTACCCGACCTCGCTGCCGACGGCGCGAGTACTGGGGGAGATGACGGACCGAATCGACAAGTCGAAACGAAAACGAACCTATCGTTCTTGTACGGCTTGTCGCTCGTCAAAAACAAAATGTTCCGGCGAACGGCCAATGTGCCGTCGCTGTCAGGACAAGGAGCTACAGTGCAACTACGCCGAGTCCTCGCAGCCCACCTGGGTCCAGCGGATAGAGGAAATTGAAAAGGCCAATAACGAGTCTCCCCCTATACCCACTTCAGTCCACGGGGTTTCGCCGGGAAACCCAGTCTCGATTGCTGCATCGCAGCCGGTTGACCAACACCCTCACGATTCGCGCAATCCGCCTTCACGCGAATCCATCGCGGTGAAAAGCGTTCAACCATCATTGTCGTCCCTCGAATGGTACGGCTCATGGAGTTGTCGATATGACATTCTGCTGATACAGAACAGGCTGACCGCTCGACATCTGCCCACTTCATGGAAAATAGGCCTTTTGGTAGAGGAATATTTTAACAATATCCACCCTCTACGCTGTTTTGCTTTTATTCATAAACCATCCTTCCTTCGGCGCTTAGACGGGGAGCTCTCCATCAACTATCAGACCCACGCCTTGTTGCACATCATCTGTGCCCTGGGTGCTCAGTAAGACCATGAGTGACTTGGTTGGAAGGGTACAGTCGCTGACAATATTTGCAACAGGTTCTATGCACTTGCCTACAGTGAAACGGTGGCACATCTCCCGTCAAAGTTCGTCCTGCTTGCAGGCGGCGAATGGGCTAGGATCTCACAGCGACTGATCCTGGAGGCTATAGACACGGTCACTATCGAGAACCTAATGGTCAGTACATTTCAGAACATTTTATCCCGGGGTGTTGTCTAAATAATTGCTAGGCTGCGGTTCTGGTTCATGACTATGCAATCCGGATGGGCAACTTTGCCAACGCATTCATGCTGAGTGGGCTCATCACTCGCATGACGCAAGCCCTTCAAATCAACCTGGAATATAATACAGACCTGCTTTGTCAGGATGCTGAAACCGGTCTATCGGTTACAGACAAAGAGTCTCGTCGACGATTGATGTGGAGTTGCTACGTGATGGACGCTCTCGTGGGGAGTGGGGTTGACCAGCTTACGCTGGTGGAAGAACGAGATATGAAAATCCAGCTGCCCTGCAACGAACGAAATTTTCTCCAGCAACGGCCATGTCTTACGGAAACATTAGAGCCTGGAAATTGGTTGAAATTCATTCCTGGGGAATTGGACACGGACACCATTCTGCCTAACATGGGCATTATGGCCTATTTTATTCGGCACATATCCATTCGCAAAAGAGTTTTGAGGTATGTCATGCTCCTTTCAAGTTACTTGATGATCTGCAATATTCATAACTGTTATTTAGGTACATCAAACACCTCGGCGACGCCAAGGTTCCGTGGGACCCGGACTCGGAATTCGCGATGCTAGATGCGGATTGCCGCGCATGGTACGAGTCTCTTCCAGCCAGTCTACGATTTATGCCAGATGCAATCTATATTAGAAAAGACTCCTCTCAGCTGGGGGCTCTCTGCGTTCTACATTGTGCCCATTACCAAACAATGTGCGATCTGTATCGCCTAGGAGCTCCCGCCCTTTACAAACTTCGGGCTGCTTTTGATTTCCCACCAGAGCAACGGGAATTCCTCCGTCATTTGCAGCAAGTTCTTTTTGACGCAGCAAGGACGCTGGCGTCAATCATTGGCGAGACCATGCGTCACGACTCCCGGATGCTGGCGGATTCGTGGCTGCCAACTATTGCTTACGACAGTTGTCGGATCATGGTCTACCACTTGACTCAAATCCTGGATCCTCGAATCGAGAGTACCAGAGTAATGATGAGAGAAACAGTCCCATTACTGCAAAGCAACATAACAGCTCTGAAAGTGATGGGAAACGTGAGCGGTATCGCGGACTCGCTGGTATGTTCTCACGTTGCATTTGCAATCTCTACTTTGTTTAAGCTTGGGGTTGTGGGAGATATAATTTAACATCAGATTATCTGTCACGATAGTGTTCAGCAGCAGAAATGATGCTCAACAGATCCAGGATTGAATCCGAAGCGATCACACAGAATATCGTTCCCGATGACCCATACCCGGCCCAAGAGGGAGATGAACCAAGGTACGAGGACATATGACATGTTGAGAAATATCTGAGCACTTGCTGAGTGTTGAATCTAGCGAAAGCCTCCCCGGCACTCCAGTTCAAAGTGCTCCAGACTACGTGCTCAATCCGTTATCAATATTTCGGATGGCACGCAAGTCTATCCCGGAGCGACATGCGCCTGAAAAGGCAGCCACTTCATCCGCACCCAACAGTGCGCTCCCGGAGTCTAATGCTGATCCGGATCATCCACTCGAAGGTTCCATCGCAGGCGGATGTCGGCGAAGCATCTCGAATGAGCCTGAATTTGGTCAAGCAAGTCTTGAAGAGCTCCAGACTCTCTTCATGTCGGATCTGGGATGGGCATGGCAGCCTGCTGAAACTGCAGTTGGATCGGGCATCGAGGCAGCTGGTCTGCTTCCGTGGGCGGGAGGATATCAGGTCACCCAGGGGGAGCCATGGCTACCGGTATTCCCATTTGCACAGCAGGACTAAATATATTGCAGTTTGCGAAGCCCAACCATGGTGTTCGATGGAGTCCAGGCATGGCCATGACCGTTTGGATGCGGGAACTTTTCGAGCTACTGGTGTGGATTCTACATTATATTGAAGTTTTATGATGGTATTATTTGTTTAATAAAATTTGCCCGGCAGATTGGCCATATTCAACTCGTACATTTGTCATGCCATTATTGGAGGCCTTACTCGGCATCCAAAGGACACACAGGCGGCGTGTCATTGACCTGGATGCCACCACGCTTCTTCTCCAGGCTGTCGCTGTATGGCAGCTTCCAGCCACCTTCGGACTCTGGCGCAGACAGCCAGAGTCTCATCAGATGTCGGCGTCGGGCCGGTCGGCCATTCTCATCTACGGCACCCGGGGGTGATCTGTGTACGCCGTTCGGGCATGAAATACCTGAGAGTTGCTCAAGAATTGGATGTCGCCAGGTGCAAGGATCATGTGGAGGGCCAATTCACCACAGGTCTTCTCAAAAACCTCCATAGCATACTTCTGCTTCTCGGACAAGGGCGGGATGCATGCATTAGGCCCAGAGTTGAAGCGGGCAAGTGATGTCACGTTCATAGGGTCAAAACGTGCATAGACACGAGGGTTCGAGCTTCGATCATTCTCGAGATAGAAGATACTGCCTCGAATCCAGCCTTCTTCGCCCTCGCTCACCTCGCCCTTGCGATCGAAGTACCAGTTGGGCTCACACAATGTTTGAACGACGTCAGGATGTCTTTCCTGCAGCACGTTGAAAAGGTGGTGCGTGGACGCAATATCTGATTCGCCTCCCGACATGGATTTCGCAATGCAGAGAAGGCCAACAATGTCCGACCCGTCTGTGTGGAAGTATTGCCTGGTTGCTGTTCAGCATCAAGGTTTCTGTTAAACTCAAGTCTTTACATACCGAGCATTTGTACGGTAGATGCGCACTCTGTCCGACTTGGTCGGATCCTCTCCCAAATCTTTGACATGGCCAAGAACATGGCCCTTCCCATTTTGGCTCACAAAGTACCCGAGATAGGTACCCAGGCCCATGTATGCAGTGGCGCTTTTTTGAAGGTCCCATTCCACGACGGGAAGACCACGGAACAACCAGAAGCCTTTTCCGTCTAGCAGATCCTTTCGCAGCTCTTCTAGCCGGTTCGAGAATTTGGGAAGCGGAAAGTTACTCTGCGGGATTCTCATTTAGTGTTTCAATCCCAAATCACAAGGCGCAAGAGGGCCCAGGAATCATACCTTGGTGATCCCAGTCAGAGGCGTGCCATTATTGATGAAAGTATCAGCCGCTACACTGATTTCTGCAATTTCGTCGGCGCTGAATTCATGAGTCCAGAGCTCGGGGTTGTTGCGATAGTCTTCGGCTTTCCACACCGTAGGTCCCGTCTGCACCTTGGGAAATTCGGAGTACGGGCGAACTTGAGAATACACGGGGGCTGTTGTCCTGTGGTCTTGAGACCATCTGGGAAGATGGACCGCTTGACACCAGTCGAGGAAGGCTGCGGGGCATCCGTATCGATTAGTCCGGGCGCCATATTTGCAGTATGCGCAATGAGCAACTTGAAATAACCCTGGGTGTCTTTATATAAAGGCGTTAAGATCGCTTGTAGAATGAACTGGAAAGCAAACACACGAGGGGCTATGGCCTTGATATAGGTGTCTTAATTCTCGATCAAGAGTGTTTTGCCCCGCATCGGGTTGTCGGATCGATCGGGTGCGGACTGTCGGGCCATGAGGGGATCAACATGACACGCAACTGGGAGCTAAAATGATGAATTCTGGGGCCAAGTTCAAGGCTTAGCGCTATATGGCTGGTCGAAATGGATGACAGACCGAACCTAGCTATGCCATGTCGCCTACTGGACGCGCACTTAGCTGCTCAGGTCCGTTGGCTTGTTCTCGGTCCCTTGTGAAAAATACGCCTGAGCTCAGGAGTGGAAAGGGCACTCATCACACAGATAGTGTGATACTGTCACCAACAACGGTAACTCGCAGCGTGTTCTCTTACTGGAATCTCTGGTATAACTACAACGCGGTGCCCTGGTCTTCGGTTGTCAGCCGCGCGCCTCCGATTGCCACGAGAGGGTAATCCAGATGCCGACAAGATCAGTTCTAGGCAGTTGATTGGTCTCTAAGTAGATTGGTAGATGAATTGCTATCCCAGCTCTGGCTGAGAGATCACCAGGGAAATAAATGACGTCAGGCCCAAAACGGGCACCACAATCGATCGGTTCTTGCCAGTACTCCTGAAGGTCAACACGCGCTGTGGAATCCGATCATCGCAGAAGACAAAGACACGGTCATCCGGCGCGTTTCATGGGATTTGATTTAAACAGGACATCGACTAATCAAGACCAGGGAGTTCAATTATCCCGTTAAAATGACCCCGGTCAGCGGTTTCTGGGTTTCGATATATATCTTCAAGGTCACCCTGGGCTAATCAACCCACCACTGGCACTAGAAGGCCCCAACTACTTATGATATGCCCTGGATTATAGGCTCGTTTTGTTTTTGGTCGGAGATACTGTCAACCGTGACCACGAATAGTACAACCCCTTTTTACAGAAACCTTCATTGCGACTTAGTCACGAACCTCTAGCTTCCAACCTTAATTCCTTCCCCCACGCCCATGATCAGTCTCGGTTTCCCTCGGCGGTTGCCTCTGACGATGATGGACACTGCAATTACGCGATCAGGAATGAGACCCGGGGGTGCACCAAACCCGGTCCGGCTAGATTCGTGGGGGAAATGCGGAGGCGGAAGCCGTGGGGGAGGGGCGTCGTGGGGGTCGTCTGTGATGCCTACATTAAAGCTGCTGTGCTTCCCGCGGCTCCCTTCTTCTTCCAACCGGACGCCCGCCATGTTCAAACCAGACGTTGTTCACGACGAAACCCCGAATCTGCCCAAAGATGTGCCCGTCGAGCCGGGCGTCCAGCGGGTCCCCTTGACGGACGAGGACAGCAAGCGCATTCGGCGCAAGACGGATCAGACCATTCTGGTCGTGTTGATTTGGGTCTATTTCCTGCAAATTTTGGACAAGTCCGTGCTGGGCTACGGTGCGACCTTTGGCTTGCAGGAGGACACGGGGCTCACGGGCAACCAATACTCGTTAGTCGGGTCTATCGCCCCCATCGCCCAGTTGGCCTGGCAGCCCTTCTCCTCGTTTCTGATCGTCAAGGTACCGCACAAGATCTTGATGCCCGTGCTATGCCTTGGATGGGGTATTGCTCAGACGTGCATGGCCGTGTGCCACAACTTTGGCTCTCTGATGGCTACACGTTTCTTCCTAGGGCTGTTCGAGGCAGGATGCTTGCCTTTATTTAGCATCATCACCAGCCAGTGGTACCGCCGTGCAGAACAACCTTTGCGAATTGCCGCCTGGTACAGCACTAATGGACTGGCAACGATCATCGCGGCCGCTCTATCCTACGGCCTGGGACACATCCATTCCGACCTGTTGAGGCCCTGGCAAATGTACGTGCTGCATTCTGGAAAGGTGGAAGATTATCTCACGCGACTATAGCATCTTTCTTTTTGTGGGCTTGGTGACCGTTGTGTCCGCCCCATTTGTCTACTGGCGCCTGGATAATGATATCATGTCGGCCCGGTTCTTCACGGAAGAGGAGAAAAGCCAGGCCAGGGAGCGTCTGCGAGCCAACCAGACCGGAACCGGAAACCGCGAGTTCAAACCCAGCCATATCTTGGAGGCGGTATTGGAACCCAAGACCTATCTCTGGATTGGGATGGCGATGCTCCTTAACATCGGTGCCAGCGTCACGAATACCTTCGGCCCGCTTATCCTGGACGGGTTGGGATACGATGCGTACACCACCAGTTTATTGAACATGCCATTTGGGGCATTACAGTTCATCATCATCTTGCTGGCGAGTTATCTGGCACAGGCTGCCCGGCTGAAGGGGGTCATTCTGGCCGCTTTTATGCTGCCTGTAGTGGCCGGCCTGGCCATCTTGTACGCGATTTCCCGGACCAAGTCGGTGCAGGGCGCCTTGCTGGCGGGTTACTACCTGCTGGCGTTCCTCTTCGGAGGTAACCCGCTGATCGTGACGTGGATCGTCGGAAACACGGCTGGAAGCACGAAGACATCCGTTGCCATGAGTTTGTACAATGCTGCTTCTTCGGCAGGAAATATCGTTGGCCCGCTACTGTTCAGCAAGAAGGACGCGCCTACGTACCACCCGGGCCTGCGTGCCTGCCTGGGCATTTTCTGCGCGCTGGCCGCCATCGTCCTCATCCAATGGGCTAACCTGGTCTTTTTGAATCAACAGCAGGCCCGCCGCCGCGTCCGGAATGGCAAGAAAGCAGTGATGGTGGACCATTCCATGCAAAACCATTATCACGAAATCGAGGAGGGTAATATGGAGGACGACGAGACTGGGCACGAGACCGCCAATGTAGGCAATAACGCGTTCCTGGATCTTACCGACCGACAGAATGATGAATTTGTGTATATCTATTGAGCAGCTACTTACCAGAAATGAACTTAACGACGAGCGTGGCATTGACACGGCAAGTGGTGCATTTTTTTTTTTTCCATCTTAGTCTCTCGAGTCCCACTGCCCTACCGTTTTCTTTTTTGGGCTGTGCAACATTCGACCAAGTGGCATATGTTTATGAGATCTCGTGGACTCCTGCAACCATGGGAGAACAACCATCACACTATGCACCTTATCTCGGAGACAATCCGTGGCTTTTGCCTTTCGAAACTCGAAAATAAGAAACCAGAACAAAACACGTCTCCAACAACAACATCCTTGTCCGCGCAAATAGTCCTGTAGGGCCGTCTGAACCAAAACCTGCAGACGGACCGGAGGCCAGGATCAAGGATTATTGCCAAGCGAGGGTGCTGAAGCGAACACCCCCATAAACGCCGCTAGACGCCTCTTCGTGATTGGCATGCCCATCTTCAGCGGCGCATGTTTTTTATTTTGCTGGCTGACGCACATCGCGGGCCGTGCGCCACCCCCGAGCAGCCAGCCGCCATAGGGGCCTGAGGGTAAAGTGATCATGTCAAGCTCTATGAACCTTCTAGGAAAGGAGAATGGAGCGATATAGCCATGGTAACTGAGCCGCGAACTAATGGTGAACAGAGATATTTTTGATTCAAATTGGCATGTCAAGACCGTATTCCCAAACGTCCTAGAGCTGGGACTTCATACTCTCGACACGACTTGCGTTCGGAGTCGGACTCCGTCGTCTGGGACTGGTCTAGTTCTAACAGAAACCGTCTCAGCCTATGACCCTTAGATGGGTCTCGTGGCGATCGATCTGGACCGCAAAAAAACGGCAGATGTTGTGGCAAGTAAAGCAGGAACCGTCTTGACTCACATGGCGGGTTTCTGGTTTGACTGAGTGCTTAAATTGTGATTCGTCTGGTTTCGCATCATCTGTCAGGGGAAATCCGTCGGAGTCGGATTAAACTGAGCGCAATGGCTAGCTGACAAGAAACTCAATGTCCGAACGACTGCAAACAGAGAACTTAATCGGTATCTTGATAAGTACCTCGCAACCTCGCACCGAAAATTGCAGAGCGGTTTCTCGTGCTTTTATCTAGAATTGATACCCTTAAGATTTCATTTACGTACTCAAACTTTTTTGTTGATTGCACCGAGCCGCGTGAAACTTCAAAAGTCTCTATGATGGTTGTAACCGAGCCCATCGCCATCGTGGGAAGCGCCTGCCGGTTTCCTGGCGAGGCGACCTCACCCTCCAAGCTGTGGGATTTGCTCAAGAACCCGCGAGATGTCCTGACTGAAATTCCCGAAAGTCGCTTCAATACGAAAGCCTTCTACCACCCCGACGGCCTTCACCATGGCACCACCAATGTCCGGCACTCCTATGTGTTGACTGAGGATCACCGCTTGTTCGACGCGCGTTTCTTTGGGACCAAACCAGTTGAGGCACATTCGATTGATCCTCAGCAGCGTCTGCTACTGGAGACTGTCTATGAATGCTTAGAATCGGCTGGCATCCCAATGGAGCACTTACAAGGCTCCGACACGGGAGTTTATGTTGGCTTGATGACGAACGACTATGCGGATCTTCTGGGACGAGACGTCCAAAATCTTCCTACGTACTTCGCATCAGGAACAGCGCGGAGTATTCTCTCGAATCGGATCTCCTATTTCTTTGACTGGCATGGGCCCTCGATGACCATCGACACAGCCTGCTCATCCAGCTTGGTTGCACTACACCAAGCAGTCCAGAGCCTACGGAGTGGTGAAAGCAGCGTGGCAGTTGCAGCAGGTACAAACCTCCTATTAGGCCCCGAGCAGTACGTTGCGGAGAGCAAATTGAAGATGCTTTCGCCCAATGGCCGCTCCCGCATGTGGGACAAGGACGCGGATGGCTATGCACGTGGTGACGGGATTGCGGCCGTGATTGTCAAGACATTGAGTGCAGCGCTAGCAGATGGCGATCACATCGAGTGTATCATCCGAGAGACCGGCACAAACCAGGACGGAAGAACAAAAGGAATCACTATGCCCAATCCTGTGGCCCAAGCAGACCTTATTCGAACGACATATGCCAGAGCGGGCCTCGATCTGTCGAAGCCCAGCGACCGTCCACAGTATTTTGAAGCTCATGGAACCGGTGAGTGACAAGGGAACACAATAGTGCCCTAAATATCAGGTTTAAATTTGCTGACAGTAACAGGAACGCCGGCGGGCGATCCCGTTGAGGCAGAAGCGATCAGCACTGCATTTTTTGGTCCATCTGCAAAGTACTACCGACGGCCAGGAGAGGAACACCCATTATATGTTGGCTCAGTTAAGACCGTTATCGGGCATACTGAAGGCACGGCTGGCCTCGCGGCTGTTCTGAAGGCATCGCTGGCCTTGCAATGCGGAATCATCCCACCGAATCTCCTGTTGAACGAGCTGAGCTCGACTGTCCGGCCGTTTTATACCGACCTTGAAATCCTCAAATCCGCCCAAGATTGGCCTCAACTTCCAATCGGAGTACCTCGGCGTGCCAGTGTGAACAGCTTTGGATTTGGTGGAGCCAATGCTCACGCGATTCTTGAGACATTCGAATCCCATATGTCAATGGATGTGCTACCACGCCGTGAGACTGTGAATATGTTGCCGTTTAACTTCTCTGCAGCCTCGGAAAAATCGCTTCTAACAATCATGGCATCCTACTCAGAATACCTTAAGATGGATCAGGATGTGAATCTGCGAGATCTGTCATGGACACTGAACTGTCGCCGGTCAACACTGCCTGTCCGCTTTTCTGTCTCAGCATCGAGCGTGGAGGATTTGGCCGCAAAGCTTCACAAAGCTACGCAATCATCGTCTGAAACCTCGACTATTACTCAAAACCCAAGTGTTCGCAAGCAGAAGCTACTAGGCATTTTTACCGGACAGGGTGCACAATGGGTTCGAATGGGTGCAGAGCTGCTGGCCAGCTCTCCTTTGGCTATTGATTGTGTCTCGCGGTTGGAAAAGTCCTTGCAAAAGCTCCCAGAAGAGCATCGCCCCTCTTGGTCCCTGAAAGAAGAGCTTCTCAAGGATGCCGCCTCATCTCAAATTGGAAAAGGTGAATTTTCTCAGCCCTTATGCACTGCGATTCAAATTGTGCTAGTGGAACTTCTTCGCGCAGCGCATGTTCAATTTCACACTGTTGTGGGCCATTCGTCGGGAGAGATTGCCGCAGCTTTTGCAGCAAAGTACATCAGTGCCGAGGATGCTATTCGAATTGCATACTATCGTGGCTGGTCATTACAGTATTCCGGTGCCCATAATGGCGTCCAGGGTGCTATGATGGTTGCTGGAACTTCTTTCGAGGATGCCAAAGAGCTCTGCGAAATGCCGACACTCGATAAACGGATCTGCGTTGCTTGCAGCAACTCTTCTACCAATGTCACGCTTTCCGGGGATGCAGACGCTATCGATGAGGCGATAGAGATCTTCCAAGACGAGAAGAAGTTCAATCGTCGGCTCAAAGTGGACAAGGCATACCACTCTCCCCATATGATGCCTTGTAGTGACCCTTATATCGAGGCCATTCGGAAGTGCGGCGTGCGTATTCAATCTCGTCCAAGTGGCAGCGCCACTTGGATATCCAGCGTCTACGTCGATGACGTTGAAAACGTCAGGGAGAACCTCATTGACACATACTGGATCAGCAACATGCTGAGCCCAGTGCTGTTCTCCGAGGCAATTTCTTACGCGGTTGGCGCAGCTGGTCCTTTTGATATGGCGTTGGAGATCGGGCCTCATCCAGCGCTACAGGGACCTGTAAAGGAAACAGTTCAAGAGATCTCTGGCAACACAATACCTTACTCAGGTACGTTGAGTCGGAATAAGAACGACTGTGAGATGTTTGCCTCTTCTCTTGGATCCTTGTGGGTGTCACTTGGAGAGAGTGCAGTGGATTTTTCAAGCTTTGACCGCAAAGCGGGTGACACTGGTGATGCCCCTAAGCTGATCAAGGGGCTTCCTTCTTATTGCTGGGACCACGACCGCGTCTACTGGCACGAATCTCGCCTATCAACCACGTTTCGAGCGGGGCAAGAGGAATTCCATCACCTGCTAGGCATGAGATGTCCTGATGGGACGATTGATCAACTGCGTTGGCGCAACTATCTCAATCCTCGAGAGATTCAATGGCTCGCAGACCATCAAGTTCAGGGACAGATGGTCTTCCCCGCGGCAGGCTATATATCTGCGGCGATTGAATGTATTCTCCGGCAATATGCCCTGGAATCGGTCCAGTTGATCGATTTCCACGACGTGATTATTGGCCAAGCTTTGGTGCTCGAGGAGAACACCGGGGTTGAGACTGTTTTTGATCTCAAGATCACCGAGCGCAGAAGCGACCGCGTCAAAGCAATATTCTCATGTCATTCCGCTGTGAACAGGGCATCTTCTTCTCTGGCACTTCATGCGTCTGCACAAGTACAGATTGTCCTTGGCAACCCAAAGCAAGATGTGCTCCCTCCTCGAAAGGGCACATATGATGGCTTTCTGGACCTAGAATCCAACCGATTCTACCAGTCAGTATCAAAACTGGGGTTCGGTTATACAGGTCCTTTCCAATCTCTCTCTGACTTGAGCAGAAAAATGGATGAAGCGACCGGGTTGGTCGCTGTCCCGACAGACCAAAACGAACGTCCTTTGCTCGTTCACCCGGCATCACTGGATGGTGCCATTCAGTCCATTATGCTAGCCTATTGCTTTCCTGGTGACGGAAGATTGCGCACTATTTACCTGCCCACCAAGATTGACTGTGTGCGCATTAATCCCTCTGGTTGGGTGGAACTTGGGGGCCCCGGAGCAAGTCTTCCATTCCACTCCTTGGTAGGATCTGCAAAATTCTCTGAGTTGTCGGGTGATGTAAACCTATTTTCTGCGGATGGAGACACCATTCTTCAGCTTCAAGGTCTTCATACCACGCCACTCAGCCCTCTCACGGCTGCCAGTGATGTTCAGCTTTTCACAGAGATCACCTGGGGATATGAAATCCCGAGGACAAGTGCTTTTGATCCGGGCAGGGACTGGTTAGAAGAAAGCCACACACTGGCCCTGGACTTGGAGCGATTGGCACACTTCTATTTGAAGAATCTTGCCCTCTCTACCACACCAACAGAACGTGCTGGAGCCACATGGCATAATACTCATATGCTTTCAAATGCTGAGCATTGTCTGTCCTTGGTTAAATCAGGAAAGCATCCTTTTGCTAAATCGCAGTGGGCGGATGATACAAAGGAGGAAGCCTATCGGATTCTGAGCCGGTAAGAATTGCCCGCTCCTCAAAACATTGCGCTCTGAGTTCTGACCATAGCAGATATCCCGACTCTATTGATGTCAAAATTATTCACGCAGTTGGCGAAAACTTTCCTTCAGTTATTCGCGGAGAGAAGAATATTTTGGACGTACTAACAGAGGAGAACAGGCTGAAAGAATTCTACGCCAACACACTTGGGGTCCAACATTGTCGCAAGGAAATGGCTCAAATGGCTGGTCAAATCAGCTATCGCTACCCGCATATGAACGTCCTAGAAATAAGTCAGTAAACCGATACACTAAATGCGCATCTATACTGACCGAAATTTTAGGAGCTGGCGCTGGCGAAACAGCCAATCTCATTCTGCACGAAATGAACACTGCTTTCGCTTCCTACACATATACTGATATTTCAACTGGATTCTTCGATGACGCCAAGGAGAGATTCAGTGACCGTTTGTCGAAAATGACTTTCAAAGTGCTTAACATTGAGAACGATATCATCGATCAGGGCTATGCAGAGAAATCATTCGATCTGATAATAGCTTCCCTGGCGCTTTATGCCACCAAACGGCTTGAAGCCGCTTTTTCCAACATTCGCCGCCTTCTTAAACCCGGCGGATATTTGCTCCTACTAGAGCCGACTAACCCGGATGTTATGCATTTTGGTCTCGTCCTCGGGGGCCTCCCTGACTGGTGGTTGGGCTATGACGAAGGTCGTAAGAAGTCACCATTAGTTTCAGTTGAAACATGGGAGGAATTGATGAGAAAATCCAATTTCTCTGGAATTGATGCGATATATCCACATCACCCAAAATTTCCGCTACCATTTTCGGTGATGGCTACTCAAGCCGTCGACAATCGGGTCCATTTTTTGCGAGAACCATTGGCGCTGGAACACCAGGCTCTGGGTTTGGAAACATTGACCATTATCGGGGGCAAGTCCAGCCAAACCTCTGTCATCGTCAAGGACATCTCAGCAGCAGTAGCTCGGCACTATAACCACATCCACAATGTTCCCTCAGTCATTGAATTGATTCCTTCCGATCTGCCTTTCATGGGAACTGTGGTTAGTTTGGTCGAACTAGATGAACCAATGTTCAAGGACATGTCATCGGAGAAGGTGAAGTCCTTCCAAGAGCTGTTCAAGCAGAGCAAGAACATCGTTTGGGTCACATATGGCGCACAGGGCGACAATCCGTATGCCAACATGTTTACTGGTGTCCAGAGAACGCTGGTCTCAGAAATGGATCACCTCCACATCCAACGCATCAACTTTCATACGCTGATGGAGGCTAATGGACGGCTCATAGCTCAGAAACTTTTGCTGCTTGAGATTGCGGACATCTGGAACCAGAATGGTGAGCGAGGTAGGCTTTTGTGGTATGATGAACCGGAGCTTTCCTTCAAAAATGGAAACTTCCTTGTTCCACGATTCCGCTTGGACCAGAGAAGGAACGACAGGTATAATTCCTCCAGGCGTTCTATGGTCAAGCAGATTGATCGTGACGCCTCGTCCGTCTCTATTGGATGGTCCAGACTAGGATACCGAATTGATGAAAACAACATCCGGAGTACAGTTTCGCACCCAGACCGCACAGATATAACTGTGACACACTCCCTTCTACGTGCTGTCAAGATTGCGGACGGCACCAGTCTATTTCTTGTCTGTGGGACAAATTCTCAAACAGGCGAGCATGTTATAGGAGCATCGGAATCTCTGAGTTCTCGCGTACATACCCCACGTACCTGGGTTGTTCTTTGCGGGGAATCTGTGGAACATGGAATTCAGTCGACAATTAACCTGTATATCTATTTCCTGGCTACAGCCATGCTTGACCAAGTCCTCCCAGGAAAGTCGCTGGTGGTTTTGGATCCGGACTTCTCATTTGCATCCATTTTGACTCAACGGGCCTCCGAGAAAGGCGTCCAGCTCGTATTGCTAACAACAGCAGACGATGCCTGCGTATGGCCATGGGTTCACATTCATCCATGTGCCACAAAACGCGAGATACTGGAGAATTTACCTCACAATATTGCTCGTTTTGTCAATATTGGTGGCGACCAGGAGTCAACGTCCATCATTAAGCAGTGTTTACCGGCCAATTGTGACGTGCAAACTGAGCAGTCGCTCACAAGTGAAGTGTCGCACTCAGAATCTTACGATGCCACTAGCAAAGTTGCTACCCAGATCCAGGCGGCTTGGATGAGAATACAAAACGAACAGGCACCGGTCAATCCTCTCCGATTTGGAAGGCTTTGTTTGAAAGAGCTCATACAGAATGTTAACCCACGAACTTCACAATTTGTCATCGAATGGGGTAAGAGCAAACTTCTAGCCCAACTTCAGCCCGCCAGTGTGCAGGTCCAGTTTGCAAAAGACAAGACATATTGGCTTGTTGGATTAACCGGTGGACTTGGTCTGTCGCTGTGCCAATGGATGGCAGGCCAAGGTGCACGATACATTGCACTCTCAAGCCGAAACCCCAAGGTTGACGAAGTGTGGCTGCGTCAAATGGCTGCTAGTGGTTGCACAATCCGAGTTTTCTCCAGGTATGTGTGACCATTCTCACTGACCCATACGCAATTACTGACCGACGATTTTGAAAAAGTGATATTACAGATCGCGAGTCTGTACGTGCTACACACCGCCATATTTGTAGGACAATGCCTCCAATTGCAGGTGTCGCCCAAGGTGCTATGGTACTCCAAGACACAATGTTCCCAGACCTTGATCTCGCCCGGCTTGAGGGAGTGCTTCGACCCAAAGTTGATGGCAGCATTATACTTGATGAACTCTTCTCGGATAACACACTCGAATTTATGATATTCTTCTCGTCCATGGCTGCGGTGACGGGTAACCCTGGCCAAGCCGCATACAACGCAGGTAACATGTTCATGACCAGTCTTGCTGCTCACCGGATAAAGCGCGGATTGGCAACTTATGCGATCAATATTGGTGCTGTTGTAGGCAATGGATACGTAACTAGGGAGCTCAACATGAGCCAGCAGAATTACCTTTACCGGGTCGGCCATTCCTGGATGTCTGAACAAGACTTCCATGAAGTTTTCGCCGAAGGAGTCCTGTCTTGCATGGACCAATCCGGCATCGCAGAACTGTTCAGTGGACTGAGAATTGATGACGATGAGTCCAAAAGCTGGGTATCCAACCCTATGTTCCAACATCTGGTATTCAGATCAAGCAATTTGCTTGCCGGAGGCAACAAGGGTAAGGCTGGCGGCATCATCAAGGCCCAGCTATTGGAAGCTATTTCTCGTCAGGAAGTTATCGAAATTCTAGAAGGTGATACTGATATCAACCAGATTAAATGAGACTGTCAGCTGACTATTGCAGGTGGCTTTGTGCTAAAGCTCCAATCTGCGTTGCAAGCCGATCCCGACAAGCCAATGTTGGATATGAGCCCTGACGAGCTAGGCATCGACTCTTTGGTCGCAGTTGATCTTCGTTCGTGGTTTTTGAAGGAACTGGGAGTGGACATGCCCGTGTTGAAAATCTTCAACGTTGTGTCAATCCGGGAATTACTTGCTTCGGCTGCAGAGCTTCTCTCTTATGCCTTGATTCCCAACGTTAACGATGATGCGAGGCTCTCAGAAAATTCTCAATTGGACAATTCACACGCTTTGAATGTCCAGAATAAAGGTTCAGGCGCCTCAAATGAAACGTCAGCAGATGAAACAGGCTCCTTCACCGTTGATATGATAGAGTCTCTGAAGTCACGGCACCTGGACTTGGCAAACGCCCACAGCAGTAGCTCCACTGCTTCTCTGCGGGCAGAGGACTCCAATTCAGAGGATACCGAGGACCCGGCATCGTCTATATACACAGATGATTATGGTCCGGTAGTCCCCAATCGTACTGTTCAAAAGATTCTTCCTATGTCATTTGGTCAGTCGCGCTTCTGGTTCCTAAAGTTCTTCGTGGAAGACAAATCTGCATTTAACAGCACAACGACAATTGGCTTATATGGGCGTCTTCAGATTGATGCCTTCGCTAAAGCCATTGAATTGGTGGGCGAGCACCACGAGGCGCTGAGAACATTCTTTTTCACTGATGGCGAGAAGCGGCATATGCAGGGTATTTGGACCACCCCAATTTTGCGTCTGGAACACATCAAAATCATCGACGTAAACGAGGTCGACAAAGCTGCAAAAAAAATGAAGGCCCATGTTTTCCACCTTGAACAGGGAGAAATTCTTCGCGTCCAACTCCTTTCCTTGTCACTAGAGCAGCATTGGATAATCTTCGGATGTCATCATATTAATATGGACGGAATTAGTTTTGAGAATTTCTGGTCTGATGTTGAAAAGGCCTACCAAGGTGTCCCTCTATCCTCAACTGTGTTACAATACCCCGACTTTACTCTTCGGCAGTTGCGCGAGTATGAGTCTGGCGCATGGACATCTGATTTGGACTTTTGGCGCCAAGAATTTGTTGAACTGCCGCTTCCAATCCCTCTTCTCCCATTTTCTCAGCTTAATGTTCGTCCCAGCGTCTCGCAGTTCGGGTCCCATACTGCCCTGATCAGGCTGGAGATAGGCCTTTGCGCAAAGGTTGAACAGTGTTGTCGGGTGTTCAAAACGACACCATTCCATTTTTACCTTGTCATTTGGGAGATTCTGGTTCTCAGATATTTTGATATAGACAGTGTCTGTATTGGAGTCGGCGATGGTAACCGGACTGACAGCGACGTGCTCAACAGTGTTGGACTTTTCCTCAATCTTCTTCCGATCCGGTTTATGCGAAAGCCAGATCAGTCCTTTGGGGAAGCCCTGAAGGAAATCCGGTACGTGACACAAAACGCATTCGCACACTCACGCGTGCCATTCGACGTCATTTTAAAGGAGTTATATGTCACGCGCTCCGCCTCCTACACTCCATTATTCCAAATATTTTTCAACTATCGACGAAAGATTCAAGAATCCAGAACATTCTGTGGATGTCGTGCTGAGGGCGAACTGTTAGGCGCTGGCGAGACAGCGTATGACCTCAGCTTAGACGTTGTTGACATCAGCAACGGGGAGACCATGTTATGTCTTTCTGTACAGAAGGATCTGTACAAAATGGAGCATGCAGATATTCTTGTCCAGAGTTATTGCACCCTTTTACGGTCTTTTGTTTGCAATCCAGCAACCCGAGTGAACTGGCCTTCTTTGTATTCAAAAAAGGATGTGGAATTGGCAGTGTCGCTTGGGAGAGGCAAGTCAACCGTGCTTTTTCTTGCGGGAGGTAGTTTGCGCTAAACTTGGACAGGTGTGGAAATGAGAAATCGATGGCCAGCAACTATCGTGCACCGTGTTGATGAAATTGCTCGTCTTTATGGAAGCCGCGTGGCCTTGAAAGATCAACAGAACCATGTCCTCACGTACTCTCAGATGCAAAATCGGGTGACCTGTATTGCAAATGAACTTCTCATCAATGGGGTCAGGCCAGGAACGGCAGTGGGAATCTTCCAATCTCCAAGTATAGACTGGATTTGCTCCTTGATGGCCATTCTTCGGGTTGGCGGGGCCTATGTTCCACTGGACAAAAAGGTGGGTATGAATCGATTGAGAGTGATCACCAACGACTCACGCCTACCGGTGATCCTGATTGATTCCTCTACACACTCAGAATTTTCACTTCTCAAATCTGATGCAGACACAATTGATGTCTCCAACCTGCGTGATGCGACCACAAGTCCTGTGTCTGTCAGAGCTGAGCCCAAGGGAACCGCTGTCATCATGTACACCAGTGGGTCCACGAGCACTGCAAAGGCAATCAAGATCCATCACTTGGCCTGGGTACATAAAATTCAAGGTGCAATCGGTGAATGGAGGCTTGCCGAAGGAGAGGAAATAATACTGCAACAGTCGTCCTATTCTTTTGATATGTCTCTTGCCCAAATATTCCTTTCACTGTGTACAGCAGGGACCCTTGTTATTGCATCAAGCTTGACTCGCAGTGATCCGATTGCTATTTCCGCTTTGATCGCAGCTGAAAATGTGACTCTTACGGTTGGGACACCAGCAGAATACCTCGGGTGGCTTCAACATGAACGCTTGGCGTTGAGACACTCTCAGCTGCGAACAACCATATCTGGGGGGAGGCTTTGTCGAATGGGCTGATTCAACAATTTAAGCTGCTGGACAAATCGAACTTGCGGCTAATCAATGCCTACGGGCCTACGGAAGCCACGTTGGCCTGCAGCAGCACTGAGGTTCCATATGCCCAGCTCGACGCAACCTCGGCCATAAACAACTTGCCTCTCTCCACATCGCCCAATTACTCCACCTACATTGTTGACAGTAGTCTTAACCCTGTTCCCATTGGAATACCTGGCGAAGTGGTAATTGGAGGTGCTTGTGTCAGCCAGGGTTACCTCAACGAAATCGACACAAAAGCTCGCTTCTTGCAAGATCAACATGCCAGTACATTCTTCCATGAACATGGGTGGACAACAATTCATCGAACTGGGGACCGGGGGAGACTTTGCAAAGATGGGACCTTGGTTCTCATGGGTCGCATTGAAGGTGACACTCAAGTCAAGCTCGGTGGCATTCGAATGGATCTGGAGGATATCGAGGCCACGATTGTGCGCGCCGCCGGTGGGAAGATTGTTCAGGCTGTTGTTTCAGTTCGCACTCAACAAGACGTGGAGCAGAGCAAGATGTTTCAGGTCGCATTTGTGGTCCTCCGCGATGACAACCCACCTTCTCAACCGACTCAGTTCCTGCAAAATCTTGTGGCAGAACTACCGGTGCCTCAATACATGCGACCAGCAGCACTCATTCAAGTTGACTACATACCGCTAACGCCTTCTGGAAAGATCAATCGACCTGCAATCGATGAGCTTCCTATCCCTCGGGCTGCACAACACCAAACGCATGATATAGATCTTACGGCGTCAGAGCTTTCCCTGCGTCACCTGTGGCACGAAGCGCTACCACAAGGGCTTGCTGAGCACTATTCTATCAGCGCGACATCAGATTTCTTTCATGTCGGAGGATCATCATTAGCATTGGTTAATTTACAAAGCTTGCTCAAACACCGACTAGGAGTTTCTGTGCCTTTGTACCAATTGTTTGAGGCAAGCACCCTCCACGCCATGGCCTTGCGAATAGGAAATCTGTCGTCCTCCATCTCTAATCCGACGGTGGACTGGGAACATGAGTTACAGATTGCACCTGACCTAGATCAAACCACGCTGAGCTTTGGGGCTACGATTTTTCCTCCGCAGGGTGTTAATGTCGTGGTACTCACTGGTTCCACGGGCTTCCTCGGCAAGGAAATTCTTCAGCAACTTATCAGCGATGACCGAGTTATGCAGATACACTGCATTGCTGTTCGAAAGGAGCAGTCTCAATTACCCGAGATGTTCTCTCATGGCAAAGTGATTTTGCATCGAGGAGATCTGGGTGCATCACAGCTTGGTCTTACCAATCCTGAAGCAATATCCATTTTTTCTCACGCCGACATAATCATTCACAACGGTGCCGATGTCTCTTTCATGAAAAGCTATCATACACTCAAACTCATCAATGTTGCCTCAACCAAGAAGCTCGTCAAGCTGGCCTTGCCGCGACGTGTCCCATTCCACTTCATATCATCAGCAAGCGTCGCACGCCTTGCACACAAGGACAGTTTTGGTGAAATATCGGTTGCTCAGTATCCTCCACCTCAAGTGCCCGATGACGGATATGTCGCTGCCAAATGGGTCAGTGAGGTGTATCTAGAACGCGTCAGCCACCAGTTCAACCTTCCAGTTTGGATCCATCGCCCATCTAGCGTGACAGGTCCAGATGCTCCGGAACTCGACCTGATGAGCAATCTCATGCGATACATCCAGGAGACAAAGGCTATACCGGACACGGGATCTTGGTCTGGCATGTTCGACTTCATATCCGTACAGTCGGCGGCGAGTCAGATAATAAAGTCGGCGGAATCATCTACAGCCATTCAGCCATTTTTCGGGAACGTCAAGTATATCTACGAGTCTGGGGAGATCCAAATCAGTCAGGAAGACGTGCAGTCGTTAATGGAGCTCGGGAAAGGTGCTTCATCTGAAGTGATACCTGTTGACAGCTGGGCTGAACGCGCGGAGAAAGCGGGAATGAATGTGCTACTCGGGGTATATTTACGTAGAATCTCGGGCGGACAGGTCTTGCTGCCGCGGTTGATCAAATACAGGGAGGAGACCGGATGAAGAAGTCGAGTGTACTCTCCGCAAATGCCATGGAATCAAGTACGTGTGATTACTTTGTCAATGAAATTTAAGATTAATCCATACTCTGCCGTATCTACCAACACTTTAATTATTACTCACTGCATATCACAAGTGAAGCAGATATAATATGATCAGTGTTCGTTAATGTTAGTATGTTCAGCCAGGATTGTGAGCTTCACTTCGTCAATTCAAGCCAGATTCGCTTACACGGAATATTCTGATCGCTTCCAACGTCGTTGTCCTGGGATTCACGAAACTAAATTAGTTTCAAACCCTCTATATACACCACAGGATGGTCCTAGCCCTGAATAGGAGAGCCCGTCTAGGCTGAAACGGGCAGCATCGAGTTTATCTCCGCTTCTGCAACTTTGACGTATGGGATCTTTAGGGTTCAGTAGGTCGTCAAATTCTGCTACATATTTCAAAAGTGACTGTGAATGGAGTATACTGTGAAATTTCCAGGGGACGACCTTACACATGGCTTCACGCCCGGACCGAAGACCTGTGGCAGAGTCCTGTTTTAGCCATGTTGTCTATTCGTTCTGGACGGAATATTCCACTGATATGCCTCTATCGAGACATTTTTGGCCGTGGCTGGTCAGACATACTAATTTCTTACTTGAATCGTTCAATGTTTGATTTCTTCAAGACTTGATTGAGTTGTAAACTGTCCAAGTGGACAGCGCATTGTCATCTATGCTGATTTCTATCCCGCCTTTTTGTAAACTGGTAACTTTTCAAATCGGACGGGATTGGTATCTCATCTTATTCAAGTTTGAAATAAGTCACATCGGTTGAAATGAGTTGAAATCGCTAATAGCGCGGCGCCACATGCCGTTTCTTAAGAAGTCCGCTTCGCAAGGAACAACAAAACCTAACCAATTCATTTCCCTGCACCTCGGGTTCCTATTGTCGCATTAAATTCTATCGACATCTCACAATGAAGCCTCACTCCAAGCTTCCTGAACATCAAATCGCAATTATCCAATATGAAGGCGGTAACATCCGAGCCACTCCCGGACTGAAGATTCCCGATATTGAAACACATCAGATGTTAGTGAAAACTGTCGCTGTGGGTTTGAATCCCTGTGATTATAAAATGCCGGCTCGCTTCCCCACGCCTGGTCTCTGGGATGGTTGCGACTTCGCCGGGATAGTTGTCGCTCTAGGTAGTGAAGCCGTAAAACAGGGACGATTCCGTCTCGGTGACCACGTTTTCGGTGCTGTTCAAGGCTCAAATCAGGCAAACCCAGAGTCAGGCGCCTACTGTGAATATATAAAGGCGGAACCCGACTTTTTATTTCACGTTCCAAAGGGGATGTCCATCACCACAGCCGCTGCCATTTCGGGTACGGCCATCGCAACACTTGGAGTAGCGTTGTTCTGGTCTCTTGAGCTCCCGGGAAATTTAGACCAGCCCGTGGCTAAAGGGGAAGATGTTTTGATCTACGGGGGCAGCAGTACTCTTGGACTTCTCGCCATTCAAATGGTAAAGCTGTAAGCCATATTTGACTTTCGATCGCTGGAAACTAAACTGACTGGCCACTAAGATGCGGACACCGGGTCATCACTACCTGCTCACCTCACAACATTGATCTGGTTAGATCCTATGGTGCAGACTTGGTTTTTGACTACAATTCGCCAAAGTGCGCCGATGACATCCGCGCGGCTACCAAAAATACTCTACGCTTCGCTCTGGACCCTTTTGCTGAGGCCAAGACCTTGAGACTTTGCTACTCTGCAATTTCTAGAACCGGTGGCCGATACTGTGCATTGGAGCAGTATCAGGAACAGCTTTGCACCCGCCGAAGGGTTAAACATGAGCTCGTTATGGGAGGCGCCATCGCTGGCCGCGGTGTCAATCTCCCGGAACCTTACGGTATTCCACCAAATCCCAAGATTGGGAAATGGGCTCAGACATGGTACCTTACTGTGCAGCAGTTGGTGGAAGATGGAAAACTAAGACCTTGTCCATTTCAAATAATCCCCGGCCGCTTCGATGGGATTATGACCGGACTGGAGCTCCTTCGGAAAGGAAAGGTCTCCGGGCGGAAGCTCATTGTAAAGCTGGCAGAAGACGAAAATTGCGACATTTAGACCAGTAACAAGCTACATACATGAGAATTAACGCATCCAAGCCATAACATATGAATCAATTGATGGCTGCTCTCATAGTCTTCACCATTAAATCAGAAAGAGAAGATGCGACGCTCAAATTGGTTTACGCCTCTAGTGAGCGAAGATAGAGTTACCTTTGCTGCGTCAGGTAATCATAAACAAATCTAGCATCAACAGTATCCCCACCCTTGGTCGTTCTAGTGTTTCTAGTGAGACGACGTTTGCCATCGATCAGCTCGAAGCCCCAAATTACCCGAGCCTCCCAACCTTTGACAGCATTGATTGCAAATTCATCAATTATCCGTGAGTCTCCGGACTCTTTATAGCTTCCACGAAAGGTGTTATCTGCAACTTCCGCGACGTCGCTATATTGGAATTGCATGCTGACATCTCCGAAAATTGGAAGCGAGGCATCATGGGGTTTGCCGTCGACGGGATAATCACCCTCGCTATCGAAGCCTCCTGGATGAACGGTTTGCTTGACATGTATAACCGTCGTTTTTTCTCCAGATACCCCATCCGTAGCTTCGCTTGTAGTCTCTGACTGGGTCATTGTCAAGGATAGGCTGCCGTATCGGAGGGCGTGACGAACAAGCCAGGGAACTCCTTGCTGTTTGTGCTCAGTATTGTATTGGCCTAAAGCAAAAATTGTTGCATACCAAGGCAAATACTTTGTCAGGATCATCCGACAACTTTTTGTTCTAGTTTGGTTTTAGTGTGACTACATGGTGGGTGGAGGATGAGACATACCAGAGCCCAAGTCCCTGTCAAATCATGTACGTATGCCGAATCCGGGGCAGCCATTGAGGTTCAGTTTTGACTTGAAACAAGTATGTACGGAAAGTAGGTGTGCATTTCTATCTTTCTGAAGGCTCTGAGTCCTTTTTAGACCGCGTAAGCCGCGAACAGCTTAGGTGACGAGAAGGCCAAGCTGTCACTATTTTTCGGACTCGGAGTCCGATCAGAGTAAGTGAGTCTGGTTCAAGTTACAATTATGGGCATATTTCAGTTGCGGAATTTGTAAACCACATGAGCTTGCCAGCCCAGTTGAAACGGGCTTTCCTGTACGAATGCATAATCAACAAATAAAATCATTCTCGGGTATTTCTGCATGGGTGTCGTTTTCTTCTTCCAAGGCAACCGAATTGTCTTCATACAGTCTAGAATGCCGAAAGAACTTTTGGAAAAGTGTTAGAATTATGTTTACTACCAGAAAGTCTGGGTAGCTTTAGATCCGTATCACTAAAAAAATGGGCCCACGTGGAAGTTTTGTAGATATTAATGTAAATATACAAACAACGGAAGATAACAATCAAGCACATTATTGTGTTTTCAAAGAGGTGAACCCTTTTCCTGGATAAGAAAGTTGGTTAATGATAGGTTCAAACCCCAGCAGGCTCCTTCACTAGTTGACCTAGACGGCTCATTGTGTCTCTCAACGACATATTGTAGGACGAACTTTCCTGATCCAAAATAAAATCACGTATCGAAATCCAGAAGCTATCCCCCAAGATGGGTACTGTGTGAACAAAGTCTCCATCCTTCTCTCGAGCTGAATCTGAAACCAGTCCAAGAGAACGTTCGATCTTATCCAACTTGTTTGAACTGAGCTCAGTGATAACTTGAATTTGGACAGACAAGTTTGGATCCATGTGAAATTGTCCAAGTTGTAGGCTCGGGAGCATGAGAAAGTCTCCGACATTTGACGGAGGAATGATGAGGATCAGTTGGTACAGTCGGGTAAACACAGCACGATAAACTCGAACAAGATATACATAACAGGTCATAATGCTTAAAGAACTTGTTATGTCCCACGTGGAAGTGGTCTTAGTTGGCTCCTGCGGTGATCGTGTCGCTGTCCGGTATCCCGAGTCATACGACGATGCCGTTGTCACCGCTTCTTCAGTTCTATCCTCAGATGGTCCTTGTATTCTTATCGACTGATCAATTATTTTGGGTGTCTGATTGAGTAAATCAGAGGAGTCATGGCTTGATTCTGGAGGTGTCTGGCAGAGAGAGATGTCCGACGCGCCAATTAAGCATGAAAGCAAATCCAAAAATCGTGTAGAGTGGCTGAGCATTCGAAAGATAGGCAAGTTTAAGTTTCCCGCAGAAGATTTCAGCTGCTTTTTCACGAGTGATGATGAATCGAGAAGCACCGACCCACTTTCCAAAATATTCAAGTCTTCTGTAAGCTCCACGCTTAACTTCATCATTTCGTTGCGAACATCCAAAGTAGAGTCAGCACTACCACCCATTCCTGTTGTGGAGGATAATATTTCTGATTCTGACTTGAGACCAATTTCACTGTCCCATGAGGAATACAGAGCACCGTCTCCAAGTGTAAAGTTTTCACCCATGCCTTGAGCACGTAGCATAGACGTTGAGTTAGCAATAAGCGTGTTATCTTCAAGGCTTAGATGAGTATCAATCTCATGGATTGTGGAAAGCCCTGACTGCTCTTCCTGTCGATATGGAATTTCTTCAAGACAATAATTTGCGGATTGCTAGAATAATCACCGTTAGCGAATGCCTAATTAACATTTCAATGTACAATGGAAGTAACACACTAGATTATGGTATTTCTCAGAAGGCCATATGGCCTGTTGCTCTCCATAATGCTCATAAGAGAACGGCAAAGGACAGTCTGGAGGCATTTGCTGGAAAAAAAACTTTTCTTCAGTTGTAGGCAAAGATACCACAGGAGAGAAATTCGGTTCATTTAGTTCTTTCCAGCAATCCGACGGTTGTCTTTCTGGTCGTCGATGTGCCGCGACGTATGCAGGTTTTGTTATCTTCAAGCTTGATGACCGGTGCAGAAGAGGGAAAGTAGCTTGGTCGTTGTCCATGCAGTGGCCCTCTCTGACGTGATGTATAGAGTCGGTAGTATGTACAGAGCGCGGGAAGACTTGCAACGGCTGGTTGACATTTGTCGTGCATCTCACTTGAGCCTTTATGCAACGTTCGCATGACATGCCATTCAAGTGATCCCGTTCGCAGCGCAACTTGAACCCACGGCAGCGATCGCAAGCTGATCGTCGTGAATGGCGGTAGTTGGCAGCCGGATGCATTGCTGGTTCCAGAATGAGTATCAGGTCTGTGGATCAAAAGGGTTAGCTGGAACGTATGTTTCTAAAAGAGAAATATTTACCTCCATGTCACTGTTGACATATCATTTGTAGAAATCTGCGTCCCCGCGCAACAAAAAACTGACTTGATGGAGGATTTAAATGTCAGCTATCATCATAGTGGACCGAGTCCAAGTTTCAAAAACAAAGCAGGCCCATTGAAAACGGGTGCCCAAGACAGCGGTCTAAGGCTACCCATCTGCTCGGAACAAGTATTGTTATCTGCCACTCTATGCAAAAATATGCGAGCAATTAAAAATAATCAGTGCTGTATTGTTTCCGATTTGAAACGGGCGCCTTAGTCGACACTTGTATTCAAAGTCAATGTACGGTGTTCAATGCAAAGCATATCGCTGCATTGCTTGTGGCCCAAATGCCATAGTATCTATTTCAAAGACTAGTTTTGAGGACCCTGGACTGACATGCGTCAAACTTAGTAGGAACGTTACACTGCTGAGCCGACTGGGTGGGAGTGGGCGCAGCTCAACAACAAGCCCTTGTTATACGACGTGTGTTGCATTGCTCCCCAGTCTGCAACTATGACAGAAGCAATAGAAAATTTGGAAACCATGGTCTTCAGATCGAAGAATCAAGGTTAGTGGAGACAGAGGTCAAAAAATCAGAGCAAATCAGGGTTTCGTCTTTGTCGGTTGAGACATCAAGCTTTGCAATTAATTTACTTGTACACTTCACCAGCCAACTTCCGCAAGTCTAAAACCTTAAACAACAGACTGCATTGAGCATGGTTTCGCTTCTGCCCACATATCAGCTACATGGAGAAAAGGGATCAACACACAGAGCCCAAATAGGGGTCTGCTAGGTACAGGCCCGGCTGTTTGGGATGGACACAGGGATCTGGGTGTGTTTTTACCGGCTTGGTTGTAGGTTTCGGGGAATTTAGTTCCATTACCTGCAGTGGGTCCCGGCTCTAAATTCTCCGGGGTCGTTGCGTTGGGTGAAGCCCACCACTTTGTTAGCCTCGATTGCGAATAAAGCTGACTCTGGCTGGCCAACGGCCTGATTTAGAACAAGCCAGGAGCTTAATCCAGAAGTGCCATTATCGGAAGCTGGCTATCTCACCCTCGGCATTTCAGTCCACGACATTGCCAGTGTTAGAGAAAGACTGGTGAAGTGGTTGTTGCATAAACTTGAGAAATAATTAGATCTACCAGTCTTCAACCTACTCTGACGGTTAACAACATAGTGAATACGAAAACGTCTTCACTTATTTTCCGAATGTCCATTATTTTGTATCGGTACATAGTCATATAACAGAGAATAGTAATATCGTAAGTATTTTTCTGATGTTGTAAACTACAGCTATGGGTTTTTGTCTATACTCATCAGTGAACTAAATAAGCTCCCAGGATCGTGCCAGGGACAAGCGTTGAGGAAGCGACCATGAAAAATCCCTAATCTTTTGGCACTCTATTCCTTATTCGCACTCACTTATATTGAGTCGCTCTCTTGTATTTTGTTGAAGCTGTTGCATATATGCTTCAGACTGCGCAGCATACTTGCAGCGTTCTCGGATCGACTTTCCGTACCGATAAAACAGAAAGGGGAACGGCATACACACCAGTGCCAAGAACGCAGGGATAGACGAAGCCCAATGGATACCTAACCCCTTGTACATATATGTTGTAAACAATGGGAAAGCTGCTCCAAATAGCGATCGAAGCACTGAATTGGCAGCTAAGACAGACGCAGCAAAGATGGTATAGGAATCGATCAGATAGCTAGTTGTCCCAAGATATATGAGGATAATTCCGAACCCGAACGGCACGCCAGCAGCAATGCTCGCCATCCAGTGAATAGATGGATCGTTTGTCCAGGCAAACCAAAACAGGCCCACGGGGATACAGATTGCTGCCAGCATTACCGGGGGCAAGCGCGCTTCTGGAGGAGCAAAGCCTGCGTGTCGATCCGTGGATTTCAGATATCGCTTGTTGTCTGGAATAGTGTAAATGATAGCAATGATCATACCAACCATAATCCCCATGAATGAAAGTCCCCCTAGACCCTCGTTCCAGCCTCGGTTCTGTTGATAGACAATAGGGAAAGCACCGAACATCATAAACAAGGCTCCATAGATGATAGCGATGTAGATAGAAAGGATAAGCACGATCGGTTCTTGGAATAACAGGATCCACGGCCGAGATAGGAACCTAGATACCATATCCCTCAGTGAGGTCCTTCCTTCTTGTTCAACGTCGAGTTTTGTTCGATAAACTTGCCCAGTCATCAATGATAACCTTTCAGCTCGTCGACGGAGTAGAACAGGTGCATAGGTCTCGGGCACAAGAACAGCCATGATAACCCATAGTAACCCAGCGAAAGCAGACAGGAGTCCTTCTACCCAGCGCCAGCCAGCATTAATTGCCAGAAACCCACCGATTACAGGACCAAGCGCAGGTCCCATAAACGGAGCGGCTGCAAACAGACTAAGGGCCAAGCCACGGTGTCGGGCAGTAAACATGTCACTGATCACACCACCAGCGTTTGTCAAGGGAGAAGACCCAAACGCCCCCGCAAGGAATCGAAGGATTAAGAGCGTCCAGATGTTCTGTGCAGCAGCACATCCAGCGAGTAGGGCTGCCATAGCGCCGAAAGAGATAAAAAATGGTATCTGCCGCCCCAAGAGCTCGCTCAGAGGAGCCCAGATCAGTGGCCCGAGAGCAAACCCCAGAACGAAAAGGGAAAGACCCAGAGTAGCCACCTCTGTTCCAATGCGGAAATATTCCATCACTTGCTGGGTGGACCCAGTATATCCTGACGAGCCAACCGCCACAGCTAAGGTAGCGGTAGAAACAACGAGGGTGATTCCAATCTTCCTTCGCAACGAGAATTCCATCGGATTCCGGGGGTCGTCGGGGATCCAGGAGATGACAAAGGGATCCTGTTCAGTACCCTGTCCAGGGTACGGATGGTCTAAGACATCCTGTGTGATTACACCTTGATCTGTGATCAAACGCCAGAAGGGTATTGATCGTGCAAACATAGCCTTATTCACTCGACTGTTCCCTATACGCTTGTCTGCCATCCTGGGGAGCTAATTAGCAACCGCATTAGATGTTTAATCACGGTAGACATACCCGAAAGCAAAGCACAAGCCTCCAACATCAAGAAGCTACTTTGGATACGAAGTGTTAAATACCATCTGCCGGAAAAAACATGTGTGGTCTGCAAAATATTAACCTTGGCGGGATTAGAAGATCCGATTAACAAACAGGTAACCAGGTTTCCTCCCCCCAAGTCCCGGTTCGGACGGCATAATCAACCACGGCTGGCCCGGGCTTTACACTAAAACCCGCGATGACTGACCAATGAGGTTCACCAGAGGACAGGTCTGTGCGTCCACTGGAGTCTCATAGATAGAAGGGGGAGAAGTGATTTAAGACTTGAAGGAAATGCGTACACGGGAAACCAAACGGCTTACAAACTGGCTGGGATAATTTCACATTTACCGGCTAGCCCCAGTTGACCGCGGCCGCTTCATGAGCGTTGAGACAATCTGCCAACCCCTTTTACTCTTTAACATTCCCCGCTCCCGATAAGCGGAGAACACGGTATGCCATGCTCGATCGGCCGACAGACACGGGAGGCCGTACACAGAGTTCGGTCAGAACAAAGATCAATATATACCGCCGGGTTGCCCTCTGTCGAAAATATCATGTCGACTTTGCCGTAAAGGCTTGCGTTAGCGTGAGGAACATAGCGCAGGTATTCCATAATCTGGCTTGGGGCGTAGCAGATAATAAAAGGGATTTCTGTAGCCGTCAACTGTGAGGTTGGAGAGGAAGTACTTTGGTTCTGAGGGAATAATGTCTTGGTAAATGTTAGTCTCAATCGCCGAGTGTTAAGGAACATTGACTTGCTATTTCGGTGAAAACTTGCCTCACCTGCTGCAGATGTAGGCTTTCTCCTCTTCCCTGAGTAGTTAATTATACGAGCGTATCGCACCGCCACAGCTGTGGCAGTTGAAGCTGTGATTTGATCCCCAACTTTTATTGAATATTGTTCTTTGCTTCGGTCGAGTTCACATGAGCAAAGACCGTCTAAAATTTCTCCTCTACGTGCAGAAACATTCTCTGTGCCCTCTTATTCCAACGCCGAGTGATTTATTCTACTCCCGTCCAGCCGAGGTCCGAACGCGGGGAAATGATGTACAAAAACTCGCAAGCAGCACAACGCATCTCCAGAGAGACCAGGTTTCATCATGAACTTTGATCTGCCTCTGGAGCTCACGTCGCATTTAGAGTCACTTGACTCCTTCATCCAATCGACTATCTTGCCGCTCCAACATTCCGGTGACAATAATCGATTCTTCGACCATCGCCGAGAACATGCCCGCACTGACTGGGATCATGATGGGAACCCACGTCAGGAGTGGGAAGAGCTGCTAAGTTCGTCTCCATCGGAGGGACGTTAGAGGTAAGACTGACAATATCGCAGAACAGGGCCGCAATCTCGCCGATGCAGCCGGATTCTACCGTTTCGCTCTTCCCAGAAAGTATGGTGGACAAGAGCATCCAGACACAAATGTGTGGATGGCCGCGATTCGCTATCACTTGTCGTCCCATCCGGTATATGGAGGCGGGCTGGGTCTCGCAAATGACCTGCAGAATGAGCACAGTGTCGTCGGCAATTTTCCAGATCTCCTGATGCTCCATCATTTTGGCAGCGAAGAGCAGCGACGGACTCTGATTCCCGCACGACTGCGCGGGGAGTTCCGAACAACCTTCGGCCTGACTGAGCCCGATCATGGGAGTGATGCTACATTCATGTCTACTATGGCCCGTCCTGAACGCGGTGGCTTCGAGATTAGCGGAGCGAAGAAGTGGCAAACGGGCGCGCATAATTGCACCCACTTTCTCGTCTTTGCACGGACATCTGGCCACCCTGGCTCAACGCGTGGTATCACGGCCTTTTTCGTGCCCCGGGACACCCCAGGGGTGCAAATCGCCAGCTATGAGTGGACATTGAACATGCCAACAGATCACGCCACGGTGAATCTGGATCGCGTCTGGGTACCAGAATCCGCCATCTTGGGCTCTTTAGATCAAGGACTTGCCATCGCACAAACATTTGTCCACGAAAATCGAATTCGGCAAGCAGCAAGCTCCTGTGGCGCCGCCCGATACTGTCTGGATCGCAGCATCGAACGAGCACGGACACGAAAGATCTGGGGTGAGGGCCGAACGCTGGCCGATAACCAGGCCATCCAATTCCCTGTCGTGGAACTGATGACCCAGGTCGAGATGCTGCGACTACTAATTCTGAGAACCAGTTGGGAAATGGATCGGATTGTTGCGGAATGTCGTTCGACCGACGTGAAATACCCGCCATGGGTGGAGATTGAAAGGCGCCTAAGTGACAAGGTTGCCATGTGCAATTTTTGGGCTAATCGATTGTGCTGCCAGGCAGCAGACCGTGCCATTCAGGTTCGTGCCCTGTATGAGTACACTCTTTCTCCTAGACTGACAATAATCAACGGAATAGATCCACGGGGGAGATGGATACTCTCGTCATTATCCTTTCGAACACATGTAAGATTGGACTGGGCAGTTAAGCGTATTTCATGATACATTCGCTAACTGGCAAATCAGCTACCGACACTTCCGGCGATATCGCATTACCGAGGGCGCAGAAGAGATCCAAATGCGCAAAATAGCAGCGTATATATTCGGATTTGCGGGTCCAAAGAAGGAGGTGAAGGCTGCGGAGCGGGCTAAAGCCAAATTTTAATAGCTATATCTCATGTGTGATGTGCGTTTACACACATCGACAGTCTTCCTAATGCCAATTCGATTTCTCCGATACCCTGGAAATCAGTGCCTTGTGCCTTGTAGCATTCCTGCATAGTATAGCACCTTACTAACAAGATAACAACAATAATAACTAGTCGCAGAATAACGTGCCATATCTAGTAGTCATTGAACTCTCTTAAGCAGAATTATCTACCAACTCCGCATCGTCGATCTCTTAAATCGGCAGGTCCATGAGCGCTTTGCCTGATTAGCCACCTCTAGGCGGATACCATCTTCCCACAACTAATTAACTAGGTATGTGGACCGAGATCCCGCAAGCGACGAACCAGGCCCATGGCATTTGTCAAGGTCAGTCGCGATGAGCTGCCAGTTTTCCGAAAACTCACGTGGTGGGATCGGCGGGTGCGTGGCCTACGGTAGCATTACTTACTTTTTGGCACAAGGGCCCAGTTTTGTCTTCCCATTTGGTTAATATACTGTCGGGCTAGTCCGAATCATCGCTTGATCCACCTAGCCCAGTTTTCTAGGCGGCAGCCTTAAGTCCAGCTTTTGGGGGCGGGGAACTCCATCTCTAAACGCGAGGTTTTCGGAACTTCAATAATAATAATGCTCGCGTGAGGTATTGCTATTCTAAGTTTTGGCTGAGGTCCGCGGCTCTTCCCCAACGTCCCGATGACGGCATGTGTGGAAGTCAATCAGGGACAGGGGAGAGTAAGAACGCCAATCACAGCCTCGCGACCGCTGGAAGTTCAGACCTCCACCCCTAGAGCAGTTAATGATCGACAGGGCTCGATCTTCACGAGGCAGATTTACGTAGTAATAATGTTCCGATTGCGCAGATGCTGTGGATGCGACTCCACGCACGATGTGACCCCGACGGCGGAGACAGACTATCATATAAGGGTTAAAGATAATGATGCCCATCGTTCGACACATCCACCATTTGCACATACCAGCCATCATGGCACTCCCGCTCACCTTGCTTGCCTTCGGGCTCGGCGCCGCTGCGCACTCCGGCATGAGCAACATCAAGAATGTGGTCGTGTTGGTGCAAGAGAACCGCTCCTTCGACACCCTTGCCGGTGGCTTAACCTACAACCCCAACATTGACGGTCTGGTTAACAGATCATACTGCAATCCGGCCAATGTGTCCGTGGCGAATTCCCACCCGGTTTGCGCGGCTGGCACCGCCAAGAATATCGCCAAAGATGACCCCGATCACAGCATCACGGGCGGGAACATGCAGGTTTTTGGTAACTACCATCCTGCTCCTAATGCCGAGTCCTCCATGAACGGCTTTGTCACCGAACAGAGTGCCTACTACGACCTGGAGGGCAAAATGATGGAGGCTGCCGAGGTGATCAACTACTACCAGCCCGACATGGTGCCCGTCACCAATGCAATGGCGGAGAACTTTGTGCTGTTCGACCGCTGGTTCGCCTCGATTCCCGGACCGACAGACCCCAACCGTGCGTATTTGACGTCAGGTACTTCACATGGACACGGCACCAACGACGAGGATTTCTATGATTCCAAGCTACCCCAGAAGTCAATCTTCCAGCAGTTGTCTGAGAACAACATCAGCTGGATCAACTACCAAAACACCACAAACTTGGGGAGCTCGAGTTTCCTACCCGATTCATTGTTCTATGAATGGACCCATAAGTCTGGCAAGGGAAAGACGAATGTCTTGCCTATTGACCGTTTCTATGAGGATGCCAAAGCAGGAAAGCTACCGCAGTTTACTTGGATCAACCCGGAGTGCTGTGACTACATGTCTATGCACCCCAAATCCCCGATCAACATGGGCGAGAACTTCATGAAGGGGATCTATGAGGCCATTCGCAACTCGCCGCAGTGGAAAGATACTCTGTTCATTGTGAGCAGTGGACCCAACCTCAGCATAAACCTTTTTCCTCCATACTAACTCCAGTATAGGTGACGTGGGACGAACACGGAGGCTTTGCAGACCATGTTCCTCCGCCGACTGGAGTGCCTCCTGGCGACAACCTGCCTTACGTCGAACAAGCCCCCGATGGCAAGAATTACACCTTCCACTTTGATCGCCTGGGCATTCGCGTGCCCACTATGTTGATTTCTCCATGGGTCGAGAAGGGCGTAGTTCAGAACAAGCCCAGCTCAGGGGAGAACGAGTTCACCCACACCTCCATTCTCAAGTTTGTTTCCGAGCTTTGGGGTCTGGAGACCCTGACTCCACGCGTGGATTGGTCGCCCTCCTTCAGCAATTTGATCACCAACACTTTCCGTCATGATGCGCCGGAAAAGCTCCCCAATGCGGCCGGCTATTAGACATTAGTTGACTGGGACCCCCTGTGAACTTAGCATATCTTCTGGCAATCTTTCCAATGATTCTTGCAGATATTGCAGCCGGGCTGGCGCTCGGCGATCACGTGATATGTTTTGGCCTTACAGATAGGGAATCGACATGGAGGACGGAACTACTGTATCCTAGATTCTACCATCATACACATGCTCAATATACAGAAGAGAATACAACGTTTGATTACTTCACCATTCTACTCAGTTGGCGCGTTCGGCTCTACGCTGACCGAATTCCACCCTGGTTCTCTGTCGGCCGGTCAGTTCTGACCTGACATGCCATTGTGCGCCCTACTCCCCCGCTCCAATATATAGTCGGTTTGTAGTGATATTTCATTACTTCTTCTCGGTCTACTGCAGACCGCACTTGAAAGTGTTGACTATAAATTGTAACAAATCTAGGAAATCTGACGGCGCATCCTCAACATGACAAGATCTTATTATCACTTGTGTGATAAACAATTCAAATTCACTTCCGCCCAAAGCCAAAAGGCCCATGCCGACGACCTTGGTTTAATCGCGACCGCTGTGTGATGGCCGAGTTGCGCGTGTTGACGTGATCAATATCGTAAGGATTGGCATCGTAGGCTGTCTCAATGCGTTCCAGGGACGAATGAGAGCTAAATGAGTCCTCATATGCAGAGTTGTAAGTCTCTGGGACGGCGCCTTGATTGGCAGCCACCTCAGCTTCAACTTCAGCCTCATTGTCGTCATCAACCTTAGGGTCACTGGCGTTCTGGGCCAGCGAGCGTATGAAGTCTTCTGCTTCGGCAGCGTACTTGCATTTACGGCGTACAACATGGCCGTATCGATAAAAGAAGAAGGGAAATGGGACACACGCGACGGCAAGGAATGCTGGAATGCATGATGCCCAATGTATCCCAAGATTCTGGAACATGTAGGTCGTGAAAAGTGGGAATACAGCCCCGAAGCATGATCGAATAATCGAATTGGCCGCGAGAACTGATGCTGCATAGATAGTGTAAGCGTCGATCAAATAGTTCATGATTCCTAAGAACACTAGAACCATGCCAAATCCAAAGGGCGCTGTCGCCAGGACGCTGACAATCCATGGGATAGACGGATAGTTGGTCCATGCAAACCAGAATAGTCCAATTGGGATCGCGAGTCCACCCCACATAGTTGGCGGAAGACGAGCTTCTGGTGGTGCGAACCCATTATGCTTCTTGTGGATACGCACATAACGCTCGTTATCATACATGTTGACTCCGACAGCTATCATCATTCCGATCATCACGGCTAGGAAAGGCAAGCTGCCAATTCCCTCGCTCCAGCCACGAATCTCCTGGAAGACAATAGGGAACGCATCAAAGAGCATATAGAGCGTTCCGTAGATAATAGCCATGTAAAGTGAAAGCAATAGGACGATGGGCTCGGCAAATAACAAAATCCATGGTCGACCAAGCGCGGCACTAAACATGTCACTAACGGGCACCTTGCCACGCTCGGCTTCTAGCTTACTGCGGTAGATTTTGCCTGTGATGGCCGAGAGGCGCTCAGCACGCTTTCTTAACAGCAGTGGTGCATAAGTTTCAGGAATAATGAGCCCTTCGACCATCCAGATTAGTCCTGTGAATACAGCGAGAAAGCCCTGCACCCATCGCCAGCCAGCATTCTCACCGAGGAAGCCACCAATAACAGGACCAAGGGATGGACCAAGAAAAGGTGCACCGGCGAAAAGGCTGGTTGCCAGACCGCGCTGGTCCGCAGGAAAGATATCGGCGATGACACCGCCAGCATTCGTAAGAGGCGACGAGCCAAAGGATGCTGCAAGGAATCGGAGAATAACCAAAGTCCAGATATTGTGTGACCCCGCTGCTCCCGCGCAGAATACAGAGAGCGAAAAGAATGTAACCAGAAACACAATCTGACGGCCGATGAGCTCGCTGAGCGGTGCCCATAGCAAGGGACCGACCGCAAATCCAAGCACGAACAGAGACACACCCAACGTTGCAACCTCCTGCCTCACATTCAGATCCGTCAGCACCTCACTAATTCCCCCTGCGTATGCGGAGGACGCCAGTGAGACAGCCAAGGTGGAGAAAGCAACTGTCACAGTATACACCCATTTCCGGTGCGTTGGGAAGTTCATCGGGTTGCGCGGATCATGGGGAATCCATTCCACTATGTAGGGGCTTTCTTCTGTGCCAGAGCCCGCGTACGGGTAGTCAATGATTTCTGGGGTGACCTTGAGAAGATATTAGCATCATTGCGGATTTCACCTGTCCAATTCAAATAATTACCACACACTGGTCAGTCATAATTTGCCAATAAGGTATGCGCGGCGGGCGCGATGCTTCCACATCTTTTTCCATCGTCATACTGGGCCACGATATTACCAAGCTGCTGCAATCTTTTTAGATGCCGACTATGGCTGAAGCGACGCTGCCGGTTTAAGGAAATGAAAATAGACTCTTCCTCGGAGGATTAAACTATAAATGCTTTGTATATGATATTTCAGCAGCTTGCCATAGGAGACGCAGCTCGATGATTGCTGGACGAAGACATCGCTGGTCCACAGAGTGGAGCATCTATATCCGTTTTTTCCGGATCCACCTCCGACAGTCGGTTGTTCGATCGGCAAGCCGAGTACTCAGGGCATGTATAATAATAGTGCCGCACTGCAAGGCTGCCTCGGACCTCGGTTTAGTTAGAAGATGAAAGACAACCCGTCTGAAGGACCTGAGATAGAATGTACATTCTCCTGGGGATCTCCTGCGCAGGTACGCCAGTGGTATTCGTCACTGGCGCATGTAAGTCTATGTACAGCAGGCTTTCAGGGATCTGGCTGCCTTTGCAGAGAACAACGAAGATTGAACCGGAAACATAAACCAGATCATTGTCGGCACTTAGGTTGAGCCATTATTGCCGGATTCGAGGCGGAACGATCCTGGCGTGGCGGTGGGGGGACTAGAGCGGCTCGATTTCAGCCCACATTCAAAGGGTTGCAACAAAAAGGGCGTTCATATAGACGAATATTGTAACTCCTCAATTATGTTAAATTAACTTGTTCGGTTTGTTACAGGATTTTATAAAGAATTTACAATATTCGGTGGGTACTGTAGCTCCAAGAAAATGATTTGTTGGACCTGGAAAAAATCCTCAAAGTTAACTTAACACTGTAAACTACAGGGTTTAAATGACAATCGTAGCAATATGTTTCTGGATTACAACCCAAACGGGCTGTGAGAAGAGGTTAAGTTGGATTTACTCAAGAAAAAGCTTTGGATGAATCTTCGCAAGATCCACTAATGGTGTCCCAAGCAATGTGTATATTTATATTTAGTGTATGTATGCTATTGAAACCTCATCACCCTATGGTAAATAGCGCCAACACGCAGAACGTAAACTGACATTGACAATATGCCATATTCTTGGATATAGACTATATCACACTATGTTTAAATCAAGAAAATTGAGCTTGAGGCTATTGGGGAGAAGCTGATGTCCCAGGCGAACAATCTAGGCTTCGAGAGGCAATTCCTTGCGCTTAGTGCATCGCCGCGTAAATGAATCAAGTAATAGATGGGATTAGATCTAAACGGAAGGAATACGGAGCCTGTCTTTCGATATGACTGCTGCATTTTGTCTCTTGGTGCTTCGTTACATCTATTCACCTGCACATCAACCTCACCAGATCTTCCGGGGAGCTTCATGGTTCTTGCACCTAAATCCTAAATAAATTCCAAATTAATAATCTCTCTGAGTTATGCTCTCCTGTGATGTGATATAGGAATAGTGCTATAATTATTGCAACAGGAAGAGGTTGTTTAAGGCTTCGCATCGGATGGCCGTTCCTACGGCGGGGACTTGAACTACCAAGAATTGTTGATTGAAGGAGTTTGGACAAAGCTCGATGGGCGATGTGGAAGCAACTCCGCCTCCAGGAATGCTAGTACATAATACATACAGGTAGCTCCCCGGCTTGACCAAGTTACCGAAGCGAAAATATATTTTTACCTCATTTGCAAATAGAAACATCAAAATACTACAATGCCAAGAAATTCAAGTAGAGCTTTGATTTTTTGCTTTCTGGGAAGTGATGGGACTTTTGTGTCGTGGGAGCCCCCACCTAAGTTGGTGTGCCTCGGACATTTGCCAGCTCCCGGTCGATCAACATACATAACGCCCGAGCTCCCCACGCAAGGGAATCCTCTTTTCACAGATCAATAACCTCTTGTCGTATCTCCTGCCAATAGGGTCCGCTGGGATGCCCCTTATCAGGCGGGGAACTCTCCGAAACCACCAGTTCGGAAATGCAGTGACTATGATCAACATTCCATTGCCCCCTTGAGTCCAGAGAGTCAAGCGTGTTGCGCGGCTGCTTGGCTGGCCAGAGACCAAATTGGCCTCGAAATTTGTCACTCGTCTCTGCCAACGCAGGCCGGCCATACCAAAATATCCATTTCTGTTCCCTACCTTCAGGCAGGTCAAGCAATGCGAGTTATAGATGCACTATCTGTTTCTACATTGACCACGCGGCTAAGAGCACGGGCCGCGGAGTAGACCATGCCGATGAATGTAGCACTACATACAGCTTCCCGACTCGTGACGGGATAAATGGCTTGATAGCAGATCTAGGGGTGAGTATCACATTACTGGGGACGAACCCACTAGGATGCCAAGTCTGTGCCCTTGTGACGGCTCAGTGGACCGCCCATAGTGATTGACATTTCATGCAGGAAAATTTATTTCGTCATCCTGTTAGCTCCTAGACAAGTACATGCTGTTTCCCTTTCCGATTCGACTTCTTTGCCAGTCCAAGCAAAGCCACTTTCTCACCCTTGTGATGGTTGCTTTATCTAAGGTTTCCTACAATACTCTATTTGCCTCGTTTCTGTTACACACTTCTTGAAATTGCTTGAGTCTCAGGCTGGGTATCATGGATCACAAAGAATATCCCACCAGCGTTACTAGTCGCAGCCTCGAGGCACAGTGCTCTGAACCCTCCGACCAACAGTCCGACAGGAAAATCAACCCTGAGCAGACAGGGTTACCTCCTATAGATGGAGGTATTCACGCATGGCTCTTTCTAACGGCCTCAGCAGTGCTTGAGGCCATTGTGTGGGGTATGCTGATGACAAAAACCACCAGATAGGAGATAGCAGAGACTAATGTTACTATAGGGTATGCTTTTGCGTTTGGAATTTTCCAAGATTACTATAGCACGCATGAACCATTTCAAGGATCAGAAAATATTGCTGTCATTGGGACCTGTGCGATGGTGAGTTTGAGTGCTCCTAAACTCAACTCGGTCGCCGACTTACGAACCTGATAGGGAATTGCGTATTTGATTGCTCCACTAGCAATAGTGATAATGATTCTCGTTCCCTGGATAGCACGATGGGTATCGACAATGGGCGTGGTTATAATGTGTCTCTCGCTAGCCCTAAGCTCGTACTCCACAAACGTCACCCATCTCATCTTGTCACAAGGCATTGCGTTTGGAACTGGTGGCTGTTTATGCTATACACCATCAATCCTATTCATGGCAGAGTGGTTTGACAAGCGAAAAGGCCTTGCGTTTGGACTTGTTTGGGTAGGCAGATTGAAGATACCCCCAGATGACTCAATTGAGAAGCTAACAAATGTTATCAGGCTGGATCTGGGTTGTCGGGTATTATTTTCCCGCTGGCCTTACAATGGCTTTTGGATCAATATGGCATCGAAACAACACTTCGTGCGTCAGCGGTAGCACTGTTTGTTCTTGCCTTGCCTTTCCTCTATTTCCACAGACCACGCCTGCCGATTACCGAGTCGGCATGTCACCATCGACTCAATTTTCATTTCCTCTACAACAAAGTCTACTTAATATACCAGCTTGGGAACACTCTAGAGGCTCTGGGCTTCTTCTTGCCTACACTCTATCTTCCTACATACGCTCGCAGTTTGGGTGCAAATGACTTCTTGTCCTCATTGACGGTGACCCTTGTCAATCTCGCTTCGGTCTTCGGCTGTGTCTTCGTGGGTTTCCTCTCCGATCGATATCATGTTACCACCTGCCTCATGCTTTCAACTTTCGGTACTGTCGTGTCTGTCTTCTTTGTCTGGGGGTTCGCCACTTCTATCCCGCCATTGTATGTGTTCTGCGTTGCCTACGGCTTACTCGCCGGCGGCTTCTCTTCCACATGGTCGGGTATTTCACAGGAGATCCAGCGCGCGAACCCGTCTGCGGATGCGACCGTCATTTTCCCATTCATGGAAACCGGTCGGGGGATAGGCAATGTGGCTAGTGGCCCACTGAGTGAGGCCCTTCTCAAGGCTGATGTTTGGAAGGGTCGCGCATGGGGAGCATATGGGAGCGGATATGGCACACTTGTGGTGTGTACAGGTGTGACGGCACTCATGGGCGGAATATGTGTTGTCGCACGACAGTTTAAATGGGTGTAAATGTGCGTCTTTTGACGGGAGATTGATAAGATGTGGAATAATCGCGGCCCTTGACATATTGGCATTGGAGTACAGAGCATTTTTTTGTGCCAAACGGTTAAAAATACATATATCAGGTCATATCTATTCATTTATACTGCAGAATGCTCATATACTGACATTTATTGAAAGGCCACTGTGGTTTGGCTACTCTTGAGAATTATTGACAGCAAAAATGTACCTGCCTCATAGAATATACACAGCATTGATTACTGTTATTTTGCCACCCAACCCCAAATTCTCAGATACCACACTTTGGGGGGCGTAAGATCCTTCTCGTAATGCAAGCGACCAGTTTGAAGATCCGCCTCGGAGGCGGAAACAAAATGGGTCCTCATGATCACCTTATGCGCGATGTAGAGAGCAACAAACACGATCGGACAGATATAGGCAAAGAAAAAATCAGAAACACGGAAGCTAGGGATGAAAGAAGTAAATCCCTGCGTCAAGGCAATGAGGATGTTGAAAAAGAGCCCATACCAAGCCAGGTATGGCTGGAACCAGGCTTTGTAGGGAAGCGTATCGCGAGAGATCCCCTGTTTGGCCAAGGCGCGCATGAATGCGATATGACAAGCGTTTATCGAAGACCATGTCACAAATCCCGCCACACTGGAAAGATTCACTAGCCAATTGAAAACCTGGCCCGCCGAGGTGGAGACGTTCATGAACCCAAGGAGACCAAAGGCTGCAGTGAGCGAGACACTCCAGTAAGGCACGCCTTTCTGCGTCACAGATGCGAAGCATCGTGGGGCAAATCCTTCACGTGCCAGTCCAGTCAAGATTCGGCTGCCACTGTACACATTGGAGTTAGCTGCCGACAGAACTACTGTCAGAAGGACTGCGTTGATCAGGCCTGGCAGTACTTTCACCCCCGCTAGGTTGGCTGCAATGACCATTGGCGAAGACGAGGCATTGGAGGTGTCGGTTGTTAGGTGTTTGTTGTCATATGGGACAACAAGTCCAATGAAGAAGATGGTCAACACAAAGAAAAGAAGAATGCGGACGAAGGTCTTGCGAATGGCGGATGGGACAGTGCGTTGGGGGTCCTCAGTTTCACCTGCCGCCACGCCGACTAGCTCGGTGCCTTGGTAGCTAAACCCGGCCTGGACAAGTACGGCCCAGAATCCCACGAATTTGCCCACCGATTCCGGGCTGGAAATTATATGCGTATTAAACGCGCCAGGGTTTTCCCATGTGCTGAACCCTAGATATCCCTGTTTGCCAACTCCACAGTCCACCGCAATGGCGAAAAGCATGAATCCAATGACAGTCGCCACTTTGATGGTTGAGAACCAAAATTCCAGCTCACCATACCATGAGACAGGCAGAAAGTTCAGAGCGGTAATAAAAACCCAAAAGACTCCAATAAAGATGGCAATATTCAGACTCGGGTCCCAATACTGGATAATAGCTCCCGATGCGGTCAGCTCCACTGCAAATGTGGATGCCCAGTTAAACCAGTAGATCCAGCCCATGGAAAATCCGAGGCTTGGGTCAATTAATCGAGCGGCGTATGATGTGAAGGCACCGGGGACTGGGATATAGGTTGCGACTTCGCCAAGGGAGGTCATGACGGAGTATACGATGGAACCCACGAAAATGTAGGCTATCAAAGCTCCTGCCGGCCCTGAGTAGGCGATTGCCGTGCCACTGGAGATGAAAAGACCTGAATTTGTTAGTACCATCGGACCGCAGCATGCGTTTGCTGAGCTTACCGGTGCCAATAGTTCCGCCTGAACAGGTTGTTAGTAGCTATTGGGAGTATTTCTTTGAAAAGCATACGAACCAATCGCGATCATTTGCAGATGTCGACTTTTCAGCTTGCGCTTCAGCTCCCCCGGAGCAGCAGAGTTGGGGGCATGATGCTGCTCCGCGTCAGTCGATTTGGTGTCCGGACAAGGATTTTTGACATCCTCGGAGACCGCTTTCACGGTATGGGCCGCAGGAGCATTCTCTTGAGTTGCCATGCCTGGCCGCGGCGTGAGATTCAGACCAACTGAGCGCTGGACTAGATCAGCAGGAGGCCAACTTTTTGTGGAGGTAAATTTGGTAAAGGTTTTTTTTTTCTTATGGCCGTTTTCGTTATTTTTTTTTTTTTTTTTTTTTTTTGGGTGGTGACCGGACATCCATCAGGCAAGGTACCCACTTGTCTGCCGCAATCGAGCCATTCTCATTAGCTAAAGCAACGACCAGAACCCTGAAAGTAAAGAGAACGCGGCTGGTGGCGACACACGAGAAACCAACGAACCGTTAGTAGGTAAGAGCAACATTTCGATTATTGATCCGTTGGCAGCAACACAAAATTAAGATTGCATCTGTTAAAAAGTCCCGTTGTCTTCATAGCTAATTTTGCCGGAAAAAAAAAGGTTAGTCAGCAAACGGGTCCTTGGCCAAATAAGCAAGCGCCAAGCCTTCATTAGGGCTGGGTTTGGAGCTACATGCTTGTACATCGTAGGTACTAAGATCTCAAAGACATTATTGTTAACTGATGGCCTTGAAGTATTGTGCGAGTTAGATGTATGGCATGGCATTCTTAGACTCGCTATGCATGCAAGAAGGTGAGGACGGTGCTGCCCTATCAGAGAAATAGACCAATCAAAACAGCGGAAACAGTGACTATTCCATGGCTAGTTTGCTTATGAAGGTCCCAAACGTGGCTCAAGAAAGCCCTAATTTCCATTGCAAATACATATATAGAGGGGCTCTAGGAGAAAGCGACGCCTGGCATTCACTCTATTCTATTGCCAAATCCCGCGTTTCCAACTGCCGAATTGGGGAGCGGGTTGCCCCCACTCAGCCACCAAGAGGGGATAATTTCCATTGGATAGAAGACATCATACATACATACTAACTACCCCACTAAAAAACGGACTTGGAAAAAAAACAATGAAAGCAGTGGTCTATTTTGTTCATAGTATGCCAGATCCCTTTCCAGGCTATGATATCGTAAGAAGATCTTCTATGAACACCTCAAGCTCATCACCCCCAATTGAATCAAAACTAGAGCTCGACAAACTCCCCGCGCAGCAACTCGTCCCCTTGCAACCTCTCCAGGTAGCCCTCTACCTTGGTCGTCAACACGTCAACTTCGTATCCGAAGAACTTGTAGGCCGCCTTGCCCGGCAGACTGTGGCCGAACCGCTTGACACAGATCCCTGCATCAGCATATCGCTCCCACCCGTTAGGTGCATAAGGCTCAATCACCACTGCAGGGATACCGCGATGGCGTCTCAAGGTGTCACGCTTGTACTCGAGCGACTGTTGCTCGAAAAGACGCTGACATGGGAAGCTAATCACGCGGGCAGTAATACCATTCTGCTCCTTCAATTGTCGGGCCACGTCGACTGCAAAGGAGAGCTCGGCCCCAACGCCGATCAAGGTCACTGCTGCCGAGTCTTCTTCTGTCAGGACGTAAGCACCGTGTGCCACACCATCCCGACGGGTTTGTGAAAGCTGAGGTAACGCATGCCGCGAAGTCGAGATGATGCTGGGGGTCTTCTTTGCACCGATCGCAGCCAGCCATGCACCGGCCGTTTCCTCGCTGTCACCAGGGCGGATATATAACAGATTTGGCATGGCCCGGTACAGGGCAGCCAGTTCAATAGGCTGGTGAGTTGGGCCGTCCTCACCCATACCGATTGAGTCGTGGGTAGCGCAGTGAATAATCTGAAGATGCTGGAGGGCTCCCATACGCACTGCGGGAGCTGCATACAGGTAAAACATAAAGAACGATGAAGTAACGGGGATAATGGTGTTGGGCGCGTAGGCGGCCAACCCATTGGAGATGGCGCACATCGCGTGTTCTCGAACACCATAATGGATATATCTGCCAGAGTAGTTCCCGTTGAGGTTGCAAGTCGTGCGCAAGTCGGGCTATAGTTCATGTTAGGAAATCGGCCCACCATAATGGTCTGCAAAAAATGGAGAGACTTACATGCTGGAAATCCACTTTGTCTGGCCAGACCATGTTCACAGAAGGTGACAAATCAGCTGTTCCGACCATAAAAGACTTGACTTCTTTTGCGATCGGGTTAAAAATGAGGCCCGACGACGCGCGTGAAGCTGTTGGTTTATTCGGGAAGCTGCTTGGGATGAGCTGCTGCCAGTTTACCGGCAATTCTCCACGAACCCGGGTCTGAAACTCGGCCCCAAGGTCAGGATACTGAGTGACATAATCGCTTAGCAGCTGGTTCCATGTCTGCACCCATTGCTCGCCCCGAGCAGGGAGGTTCTCAAAGAACTGACGCACGGTATCGCCGATCACGAAGTGCTCTTCCTGGTTGAAATCGTAGGCAATTTTCATATCGGCGACACACTTGGGACCGAAAGCAGCACCGTGCGCGGCAGCTGTGCCCTCCACATTGCTGTGCAGACCGATGACTGTTCTAACATTGATGAAGGTCGGCTTGTCGGTCGAAGCGAGGGCCTGCTCCAGAGCCCGGACAAGCCCCTCGATGTCAAAGCATCCATCCTCCACGTCGATCACATTCCAGCCGCATGCGCGCATTTTGGCATTGACATCCTCCGTGTTGGTGAGATCGACAGACCCGTCGCAAGTGATCTGGTTATTGTCGTAAATCACGGTGAGGTTGTTGAGGCGCAGGTGACCTGCCAGCGAAATGGCCTCAAGACCTACGCCTTCCTGCAAACAAGCATCTCCAATCATGCACCAAGTGTGGTTGGACACCATGTCGTATCCGGGCCGATTGTAGGTGGCGGCCAGGTTCTTGGTCGCCATCGCCAACCCTACGGCGTTGGCAACCCCCTGTCCCAGCGGTCCAGTCGTCACCTCAATCCCTTCATGTTCGATCTCTGGGTGTCCAGGGCACAGTGCGTCCACGCGGTCCGAGTGATATGACTTGAGCTGGTCGAATGTCATGGCCTTGTAGCCCGTGAGATGAAGGAAGGTATACTGGAAGAGGCAGGTATGGCCTGTGTAGTCTGTGTCAATTCCGGATCTCTCTTTTCCTCCCCATCAGTACTGACCATTGGACAGAATGAAGCGGTCCCGGTTGAAAAAGTCTGGGGTATGGGGTGCATAGCGCATCACATACTTCCACAGCGCAACGCCGATAGCGGCCATGCCAATCGCACCGCTAATACTCGATCAGCGACCCATCAAAAGGTCTTCGTGACAGACACTCACCCGGGATGACCACCATTGAACTGCTGGCACAGATCCGCGATCAGGAGGCGAACCGTCTTGAGCACCAGGTCATGGTCCTTGGACACCTGCTGGACCAGAGGCAGGGCCGACGTCGAAGGGCCGTTGCCGCGAGGCTGTTGCACGGTCATAATGTCGGTCGGGAGAAAGAAGGAAAGAAAGACGGAAGGAAGCCATTAAGTACGCCAGGTGCGACAAACACAACAGCATCAGATCAGGCAGGCACCCGATCGGGTAGGCGCAACCGCTGGGTACCCGAACGGGCAGGTGAGACCGCTCCGGGCCCGGTTGGCTACAATCAGGAACGCAGACGGAGACAAGCCATAAAGATAGAACAATCCCCCATGGTCGCAAACAATTTCCTCTACACATCGGCATGGCACCCTCTGTCCTGGTAGACCCAGTCAGCGGCCAGCAGGACATCGCGAAGTCGAGGGCCGGCGACCGCACCGTGATCCCGACCGCGTTCCCGAATCCGTGTCTCCAGGTGACAGCCGATCATAAATTGAAATCCGTGGAGGCGCCTGTCTACGCTCCACGACGGGGGAGGCTTTGGTGCACATCAAAGCCACAGGGATCTGTGGATCCGACATTCATTTCTGGAAAACCGGGCGCATCGGGTCACTCATGTTTGAAGGCGACTGCATTATCGGCCACGAGGCAGCCGGAGTGGTTCTCCAATGCGGCGAGGGCGTCACTCGTTTGAAACCGGGTGAGTGTGCTTCCATCGAGGGCTGACAGGACCATCACTAACAGGCGTAAGCTAGGCGACCGAGTAGCAGTCGAGCCCGGCGTTCCGTGCGAGCACTGCTTTCTCTGCAATGAAGGCCGCTACAATTTGTGTGAGGATGTCCAATTTGCCGGCGTCTACCCCTACGATGGTACCATTCAGCGCTACAAACTGCACCCGGCCAAGTGGCTGCACAAACTGCCGGATAATGTCAGCTTTGCCGAGGGCGCTCTCCTGGAGCCACTCTCGGTGGTGATGCATGGGATCAAGACAGCAGGGCTATCTCTGGGCCGTGGTGTGGTGGTTTGTGGTGCTGGACCCATTGGGTTGATCGCGCTGGCCGCGGCGCGGGCTTCGGGAGCTCACCCCATTGTCGTGACGGATGTAGAGCCCGGCCGGTTAGCCTTTGCTAAGGACTTGGTGCCGTCCTGTGTCACTTACCGAGTTGATGTCGCAAAAGATGCGCAGGAGAATGCCCGCGCGATCCGAGCCCTGTTTGGGGAGGATGAGTATGTTGCGCCGGAGACGGTCCTGGAGTGCACAGGGGTAGAGAGCAGCGTGTGTACGGCGGCATACACGGCACGGCGAGGCGGTACGGTGATGGTGATAGGGGTGGGCAAGACCATCATGAATAATCTGCCCTTTATGCATATTTCCCTTGCCGAGGTGAGCTCCTCCTCCGGACCATGCGTGCGGAGGATTCGTTGCTGACTCTACTAGATTGACTTGCGTTTTATCAATCGGTACCGGGACACCTGGCCGCCCGCGATTGCTTGCCTCAGCGGAGGCATTCTCGACTTGAAGAAGCTCGTCTCGCATGTTTTCCCGTTGGAGAAAGCGCAGTATGCGTTGCATCTCTGTGCCGACCCTCGCAACGGGAGTATCAAGGTGCTGGTGGTGGATGACACGGAAGTTTCTTTGTGAAGATAAGACTATAAGACACGGAGATAATAAGAACAATCTAAATCCAGTACCTGATAGAAACTACATACTCCTCCGGATCCGATGTGGGTCTCGCACGGTCCCCCGAGCCTTTTATTTCTGGGGCAAAAAACGAGGGGAAACTTCGCGGCTGCAACTCCCGGCTCGAGAATTCTCATGGCGTCAATTTCCAGTGCCTACGCTAGCCGACGCTCCAGGCGAGCCCGTGTCGCATGCGAAGTATGCCACGAGCGCAAAGTCCGTTGCGATGGCGTTGCAAATGGTTTCCCATGTACCAACTGCCGCCTCGATTCCAAAGCGTGCACGTTCCGCCCGTCGCGGAGAAAACGCCGTCCGGCGCCAACGGAGCCGGCTATCCAAGAAAGCCCACCGGATGCAGAGAGCAATCCCAGCCCGTCACCGAATGCCATGGATCCATTCTCTCTCCACGAGTTTCTGAGTGCCGGGGACATTTACCAGCTGACACCGGCAACCCTTGGCCAACTCGAAGCACAAGGATGTCTGCATGTCCCGGGTAGGGTAGCACTAGATAGTTTTGTGCGGCATTATTTTCTCTATGTTCAACCTTGCTCCCCAGTCGTGGACGAAGCCTTATTCTGGGAGATATACCAGCGCCGAAACGACACTCAAGGCCGATGGTCCCTGTTGCTCTTTCAGGCGATGCTCTTCACCAGTGCCAGCGTAAGACGATCTTCTGTATGCCAGGGTTGGAAGCTTACTGTTAGCAGTATGTTCCTGTCGAAACTGCTCGTCAGTGTGGTTATGAGTCCCTGCTTGAGGCTCGCAATGCCTTTTATCAAAAAGCCAAGGTTGGCACTAGAAGTTGCCTGAACAATTCCCAGCCGCTAACAACAGATAGGCCTTGTACGATGCCGGGGTTGAAAAAGACTCTTATGTGATTGCACAGGCATCCTTGCTGCTAACATACTACTCGTCGCCATCGACTGCCGATACAAGATGGATGACCACTGCCATCCAGAACGCAAAGGCAGAAATGGCACATCAGTATTATTACGAAGATATACAGACTCGGCGGGACAAAAATGCTTTAAAAAGGCTCTGGTGGAGCTGCTTAATGAGAGATCGCACTCTGGCGCTAGCCGTGCGACGCCCACTACAAATCCTTCCCGATGAATTTGACCTCCGCCAGCCATGCTTGGGGGAAAGTGATCTGGAAGATGAGATCCAACAGTCAGAAGTCTATCCACCGCATGTCAAGGCTGCACTCTGCCGAGTTATGGCCTCCCTGTGCCAGCTAGCCGTCGTCGTGACCGACGTGCTGTCGATCGTCTACCCAAGCACCCGGTACCAGCACAGAGATCAAGGAGACACTAATGAAACGCTTGGTGCCATCGAACAAGCCAAATTGCGTCTACTGATGTGGGAGCAAAGCTGCTCTATGGCCATGAATGTAAAAGACCGACCGCTTCATTCCTCACTGGTTCTATATGGACACTTGCTGACGATGTACTACCGGTGAGGTCCCTTCATTCGCAGTGATAAATCATCGCTAACCATTCCAAGGTCTGCTCGTATGGCACTCTGTAACCACGTCTGTCGCCTGACTGGAACTTTGAGTTTTGTGTCTCCCTCAGTGTATAGGCAATTGGAAAGATGCAAATTCGAGTTGACAGAAGCTTTGTCAAATGTTGCCGACAGCATTCGGTGCTTGATCATGAACGGGATGGCTGATCATCTCCCCATCACTGCGTATGAGTATCCTCACAACCTTTTGATATCGAGTAATGCTGACTTTCTCAGGGTTGCTCATATCGTACTCCCTTTCGTTCTGTTGAGCATAAACGCTCGGCGATCTAGTTCGATTGCCGATAGACAGAGACATGAAGGATCTCTTATTTACTTTGCCCGTATAATTCGGGTATATAGCGTTCGATACGACACCAAACATGTCTCCGCCATGGTCCAGCGTGCAGTGCGACTATCCGAACACGCCTCCAATGACCCTTGGTCTATAACCAAGCTCTGTCCTCATGAGGACCGAGGTCAGCGTCGGAAACCTTCGGCTGACATCTTCGACCTGCGCCTAAGCGATTATATCCAGGTACTACAGTATCTGGACAATTCCATGGCCACGGGGCGGTACACCGATCAATACTATCCTGAAACGAGCTCACTTTGTTCGGCATTTTCGGATTCGGAACTTGTCACTAGAGACATGACCATTGTTCCTTGGGAGCGCCCACCCACTCCCACTCCAGCGTGGATTGCATCGATGGAAAGCTTCTTTTTCGGATCACCGGGGTTGTCGGTATCGCCCAGTCCACTTCTAACACCATCACCGTTGGCCATTGAAGCGCCACCTGACCGTCAGGATGGCGGCATATTTGTGGAGCCGCCATATTCGGATATTGACGCAGAACATTTAGATCCATTTGGACAATATGGGCAGAGTGCCCGATTCTTGGAGAATAGGTAATTGTTTTAAACTTGAATGTGTACAGTGAGGGAAACATCCCACAAGAAGGAATTAGAGTTATCAATTGTATTATCTGGGTACAGGCTTTCAGACTCAATTATATATGGCTCTTCATAAAGACTTCACTCTGGTTTTGCTCACGACGAGTGGCAGTAAATGGCCTCAATAGGGACGGGATCCTTGGACGTATGGTCTCCCGGGGTGAGCAACATGTTTCGGCCGGTGCAATCTGGCCCACTGAATAGCAGAAGTTAGCAACAACACATTGAGGATAAATGTTAGGTCAACGTACGTGAAGACGCGACATCTCTTGTGGACGGATACTGTGAAGACCTCACTGGATACCGTCAGTTACGTTGTCAAGGACGAGGCAAAGAAAACGTACTCCTCCCCCACATCAGTACACTCATCCAGCACTACATTCAGTGCTCGGCTCTTTTGTTCTGTCTCAATGCCGACCTGCGACAAACGTTAGACTCGAGAGGCAAGATAAAGTTTCGCCAGGCATCGCACTTACAGTGGTTCTCTTGTCATCCTTGCTCCCGGAGACAGCCAAGAGCATGAAGCTCAAAAGATACAGCTGCTTGAGGCCGTACATGGTAAAACTAGCGTAAAACAAAACAAATAGAGCGAAGGTGCAGGAAAAGCGCTCGTCGATGTTTATTTCCCTCTGACATTTACCTGGATTAGCTAACTATCCCTGCGTGAAAATGTTTACTTGTCCTTCTTTCGGCTCCGCGGATACATCCCTTGCGTCTAGACTAGGAGGGTTTTAGACTGCTAGGGTTGGCGGCCAATGGTATTCCAGGGTGAGACAGCTCCAAGGAGTGATCGACGTTTGAAAAGTCATTGGAATGCTTACAGTATCAATCTGGCCAGGGGGCAGGGATGCATCCAGCTTGCTTTTATATTGGGTTATCAGTATCAGTGAATAGTCAATCGACGGAAAACCATTCTCATACTATGAAGTTTGAATATTCTTAGGATGATCAAATAATAAAAAGCGCTTGCTATTAAAACAGAAGGCAGATCGTACTAGTATCATATTGATAGTCTTGAAGCAGGTAAGAAAGCTGACCTTGTTTTTGTCGATCCATCTGGTAGGGAACTCACCCACCTCACTCCCATGGCACTATATGTAGTAGCATCAAGTGAATCGAGTTTTTCTCTCAGATCCCAATCTTTTGGTGAGCTTGTTCGTCATAAATGTTGATAATTGGTACTTCTTCGTCGAATATATATCTGGGGACTTGCAATCTCTGGACTCAGACTTCCTCCATATATTACACGAGGCAAGATAATCAGACTTTACGAAAGAACCCCCCCAAAACTCGAATATCACTATTTTTGGAGATGAATGCCACATCGATTGGGAAGGACTCGTCGATCACGTGAGGCTCTTCAATGTTGCGATGGCCCCACCAGAACAATATTAAGAGAGCAAGAAGCAAAGGTCAAAGAAACGGCTTTGATGATGGGCGGTGAATACGGGTTTGCGCATAATTTTCTACTATAATAATCTATATAAATATGGAATCTTCCAAGTCTGCAATCTCTACTTCTACAGCCATCCGTCTATATGGACCGAGTTGTGATCGTCGGGGCCGGTAAGCACTTTTTCCCAACTAACACGGTCAAGACTGACTTTCCAAGGGCTCTACGGCCTCATTGCCGGAAAGACCTACTTACAGGTAATGGGTGCCTATGATGGAGAAAAAACGAAAAATCAAGCGAACGAAATTGTAGATGAACTGCCCGTCTGTTTCACGACTCCGAGGCAGTCACCCATTAGAGACGCCTCAAATTGCAACCTTTTAATGATCGATGCCGCATCGGATCTTGGGGGAACATGGGCAGAAGAGCGTCTGTACCCAAATCTTCTCAGTCAGAATTCCTACGGGTTGTACGAATTCAGTGATTTACCACTCGCGGACGTGGTCCCACAAGAGGAAAACGACGATGGCCCGCGGTTCATCGCAGGCTGGAAGATAAATCACTATCTACACGCATGGGTGACGAAATGGGACTTGCAGAAACATATACGGCTGAACTGGAAGGTACAATCACCCAGATAAGTGTTTAATGGCTCCAAATTCATGTCCTCGCTAGGTAGAGAAGATTGCCCGCCTCGAAAGCAAAGAATGGACACTCGAAATCAGCATCACCACTTCATCCCCCCGACTCATCACCGTCATCTGCGACAAGCTCCTCTTGGCGACCGGGTTGACATCGATTCCAAATCTGCCAGCAACCCAGATGCATGGCGAATTCGTTGAAACGACCGCACCTGCCATCCACGCTAAGCAAGTAGGAGACTGGGCTCGCGAGAAATTGGGGTACCAACCATTACCAGATACAGCCGGAAAACCAGAGAGAACCGACAGTCAAGCACCAAGATTGAGGGCGGTTGCGATCTACGGCGGGGCAAAGTCGTCTTTTGATCTGGTGCATTTCTTCGCAACCTTGCATCACAATTCACCAGACTTGCATCTGAAATGCACACCCAAGAATCCAGTGCAAGTGCACTGGATCATTCGTGATGGGGCAACAGGACCGGCATGGATGGCCCCTCCGACATCGACTCTTCCTAATGGGGATACTGTAGCAAGCGACAAGGCGGCGAGCACGCGGCTTCTGAGCCATCTCAGCCCATGCTGTTACGAAATCCCGAAACGACTATCCATTTTACGCTCACCACAGGGATGGGGAATAAGCTTGCGAATGGAAGGTTCGTGGCTAGCCCGTATTTTCCATGGAAATCCGCTGGGACGGTGGTGGATTCGGTCTTTCTGGCGCTCGGTTGACCGGAATCTTGAAGAGCTAGCGCGGTATAGCTCCGATCCCAAAATGAGCAAGCTTCGACCAGAAAATAGGTAAGTATTGTCTGGTGCTCTGACTAGCCGGTCACTAATCTCCAAAGTGTTGTTTCGTGCGCATCAAGTGTCGGGATCGCTAACCAACCCGATCTCTGGGACACCATCCTATTGCCCCAAGTGCATATCCATCGTTCAGTCGTAACTAGCATCTCGGGAACAACAGATGAAAGTGAAGCAGGTCCAACAAAAGATGCAATCGTACACTTGGCAGATGGGACTCAGATCGATCCAGTTGACTTGGTTGTGCATGCCACAGGATATAAACCCATCGTGTCTATCGCATTCGAACCGTCCAGTTTTCGTCTCAAATTGGGCCTCTCGGGCCTGATAAACTCTAGAACGTCTGAATATGATGGGCATCTGTCGCCGGAGAGACTTTTCGATCCACTGGACTCGATCACAAAGGGTCGCGTGAAACTTTGGCAGGAGCTGGACCAGCGATCGGAGGCCGTAGTCCGAAAAACATTGGCTGAAACTGGCTGCACCATAATCAACCGCGCAGATCCATCTTGGACGGGAAGCCATAAATACCTTCCGTATCGCCTATTCCGGCAAATGGTAGCACCCGAGCTCGTTGCTGAAGGAGATCGCTCATTCGCCGCCCTCGGTATTGTTTTGACATCTACTATTGCCGTTGTCGCAGAGGTCCAGGCACTCTGGGTAGCTGCGTTCCTGACGGAAGGACTAGACTGGCTGGTCAATGTCTCACGCGAGGAAATGAACGAATCTATTTCTGAAGATGTCGTGCTTGGATCTTTGACCGGGACAAGTCTCGCGGTGGATGCTATTCAGGCAAGTCGGCTAGGAACGAGAATCAAGAAACATGCATGACTAATATAAAAGGCAGTACAATGATCTCCTGATTCGCGACCTCGGTTTGAACCCATACCGCCTTGGCGGAGGGTATCTGACGGAGTTGACTGGAGTGTATGGGCCATCTGCATATGCGGGGATTGTGGATGAATACCGAGCAATGCGGGCATTGAGTTCAAGATAGGAAGAAGATGTTGACAGGCAGAGATGGTAAAATTGACCTTCGTCTTTGTCCAAATCAAAGAATAAACACTTGCACGTTTTGTATAGTTCTAGTGCCACGTGATGGCGGTTATGCCTTCCTGTTTCGGATCGGGGTTTCTCCGCCCGGTTGCACCTGCGCCTCGACCTAGCGTTGGTAAACACTCAACAGCACACCTACCTAGGTAGGTCGTGATGGCAGGCCAGCCGACACCGAACACTTCATCGCGCCGGCTCACTCGATGTCGGACCGGGTGCATGCGTTGTCGTATTCGTCGCCGAAAATGTATCTAGCCCCCACGCTGCGAAGCTTCCTTGCTAACATACTCTGGACACAGGCGATGAAGGCAAACCGCGATGTCGCAACTGTATTGCTCGCAATTTTCAATGCCAGTATGGTCCGCAGCTCACATTTCTGACAAAAAATGCCCACACAGTCGCGCCCACGGAGGTGGGGAGTGAGGCGACCGCGAGTTACGATGCAATTCGCGTAAGAGTCGCATGGTTGGCTTCATGGAGTATGCTAACACGATACCTCAACATAGTTCATCAACGAGGGGCCGTTGAAAGAAGCTCAAGATCCTGACCAGTCGGAGCAGACATCGACTCCCGCACAAGTGAGCTCCAGTGCTAGTGCGCACACCTCAATCGTCGCAGTGCAGCCAGAGAACCTGCCTCAGAGCAATGTGATACCTGAATCGAGGAGTCTCGAGGCCTCTTCGCAGATCAGCGACTCTGGGTTCACATTTTGGTCTCCAGAAAACACATACTCGCAAACCAGGACCACCCAAACTGCTGTGCAGTACAGCGCCAAGGACGAATCCGCAGTCGCGGGCTTATTAGCACTGGGCACAGGCATGGGTGATGCCCATATAATGGGGTCCGACTTGGGTCTCTCGGAATTTGTTGCCTCACCGACCCCACAGGAAGCAATTCGTGCTACGGCGATGACGCAGTCTACGTTTTCCGGTCCACGCTCGTCGACCTTCTCACCGAGAGAAGTAGGCAACACAACCGATTCCAAGTCAACGGAAGCTTTGGAGCTACTTCGCCACTACCGCTACGAAGTAGCGCCATGGGTAAGAGTGTTGCCCCTGGATGCTCAGAGTAGAGACTGACTGCATCAGTTGGATTTGTGCGACTTGGGACAGTCGTTCGGGATCAATGCTCTGCAGTTGGCGAAGGAGTTACAGCCTGTATGGGTATCAGTTCTCTGTCTGTCCAAAACGTCATTCAGCCAACTACACCCCGAGCAAGGAAGTTTAAGAGCATTGGCAGCAGACAAACAGGGTAGCCCCAATGCCCACCTTGATTTTACCGCCCGTGCACTTCTCAATGCTTTGGATGGGGCGAAAAACTGTATCAAGAGCATCTGCAATGCGTGGACCCATCACAGAGAGGATGATAAGGAGCTTCTCGATGCCATTTGCCTACGTGCAGTAGGTAGGGATCTAGCATCCGCGATCTACTGGCTGCTTGCAAGATTAGGTATGTGCCGGAGCAACTGAATGTTGCCATGCCTCTGACTGTTATCCAGATATCGGAGCCGCTCTAGTTAATGACACGGATATCCACATTCCGCTCCCTCCTTCACTCCCATACCTGGCCGATGTCGACTCGATGGCCGATCCATTTGGGACTGTCTTCCATTTTGCCCACCGCCCGCTCTGGTTGTGTGCGCGCGCGCTCCGGTTCATCCACGACGAAGAACCCCCACTGGGTTGTTCGCCATTGCAGACGTGGATGCAGCTCGTGGATGAGCTCGAACACTGGTACCACGAGCGACCGCAGGAATTCCAGCCGATGTTGGAGTTGGAGATGCATGACCAGTTAGCCGGGCCAGAGCGCAGTTTTCCGGTTATTTTGTTCTCCAATGGAGCAGGTGCATTCGGCAGCCAGCTCTATCATACAGCCATGCTGGTGCTGCTGCAAAGTCGGCCGCGCACTGCACCCATCACCGATTTCAAACCTACTGCGATGTCATCGCTTTGGCATGCGCAGCGCATCTGCGGCATCGCCTTGAATAACGATCGGCAGGAATGCTGGGATCCGTGCCTGTTGGCATCATTTCTGATGGCCGCGCGCCGGATGACGCATGAATCGCAGCAGCAGGAAATACTGCGCGCATTTGAGCGCATTCGGGAGATGACGGGGTTTGATATTAGCGAGCGCTTGCAGGAATTGCGGCAAATATGGTGTCTTCTCGATGAAACGTAAGAAGCCCAGTTTCTATCTCCGACTCTGGACAACCCTCCACCAGATGATGATTGTGGAGAGGGACAGCACGAGAATCGACAGATCAACGAGATACCTGGTACCCCCAAGCCAGCTCTAGGTCACGAATCCGCCAGCAAGCGCCCCATCCGGTATCGGCCTCGATGTTTCGGATGATATCGACAATAATGGTATGCTCTGAGACATGGCTGAAGAGACGCCCGGCTATCCATAACGGCTGAATGGCATTGTTCAAACAGCCGTGGTGGGAATTAGCCAGCGAAATCCCACAGATACGGCGTGCGTGCCAGAGCGCCGACACAGAAGGTGCAGGTTGCAACTTGACCGACTTGGGCATGAGATTCAGAAGCAAGATGCTGGCAGTATGGTACAGCTGATTTGAGGAAATAGCTGCCCAATGAATAAAAAGGATGTATGGGAATGGTTTATTCGGGGCCGTGTACACTGGAAGTAGCTCGCGTGGCCGCTTGTCCACCCACTGCTGTAAATCGTCCCAGAGCTGGATCCAACGACGGTTGAAGACTTCACCAGTGCAGCCGTTCTTAGAACCAAGTTCGATGCACTGCGTCCGGTCAGAGACTAGCTCACAGGTCTTTGCACAGAGATAAACGGCATAATTGGCGTGCATATCAGGGGATTGGGTGGCCTGAAATAGCCGCGACGCATCATCCTCGTGGCAGCCGGGTGCTAGCCACTTGCTCGGTCGAAGAAGAGTGCTCTGGGTCCCATCCGAAATAAGAGCACCACATACATCTAGGTCTAATCGTCAGCGTAGTCTTTTGGTTTTCACCAGGGCAATCTTTACCCATGCGCGCGTAGCACCAGAACAAAGCCTGAAGCAGGCCACCACTGAAACCATGCATCCCAAAAGCATCAAACAACGCAGCACATCCCTCTAGATGACGGCGCCAATCCTGGGCACGAGCCGACATCATCTCAAGACAACATAGCAGCACGCAGGCGGCGACGACCTTGGGGTCACGCACCTGCAATAATGGGCTTAGCAAGCGAATAGCCTCCTGGTAGAGCTCAATGCTATCGAAGGAGTCTTGGATGCCTTCCCTCCTCTCCATTTGCCGGGCAGAGATAGCCAGAACAGCATTGAGAAGCGCGGGGAATGTGCGGGCGAGAGCAGGGATCTGAACACGGAAAGCACATTGCGAGTCGAACATATCAAGCTAAACAGAATCAGAGACCTTTTGCAACCAATTCCGGAGATACATCATCCCACAGGTACCCGAGTGTACCTACCCATGGAGCCACTTGTCCAACGTAGTTCTTCAAATACTCGATGCGGCGCGTATCCGACAGTACCGGGCGCATCAGCGCGCGCTCCCGCTCCCGAGACTGAACACCGGCATCGGCTCGGCCCTCTGGGCTGGGCACGCGAGTCGGTGCTGCCGACTGCGCGATGGTAAAAAGCATGCATCGCAGTTCCTCCTGCGAGGCCAGAAATCCCGGGTCATGCGAGAACCCATCCGGGCCCCAGCTGGCGGTGCCGAGGGGAGAGGCGAACGCCGGGCCATCAGGCGAGTCGGACGCGGTGTGGGAATGCAAGTGTGGCTCAGTTGTCCAGTCGGTCATGGTGGCTATGTGAGCAGACAGGACCAAGTCTCCTTCCAGCTCGTTTACGTGCAGGCGATATCCATTCTTAGGGCGGTTGCGGGAAAGACGAAGTTGGGAGGAGAGAACATGGCGGGGAAGAAGCTCCGTGGGGCTGATCTAAAAACTATGAGTTAATACCTCAATAACCAGGACTCGCATTGCATATACATTAGTATTAGATAATGAAGTTGATGCTTGATGAGACTGGCATTTAATTTACGCATTGGGTAGCTACTTTAGAGTCGAGAGACTTGATAAAAACATCGTGTCGAGTATACTTGATTAACTAGCCAATGTCATTGACTGCGGGGTTGTATAAAATATCAGCTAAATGTGCAGAATCGATGAAGAAAATAGAATCAAGTAACAACACCGAAGCATGCAAGGTGGTGGGCACCTAGTCTCGGTGCACGTGGATAACGGGCGCCTGATACGTCTTCCGGCCATGGACCAAGTAAGTCCCAATCGCGAAAAGCATTGTAAACCCAAACACCAAGATCGACCAATTCATTGTCACAGGGGTCGGCCCGTATGCGGTCGGAAAGAAGGTGAAGGTGATGGCGAAGATGAGATACCCGACAGACAACACATTGAGTGGCAGTCCAAATTTCCCGAGAGAGAAGCGGGATGGCGGAATACCACCGGGCTGGAAACGTGCTCGGATCAGGGCACCGATGGAGAGAATATACGTGGTGAAAAGAGCAGCTACCATCACCGAGGCAATGGCATTAAAGGCAGCAGTGGATCCGATGTTGATCAAGCTCAGCAGCATGGTGACGACCGTCGTAACCAGCACGGCTAGTACGGGGATCCTACTTCCGGCCAGCCGATTGACGCGAGATAGCGCTTTTGAAAAAGGAAGGGCGTTGTCGCGTGCGAAAGCAAATGTCTGCCGTGAAGAGGTGGCTAAAATGCTGATGGCACTGCAGACCTCCATCACGAGGATAATGGCAGCCACGCCGTTTGTGGCGGCAATAGAGCCAGTGGCGTGATGAACAGCTGGGATGAAGGAGAAGCCGCTGGCGGGACTGAGGACAGCCTGAATTGGGCCCATGTTGTATAGCAATGAGACCAAAATCACAAATCCCAGGGCACCGTTGATGATCGCCGTCGACACCATACACCATGGAACAACCAAAGCGGCATTTTGAACCTCCTCGGCTGGAAACTTGTCAGTCGCAAAAATATCCAATTCTTGGAGCATAGACTTACACATATGCGTTGCAGCATCAGGACCTGTCAAGACGGTGGTCGTCAGCTCGCTAAACCATACTCTGCAGAGCACAACATACCTGTCCATGAGAAGATGGGAGTCAGCTGGCCTACCAGACATGCCAGACCCACGCTCGACCAATTTCCCCCATTCGTAAACTGCGTCCAAACCTCATGGGAAGAGACCGTCGACGGAGACATCGCCCAGATCGGAACCAGGACGGCGACAAATCCGCCCAAGTGGAGGAACAAAATGACACCTTCCAATGGTGGCAAGAACTTGGCGCCGAAGGTGTTGACCAATGTGCCTACGACGGCGATGGCCATGGTCAAGAGTGTGCCATGCCAGCGCTCAAAGCCATAAACCCAGCCCGACGGGTCCGAATAGTTGAAGACGAGCAGACCCTGGATCAATGTGCCGCAGAGGAAGCAAATGCTGGCGAATGCGGTCTGCCAGCCGACCACCGACAGCCATCCTAGTTGCGATCAGCTGGCTGATGCTAAAAGATTTCCGGAATAATAACATCTTACCGGTAATGTAGCTCAGGAAGCGTTGGAACCGCGGACCGGCAAATTCACTGACCCAGTGATACTGCCCAGCCGAGGTCGGGGCGCTTCGTCTCCCGGTTAGCTTCGGACGGGATGCGCGGCAGGAGGAACGTACATGGATGCAATCTCAGCCATGGAGATGACTGCCGCAAAAAACCCGATGAAGGAGGCCAGGTACACATAGAGCATGCCGGCCCGGCCGCCATCGGTCAAGCCGTAGGTACTTGTGCTACACGAGGTTAGCGAACCTCTCCACGTACGAGAGAAAGAGCGACACACAGCAAAATCGACTCCCATGTGGCCATCAGCGTGGTGGTGAAGCCCAAGATAGAGTAGAAACGGAAGTTCCTCTGGTTCCGGTCAGCGCCACCCGTCCCTCTCCACACGGTTGCCGCCGCACCTTAAACTGCTGGGCCTGACCCAGACGCTGCATGTCCAGATCATCCTGCGCGATCACCTCCGTCTCCTTGTCGAACATGGCGGATCAAGCTCCAGAGCTTCTTCAGGATCTCGAGAGGTGTGGAGAAAGATCGAAGAAGCGGGGACCGACCGAGGGATGAAGGAGGGCCAGGGGTCGCTGGGAACCCCCAGCAACCGCCCGTGGAGAGCGTGGTGTATTCTTCATCAGCAGCTACGTGTGTTCCACGGGCTGTTATTGGCGGGTGGTGTTGGTACCTGCCCGAATGGGTCTGGTGTTCCCGAACTAGCAGGACGATCTCTTCCCCGCCGGGCCTGATTATTCATGGCCTCGTGGTGGATTCGTCGGAGCGAATTGGAGGAGGAAGGGAATGACGCGACATGGAGGCCCAGATGGAGAGCGCAGTGGGTGAATTCACGGACGCACTGGGACTGCCCAGCTCACCAACGGGGGGTCGGACGACGCCCACGCAGAGCTATATCCTGGTCCGCGAGGACTCGGCATCGTACAGTCCATGTCGCCGTCTGCGATCGAGTATGTGCCCTGTCCATCATCGCCGTGCACGAACCCTAATGCATCACGTGCCCTTATGCGGCCATCTTATCTCGGGTGGATTCATACCGGATGCCAAGAACAGCTTGAATCCTGTTTAGGCCCGTGTCAGGGCGCCACCCCATCATGCAGCCGGATGGTATCACATTGCGCGTTCTATCTGCCTGTCTTAGGTCGTGCGGACGTATTCCACCACGCATGGGGCAAGGGGGAGAGCAATGGTTCTGCCACCGCCGCCCTGAAACCCGCCCCTCGTTCTCGTTTCGCATTCCCATTGTGGTTGACGATCGCGCTCTCTTCGCATTGGGCGATGCTTATTCCTCCACGCCACCAAAAGAGGTGCAACGGATATCGGCACCTGGCCTGCGGCGCCGCCTATGCAGTGATTGGGCCAAGTGGGAAACCAAGTCCCACTTCGAGGTATCGACGCCACGCCCGCCACACTAGCGCAGGACGCGCGGACGGTGTTAGCGAGATTGTGCCGCAGCTGCCCCCCGAACCAGGGCGCGGAAGGAGTCAAAGCGATGAAACGCACAGCTGTTAGGGAAAGCCGTCGCATCGCATGCCATTTCCGTTGGGCTTGACGCGCATCCTCCTGATCCACTTGGACCTTGGCAGATGTGGCGAACCTTGTCTGGAATGCCGGCTGGCGGCCGAATCAACGTCCAGCCAAGAGTCCCCGCCGGTAAGGAGTGACGCGAGCGGAGACTCAGAGATTATTAGATATTGCACTCGCGGGGGATGGATGGGGCCAGTTTATAATTGTGGCATTGGCACTTCCTCCCTTTTTCTTCTTTCGTCCCTTCCACTCTGCCTTCCGCCACATTCCCTTCCCCCACGCTACTACCCCGACCCCCTTCTCCATTCCGCAATGCGCCCATGTCCTGGCGGACTTCTTCCGGCCTTGCTCGCCTAAGCTCCTGGCGTTGGCCGCAGCATCGCGCCGGTCGCCCCCAGAAGCGCGCTCTATACCGCTGGGTTCTCGCAATCCTCGCGGCCCTGGGCGGGCTCATTCTGTTATATCTTTTCGTGGTCCCGCAGATCCTCCGCTTTCGCTTTCGGACGGATCTGAGCTGGTACGATCTGGGGGTTCACGGGTTTGGTCCGTCCCAAAGCTACGCCTCGTTTGATGAAGACTCGCCGGTCGTCCAGATCTCACCTCCAGGCGCACAATGTGATGGCCGGTATACGTTCATGGCGCCCCGAGGCGATTCCGTCGCGTACCCGGGCCCGATGATCTTGGATGCTCGGGGAGAATTGGTGTGGACCAGACATCAATGGGGGACCACTCAGGACTTTCGGGTCCAACGGTATCGAGGCGAGGACTTTTTGACATATTGGCAAGGAGACGAAGAGGATGCTCATGGTCGTGGTTCATGGTATATGGTAAGGTGCCCAGTCGGCGGCCGGAGTTCTGGAGCGGTTGGCTAACTTCTGTACAGCTGGACTCGACCTACACACAACGATACGTCGTGTCTCCTGTCGGTAACTTGGACGGTGACTTGCACGAGTTCCAAATCACGCCGGACGGGACTGCTCTGATCATCATCTACGAACCGATTCCGGCCGACCTGACCTCCGTTGGAGGACCCGAGCTCGGGTGGCTCTACGACGGAATCCTTCAGGAACTTGACATTGCAACCGGAGAGCTACTCTTTGAGTGGCGTTCATCCAGTTTCTTCCCGCCAAACAGCAGCTACGAGCCACTCGGAGACCGCGGGCACGAACACACGGCTGGCTACGACTATATCCACTTCAACAGCGTAGACAAAGATGACCAGGGCCGCTACCTGGTTTCGGGTCGGCATACCCATTCCATTACCTGCATCGATGGAAACACAGGAGACGTTCTTTGGAACCTCGGTGGGAGACAAAATGAATTCTCTGATGCATCCCAAGACGCGAAAGTCGAATTCCACTGGCAACATGACGCTCGCTGGCGAGGTCCCAACACGATATCTCTGTTTGACAATGAGGTTAAGGACGACTCTGACCCGACTCCAGTCAGTCGTGGCATGATGATTGAGGTCGATGCCCCAGCACGGCAAGTCCAGTTGCTCAGGACATACGACCACCCGCAGGCCTTGATGACGCCGTCGCAAGGCAACCTTCAGGTACTGGATACTGGGAATGTGCTTGTCGGATGGGGTCACAGCGCCGCCTACACCGAGTTTACCAGCACGGGAGATGTTGTCTGTGACGTTCACTTCGGTGCATCGGCATTCTTCTCCTTTGGCCGCATCGTCTCCTACCGGGTGACCAAGAGCGACTGGGTTGGCATGCCAAATACCATCCCAGACGTTGCGGTTGCCGGCGACAGCGTCTTTGTGAGCTGGAACGGTGCGACGGAGGTGGCCACCTGGCGTCTTGAAGCATGGGATGGCCTGGATCTATCCAATATGACATTCCAAACCGCTAACCAAGTCCCTCGCACCACCTTTGAGACCGAGATCCCCCTGGTGACCCCAGAACTCGACACATACTTGCGCGTGTGCGCTGTCAATAGCAACGGCGAAGTGATTGGCATGACGGATGTGGTTTCACGCGCCTCGGCCAAACCGCGCGGGATCTTCGCCTCAGTTCGGAACTGGGGCGCGGTTCTAATCGGCATCTTCGCGCTGTGTTGTCTTCTCTTTGGTGTCTACTGCGCCGTCTCCCGCCGTCTGCGACGCCGTCTATCCAACTCTGGCGGCTCTTATCAGCCTGTCAGGCCGCAGGACGACGACGACAGTGAATCTGAGCTTGATCGACTCCCAATATAGGGCAGACGCTGGCGTCTCTGGGTGGGGATGTGAATATCCCCTTTTGTGGCTCGTATAGAATTATGCGCCTCGCAGGCTATGAGTTGACGACCTTGTACATATGTATATCTTGCGGGCGTTTTGGAATAGGTTTCGTGGAGTTTTTATTTTACTTGGGTGCATATGAAATTTACTTGTTGGAAATTATAAACAACGTCACTTGGGTGTTTCCCGAAACGGCAACTCTCCTTCTCGCTCGCTTCTCTGCCTACCAAACACCTTTCCTTCTTTCCTTCTTCCTCTTGTTTCTGTTTCCCTTTCCACCTTCCTTTTCTACCGCCACTCACCCTCTCCTTCCCACTCTTCTTCACCTTCATATTCTGTGTTTCTGTAGCTCTTTCCTGTCCTTCATCACATGATGGCTAAGGAGAAGATAGTGAAGGATGAGTCTTCCTCGCCCTCGCTCCCCAAGAACGGAGCAACGGACGGCGAGGAGCATGGTAAGTCTGCTTTGTTGTTCCCAAAGTTCCTCGCTTATATATTTGCCATAAGTCGTAGACGCGCCGTCCATCTCGGATACTCTCCTGGCCCAGCTTAAATCCAAGATCGCCTCCGGTACGCTCAGGCTGCCGGACAAAGGCTGGGTCCGTCCTTTGGAGTACCGAAAGTCTGACCTCAAAGGCAAACCGCATGAGCTGAAAGCCTCCTATATGACTCGCGCTGCTTGGGGCCAGGCCACTGGTGTTGAAGTCCCCAAGGCGTCGTGGTGCCGTACTTGTGCATCGGGCGCCGGACCTTTCATTTCCTGCGTGATTGCAGACGATGGCAAGAAGCTGTTGAGCCGGGGCGCCTGCATGAGCTGCGCCTACTACGGACACATGGACAAGTGTTCGTTCGGTACGTAATCTCTTTGCGATATTCTGGCTCTTATGCCTCAGCTAATGTCGGCCAGTCGATGAAAATGGCAGCACCCCGCGCTTTATCCTCAACCACGCCATGCAGCTCGGCGGAAACAACAGCGCAGCCACTCCGAAGGATGCTACTGAGTCCTCCCCGTCCCAGAAGCGCAAGGTTGCATCGGTAACGTATCCTCTTGGCCAGGTGAACATATCCATTTGCTAACGCCTGTGTCTTCTAGGTTCCTGCGACCCCCAGCAAGGCTCACAAGTCGTCCAAGACCACCACCCCCAAGTCAGCTAGCAAGGCTGCTGTTGTGAGCAAGGACATGGACAACTACGACGATATTGATGACCTCGCTGTTTTGCTTTCGGCTCTGGGTGAGCTGGAAGATGATATGGCTGCCCTCAAGCTGCGTATCAAGAAGCTCCAGCTGGAGAAGAATGTAGAGGAGGTGTGAAGCCCTGCTTGGTCCCCCTCAAGGCACCTGAGCCTACAGAGGTGTGTGGTTGGTTTTGAATGCTTCTTGATATGTGATGGACTTGGTTTTGTCATGGTGTTTCATAGTTTTGATATGCAGATGCAATATCCACAGAGTTGATGCCCTTTCAGCCAGTGTAGTCATATCTTATAGCAATATCCTGTAGGAGAAGATGTGGACGTTGGTCTTATTCTCTGTACCAACGTCAGTCTGCTTTGTGTATAGATCCCGAGCGATATCGCTCCCTCTGTTTCGGTTATTCCGTTTCCCCTCTTCATCTTCCCAGCCTCCTTGACCATCACAACCCACGCCATTCACTCATCCACTATGTCGCAGGACAACCAAGGTAACTCTTACTCCTGCAAGGGCTCCGGCACCAATAGCCAGGTACGTGATAATTGACTCCCCTACTCGGAGTAGAACTTAAGCCCCTCCGTTATGGCAACCACTAGTGCGCTCGGGGCCGCGGTTTCAATGCGTCGAACTCGAACTCATACCACTTCCCTAACTCGCTCGTTTCTCTAGGCTGCTAATTTGGCTGACTGCGCTGACATGACTGGACTAGGAATGGCTCGTACTACTACTCCAATCTAACGGAAGCACATACTCCAACAACGGCCAGGGCGGCACTACATACACCGCCCCTTCCTCGAAGAAGTGAATCACGCGGTCTGTACATGGACCGCCGCCAACCTGTGTAGAAATGCCTTCTTGAAGATGGATTGGATTGGGTGGAGCTGAACATTCCGTTGTATCCAGGGTAGATAGTGTCTAGGGACAATGAACTTTCGAGCTTGACTTCCTTATATTGTGCGAGTACACAATGAGGAAAGGTCCATCTGGACCTGTGGAATCCTGCCGATTAACATGCAGGACGAGGACAAAAGGGTGTAAAAGTGAAATTCAATAAAGCAGAGGCATGGCTGCGCGTACAAATAAAGAGCACATAAACCCCTAAACCCTCCTGTAAAGCCGCGAAAGCTTCAGTTCAAGCAGACTGTCAGGGCCTATTCAAGGCTGGATCGACAAACAGTCGCACTGTCAATCATTTGATCTTAGGGCTCGGGTTGAGGATCATTGTGTATTATCCGACCTGCAGCCGTGAAAAACCAGTGAAATTCAAATTCACAGGCTTTTTCCGAAGCAGGGTCCGGTTCCTGCAAATCGTAATTTGGCAGACGAAACATGATTGGATAAAGGCATACGTAGCGCAGCGATTAGCCAAATCAGTCTAGCGGCACGCTGAGCGAATCATCCGAGCACCCCAATCATGTACTGTTTTTGCAAATCAGATGAGAAGCCAACCGACTTAAGCTGCACGCTAGGTGATTCAGGCCCCCCGGCACGGGTTTAGCGAGCTCCGACACGCCAAAGCTTCGTGACATTAAAAGAAAACTTGTTCCCCCTGCCCCGGACTTGACAACAAGCAACGGAGTTTTTTTTTGGCTCCACATTTAACATCTCATGGGGTGCCGAAATCGCCAGCTACAATGTCGCCTGCAAATGCCCGCGATTTCTAGGTTCGGGGTTTATCTACTTGTCGGCGTTTTGAACTTCGTCTCCGTCTCCGCTTCTTGCTTCTATCGCGATGGATCAAGAGCCAGCGGCGACGTCTCATGCCCAAATTCGAATTTCTGCTGTCCGTCAGCGGACACATGCATGGATAATGGGTTGTGTCGCGACAAAAACAATCATGCAAACGGCTCACTGACTACCTTCTCCGACGGGGCGACATATAACTACACGGGCCTTTATTACACCTCCTCGTGCCAGGATTCAAGCTACCAGGATTGTTTTACCCATTGTAGTACCAGTATGTGTCAATGCGCTCCCTGCGAGTCAATCTCTGAAAACTAAATAAATGTCTGTGAAAGGCACATCCTCGAGCGCTGACTATATTTGGTCCTGCGATCTCGGCTTAACCACGTTTTGCTGCCACGATTCTGCCGAGAGCTTGGGCCAGTTTGACTGTTGTTCGGATGGTACATTTTCGCTCCCGTCACCGAGAATCCTGGGTGGTCAAGTCAGTCAAACCGCTGGCTCGAGTATACCTACCTCTACGCCATCCGATTCAAGTACAAGCACAAGCACAAGCACAAGCACAAGCACAAGCACTAGCACTGGCACAGGCGTAAGCACTACTTCCCAATCTACAACATCCACGGCTCCATCAAGCCAAGAGAGCTCACCATTACCACCATCCGCCGGTTCCGCAGCCTCGAAATCTAGTGGCCTATCGACTGGTGCAAAAGCAGGAATCGGTGTCGGAGTAGCCGTCGGCGCGATTCTTATAATTATTTTTGGGATCTTCTTTTTACGGGCGCGTTCTAAGAAACAGCCAAGAGCTGAATTGAGCGCTGCAACTCCGTCAGAACAGCCAACGTCGGAGATTGATGGTAGAAGTGTTCTCGCCCGGCAGACGATTCCTCAGCAGATAGCCGGCAAGCCTATGTCTGAACTGAGCTCTGGGAGGACCGAGACTACGAGACCTGCGTATGAATTGGGGTCATAAGGCGAATTTGGGGAGAGGGATCGAATTGTTCAAAAGAATTACGTTAATACATATTGGGTAAAGTCCCGGGAACTTGTGCATGGACTACTAGTAACTAGTATCGAGGAGTTAACAAGCATTTGAGCAGTTGCGTGTCGTTTATCTCTGTTGTACTCAAGAATCCGCTTTCTATCACTTTAACAAGGGGCGGCAAAATTGCTCCAAGGGTACCACAAGCACCTTTCGTTGCATTTGAGACTGGTATATAAATGTTATATCTCTTTAATTTCAAGATTGTTTGGCAAAGACTCCGGGGTGTCCCACGGGTTTACTGCAATCTAATGTACAAAATTCGGTTGGATAGTATATCTCGAATCCGAGGGGTATATGCCAGTATGTTCCCAGATCACATGCTCAAAAGACGATATCAACCGCCAAAGAGTAAATCATGAATAAAACGCCATTCCAAACTCCAATGATATGCCGGCCGCCGAGAATCAGAAAATTCGGGTTATACTTGGTTTCACCCAATGTGGCCGTGGGCACTGATGCGAAGCTGTCCAGCTGTTGATCTTTTCATTATCCCAGCCTGCCGACAGCCGGACCTCTGGGGAGATCAGCTTCTTCAGGCCGAGGCGCATGGATGGCACAAAAATACAGTGCCCTGTGGAATCGTATGTGAAGGACAGACAGCGATCATGGTCATGACAGGCTGACCGACAGGCTTCGAAGGACCGGTGAGCTGGTGACTCTAATGGGTCCTGGAATCCACCCCATTCGCCATTGTCCCAATCCTCCTTGTCGGCCAGTTCGCCCAACCGAGTGTATTCAAACAGATCTGAGTAGAGAAGTGGGTCCTAAAAGGCACAGTTAGACATATAGCAGAGAGTACAAGTGATCGGCGACATACTGTACGGTCCCGATTATTCTCCCACTTCGTCAACCCAGCCATATCGGTCAATGACGTTTTATGCAAACTGATGACTGGCTGACACCAGTAGGAATCATGGAAAGGAATGCCGTGTAGGGGATGCGGGTTGAACATCGGGAATAAGCCAGAGAGCTTGATCCCTTTTTGAAACAATGTCCATCCGAGAACGGAATCTCCACAGCATTCATCCATAACCAGTTGTTCATCTTGCAGTGTCAAGGATGGCAGCTTGAATTCCCCGTTCGGCCCAACTGGCCGATGCACTAGCTTATCAACCGCGGCAGCGGATAAAACAAAACCGACCCCTCCGTAGGCGAACCAAGTGACATCCCCGTTTTTAGCGCGATGGCCCGGGGAGGGAGAACCGAAGTACAAAGGCACGGCAGGGTCGAACTGGTCCAGCAGTCGGAATAGATTGTCCCAGAAAAAATAGGTATCTGATTCGAGGAAGACAAACCATTGCGCAGACGGATTTGACAGCTTTGCATACTCGACCATTGGTAGAAACTTATAGCGGTCAAGCCTCCAACCTGCGGCCTTCTCGAAATTTGGATCGTCCCTCTGGAGGGCCTCATATTGGTCGAAATCAGGAGCCCTGGCTCGGAACGACGGCGGTAGGTCGGCGAGCACATCGTGGACCCGGTGGCCGTTGAGCACGTCTTCTCGATCCGAGACAATGAGCAGATTGGTGATGCAGCGGGTGACCGTGGAGGTGAGTACGTCAAGTCGCTCGGTATCTTCGGATCCGCCGATTTTCAAAACGACCTGGACGCTGGCCAGCCGGTCTGTAGGGAAGGAGTCGCAAATATCGACATCGGCGATTTGTGAGTGCTTGGCATGCGGCGTGCGAAACCTCGTGCTGGTATCCCAGTCCCAAAAATCGGGCTTTGAGGGGCTCTTCGAGTTGGGAAACCAGGTGTGTGGTGGCCCCGAATTGAACGTGGAGACGAGAAAGATGAAGACTAGAATGCTGATTAGAGCGAAGACCGCTCTGCGGGTCAGCGACCGCATTCTCACGGTCGGGCCCTCAACTTTGCAGCGAAGAGAGTGGGAGAGTGTGGGAGAGAGCGGGAGCAAGAGAAGGGGAAAGAAAGTTGCGTAGAGACCAAAAAAAAGTGGGCGGGCCCCACGAGACAGCTGGAAAACGAGGGAACTGGGAGATGATTAATTTCAGATGTTGGGGCCGAGACCCACGCTTAAGCTTTTTAGTTCGGTGGTTAATTTGGTCGGACTGCTAGAGGTCGGGCGTAGAGGTAATGCGTGGCCATTGGAGTGATGGTGGGCGGCTATGATGGAAAGTCAGGGTTCCCCAGTTGTGGAGATTTTATTTCATACTCCGTAGAGGAGAAGAAGAATGGCTAATGAGCTCCAAAAAGAACTGAGTAACGTCAAATCAGCGACTGCTGATATCATCGCCAGGTTGGGACTACCTGGCCCACAGTGGCGGTCATCCCACCAATCACACGGAGCTGAAGCTCTCACGTAGATGGCGTGCTCTACGCCGGTTAATGGTTATCGACCGCGATATGCATAGTAGCAGGGAATCCCCTGAAAATATAAATATCTACAAACGCCAGGATCGCAAATGATCTCGGCCTCACAAAGGTGCAAGTCGTCATACGCAGGTGCCGGAATTGCATCGCTTGACATGAGAAGCAAAGTTCGGCTGACACCCCCGTGGGACTGTATTGACTGCCCACTAAATAGAGAGTCATCAATATCCGAGACCTTCAGTTTTCTTTCTACACCTCGAATCACTAAAGTTCAACTGTCTCTCCGTCCTTGTGAAGAAGACGTGTCTTTGACTAAAAAGTCCACCGGGCCGCCGGTGAGGAGTGCACCCAAGCGCGCTACCCAGCTAGGCCCAAAAGACCACTAGGACGAAGTTCTCTGACTGTCATGCTTGGGCCCACCATGTATAGTAGTATCGCGACCGCAGCCCTGACACCGCCCCATACAACGTTGTTATCCTTATCAAACCTCGAGCTACCCGTGAGCTCGGAATATCCAATCCTACCTGATTCCCATCCTGATAAGCAGCCAGAGAGGTTACATGTATTTTTGTATAGTCTGAGTTCATTATACTCGTTTATAAAACTAAAATCATATACCTTCTGAGTTTCGTAGTCGAAGGAATATATATTTCGAGCTGAAGAGCTGCCCTTCTCTACTTGTCTACTGGAACGGCAGTGTAAAAATCAACCCAAGGGAATCATAGAAAAGCAACTTTTTTTGCGTACAAAAAAAGTTATAGAACTAGTATAATAAACCAAGACGCTCCCTTGTGAGGGCCTGACATTTGGAGATGGGTCTTCCGCCCAAATCTATTTTTGTTACAATTTTCTACCCACCAAGGTAGAATCTCATTATCTAAGAGAATATTCTCCGATAGTAATTGGTTGGGTGGTGTAGTTGGTTATCACGTGTCGCTCACACCGACAAGGTCCTGGGATCGAACCCCAGCCTAATCAATCTTTTTACATTTTTTTTACATTTCGGGCAATCTTCATATTTTTGAACATATACTGCTTTTTTTGTCTTTCTGCAGTAATTGAATGGTGACTGCTTAGAGAAACCGAGATCGATAGGTGGTTGTTTCACTGTCTTAAATTTCGTTTCGACCTGTCGTCTCTCTAGAATCAATCGCAATGAAATAGCAACAAGACCAAATTCGCTTCTCAAGAGGAGCATGGCATTCAAGGAGAATCTCCTTCGAACATTGCGGATTGACGTCTTTGATGCATAGCATAATAGTTTGTGTTCCGGACCGTACAATTAGTACTGAAGTGAAAAGAGCTCCACAGTGGTTGCTGAAACCCCATATTATAATAGTGTGGGTCTCAACTAAAGCTGTGATAGAACTCCTTGTTTCTAACATGGCCCAGAACTTGGTTTGTTGTGATACATGACTCGTATCCTGCCACTTGCATATGACAACGTCCTCGCCGTGCGATGGGGTCATACAACCCTAGTTACCAGAGGGGCTGTCCCTGACCGAAGGCTCCCTGCCCTATCGGGAAAATTCAAAGACAAATCCCATGATATTGTGCTCCCTCAAACCATGCTGCATAGTGTGTGGGAGAGATCCTTAAAATGTATGAAACACGAGTTTCCATGCGATCTGACACAGGTAATAATGGGCTATTGTCATAAAGTCATTCATTTGTTAGTTAAAACGCTCTAGTACTGACATGTTTTATGGGACCTCGCTAGACTGGAGTCTCATTGGTCACACAACGCTGCAGTATTCATTCAACCCTGGTTTAAGATCGGGTCCACCGAAGTTGACCTCGACATTAAGCCCAAGAAATTCAACAGGGATCTTAATCTCTAATTTTCAGTGTTGATAAGTCCCTGGTCACCGACGCTTCAGTCGGTCCCGGTGACAACTCACACATTGTCGTGCGGGTTTTCATTATTTCTTCATTTGTGGGTTTGCGAGCCCAGATTCTTCGTCTGTATACTGTCAGCTGGGTAAAATAAGCCACGTATGCCAGCACCTACAAGTAGTGGTAGATGTGGTGCTTGGGATTCGCTATGTCGGCTCGAGTCTTAGCCACGTAAACATGGACTTGCTCCGTAGTCCATGGCTTTGGGTTTCCGAATTTTGTGAGCAGCCACATGGCCCATCCTTCCAGCCCGGTTTTCCACATTTGGTGATTTAGACGACCCGCCTCCTTGAGAATGGGATCCTTGGGCCACATCCCAATCGGCCACTTATACACTTTCTCATGGATATCAACAAATCCGGCGTTCTCAATAGCGGATCGCATTGTATGCACGGTTTCTACGGGGCGACCGGATCTTGCTGCGGACCCGACGATGTTCTCTCCCCAAGAGTGTAGCATGCTATCCTCAGGAATCGAATTGTCGTCGGTTAAGATATTACAATCACCTTCCATCTGTTCCAGCCAACCACCTGGAGTGAGGTTGCTATGAGTTTATTTAGTTTCAAATACGAAGTTTGGGTCAGCTTTCTTACTCGTAGCACTGTTTGTAAACAGAATCCCATTCAGCGGGCGTAAATGCGCCTAGCATGAACCGCATATGAATGAGATCAAACGGCTCTTTCCAAGTCCATTCCTCAAGTACGTCATCTAACTCAAAGAGACAGTTTGGGGGCACCCACTCTACAGGTGGCGGGTAGAGATCAACGCCGCGAATAGTGGCTGCGGGAGAGATCAGCGTATCCAGCGCAAGCCACGGGAAGAAAGACCAACCATCGGGAAACCTATCAGCTGCATCACTGAGCGGATCCTGGTGCATTAGTTCAAAAGCCTCTTTTTGAGGCGAAAATCCATCGACTCACACAGCCCAGCTTCCGCGTCCTGTTCCGATGTCGAGGATATGCTTTTATTACCGTTTGTTAGATCGAGACATGGTCGTGCCGATTGGGAAAGGGCCAGATACCTTTGGATGTTCGACCGGTGCTTGCAACAGCGGATTGGGTGCTTCTGAGTCCACGACGAGCGCCACCAAGTGACTGTTGCGGTCAGCGTGGACCATTGTAGATATTTTGGAACTTATCACCCTGCTTCATATGTCTCGAATTGTAAATCGTCGGATGGACCCCTGGGTTGGATAAGCATTGCGGACACCTCTTGCCATTGAGGGTATGTACCAATATTTTCCCTCACGCATCGTCTGATATCTAGTTCGGAGTATAAGCGATTCTGGTGTCTGTATCTGATGGTGGGAAAGCTCACCGTCTGCCATTTTCCATGACCCCGTGATAGATGCTCGAGACCAGACTGCATGTCTCACTGTGTAACAAAAGGTAAGAAAGTGATTTGGGCAACTGAGGAACTGGGGAACGCACGAGCGGAAGTCGCTCGGTTCGTAGGAATCTACGACTTCATGGAAGTCGGGGTCCTTAATATACGTATTGGTCACAATTAGTGATGCTCCACAACCGGAGAGCACACACTTACCACCGCAATCTCGTCCTCGTCCATGACTCTGGGAGGTGAGAACATTGCCAGTGATTTGGCGGGGTGTATCCATTTAAGTAGGGCGACCGGGGCTGTCACACTACGGAGACCCGACAGTCTGGTTCTGGGCTCAACTGGCCGAGCTGGCCAAGGGCTGACTTTTTGTTCACCGCATGGAAATCACCTGACTAATGCTATCATCGCTCATCCCGGGACTGGATAATGGGATAAGGAGTGGGTTGGCGGTGAGGCTGAAGGATTCAAACGGCCTGTTATTTTTGCAATGAGTACCTAGAGCTAGAACCACGGAGGGGAAGCATATTGGCATCACTCCGGAGCGTTAATTGTCTAAAACCGAAAATAATGAAGCTATCGTCAATTTACTACTGGCAATCACCTGACCATGACCACTGCATCGGGATTTCCAATCTGATCATATTGATTAATCGGAGGCTTATTATCCCGAAACTGGAAGATTCGGAGTTTGTACCACCCAGAGGAAGGGCCATCATCTCTCAAAAAACAGCCGCGTTGACCTGTAAAGAGCTGGGCGGGCAACCCCACTCCGTCCCCGCCCCGTGTATAACCTGAACATCATAAGAACAGCAACACGCTCGACACAACGGGCTCACAGCAATTCTACACTGTTCTGTCAACCACAGTACAAGCACGCCACTAATAGCGAAATGACGGGGATTCCTTGGATGCAGCTGGGAGAGATTGCGGAACCATCATTGACTGCTCCACCCGCCCCATTCCCGCAAACGAATGCCCCAGCAGAAAACGCTCGCCTGAGGTTCACTGTATCCGGAAATGCTATTTGTAAGTGTGGCCTTCAATTCAAGAGCTCGAACTCATATTAGCCTTCGCAGTTACCGGGGGCGCGGGGGTGCTCGCTCTCGCTTCAGCACGTGCTTTACTAGAGCATGGACTTAGTGGACTCGCGTTGCTAGATCTCCCTGCGGCACTGCAGAAGCAATCGCTGCATATCACGGCTCTTCGCCGAGACTTCCCGCAGGCACACCTAGTGATCTCGGAATGCGACGTAACTAACGAAGAGAATGTACAGCGTGCTGTGAAGAGTGCGCGAGATGCTCTGGGCCCGCTGCGGATACTGTGCTGTTTTGCTGGTCTCCCACTTTGCGTTTCTGCAGAAGACATGACATTTGACGAGTGGCGCAGGGTTACCGATGTCAACATGACTGGGTCCTGGTTGACTGCGCAGGCTGTTGGACGGTATGCTTCATAGAGTCAAGACAGTTTCAACAGAGACTAATATTTTGACTCGCAGACACATGATTGCAGATAGCACAGGCGGCCGCATTGTCTTTATCTCGTCTATTAGTGCCCACCGGGTGAATTATCCCCAACCGCAGATGGCTTATAACGTATCCAAGGCGGGCATACTGCAGATGCGAAACTCGCTCGCTGCCGAATGGACTCGCTACGGCATCCGTGTCAACTCCATCTCTCCAGGGTACATGGACACCGTAATGAACGAAGGCGATCAACTTGCAGGTCATCGCGCTGTGTGGGCAGATCGCAATCCCATGCAGCGTATGGGCTCACCAGATGAACTGACAGGACCTGTAGTGCTTTTGTGCAGTGATTTCGGGGGCAATTATCTGAATGGAATGGATCTGGTTGTCGATGGTAAGGATTCTTTTGGGTTAACTTGCGTTTGAATCGAGTTAACGTTTAAAATAGGCGGCGGGATGGTTTTTTAGATTGCCACCAAATCAACCTATGCGACGCACATATATCCACAGCAGGACTTTTCATATTGTTAGAAACAAATCCATAGGACAAGCGTAGGCTTGTTTCCATTGTACAGAGGTTTGGCTTCGCTGCAGTAACATCTTCCTGAAATAGACTCAATTATCAAGCCTGTTCAACGAGTAAGAAAAGCAGTGAGACCGGTACAATTGAGTGGATAGGGCAGCACATGGCAGGATCAGAAAAAATTCCAGCCATAATACGTTATAGAAGTGAGCGTAAAGAGCAAAACACGACCACGAGGGGATGTTGGTGAAGTTTTGCAACCTAGGAAGAAAGACAGATCCATTTCCATAAGGTGTTGATATTCCGACACCTCAGGCAATTATCAGGCTACAAGGTATCCGTTCAACCGAACCAACCTTGGTCAGTTATGATTATTAATTGGTCCAGCGGGCGAGAAGGGGGGGTCTGAACCGCCCGGTTTACACGGAGTTCCCCTATCTTGAGAGCCCCTTCGATGTAGCTATGTCAAGGAGCATCATTTCAATCCTTCAATTGGTCACCAATGCCATTTGTAAGATGCATGGGTAGAGCTGTAAAGTTACTTTGCCGTGGCCGTTGTCCAGGGTCGACAATTCCCGGCCGGGTCCGCATCGATTCAACCATACAACCAACGTCAATGGGCGTCCCCGGATTCGCACTGCCCCGGATCTTTGCAGCATCGCAATTCGCCAGTGATCAGTGCGCACATGTCTGGATGGAATGTGCACGCTAAGGGTGCATGGCGTCTGGGGTTAGGTTTGGGCAGAACATGGGTGCAGATCCCCTGGCGGAAGCCCCGGAATTTCATAGGCTGGCCCTCCGATTGCCGAGGTCGCCAACTTGGTTGATCAACGGCAGACGGCGATGCCCGCCCCAGACCAGCACTGGACTTGCCCTCTGCGGAGTGAGATCAGGATCGCTTAGGCAATGGCCATAAATCCCCATATAGGACCACGATCCTCACTTAATTATTTTCGCTTGTTCTCACCACATTCGGTATTCTTCAGTGCTGGATTCATGATCCCTGTTGTTACGTCGTCCAACCACCATCATGGCCATCAAACCCTACCTGGGCTTCCGGGGTAATGCCCTTCTCCGAGCGGCCGTCATGCTGGTCGTGTGTCCGACCTTCACCTGTTATGGCTACAATATGAGCGTCGCTGGAGGGTTGTTGACCCTCAATTCCTTCAATACACAATTCCCACAAATGGACACGATTCATAGCACCGAGGCCAACCAGCTGGAACGATCGCAAGTCCAAGGTTCGTGGCGGATGGGCTAAAATCACGCGCGTTATACTAACGAATCGGAACCTCACCAGGCACCGTTATTGCGCTTTACACTGTCGGAGGTATTTTTGGCGCATTGTCATGCATATACCTGGGCGATCTCTTGGGGCGGCGAAAGGTTATTTTCTTCACTAATTTGGTGGCGATCATTGGCGCCGTGCTCATGGCCACATCCTTCGATTTCGCCCAATTCATCGTAGCGCGACTGGTTCTTGGTCTGGGCACCGGAGGTTACGTTGCGACCGTGCCCATCTGGCAGGCGAGTCTACATCCGGATAATATACTTCTGACCGGCTAATTGTCTAGTAGGCCGAGATCTCTCCATCACACAAGCGCGGGTCAAACGTTGTGACTGACGGCATATTTGTCGGAGTCGGCGTCACCCTCGCCCTGTGGATTGACCTTGGATGCTACTTTGTGAAGGATAATTCGGTTTCTTGGAGATTCCCTCTAGTCTTCCAAGTAGTCCTTTCGCTTACTGCGATGGTCTTTATTTCATTCCTCCCCGAATCTCCGCGGTGGCTCCTCAAGCACGGTCGACAGGAAGAAACCCGAGAGGTCCTAGCGGCACTATTAGACGTTGAACCTGACTCCGATGAGATCAACGGCAGCATTCAAGATATGGAAGCCTCTCTCGCCAAAGCTGGATCGGGCACCTGGCGCGACATGTTTACAATGGGTGAACAGCGACTCTTTCACCGCGCATACCTTGCCGCCACCGGTCAGATGTTCCAGCAAATGTGCGGCGTGAACCTGATCACCTATTATGCGACTACTATTTTCCAGTCTTACCTAGGCCTTGACCCAGTCAAAGCGCGCATCCTGGCTGCTGCAATGGGGCTGATGCAGCCATTTGGTGGCTTTCTGGCCTTCTACACGATCGATCGTCTCGGCCGTCGCCCTCTAATGTTGTGGAGTGCTGGAGCAATGGCTATCTGCATGGCTATTCTTGCCGGCACAACTTCCCAGCACAACAACACCGGAGCTTTAGTTGTGGCTGTGATCTTCCTTTACATCTTCCAGTTTATCTTTACTGTTGGCTATTCGGGTCTCACCTTCCTCTACGCAGCTGAGATGGCTCCCTTGCAGATTCGCGCTGCCGTCAGCGCCGTGTCCACAGCTACTGTATGGACGTTTAATTTCCTACTGGCGCAAATCACGCCGGTTGGATTCTCCACGATCGAGAACCGTTACTATATTATTTTCGCCGTCATCAACGCTGCCATCGTGCCGTCCGTATATTTCTTCTTCCCTGAGACCAAGGGCCGCACGTTGGAGGAAATTGATGAAATCTTCGCTCAATCGAAAAGCATCTTCGATCCTCCTCGTGTGGCACGCGCCATGCTTAGGGTGGAAGGCCAAGCGCAGTTTGAGCGCGGCGCGGACACTACATCCACCGACGAGCCTGTCGAGAAGTCAAAGGCATAAGGAAAGTGCACAATATTGACCGGAACCATTTGATATGTTGAGATACATACACCATGGTGCTTATCCGAAACTCAGCGAGCGATTCAAGTTATTTGTTTTATTATCTGGGCAAGCCGGTCTGCTCAGTAACACTGCCATGCAACGAAGAGAAGAAGCTATCAACTTAAAGAGACCGGTGAAAACTACCGGTGCTGTACAGGTTGTGCGTCCACTTCTTTGATATATTAGCCAGGTATAGAATACCCGAGTAGATTTAAGAATGAATAGCCCTGATTTTGAATTCAGGAGACACCTGTCCCGTAATCGCACCGACAGTATTCATGACTTCGGGACGATGGAACTTATCAAGAGCTCCGCGCATAAACTCGTTCCCAATCTGCAGTTGATCCAATATCTCCGCGACGGCAGAATATAGAATATTGACATTTCCATCCTCGATCTTCACCGCGATTCCAATTGCGCCATGTGCTCCGAGCTGTTTTGTCTGCCCACATTCCCGAATGCCAATCCCGTAGCATCCATCCGCACCCAATTTCCCAAAAAGGGTTCCCTCAAAGGCTCCCATAAGAACAGTGCAGAATCTCCCTTCGCCAGCGACGAGCTCGGGATATGTTGTCATGGCGTTGAAGATCCGAGTCATATAATTCATTCTTTCAGGCGGATCGCAATCTGCAGCAGTATGCATCGCCTGATTATTCCCCGCATCTGCAAATTTCGCGTACATGCGGGCTAGGTAGTGCAACGGAAATGCAGGGGCAGGCAGATTGCATCCATCCAAGCCCCATGCCGCCTCGTCCGGCCCGGCCCCGATCACTTCATCCACAACTCGCCTCACATGCACCTGGAGAGGATGAGTGGGCTTATCATAATCTTTTGTATCTGCACCAAGCGCCTTTGCACCAGCAAGCATGCCGGCATGTTTACCAGAGCAGTTGCTACACACCGCGGTCGGTGTGAAGTCACTCTTGATCCAGGCGCGGTTGACGGCATTTGACAGGGGAGTATGCCCACCGCAGCGAAGATCACTTTCCGAGACGCCCGCCTTGGACAACATTTGGCGTGCACGAGCGATGTGCCGTTCTTCGCTGCTGTTAGAAGCACACATCAACGCCAGATCAGGTTGATCGAAATCGAACTGGTCAAATGCACCAGTTTCCATAATGGCGAGCGCTTGTGCCGGTTTGGCAGCGGAGCGAGCTAGTGTCATTCGCGAGGAATCCCCCACGGTATATAGGAGCTTGCCCGCGGCGTCGACAATAGCGGCGTGGACAGCATGTCGGTTTTCGACGATGCTGCCGCGGTAGGTGGCGACGAAGTCGGTTGAAATAGGGCGGCGCATTGCGATTAGTCTGTAAGAGGGAGCTTTGACTCTATTGCCATCCCCCGCGTGTGGCTCTAAGATACACGTAGTTTTAAGCTTTCTCTTTGCTTGGAAATTTTGTCTGTGCCTGAGACTGAATGCTGGATCCACCGACCCTATCCCTTTCGGGAATGTTGGGGACCCACCACTTAACACCCCTTTTCGATAACATTGGACATCTCTACAGCACTAAAATTGTAACTGACATCATAATAGGCCAACTCTAGATTCACAAATGAAGAATTTGGGCGCGACTCTGTTACTTGGGATCTAGTCCAGGTCAAATTGCGTATCAATTTCAGATAATTATTGATGAGTTCTTGATTCTTTGTCTGGTGTGACGTTTCGGCAGAAATAATAGCCATATTTGCTTGTCGATGCATCAATGATTCGGGCGCAAGTTTGCACTTTTGGAAGCAGTACCTCAGTAGAAAGAAACCGGCCCACGTATTCTGTGTAGCTGCTGAGAAACATATTTCGACGAGATGTATCAGTGTGCTAATAATGAGGCAGATTCCTTTGCAACCTTCCCAAATGACCCTAGAGCTCCCCTACCGTGAATGATTAATGGGCTAGTAAACGGTAGAAGTTAGCCATGTGCAAAATGGGGCGCCAAAGAAGGTAGACGAACCAGCAGTGCAGCAGGAATAACAGACAGCTAACATAGCTAGGAGTTGTGCCTTTGATGGTCATGGGCAGAGGAAACCCTTGCGGGCCATTAAGATATCATTGCAGTTTCTAATTAACAACTTCAAGTTCTCAGTTGTTACTTCATTCAAGTATCATTATTGTTTGATCTATTTGTATTATGTAACTTGTAGGGACTCGATATTGGTCGGCGCAAGGAATACGCCACTCAGTCATAATTTTCGCTAGAATAACAAACGCTCGATCTTCTAAATCTAACAAATGCATGTCAAGTCATATGCTTCAAAAATGCAGAAAAACGCTGCTCCAGAAACCGATAATAAAAAACAAAATGATTCAATCACATGCATGAGATATGTGTGTAAATGGTAGTATGTCGGATGCAAAAATTAGAAGCTGAACAAACCAGTGCGCTTCTTTCCATACGGATAAACAATGAGAGCGGCAATAAACAGGCCGACCGTAATGCCGATCGCCACCTGGATCATGCCGAATCCGAGACTTGCCACCGACGATTCGGAGAGGCTGCTCGTGTTTGAACTGTTGCCAGAGGCGTGCAGGTTGTTTTTCACCGCGTCGGCGTATTGAAGACCGGCAAGAAGGGAGCCACTGGATGCAAGACCGGATGGAACGAGGACGAAGATACCGGGCAAGATGGCAGTGGCGGCGTGGCCATGCCAAAGGCGGCTGTACAGATTTCCCAAAACGCCAATTGTAAATGCCCCGACTGTATTCGCCACCTCAGACGACGAGCCGAGCTTCTTGGTGCTGAAATAGTTCGTGATATATCCCGATATCGCAATGAAAACCATGACCGGCATTTGCTTCCATTTGCCTTGGTTGATGATCGCAAGGAACACAGCGTAGATGGCAACAAATGGAAAATGCTGCGTGAACTCCGATCCATAGACGCCTTGATTGCTGCATGTCCGCTGAGAGGTCGGGTTATTATCCATCAGGCCGTAGATAGTGGTGCCAACCGTGATACCATAGCCCAGGAATAGCGAGTAGATGATGGCGTACACCATGCGAATAGAGCCGGCGATCATCTGATGTGATTGCAGTTCCAGACTGCTACAAAGCACCATGAAACCAGGAAGAATTAGGGCGATCGAGGACTGTGCAAGGGCCGAGAAACAGAACAGACGCTCTGGGGCGCCATTCCGGGTAACTTCAATGCTCCCAATGGCACGAGCAATGAAGGATGTGAGGATGGCGGCGGTGACTTCGAAGACATTGGAGTACAAGACGGAAACCGGTGCCAGGACGTGCTGCATTAATCCAACCAACGAGCCAAGACAGAAAATGACCGGCATATCAATGGGCCTCGCCCCAAAGGCGAAGGGGCCGACGGCGGAACTGGCCAGTCCGTACATGAGAACCAGCACCCACTTGTTGAACCGCGGCTTGCGTTGCATAATTTCGTCCAGCTCCTGGGTGGCCTCTTCGACACCGATCAAATCATGCACCACGTTCTTGTAGACATTGTGGGTGTCACCGAGCCGTCCGAGGTCCACACCCTGCACCATCCGCACGAGCTTGACCTCAGCGGTGCGCGTCGCCAAGTCATCGAAAGACATGATCATACAGCCGGGTAGATACAGGAATTGACCCGACACCTCCAGCACGCGGGCTGTCATCTGCATGTACTCCTCGAGACGGTGGGTCGGTGCACCGTAACGCATAAGGGCACGGCACAGCTGCATAATGTAACGCTGACGGGCCAAGATCTCGGCGATATGCACTGTAACACGGATTTCATCCTCCAGGCGAGTCTTGCGTTTGTTCTTTTTGTTCCGTTTACCGGGAGGCATCACGTCTATCGCGGCCGGCAGGCTAGCACTGCTCAAGTTCATGGATGCATTGACGAGCGACGAGGTGTGTTTATGGTTCGGCTTCTTGTACCATTTGATTTTTTCTTTGCGGGGAGTTGCAGAACCAGAGGTCGGCATGGATGGGGGCATGGATGGGGAGAGGGAGCCCTTTTTCGGGGTGGTCGCTCCAGAAGAAACCTGCGTCTCGCTGTCCGAATCATCCGTCAAGGCGAAGCTATCCGGACGGGAGCCGCCTGCCTGGGTGGCTTGTAGCTTGAGAAGCTGCGACAGAATGCCGCTACCGCCGCTGAAGCCACTGGATCGACGGCGGGCAGCGAAGTCTTGCAGAAAACCCTGGGGAGTGGTTTGGCCAGAACGTTGGTATGCGCCACGGGGTTTGCGCTGCCGTAGCTGGTCTTGGGCTCTGGTCATGCTGCGAACCAGACGATGGGCCTCGGCGCTGGCGGCAGGCTGGTGTGGCTCATCGCTGTTCTCGAGCGCCCGCAGCCGGTCCGCATCTTGTCGAGCGCGCTGTGCCTGCAGCTCCTCGAGCGGAATGCCCCCATCGATATCGTCCGGGACGAAAGAGGAATACAGAGCTTCTCCATCGTCCGTTGGCGAGCGACCAAGCCGCTCCGTCAGACGGACGGTCTTCTGCCGGAGGAGCTGACCCGCAGCCCGGAACCGGTCTCGTGTTGAGGTCGTTCGGTCCATTTTTTCGTGCTCAGAAGGCAGGGCGTGCACTGCATTGGCAGTGTCGGCAAACGCCGAGCCGTGGCGGGAGTGAGCCGCTGCGGGCGGGGTGATGGTTCCAGAGAGCGGCACTTCCGTCAGGTCGGCGGAGGGTAGGAGACGGCGTTTCGAATCCGGGGTGGCTCGATCGGGTGATGCAGGGGCCTGTTGACCGTGTCCCGGTCGAATGGTATCGTTGATCGAGTGGAAGCGCACTCGATGTGATCCACGGCCATTCGTCGGTGGCAATGGCGGGCTGGGGGGAGTCACCCCCATCTCATACTGGATGGCATCGGCCGTGGCCTCGCGCTCGAGACTCTGCCGACTGCTGGGTTGAGGGGGAGGTCGAATGGCTGGTCGTCAACGGGACTCGGGTGCGGATCGTAGCGGATGGGATCCGACATGAGTGTGGTCACGTCGAAGCACAAGGGAAAGAGGGAAAAGATGCAATTAGAAAGAATGGGAGGTGGACGAAGAAAAAGAAGAAGAAAAATAGGAAAAGAAACCAAAACAATGGACCAACAGCTGTGCAGAGGCGAGCCAAAGGAATCGTGGGTCCGGAGGGGACAATCGAATTTTTGGCAGTCTAGATCCGCGATGTTATCATCGATAAGAACCAAAGCAAGAGTTCTGTGGCCCAGGCCTAGCCAACCGCTGGGCACCGGAGAGTAATGGTGGGCACCTCACAGTGGGTCGTAGTGGCGAGGGCGTTTGTTGCACACCCCGAGAGCCCATGGATCCTGCACGAGCATGGAAGATGCAAGAAAGAAAATTTGCCGAGATAGCCCGGACGCCAGTCAGGGTGGTGGATGCCATCGTGTGCGGTTAGCATCGTCACCCTTTCCTTCCCGAACTGCATGCGGCTTGCCCGAAGCGACGATCCCGTGGTGGATCGTAGCTCAGGTTGAGGCCAGCTCATGTTTCTCTCGGCGGGTTCTCCACGGGCGCGAGGGATGGAAGGCGGTGGATTAAAGATAGAAGCCGGGCCCACCGAGAGGGACGGAAAGGAGAAGGAGGGACGAACGAGCTTGCCACTCGGGTGGATCCGAGCCTGATCCATCACCACTGTTCAACTATAAATAACAAGCATATGACCCTCGCTTCGCTCAGTGGATTGAAGCTAGGGGAGCACCGCGAGGGACCTCTGCGTGAACTGGTACGCCTATAGTGGTAATGCAAAAGTGTGAAGCCCGTGGAGAATCATCGGGACACGGTACCAGAGGGGTGAAATACGAATATGCCGGGAAGTACCCGGCCAACTATTCTGCCGGCAGTCAGTGGTTCCACCACTCACATGGCCCTAACCGGGGGCGGTGCGTCTGAAATAGGAAGGCGGTACGAAACGGTACTTAGGAGAGAAACCAATGAGAAGTGGTACAAATCCTGACCGGAAACGATTGCACACACAAAGGACGAATATTCCTTGCAGTTACCTACTACGTATAGTGTTCTGAATCCCTTGCGTTATTCTAGTTCGAACTGCCCTGATCACTTTCGGTTTGGCAACACCCAGCCATTCAAGTACCCCACGCCCGCATTCAGGTACGCCGCGTACCCGAGCCACGCGTAGTACGGCGTCATCAACCAGAATGCCGTGCGGTCAGCCGTCCACCAGTTCACCAGCAGCAGCGAGACATTGCCAGCCAGGAGCGCCATATCGCCCAAGGCCACGGCTGGTCGCCCTAGCCCGAAAAACAGGGGCATCCAGAGGTTGTTGAGCACCAGCTGCGCGGTGTACAGCGTCTGCGCCGAGTCGTTGGCCTCGCGGGCGGCCAGTGAGAAGGATCGCGACGCGGTCATCGTGGCGTGATGCGCGGCGTAGCCCATCATGCCGTACAACACCGTCCACACGGGCGCAAAGAGCCAATTGGGCGGGCTGAATGGCGGCTGTCGGAGCTGGTGGTAGGTATTCTTGGTTCGAACGCCTGCACGAACCAACATATCACTGGTTATGACTTGATCATCGAGTGTAGTGTGTGGGTGTCTACTCACGGTTCGTTAGAAGCGCGACGCCGGTTCCCGTGAGGATGGGCGTGGCGACCGAGAGCACCGGCGAGGTGAGAATGGCCTGGGGGAGCGCAAAGGACCACGGCATGATGATGGAGTGGGTTGGGAGTAGATATGATGGGAGTAGCTATGGCAGAGGAAATTCTGTTGATGCATTCCATGCCCAGTTATTTGATCGGAGCCGATCCCGATCTGGGAACGGCCACATTCTCTACGTCATCGACTTGTAGGTGCGATGGGGAAAACAAGCATAGCTCGATGTGGGATCGGGACTGGCTCATCGAAAGGACTGCAGGCGCCTGTTCCATGAGCTAGCTGCCAAAAGGTCGTGTGGGAGCTGAGCAGGGCGCCCGATCTATATCAGTGCGCATATCCCCGAGGTTACACCGTCAGCGCTGGCCGCCTTAGGTAGAGAAGACTTTCCCTTTTTGGAAGACAATGAAAGAGAGGAAACGAGAGAAGCGAGTTATATTATTGACTAAGTGATCTCGCTCTTTCTCCGGTTTCCGCCGTCTCTCTGATCTCCCCGGCGCTCCTCATCCGATTGCCCATCTACCTCTAAAAAAGGTAGAGTTCTGGGTCGACTAACTGAGCGCATGGCAGAGATCCAAGAGTGATGGGACAAGGCAATGTATACCGAGACTGAGGGAGGTAAAGGTAATATCATCTTTTGGATCCTGGCAGCCGGTACAAGTCTTAAACGACGAAACGGTTCAATCCACCGGAAAAGTGAGGCATTTTAGGATCTGGGAGCAATTTTGTTTCGTTTAATTTTCATTTCGGTGTGTTGATGCGGGCACAGCTCTGTCGGGAGAATATTGTTGTACGAGCGATTTGTGAGCCACCGGAAAGTGGGCATTTCGGCATTGGGGCCAAGCCGCCGTTGCTAATTTTTCACCCAAAAGGGAAGCCGAATCGAAAATTTTCATCGCCCGTGTCGGCTGCAGCCAGCAGTAACGCCAAGTGCAGTAACAGTCTCAATGCGAGGGCGGAGCCAGGCTAATTGAAATTACTAAATGCGTTCGAAAAGAGCGATTTATATGAGCGAATGATATCGTTGCGCGGACATTGAAATTGTTTTCTCCCAGTCAACACATCAGAATGACCGAAGTATACGGACGCAAAGGAAACGAATCCTATTTGGACAATTAATTTGTTTCTTCTTGATGTGTCTCAAATGTTGACTGACTACCTGCTGTGTCTGTTGAACGCATGGACGGACCCTCGCACGTGTTAAAGTGCGGGCCGTGCGTGCCAACCCCGGTCTAAAGAACCCCGGAGTGGAATGTCATTGGTTGTAGCCAAATATCTCACGGCGGCCAACAGAAACGGGCCATGGTAAAGAAATCCCGCAGCAGAGATGCGGAAGGTAATTGCAAACAGATCAGGGAGCTCCTGACGAGGGAATGGAAAAAGAAAAATAGAAGTAATATAAAACCCCCCTGTTGCTGCAGGGCATGGACCTTTTCCTTCTGTTCTGCACTGTTCCTAGACTCCGTCTCAAGTTCGTACGACCGGTCCCTTCCGCTCACGCTTCTCTCCAAAATGCCTCCGTTGGGATTATCCCTGCGCTGGAAGGCCAGCGATGAGGAAACAGGCGATCGCGTGACCCCAACGTCGCGCAGTTCGACGCCGAAGGACAGTGGCCGAGATGATCTGAGACTGCAGCGACGCGGGAGCCAGAGAAAGATTGAACCGGCCTCTGCTATCCCCATTGAGTATCGAAGCGTGTACGTTACCCTGTGGCTCTCCTGATTTTCCCCCTTTGTAACGTGAGTAATAGGTCAATGGATATCGAGGATGGGGAGAGACAACAGCGGTCCAAACGTGAGGGGGAGAGGGACAAGTTGGCCGAGGGCAAGAAATCCATCAACTATTGGAGACCGAAACGCTAACACCCCCGGACAGAATGGCAAAATACGGATTGGCACACGATTTCCGTCGAAGAAGTGCAGAAGCGTCTCGACGTGGACATGTCCTGCGGCTTGGCTGGAAGCACGGCCAGCCAGCGCCTCCGGGAAAATGGCCCAAACAAGATCTCGCCTCTGCCGAACCCTTGGTTCTGGAAAGTTTTCGGGTATCTTTTCAAAGGATTCGGATCCATCCTCCTCGTCGGCGGCATTCTGGTTTTCCTCTCATGGAAACCACTAGGAGAACCTCCGGCGGTGGCCAACCTTGCCCTGGGTGTTGTTCTAATTGCCGTGTTCCTGCTCCAAGCCTCATTCAATGCGTGGCAAGATTGGTCTTCGTCTCGTGTTATGGCTTCTATCACTGCAATGCTGCCGGAATCCTGTCTGTTGATCCGTGATGGGTCTCGAGTAGAGGTCCTTGCCACGGAGCTTGTCCCGGGAGACACAGTATACCTGAAATCCGGAGCGAAAATCCCAGCGGACATGAGATTCGTTGAAGTATCTCAGGACTTGACTGTGGATAGATCGATCGTCACCGGTGAGTCCATTTCCAACCTCCTATAACCTAGACTAACCATGCGTGAAGGTGAATCCAACTCGGTCAAGGGTAGTGTGGACTCCACATCTGACAACTACCTGGAGACACGGTGTATCGGTCTTCAAGGGACTCACTGTGTGTCTGGTAATGCCACTGGAATTGTCGTGGCAACTGGTGACTCGACAGTTTTCGGACGAATTGCTAAACTGGCGGGTGAACCGAAGACTGGCCTGACTACCATTGAAAAGGAAGTCTTGCGCTTTGTGGTCTTGATCTTCGTCATCATGGTAACCTGGATTGTGATTCTGGCCTCTGTTTGGTACGTGCCTTTGGTGTTCTCATTCTTCAGAGAGAAGAACTGACACTTCCCAGGGGCGGCTGGCTCCACAAGAAGCATCCTGACTATATCAACGTGGCCACTCTGATCGTTGATTGTGTTAGTGTTGCCATCGCATACATTCCAGAGGGTCTTCCCATCGCGGTTGCGAGTAGTTTGACTATCACAGCCAACCTGATGAAGAAGAACAACGTTCTTTGCAAGTCTTTGAAGACGGTCGAGACCCTAGGCTCGGTGACGGTTATATGTACTGACAAAACTGGCACACTTACCCGGGTAAGCAGAGGGACCTTTGAACGACCATCCCTCATATCCTGAATTCTAATTCTTCTTTTAGAACCGCATGGCTGTCACAGACTTCGCTGTTGAAAACACCACATCAACTGTGGAAGGAGAAGTCACGAACACGAGCCTGGCTCCTTCTGTTGTCCAGCAACTCGTGGCTATTGGTAGTCTCTGCAATGCTGGTGAATTCGACAACGCAGCATCGGAAGCTCCCCTCAGTGAGCGACGCATCTACGGTGACGCAACCGATCAAGCTATTTTGAGATTCTCAGAGAGCCAAGGCTCTGTTGCAGAAATTCGAAAGGGATGGAAAAAGTTCTTCAGTCTGGACTTCGACAGCAAGAACAAGTTCATGGTCAAAGCGTTTACTCCAGTCCTCCCCGAAGGCCCGAAGACTTGGCTCTCAACGGCCGAATCCAGCAATTTCAACGCTGAAGACATGTATGTTCGCTGTTTTCTGTGGACGAGATGAGTGCTAACATATTGGAAGTCTTGTAACCGTCAAGGGAGCTCCGGATATTTTGATCGAGCGTTGCGCCAACGTTCTTGGTGCAGACGGTGAATTGAAGCCATTGAATGAGGTCATTCTCGCAGAAATCAAACATCTGAAAGACAAGTGGTCTGCGGAGGGCAAACGGACTATTCTGCTTGCTCGTAAGGTTCTGGCAAGGGACAGTATTCTGGCCGATCCCACATCGGCGGAATGCGAGTCCCAGATGCTCGCTGAAGCCAAGGCGGGTCTTACACTGGTTGGGCTTGTGGGCATTATCGATCCAACAAGATCAGAAATCCCTGAAGTCATGCGAATTTTGCGTCAGGCGCACATCAGAGTCTTCATGGTTTGTCCTCTATCCACCTCAATGGTGAACTGTTGCTAATCAGAAAATCAGGTCACTGGTGACTTCGGACTTACAGCGCTGGCCATTGCCCGTCAATGTGGCATTGTTACTACCGACTCCGTTCATGATTCATCGGCACTAGAGCGTTTCGCGGGCACAGGAGAAAAAAAGACGGACCCTTCTCAGTCTGCCCTACTTCTCAGTGGCCCCGATCTGATGGCTCTCAACGAATACCAGTGGGAACAACTCTGTCAATATCGCGAGATTGTATTCTCCCGTACTACTCCCCATCAAAAATTGCGAATTGTGCGCGAGCTGCGGGCCCGGGACCAAATTGTCGGTATGACTGGCGATGGAGTCAATGACGCACCGGCCCTCAAAGCTGCCGATATTGGAATCAGTCTTGCCAGCGGCTCGGACATCGCTATCGAAGCTGCTGACATGGTCTTGCTGGATTCATTTGCCGCGATTGTCGAAGCCGTCCGTTACGGACGAGTCGTGTTCGACAACCTCAAGAAAACGGTCGCCTACCTTCTTCCTGCTGGCTCGTGGTCCGAGTTCTGGCCTGTGTTCACCAATTTGATCTTCGGCATTCCTCAAATCTTGTCGTCCTTCCTGATGATCATCATTTGGTAAGTCCTTCTCCAGAATTGAAGACGATTTTATTCTAATAGTTATGTCAGTTGTTTTACCGACTGTGCTGCGGCCATCGCTCTTGCCTACGAAACTCCCGAGGCAGATGTACTCTTCCGTCCGCCCCGCCATCCCACAAAGACTCGCCTTGTCGACTGGAAGCTTATGTTCCACGCATACGCCGTTATTGGAATGATCGAAACTGCCTGTTCGTTTACCATGGCATACTGGTATCTTCAAAGAAGCGGCATTTTCTTCTCGGATCTCTGGTTCAAGTTCGGGGAGATTCCAGCCGGCATGGACCCTGACTACTACAGCGCTAAGGTGAACGAGGCGAGCTCTATCTACTTTATGAACCTCGTTATCATGTTTGTAACCCCAGAAATTCTTTTGACTTCGAGTATCCAATGCTGACACATTCCCAGGCAATGGTTCAACCTCATGGCAGTGCGCACTCGGCACCTCTCCATCTTCCAGCACCCCCCTGCTTTCAACAAGAAGACCCAAAATCTCTATTTGTTTCCCGCAATTGTATTTGCGCTGGGTATTGCAGTGATTTGGTTGTACATCCCTAGCCTGCAGACAGTTCTCAGCACTTCGGGGATTCCTGTGGAGCACTATTTCCTTCCCGCGGCGCTGGGTATGGCTCTCCTCTGCATGGATGAATGCAGAAAAGCAGCAGTCCGTCGCTGGCCTGAAGGATTGCTGGCCAAGATGGCTTGGTAAGCACTTTCTGATGTGTAAAAATGGTGGGCGGAGGATTTGGTGAAAATATTTTTGGTGTCCAATTTGATTGATAGACAGCGGACATGCTGCAGGACGTATGTAGTATTTGGTGGTGACTGTGAAAATTTTGTATTTAATAAGATCTGACTTAAAATTCATTCATTTTGCTTTTTTCCCCCTTTTTCTTATACTCGTCCACTGATTAACATAGCTCTGAATAAGGTGGTAGCAATGAGCGAATTCGAAATCTTGCTAAATTTGGGAAGCGATAACCGTTTCAAGTTGATTTGGATGCAATGAGCTTTTTATATCGGCCAAAAATTCCAGGCTGACTGTAGAAGCTACTAGGACAGTAGCTGGATTATTCTCCACTCTGTCACCGTTCCCTTTTGTAGATAACTTGATCTTCTCGGGTATAATAAACCAACATACTCTCTCTGCGGACCTGTAATACACTCGCTGCAAAGATATCTATTGAATGACTCTTAGACCTTCATATTTCATACTTGGTTTGTTGTGAAGATAATCTCCCTGCAGGTGTTCACGATATATGTGAGCTCGACCAGTCCGGTATATATCCCTTCTAGTACGCCAAATGAGAAGTATGAAGACCATAATATAGCACCAAGCGATGAAATGTAATAAGAAAAAGAATTGTATCACGGGGGATTTTATCTATTACCATCGCGACACAGAGCGACATCAGTTGCACTCGCCATGGAATAACCCGATCTACTCCATCCAACGGTGCTGGCCTCTGGCCTCGTTATCTTTGGGAAGGGGATACACTCTAGACCTGATACGTATATAAAAGGCGCGTGGAAACATGACATACTCAACAGCAAATACGGCCATTTCCTCTCGTCTCGCCAGCCGTCGGTGACTTTTCCATTCTTGTTTCAGAGCACTACCCTCGCGAGACACGCCAAGATGCCCCTGCGCCTGCTGTGTCTCCATGGCTGGGGAACCAACCAGAAGGTAAGCCAAAGTGCTGAACTGCTGCCAAGAAGTAAAACACTAAACCATAAACAGATTCTACGATCACAGCTGAGTATGATTGTCGTTTTGTATAATAGGGAATTCCTGACGCATTATGACCACGCAGGCGGGCTCATAAATGATCTGGAGAGAGACAACACGGCCACATTCCATTTTCTGGAAGGGGATATTGACTCAGACCCTGGGCCAGGCATCGGTGGCTTTTATGAGGGGCCGTACTACAGCTACTATCGCTTCCCACGGACATTTTCTCCCGAGGACAGCGACGAGTCTGACATCCACGAAGCCTATGACATGTTGTACGAGACTATTGCCCTGGAAGGCCCTTTTGATGGCATATTAGGTTTTTCGCATGGCGGTACTTTGGCTGCAGGGTTCTTAATTCATCATGCCAAGGTGTATCCGACCGAGCCTGCGCTGTTTCGGTGTGCAATCTTCGTGAACTCTTTGCCGCCATTTCGGATGGATCCTGGAGAGCGCCCAGTGGTAGAAGATGGACTTGACGGGTACATCACAATTCCTAGCGTGACGATCGGGGGCACCAAGGATCCATTGTTTGATTATTCATTAGCTTTGCATCAAATTTGTGATCGACGGCGATCCATATTTGCCGTGCATAGCAAAGGCCATGATATTCCCAACGACCGAAAAAATGTTGCCGTGATGGCGGCCGCAATTCGAAAACTATCCATGCAGGCGTTGGGAATCTGGTAAGATGGCAAGGGATTGCGGGAATCAAAGCCAGTGACAAAATAATTGGACTGCGCCGGTAGAATAGCCTTTTGAACTAGTGAATTCGGTCTTGAAGACCAATAACCGCGTGCTTGGTGTTAATTTGTGTTCCACCGTTTCTGGTATTATCCGGAGCTTTTTGACTCATAATAGGATGCCCGTTCTTATATAAAGATAAAATAAACCGAGAAACAGACCCCATCACCCTTAACGACACGCAATAACTGTCTCCTCGGGAAAATAACATCACTCAAGCGACTGCCTTCATGATAGCACTACTCTCTTGAACGGGCGGCGGCCACCCAATATCGACTTTCACTAATTCCTAACTCGCATTTAGCACTGACTGCCACTCGATCAATGAACCTGGAGAAGTTATGGCAGAGCCAGTAGCTGCGGAGCAAGCCAGTAGTGATGGGCTACCAAGAGAGCCTCGCAACTCTGGCCTGCCGTACCCACATCATGATGTATATCCATCAGACGAGCTGGCTTGCCTGGCGGTGGATAAGTCCATGCCAATTGCAATTGTAGGAATAGGGTTTCGGGGCCCAGGGGAGGCGACCAATGTTGAAAAATTATCAGAAATGATACTCACAGGTCGCGAAGCATGGACCCCGATTCCGGCGGAACGATGGAACAACGCTGGATTCTACCACCCAGACCATGGTCGGCACGGGACGGTGAGTGCGGATGTTGGAAATATGAATCATGAATATATGCTGAAAGAATATAGATTAATGTAGAAGGCGGTCACTTCATGCAAGAGGACGTATCACTTTTTGATGCGCCGTTCTTCAACATGACGAGCGATGAAGCGGCGGTGGGTAGCGTGGTTTGAATTCCTCAAATCGATATGGCATTAATTTAATTAGGCCATGGACCCCCAGCAAAGACTCCTTCTGGAAGTGACCTACGAAGGTCTGGAAAGTGGTATGTCTAAATAATTACTATTACATGGTCCACGCGGCCTCTGACAGGCTCAAGCTGGCATTCCGATACCCCAGATTATGGGGAGCAAAACTTCCTGCTTTGTTGGATCTTTCTGTGCAGATTACACAGATATTCTTCTCCGTGATCCTGAATGCATGCCTATGTACCAATGCACAAATGCCGGCCAATCCCGTGCAATGACGGCGAATCGAGTCTCATATTTCTTCGATCTCAAGGGACCCAGCGTGACAGTTGACACAGCGTGCTCTGGAAGTTTAGTTGCATTACATATGGCATGCCAGAGTCTTTGTACCGGCGATGCTTCCACAGCAATAGCTGCGGGGGTCAACCTCGTTCTTAGCCACGAGTTCATGTCCACTATGAGCATGATGAAGTACAAAGCTCGGATTCCCCATAAATTGGGAATGCCACTAATCCCATAATCTTAGATTCCTTTCACCAGACGGGCGATGCTATACTTTCGATGAAAGAGCCAATGGATACGGCCGAGGAGAAGCAGTTGGATGTCTAATCCTCAAGCCGCTATCGCACGCGCTACGAGACAGCAACACCGTCCGAGCCGTGATCCGAGGTACTGGTACAAACCAAGACGGTCGAACACCCGGAATTACATTACCTAGTGGTACTGCGCAGGAGACATTGATCAGAGATGTTTATGCGCGCGCTGGGCTTAGTCCAAGCGAGACAGATTTCGTGGAGGCTCATGGTACGGGGACTCAAGCCGGAGACCCCATCGAAACTGGTGCAATATCCCGAGTCTTTGGACCGGAGCGTGCACATAATGATCCGCTGAGAATAGGTTCAATCAAGACTAACGTTGGTCATCTTGAAGGTGCCAGTGGAGTGGCCGGTGTCATTAAGGCAGTATTGATGTTGGAGAGCCGCACATTCTTTCCAAATCGCAACTTCAAGAACGTGAATCCACGCATACCACTGGAGGACTGGAAATTAAAGGTATGTGATGATACAACCAATCTATTGACCTAAAACTCAAAATGCTAGGTGCAAACTGAATCCCAACTCTGGGAGACCACGAGACCACGTCGAGTTTCCGTCAATAGTTTCGGTTATGGGGGAAGTAATGCTCATGCCATTATTGAAGATGCACAGGAATATCTCAGGGCTCATGGAATTCGAAGAATTCTCCAGAAGCGATGCAAATTTGCACATGGAACGCAAGGAAGGCATCAACAGACAGAGATCGAGCTCCAGCAAACGAACGATGCGCGCTCCCCACCCACTCGGAAGCGAATATTTATGTTATCTGCGTTTGACGAGCAATCCTGCCTCGACCAATCCCAGAATCTGCACATGTATTTGCTTAAAAAGCAGCAAGCGAGTGAACATGACTTCCTAGAGGACCTGTCGTTCACGCTCAACGAGCGTCGCTCGAGATTCATGTGGAAAACTGCAGTGGTTGCCGACTCAATTCCTAGCCTTATTGATGCACTTTCTTCAAGCACAAACCCCAACAGTTCCATTCGAACACCTACACTTGGCTTCGTGTTCACAGGCCAAGGTGCCCAATGGGCCGGCATGGGAAAAGAGTTGCTGGATGCATATCCTGTATTCAAGGAATCTATCGCAAAGATTGATGCTTATCTCCGCCACATCGGAGCCCCATTTTCTGCTCGAGGTATGTTATGCCCGAACTTATCAGATTTTCAGAATAATAATGTCAATTGTTAGAGGAGTTGATGAAGCAGACAGAGGAATTCGAGTTGAATCATCCCCTCCTTAGCCAAACACTATGCACAGCATTACAAATAGCATTGGTTGACCTTTTGAATGCTTGGAAGATATTTCCAGATTCAGTGATGGGACATTCAAGTGGAGAAATTGCTGCTGCATATGCAGCGGGTGCCCTCAGTATGGAAGATGCTATGGCCGTGGCCTACTACCGCGGCGTTTCTGCAATCCAACTTTCAGTTGAATATGGAGCAAGGGGTGCAATGATGGCAATTGCGATGGACCCAACCAAAGTTCAGCCTTATCTTGACCGCCTCATGTCCGGTAAAGTGGTGGTTGCGTGCATCAATAGCCCATCAAGCGTCACAGTATCCGGCGATATCGCTGGAATCAATGAACTGGAACAAAATTTACACGACAAACCGGTATTTAATCGAAGACTTGCGGTGGATGTTGCATATCACTCTCATCACATGGAGCTTATCGCAATGAACTATCTAGAGTTGATTTCCGATATAACGCCGCGTACCCAGGCCTCAATTCCAGACCATGGTGCTCAAGCTCGGCTACCAACTTTCTTTTCCTCAGTGACTGGCAAGGAAGCTCAGATCGAGGATCTTGGTCCACGATATTGGGTATCAAATTTGCTGGGTCAGGTTTCCTTTGCCGAAGCGGTCAAAGCCCTTTGTTTTGAGACCAACATCAAAAGAAAAGGAATAAGAAATCCGACTAACAAGCGCACGAGACGAGCTGGTTTGGCGCGGAAAGTCAATGTGGATTGTCTTTTGGAAGTTGGTCCACACTCAGCGCTGGCTGGACCTATCAAGCAAATCCTCCAAGCAGATCCAAAACTCAACGCAAGGCAAATAACGTATGCCAGTACCCTGACTCGAAAAGTCCATGCTGTCACAACTGCGTTGAAAGTGACTGCACTGCTTGCCTCTCTCAACTACCCAGTTGATTTCGGCGCGATCAATTCTTCTGTAGAGAATTCCAATACCAGAAAGCCACAGTTGTTAATCGATCTCCCCCGTATGCCTGGAACCATACACGATCATACTGGGCAGAGCCGCGATTAAGTAGAATGCTTCGAAATCGCATGCACCCTCGAACTGATTTTCTCGGCGTTCGCGACAATATGGCCTGTCCTTTTGAGCCTAGATGGCGGAACTATCTTCGACTATCAGAATTGCCGTGGCTTGCTGATCACAAAATTCAATCGAAAATTGTGTATCCAGCAGCGGGATACATAGCCATGGCCATTGAAGCATCTCTTCAGCTCGCAAAAGAGAAAAACATCGTTGGTGTTGTTTTAAGAGACATTTTGATAGAGATTGCTTTGGTGGTGAGTGAGACAGCTCCGGTCGAAATAATGTTGTCACTTCGAGAGATTGAGCAAACCACAAGTGACGAATTCGACCAGTTGCATAACTTCTACATCTACTCCGTTACAGAAGACAACAAATGGACTTTACACTGCACAGGCGTGGTTGGAGTGCAGAGCAGCAACGACGGCGATGTGATGCTTCCGACAAGCGAGGAAATGATAGAAAAAGAAATCGATGGGTTTCTTTCAATACATCCTGAGACAGAAACCCCCGGCATATCAGTGGTAGACACCAACAAGCTTTATGATCAGCTCCACACTGTTGGTATGGAATATGGACCTTGCTTCGCGAATCTGACAGAGGCTCACGTCACCCACGATGGGACTTGTTTTGGGGAAGTCACTGTTCCAGAAACCGAAAATTTGATGCCAATGGCATTTCAGTACCCATTCTTGATTCATCCCTGTACTCTCGACAGTATTTTTCACACGATATTTGCGGCTCTACCAGCCTACATGGGGCTAGAGCAGGGACCGGCAATCCCAGTTAGACTTGACGAAATGCGACTATCTTCCAGAATCACTTGCTTACCGGGGGATGTTCTCAGCGTTTGCACCCATGTTACCTTAGGACCACAGGGCGATGTTCTTGCCTCCATTGATGTAGTGGATCAAAACGCCGGACATCAAGGTTTTGATGGAAGTATATTAATCCGCAGACTGCGATGCAGGCGCCTTGACCACAGTACAAGCGAACGATACACAGAGACATCAAACTGTATTGCCCACAACATCGAGTGGAAACCAGATCCCGAATTCGTTTTCTACAGGAAGAGATCAAAAATTCCCCAGCAAGTTCAAGGAACCGGGGATATATCTATGCCACCGTTTGAAATGCTCGAAATCTGTGCCGCGAACTTTTTAAGGACAGCCATTGATGCCGTTGATGGGGCTGAGATGAAGGAGATTCTTAAGATCGATCGAAAATACCTTTCCTATCTCAAAGAGACAGTTCGAGTGTATGAGGCAAACTACCCTGAGGAAGACTGCCCAGGATCCGTCGATCTTGAGGGCATAAGAGCATCTGGGCCTCTGGGAGAAATGCTATGTATGCTTGGCGACCAGTTTGCTTCGGGCATCCAACAGCATGCCCCAACGTTACGCTCAATCCAGACACCTCAGCTCTGGGATATCTTCTCCGAGATTCCATCATACCAGCAAACGTTTGCGATGGCCACTGGATATCTGGATTTGATCGCATACAAAGCTCCGGAAATTACGATTCTTGAGATAGGTGCCGGAATGGGGGAAACAACGAAGCTATTTTTGCAAGGCATCCTCGACAGAAGAGGAATGCCTCGCTGTTTAGAATACACTTTTACTAACCCAGACAAATATGTCGTTGAGAAAGCTACAGAACAGCTGAAATGTTGGGCAGACTGGGTATCCTGCAAGCAACTGGACGTTGAGCATGATCTGGCAGAACAGGGCTTTTCAAACTCTCAATACGATGTTATTATTATACCACATGGATTATTAGACACTTTATCCACTCACCAAGCTCTTTCTACGATTAAGCATCTTCTCGCGCCATCCGGCTATCTGATATACATTGACCTGCATCAAAAACGGCATAACGCGCTAGAGGATCTTATATTCGGTCCTCTCTATAATTATCAGCTGGGAGATATGCTAGAAGATGGCAGCAGTGAATCAAACCAAGCTCAATGGGCTCAAAAATTCGACGAAGTTTCGCTTTCCGCTGCTAACATTGGCGAGGATGTTAAAGTCTCCGGTGCGGGGACTTTGACTATTTGCAAACACAAGATGAATGCATTGAAAAGACATAAAGGCGTTCTGGTTATCTGCGAACAGGGTCATTGTGAGATTGACTTAGAGTCATTGCAAAAGCAGTTAATGATGCTTTTTATCGACGTAACAGTAACTGACATCACTCACGCTCAGCCAACAGACCGGATATGTATAGTTCTCAGCAACCTGCACATGCCATTATTATCAAATTGTGACGAGCAGACATTTAAGCGGCTCAAGGATATCTTTCTCTACAGCGCAGGTGTACTTTGGGTCACTCGCGGAGGCACAATGGAGTCCACAAACCCGGAAGCCGCCTTAGCAACTGGCTTTGCACGAACAGCACGTTCAGAATCCGGCGTCAGCAGCATAATTACTTTAGATCTCGACAGTCAGAATCCTCTCTCCGGCGCTCGTATCACAGAACTGATATTTGAAATGATCAACTGCCGGTTTCTACAACCAAACATTGCCGATAATGATACGGAATATGCAGAGCGCGAGGGAAAGCTATTCATTCCCAGGGTTGTCGAAAATGCCGAAGTTAATCGGACAATACACACTATTAACGAGACAGAGACTCTGTCTGAACAGCCATTCCGACAGCGGAAGCTGCCTCTCCGCGCACCAAGACTTACCAAAGGAACTCTCTCGAATTTTTTTTTGCCTGACCGGACTACTACCGAAATCCCTGTCGGATATGTTGGGGTGGAGGTGCAATCCTTTGGAATAAGTGAAAGAGACATCCAAGAACATTATCAAACCACAGAGGCGGAAAGTACACTCGGCCTAGAATGCAGTGGAACCATTTATGCTCTCGGTGCTGGAGTACATGGCTTCTCGGTTGGAGATCGAGTCGCTTGCTTTGGTGTTGGGACTGCAAGAAGCTTATATCACGACCGAGCATCGGCATTTCAGAAGATGGATGATGAGATGCCGTTCGAATTAGCCGCAGCCGTGCCTGTGGCGTATTGTACGGCTTACTATGTTGTGCATCACTTGTCACAAATCGAGTGCAACAATGCAGTTCTCATTCTCGATGCCGCCAGCTGGTTTGGACAGGCAATTGTTGACATGTGCTGTGTACGGGGTGCAAAGATTTTTGCAACTGTTACCACCGCAGCACAAAGAACGCTCTTGACATCGAGATTTGCTATTCCACCAAACCAAATCTTTGACGCCACGGAACACTTTACCAACAATATTCTGAGATTAAATGGACGCAAAAAGGTGAACATCGCAATCAACTGTGGTGATAGTAATGACCGAAGCTTCCGACTTGCTTTGAACTGTGTTGCCTCATTTGGGCAAGTTATCCAGGTTCGGAGTCAAACTTCCAACACGAACTGCAGATTTAAAATATCTTCTTGTCCTAAAAACATATCTTACTCGACTTTCAACCTTTTCGAGCTTCGACGAGACAGAAGCGACCTAACCGATCAGATATTGTCCAAGGTATTTCAGCTTTTTCGTGCTGGAAGGCTTCACGGCCCTTCATCAATCGCGATGTACAATGTGGCCAACATTGCGGAGGCTTTGAGATCCATTCCTCTCGAAAGTCATGTTGTTGTGGGTTCTGGGCCCAAGGATACTGTCAAGGTAAAGTCTAAGTGTCGCTACGAAGAAAGATCTCTAATTCTTCAAAGGTCAAACTCCCAGCAGCCCCGCGGATTTTATTCTGTGCCGAAGCTTCCTACCTCCTCGTAGGCGGACTTGGAGGCATAGGCCGTGTAGCGGCTCTCTGGATGGCAGAACGCGGAGCAAGGAGCTTGGTATTTGTGAGCCGAAGCGGACTTTCCAATGAGTCCTCCCATCAGACGGTCAGAGAACTTGAACAAAAAGGTGTTCGGGTTACTGTACAAATCTGCGATGTAGCAAGTGAGGAAGATACCAAACAAATGATGCTCGAAATCTCCCAGCGTGTTCCCCCCATCAGAGGGCTTATCCAAGCTGCCATGGTATTAAAGGTAAGACTCGATATGCATATCAAAGAGACTGGTATATTCTAACTTCCGCCCGTAAATAGGACGTTCATATTGAAAACATGACCTTGGAGGATTACCATACTGTTTTACAACCTAAAGTTGCAGGAACATGGAATCTACATCGCAATCTCCCCCGAGACCTCGACTTTTTCGTTATGCTATCTTCAATCAGTGGGGTGATCGGAAATGCCACACAGGCAGCCTATGCAGCCGGATCAACATTTATGGACTCACTCGCAGGATATCGGAACACCCTCGGCCTTCATGCTGTGTCTCTGGATCTTGGAACTGTCACGGACGTCGGCTATCTTGCCGAGAACCGGGATCTAGCAGAGAAAATGACGAGGCAAGGCTTCCACGGGACCGATACATCAACCGTAATGTCTCTCATAGAAGCTGCCATTCTACAGCCCCGGGATGGAAGTGGAGTCTCCCAGATAGTGACCGGGCTGGGCCAATGGAAGCAAGGCGAATCACTTGGGAATTTTGATGCGCCTCTATTTTCTCATTTCCGTCACCGTTTTCGTATGCAATCGGACGTGGGGATACTTGACACATCCATTGGAACTCTGCGTGAGGGGCTAAAAACTGCGAAGACTTTAGATGAAGCCACACGATTGATTTGCGAAATGCTCATCGAGAGGGTTGCTGTTCATCTCACCATAGCTGGGGAGAGCGTCGACCCTACCAACGGGATTGCAGAGTATGGAGTCGACTCCCATGTGGCGATCGAATTGCGAGATTGGATATCAAAGACCATGGATAGCACAATCCCAATCCTGGAGATCCTGGCCAGTGGTTCATTGCTGGAGTTGGCAGGGAAGATTGCCAGCAAGTCTCAGCTTCTCAGTATCAACACCGATGATTAGGGAGAGCTGAAGACCGGGCATTCAGAATTAAAGTGAAGATATAAGCGATTGCCTTTTAGGACCTCAAGTAGTGCGCGAGAGAAGTAATAATTTCTATTTCTATTCATTAGATCTATGACTTGTCTTAATATGAGAAACAGGTGTCTAAATTACCCCAGCCAACTCCAGAGAAATGCAATCTGTGTGCTGTTAGAACCAGATCACTCTGCCTTCTTCGAGGCCTTAGTGCGAAGTTTCATCAAGATGTATACAAGAGCATACGAACTGATAGCAAAGATGACAACAATCCCTGCATCACGCCAGCCGTAGTAGTAGTCCTTGAGATTGAGCATGTGGAGGTAGTCAGCGCCCGTGCGATATTCACACACACGGCAGTCCTGGGTGGCATCGGAATTGGTTAGATTCATTCCAGTTCCGATTGTTTCCATGAAAGTGTGCAGGTATTGGCCGCAAGTAGTACCGTTAGGGGGGTCAAAAATGGCAAATTCCTTCTCTTTGCAGTGTACTTCGGTGTCGTAGACGTTGAATACCAGCATACTGCCCATCAGATAGTTGAAAGGGTTGATCCAGTACATCCAGTATCTCCAGAATGCCTGAATTTGCCCGTATGGCACCAGCACACCACAGAAAGACACCAGCATACCAATGATCAGAGGGTTGGTCAAGGCGGCAAATGTAGCGTTCGGCGCGTAGGCAGCAACGAACTGTCCGATTCCCGTGTACACGAACTCGTATACCAGCATGACAAAGAAAGTGGCACCGGCCTTGCTCGCCTCGTTGCTAAAACCGACAGTATAGTACCAGCAAACATAGTAGAGGACAGCGCAGATGCAAAGGTAAGGGAACTCAGAGACGATCAGAGCAGTGACAAAGGCCTTCCAAGAATACATCTTGGACTTCTTCTCACGAGTGTCGTAAATATCACGCCGCTCGATGAAAAGGGGCTGCAGTTGGTTGATGACACCGGGAGCGACAAAAATGAAGTTGAAAATAGTGAACAGGCGCAGTTGCATGGAGCTGACGCTATCTCCAATCATCCAGAAGGAAAAGCCATTAAACAGAGCGGACCCGATGTGGAGGGCAAATTTATTGTTCACGTAGTCGGTGTTGCGGAATAAGGCAGTACTCATCCGCTCGGTTACCAATTTCGTCTGTTCCCAGAGAGACGTGGCGAACTCACGGCCATCATCATGGGTACCGGGCGGCTTCGATGCGGCGGTTTCGATTATTCCATCCAGTTCCTTGACAACATTTCCATGTTCTGGAGATTCCAACCAGACATTGTTCCAGTCGCGACCCTGAGACAGATGGCCAGATACAACGTCAATCATGTGCTCAGCCGGGTTGGTGTTAGGGGGACACGGTGCTCCGTAGCGCTTGAAGTAATCTTTGACTGTCTGGCCATTGTCACCGATGTCGCCGAAATAAACCGTCTTTCCACCTTTGGCTAAGAGGAGCAAGGTGTCGAATTCTGCGAACAATTGGGCGCTGGGCTGATGAATGGTAACAAGCACGGCTTGACCCACGTCAGCCAGTTTGCGCAGGAAGCGCACTGTATTGAAAGCCGATTGACCATCGAGACCGGAAGTCGGTTCATCCAAGAAGATCAAGATGCTAGGCTTCGATACCAGTTCAACACCAATAGTGACACGTTTTCGCTGCTCGACGCTCAGTCCAGCACCAATACGGCCGATTAAAGTGTCTGCAATGTCATGCAGCTCGAGTAGATTGACAATGGTGTCGACATATTTCAGCTTTTCCTCACGGGAAACATCCCGCGGCTGACGAAGCAGGGCAGAGAACTCCAAGGCTTCACGGACAGTCGCAAATGGTTCGTGGACATCGAGTTGTTCGCAGTAACCAGCAGAGCGTTGGAATGAAACTGGCAACGGACGTCCGTCCACCATGATCGATCCACGGATCGTACCTTCAGTCTTGCGCTGAGCCAGAACGTCAAGCAAAGTAGTTTTGCCTGCACCAGAAGCTCCCATGAGAGCGCCTAGCATGCCAGGCTTCACCCATCCATGCACATCATCAAGCAAAACACGGTCACCGGAGGGAGTCTTGACGGTGTAGCTGAGATTCTTCCAGGTAAAAACAGAAGAATTTCGAACTAACTGCTCGTTCAGTTCGTGGTCTTTTAGAGATTCGGCATCGGGGCGCTCTTTTGTCTTTTCTTGCGTCTGAGACTCCTCATCACGCTTGACCTTCTGGGTGTGTCGACCCAGACGCTCGCGAGGAATGACGAGGCAACTACCGGACTCGGAAGGAGATTGCCATCTGGAAGTAGCGATGATCGTTACGGCGGCAAAGAGTGCCCAATAGGCCCAGATGATACCGAAGTTCCGCCAGAGGTGGGAGTGGCTATAGTCCAGCGAACTCAAGTACTGATCACCAGTGACAATGATGCTGTGGGGGGTGGCACCACCAACACCAGCACAGGACTGGTGCTGCGGGCTATCATAGCCGGGACCCTGGGGTACTAGGTTGCTACCAACGCAGGGTAAAATCTTGCCGTGGAGTTCGTTGGACAGAAGCGCTTCGAATCCATATGCTAAAGGATCGATCCAGAAAATCCATCCCAGCCATGGGTGCATCTCCGGCTTTTGAATTAGGTACCCAGTATACATGATCAGTGCCGCAATTAAGAATCCAGAGACCTTGGATGCGCCATCGAACGTAGTGAAAAGAGCACCGATTGCCCGGAACAATGCAGTCATGCACTATTATGGGTTAACGAGATTCAGCATGTGGGAGACAAATTCAGAACTTACCATCGTGGTCGCAAACACAACAATCCAGTAGGTGAAGAAACTGGCTGCGGACATGGTCAATCCCACCATGAAATAAACCACCAGCGAGAAGACGCTGATCTGGAATAGAATGACGGGGATATCGGCGGTAATCTGAGCAATGCAGAAGGCGGCCGGATAGTACAAAGCAAAGCTTTTATGTTTGACAAGAACTGGGCGCCCACTGAAAGAGTCTGTCACCTCGGACATGGCCAGCAGACTGTTATACAGCAGAGAGAAGAACAGAGCACCCGACTTGACAAAGAGACCGGCCGAATTATCGGGAGCATTGTAAAATAGGGAACCAGCAATCAATGCCTGGATCAAAGTCGCAACCTGTTTGATGATAAAGGTCGCCTTGTCTCCCCACAGAATCTGATATTGCCGCACAATGCAGGCCTTGACCTGCTCCATGAAGCTCACTGTAAGAGGGCTGCTCTTCGGCAAATTCTTAGCGGTCTCAAAAGCGACGCCTTCTTTGAACTCTGCAGTGCGGTCACGGGCAAGGTCCGAGTCCGGGTAATCGTACTCGCTGATCATTCGGGAGTGGAGAGGCGACTTCTCGTACTCGACGCGCAGCTGTTCGGCGCTGCGAGGAAATTGGTTCTCATACCCATCGCGGATACGGCGCTCGGTTGGAACGGTCACGCCAGTGAGGAAGTCGGCGACGTTGGAGCCCTCGCGACAGATGAACCCAGCTTCTTCCATGAAAGGCCGCGCCTGCTCCCGAGGTCCATAGTAAACTTGCTCGCCCTCATCCAGGACAAGGACCTTATCGAATAAATCGTAGATCCCGTTTCCGGCTTGGTAAAGGGTCACAATCGTTGAAAGACCAAGAGTATCGGTCAAAGCCCGAACGGCTTTAGTCCATTCCAGAGCAGTACTAGCATCCAGTCCACGGGTGCTATTGTCCCAACAAAAGACCGAGCCTCGGGTGGCCATGCATTCCATGATCGAAACACGTTTGCGTTCACCACCGGAAACACCGCGCACGTATTCGTTTCCGACCTTTGTATCTTCGGTATGCGGGATGTTCATTGCTTCCAGAAGAAACCTCTTCGATTCTTCATGATATGCCTTGGCGGAGTCAACACCATTTGGTAGGTGGAAAGGCACCTTCATTCGAGTTGCAAAATCCATAGTTTGGCCGACTGTTAGAGTAGGGAAAAACAGCTCCTCCTCAGTATTCATCACAATCTGGCCCCTGTACTGTTTGGCCTCGTCGGGAGTCAAGGAGCCGAACCGGACATCTCCCTCGATTGACTTGTAGCCCAGACGTCGGTTGGCGAGCATTTTGAGCAACGTGGTGCAGCCGGAACCTGGTCGGCCAAGAACCAAGAGCATCTCGCCAGGCTTGACGCAGCCATGGCTGTTGTGTAGAATGGTGCGCAGGGGAGGTTTCTGCCGAGACTCTTTCACATGCTGAGGAATATTGAACTGTGATAGGGCGTTTTCATTAACAGCAGCCTCGGAGCTGATAACATTGACGTTGAGGTTTTTCCAAGTCACCCCAAGCTTTTGTTGCTTGAATCCGGAGGCAATATCGCGTTCGTGTTGTTGTTGGAGATGCGACAGCAGGCTCCAGTCATGTTCTTGATTGGGCTCGGGGTGCTTCTTTGGAGTTTCGTCCCCCATGACCGTGGCGACGCTGTCTGTCTCATCTGCGAGTGGACCCGCGCGCGATACAGCGAGCTGGTCAGTTCCCTCCATCGTGGACAGAAAAGGAGGTTGATGATGCCCAGAATGCACATGGAAGCCACCATCCTTTTATAAATTGTAGAAAATAGAATCTCCTGAGGGCATCTTCCGGGCGGATCCACGCCCGAACATGTTGGCGGCCATCGTCAGCGCCGAGCCTCCGACATAGGTCAGCCATTAGGACTCCGACTTTCCCTTCCGGGGATCAATGTGGGTACATATTTATGGGTCATTCCCACGGAAGTCGGAAGCAAATGATAGATCATGCTGAAACAAAGGCCAGACTGATCCATGTAACGCGCCGCAACACTCACTTCTGCTCGCAAGCACATCGCGAAAGCTGAGTACAAGTGGATCCGCCTAGAAAACAAAGCGGGTCTGACGCGAGCGGCTTCCGATGAGTAAGCGGAAGCGCTCGCAGGGCTTCATCGTATCTTGACGTGTGTGATACATATAAAGTCCTGTAGTCCGGATATTCTGGGAGCATTTCGCGCGATAGATTGTTTATCTTGCTCAAATCTTAAATACTAGAGCCTGGATCTTTCGGTCGGAGCTATCTAGAGCCGATCGCCCCTAACTTCTCGGAGTCTGAAAGTTCCGCTGAATCAGCGGAGTCGGCCTTAAAATACAAAAGTTAACAATTGATCGCATGGCTCCATGTGGCTCTAGCCAAGCACCTTGGTGGATCGGTCGGCGCTTGAATCGTCCCGTCGGTCCATTAACTGGAGTGCGTACTTGGATATAAGGGACACACTAAAGTTCGGTGCTACTTGTGCTAATATATATTTCGAAGGCACATGCATAATTGGTCTTAGATGCAAGGCTCCTCGAACTATACTTTTCCGATTTCTACTTTCGATAATGGACATGTAATTAACAAACCTTGAATTTCTAGTTTTCCAGGAAGATATGTTTGGTTAAAAATATGTAAAACTGATGAAATCTCCTTTAACCTTATTAGACAGGGCAAGGTAATTAATTTTCTTACATATTCTGGATAAAATAGATGCGCATTCCATGTACGCATGTACCGTTCACTAATTCACATACTTCTTTATTCAATGCACTCGAATTTACTTCTATGACAGAATTTATATGGGATCAAGGCTTATATACTGCTAGGCAGCTCAGGGTGTCACCGAACCATTGGGTCGGCGTGCAATTTGGAACATGTTCCTCCGAACTGCAGTTTCACTTGTCCAAGGGCGGAAATGTTTTTGGAAGCCAACAACAAAGCAAAGCGCTAAGTACATGCATATGCCTAGAAGAAAAGAAAAATAAAAATAAAATGGCAATTCTTAGCAGAGCGGTCATGAGGAGCTCCAGATGGGATTGCGGCCAGTGGTTAAGTAAAGCTGTTCATAGAATTTGAGTCCTGTCAAGGCGATCAGCATTAGGATCAAACTGTTCAGTGGAGGTCCATTTTTGGCATCAGTTACCTTTTAATCTGCCCCGATGATCTGGAAACAGATAACCCGAGCCATCTCTCCTTTTCTGTTCACCTGTTCCAGCTCCCATAGGGCCTGGCGAAGAGATTGCTTATCCCACTCAGTAGAAGAGGAAGGCTGAGAGTCATAATCATAGACTGCTGGCGTAGAATAGCCGTTCCTGGACGGTTTGAGGAGGCTTTGAACAGGGTATTTATTTTCAAATATGTCCAGCCTGTGTTGCAAATCGTCATGCACAGCATCCGCTGCCATGTGCTGCAACGACGAGCATCCAATTACGCGACGTAGATCAGGCTCCGCAGACCGGGCTTCTTTTTTGATCTTTTTAAAAGAAATTTGGTACAGCCGATATGGAAGAAGGTCGGAACCCCCGCCTTGAGTGGACTTTGGCAGTGGACTCGGGCTGTGTGACTGTTGAACAGGTTGGATCTTGGGATGTTGTCGGACCTTTGATGGAAGGATCAAAGTCATTTTCCTAGTGTGCCGCATTTTTAAAAGGTAAAAGAACAAAGGAAGATGATGTTGGAAAGGTAGAGATGTCTTGTAGTAGTAGCATGGGTCAATGCCGGCCGAGTAGGCACTGATATACTAGAAGAGCGCATGAGGCTCGGCCGGAATTCGAGGTGACCTCATCTTAGAAGCATTTTCATCACCCCAGGAGCAGGGGAAGAAACCGGAGCCCCATTATGGGCCAGAAGCAGCCGAGTGTGGTGCCACTGATCGGGTGTTGCCGGCAGATCATGCCACCCAAACGGATCTCGCCAACCAGAGATAAATATATTTGAAGATACAAGACACGGCACTCCAGAACAAAATTGACTTCTAGAAATTCGATTCTAGACTTTTATAATCTCGGTACAGACAGTTCGTCCAATCTGTGTAGTTTTAGGTGTTTGAAAATCATGGCGTTTTGAGACCGAAGTCACAACCACCAGACCGACTGCCACTAAATGGAAGAATTTCGACACAAAGAAGAAGAAGTTGAGATAACAGTGAGTCAGAGAGGTGTTACAGAGTATTATTCAAACAGACTAAAGAATAACTGGCTACAGGCATTTTGTGATTTGAACATCGCTCGGTTCATAGGATTTGCCACCGTGCCGAGCACAGCCGGTCCAGAGAGTCAACTACGCAACCAAGGACCTTCAGTGGAGACACGAATCATAACAGAGAACCGTAGAATTTCAGAACTACAAATACCAATGAATTTAATCCCTTGCTCTGTACGGCCTATCAGGTGATGCTATGAGTTCATCAACGTCGATGTGATCAGTCATGCAATAGGCTATAAAGAAGCAAGGACTGAACGTTAGAGGCATGACTTCAGACAATTAAAACCTCAAACAATCAGACTCGAAATATTCCAGAAATGTCTTCATTCGCCAATTTCCAAACAATGCTTGACGAACAAGTCGGGAGACTACCAAGGCGACCATGGCCACCAACTACCGGTAGGCTTAGTCCGCACTCCCAAGGAGAAGGCTAGAAGGTTGTAACTCAAACGAACTGTTGCAGACAAACCGAAGCAGCAGAGACCTATTCCTCTAAGCTCTCTGCGATTCCAAGGAGCCGCCTGGGCCGCTGCAGGTGGGAGCATGTATGCGACACTACACGGTACCTACCGGATCTTTCGCAACTTCCGCGGGCTGAGATATATCTAAAAATTTCCAACACTCGTTGCATTAATATCATGGTAGCAAACTATTGTCGCTCTCAAGAAGCATCACCCTATTGCAATGAAAAAATCATTCCTTTCTCAAATCCTCGAGGGTAGTCTCCATAAGTGCCGGTGGATAATCCTGGCCAGCTCATATTGGGTTCAATTAGTTATGATCCGTGAGCCAGATCACCGTGGAGTCGACGAGATTATGCTCTTCTCAAGGGTCCTACAAGTCTGCAATTGAGTGCCAAACGGCGTCAGCAGTTCGAGAGCATTTTCTTCTGTCGTTCAATAGCTGGAATCTCCGGTGCTCACTGATCACGGTGACTCGTGGGGAAGAATGAAGCAATATTGGCATATCGCGAGTTCTTTCCACATAGAATATATTACTGTGCTTCATCCTCACTACTTGTTACACTTCACCCAGACCCGAGAGGTGATCTGCTTTCTATGGAGAAACTCCCATCCTCATCAACACAACTCTTCGTTATTCTCTTGCTCTCTTGCTCTCTTGCTCTCTTGCTCACTCTGCCATCCAACTCCACGCGCTGTCTCTCCCCACTTTTGAGTATAGCCTCATCTACAACTCTATTGCACTCCAGCCTCTTCCATCACCCCGATCTCTCAGTTTCTATGCTCTGGGGACATTTCTGCTGCCTCATCGTCTCTTTTCTTCCTACAATTGATCGGTTGGTGCGTTGGGTTCTGGTTGTTCCTCTCGAGAGATCGCTTCAATGGCACCACGAACATTGCTTGCTTTCCAGTCTAGCAGCAGGGCTTCACAATGAACTTTTCTTGACACGTGCTCCCTCCAACACGGTAGCTATCATGCTGAGTAGAACCACTGCAGTGCAAACTATCTAAGTGTCATCCAACAGATGTGCTGAGGTGACAAGCATTACTAACACGTCTATCGTGGCGTTGACCAACCCAAACAGCGAAGAGGTTCAGTCGCAGCACTAATGCAATCCCCACATCGGCTTACCGCCGTGACTCACAACACGAAGAGAGTTCATTTCATCCCGCTCTGCTAGGTGCTTCGTTTGTTCCAATATTCCCCTGGGTCATCACCATGGAGATAGAGAACATGGCGCCCAACATGGACCTCCCTGAGCAAAAATGGCCATCAGCAAGCTCCCGAATAGTGCTGGACGGACCGTCGACAATCCCCGATAGCCCGCACGATGAAGAAGCTCCGCTATCAGCCTTCTCGATCGTTGAGCCCCCAGCAGATCTGACCATCATCACCACCACCGCCAGCACAGCAGCGAACCCCCATTTGCACCCCAACCCAGGCGACACATTTCCAGACGGTGGAACGCGCTCATGGCTAGTGATCTTCGGGTCATTCTGCCTACTAATGGCATCATACGGATTAATGAATTCCGTCGGCGTGCTGCAGAACTACTTTGCCTCGCACCAGCTGTCCGCCTACTCCGCCAGTGCCGTCGGGTGGATCCCAGGCCTCTTCACGTTCTTCGGACTGGGGCTCGGGGTGCAGGTGGGCCCGATGTTCGATCGATACGGGCCCACGGGGATTCTCATCGCCGGCACAACGTGCTATGTGGCTGGGCTGATGCTTCTGGCGGAATGCCGTCTGTACTGGCACTTCGTATTAACACTGGGGATTCTCAGCGGGACGGGCGCTGCGCTGCTCAGCACGGCGGCGATGGCGACGGTGCCTCAGTGGTTTGAGCGGCGGGTTGGTCTGGCGATGGGGGTTGCGATGGCGGGCTCTGGGCTAGGAGGTGTGACGTTTCCGCTGGTGCTGCGGGCGGCGATTGCACGGGTTGGGTATCGATGGGCGATCCGGCTGCTGGCCCTGCTTGTTTTGGTGATGTGTGCGCTGGGAATCGCACTGGTCAAGTCTCGGTTGCCCAGAGGCAGGAGTAAATCCGCCATTAACCTACGCTATTTTCAAGATAGCAGGTTTACATGGTTGACATTGGGAATTTTTAGTAAGTTTGAAGAACACTTTTGAGGTTCGTGGCGTCTGGCCCAGCTGACTCGGTCACAGGTCTCGAGCTTGAAGTCTTCGCCGGGCTGGGGCTGTACCCGACCTATGTCGTGATGCAGGGGTTCAGCACCAGCACCAGTGTCATCCTGCTGTCCATCTTGAACGTGTAGGGATCTCACGTCTAATGTGGTTATCACTAACTGACACCGGACAGAGCCTCGACCCTGGGCCGATTGATCGCAGGCGCCGTGGGCGATCGATATGGACGAATCAACACCCAGACAGGACTAATCGCTCTGGGCGCAGTCGCCATCTTCACCATCTGGCTGCCCTTTGGAAACACGCTCCCGGGATTGTACGCATTCAGCGTGCTCTTCGGTCTAGCCTCAGGTTCCTTCCTGAGCCTGGCACCCGCGTGCATCGGGCAGATTTCCAAGGCCAGCGAGGCAGGCGGCCGATTTGGAATTTGTTATTCAACTGTCAGCCTGGCGTATGTGCTTTTCTCGCCATTAGTTTCTTCGAGTGATGTGCAAGTCGCTAACATCTCCGACAGGACCCTAATCTGTGTCCCCATCGGCGGAGAGATGCTTGAGAAAGTCGGCAAGCGAGCCATGGTGGCTTATCTGGGTAGCGTGTTGATCCTGGCGCTGGGCATGTTTGTGATGGCGCGATGGGCTTGTCTGAGCTATCGGTGGCGGTGGCAGGCGAAGGTCTAATATGTGGACGCATTGAGAACAAAATGGGATTTGATTCAAATAATCATGGATATGAATGGTATCGCACAGGACATTATAGATATTTTGGTATTTCCTTCCACGCAACACTGTGCAATACAATTGTAGAATGGAATGGTCACCCACCACTTAATTCTGCTCGCCGCCTTGGCCCTTGGTGAACTCCTCACTGCGCATCGTCAGCATCGAGGCAGTCAGGCACTGCACTGCCGCGAAACACTCAACCCGGCCACTTACATGTGCTTATCCAGCTCATTGAGATGCTTCTGCTGCTCCTTCATCTTCTTCCGAAGTGTGTCGAGTCTGCAAGCATCAGCATTGCGCAACATAGTCGACGCTTGAAAGACATTCTTACTTTTCCACCTCTTGCTTCCGAATGTACATAGCCTCTTCAGCGGCCTCGCGGCGTGTAAACTGATCCTTCCTGTGGGGAGAGTTAGATGTGATGACGTCACACTGGGAGTCTCGCACGGACTCAGCTAGGAATCCCCGCGGCTTGGGAGCTCCGGTGTCGCCGGCCCCCATGAGGGTAGGAGCTGCTGAGAATGAGCGCAGAAGTATTGAGGAGGTCACGGGTCGGAGAACGGGGCGAATGAGGGCTGACTGCATGGCTACTTGGGTTTGGGCAGAAAGGAAGAGAGACAGAGAAGGAAGTGAAGAAGAGTGTCGATCTGGGGAAAGTGGAGGGAGTGGATCAGGTGACAACATCGATTAATCCGGTCGGGGATAGTCCAGGAATAGTTGGGTTAGGATTTACACGAGACGGTTGTACTGAAGGCATCGCTATCCATGTATTACCACACACAACTTGCATCCTACAGGGAATGAACAATAAGAACTACATCATACGAAATCTAATTCTAGACTCAAGACGGCAAGACTCATCACGTCGTTCGAATGGTATTTCTTCAAGTCAACAGTACAATTACAGCACGTAGCGGAACCCCTTCTGCAGTCGCCGTGCAGCAGCAAGGTCAATCCCCTCCACCTCGGCCGTGGTCTGCAGCCGCTGCAGCTCCTTGGGCGTGAGCTGCAGATCTTCGTTCTCCAACCGCTCCTGGCGCTTATTGAGCATGTTCAAATTGAAGTACATGAACAGAGCCATGAGGAAGCCCAGAGCTTGCAACCCGATGCACACGCCCAGCGCGATGTGGTAGTGTCCCTTGGCCGTCTTAGTGTAAGTGTAAGGAGTCCAGATACTGGCGGAGTTGCCCACGGAGTTGATGAATGCATAGGCAGCGGCACGCTTTGCCGGCGGGCGCGGCAGCGAATTCGCGATCCACGAGTAGAGTGTCCCGTTCTGGGCGAAGACGAAATTCATCAGGAAAAGGGAGAAGTAGCGCGGGCCGAACGAGTCAGTGGTCATGAAGATGATAAACCCAATGAACGTGATGGGAATCGGGTACACGAAGAACCAAAACCGAATGCTCAGTTTGTCCGAGACCCACGAGTGCGCCAGACTGTAGACCACCATAAAGATGTACGGAGGCGCCACCAGCAACAGCGAGATCGTATCATTATATCCCAGCGTCTCTGTCAGAGTCGGGAAGAAGTTCTGGAAGCCGGCAGCTCCTGTGATGCTCATGTACGCGATCGCAAGGGCGTAGGTTTTGATATCCGTCATGGCAAGCTTGAGACCATAGAACTGGCTGCCGCTCCCCTTTTCGTCGATATCGGCCTCGGCCGCTTCGATTGCGAGACGTCGGTTGGCGACAGCGCGCATCTCCGGCGACAGCAGGCGCCAGGTCTCCGGGAAGTCGGGAAGGATAAAGCAGATGACCACTCCGATGAAGCAAGTGAGGCTCTAGATTGGGTAGCATTAGTCTCTCTCCATTCGATTCCAGTTTTTGATACCACTCACTCCCTCTATAACGTAGAGCCACTGCCACGCAGCCATTCCACGTTGCCCAGCCAGTCCACTCAGAATGCCGGCCGCAATCAGGTTGCCAAAAGCACCGCTAAGAAGCGAGCCCGAGTAGAAGATACTCATGCGGAAGGCCAGTTCTCTCCTAGTGTACCATTTCGAGAGGTAGAAGAGGACACCGGCAAAGAAAGGCGCCTCTACGAGTCCCAAGATGAAACGACACGCAACGATACCTCCATAGCTTGTGACTTGACTGGTCAATGCAGATACGAGACCCCAGGCACAAACGAAGAAACCCAAGTAAAGGGACGGTCGGCCCATATAGTTGAGCAGGAGGTTCGATGGAACTTGCATCAAAATGTAGCCGACAAACAGGATTGAGAGACCGGTCTCATATTGCTGGGAGGTCAGGCTGAGATCTTCAATGAGACCCTGGAGCTTGGCGGCTGCGTAATTGTTCCTACCCACGGGAGTAAGCATCGGAATATCCACAGAATAATGCGGGCGGGTCCTTTAGTTACCGATCGATGTAATTCATCAGATAGACTAGGATGACCAGAGGCATGATCAAGGTATCGATGCGCCGTCGCAATTTGCGCTCGATCTCTTTCTCTTCCGCGGACAACTCGGCCAGATGGACCACCTCTTCGTGCGTCATCTCAGCCTTTGCGCCCATCGCCTCCGAATCGGTGATGGCATGGTCCGCCATGATTTATAGATGAGATTCAGATTCACAGAAGCACAGAAGAGCTGGGGAGGATAGTTATGGAGAAAAACTGGATGAGCCCGGCTTTATACTCGCGGCCGTGCGTACCTCTATTTCGCGGTCTTCTAGCTTCTCGGGGAAGGGCAATCGCATTCTTTGCGCTTTGGGTCCGGGGAAACGTGGGGGGGGGGGTTTACGGAGACTCCACGAATGAAAAGTGAATCAATGCGGGGAAACGGGGCATCATCGCTGCAAAAGGATGATGATCGAACCCCCACGCTGAAGCAGACAGTTGCATCAGTGGAGAAGGTGAGTTACCGATGAAGAAAGTCGAGGTCGCTCAGATGCCGTGCTTAGTATCATTCTCGAGGAATATCTAGATGCCTCGCTAGCTTGTGTGATAACACCTAGGATGTTGTTTTCACGGCTGTTTACTATTGTGATGATGAAGGTGGCTGCCATTCTTTCGCGGCTCGGAGTAAATCCGCGATCGGCCGTGGAACCTGCTTGCATTTGACTTTGTGCCGTTTTGTCTGTGCTGGCCCGGCGACACACTCTGGATCCGGCAGGTGCCCAGTCAGTTGGTCTGTGTCGCCGGGTGATGCTTGGCCTGACCCGTTTTGTTCGGGTATTTTGCGCAGAGCCCAAAGAAGGTGCAGCTCTCTGCCAGGGTGGAATGCCATCCCACGGCGCCCCAGCGCCTGTGCGCAAGGAAACCTTACACCGTGACACCCCTTTATCCGGGAAGAAACAGAGAGTTTCGACCCCAAATCAACACAGAGTTTCGACTCCAAATCGCACTTTCTCCGTGTTCCTCGGTCCTCTACTGTGCGATTCAGCGGCTCAGCATGTCTTGTTCTGGGTACTGTCCTCGGCATGGATGAGAAAATATGACTTGTAATTCTACGGAGACTCGATATCCCATTATTTCGTGATGGTACGGTATCACTGTGGACTCGAAGCCCACCAGCGCCATTCTTGCCATTGGTTACGTAGTTCTCCTGTAGTGGAGTTCTGCACGAATTCATAATGTATTGTTGCTGACCAACATCCTTGGCAGCATAATAAGCATCATAGTGATAGATGACCCACTTTTGGGTTAGTGCCATCTTCGCAACTCCTAGACGCGAACATGATGGACAGCAGCGTCTACGCCTAAACCTTGGATCTAATCTAGGGCAACCCCTTTAGCAGTATGTCTACAATTACCGATTCTTACTCGATGGCGTACTTGGTTATTCAGTTCTATCGTCCCCGGATCTTGGCTGATTGTCGCACTGTGATGCTATTCCCATCCCAAGTTCTCCCCTCCCATTTTCCCAGGAATGCCCAGTGTATATAGGATGACCATTGTATACTCTGTAGCTATCTCGTCCTCTTTTATTTCCGTCCGGACTGGATGTCCTGCGCAGCCCCCCCTTGCACTGACCCGTAGTGGACCCTCTACCACTCCTCTGACTGGCCGAACGTCCTAGCAGATCTCGGACCATTCGCACGGCAATCTGGCGCCCTTAATCCCCGCCGTTCTGTTGGCCCGCGTGATGCTTCCCCTTCTTCGCACCCTCCACTTCCTTCCCCCATGGTCGGCGAACAAGTTGCCCCCGACTCGCGTGTGAGGAAGGTCCCTAACCGCCAGTCCCGCTCCTGCACCGTCTGCCGACTGCGCAAGGTCAAGGTTCGTCCCGTGCTCGGATCCCCTGCCCAGCCCACCCCCTAAAGAAGCACCCACCCTCGGTTTCTCGCCCAGCGGCCATGGAGCTAACGTCGATCCCGCTGTCAGTGTGACCGTGTCAAGCCCTGTCATGCATGCTGCGCCCATGGCTACCCCTCGAAATGCGTGTACGAAACAGTACCAGGCGAGGAGGCCCGCCCTATCAGTCAGGCCGATGAGATTCGCAACCTGCGAGCGGAGATTCGAGATCTTCGCGCGAGAATAGAGGATAAGAATGATGGTATGTTTTGGGTCTCACCGATCGAAACTTGATTTGATTAACCTGACCATCGCCCAGCTTACAAGGAGCAGGACCTCCAGCGGCTGGATCAGCTGGAGAGCCTGTTCGAGTCAATTCGCTCCGCGCCCCTGCACATTGTGGACCGCCTGGTCCAGGACATACGTGCTGCACACGGTGGCCTAAAACAGGATTTGACCCCAGTGGGACCATGGGAGGGCCGAGAAGGTATGCATGGTTCCTGACGATCCTACTCCACGTGCTAACGGCCCTAGCTTATGAGCCGACGTCGTCGACGCTGCCGATTCGCCGGCGGCTGTTGACGAACAGTGGAAGCTCTAGTGACGACGCTGAGGAAGACGAGGTCGATGATGACTGGCAACGTATGTCGCCAGATGGCACGTCAGACTCATCATCAGCGTCGAGTACCATCTCGATCATCAACACGCAACGGCCGGCAGTCGACGTTTTCGTCGAGCGCTTCCTCGACGCCTTTAGCCCGGAAGTAGATAGCAAGCATGGTCGCGCAGGCGCTATTCGAGCGGCAGCGGAGATCCGAATGTTTTCTCCCCTTATCTCGGATGCTTTCGAGGCAGTCTCGGTCGCCTTCTTTGGAAGGTCAATCCAGGACAAGCGCATCGAGGCATCGGGGTTTCGACTGTATCCCCGGGTCTTGCGCGGACTGCAAGACGCCCTAATAGACCCGGAGAAGTCCAAGGCCGAGTCAACACTGGTGACGGTCATTCTACTACTTGCTTTTGAGGTTTGTCATGTCCCTAATACTGTAAAATTTCTCGAGCTGACCGGTACAGAGTGTGGAACGCACCGCCCTCACCGGAGTACCTGCCCACGTCCGCGGCGCAGTGCGCCTGATTGAACATCGTGGGCCTGAAAATCACATGTATGGTGTTGAACACCTTTTGTTTACTGAACTCCGTCCATACTGGGTATGTCCCTCGCTTCCACCAGTTGAATCAACACTGACTATTTAGATTGGCGGGGCTTTGGCTGCCCGGGCGCCTTCATTTTTGGCTCGGGAGGAGTGGAAGACGGTTCCGTGGTCCGCTGGGACGACCGAAAAGAACATCCTACACCATTTACTGGATCTCGCTGTCGATATCCCGGGTCTGCTGGCGCAATCAGATCTGTTCGAGAAAGAGCATCGGTCCTCGGTGATGGGTGCGCATGAGGTGACCGTCAAACAAGCGGCCCTGTGGAATGGCATAGCGGAACTCACCGCGAAATTTCATCAATGGTATATCGACTGTGTCGAAAATTCTCCCGATGGACCACCACGGGAGGAGGAGCAGACGGCTGAGCAAAGTTTTCCTGTCTTCAATCGACGGAACCTCCGCACCGGCGCCGAGATCCCCGCGATCAAGTTTGTCTATCCAAACTTACTGATTGCTCAAACCATGTGCGTGTATTACTCGATGCGGCTCATCTTGTCATCGATCGACACGCGCCCGGAGGACCGCGTCACGCCTATGGAGCAGTACGAGTTAGCATGTGGCATTTGCCAGTCACTGCAGTGGTATATTCAGACTGCGCCGGGGAACATGATTAATCGGCTGGCTTTTCCCGTCCGGGTGGCGTGGGAAGCCTTCCCCGATGGGGGACCCGAGCGCAGATTCATGATGGAGGTGCTGCAGCTGGTCGAAAAGCGGCACTCGCTCGGTCTCTGGGGTAGTGCGATGCCCGAGTTATCGACGCGCGCCAAATCGCCGCTGAATACCAGGTAAAGCAGGAGTCTTGAATACTTTTGGTCTGGCTACGAAGTCACTATGATACGGGTTATGTCATTTCCTTTCCGGCGAGATCACATTTTGAGCGATTTTGCGTGATTGTTATTGGTAGAGCGCTGAATAAAAGCGAGCCATCACATTTCTCGAGATGGACCTAGACCTCATTCAGAATAAGCCCTGACCAGGATCCACCACCGCCCACCAGTCATGACCGACATCCCAATCGATAGTTCCATGCACGGATGGATCCGAGGCCAATCAAAATGTGTAATTAAGTCAGGGCCAAAAAACATAATACCTAAAAGCAAAGTCTCCCTCGGCCGCTTGTTTCTCTTCCATCCTCCACGCACGATGCTCTACTCCGCCCTGGTCGCAACCCTCGTGGCCGCCGCGTCCGTCGCCGCGACCGGCATTAACGACTTCTCCTGCCAAAGCGACTCGAACCCCGTCGTCCTGCTGCACGGCCTGGGCGCGACATTCTACGAAGATCTCAATTTCTTGCAAGACTGGCTGCAGCTCCAGGGCTACTGCACCTACTCGCTCACCTACGGAGCCTACGACGGGTTCCCCTTCGTCGGTGGCCTGCAGGCCATTAGTGAATCCGCGCCCCAGATTGCATCGTATATCAAGGAGGTGGTCCAGAAGACCGGCAAAAGCAAGGTCAACCTGGTCGGTCACTCCGAAGGCGCATTCCAGTCGCTGTATGTGCCCAAGTTCGAGGGCGTGGCCGGCCTCATCGACAAAATTGCGGCGATCGCGCCGCCAACACACGGTACTTCGTTCGGCGGGCTGTATAACCTCGCCTATGCTTTCGGGAACGCCTCGCGCGAGGCTATTGGCGATGTGCTGCAAGACCTTGGCTGCGCGGCCTGCAACGATCTGGGTCCCGATGGCCCGGCAGTTGAGCTCTTGAACAACGGACAGCCCATTGTCCAGCCCGGCAATCAAGTGACGATCATTGCGTCCAAGTTGGATGAAATGGTCACTCCACCCGAGACCGCCTTTGTTCAGGAAGCCGGTGTCCGTAATGTCTGGATCCAGACTACTTGCCCGTTCGACCCCGTCGGCCACATTGGCGAAGCATATGACTTGAATGTATGGAACTTGGTGAAGAATGCGCTTGATGATACTCCGAACCGCTCGTTTTTCTGTCTGGCTGGGTCGCCCGGGAAATAGTTCATGATTACATAGCACTGGGGTTATTGTTTACTTGTGTTCCGGGTATATAGTCAGTCCCGTTGCGTCCGTGACTGGATCTTCCATAATACACCACAAATATGCCTATTTCTAAGATCTACCTTATTCTCGATCGTATTTGACGAGAACAATTAGTTTGACACCCCCTGGGGAGATAATCGCATTTGGCCTACGCCATTTGCTCCAGAGGACCGGCCGTCACCGGCGTCGCCAAACACCAATCCAAAAACAGGTCAGTAAAAACATCTACAAACCCCCCGGTATGACCACATCAAGTCTTCTCACCACGCCAGGGGTGAGTCTCGACAATGCCACGCGGGAATGCCTGAGGGCCGCTCAACTCGACGACCGACCCGTCTCGGAGTTTGCTCTCTGGATGCAGGGTCTGGAGTCGTATGTGCCGCGACTTGCAAATGGGAAGGAACGCATGAAGGGCATCTATGACCGTATCTTACCTGTTGTTCGAAAAAAGCTTGAAAAGAAACTTCAATAAGTTCGAGGATTACCACGAGTTTATCTCCTACATGCAGGACGTGGAGAACTCGATGCCTGAACGGCCCACATAGATTGCTTCCCATAAAGGGCAGGGCAAAAAGAGCCGGCGCAATAGTCGGTGAGTCTAACATCATACAGGTAGGTGGTAGATCAGATAGTCGAACGTTGTGGTAAGAGCATTTGTTACATGTTAGAAAAACTTCCAATGTCATAGCATATCATGTTGGGTATGGCGCAGGATACTAAATGAAAACAAAACATCACAGAACAGATCATCATAAGGTCATCATACGGTCAGCCGAACACACCGCTATAAATATACAGCTCCCCATATACGAGGGTGGCTTATAAAGGAAGCCCAGCCCAGTGACCTCGGGTCACCTCCGCCATAAGCGCAGCAAAGAGGTCGCGATCGGCGGGCTCAAGACCATCGCTGAATGCACTGGCCTGATCGGGTTCGCCCATAGGCTTCAAGTCAGCCTGACACAGCGTTTCTGGCTCGGGTAATATTCCGGTTTGGAAGTAATTGCGAATCCCCTTCGCGACGCATAGTGATGGCGCGGCGAGAGTGGTATGCTGGAGGATCGTCAGCGCGGGATTCAACGGGACACAAGAATTACTGACCCCTTCTGAATCTTGCTGCAGCACAACAGAGCCGGGGAATTGCTGAGACATGTGATGTGCACTGCGAATGTTAGCTTCTGGGATTGTTTGGGGGTCAACATAAAACACTGACCTGCGAAGCGATGTCACTGGATCCAGAGTATTCGACACAAATAGGATTGGATGTGCGGTATGTCCGCCCCAAGGACCTAATTCAATGAGCAATAACCCATAGAGTCTAGTGGTTTAATCTCACCTAAAAACCTCTGTTTTGCCCTGGTCTGCCATCCAACACAGGACAAGTGAATCGTGGCCCAATAGTCTCCCAGGACCGCACTGTCAGCCCTCAGTCCGTTCCAAGTAACCTCGAAATCGTCCTGATTCTGCTGGGTTAGGAATTCTCCATCCGAGCAGAGGATTGCCGCACTCGCATACGGCCCATTGTTTTCTCCGCGGGCACACGCCGGCGACCACGGTCCGGCGCGAATACAGTCCTCTGACGGACACACTCCAAAGTGCTTGCTGTGCTTAAAGTCCGCCAGCGGCGCTGCATTGCCTCTTGCAAGTTCACTCATGTGGTGGGCAAAGACGGAGAATGCCAGTAGCGGCTGGTAAACCGCAACCCGCAGTAGGGCTTTCATGTCGGTCCATGTTACAACTTCTGGCCCACGCGTTCCCGATGCTGGCACGGGCATTGACAGATTGAGGACACTCGCCTCGAGCGACTGGTACTTTTGCTTGATGGTTTCAGGCCCGCCGGGGACATACATCGGGCACCGCTCCCAACCGACGGTATTGCAGTACTCGGCGAAGCGGTCGAAGATGGCATCGGCGTCGACCACGGCATTCGGCCCCCGGCCCTCGTAGTAAGTGTCCATATTCACAACTCCGTCGAGAACGGCCCGAGAGACCCGCTCCGGGAAGAGGGCAGCGAAGGTCGTGCCCAGCACCGTGCCGTACGACCGCCCCCAGTACAGCAGCTGCTCCTGGCCTTGGTGCCACTGAGTTCGGCGTTCAATTTCGCGCATTTCGTCGTATCCATGGCATTGGTCATGGATCTGCTGCGCTTTTTGGCCTTGCAGCCCACGCCACTCACCATGGCGCTCGATGATCGTCGCCATATCCTGGGCGACCAAGGGTGTGTTGAGGTGGGCCATCATCGCCTCCTCGCCGTCCTCGCCGAACAGGTCGGTGGTAGAACATCCTGTGTTCAGTGCCATAGTTCGTTGCCAATTCCGGTGAAGAGCATCCGCGGAGCTCCCCAACATGCCCTCTGCCTCGAGCTGCAGCTCCCAATTCCGCTGAGAGACGGCATCAGGGAAACACACTACTGCGGGTGTAGTGGCACCCACTCCACGTGGGTCGAACCCAATTATGTCAAAGTACTTGTCTGCGGTGCCACCGGACGGCGGAAACACGGTCGGGTCATTCTCCGCATCTACAATCTTCTGGAGATCGCGACCGGACACAAATGCTTGCAGAGTGCCAGGACCACCGGGACCGCCTGCAAAACAATTTAGCATATTTGCATACCAAAAGGAGGGCAGGCTCACCTGGATTGATCAAAATAGCCCCGCCGTACCTGGGATCTGTCACTGGAACCCGTGCTGGCAGTCGCGCAACCGCCAGTGCGAATTTGCGACTCTTTCCGTCTGTACGATTGTAGTCCATTGGCACCTCAAGCCGGGCACATTGAAACCCATCGCCGCAGCTATAATAGTCCAGCGACGAGGAGGGAATGAGCTGGTCCCAGCTGAACGGAAGAGTTGAAACTGGCGCAGCTCTTGGCAAAGGCAACGGGACTGGCCAGAGCATAAAGGTCATAGTCGCCGCTAAGAGAGGCAGAGCCCATCGGACACCATATCGGCGACGAGGGGGCACTATCTGAGGACAGAGGGGAGGGTTTCCTCTCCCTCGTCGCTCAGTGCTCTTGGCGTCGTCCATGGCACGCGACAACCCGTGGTGAGTAGACAGAGTGCGGAATCCCTAGATTCATGCGAGGTCGTACAGCTTCTTCTCAAGGACCCAAGAAACAATAAAGTCGGCCTTGCACAGCGCGTAGACTCTGCGCCGGCGTTGACCACAGCCTCTCTTCCTCAGGGACATGGAGAAACAGAATAGATAAAGCGAAAGTCCGGATGAGCCGGACCAGAGCCACTCACGGCTGCCGATCGCAAGGCCCCACGGTGGAGCGGACAGGGGATTGACGCCTATCAGTGTGCCGAGTATGGCGGTCGGGCGTGATCCGATCGAGGACGCGTTGCGTTGTGGGTTATGATTGGGAAACACACCGGCGGTGAGCTGGTGCATAAGGGATTTTATGCAGGAGGCGCTGAGCAGTGGCGGGATGCTGAGGGGCAGAGAGGATGTGAGGGGTGTTTTGTCTGCCATCCACGATGTATACAGATCTCCTGTCCCATTCTCCACCGTCTGCTTCTCGAATGGCCGATTTGAGTTCTTCTGCGATCATCTTTGCCCGGCAGATGTTGGCCATGGTCCTGTTGTCTGCCGTATAGGAGGGAGGGGAGGAATCGGCAAATGAGCCCCGGCTAAGTTTGTAGAGCGCTTAGGATTATACTCCAATGCCTCGATGACCAGGAGCAAGGTAGATTTTCGCATAAAGGTGATATATTCAGAAGGTGATTGTCCTGGAACAATTCCGCCAGATGCGGAAGCGGTGGCTATCGCCTCGTTTTGATTCGATGGATGCCAATCCAAGGGCGTTAAGGCTAAAGGGGGGTAATAATGTGGAGAAAGGTGTAACCTCGGCACTGCCACCTCCATCTCTGACGTGCTCTATCGGTAGTCGAGAACAACATTTAACTATCACCCGCAACGTTCTTATCCATTCAAACTTCACCCTTCTATCAATTATTCACATCACTATGGCTCCCCCAACCGCCACCGAAACTGTCGCCAATACTGTGACAATGCAGGCACCAGAGTCATCGCAGGCTGCTGGTGTCGAGACGGCCAAGGTGAAAATGCAGATGCCGTCGTCACCCGTCTTTAAGGATAAGATGGAGGAGCGTGAGTTCCTCAAGGGCCGCCTGGCGGCCGCATTTCGCATCTTTGGGAAGTATGGGTATGATGAGGGTGTGTCTTCCGTTCATTTCGTCGCCGGATTAGAGAGTTGATCAGTGCCAGGTGTTGCCGGGCATATTACCTTGCGTGACCCCGTGGATCCAACTACTTTCTGGGTCAATCCGTTTGGAACTGCTGTGAGTATTGGGCGGAATGGGGTATGGATCTGGGCGCACACTAACTATAATCAGTTCTCTCATATCAAAGCCTCGGATCTGATCCAGGTAGACCACCACGGAAAGGTCATCGACGGCGGTCCGAACCGGATGCTCAACGCCGCGGCATTTATGATCCACTCTGCAATTCATGCCGCACGCCCGGATGTGCTGTGCGCCGCTCATAGCCATAGTATCCATGGACGGGCGTTCTGCTCGCTGGGACGGCCACTGGATATCATAACTCAGGACGCCTGTGCGTTCTACAACGTAGGTCTTGCATCCGATGATACACTGGGTCGAATTATCGCTAATCTTGTTCCAAACCAAAGGATCACGTGGTGTACAAGCAGTTCAACGGCGTCGTCCTCGCCGAAGAAGAAGGCAAGAACATCGCGGAAGTGCTAGGAAATAAGAAAGCTGCCCTTCTGCAGAACCACGGCCTCCTTACTGTAGGGCGTTCAATTGAGGAGACCGTATTCTGGTTCGTCAGCCTGGAGAAATGCTGCTATGCGCAGCTGCTGGCCGATGCGGCCGCCGCAGGCCGTGGTGGAGAGACGATCAAAATCAACGACGCCGATGCTGCATTTACTTACAAGACGGTCGGCACACACAAGGCTGGATGGTTCAGTGCTAAACCGCTGTTTGATGTGATCCACCGAGAGACCAGCGGAGAGTACCTGCACTAAAGGGCTGGGAACACTTCGAGATTGGCAGAATGCGACCCTCATAATAGCTATACACTGGCTATGTCTTTCGTTATGACACTTGTGGATATATTTCAGATCCAGAAAATCCTCAATTTCTTTTTCCGCCTCTAGAGATACTAGTTCAGGGAAGAGCTGCAAGTCCACGCTGTCACAATGCAGCCACAATATTCTTGGAAGAAGGGTATCCGTACAAGCACAAATCATGCGTAAAACATGTGTCGATTCCGATAATGCAGTTGCAAATCGTCGGGACATCGAGTACACGTCATAGGCACATTGTCTTTGTGTTGGTAAGGCTCTCCATTTCCTTCCCGTTCCCCTCTTCAGTACCCTAATGGACAGTGCAAGTGTCTCTCCAGGAGCTCGGACCACTCGTTGCGGCCCCCAACGGTTCTATGGAGCAATCTAAATCTTTCCATGTCTAAAATCAGACCCTACTGGAGTCCTGCCTACGGTTCTTCTACACTTCTACTGAAAGGAATACCTGAAACGCTTCGGGTGTTCCTTCTGAGCCTGACTCCTTTCACGGAGCAAATGGAGTACATGCCTAGGCACTCCGTACTTACCAGTAAATGTTTCACATTGGAAGCTCGTGAAGAATACTATTTGTGGATAATATGAGAGCCCTCTTTTCCCAAGAACGATTTATTTTATCAATTTCCAAGCAGTGCTGATTTGCCAGTGGTGAAGCGCTCAATGGGGCCAAGGAGTGGAGATTTTTGGCCCATCCCTTCCTTCATGTGGAAATCATTGATAGGCCAAAGGAACTTGACATAATTACCAGATAAAAAGTAAGCAGAATAACGGGGAACCTCGGAATACTGCCTAGGGAGCTGTATTGTAAATTGTTATTTAACATGACTCTCTATCATCGACTATTCGCACTTCAAGTTAGCCCTCCCACGTCAGCTAAATATTTTCCCTTGCCATTTTATTCCCCTCCCCTCTCTTGACCAACATCAATTACAAACTCAAAGCAGCTATCGTTTCTCAATCGATGCATGTACATTTGAGCAGATCTTTTCTCACTAAACATTGCCAATTGATCTACCTCTTTCAAGCTTGACAACTGGAGCTATACCTCATGATTCATCCCGATCTCTTAGTATGGCAAATTCCTAAAAGCAGCCTCCTTTCTCCAGATTTCTGATTCCTTTCGTTGATTAAAAGTCTGAATTAAAGGATCAGCGATAGGGTGAATAACCTGGTCTATCACAATTAATGACAAATTTCATGAAAGGATTTTAGTACTAGTGTGGTCAGATGCATAGACAGAGCATTGAAAAGCAAAACTTCATACCTCCCGATCCGTAATAGCCATATACGCTAAGCACAATTATTTTACGGACCCTAAAAAACAAGCGTAAAGAAAATGAATAAGACAACAAAGAAAAAGGCCGATGTACATTTTGTCACTTCATTACTCAAAGAGCCCGGACTGAAATTTAATCAAAGAGCCTGACTCTGAGCACCATCACTGAAGCGGCGGCCCGTAAAATAGGAAAGTCCCACCCGGCAGAGAAAATCCCCTGCCTACAGGTACACCTACATAGGGCTGGGCTCGGGCAGCAGTGGCAAGGTGTGGACCATCGAGACAATCAGTATCCCCACTATGTGATAGTGCACTTGAAGTGGACATGCTCAAGTTGAGTAAAGAGCGAAGCAGTGATGCCAGTTAACATGGATTAAAATTGAAAATAGTGCAGAGAATATATACAGCAAAACATAATCATCGCTGGTAATCAATATGCGCAACTAAACGCACCGGTCCAGGCCCAGTAGCACCGCCGATGCCATTGCGATGGCGCTTGGAATCTGTATACGCATTGATGACTGTATTCGCGTTCGGCCCAACAATCGAGCACCCCGTCCCATCAGCCTTGCAGATCCGCATGCCCTGCACATGCTGACCAGCGAGCTGGGCCTGGATAGCCGAAACATCCCAGCCCGACCACCCGCCATTCTCGACGTCGCCAAAGGCGAACTCGCCCCAGGTAGTCGTGTACCCGCCCCAGGTGTCAGTGGGGAGACCGTCCTCACCGGGTCCTGCAGCCCAGCCTCCTTCGGAATCTTCGTCAAACGCGACATAGCGCACCTCGTGCGGGTGAAGCACGAATGTCAACGCTGCGTGCCCGTACCACCCGTCCATCTTGCCGGTTGGGCCGACTTTGTTCCACACTGTGACGGTCCAAGGTTCAGTTTCGGGACCGGTGAACTGCACAACGTATTTGTACAAGTGAGCCTCCTTTGGGCTGACCTCTATGATATTTGATCCCCAGGGTCTGCCGATGTTCCCGCGGTATTGGATATTGGTGTCTTGAGGGGGTGTGCGCCCTCCGAATCCTTTTCTTGAAAATTTCCCTTGGGCAGGGATTGAAGCCCAGTCCAAATGCTTTGGGGGGTTCGGCTTACTGGGCGGATCAATTGGTATGTCGGGGAGTAGCTGCGGCAATTTGGGCAGTTCCGGCAGCTGTGGGAGGGCGGGGTCTATGTGCTTGACCAGGTTCAGCACGTCATCTGGCTTGTACACGGTGCGGTCTTCCGGCAAAGACTCGGTCGTGTGGGTAGGCTCAGCAGTGACCCTGACAAAATCTGTGGCGGTTTTGGTCACAGTAGTCGTCAATAGTACGGTGGTAGTCTCCTCTGCTTCCGGATGATGAGCTGTTGCGAGTGGCAGATCCCCAAAAACAGTGGTCGCGGTGCGGATGGTGCGAGTTGCAGCGCAGTTTTCGAACAGCGTCGTGGTGACGGTGCGGGACTCGACCAGAGTGACTGCTGGCAGCACCATCATGTTTGCGTGACGCTTTTGGTGCACGTGGGCTCGATGGTCATGCCTCCCAGCCAGAGCAGACCTAGTGCCGAGCACCAGAAGCAATAATCCAGATGGGTTCAGCATCGTGAACAATTGGCGTGAAACACAGAGGGTCAGGGTTCCGACAAGGGGGGACTAGTATTAGAGTATGAAACAAAATACGAGATTAGTCGTGCATAGTGTCAGTGATCGCGGTCGTGGATTATTGTTGTCGTCGTATTGCAAGTAGACAAACACGCGAGACTGCGCCGACGCGGCATGGCTTTATATGGGACACGCGCGGTCTGGACCTTATCACCTCTGGAATGTTCAGTCGCGCCAGTCCCTCCCAGGGGACATCGAGGGGCAGGAGTCGCCCTGAATTCCACTCCACTGGAGCAATCATTCTTCCGCCTTGAGTATTTTCTGAGGAACAGAAGTCGAGTGCAAGTAGAAGGAACATCCTCGTAGGTGAACGATGTTCCGTCGGCACTGGGCCTAGAACAGGAACAACCTTGAATTGTGGGCTTCTTCCGCGCTAAACCCAATTTCGCCAAAGATGCGCCCAGATCCATCCAGCGCCAATCAACGGCCTCGCTCGGCTGCCTCCACTGGCGCAAGTTTTGCTGGAAAAGGAATATCTCACGCCGAGCCCAGCTGAGAAATAGATAAAGGCTTCACCATCGCTCGCACGGTGCGGTCTCTCATCCCCCGTTTGACCACCCCCATAATGGCCAGCCTTCACCCCCTTGACCCCATCACCCCCGGTGAGATCCAGTTGGCCGTGCGTATCCTGGAGTCGGCCTTTCCGGGAGTCAAACTGCGTTACAAGCGCATTGATCTCCAGGAACCCGCCAAGAATGAAGTAGTTCCGTACCTAGAGGCCGAGCGCCGGGGGAGGTTCGCCCGCGCAAACCCGCCCGCCTGCTGGCGGCCATGTTCCACCGCCTGGATAATGGTTCGTTCTATAAGGCACTGCTGAATGCAGACACCAAATCGGTGGTGTCCGCTAAGGAATTGCCCAAGGGCGTCCAGGTAAGTCGCTCTGGTATCCAAAAAGGATCCCCGCTCACATATCTCCCAGGGCCCGGTCGATGTGGATGAAATGATTGAGATGGAACAGGTGTGCCTGAATCATCCGGCCGTCAAAGCCGAGATCGAGAAGCTCAAGCTTCCAGCGGGCATGACGGTCTGCATGGACCCATGGATCTACGGAACGGACGATCCCAATGAAACCCGTCGACTGGTTCAGTGCTACATGTACATTGTAGCACAGGATCACCCGCAGAACAACCACTATTCGCTGCCTTGCAAATTCTCCCCAGTGTTTGATGGGATCACGCATCAGCTGGTGCGCATGGACTACCTCCCTGGTGGCGGGGACTCTCAAACCACGGACACGCAGCCCTGGAAGCAAGTCGCCACCGTCCAGTATGCCCACGATCTGCTGGACGAGCCGCTACGTACGGATCTCAAGCCATATATTGTTCAGCAGCCCGAAGGGGCATCATTCACTGTCATCGGGAATGCCGTACAATGGCAGAAGTGGCGATTCCGGGTCGGCTTCAATAATCGCGAGGGCTTGGTGTTGCACAATGTGACATATGATGGGCGCAACACGTTCTACCGTCTGTCTGTATCAGAAATGACCGTTCCCTACGGAGGTATGTCGGAAATTCAATCTCAAATGAACTCTGTCTCTAACCAGCCATGCAGATCCTCGTGCTCCTTATCACCGTAAGCAGGCGTTCGACGTATGTCTTATTCAACCCCATCCAAGTTTCCACTGCTGACGATTTATAATCCAGGTTGGCGATGTCGGTTTTGGTATCACTGCCAACCAGCTGAGCCTGGGCTGTGATTGCCTCGGTCACATCAAGTACTTTAATGGATATCGCTGCGATGCCCAGGGTGCTCCCATTCAACTTAATAACATCATTTGCATGCACGAGCAGGACAATGGCTTGCAACACAAGCATACCAACTACCGCACTGACGCGGCTACCGTCGTTCGCAACCGCCAGCTTGTGGTTCAAATGATTTGCACTGTCGCCAACTACGAATACATTTTCGCGTTCATCCTCGACCAGGCCGCTAACATTGAGCTAGAGGTGCGTGCCACGGGCATCCTGTCAACCGTGGCATTTGACAATGAGAACGGCCAGACAGTGCCATGGGGCACCAACGTTGGACCGGGCGTAATGGCCCCATACCACCAACACATGTTTTCGTTCCGGATTGATCCTGCAATTGACGGGTTCAAAAATACGGTCTATTATGAAGACAGTGTGCCGATGCCCGAGGATGACCAGAACCCGTGGTTGGTCGGATACACGACGGAACAGAACGTTATTAAGACCAGCGGCAGCGCCTCAACGAGCGTGGAGCGCCACCGCGTGTTCAAGTTCCGCAACGACAGTATTACAAACCCTGTCACCTATAAGCCTGTTGCATACAAGTTGCATGCCATGCCGAGCCAGATGTTGCTTGCACACCCGAAATCATTCGGAAGCCGACGAGCTCGATTTGCGACGCGGCCTATCTGGGTGACCAAATACCAGGACGGCGAGCTGTATGCCGGCGGCGAATTCACGAACCAGTCCAAAGACTCGAATGGGGTGGAGGTGTGGGCTGGTCGAAACGACGCTGTGGAGAATGAAGATGTCGTAGTCTGGCATAGTGAGTCTCGCCCCTTCCGGTGATTTGGGTCACAGTGTACTAATGTCTTCAAAGCATTCGGTCTTACCCATAACCCTCGCATCGAAGATTTCCCCGTCATGCCGATGGAGCGTGTTAGTGTAATGCTCAGGCCGGATGGCTTCTTCACCAAAAACCCGGCATTGGATGTCCCGCCCTCGACGCAGTCTTTCAACAAGTCGACTCTGCATCCTGAGCCAGCTTGCTGTGCAGGATCTCAGGACAAGCATCAGGTCAAGCTGTAAAGCCTGCAGCTGAAATTGTGGCTTTGTTTATATGTGAATATGTCTAGCATGAGTTGTAAATATCCAGATGTGCCCTTTTTGAGCAAAACATATGATTTTTTGACGACTGTCCTAACTCTAATTCATCCTGCGATATAATAAATCCTGATACAAAGAGCTATTCGGTCAGACCGACCATGACGCTCGGACGCTCGGATTGTTAGAAATCCAAGGATGCAGGTGGGGTTTCCATGCTTTTATTGCTTTTGGATAAGTTATTCTGCGAGGACTTTCGATGTACAAGAATGCCTTCTATTTCTCTTGCTAGAGACATATCCCGCTAGCCAGCTCTTCTCGACAACGTGTAGGATCAAGTCAAGCACTGCTCGCCAGACTATCCACCCATTCTTTTGCGGATATGACATCAGCCTTACGCGCAAAGACCTTATCCATGAGCACGCGGTGCACTTCGTCGTCACGGTCCATGCACAGGTCACGAAGGACCGTAACGCGATAATCCATATCCGACGCCTGACGAACGGTCGAGAGCACAGCACCACTAGTAATCAGACCAGCGACAACAATGTGATCGGTGCCAGAGGATCGGAGAATTAAATCGAGTTCGGTCGCGTGGAAGGCAGACACGCGACGTTTGATGATGATCGGTTCCTCTGAAGTCCGGGCGGCGGCCGGGTGGACTTGCACGGAGTCGCTGCCTTCTAGAAAATTACCACTGGCTGCAACGGCGGGCGTACTCGAGCTCAGCGGATTATTCTCTGGGTATCCTGGCCGGAACGCAGTCACGACGTGGATGACCTTGATGGAGTGTTGGCGGGCAGCCGCGGCGGTGGGGCCCACGAGCTCGACATATGAGGCTGGGCTGCCGACGAGATCGACTATGCCGTTTTGGATGTCGAGGAGGAGGAGGACGGTGTTGCCCATGTTTGATTGACTGAGAAGGGTAGTAGAGAGATGGCAGAATACAAGAGACGAAATATTGGTCTTATAATGTGCCGTGATGCCGATTCCGCTTAGAATGCCGGGAGCGGGATGCTCAATCCTTAAATTGGGATTTCCCTAGCAAACCACATTCATAAGGAAATCTGTTTGATCTATAACGTACCTTAACAGCTACCTTCTGTTCATAATGATGGGTGCGGCATCGCCACAAGTAAAACGCCAATTGACTGTATTTCCGAATGTCCTATGTCACGCACAGGAAAATGTCCAGGCAGCAAGAGCTCCAGAGAACGATCATTAAGAAAAAATAATTAAAGCATAAAAATATAGAAGCATAACGACGGGCCAGGATATTATAGGCCCGGTCCAGTTTCAAAGGGGGAGCCCACTTGAAGTTCAAGATCCTCAACGTTGCCGCTTGAAGTTCCTCAGCATGTCCGCTCGCAAACTCTTGTGGTAGAACATCAAATCCAATTTCTGACCCAGACTTTGTAGTTTTCGATTTGTCCGTTTCCGCTTCTCCCCAGGTGCGGCTTGACGTAATGGTCAACGCACCTTTCAAACTCCGCTAAGCCTGGATGACCGCCCGAATACGATTGGACAGGGACGCTGGCTTGACCGGGGAAGGCAAGGCGGGGGTTTCAATCACTTGAGCAGATCACTCATCCTTATTTTTTGCTGTCCCTCTCCTTCGTGGTCTGCTCCTTCCTCCTACGGATCCCTCTGGTGGGAGGCTGACCGGGGATAGCTGAAGGCCAGATGAGGAACGGGAAAAGCGGGAGAGAGCTTGCAGAATTTGAGAGAGACATGACTGGCATGAACTAGGACTGTGGCACTGTTTGTCCCCTCAGTATTATCATTTGAGGTGTATTAGGCACTGTCTCCATTTCGCCGTGGAGCTGCTTTTCTAAACAGACCATATCGCCTTCCAAACTCGTTAAGCCACCCATCGGACCAACCAGGGGTAGGGCTACGCTGTTCTAGAGGCATTGTCTACCATAGTTCCTGTGCCTGTTCAATAATCTTTGTACCCGAAGGGCAGGCAATCGTTAACCGTTCATAACTGTACCGATCCAGAAGCTCTGCTTCCAGGCTTGGCCAGTTTACTGTCTTTCAAACCAGCGCTAGCATTGCACGTGGCTAGTGTTGGGGGCTTCCGTCTGGAAATGCATGCGCAGTGTATATTTCTCGGTGTCTGGGATGCCTTATCGAGCAATACCAGAGCACGGTTCTAATATCTCCGTCGTGATGATTGGTGGTAGGGAATACGGTTGCAATCAGATAGTGATATTATTGGTCACAGGTGCTTACCTAACGAGGTCGATTACGTCGATGCCACAGGCAGCACTTGGTCTTTCTCGACACCACGCATCATGGCCGACCGTGACCTCGCCACGGCTTGTCCCAGATAAAAGCATGCGCATATATCTATCTTTACTAGTATGACCTAATTTCACAACAACCATGGAACAAACAGTCACAATCACTCACGGTAAAGACGGTAAGTGGTGTAGTCCTTGTTTGACCGCTGGGGACGGATACTGATAAGAACAACAGAGCTCCTGGATGCCGTCGCTAGCTTGAACGGTCGCGTCTTTGACACTGACCCCGTCATCGCGTACATGCTGCTGGGCATGTCTCAGGAAGAGCGACTCGAATACCTGCCGATTTACTGGACCAAGTTGATCAAATCGGCCCTGCTCAACGATGCGCTGATTACTGAAGCCGACGGGTGGAAGGCCGCGTCCGTCCTAGTACCACCGGGAAGATACGTTGATAACACGTGGTCATTAATCTGGGCTGGCTTCCTCTCCGTGCTCTGGCGGATCGGGTTTACGGGCACCAAGGTTGGTCGGACTCGTGCTGTAGTCGTAACAGAGCTAACTGGCATGGGTACAACAGCGAGTCTGGACGGAGTTCTCCGGAATGACCGATAATGCGAAACGCAAAGGTCTCCGAGGGCAGAAAAAGTACTACTATATCTTCAGCATCGGTACCGAGCGCGAGCATCGAGGCAAGGGTGAGCAACCTGGTCGTGTCCAACACCTTGTCGACATATCACTGATATACCTCAACACAGGGCTCGCGAGTGCTATCATCCGAAATCACCAGCAGACCGCACAGGCTGAGAATCTTCCCATCTGGCTCGAGGCTACTACATCTGGCTCCCGCCAACTTTATCTCTCGATGGGGTTTGAGGATGTGGAAAAGATTGTTCTCGGGCAGGGCAAGGTCGCTGCAGATGCCAGCATTCAGCCAGGTGGCCCCGGAGTTTCCTTATGGGCCATGGTATGGTGGCCGAATTCATCCCGAGTGCCGCCTGCTTCGTAGCGCCTACTCTCTCTTCACCCTACAGTGTATATCTCTTGACTTTTGACATATTGTTATCGCAATGATTCACGCTGAAATATACTTCATTTGGCTGATACCGTGAAGAGCGTTTTCTGAGAAACTAGGGAATATCTGACAGTTCGCCCACCAGTTCATCAAGAACAATGACCACATGGTGTACAAGACCCAACGAGCGAAAACTCGAACTGTCCACCTTTATGGATATGCGCAAGTCCAAACAACTGTACATAGGAGACCCCCTCGTTCAAACACACGGATCTTGAAGAGAGTTCAGATCTTTGGGAATCACACCCGCCTTCACAGCATCTGTGGACACTATCAGCCTCTGTCTGATGTTGATCTATACTATTCTAAAGAGGGAGTGACTTACCCTGATATGTCCAGCGATAATCATTCAACTGAGACTTCCACGCCCAAAACACCCAACCCTGCTGCTTCTCATATGCATGGACTTGCGCTGCAAACCACTTGGAGTAAAATTTCATGTTGGAAGATGGATCCCAGTTCGGCGAAGACTGCACTTTGTCCGGCACGGCCAAGCTCCACTCTCCCACAATGGTCGGCCAGTTACTGTTGCGCTCGTCACTGCAGGAGGTGTTGAGATAGCTACTGTGCGTGGCAGGAACACTGGTATCCCACTTTAGGTATCTGTGGTCGTCATATGCTAGGAAATGGAGATTGCTGAGGTACTGATTCGGGTCCCCCGATCCCCAAAGTTCATCCATCATTTGAATGTGGAGATGGTCGTTGTTGCTTATTGTTAGATTGCTTTCTGCGCCTCGAATACGCTAGGTGGTGTTGTCAGTGACCATTTCTCTTATTGTAAAGTCTGGACTCACGTTGACCGCGCTAGGATAGTAGTTCTTGCGCATGGATGTGGCGTCGTCGCTGTCTGAGACAGGCTCGTTGACAATCTCCAGCATGCCAACATTGCGGAACTCGTTTGTCGAATGGATTAGCTTGGTCATCCACTCGAGAAACCGCAGGGCCCTTTGGTAGTTGTATGTGTTGTAGAAGCCCGGTGTCTCGACCAGTTGGCCAGTGAAGGCATTTTCGGAGACCTTTTTCTAGTTAGTTATTTACGTCTCTCCTCATCGGATTACAAGCCTCACCTGCGCCCCTGGGGCTCCATGTAGACCCATGATGATGTATAGACCAGCATCGCTGGCCCATCCACAAAGATTCCTCAAATACCGAAGACCTCCTTGGGGAAAGTACTCGGAGTTGCGGTTGACGAGGTCCTCGCGCATCCAGTAACCGACAGGAACCCGGATAGTGTTGATGCCGTAGCTGACCATTTCGGTAATATCGTCATGTGTGATCCACGACCCCCAGTGGTTCTGGAAAGCCTTGTCCGCAGCCTCTTGTCCAAGAGACTTCACGCAGTCGAACTCGCAACCAGTATTGCCGCAACCCATATCACTCCAAGCACTCTCGCCAAGCCATGGCTCGAAGATAAACTGCGATCCAAGATTCACGCCGCGGATCTTGCCATTCGACGACGAGAACAGGTTCGTGCCATTGCTGGAAGTGATCTGCTTGTTGGTCTGAGGGAGCCAGCAGGAGACTAAGGGAAGCAATGCAGTGAGTACAGAAAGTCTACTAATAGCGCCCATTGTTGTATTCTTTTGCTCGGCGGGTTGGTGAAATATGTGAAGAGGCACATGGCTGGGCAGCAGGATGCCTCAATAAATAACTTGAAGAGATAACGCGATCTTCCAGCGATTTAGTCATGATCTAGTTGGGAAGAGCAGATCATTGCTTTGAAGATGTCAAATTCGAGGTACCGATGCAACTGTTGACGAAAATCCCGGCCCCCAGGATTATGGGAACAGTAAGGATGTGCGCTAACGCTGCTCCGCAGCTGGGCAAATTCCTAATCGGGGAACTGGCAAGTCCTATCCTGTGTGGCTATGATAGTCAATTTAGTCAGTTTGGTTTTGTGTGAAACAATTCTGCAAACCTTAAAGGAAACGTGCCACTGTCAAATTCATTAATCCGAAAAGAATATCACCGTCCCTTCCCCACACAGAGGAGTATGGCTGCGTTTGTGAACTTCCCACGAAATAGTATCAATGCTTTAGATTTGACTATAATACTAGGTATAAAGGATATGGGCTATGCAGTGGCAAACATCTCAAGAAGCTCATGGGATTCCTTGGCAAGGCGTATTTACACTGGAACTGATATTCAGCCAAGATGGGGGCCGAGCAAAATCAAGGGTGATCGGCAGCTAAATCACCATTCAGACTAGTTGTACACATAAGGATAATTTCCAATATCTTTTGAATTTAGAGATTCGGGAATAGATTTTCATAGGTAGAAAAGAAGCCGTATCAGCCCGGTACGCTCGATTTCTGATATAACTAGTTTAAGCAATGCCATTTTAATCAGAAATTTCTCAAAATATACATTTCGTGACAGCACTCTGCATCCACGTCGAATTGAAAAAATGCCTCAACAATTGGTTCCGTGAGCAAAGAGACCTTTCTTACTCTTCGAAGATATGACTACGGACAAATCACAAACGTCTGAGCGGAAACGGAAGTCCAAGTGCCACAATGTAGAGACTGCACGTTATTACTCCAAGGTTTTGTTAAAGCAGTGGGACCGATTACCAAAAGAGCATTATCACCGTCTAAATCGCAAAATCAAGCTTGGCTTTTCTCCTCTGGGAATACATAATGACTGTTGAATGTGGGACCTGATTTGCGGGACGGTCCCTCAAGGGCCTGCGGGGCCCCGGATTCCTGAAGATCGCAGCACTCTTTGAATCTCTTTCTTTTAAAAATAACTTGACTGTTCATTCTTTCATATTGATATTTGCTTATAGCTTTTTCATTCACGCCTCATTTCTTCCTTGAGGCTCATCCTTGGTATCAATGTCTGCAGGCGTAAGGCATACCTCTCATCTTCCCTAGGCTATTGTTATAACACAATAGCGGATACAAAGCACTTACTATTCAGTTCAAAATTTCTCTCATCTCTTCTCAATATGGCCGAGCTCCATGGCCCTCCCGGCACGGAACTGGTAGGCGACATGCAGTATGGGCAACACACAGTCAATTCTGGAAAAAGAATCGTGTAAGCACACAGTCTCATTCGATCAGATTATGAGGACTTACAAACATAAAATTTGGAGTCTTCTACCTCAACCATCATGCAGTTCGAGTGACCCATTGAACTGGTCAAAGTCATGGAAATGTGCGTCTCAAATGTCGGGAAACTCCCTGGATGATATGCAAGTTAATGTGATAAACATGCAGATTTGGTCATTGCAATCCAGTTTCTTTTTCTGTTTGTTTCAGTCGAGTCAGCTCTTTCAATGGGTCCTATGTTCCCGCTGTTTGAGGCCGAGTTTCACTTGGACAATACGCAACTAAGTTTGTTGACCGGGGCGTGTGTAATGGCCCTTGGGTTCTCAAACTTTATCATCGTCCCATGCTCCAATATCCTCGGAAGACGCTTTACCAGCCTTTTATTTTGTCTTCTTGGTATCGCATCGTGTATCTGGCAAGCCCTTGCCATCTCACATTCTAGTCTACTCGCTGCTAGAGTAGTCAACGGCATTGCTACAGCCACGAGTGAGACCCTGATGGTACAAGTGATTGCAGACATATTTTTCCTTCATCAAAGAGGCTTTTGGACTGGTGTATACTTGTGAGTAGCGCTAAGCTATCAGACCATTGGTGGCTGGTATTTACGAAATTCTTTCAGCATGGGCTATTTTCTTGGCTTGTTTATAGGGCCAATCATTTCAGGAAGTATCGGACAAAAGTAAGCAAAACGAAGCCCTTTGTCTTTGGAAAATTAAATCACTGCTAAAACGATTTGTTCCCTCAGGTATGGCTGGCGCAGCTTTTTTTTGGCTCTCGCTAGCAATGAGTATTTTCAACTTCCTCACGCTTCTCTTCTGTTTCCCCGAAACAAAATTTAACCGAGACTCAGTCATTCAGACAGGTGTCTCTGAAGAGGCTACCGACAATACTTCGCAGGATATGGACTCCAACAGCGCGAAGGCAGAGTCTCATCAGCTGGAGAATATCGGCGGAGAAGTTCATAATGCCGTCGGAACGGGCCGGCCTTCCTGGGATCAGTTCAAGTTGTGGCATGCGCCAGATGCAAATTGGAAACGGTTCCTGCTTCGCGATTTGTTTTCACCATGCCGTCTATTCTTCTTCCCAATCATTTTATGGGCTGCACTGAATGTGGCCGGGCCGGCGAACGTCCTCCTGTTCTGGAATCTAACAGAGTCCGCTGTCTTGGGGGCCCCTCCTTATAGTTTCAGTCCGGCATCAGTGGGATACTCCAACTTCGCCTTTGTAGTTGGGGGTCTGATTGGTCTTGCCACTGCAGGTCCGTTTTCGGACTACATCGCCATAAGATTGACAGCTCACAATCGTGGTGTTCGTGAGGCAGAGATGCGACTACTCGCTCTGATACCATATTTTGTGACAACAGTTATCGGAATCACCATCGGCGGCGTTGGATACGCGCGATTGTGGGAATGGCCTATCATTCTCGTCATTGGGTATGGTTTCAGTGGCTTGTGTGTTACTGCCGTCCCTACCGTCGCAGTGGCATATGCTGTTGAATGCTACAAGTCCGTCGCGGGGGAAATTATGGTCGTTGCAACAGTGATCAAAAACACCTGTGGATTTGCGATGAGTTTCTGGGTGCCATCATTGGCAGAACGGAATGGGTATCTGGCTCCCGCCATGGTTGAGTTAGCATTGACTATCGGCCCGCTAGTCATGGGACTGCCGATCTATCTTTATGGCAAGAAATTACGCAAGCTTACACAGGGTTCGAGTGTACATCTCTATGAGTCATGATACCCATATTACATTTTGATGCCACTATTCCTATGGGTCTTAACACCGAATTTGCTCCATGGTACTGATATAGATTGGAATACTGATAACAAATCATATATCCACTTCTGCTCCAGTCTGAACTTTGACCTCATTAGAAATTGTATTCGCCCGGCCTGCTCTCTGATGTCAGCTGCCCGGCTCAAATTCTCGAGCTGAGTAACCTGCTCTTGAGCCTTTGTAACTTCTTTCTGGGTTGGGACGTTGACTATCATCAGGTATAGAACATCCTTCGTTATACTTTCTTGAAAATCGCCGGACTTATCACGAGTGGTTCGTGACTAGTAGTGACCCAACTGGGTTCGGTAGGTTCGAATAAAAATAGAATGCTTTAACGCCCAATTGATTCAAAAATTGCACATCGGTGGCTTCAGTCGCTGGCCAGGTTTGTACATTACATAGCGGTGTTAATGTGACCACTATAGGGATAGAACGGGAATATTTGTTGATATCATTCAAGACTTGGCTTCTTACTCCTGAGACGAATCATCATCTTTAATGCCACATTTTCGAATGAGCTCACGCCCTCTATCTACCAGCGAAGGAAACGCTCCCGCCAAAGCCTGTATATCCCTCCAGAACTCCCGCCCAGCAGAGTGGTCGGGCATGTAGCTCCTGAGAAAGTCTTTCCATTCCTTGTCATCATCGCTATAAGAAATGCTTGCACGAGCAAACTCCCACCAGACAGGAAAGTAGCCAGCATTTTCCCAATCGATGATTGCCGTGAGCGAGTGAGTGTCTGGATCAACCATGATATTGCAAGTGGTCAAATCTCCATGGGTAAACGTGTATGGCTGCGCAGAGGGCATTTTCTCCCGTAGGTTCGCACGAGCTACATCGGGTAAGTTCTTCAAGGCTGGCGTCATCTCATTCCAGAGTTGCTCGTCGGACGAGAGAGGTCCATGAGGCACTTCATAGCCTTTAGGCCCATAACCGGGAAACAAAAAATTATCATACACTGGCTGACCATGCACGCTCTGGATTTTGGGTGAGTGAAGCTGGCGAAGCTGTTTGAGATACCCGGTGGTTTGTTGAGCAAGACGTTCTTTCGCTGGGGTAGACATCTTTGGCCAGATTTTCTCCAGTATTTCTCCTGGTACTCTCTCAGCTATGAGAAAATATCGTTCATCCTCATCATTCCAGCCCTTCAAGACCGAGGGTATGGGTATGGTGGTGTTCTCCTTCACGAAGCGGGTATTGACAGACTCGTAGCTGGGCGACTTGCAGGACCGCTCTTTCAGGATATATTTTGACCCGATGGACCAGACACCGCGGTCACCTGCTTCATAGAATATGTGTACATGACTTTTGTAGCTGCAGTAGCTCTGGCGATCAGGACTCCAGGTGCAGGCTGAACAAGGGGTTTCGTCTGCCATGGGGGAAGTAGTATAACCTGAAAGTATTCAAGAACATTTGGACAACAAAGTGGCGGTCAGCGGATTATAGCTTCCAAATCTGCCCAGGGATGTGACACAGAATAGCCAATCTTTATCGCAGTGAAATGTTGATGTGGCTTGCATGAAAGGTCGGAGCTTCTCCCATCTGACTCCCTTCTTGATCCTAAATACGATGCAAGGTTGCCAAGCTTTGATGTTAAACACACTGGTATTTTGTGTGCGTACTGACGCATTATGAATACTCTTCCAGAGCCCAATAGATCGCCACGGCTTTGGGTTGGGCGGCACCGCATGGGAGGGGGGAAGCATGGCTCTTGCATTTGCTTATCGCAGAAATAGCGTGAAAGCAATGCGAAGACCAGAGACATATTCATAGTGCCTATTGGAGGCATTTTAAGCCCCCTACGTTCGCATGTTCAGGGACATGTCGAGTAAGAAAATCAGCGATGATAAATTGATTTTTGTTGGTGTGTAGTGCAGGCGAATTGCGGATCGTGTAGATACCTCTGCGGCGTACCTAAATATTATATTTAGTGAGTACAGGCTTCTTATTGTGGTATTTTTCTGAAGCCCAGAATCTACTAGCAGGAGGAAGTGTTGGTCGTTCGGTATTTCCCCGATTCGGAGATGAGATGCCGAAGGCGGGGTGTTGAGATGATGTCAGGGAACAAGTCCCGATTGCTGATGATTTATAGGAGAAAGGAGCCCATAAGAGCGTTTCCGTCCCCAAGACACTGCACAGACCTTGATCTTGACTTTGATCTCCTTAAGCTAGATTCAGGCCAGTTACGTTGGCGATATTTACAATGGCGCCCACCACCATGAAGGCGGTACAGATCCAGCGGTTCAACGAGCCCTACCACGTCTCCGATGTCCCAGTTCCCAAGCCCAAGCCGCATCAGGTTCTGATGCGTATCAAAGCTGCCGGCTTTTGCCACACTGATCTCATGGTGCTGAACCATGAGTTCGATACAACCCTGCCATTAATTGGATCACATGAACCAGCGGGGATCATCGAAGAGATTGGCTCTGAAGTTACAGGGTTCCAGAAAGGCGATCGTGTTGGCTGCATTAATTTTGATAGTGTGTGTGGTGAGTATTGTGATCTCATTTGATATGTCCATGTTAACATAGAGTGTTTGAAGGAAAATGTGCCGACTGCAAGGCTGGATTGCCAATCTATTGTGAATCCCCACTGATGAAAGGTCTGACTACCGATGGAGCCTGGGCGGAATACATGGTTACGTGAGTAGACATACGAATCAAATCTAGATGACGGTCATGGCTGATCTTCGAGATTAGGGATGCTCGCTTCATAGTTAAATTACCAGATGACATGGACTTCAAGGTTGCAGCACCTCTAATGTGCGCTGGTATCAGCATCTATGGGGGTATTGTACGAGCGGGTGTGCCCAAAGGGGGCTCAATTGGAATTGTCGGGATCGGCGGACTAGGGCATATTGGAACCCAAATTGCGAAGTGTATGGTAAGCTATGAATCTTTTTAATTGGATGCTTCTAGACTATGCTGACTCCTCTGGCAGGGCTACACCGTCGCAGCAATTGACATCAAGCAATCAGCACTCGACGCAGTCGCATCGTACAAGCACGCCCCAGACGCTCTGATTCTAGCGTCCGACCCAATTGAAAAATCACTTGAGAAGATTGACAAGATAGTGCAATCGAACTACGGTGGACTTGACGCAACCGTTCTCGCGACGGACCAACAGCCAGCCTTCGACCTTGCCGCGGCTCTCACTAGAAAACACGGGACGATGGTGCTGCTAGGTCAGCCGCAGGAGGGGATCAGGCTCTCGTTCCACACGTTAATTTTCAAAGATATCAAGCTTTTGGGGTCTCTTATTGGCGATATGACCATAGCCCAGGAACTATTAAATTTGTTCCATGAGAATGAGCTCCACGTCGATGTTAAGGAGTGGAAGATGGAGCAGGCTGAGGAGATGAGGCAGGAGTATCTTTCAGGGATTGGGACCGGGAAGAATGTCATCGTAATAGATTAAACTCGTTTTGAACCATGGATAGATATATCGAATGGAAATGCTCGAGATCCATGACCGGATTGGGATTCATCTTGCAACCTGAGTTGTAGTCCAGTACATGCAAGTCGGGAACCCCTCGTCGGATAGAATGGACGCATTTGCAATATATTAAGTAGACAAAGCACTCCAATCATTGAAAATTTGGTAGAAAAAAAACATATGTACTAGCTCGTTGCAAACAAGGGTCCGATTACCCAGCACGAGACCGTTACGATCTAGGATTCCTGTCTGGGATGGAATCTGACTTTCTCGGAGCCGAAGTTCGGAGACTTCTCGGCCGGCCGAACGAACCCCCCAAGCCCCACATCACCAACTGCGGAAGTCAACGCGGTCAGTATGATGTGGGATTGTTTGACACCCGGGTCGTCCGGAACGATATGATAGTGTTACAGTTTATATTAGAGAGCGTGCTTGAAGGGAGAGGTCTTGAAAATTGTCAAAAACTCGACTTTATCCCGAGAGAAAACAGCAAACTATCAACCAGATATACAGATTTTGTTTCACATCACGGCGTATATATACTCGTCTGCAGCAGGACACGCAGTAATGCGATCAAAATAACCATATCTATTTATAATTATTCCCAGCACCAAACACCAATACGAACGAACCTCCGAATGTCCCCAACGCCCTATACAGTATGCACACCACAATCGAATTGACAGGCTGATCAAGCAGCTGGACCGGCCCCGCCCATGCTGGGGAACAGCATAGCATCGGGGACCCGTCCCAAGATGTCAAGCATATTCCAATCTTCCATCGGCAACGGAACAGGGCCTACTGGAGCAGACGGCGGCGGCATATCCGGCGCAGCATCTACAGACGGAGGAGACGGGAAACCCATCGGTGAGGAGCTCGGAGCATCTGCTGGTAGTGCCAATTTAGTACCACGGAATGCGGTGCGAATTTCACGCAGAGCACGAAGTGATGAAGCCAGATGCTTCACAGAGTCTGTGCGCCTATTATAGTCTTCGTGGCCATCGGCATATACATGGTCGGCCAGGACCGTCTCGAGGCGATCGATAAGGCCCCATGTTTGTGGACTATCATCATTGGCGAGGAGAAGGAATGCTGACGCGATGCTTCTCTGTAGACTGATCCATGATCGAGAGCAACGCGAGTTAATCTCGTGGAGCTCGACGAAGGCGTCAATCGTGTCCATCAAACTGCGGATACAATCCTCACGAATGATCCGCCGCCGCTGGTCATCAAGATGAGCATGGGGATCCAAAGATACTCGGCACAGTACTGAAAGGAGATACGAGGAGTGGAGTCGCAACTCGGTTCGCTCGATATGCCCACGTAATGTACGACATTGCTCTCGATACTGCAGGTGCGGCGATGCTTCGGCAAGCATCATCTGAATACGTTGCTTGTACTCACGAATGTCGTGAAACCGTGGGTGCGACGATTCCGGATACATACGGGACCGCAAGATTTCCAATGCCAGGGACACGACTTGACAGAGCGTTTCGAAGTACGTCCGATGTCCCGGCATCGATTTGCGATCGAACGGGATCTCAGGCTGGCTGACCATCGTGATAGATGGCCGGTCATATGCTAGAGAGAAGTGGCTGTTTTGGAACGCCATCGCCCACCTGGAGAATATTAGCCGGGCTACAAAAGCAGTAGCAGAAGTCTTACCAGACACGTCTTCGAACCGCTTGTTCAGCGAACGAATACCCAGTTGATTCAACGTGCAGCCCCAGGACCATACACAGGCGCTCCGTCATACCTGGAAGCATGTTAAAGAGAGACTGACAACGGGCGGAAATCCCATACCGAGCATGGTATACGCAGCCCCTGCATTCATGTTGTACGACAGTACGTTGCCAATAATGAGCAGAATCTGGATGACCTCTACTGACGGCTGCGAGACATAGTTCAACATGCGCAGACATTGGTATGCACAGGAAACTGCACGATCATCAGCATTTGGGGAGCGCCCATCGCAAAAGGGGTACGAACCATATACCCACGAGGTCAATTCACGTTCACGATCCGAAAGGTCCGACAGCTGGCATCCTGCAGCGAGCACGGCGAACAGCAGGCTGAGGAAAGGAGGCTCGTGCCAAACGGCTTGACCAGGCGCTCATTGTCGGGGCGATATACACCTCCCTCCCTCCGCCGACCCTCGAGCAGGCGATTCGTGTTACGCTCCAGTTCAGACAGGTCAGGCAACACGGGATACAACACGGCGCTGATGTCTTTGTAGAACCCGAGGAATCTACCGATCATTATCAGCTGTCGGAACTTCTGCGGAAAACATCCCTTTCAGACTACTCACCGACGACACTGTTCATCGTCTGGAAGGACGGCACAAACCCCAGCAATATTAAAAGTGAACGGGTCCGACGACCACAGATCCAGAAACGGGTATGCAGCGGACTCATTCCCAAGCACGAGCTCGGCCAGCAATTCATCCTGCGGCAGCGCCTGCGCTATATCCGCCGAGAGCTTCGATTTATCCAAGATATCAACGAGCGCGGAGCGAGACCCGAGATGAACAGGGCCGCTTTTCAGCGAGCCGGAACCGTAATTGCCTTCGGAGCGAGTGGATTCGCAGGTCCCCGCCTCTGATGCCCGGTTGCTGTGCTTCGCGGGGTGTGCATTAAACAGCGACTGCAGGCTGCCGAGGAGCTGTTCCATGGCGACCATCTTGTTATTGATCTCGTCCCACTCTGTCTGCGAGATATCCACGACTTCGCCGTCGTCGCTGGCGACCGGTCCGGCGGAGCGCTCCGTGTATTCATAGCGATGTGGTGCTGGTGCTGGTCGGGGCTGCTCTCGGGATGACTGATAGGGAGCGCTGAAGGAGAAAGACTGTGAGGGCGTGGAGGACTCGGTGGACGCCAAGGCGTAAGATGCGGCGGGTTTGGTGGGCGGCGGGCGACTGTAAGAGCAGGTGAAATTGCGCTTGACGCAATTGCTGCAGGGGACGTTGCGATCGCAGCGGACTTTGCTCGCACGACAGGCCAAGCAGGTTTTGCACTCGCGTGGGCGGCGGCGGATGGGATAAATGGGCATGGCAGTGGTGTTGGTGCTGACGGTGACGTTTGAGATGTGATCCGGGGAATCTACCGCGCACTGGCCGACAGCGAGATCAGGGCGAGCCGCATTCGAGGTAGAACAATCGTTCGTCACAAAACACCCAAAATAAGTCGGAGGAAGGATGCACGAGGTAAGTACAGGGAAGTAAGTCGAGTAAGCTCCAAAGTTAATGAGATGCGATCGGCAGTCCGAGCGCCAACGGTCGATGATTTCATCGTCCTAATGCGGAAACTACCTTAGAGTACACTCCGGACACTCAGATTATGGTGGAATGATATTATTATGGCTATTCATGCTTCTACGTCCTCTTCTTCTCGCTCACCTGTGGCACCACCCACCAGTCATGCCATTGGGCCTTGGAGCCTGCGTCGGGGATAGTCACTTCCAGCGTTGCCATCTCGGTCTGGCCCGCCAGCGCCTTCTTGATCGTCTCAATAGCCAGACTAGCCCCGATACACGCGCGCATGGTATCCTTGACGTCGCGTTTCCAGTCCTCTTCAATGGCCATCGAAGGCATCGGAGTCCGGGACGAAGGATCCTCAATAAATGCGCCGTTGGCGAGGGTGGCTTCCCACGCCCGACGGGCCTCCGCGATGGCATTGGAGGCACGCTCCAGAACAGTCACGTCAGAATCACCCTCCAGGTTGGCTTCCTTCTTGAATTCTTGGTAGGGGACCAGCTCCGGGAGAGACACCGGGATGAAAGGCTTCATGCGAAGCTCGTAGCGTAGTTTCTCGCTCGAGTATGCTTGCGGAGATGAAGCAAGCGGTAAAAGCCGGTGGCGGGTCAGGAGCACATATAGAGCATGCAGAGCGATAGAAAATGCATCAATGGCAATCAGATGAGTAGTCAGTCTCTCGAGACTGCGGAATGATTGGTGGAAGGCAGAAGATGGTTGAGAGGAGGTGCCCGAGCGGCTACTGGTGGCCATCAGATCGCGTTTGCGGGCGGCGACGGTGAATGTGCGAATTCGGTCGAGATGACCCAGGTGGGTAGTACAGATATGGGACAGGTACCAGTACATGCCAGGAAGCTCCTCGGGGGAGTAGATGGACAGCTCAAACCCCATTTGGAGGACGAGCCGAAGCTGTATCAGTTTCTGGTGATACGCCCAGCTGCTGAGCGGGTAAGAGAAGGTCGGTTCGCCGCTTGGGAGCGGGATGGGCCGTTCAGAGGTCAGGGTGCGGAGCTGAACGTCGAGCTCTTCGGCCTCCATTTGCAGGTTGTCCCAATCCACCATGGTGTGGCATAATGTCCTTCGAATGCGACACCGGTTGAGACAGGCACATTGTACGGTGTCCACGAATGGCCGAGAAAATCGCTTCACAAATCCTTCCATGTGCTGGGCGATTTGAAACCGAGGATGGGAGGGCAGCTCAACTTCGTCCGTGCTGGCCTGCAGCAGGATACTGGATGGCAAGACAAGCTCTGCAATGTCATCATACAGGAACTGCTTGACAGAGACCGCTCCTAGGATTGTCATGTCACTGACAATCAGGGCCTGAAGTAAACAGCGGATATAAACCGATGGTTGTGGTTTGCGTGATAATAGTGTCCACACAGCAGTCTAGGCAAGGGGTTAGCCGGAATCAAATCTGGAGTACTGGGGTCATTTACCTTGAAGTTACTGGGACCGCGGTAGTCGAGCATATGCTGCATATCAATAGCATCCTGACAGATTCGTTTCAAGTGAGCCAGCGCAGCTTCGTGGCTGATGTGCACGATGGGTCGAGGAGGCACGGTGCTGGCGAGCTTCCGCTGGATCTTCAGGCTGAACGCCTCTGGTACTGACTTCCCCAGAGACACCGATTCGGTTAGAAGTTCCAATTGCGAGACACACGACACAAAGTTCACAGTCGAGCGGCTCTCTAGGACATCCAAATCGCGGTCTAGTGCCAACAGAAACTCGCGACGGAACACTAATCGGCACCGAATCGCATCTCGGAGCTTCTCCTCCATCTCAGTTTCTTTATCAATCCAATCAATTGCCCGATCCAACAGTCGTTCAAAATGTGACGGGTCAAATACGCTCAAGAGGTTCCGGCTGTAGAGCTGGGTAACAAAGTCTTCTTCCTAGAGCACGGAACCCATTAGCTGCGAGCCCGTACGCATCAAGAGCACTGAACTTACCTCAAAGAAGTATTCGGCCGCCACTCGAGAATGGACAAAGTCGCAAGCCTTGACCAGCGCCAAACAATAAGCCCGGAGGACAAGGTTCACCAGCGGTAGATCGGTCGCGGGCCGGGTGCGATCGAATCGGGCATCTTCGACGGTCCTGGGCACCGGCCACAGGAGCTTATCGAGGTAGATGGATGTGAAGAGCGTCTGCGACAACGGATGACCCATATGCCATGCCATCTACACAGTGTCAGATTCATTTTGGCAGGATCGTGGAAGACACGCACCTCATGGCAGAGCAATTCATCCATCAACCCCACGACCTCCGCGGGTGTCAGCTCGCGCCGCACATCGTAGTCATCTTCCAGCGCCTGCGCTTGGTTTTCTCCGGGGGCGATGTAACCGCTGTCCATTTTCGAGTCCATAATCTGTTATCGGCGCACACCAACTATCAGCTTCAACTGCGCGGCGGGACAGGACGAACGGACGCACCTCCAAGGCCCCGACGGCCTCAAAAAGCGTAAAGAGCTCATCCTTGACGAGCTTCCCGGGTTTTATCTCTGCGGAAAAGAAGTGTTAGGCCCGAGATGACAAGCTGGAGCAGAACCCGGAATCATCTTACTCGCGGCGGCCACAGTAAACTCGGCGGTGATGTCCCGGGCGGGCTGCGCAACCCGCGCCCGAGGAACGCGGACCTCGTTGTTGGGCAGCATCGGCGGTGCAAAGGAGCTGCCGGCCACCGTCAATGAGTGTGAGGGCAACTGGTGAGCAGGGCCGGTCACGAAGGAGGAACAATCGAGGGGGAGGGCGGGGAGACGAGGAGTCGGGCGGATGAAGAAAACTTCGGAGCGGCAGAGATGCATCACTCACACACCCCCTTCATGGCGACGCAGGTCAGACCCCGGCCATTGACTACAATTGAATTGGACAAGAAACGACTGCCAAAAGCAGTGGAATATAAAGGCAAGGTGCAATTTCTAAGCACTGGCCTTCACGATGGGGCCAGTGGTGCTACACATGTACAGGAACCAAAATCCAGAACCCGCGGTCGGGTCCATTCTTTCGTGGGCTGGACCATCTCCTTCGACTAGTATCAGACACGCGCGCGGGCGTCTATTTCTCGGCCTGCTGGGCGATGGCAGCGTCGTTGGCCTGGGCGAGCGATTGAGCGTCTCCCTGCTTGCCGTTCTGCATTCAAACACCTCGAATCAGTCCAATGTCCAGGGCCGTTGCGATTGACGGAATATACGAACCTGCCACTTGGCGAAGCGCAGATCCATCTGGCCTCGGCGCTCAGCCTGGAGACGGGGGCCTTCCTTGAGCGACCGGCGCAGGGTGCGGCCGGCAATCGCCAGGTAGCGGTTGTAGCTGAAACGAGGTCAGCAATGGCATCGAGTTCAGGGGGGAAAGGTATGCATACGTCAAGCCAGCGGCTTTCCAGGCAGCAGTCATCTTGGATGGATGGAGGGAAGGAGGGAATGGGGGTGGAAGGGAACGATGATGGTGATTCGGGTGAGTTTGAACGGATGCCGGAGACTCGAGAGGATGGTCACGTGCCACAGCACGTGACTCGATCGGTATACAGTGAGGCCCCGAAAGAACAGGAGAACAGGAGAACAGGAGAACAGGAATGCATTAGCTGGCAAGTCTCCGGGTGAAATAAGGGGAAGAGTAGGTCTAATGTGTATCTACGTCTTTCCAATCCGAAGAAATCTATTATCTGTCTCTGTTGTCTTCGGCTGACAAGCATCACTACCTCCCACCAACACTAGACAAAGCTAGTATAGAGAAGTTGTGAATTGGAGAACAGAAAGACTCGAGCAAGTATTCGCCAAGCGGTTGGTCTCATTTGAGCAGCCAGGTTGTGCTCCAAAAAGTACAGGCTGCAAACTGAGCAGCTTGATATCTCGCACTATCCCTCTTCCTCTTCTTCCTCTTCTTCCTCTTCTTCCTCTTCTTTCTCTTCTTTCTCTTCTCCTTCTCCTTCTCCTTCTCCTCCTCCTCCTTCTTCTTCCTCGTCCTTTTCTTCCTCGTCCTTTTCTTCCTCCTTTCACCCACCCCCGATCCCTTTCATCCAACCACTTTCTTCCAAACACCTCACAGACGCCAAGTCCATCCAAAGAAGGTAAGCTGCCCAAGAAATATGACGGGTATTTCTCTCATTTCCGTCATGTAATGAGTGTGTTGAAAGATGACTATATCCTCGACTTGGCTCGAAGCGACCAACTTGGTTGCCCTTACTTTACTCGCACTTCCTCTGGTTACCAAAGTCTCCTTGGAAGCTGATACTGCTTGTCAAAACAGATATCCACTACAAAGACAGCGCCTTCAACCGGCATCATGGGCGGAGGAACTCTCGAAGATAACTCTGACCAAGGCCAACCCGGCAAGGAGGGCATGAGGGCCAAGCGGCAGCTGAAGCGCTGGACCGGTAAGTGCTTGAACATTTTCCTCGCGAGATCATAATGATCTGGAGACGGAGGAACTCTGTCTCAGACGCAGGATGGTGTGATCCATCTGGGCAAGAGTCGACTCCTTGCCCTTGGCTTCGGTGCCTATCTCCTCTTCTTGCAACCCTTTCTTGCTCAGCATTGATAGATAGTTCTGTACTGACATTTTCGCAGAGGATGATAGCACCATACTCCTGTTATGTCTGCAATTTAAGTGCAATCAAGAGAATATCAAACTGCCGTGGACGGAGGTCGCCAAGCTCATCCCTGGCCCTGTCACTGAGAGCTCAATCATCCAGCACCTAGCCAAGCTCCGGACCCGTCGTACTGCTGAGGAAAAGTGGATTCCACCACCTCTCAAGCGCTCGGCAGCCGCTGGGGAGAGCAGAAAGACGGGGACTCGCAAGAGAGCCGCTGCAAAGAACCCCAAGGCCAAGCAGAACGGCGCGGTTGAAGACAGTGAGGATGATTTCAACTATGAATTCATAACGGATAAGAAGGCCAAAGACACAGTCACCAAGTCCCTGAGTCAGTCCGGTCGCAAGCAGACCAAGGACACCGCCCGCAAGTCTCGTGGTCAAAAGCGCCGCAATGATTCTCGCAATGACTCCGATCCCGAGTTCGAGCCCACCTCATCCCGTCGTCGTCGCTCAGCCCCGGCGAGCAAGGACACATCTGCCAAAGACAAAAAGATGAAGGAGGGTGCCATGGCTAAGACAGACGATTCTAAGGATGACAATGAGTCGGGTGAGGAGTGCGAGAAGCGTCTGCTGTGCGTGGGAGCCCCGTTCCTTCGCTTTGAAGACTCTTGCACTCCAAATAATGAGTCGATTTACTCCACTGACTCCATTGTTTCCAGAGAATCTGCTGGGTTCAGCCCAGTAAACGAGGAGACATCCAGCAAGATCCTTCGCCTGAAGGTCCCTCGAATCTCCGATCTGCTCAACCCCGCGGATCCTGCGTCAACCAACAATTCCTCCGTGATCGATATCCCGGCCACCACGGCCGAGCAGTCTAAGATACAGGACGAGCCCTGGCTGTATCAGCCCCCGGTTCCTGGTCGCACGACACGGTATGTGCGCCACGATATCAACCCCTATGTTCCGCACCCGAGTCTGTCCGCTGGCAATATGCCCATGATTGCCTCGTCCTGGAGCAATCTGAGCACTCAATACCTACAGGACCCGCTGTACTCTTCGGTTGGCGCGGACATATCTTCCCTCACTCTGCCGCCCATTACCAGCACCAATCACCACTGGCTTCACAGACTGCCGAATGGGTTCACCAACCATGATGACAATACAGGCCAGGGTCAGCAGGATCCTCCGGACAATAGCTTCTCGTCATCTGACTTCAATGCTGATTTCGGTACTCCGGATTTCTGGGCATAGCCTGGGCGAGCTCTGACCTCGACTGGGGATTCTCGCGTCTTTATGATCAATTTGCAATGACTGGTCTTCTTCATGCTGCTTTTTTCAACTGATCTCTCTTCGACTCTTTTCATACCGGATTTGGTTTTCAGGGAATTATTCATGGGGATAGCGAGGTTGCATCCCATATGCTTTTAGGTAGTTTCACACGGTTCCCCCGAAGGGCTGGATTTACGGACATTTCAGCGAGGCTGTATCCAATTTGCTGCTTTATTCAGACCTTATTTGGTTCCTTGGTTAGTTTTCACAATGCCTAGGAAGGGCCAGTATCAAATGAGACGGTGGGATTTAGTTAGCATGAGTTCTTCGTAATCTAAACGGCAGGGAGGTATAGAGAGAGAGCCCTCGGATCGGAAGAATATTCCTCCAGTGTATACCTCTCACGGTCTACACTTGTCACTGCATAGATGGGTTATGATTTCTGGGTGGAATATGTAGTTGATTAATTAAAATTGTAAATCATTTATGTTTCTACTATTAGTGAGGTTTCTGCTTCGGGAATGCTACGGCGCTGCATATGGGTTCACCCGATGCCCGAACGACATATGTATAGATTGAACATATATTGTACATAGGTATGACTTTATAAAACACGAGGGAGCGCTTCCATCTGCTCTTGAAATTGAAAATGAAAACCCTGGACTCTAATTACTCTCCCAAATAATGCTTATTCTCTGCTGCATCATCCGCTGCTCCGATACCCTCGGTTGGTCTCACGTGACTCTTCTAGCGCTTTCTGTCCGGGGGAAGCAGAAAGAAGTGGAAAATTTTCGAGATCTTTGGCTTCATCTCCCCCGGACTCTCCATCTCCTCTTCTTTTCATCCTCCCCTAATTCCTCTCTTCATCGGGTGGACCTCTCCCCTTCCTCTTCCTGTCATTTTCTCTTTCCCTCCCTCCCTCCCCTATTCCATCGCCATGCAGCGCGCTCTGTCTAACCGGGCTTCGGTCCTGTCGGCCGCTTCCAAGCGCGCCCCTTTCTATCGCTCTGGACTGAACCTCCAGCAGCAGCGTTTTGCTCACAAGGTGCGTCAATACACATTATCCAGCCATTCGCCCTGTCTTTCCGCCCATTCCGAAGCTCCCCCGTGTTTCCCCTTGCTCACGGCTAGTTACTAGGAGCTCAAGTTCGGCGTCGAGGCTCGCGCCAACCTCCTCAAGGGTGTGGACACCCTGGCCAAGGCCGTTACTTCGACTCTCGGTCCCAAGGGTCGCAATGTGCTGATTGAGTCGCCGTACGGCTCTCCGAAGATCACCAAGGGTAGGGACGCTCCCGAGTGACGAAGTGTTGACGAACGAGGCTAACCATTGTAGATGGTGTGACGGTCGCCCGGGCCATCCAGCTTCAGGACAAGTTCGAGAACCTCGGTGCCCGCCTCCTCCAGGATGTCGCCTCCAAGACCAACGAGGTCGCCGGTGATGGTACCACCACCGCTACCGTCCTCGCCCGTGCCATCTTCTCCGAGACCGTCAAGAACGTCGCGGCTGGCTGCAACCCTATGGACCTGCGCCGTGGTATCCAAGCTGCCGTCGATGCCGTTGTTGACTACCTCCAACAGAACAAGCGTCCCATCACCACCGGAGAGGAGATCGCCCAGGTGGCCACCATCTCCGCCAACGGCGACACCCACGTCGGTAAGCTCATCTCCACCGCCATGGAGAAGGTCGGCAAGGAGGGTGTCATTACTGTGAAGGAGGGCAAGACTCTGGAGGACGAGCTGGAGGTTACTGAGGGCATGCGTTTCGACCGCGGCTACACCTCCCCCTACTTCATCACCGACCCCAAGTCCCAGAAGGTCGAGTTCGAGAAGCCCCTGATCCTGCTTTCCGAGAAGAAGATCTCCGCCGTTCAGGACATCCTTCCCGCCCTGGAGGCCTCGACCACCCTGCGCCGCCCTCTGGTCATCATCGCCGAGGACATTGAGGGTGAAGCTCTGGCTGTCTGCATCCTGAACAAGCTGCGTGGCCAGCTCCAGGTCGCCGCCGTCAAGGCCCCCGGCTTCGGTGACAACCGCAAGAGCATCCTGGGTGACCTGGGTGTTCTCACCAACGGTACCGTCTTCACCGACGAGCTGGACATCAAGCTCGAGAAGCTCACCCCCGACATGCTCGGCTCCACCGGTTCCATCACCATCACCAAGGAGGACACCATTGTGCTCAACGGTGAGGGCAGCAAGGACTCGATTGCCCAGCGCTGCGAACAGATCCGCGGTGTCATGGCCGACCCTACCACCTCCGAGTACGAGAAGGAGAAGCTGCAGGAGCGCCTGGCCAAGCTCTCCGGTGGTGTGGCCGTCATCAAGGTCGGCGGTGCCTCCGAGGTTGAGGTTGGCGAGAAGAAGGACCGCGTGGTGGACGCCCTGAACGCCACCCGCGCTGCTGTCGAGGAGGGTATCCTGCCCGGTGGTGGTACCGCTCTCCTCAAGGCCTCTGCCAACGGGCTAGGGAACGTCAAGCCCGACAACTTTGACCAGCAGCTGGGTGTCAACATCATCAAGAGCGCCATCACCCGGCCGGCCCGCACCATTGTCGAAAACGCTGGTCTGGAGGGCAGCGTCATTGTCGGCAAGCTGACCGACGAGTTCGGCAAGGACTTCAACCGCGGCTACGATAGCTCCAAGAGCGAGTACGTCGACATGATCGCCAGCGGTATTGTCGACCCGCTCAAGGTGGTGCGCACCGCCCTGGTGGACGCCAGCGGTGTTGCTTCGCTGCTTGGCACTACTGAGGTCGCCATCGTCGAGGCTCCCGAGGAGAAGGGCCCTGCCCCCGCCGGTGGCATGGGTGGCATGGGTGGTATGGGCGGTATGGGCGGCATGGGCGGCGGCATGTTCTAAGCGCGCCTCTTGACCCTCCGCCCGTCCGTTTCTCTCTGTTGGAGCGTCTCCTTGCATTGCTTGAGCCCTGTTTGGATCCCGTGGTGATTTTTCTCCCCTTCTATACCTGTATTCTGTCGACTCTTCCCCTCCCTCTCCACTCTCCACTCTGCTATCGGGGGCTTAGAAAAAGGTTCCGGCGCATCGTGTACCATATCTTGTTGTATTTCTGCCTATCTACTCAATGAACGTTGATCTCTGTTAATGGGGGCCGGGAAAGGGCTCGTCAGCCTTGTAGTATGAACTTGCCGTCTAACCAGTCGCAACGATCGGCAATCATCCGCGGTTCATCCCAGGTGTCGATCATGGATCCGGTGGAGTCGTCTTCTCTCCGCATTTTACCTTGACTATTTGAATCCTCCAATCATCACCCCCTCCTGAATGTAATGCCTCCTGCACCGTGAGTTGAGCCAACATTCCCGAAGAGGCGTAGTCTAGACTGGCCGTTGTGTGGGGCGCCCTCTGGCACGCGGTAATTCTTGCCTGTCGGCCTGCTATCCTTGCCGTCTGCTGCCCTTCTCCCGTGCTCACTCTTTTGCCTTTCTTTCCCTTCGTTCCCTTCTTCTCTCTCCCCCATCACTCCTCCCTGTCCTGCAGTGTCATCTCCTCATTGTAGCCAGGGCTTGTTTTGGATCAGGTTGCCCTTCCTGACTGGATTTGCACCGCCACCTCAGCAACAACTCCAACGTACAACCCCCGAGGATCTGATCTCACCCCGGGTCCCCCGTGCTGATCACCGCGCCGTTCATCCTCCCCAGAGACCCACCATCCGAATTCGCTTTCTTGGCTTCCATCGACAGTCTGATCCGACAGGCCATATATACAAATCTGCACCCTCATTGCCCAGTGGACGGTCGAAGAAGATTATTGCCACTCCTCGAGCGACCGGTTATGCGCACGACCTGCCTGGGACCTCTGACCGCGTTGGTCCCACGCCTGCACCGAGTGTAGTTGCTACCAGTTGAGGAATACCCAACCCGGTGAGCATGACGTGGCCTTGACGATGCAAAGCGTGTTCGCTGACACTGTTTCTAGTCCGCCAGCTCAAACCGCGGAACGACGCGACCCAACATCGTTGGGGTAAGCGACTGACTCCCGCGACATTCCTGATGGCCGCGCTGGTGGATACCGCTCGCCCGGCATGGGTCAGCGATGCCGATCTTCTTCAAGCCCGCGCAGCGCTGCAGCATCAACAGAATCCCGAGATCTCGGCGCCGCGCGAGTTCATCTCCCTGATCGTCGAGGAGCTCATCCACCGCCGTGAATCCCAGTCCTCCCTGGCCGACATTGAAATGGAATGTTCACAGCTGCGCAAGGAACTCCGCAAGCACACCCACGTCAATGAAGCCTTCCAGAAGGAACTGGGCGAGATTGGAGAGATCATCACCCAGGTCGCCCATGGAGATCTCTCCCAGCGCGCGCGGCTGCATCCCCTGGAGATCTCCCCCGACATTGCAACGTTCAAACAGACGATCAACACCATGATGGATCAATTACAAATATTCAGCCAGGAAGTCTCCAAGGTCGCTCGCGAGGTCGGTACAGAGGGAATTCTGGGCGGCCAAGCCAACATCACTGGCGTCAATGGAATTTGGCGGGAGTTGACCGAGAACGTGAATGTCATGGCTAGCAACCTCACTGACCAAGTCCGCGAAATTGCTGCCGTGACCACCGCGGTCGCCCATGGTGATCTCAGCCAGAAGATCGAGCGGCAGGCCAAGGGTGAAATTTACCAACTCCAAAAGACGATCAACTCCATGGTGGATCAGCTGCGTGAATTCGCACAGGAAGTCACGAAGATCGCCAAGGATGTGGGATTCTATGGCAAGCTGGGTGGACAAGCGGTTGTGCATGGGGTTGAAGGCATCTGGGAGGACCTGACCAAGAATGTCAACACTATGGCAAATCGGCTCACGACCCAAGTCCGAGAGATCGCGGATGTGACGACCGCTGTGGCTAAAGGTGATCTGACCAAAAAAGTGACGGCGGATGTGAATGGGGAGATCCTGGACTTGAAACTGACTATCAATGCCATGGTCGATCGTCTCAACCAATTTGCGTTCGAAGTCAGCCGGGTGGCGCGTGAAGTCGGCACAGACGGAACTCTCGGTGGTCAGGCCCAGGTCGAAAATGTGGAGGGTCTCTGGCGAGACTTGACAGACAATGTGAACACCATGGCCCAGAACCTGACCGAGCAGGTCCGCCAGATCTCCAACGTGACCCAAGCGATTGCACGAGGTGACCTAAGTACCAAAATCGAGGTCCACGCTCAAGGTGAAATCCTTACACTCAAAGAGACGATCAACAGCATGCTTGATGGTCTGGAGCGATTTGCCAAGGAAAACAAGGCCGTCGCCAGGGACGTCGGCGTGGAGGGCAAAATGGGCGGCCAAGCCGATGTTGCAGGGATGCATGGTCTGTGGCGTGATATCACCACCGATGTGAATATCATGGCCGAGAACCTCACGTCTCAGGTCCGAGCCTTTGGCGAAATCACAGACGCCGCGACCAGTGGTGATTTCAGCAAATTGATCACCGTCTCTGCGTCGGGCGAGATGGATGAGTTGAAGCAGAAGATTAATAAAATGATCTCCAACTTGCGTGACAGCATCCAACGCAATACAGCGGCTCGAGAAGCTGCCGAGCTGGCTAATCGCACCAAGACCGAGTTCCTCGCCAATATGAGCCACGAGATTCGAACACCCATGAATGGAATTATTGGGATGACTGAGCTCGCCCTCGACACTGATGACCTGCAGCAGCCTGTGCGCGAAACTCTGAACTTGGTCCACAATCTTGCGATCAGTCTCTTGACTATTATTGATGATATCCTCGATATTTCCAAGATTGAAACTAACCACATGATTATTGAGCGAGCCCCGTTCAGTATTGGGGCCACGGTCTTTGGCGTCTTGAAAGCCTTGACTGTAGAGACGAACGAGAAAGCGTTGAATCTTTCTTACACTGTTGATGGGAACGTTCCGGACTTTGTGATTGGAGATGCATTCCGGCTGCGACAGGTGATGCTGAATCTCGTTGGGAACGCGGTCAAGTTTACCGAGAACGGAGAGATTCGTGTCGCCATCAGGCGCGTGGAGGGAAAGTACAAGCCAGGTGAATGTGCCTTCGCGTTCTCAGTGAACGACCCAGGGATTGGAATCGAACAAAGCAAGCTTGGGCTCATCTTTGACAAATTCCAACAGGCGGATGGGTCGATGACTCGACGCTTTGGGGGTACGGGTCTTGGGCTCGCGATATCCAAACGCCTGGTCAACCTGATGGGCGGCAGTATCTGGGTTACTTCCAAGGTGGGCCAGGGCAGCACGTTTACATTCACCTGTTGCACGAAGGAAGCCCAGCCACCGGTGGGATTCAGCGAGCAACTCCTCCCATACCGAAACAGTCGGGTTTTATTCATGGACAACGGCCAAGCACCTGAAATGCCGATTGGACAGATGCTGGTCGAACTGGGACTTGATCCCGTGATCGTGACCAACAATGGCGAACTCACCCCAGATCATTTCCAAGACGAACGGGGATGCGCCTTCGACGCCATTCTGGCTGACAGCGTCGAGACGGCAGCAAATATACGAGACTGTCCTGGCTTCCGGTTCATTCCATTGGTGCTTGTAGCTCCGGTTGTGTCAGTAACGGCCAAGTTAGCTGGCGACCTCGGCATAACCTCCTACGTCACAACGCCCTGCCGGCTAATCGACCTTTGGAATGGAGTCTTCCCCGCCCTGGGAAATCGGCCCAGACGCACACCCTCCGGGTACGGACGCGCCCTCGCGATCCTCCTCGCAGAAGATAACGACGTGAATCAGAAGGTCGCCGTGCGCATCCTGGAGAAGTACAAGCACAACGTGACCGTCGTAGCAGATGGCCAGCAAGCCGTCAAAGAAATCAAGCGCAACCGGTACGATGTGATTCTCATGGACATCCAGATGCCGGTGATGGGCGGTTTCGAGGCAACTGCGCGGATCAGACAGCATGAGAAGATCAACGATTTACCGCGCACACCGATCGTGGCGCTCACGGCGCATGCTATGATGGGTGATCGCGAAAGATGTATCGAGGCTGGCATGGATGATTACCTCCCTAAGCCTTTGGATCAGGACCGTATGATGCAGACCATTCTGAGGTGCTCAACGATGAACAATTCGTTTGTGGTGGCTGCTTAGCTTGGAAGAGTCATAGATGCGACACAGTTACTTTCGCAGACGCAGCAGCTCGAAAATCGGAATGAACTCGGCACTGAACAATCTCCAAGGCCATTTCTCACCATGCTCCTCACCTTTGACACCGGATTTTGCCGCATGCAATGAGCCAAACTCTTCCAGATTTGCGACGAAGAAGTCAAGGATCATTTGAACGGTCAATCCCGGCCTACGAGAGAAAGAGAGACTATACTCCAACGAGTCGCCCTGAAATGACACACTGAATCTTCAAGTGATCCTCAGCCGCAGGTCGAATGATCACCCTATCAGATGAGCAGCTCCACCACTTGAAGTACCCCCACTACCCAAATTTGCGGGAGACGTCGCCGCGGTTTCTTTTTCTTCTCGGAATCAATAAGAGGGTGCCCTTTGTCAATGACCCTGCGTGTACACGCAGAGCATGGCCGTTGAAGGATGATAATGAAGGAACGATGCTGTAGGACTTTCTTATCTTATGTGTTATGTATTGAATTAGGCGAATGTATATGCTTCGAATATAATTCTTCAATTCTTTTATATGGCGAGGGAAGATCTATCGATTCCGCTTGAATCTGTTACAATGGAGTCAATACTTGATGATCTTGGGGTATCGAAATTCAAATATATATATCTCCAGAAGTTACACCCTCGACTCGCTCCTCCGCCTCACCTTCTCCGACAAAGATTCCATCCGCTCGCCCACCCGTTCCCCAATCGGCTTCAGTTTCGCCTTCTGGCTATACAACGCCGAAAGGACATCCTTGTCCGCGTGCCAATTTTCCCAAATATCCTCATCAAACTTCGTATTATGATTCTCGTAGCCGAGATATTGATCAAGGCGCCTGCGCATGGCCGAGTCCTCGGGTACCACGACTGAGGGCGCACGATTCTTCAGCTGGTCCCAGCGAAGAAATATGCGGATGGGATGGAAAAGAAACTCTCTCAGGAACCCGGTGCCTATCTTATGGGATTTTGAGACGGCCTCGCGCAGGTTCTCGCTGAAGGCCATCAAGAGGGTGAATGCGATGAGCGCTACCGAGGCGGGTGCTGATGTTGTGAATTAGAAGTGAAGGCATTAATGACACGAGATGATTAGGCGTACCGGCTATTTCGAACATCAAGTTCAGAGACAGGTTCTCTTTTATCCCGCTCCATTCGCGTGCATTGATCCCAAACAGCGAAGTGAAGAAGGACAGCGGGAGGAAGCTAGGTATGTCAGAGAAAATTGGAGTACTTATAGCAAGGAAGGAAGCTCTACATGACCGTAAAGATGGTGAAAACCATCACAGCCCGCGACTGATTCTGCGTAACCTCTGCCTGCCATCGAGTCATTTTGGATTCGTCAACATTGGCTTGTTTCTGCTTGAGATCGAGGAGTGTTTCCACCTGCAAGACAATATAATCAGAATAAAAGGCCGTGCACCAAAGGGGGTATGTATACCGCTTTCTGCGCTTCATGTGAGTTTTCCTTCATCTCCCCGATCTGCGATCGATACTCCCCGAGCCTTGACATTGCCGTATCGAGGAACATCTTCCCGTACCCCTTGGCCTCGAAGTACTCAACCATCCTCTTGATCACGGTCTCTTGTTGGTCAAGTAGTCTCAACAGCGTAGACAGCTCATCCTCGATATCGCGCAGCTCTAAGAGAACAGATAGGTCCTCGCGGTTCCGCTGTGCAACTTTACGATCGCGCTGATCCCGCTGCGTGGCGCTCATCATCTTACCACTGGGGAGGCGGTTGTGGTCTGCTGGACGATTGGTGAAGCCGCGATTGCGGAAGCGTTTAAAGGATTTCGTGACAGATTCCGTCTGCCGTGGCCAGTTAGTAGAGACTGATAACTCTAAATAAGAAGAACATACTAGGATGCTGATCGACTCTTCGAAGATACGAAGGACCTGCAGGTCATGGTGCAACGTCTTATCTAACAAAACGGTGACGGCATGCAACACAATCAACGCAGCGAGATCCCCGGCCGTATCGAACCGGCGGGCCAAGTCCCCGTTTAGCTCATTGTAGATACTACTGTGCAGATTAGACTGTTCGTATAGTTTGCCCTCGGAGGTGGTAGCTTCCTGGTTTGGAAAAAAAGTCACAATAGTCTTCTCGTCGACGATCCAGAGCCAGAGCTGATCCACCATCAGCACCTTGCCATCCATGAACTCATCCGCATCCGAATCATCGAGTTCGCCCTGTTGTGGTTCTAGGTACTCGCGCAGCTGGTCATCCACACGTACAGGTTTTCTGGTGCGTTTCCAGAGCATCTGGTCATCATCGCGGGCGACGGTAGACCGTAGGTTCGGATACCCGAATTGATCGAGCGTACGCCGGAAATGGACGGGGGGTTCGCAGCCGAGATATTTCCAGATCAGTTGCGCCTCCTGACTAGATTGTGAGATCCTGCTTGGCACGGGGATTGTTCGTCCCTGGGCTATTCTTTGCTCGACGACTTTGCGGCGTTGGATCAGATTTCGATATGTATCCCAATGGAGCTTTCTTCTCGTTAGTGAGATTACAAATTGACGTAGCTTGGACTCACGTAAGGGACCTATATCAACAAAAATCAGTCTGATATTAGGCAACTAAAGGACGTGAAGCTTACGTATAATGCTAACTGGTGATCGTCTGTCTCCTCCGCTTTGGTACCTTTTGGACCGTCCATGTGTCGCGAATGAATACATTTCGGCCGGACAAAGCGGGCGTGAGGTTCTGAATGGCGAGCTCTGTTAAGATTCGAGTACCAGTTTTCCTCATTGACAAATTTCCGGAGACTATATGAATTAGACGAGCTGAAGCTGCAAGAAATGAAGCAGAAACATACAAATTGGGCTCATGGCGATCATGGCAGGCTCGTCGAATCACCTGTGATACCCAACCGGTATGTGTGTAGGGAACGTGGATCCAAAGTAGCTTTTCGGTATCTGGCTCCGGCCGATCAAATCGTGGCACTGATCTAGGGATATCTGACGATTCGACATCTTGGTTCATGCGATCTCGGGTGGATATCGGGGGGGACAAAAGTTCGGACTGTCTCGATGGAGAGGCAGAACTTCTGCAAGTGATAATTAGCAGATAGTCGAAATGTACAAAATACAGACTTACGACGGAGGGCGTGAACTCGACTCTCCAGTCTGGGAGCTACTGTCTGATGTTGTCCGATTGTGAGACTTGAACAGAAGTGGGTTTAAAGCTCTGGTAATAGAATTCCGTCGCTTTCGAGTCGCCGGTGGTGGAGGACTTTCACTCGTCTCCCTCTCGAAAGGTCCGGTTATGTGGATTTCAGGAGACTGCGGGCCCGATCCAGCGAAACTGCGGCTTTGTCGTATGAGAGATGGTCGTGATGTCCTCTCCTCATGGTGAGGCTCATTTATATGCTTTATTTCTGGAGCAGGAACAGGAACATGCGACACCGAGTGTCGGCTACCAAAACTGCTCAGCGACGAATCATCGTAGCCACCAGACTGGCGCTTGCTCGCACGTTTCAGTCTAGTCCGCAAACACGCCGACGGACCATCGGTCAGGTACTCCTCCAGGGAGACGGTCGTAGACCACAATTTCAAAGGTGTTTCATCACTGACGCCCAAAGAGGGATCCTCGAAGAAACCATTTACCTGCACCATGACCTCTTTCTCAACCTCCAGCGGTGTGTCTTTCTCCCTCGACAGCATAACCGCAGTAGTCACGGCCAACCCAAGCTTAGTCAGAAAGTTTTCCAAAGCAGACTCCTGTCCCTGGAAACTAGCCGTTCCGGCATGGTCAGTGGCCATGGGCACTTCCTTCTCATGCTCGATATCCAGCAAACCGGATCGAATCGAGGTGATCGGAGCATGGAAGTCTGTAGAATTTGCTGTTTCGGTGTCAACGACATGCAGAGTCGAGTCGATAGTCTCCAGGAAAGTCCAAACTTTCATATCCGCCGACAGGGCCTTGAACTGGTTGGAGAGGTGCCATAGCCCCTGCTGTCGGGGCCGAAGCTGATCTCTGACAGAATGCGGAATGGCCTGTCTGAGATGTAACAGACGGCCAATGCTAGCCTCATACTCATCCGCAGAGAGATAGGTCGATCCCTGATGAGGAGTGGCCAGAAAGGCAATACCATGGCAGCTAGTCAGAACGGCTGGGTGCGACTCGGGCCGGGCCGCCTGTGCCAGCGCTTGTTTTACCACCAGGCCGCCGGTGCTGTGGCAGATGAAGAAGATGGGTCTGCGCGGGTTCTATTTGAGAATAGATTAATAATAGCACGTCCAATAATATAGTCCGAACATACGCTGTGTTTCCGCTCGTGAAGCAACTGGTGCAGAAACCGGCGCCCGAGCACGTCCAGCTTGTCGCTCTCGTGCAGCTCGCCGTGGTCGTACAGCAGCACGCGCGCTCGGGGCATGTGCTGGAACAAGGCGGTCTCCAGCCAGCAGCGCGAGTGGTGCGGTGTCCATGCTTTTCGATGGTCGGCTCCGATGGCGGGCACGGCCACGATACTGGTTGTTGTCTGGTCAGTCAGAACAAGCGGGGAAGTAGATGTTCCACACACTCTACGTTCGTGTCGGGCGCGACCTGGATCACCTCGAAGAAGGGCCCGCGCGACGATAGGGGCTCCGGACCCATAACGGCAATCACTACACTGTGTAGTTTGTGATTAGAAAGAACAAAAACCCTTTGGGGCCATGCCCTTCATAAATCAGGGGCCATCATCAGCTGAGCCTCAAGCGCGCTCCCGGGTGATCGCGCCCGGGTCAGCCTCGGTGCAGATCTACGAGTCAGTGCGCAAATGATAAAAGAGAGAGAGATTTTGGGATTATATACAATGTTTTCGAGACATGAGTAGGGTCGACTTTTGGAAAGCAAACCACCCGCTCCAGATAGATAGCCCAAGAATGCAGAGACTCTATACACACGCAGCTCATGCGGTATCATCAGAACACGAACGCCAAGACAAGTACAAGAAAGGAGATTTGGGAGGAGGGAGGATTGGTCGCCGAACAGCGGCCCTATGCAGTAAAGTACAGGGGAGAAACAAGCTAAACAGAGTCGGAATCACTGTGTCGCCGCTCGTTGACTTCCCGGGCCATGCGTTTGCCAAGCTCATAGGTCGAGATCATGATGGCGCAGGCCGGCGCGACTTTGAGGCATCGCGCGAACCAACCCCGGAAGAGGCCGGCGGTGCCTTCTTCGCGGAAGATATGCAGCAAAAATCTCGGGAGAGAAAGTTGCTCCGGGATCAGCGTGCGTGGAGGCGCGGGAGTGCTATTGACAACTCCGGGAGGGACATGGTCGTCCATGTGGCGATACACTTGCTGCCGCGTCTTGCCCACGTCGAATGGAGTGGTCACAAAAGCAGCAATCGACCCGGACACAGCACCGGAGACAAAACTGTTGAGGAAATCCGAGGTGGCCGAATAAGGCTCTGGGTCTGATCCCGGCAGATGCGGAGTGTATGGTCGCGTTGCCACGAGAGTCTCCTTCATCTTTTCATATCCCCACCAGTACAGACCAGAGAAGGGAACATCCCGCCACATGGTGAGCGTCAGGCCGCGCCAAAGAGAGCTGTAGCCCTTGGCCAGCGTCATCTGGTGGAGACCCTGCAAGGTAGCCCTGAAATGGCCAGCGCCATGGCCGGGCGTTGCCTGCAGCCGGGTCCGAAACATCTCGATGGGACTGATAGCCGAAGCGGCCCCGACTCGGGCTATTGAGCCGGCCACCAACGGAGCGTAGACATCGGAGATGTGCTGCTTTATGGGACTCCGGTCGTCCGCGCGCAACCAGTCATACCCTGCAAAGTAAATGACGTTGGCTGGAATGCCCATCATCAGCGTAGCACTGAGCCCGCGCCAGAGCGCCCGGGCACCCTCGTTCCGCGCGATCTTGCGTAATCCATCAAAAGTAGACGTGAATGTCTTGCGCTGTGTTTCCTCCACTGCGCAGTCAATCGCCGGGTGTGTATGGCTGCCAACTGCGCCGGCTTGGGGGCCTAGCATGCAGATCGATGCATTATCTCCGATCCAAAACACCTCCCGACAGCAAGCGGTTATTCCAAGGTTTGGAGGCAGATTTTTGAGAGTCTGGGTGGTGTGGGACGTGTATGGCGAGGTGTTGTAAACCTGGGATTGGGACTGCAGCCGGACTCGGACGACGTCTAGGGGGGTGACTGTATAGCACGGCGGTTAGCAGTCTATTTTGGGCATGCGGGAAGTTCACACCAACGCACCTAGTAGTCCCGTCAAAATATTGCCGCATGATGCAGAAACCATCCGCTGGCTTATCGAGATATTGTCGCGCGACGGGCTCGCAGCTGGCGGTCCTGCTGAGGGCGCCATCGTAGTAGAATTGTCAACAGCCGCAGCCCATGACGGCCCGGATGAGGGATCAGATGTGTCTCCGAAGCTGATGCGCGCAGAGGTGCCTGAAGGGCCCGAAGGTGCATACAGCTCGGTCGGCATTCACGGACACGGAGATGAAGAGGAGAGAAAATGCGTCACACGTTCGGGAAGGAAGATTTTCGGGTTGAGCCGGTGGCGCCGATAACGATAAGCCGACTTGTTTCTTGCACTAATCGTCTTGCACACTCACTCGCTCACTCCATGAGTTGACGGTCCCGATGGTGTGCGGATATTGAACTACCTAGATCATCCCTCTGTCTCGGTGATTTTGGACGGGTGCTGATCAATCAGTCCATCTTGCATCTCCGACCTCGGCGCTTCCAACCACCCCCACTACCACCACCAACCATGGAGGACAACGCCGAGCTCGAGTCCTTTCGCCGACAGTGGCGGGAGGAAGTCGCTCGTCGGTCAAAGCCCAGAGATGGAACTCGGACTACCTCAGGAGAAGTGCCTGCACCGCCACCGACACGATTCCCGCCTACGCGCCATGAGGCATCAGACCGGAAGGAGGTGGAGGAAGAGGGACCACCCCCGGCCTCGTTTGACCCGGATGCACTGGCCCAGCAGGTCGAGCAGCTGAGCGTGGAGGAAGAAGATGGCGATGATTTTACCCGTCGCAATATCAAAGAGCCCAGCTCGGCCCTGGAGCACTTCGAACGGGCAGTGGAGAAAGAGGCCGAAGGGAGTCTCGGCGATAGTCTTCAGCACTACCGAAAAGCATATCGGGTGAGTTGGCGCCCTGAAACAGGAATTAAAGATGCTAATTGGTCTCGTTTAGCTGGATTCCAGTGTCGATAAGACGTATCGCAACAAGCATTTCGCCCACGTATGGAAGAAGCCCGCACAGCCCGCCCCAACAACCCCGGCAGCACCGGCACCAACGCAAGCCTCCGCAGAGGAAGAGGAAAAACTGTCGACGCCAGACCTAATAGCGTCATTTGCCCATTCCCCCATTCCACGGGCGGATCCAATTATTGAAAACACACCACCGCCGCCTTGTCCGATCGCCAATGTTCCGTCCGAAGTCATAGTCGAGATTTTGAGACACGTCGCAGTGAGAGATCCGGCCAGTTTTGGTCGGATGGCGCTTGCGTGCAAGCGGCTGGCGTTTCATTTTGTCCATGAACAACATGTCTGGAAACGGGTTTGCCAATCCCTTCAGTTCGGCTTCCAGGGAATGCATTACTCCTTCGCATGCGACTTGCACGGCCATCCCACTTACACCCTGGGTCCACGTTATACTCCGTTTCCTGAAAATGCACCATTGGAGATTCCTAAACCAATGTCCTCGTGGAGCCAGGTGTTCCAGTCGTTCCCCCGGATACGGTTCACTGGCATCTACATCAGTACTGTCAATTACACCCGACCCGGTGCTGCATCTTTCTACCAAAACGTGTCATGGAACAGTCCAATTCACATTGTGACCTACTACCGGTACCTGCGGTTCTACCCCGATGGATCAGTCGTTTCGCTCCTTTCCACCACCGAGCCCGTCGATGTGGTGCCGCACATCAGCAAGGAAAACATGATGGCCGCGCGTGCGACTTTTCAGAAATATCACCAGCGCCAGGTCTCAACAGACCACGGGCAATCGATCTCGGGTGCAACCGACCCTGTTCCCCCGGTAGCCATGGCGGCACTGAAGTACGGTCTTCGCGGGCGGTGGCACTTGGCCTCGCCAGTCCCGTCTCCCGAAACCTCAAGTGACGACCAGAAGCCTGCATTTGGAGCACAACCGCTCTCTGATCCGCGCGACCTTCTTATCGAAACCGAAGGCGTCGATCCCAAGTATATATACACGATGCAACTGTCCCTCCGCTCTCCGACGGCGTCACGGGCTGCCCCGAGCGGTGCGTCGCCGCCCAATCAATCCAAGAACACCAAGCTGGTATGGAAAGGGTTCTGGAGCTACAACAAGCTCACAGATGATTGGGCCGAGTTTGGTCTGCGCAATGACCGGGCATTTGTCTTCCGCCGGGTGCGCGGCTGGGGACTTGATTAAGTTGATGAATTATGACCCGTTTATTTGTGATTTATTCTACACATACGAATAGAGATGATTACGGTGAGGGCGCGTATACCTCTCTCAATATAATGAATGTACTTTGTCGCAACGGTGGTTATCGTTCTTATCGATAAGATAAGCGCGAAAAAAACTTCCAGCAACACCGCTTCATCTTGCGACCACCCGAGTCAAAATGCCCGAGAAGGTCCATACCGTCTTTGCTGATTCAGACAATGAAGAGGCACCAAAGGCGGTTGTCCCAGTGTCTACAAATGCAGACAGCGGTCGCAAGAAGAAGCGAAGCAAGAAGCGGAAACGCGACGAACCGGCCGAAGCCTCTCCTCCGGCAGGCGAGCCGGCAGTGAAACCTCCCCCCGAGCCCATTGCAGCGAAATTGCCTAGTCCTGAAGATTTGGCTACACCGAACAATGAAGTCATCGTCAAACCACGACCCCAATGGAGACCCCAAGCCAAATCCAACCACCTGAACGACGCCAAACACAATTTCACGAACCTACGAGAAAAAGCCAATGCATTGTACGAGCTCCGACGCAAACTGCCCATCTTCAGGCATGCCGATGAGATCCGTCGAAATCTGCGAGAGCAAGACGTGATGCTGCTGGTGGGTGAGACAGGTAGCGGAAAAAGTACACAGATTCCCCAGTTTCTCGTCAATGAGTTCTGGTGTCGACCGACCACTACCGCAGTCACACAAGAAGACGGCAGAACGAAGGAGATAACGGTCGGAGGGTGCATTGCCATCACGCAGCCCCGTCGAGTCGCGGCCATCTCGCTTGCGCGGCGCGTGGCGGAGGAGATGGGCACGCCGCTTGGGTCATCATCGCCTGCCAGCAAGGTTGGGTACTCGGTGCGGTTTGACACGTCGACCTCGCCGAGTACGCGGATTAAATTCTTGACGGAGGGAATGCTGCTCCAGGAGATGCTACATGACCCAGCTCTCACTCGGTACAGCGCGATTGTGGTCGATGAAGTCCACGAGAGGGGCATCAATGTTGATTTGGTACTTGGATTCCTGCGCAATCTTGTGTCCGGCAATCTGGAGGGTCGGGGCGGGGTGCCATTGAAAGTCGCGGTTATGAGTGCTACGGCCGATATGGAAAGCTTACAGGGCTTCTTCCAGGAAGGATATAAACTGCAGGCTGGGGAACAGAAGGATACGGAAAAGGACATATCGGTCTGCCACATCAAGGGCCGGCAGTTCCCCGTCAAGATGATCTACTCGCCCGAGCCAGTGCATGATTTCGTCGACGCGGCGCTCAAGGTGATCTTCCAGATTCACTACAAAGAGCCGATCCCCGGTGATATTTTGGTTTTCTTGACAGGCCAGGAAACCGTGGAGGCTTTGGAGCATCTCATCAATGAATACGCCATCGGGATGGACCCTTCACTCCCACGGGTTCAAGTCTTGCCGCTCTTCGCCGCGCTGCCTCAAGCTGCACAGCAACGGGTCTTCCTGCCCACGCCGCCACGCACGCGCAAGATTGTCCTGTCGACGAACATCGCCGAAACTTCCGTCACGGTGTCGGGGGTGCGGTATGTGGTGGACTGCGGCAAAGCCAAAATCAAGCAGTTCCGGACGCGCCTGGGCTTGGATTCTCTGCTGGTCAAGCCTATCTCCAAGTCGGCTGCTATCCAGCGGAAAGGTCGTGCTGGCCGCGAAGCGCCGGGACAGTGTTTCCGCCTCTACACCGAAAAGGATTACCTGGCACTAGAGGAGACGAACCCACCGGAGATTCTGCGCTGCGATCTCAGCCAGGCGCTGCTGAACATGAAAGCGCGCGGCGTCGACGACATCGTGCGGTTCCCCTTCCTCACTCGCCCGCCCCGCGAAGCACTCGAGAAAGCGCTGTTACAACTACTCAATATCGACGCCCTCGAAGAGTCCGGCTCGATCAGCGCGATCGGCCTGCACATCGCCAAACTACCCCTCACTCCAACCCTGGGCCGGGTACTGCTGGCGGCAGCGGACAATGGGGCCGACTGCCTGACGGACGTCATCGACATTATCTCGTGCTTGAGCGTCGAAAATATCTTCCTCAATACGACCTCTGAAGAAAAGAAGGAGGCGGCCGAAGCGGCGCGGCGCGACCTCTACCGGCGCGAGGGCGACCACCTCACGATGCTGGCGACGGTCCGAGCCTACGCGGCAGAGAACGCCGACCGCAAGGCGTGGGCGGAGCGACATTTGGTCTCGCACCGGGCGATGCAATCGGTGATGGTGAGTCGCAATATATGCGTGGACTGACGTCTTTATTTCTTTACTGACAACACATCATATCAGGACGTCCGCAAGCAACTCCGGATGCAATGCCGCCAAGCCAAACTACTCCCCAGCGACGCCATCGACGACTCGCCGTCGCGCGACCCATCGCCCGTTTTGATCCTCCAGAGCTTCCTGTGCGGGTTCGCAGCCAACACTGCCCGGCTGGTGCCCGATGGCAGCTACCGCACGGTGGTGGGGAACCAGACGGTAGCAATCCACCCGTCCAGCGTGCTGTTTGGCAAGAAGGTCGAGGCGATCATGTACAACGAGTTTGTGTTTACGAACCGAAGCTATGCGCGAGGGGTGAGTGCGGTGCAGATGGACTGGGTTGGAGAGGCGCTGGCGGGGAAGTAGTTATATAGAGATGATGATCGACTAGATCCTAGATACCCCTTTGATGTTATTTTTCTTTTTCCAGAATCATCTCAGTCCATACCGTACCTCCCGTACCGGTGTCTGTTCCGGGGTTAGGGTTCATGTACAGTCGATCAGGAGGGACATTGTCGGGAGTAAGTGACTGGTCAGTTATCACCCGCGACCGGTCAGATCCTCAGCTGATACCTAGAATAAATGAAACCAATAGTCCGAGTGGATTCATTCCCGAATACCTGTTCCTCGATAGTCCCTCATAACACTCCCGGTGGAGGTCCGACCAACCAAACCACATCCGCTTGCATCATCACATCACCACTTGGCTCCACCCGTTATCATCCATCACCTTATCTGGTCTGACTGGACGCTTCTGTCCTCCTTGTTCTTGTTTCTCGTCTCTTTTTTTTTTAACTGTGTTGTCTCTCCTATTCTTTTGACACAGTGCCTCCCTGACCGGATCCTCTGAAGCCAGGGAGCCCGCCATCTCCCTGCGGTCACCCTCGATCGCCCACCATGGCCTTCCGCGTCCCAACCCAACTGCCTCGTCGCAGGACCTCCTACTCGACTCCCCAACCTCCTCCAACCCTCGAGATCCCTTCAACCTCTGCGGAACAGCCTGACGACGAAACAACCCAATGGGTGCTGTTCTCCCCGACCGCTCGCACCCATACGACCTCAACGGATCACACGCGCACTGCGGGGGGCTCACGGCTGAGCGATTTTGGCTCCTTCGACACAGCCACACGCTCTGCACCTGGGAACGACGAGCCAGAAAATGCCCTGGACGAACCACTTGACGAGGATGGTACCGAACTCGACAGCCTGGACGATGGTCTGCCGGCCTTTCGGGCCCCCTCGCTGCCCCCGTCTTCCCCCAACCGCTTCGACCAAGGGCCACCGGCGATGCTTCCAGCCCATGATGGGCTGGGCAGTTTCCAGGCATCCAGCCAGCAGGTCCAGGACCAGCTGTGGCAGCATGAGATGCACAATCCCCAACGAAGGTCACATGACCAACTACATCATCGCCGTCATTCCAGCGTGCAGCGACATCTGGACACCGTCGACGAGGGCGAGGCTGATGTCGAGCGGCAGCGATGGCAGCGGATTGAGCAATGGCGCATGGATCAGAGCCGGGCTCTGATGCAGGAGATCGAACGTGAGACTCATCGTCGGCAGAGTAGCCGGACCAGTGGGTCGAGTATGCGTCGCTCGCAAGGCAGTGTGTCTGAATCCCCCTCCGCGGTGGTTGCCTCTCCAGGGCTTGTGGCTGAAACCGATGAGTCGTTCTGGCGGCGCATCACCCGGAAAGTCATTCGTGATCTTATCGGGATTGACGATTCACTACTTTCTGTCATCTTTGGTGAATCATTACCTGAGGAAGACCAGACTCATGGTGGTGGCATCCCGGGCCAGACTCGGCAGGAACGGCTGGATATGGAGACGGTGCTCGCTTGTGAAACGGGCCCCGAACACGAGGATCCGCCGCTGTGGCAGAGCCGTGTGCTTCAACGCATTGCTCACGAGCTGGGAGTGCTGGTACACCAGCTCTGCGACCACCCAGGGGCATTTACAACGTACCTTAACATGACGAGGGATATCCGCGCTGAATACGCTGGCATGCCTCTCAATCGATTGGCAGATAGCACCACCACCCAGACTGCAAGTGAATCCATGGCTCCAACTTCAACAAACACCGCGGCCGGCGACTCCATGCCCTCCCCACACTTCATGCCCACGCTCCATGATCCAAACCGCGAACACGCCGCCGAGTGGGGCATTGAAGAAGACGACCCCACAACGACCGACCCACTCTCCGAGTCCACACGCGTGCATCAGGAACAAGAGTACTGGGAGCGTGGTCTCGATGTCATGATGGTCTTCCGATATCTTCGAAACCGCTTCAGTCGGCGTGGCTACATGTCCGACGCGCATTCATCCTCCGCAGCCCGTCACCCTTCTCTACAAGACGCGTCCCGCCGCGCTGCTATCATCCGCCAGCATCATCCGCTCGTCGCTCGCGCACACACTCGGTCTCAGACACAAACCCGTCGCACTCATCTATCCGGCGCCGTTGGCGTCTCATCACCTCTACTGCGGCCACATCTGCGTAGACCCAGTTCCAGCTGCGCCAGCCAGAGCAAAATATCAGCTATCTCCAGTCGACGGACCTTGACTGGGTCCAGCCGCAATTACTGGGACATCGGTGGCAGTGTTGATAGCGGCAGTGCCATCGGTGTCGGTGCAGGCTTGGGAGCGTGGGGCGAGGCATAGATTTCTTTGTGGATATGCATATGGAATCACCGGAGTTGACGAGTTGGTGGGGAGGCATCGTCAGTCATATATACGGTCTCGCGACGTGACATGAGAATAGGTGATATAGGTGTGGCATTTACGATCTGTTCTGGCTAATGGGTCCAGCGACTTTTACGACTTGGGTGATATTTGCGTTTCTGGAGTCTGTGGTTATGTCTCTTTTTGGTTTATTTGCTCTTGATATATATCTCACACAGCCTGACCACTATACTACATACAAGCATATAGCCATACATACTACATATCAGGAAAGCCATACCTAGCGTGATTGCTTGTTACCACTGTGCATTGTCACCCTATACTAACCCAGCCTAGAATCGATGTCTATTCCTGCCCAAGATCCCTTGACCGCAGCTTTTTCCTCGGCACAGCACATCCCTTCTCCGGCTCCGGTCCCCTTCCCCGCCTATCTCCATCGGTCCTACTCTTCAATTCACTGACAGAAGTAGTAGCTACTCAGGACAAGTCGTGCATTCACCTGATTCCACGAAAGACGGATTATTTCAAGGTTGTCGAAACTAAATAGACCAGCAATAATGTAGAGTCCTCTGTCTGCTAATTACCTACTACAAAGAAATGTTCACTCAAGATACAATACTTCGCATTTCATTAATATTGCCATTGTCCTCTTATTGTTGATACGATGGATATATAAATATACTTTAGGTATGAATAGCAAAATCATTTGTGCATATATAAACTCTCTTTTTCTTCGGTATGTACATTCCATCTTGCAAACTTGGTCGACTGTATAAGTGGCCATGCTGTACTATTTGCGATTCAATATCAAGACGTTGGTCCTCCAATAGTGATAGTCAGAAGAGTAGGATTCGGATCATTGAGCAGACCAGAAGCATTTGGCGCGCCATCAGGGGTCACGTCATCATAAGCGAATGCATATCCCTTCCCGTCCGCCTCATACTGGTGCACAATCTTGCTGTAGTAGTTGGTCGGTGTTGTCGTGTAGTAAGAACTCGAGTCGCTCGGTTGGATATTTCCCCCGCTAACTAAAAATGATGACCTGTCAAATGCGGCGCAGAGACGAGGAACAACAGCGGCGTGCACGGCATTGTCACCTGACTCAATTGCAAATGGCCCACTGTTGCAACCAAAGATATCGCTGGCGGCTGGCTGTGCATAGCCTCGATTGTCCCCGTCGCAGTTCAATGTACCGCTTGACACTGTACAATTTACTAGGCCCGCTGCAGCCTGAGTATCAATTGTCAGGGGTGTAGTCTCGTATTGAGACCAGACTTCAGAGATGTAGCTCGTCCAGTAGGAATCAAAAGCGTCCGGTTCTAGACTTATATAGTCGTAGGGAGCAATAACGCGAAGGATGTTGCCGCTACTATCAGTCATGCAGAGCTCGTTCCAGGGCTGACCATCTGAAGATGCCTGTGCAGTTAAGGCGCTGCAGATGGATGATAATGCATCTGCTGTTACACCCAGAGCTGTTTGGGTGCCATCACTACCCTCAACCTCGATACCGAGCGGGAAACCAACGAAGTCGACATAGCTTATATTGACCGTAACGCCGTCCTCATCCGTCGTGAGCTCGACGAAGCCCCAGTTGACGTTTGCACTAGGATCATCCGGGTTGACTGCAGATGGCTCAACCAGAGATAGAACACCAGTGGCAGCTATCACAGTCCAGAATGTCAGGTCACCATCTGCGACCCAGACGCGACCTGATGAGAAATAGCTCGGAAGGGTAAACGAAGTAGTTGTTCCATAAGCACCAATAGGGATGGCAATGTCTTCCGTGATTTCTTGGGGAGTTGTGGAGCTACCATCTGCTGATGGAGTATACCAACTTCCACTAGATGTAAGGCAGACAATGTCCCCATTGGAATCGAGTCCAGTGACATAGACGTTGATGGTATCACTTTGAAAATTGTTGTACACAGAGACTGACAGCTGCTCAGCATCTCCAGCTGACAGAACCTTATTAGGTCCGTTGGTGGAAATTGTCTCGTTAAGCGTATCTTGCGACGTGATAACAACATCATTCGCACCACCGGGGTGGACAACGATAGGAATGGCCAAAGTATGACCTATAAGTGCGGCAATTGTTGCGACCCCAAGTCTTTTGAAGATACCCATTGTAATTGATGGTTGGGGCAATGCACCACAGACCAAAGAATTGGAAAGCAGAAGAGAGTGGTAATGTTGGTAAAAACCAAGTCTGCATGCATGTAGACTTCAAGTTTGCTAGATCATGGGGTTTTATATAGGGATTCATTGAGCGGTCGAACCTTGCCTTCTTCATTCCACGTTGCACTTAAAATCTTGCTAATTCCTGTGGCGTTCAGTTTCTAGGGTTTAAGTTCGAAATCACACGCATATAATGCCACCTAGGGAGCGATTGCGACTATATGGGATCGGAGATGACGCTAGATCAAGCACGGAGAAGCGGACCATTGGTATATTTACACAAGCATTTCAGAAGCTATCTTCATCGCCACTTTCGTCGCCGCTTGGCATGAACTCTGGATGGCCACGCTTCGCATTTGACACCTCCGGGGGGGCTGCGGAGCAACATTCCTGGGGAGAATTGTTAACGGGAGCAACATACCCGCCCCAAAGTCAGACCGCCAATAGCTGCGACTGTTTGGGGTTTTGCGCTGTTTGGGGTCTTACTCGGGGGTGCGACTTGGGGGCGAGTATACTATGAAATACCATTAGCGTTAGGTACGCATCAAGTAGATGTGACTCAAGCCGTGATCAACTGAAATGACAATCCTTCAGAATTGCCTGAGTTCTGCACAGAGAAAGTATGTTTGCATGCGGCATTTTCGTGCGGGAAGAAAATTGTTGCCAGGCCTCCCTCTAGTGCCTGTTTGACGTTAATTATTGAAAGAAGCTAAAAGACTGCTATGAGGCTGAGATCCACAATACCGCCCATAAGGTAGAAATTGAATACCGATTTGCTTACGCCGATCTCATCGGCACATCATAATCAGACCTAGGAAGCGGGGGAGTAAATCCGGACCAAGTCCTTTTCTAGACCGTTTCTTCATCCAGGGCTAGTCAGCCAAGGAAACAGCAGGTTGTTTTGAACCGGCATCGCGGGATTTAGGAAACTGAACCCTAAGTGCGATTTGTCTTGTCCGCGCCTAGATTGTTGATTTCTCCGTGCATAGTCGCATTGTTGACTTTTCCATGCATAGGCCTAGGCTGATCACTTCTTCGCGCATAGGTCTAGACTTTTATTTCTCCGTGCATAGTCGCATTGTCCCATAGCGTGGGAAATTGGTGGGGAAGGTGGAGACACTGCCGGCCATTTATTCTTCCCCCTGACGAATGCGCTTGTAGCTGCAGGAACAAGTTGTAACCAAGCATCGGTAGCCTGTCAGCACTAACATGTGCAGTCCTGATGTATTATCAACTCCCTAGCGGTTGTTTTCGGGACTACGCGTTAGCGCCAACATTGAAGGTGAGGTTCTAGCAAATCAAGGCATTTTGGTTTAAGGGTTTCAGAGGTTTCCAAAATCAGCCATGCTCCCGGCTTTCACAAAATTAGCGATCCTCGGAGCCATGCGGGTTTACTATTAACTAGTAACTAAGTTATTGCTAACAAGAAGGATCTTGCTGACTACTCTCTCTATACTTAACTTAAGTTAGTTACGTTAACTTACTGACTAACTTAGCTAATTACATAACTGTTTACTTCCTAGTCAAGTGTGGCGTGTGAATTTGTTTGGGGGCGAGAGGCGCAGACAGGCCCCCCTCCCCAAAAAAGACGCCACGGGCGCTTTTGTGCACATTTTCATCGATAGTGATCTGCTCACTGAGCATCACCTTCTGCTTATCTGAGCAGCCTGATCTAGTTAGCGGCCAGAACTTCCTGACTCGGTGTGGATCATTCGGAGGGACACTGCTGACGATCCGACCTTTGCTTATTCAGTACCTTGACTGAACGCCCCCAGCCCACAATGACACGCAAGACGGCAAAGACCAACTCAAAGAATGGCTGCGTTACTTGCAAGTAAGCAATCCTCGAAAAATATTGGTTTGTTATCTAAAATTCCCAAAGGATTCGACACGTTAAATGCGGGGAGGAAAGGCCAACCTGTGTGCAATGCACGAGCACCGGACGAAAGTGCGATGGCTATGTGGATGCATCGCAGAGACAGCTACGTCGACGCCGTGAAGGACCTAGTCTCCCACTTAAGGTGTCTCCTGAGTCTCGGCTAGTTCTCGTACCTGGCACACGACAGGAGCGTGACTTTCTCAACATGTTCTCTACTGAGACCTGCCACTCTCTATCCGGGCTCTTCCACTCCGATTTATGGCTTTATTATATCCCCCAGCTCAGCCAGACTCAACCGGCTATTCGTCATGCGGTTGCGGCTGTCAGCGCCGCCCACAAGTGCCTCTTGGCGCCTGTGACCGAAACCGAAAAGACTTCCAACTTCGCACTGGAACAATATAACAAGGCGATCCGTGCCCTGTTGGACAGCAGTCACCCACGTTTCAGTAATTTGGATCTTACATTGATCACTTGCGCTCTGTTCGTCTGTCTTGAAACTGTTACCGGCAATAATCCTCAAGCGATGGATCATGCCCAAGCAGGACTCCGCATCCTGGCTCGACGGCAAGGCACACCTGGCGCTCCAGACCCTGAATTCCCAATAAGCGACGGTATCAATAGAGAGCTATCCGACCTTTTTTCTTTGTTGAATATCGAGTGCAGTACCCGCGGTCGAAAGATGATTCCCTACAAAGCTCATATGGAGCAACCAACTCAGTCGGACAAAATCAAGTTCACCACCATACTACAAGCAAGAAGAGCTCTGGTACACATAACGACTCCATCCTTCCAGCTTGTTCAGCGCATAACGTCCTTACCACAAAACGTCTCGGGGCTCGAGCAGCAAGAGCGCTTCCAAGAACAACAAAGGCTGAGGAAAGAACACAATGAATGGTGGATAGCATTCCAACAACTCCAAAAACGCCGACCAAAATCCCGAGCAGGAGCATCAACAGACCCGCGTGCACCTCTGGTCCTTATAGTCCAACACCATGCCACAGCTATCTTGAATGAAACTCTCCTACGCCAGGACGAGATGATCTATGACAATTTTGTTTCCGAGTTCGAAGAAATGGTCGAAGCAGCGGAGAAAATCTCAGAGCTTTCCCCAAAGAACGGCTACAGGCAGACATATAACCTGGAGCCTTACGTTGGTCTTTCCCTATACTGGGCAGCCAGAAAATGCCGCCATCCTTTAATAAGGCGGAGAGCTGCAGCAGTCATCAGAGCATCTCCACAGTTGGATTCTATGCATGACTTAGAGGTGCTTTACCATACCGCGATATATAACATCGAAAGGGAAGAAGCTTCTGTGGCACATCTTCCTGTGGAACACAGAGTTCCCGAATGTCAAGATCGGTTCTGGGAGACCTTCATGCCCAATGAAAAGCATTCCAACCCTTGCCAGATAATTTTCGTTCGCAAAGAGGGCGCGGAGAGTGATTATAAGATGGAGGAAGATTATGTACATTGGTAAATCATAATCAGTCACTTGCACGCTGTATATTTTGTTAGGGGTTTGGATATTGTAGGACACTTCTTTTGGGCTAAAAAATGTTTGTAAAGGTAAGAATGGGAGCTGTTCCGGAAAAATTATAGACATGTGCTCTCATATCTGAAGCTTGTGCCGAAAAATACCACTATTCTAAGAACAGTTCTATTGAGTACACGAGCGATGATCCTTTATCCCCACTGATGAGATTCTCAAAATCAACTAACATGTTATACCAATAAAAGGAGTGCTGTCTAGACACAAAAATACGATCAGAGAATAAATGTCAAAACTCCAAGGACGCTAGGGCAAGATTTCACGTTTTATTCACTAAGACGAATCTAATTTCACACTACAATCACTGTGCCTTGAATGATGCTATGCGAACTATCATTTAACCAATTCAGGACAAGTTATATCCCCCAAATTCCCAACGGATTGACATCAGAGTCATTCTGTGTTCGCTGTAGCTTCTTCACCCTTTTGACAAGAGCTCCAACAGAGATCGGCCCAATGAGTGTACAAATTGAGATCGCCCAGAGTATCACCAAGTAAATCTCGCCGAAGTCTTCGGAGGATTCGCTGGAGAATATCCCCTTACTCTGACCGAGTGAAGCAATGAGATATCCAACCTCCCCTCGGGCAACCATTGCAAGCCCTAGAATGGAAGGTGGATATAACGATTTTGGCTTGGGAGGGAGAGAGGCAGAAGGACCCTCATTCGGGGCATAATTTTCAGATGCGGAAGGTAATTCAAATTGACCAGGGGACCCAGCTGGCGACATTATTATCGCGCCCCTATCCTGCTGATCGGCATTGTTATTTTGTGGGTCGGTTGTGTGGCCCCTGAACGATTGACGTTGCTTTGCTGGATGCGTTGTTTTTCTCTTCTGTTTCCTTTTGGTAGATATGCGGGAGGCGCAGAAGAAATAAACATAGGAAAATGGTTTCGTGGCCCTCGACATCAGGTTCAAGGTTGGACGTAGTGAGAAGCGAACAAGCCATAACCCAGTGACCAGCTTGCCGAATACCATTAGAATAGCGTAGATAATGCCACGCCATACAACTCTGCCTTGGAACATTTGAGTGATGGGAATAGCGAATCCAATTGATGCCTGATTAATGTATTAGTATGAGCAGCGAAACAGTGAGAAGTAAGACTCACAAAAAAGAAAGGAACAAGAATTCGGTTAACGGGCTCCCTGTAGTATTTCTGATACACCATTTCCCCTGTTGGTCCCTTGCCCTGATCCGGAATGTGCTGGAACGCGGTCGATGCAGTGGAGGGCATATGGGCACATTGCTCTGCACGGTTTCTCGTGGAGGCTCCTCGAGATATAGAAGGTTTGGGATGTTGATGACTTGGGGTTCTTGAGCTTGGCTGGGTAGAACTGGGAACCGGAGAGATATTTTGCGTGTTTGAGTCTACAACCAGCTCATCGAACCAGGAGACGATAACCCCGACCAGATAAGCAGCAAAGAGGCTCGAGGTTCCCGCATATGTGGCACCAGCGACAGTTCCAATTAGAAGACATGTCTGCGCAAAGAAGGCAAACTGCACGGTTCCCGTAAAACCAGGCAGTTGGTTTTTGGCGGCAAGCACTTTCTTGAAAACCGGCTTCAGACAGAAAGAACACAAAAGGAAGAGACCAAGGGCAAATCCAACAGAGACAAGTATAGGCCGAATGACAGTGAGAGGGCCAAATGACGAAACGCCCCCACCAAAATTCGAGACGATCTGGACCATTACGAGCCCAACAACGTCGTCTAACATGGCAGCGCTAGTAGTGACAGTACCCAGACGTGTGGCGATCAAATCTGTTGATGACAGAATTGTGAACGTAGTTCCAAGACTGGTAGCACTGAGAGCTGCACCAGCAGCGAAGGACTGGAGAGAGCTCGCCGATACAAGATCCTTCAGGACGAAGGATAAAGCCATCGGGGTGCCGATCCCCGTGATTGCGACACATATAGAAAGAGAAAGGTTTGCTCTCACAGACTTAATTGATGTTGAAAGGCCACCTGTCGAGATCGGATCAGAAATCAGTATATTGACTTGGGAATGCTAAACTCACCTTCATACACCAGCATGATTAGCCCGAGGTAACCCAGCTGTTGGACGATGGTCTCTGTCGGACTATCCAGCCACTTCGCTCCAGGCGATCCCCAGAGAATACCGACGAACAGCTGACCAACAAGGCCACAGTAGATGAACTTGTTGAGGCAGACATTGATAAGGTTCAAGGCGAGGAGGAACCCCGTTAGATTGAGTACAGTGGCAATAGCTGGTTCGTGGTAAGCAAAAGCGGAACCCGATGGGCCGCTAACCATTGTGCGTCTTTGGTTGAACGTGAGGGACGAGCTATCTATTCGAATAAGCTATCCAATAATAAAGCAAGGTGTAAGTGCGAGGATAGGAATGGCGGTTTGTCAAAAAAAGAACGTCACTGGTATAACTAAGCGGCGGATGTGTGATGAGTAAAAAAACAAACCAATCAAACCTCGACAAACGATCTTGGCGCTCTTTGCAAAGCGTCGAGATATTTTACCAAGACAACAGTAGGTCCATTTTGAATGGAGCAGTCCGAATCATGACATGATTTTAAGCCCAAATTAAAGCACGTCAATGGGTATCGTTCTAGGATTGGCTCTCAAGACGCAACTGGAGATATTTGGAAGATGATCCCGACGAAGGATTTGATTTTTTTTTCTCAAATAATGTATCGGTGTGGTTGAAAAGACCTCTCCACTGCCCAGGCATCTTCTATTGAGCTTTTTCCCAAGGCGTATGAGATAAAAGATATGTGGGTTTTCTATGTCATACTTAAGCCAGGGCTCGACAAACTTTCGAGGTCAAACTCCTCGTGTTTAACAAAGCCCCCGAAGCCTCCCGTGTAATCAGAAGGCGTTCCAATATCGGCCATCTAAGGCAAGTATGTGTTAATGCCAGGGAAGTGACGGCTCTGATACGATGGGTCCACGAGAGAAGGGCTGTAGGATTCGTGTATCAATCCAAGGCGACCGCAATAATTCTTGAAATTAAGCAAAGAATTTCTGTCAAGCCTACTATTTACCAAGCGTTAAAACATTTTCACCATGTGTATCTCACTCTCTCCTAAAGAAGGATCACCTATTAAGCTACTTCAGGTCATCCTGAAGTCTAAGCCTCATGAGCTGATAGGAGATTTGTATAGCGAGATCGGGCTGAAAGGGAAATATCTCAATAACTAAACAAAACACGATAGTTCAATTACACCACAACGCTAGGTGACGGTAAATCGGGCGCCGAAAATGGCTACCTTGGACGCCATTTTTGGCGCCCTTTTTACCGGATTCTTAGTCAAACTCATTAGTCATGTGATACGATGGAACTGGGTGCTCAGTGATTTGCTCAGCCTTTGCTCAGGGTGCTCAGAGCAGACGATCAGAGATGACGTGTGTTCTTTCTATCTCTGATCCGCTTGTAGCCGCTCTCAGTAAGAAAAAAGAACTGTCATTTTTTTGCGCACAGGTCTTGCGAAAGTCACTTCCTGTAGTACTTAAGGGCCTCTCACCCCCCGTCAACAATAGACTTTGCGCAAAATAGCTCGCCTGCAACCGCTATTACCAAATTACTTCTGCAGAGTCTTTCCGGGTGACTGTCCTTACCGTGTCTTATTCCATCCAATCTCGTTTCCTTGATCTGTCCTTCTTTTCTCCTTGGTTTCTGTACCCAGTTGCTTCCCAAGCTTATGATTGCCTTAAATCATTACGTTTCCACAAAGCCGAAGAAGCAAGCGCCTAGCCCGGATTATTATCGCCGTCGCCGCCAGCGATTAGAGCAAGGCATTATTCAAAAAAGACATGCTGTCTCGACTAAAAACAACATCGACCTCATCAAGACAAAATGGACCAGGTAGATGATTATCACACATTCATTTCTAACCTTGTATTAACAAAATCTCAGGCATTGCGTCTATCTAGGAGAATATCCTTTAAAATTTCTTGCAGCAGCGCGTAAGGAGGACGTCATGATATTTCTGGAGTGGATATTGGATAATTTCAGAATAAAGAAGTTCAGCAGCTTGCACCAAAATTGGAGGCTATGGTGTCAGCTCTATCGCAAAGCTGTGGGACGTAGCCTTAATGTGAAGAGCTGCCAGGATATCAATGATGTGGGTTACTCTTGCTTTCTTATGTCTTAGAAATTCTAACAAAAAGGCGGAAGTATATGAAAGCAAACTTGGTCCCACGTTATGAACTCGACTTGTCTGTCGGAGAGAAACCCGTCATGAACGTCGATGATCTATATATTGTTCTTCACCACCACTAGACGAAAAATAGAACACCTTACCCCGATAGCCGGCAAATTATCTAGCTGGCCTTCCTTCTACTCGTGTCTGCTTATACCGGAAGTCGACCAGGAGCGCTGGTTTACGTCGACAAGAACGAGCGAACTAATGTATAGCACTTCTTTAACAATGCTATCGATGGTGAGGAAGGTCATCATGAAGAAGATTGGGATCTCAGGGCGGACGATCTCAAAGCTCTATGCTATGGCCAGATCAGCTTGATTCTGCTGCCCAATCCTGGTGGTGCCCATGATCATCTTCTGATGGAAGTCGATTTGAAACATACTAAGGGCCACAATAAAAAAACCTAAAAGGTAACGAACTCATTGCTCGCTTGAGCTTCCCTAAGCTGACAGTAGCTGAAGAATAATATTTTTGATGTCGGAGGTAAAGCAACCGATGTTCGATGTCATAATTCTTGTGCTTGCAATGGCACTTCTTGACCACGCATTTTCATCAAACATTCGTTCTGTCGAAGATATTTTCAGTAATCGTGTGACCCCACCGCGCCGCTCAGTGGAACTGAAATTCAAACAAGAGATGCTCAACGTACCTATTTGTCGTCAGCCTGTTTCGACCGCTGCCGGGATGAGTACTCACAGCATGAAGCCTCTCAAGTACCATACCTATCTTTATTTTCTTGAGCGGCTAAGCTTAGCTGTTGGGATGATTCGGGCTCTAAGTTCGGTTAAGAAGTGACAAAAGACACATGTACGTACATTGATATATAGTTGTTGTATGCTGCATATCGTTCGCGAGGGGTCAGCGTAAATGAATTATACATACATACAACCGGACTGTATTTTCCGAAAGCACTGTATCTATTTGCAAATGTGTGAAGGGTTGAATCTATTTGAGATGCCGACTGGAGAGGCCAATTGCCATTTACTAACAGCGTGGAGAGGAGAGATATCTAGGTGCGCGAAGTCGATAAATAATAAGTGTGATTCGCGTGCTTACACAGTATCAGACAGCGGCCCTGGCCCGTTACAAGACGGCAGCAAATCGGGCGTTAAAAATGGTTGGCTGCCTTGAACGCCATACCGATGCCCTTTTTTGAGGATCTTACCAATCCACAAGTGATGTGGTACGGTTGGAGTATGTGCTTCTCTCCTACGTATATTTACGTACTTAGCGATCTAGAGTAGGTAAATTGGGTAAAGGTAGGGGCCCGAAATCTTAGGGGCCGAAATCTATGGTAGAAGGAAGGGGCCGAAACCTTAGGAGCAGGAATTTGTGGTAGAAAGGAAGGGGCTAGGCAGAAAACGAGCGGCCCCTTAACGGAACGATGATTTATAATTGGTGTACAACCCCGCAAGACCCATTCGAAGGAAGAAGGCTAAAACTTCCTAAATCCTTCAATGATCGAATCAAGTAGTAACCAGATTAGAGCTCCCCTATTAATAGCTCAACTAATTTTGAGCCTTATTCAACGAAAACCAAAGAACGGATATATTATGTATATAAAGGTGTAAAGCCCCTCAAGACGAGAATTACAACATTATCAATAATACTCTTCATCCACCGCAATATCACTACGTACCGGCACACCTCTAAACTACCAAAATGCAGCTCCAGACCTCTGCAAACCTCGCAATCTTTCTAGCTACTATAGCCTACGCCGCACCCCCCACCGGGCCGCCAAAATCACTGCAAGAGATTCAATCAACGACTGCGGCGCATCCACCTTTGTCGACCAGACTACTGGTGGTTCTCCCACCGTCTCCGACTGCCAACAAATGATAGACAATATCGCCGACGGCGGATCATGGGAAGTCCCCGATACGGCCCAAAGACAGCTAGTCCAATACGGCACCTGTGCGTTCGGCGCCCAGCAGGATTCGGATGGAGGGATTATATATGTCGGTAATTCGGATATCATTGACCTAGTCACCACTGCTATCGATCTTTTCCAGTGGGAGGGACTGGTAGGTGCCACGGGTGATATGCCCTGTAATATTGTAGGGGCTAGCACTTCGAACACTACGTGGGGTCTTTACTACAATAATTAGGTAGTGAGGCCGGTCACTGTCTATGTTATTCTGTTTGTGCGTTACAGACAAGGCATCAGCCTGACTGATTGTCAGGACTCCTGTATTTATTCAACTATATATCAAGAAAGGCTGGACTCAGCAAAGAACCCATCCTGACCCCGGCGTACCTAGGTATTGGAGTGAACGATGAAGCATTCTCTGCCCGTCGGCTATACTGTACTGTATCATGGATTAACATTCAACTTTAAGCTAAATTTTATAGAATATTGTAATAAAAAAACTGTTTAAAATGAAGATTCTTCTTACCCTGAAAGTGACATGATGAGTTCTATTCTGCTCATAATAGTAATTGGCTCCCTCCGATGAGAGTATCATCATCGAAATGATTAATAGCTCTCACTCGTTTAGTCGAACTATTAAAGTATCAAAGCGACCCTGCAAAGTAAAGAATTTTCCAGTTAATCGTCTACGGAAAAAAATTGTGTCACATTTTCATATCTCTGGCCACGCGTACAGTTTGAACAGCTGAGCCAGGTTCACGATGACATAAATAATGCACAGTCAATTTATAGAAACGACTTAATTTTTATGGCAGACGAAAAACTCAATAAGAACAAGATACTGTTGAAAGAGGTACAGCTTCAACCAAGAAAATGCAAGGGGTAATATCGCCAGCGATTTAGTCCCGTATGTCAATCTGGAAATCATAATGTTCTTTTAGTCCACCTCTTTGAACTTTATTCACTAAAATCTCTTCGCGGTAAACATGGTAATGTGCAAGAGCCTTGGCTTCCATGGCTATCTTGCCTTGACCGCTGAGTTTATCCCAGCCTTTGCGTTTAAACAGATCTTCGAGATACTTGGACCGGCTGAATGTAGACTGTTCATCTGTGTCTTGTCCATTTGCAGAAACCTCGTTACTTGATCGTTGTTAATCACCAGAATCCTGCTTCACAAAGAGCTGTGCGTCGCTATCATCGTCCTCCTGTTTTGTCTGCACCTGTGGAGGTGAGCTTGCATCATCGAATCTGACATTCTTTGATGTCGAGTTGGACTTTCTAGGATTTAAAGAGTGGCCCTGCGTAGATCTTCCGAAATCAGGAATGCGAGTAGAGTTTTGGGGATCCCGCACCCTGTCAACACTTCTTCCGACATTTCTCTCTCCGTCGTACAAATCGAGTGGAGATGTTGACGGTTCACGGTCGGGACTATCTCTTCCGACTTTGCTCTGCCAAAGAATGTATCGCTGCTCTTGCATTTTCCAAGCTTCGTTGAAGAAAAAGTTTGCCGTTTTCTTACCAATAAGAGTGGCAAGGTCGGAAAATGGAATCCAGGAGGTACTTTTGGAGTACTCACTCTCAGACACCATATGCATGTGCTCTTTGTCAATCCTTTCCACTTCACTTTCACGTACGAGATAGGAGCCGTCAGGTTTTTTGCTAATTGCTCGAAATCATCGCTAAAAAGTCTTTTATATATGTAGTTCACCGCTTTAGTGTACCATTTGACCTTACCGCTGTGTCGTTAACTGAAATTTTCTTGGGAAGGGCAGAGGAACTAGACAAGCTTTGGCAATAGTTACAGCCGACATGATCCCAGTCCTGGAAGGTTGCGATCCTTCATGGAATTGGAGGGATACGAAAGACGCAGCTAGCGATCCGCTTCGCACGAGACCACAAACACGATTGGTCAGCCAGTAATTGATTAGTATCAGCAGTGTGAAATTTGCTTATCTAGCGAAGTACACCACACCTGTAAACCACATGGAGAATCTTCTATGTCTGACAGGCTCGGTGTGACTGCCGATCTCTTTCTAGCGCTGATATATCCAAGAGAAGCCATTTGAAACTCTTGAACAGAGTAAGGTGAGGCCCACTGAGGAAAATCTTTCCAGCGGTTCTACATTTCAGACGGTGGCTAAGAAGAATCTTCCTCTGGGGCTGCCTGGTCCTGTAATTCAGTCGGGGATGTCACAATCACTCGCTAGTCTTCATGAACACCATTTTCGGCAAGGTGTTTTACGGCTTCATCTAGAGTCGGGAAAGATTTATGTTCATTGTCCAGATAGCCTTTGATCAAGCGTTCGACTTCGCTCCTATGCTCAATTAGTCAAGGAACCGTAGAATCGTCTCATCCATATCAATTATTAGGACAGAAATATTCCGGGAGCGGAGGACGTCCTCATGAGATTGCATAGTATTTTTAACAGGCCATGACTGATTTCAGGAGAATCTAGTGTAGAGCTTTCAAGTTGAGAAGAACGTGGAGACAATGTATATTTTGTCGAAGTAAAATATTAGTAGTGAACTCGGTGGCTTATCATACAACAGATGTATCTCTGGCTCACTTATAAAGGCACTAGGTAAATCCCTCATAAGAACTTGTACATATGAACTAGACAAGATAATACCTTTACAGTTTTAGGCTCCACGGATCCTGTGTTTCTGTGACCCTCAGCTTTCAGAACTAGGCTGATAAAGTCTATCTACCCTGGCCCCCACAACTGAAATTCCCGACACAGCCAATCACGGTCTCTAGCCCATTGTGGATCACTATACACAAGGCTGCCATTTAGTGTTTACTCGTAGTCCGCCTTGTTTTCTTATTTTAGGTAACCATATCGGTTACTTCTCTTTTTGCTTTCTTTCCATTGGTTCTATCGCGAATTTCCATCATGAGTCTAATCAACAGTAGGCTTCCTCAAAGATGAGCTGGTATAGCTATTAATAAGAGGGATTGTTGGGATGTTATATAAAATGTCCGCTGTTCGTTCAAACATTTTCAATTTCCTTTGCTTCAGTCTGTTGAACATTATTCTTTCTTTCCTTCTGTCACGATGCAAAAAACCTTCGCGGTTTTATCGGCTCTTTTGCCGTTTGGTCTCGCGGCTTCGTCTAAACTCAACTACTGTTCTTTGTTGGGCCCTGTCTTCCCACCTCCCATCCACCTCTCTGACAGTCCGTACTTTACTGCTGCAACCAAGGATCTCTCGGGTATACTTCAGGATGCCATCTATGGCAACTCGAGCCTGAGCCCTATATTCAAGCCCAACCAAACCTCCTTCACAGTGCAAATCTTTTCTTCCAAAGACGAGTCACCTCTTTTTGAATCCTACTATACTAGTCAGGCAGTCCAGGCGTACAAAGCCGGTGTCAAAAACATAGACGAGAACACTGTATTCCGAATTGGCAGCGCCTCGAAGTTGGTCACCGTTCTGCTGCTTCTGATCGAGAAGGGAGAGTCCGTGTTCAATGAGCCCATAGCCAAATATGTTCCTGAGATACGGGAGGCCATTGCTGCTATGCGTTCTAATACTACACAACAGCAAGACGCAATTGACTTTCTAAGATGGGAGCAGGTGACTATTGGCGAACTTGCAAGCCAGATGTCGGGTGTTCTTCGCGACTGTAAGTTGCTCAGTGGAATACTTTTTGAACTACTATTAACTGAGAATGGGTAGATGGCTTTCTGGACCTTGCGCTTTCAATTCCCAACCCAGCAAGTTCGGGCCTTCCAATTCTCCCCAAGTCAGAAATTCCTCCATGTGGTGCCACTATCGCGTGCAACAGAACCGGTCTGTATATAAAAAGCATCAACACTAATGGTCATGACTGACTTTAGCAGAGTTCTTCCACGGTTTGATGGCTGGGCATCCTGTCGTGCCGGCTGGTTCCACGCCTATTTATTCGAACGCTGCATACCAGATTCTTGCCTATGCATTGGAAACCATGACCGGCCAAAGCTATCAGTCTATACTTTCCAAAGATCTCTTACACCCACTTGGTCTTGAGGGCTTCAGCTATAGTGCACCAAATGCATCGGAGGGCATTATTCCGGATCCAATATATTGGGCACTTAGTGCCGGCGACGAAACACCGTAAGTCAATATTCTAATCCTCTACGTCACACAAAACTGACGACAAACAGAGCTGGTGGTCTCTACTCCTCTGTCAAGGACATGTCAAGCATTGGGCGTGCTATCCTCAACAACACATTGCTCCCAGAAAATATCAAGAGACGGTGGATGAAGCCTGATACGCACACGAGCTCCTTGGAGTTTAGTGTGGGTGCACCGTGGGAGATCTACTCATACATGGAGGACTCGAGAGTGATTGATCTGTACACCAAAGCCGGCGATCTGGGAGGCTACTCATCAATACTTGCTCTTTCTCCTGATCACAACGTCGGCTTCACTATTCTAGCTGCCGGTGTAGGAACTACGGAGGCTGTCGCAGGTCTTTCAGACCTTGTGGCTAACACGCTCCTTCCAGCTTTGGAGGATGTCGGAAAGACAGAAGCCAAAACCAATTTTGGGGGTGTTTACGAGTCGAGCCAGACGAACAGTACTATTTCAATCAGCACCGACAACGGGCCCGGTCTGAAAGTGGACTCTTGGGTCCGGGGTGGTGACAATATGTTAACCGTGCTCTCAGCTATCGAGGAGAGTTCAGTCAATAGTGTCCGTCTCTACCCGACAGGCTTGAACGCCCCAGGCGAGATGTCATTCCGCGCGATTATTCAGGATTTATCAGCTTCGCAAGGCGTCGGTCCTATAACCCGGTCGTGCAACAGCTGGGAGTTGGCAGATGGCAAGGTCTATGGAAACATTGGTATAGACGAGTTCGTCTTCACTGTGGATTCTTGTGGCAAGGGAACGGGACTGTCGCCTCGCGCCTGGCGGGACTACCTCATCCGCATGCATTGAGAGGAATTTGTCCTGCCGGTGATCAAATCTGACACAGTTTATTTATCTCATACTGGGGGAACAATAGCTTAATATGGGATTTGATTATATCTGAGTACTGTTTAGTTCATATCTAACCTAATTCCGAAGTTTAAAAAAAATATGTGATCTTTACAGGGTCAATGGTATCTATTTATAGCTTGTGTAGCTGCAGTTTTTGGTAATGCAATCTGCTGCAACGCATTCGACTGCAGCCACCGTTTTCTGCCATTGCTTCTGTTGGTAAGTTCTTGTACGATCTTCATGACGATCTGCAACGCGCTGAGCTTTTCCCTGACCTAGTTGGAAGCCAGCTTCACCAAAATTGTAGATATTCTTTGGCGCAAATTGGTACTGCTGTAGCACCACATCTAGGCGATGGAAAAAAATCCTCAATATAGGTAATCACTCTGCATCTATGCGCTCTGCATTCATGATTTTCTGAGTGGTAGGGACATCGTCATTGGGGTGGCGTTTTAGGAATCTGTAGGCCCAATTTTTGCTAACGCGTTGTGTAGAATCACTCCGTACCAGTACCTCACTTGCTGTACCCTCAACCTCTGCTGGGGTTGGTGGAAGGATTGCACGGGGTTTATTGAGGCATTTACTAGGCCCCTGGCTCGCCGAACGAGATGTGCGACCGTGAACGCGTCGTAGGAGTCGCTAGTAATCAACAAGAAATTCCCGCGATCATAATAGGCTTGTAATGCCACCTGGATGCGGTCCCCACTTTCGTCGGATGTTTTAGGCATTGTAATGGTGGATAATAAGAGGAAAATTTGGTGGATGGAAGAAAACTATCTCCACAGCTTATCATACTACTAATACAGCCCGGCAGGCACTCAATCTGAGCCGGATCTGTCACGATGCTCGTTCATTGGCATTTCCTCAATGAACTAATCGGACGAAAGAAACACAATGTATCATAATAATGTCATCTTGACACATGAGCATTATATGCCCAGCGTTTCGCTGGCCAACTCCACGCCCTTAATTCTGTTAGCAATTTTCTGGAACGCAATTTCGCGTGCGAAATCAGGGCTGCCGTGCTTAGGCTTGATGTCGATAGAGAAAGGGGAAAAACCGCAGTCATCGGTGGCGCCGAGCTGGTCTATGGCAATGTACTTGGATGCTGTGACCAGATCATCTCGAATCTGCTCGGGGGTCTCAATCTTCGGGTCTAGTGGGTTGACGACACCAATAAATGCAACCTGCTTGACACCATTGGCGTCCTTGCGGATAGTCTGTCCAATTTCCTTATATACCTTCTCTTTATCCTTTTCACTCGCCAGCTGAATCAGGAAATAGCCCGCGTTGATTTTAAACAAGCTCGGCAAGAGCTCATGGTAATCCACGTCGTATGAATGTACGCTGTCGCAGTCTCCACCGGGACAGGTATGAACGCCGATATCTTTTCGCTGCTCGGCGCTAAAGTTGGCGAGAACCTTGTTGTTAAGGTCGATAAACGTCTCGAGCAGCTGTGCACCGGTCCAAGGGTTTCGTGTATCGTTTTTGGCCGCGAGTCGTCCTTCGGTGAAGTCAATGCTTACGCGCCTGGCGCCCGCGGCGAAGCAGCCGCGGATGTCTTTGACGCATTCGGATACCAAATCCTTGACGAATTGGTTCTTTGGGTAGCCTTCAATTTCGCCGGTTAGGGGGTAGGTTAGGTACATCATGGATGGGGCGATGACAGCCTGCTTCATGGGTTTGGTAGCGTATAGCCGGGAAAGCTTGAAGTTGTCGTAGGCGAATGTCTTGTATCTAAAGGGGCCTTTGACAAGACGTGGGAGCTGTCGGTGATGGCCGTCGTCGAAGATGGCAAAGTATTGGCCGTCAGCTTTCATGTTGGCTACGAGACCAGTTCCGCCGAGTGTGCTACTGAAATCAGCCACTTTGGTCATACGAGTATATAAGGAAATGACATAGCTTTAAGGCACTTACTCCGTGATGGGATACGTTGCAAAGCTGCTAGATCTCTGCTCTCCATCTGTAACGAGCTCCTGACCTGTCTGTTCCATGCGCGAGATGCTATCTTTAGCCGCCGCATCTTGGGCCCTAACAAGGTCCGTCAGAGTGATTTTGCCAACTTCATAGTCGGCATAGGCCTGTTGAAGGACTAAAATTGTTAGTACTAAGACAACTCGTCATAAAATTGGGTCACGTCTTAAATATGTACTCACCTTGAGGCCGTGGAAGCGATCCTGCAAGCTAGCATTAGCGGGGAGCTAATTTGATCGTGTCCGTCTTCATAGCCAACAGCACATACCGACATTCTCAGTTGGGATAGGCATGACTCAGTTGTATCGTAGAGCGGCAATAAGGACACCAAATAGAGTCTCTGTATGTAACACTCTCGAGGCGAAGGCCTGGGGAAGTGGTCGGGACACCGGTACCAATAACGTCGGTGCGTCCTGGGGGTACAGTAGATTCCTATGCGCAGGGCGAACTACCTTTCAGGCAGATCAGCCGGCTATTAGGGCTCCGCCAGGGTGTAGTAATCGAATTTGAAATCTCGCAGTAGGGTTGGGTGCGCAGCTCGGGCGGGAATGACGTTAAGAACACGCAGCTTCTGGCTGACGAAGCAACCCAATCAGGTTAGCGTAAGAGAGTTCTGCCTCACCATTGGCTGTGATTTGAAGCACCGAGGTAAGGGGAGGATTGTCTAACGACAGCTTAAGCTTGCGTACCCATGAATTATCATAATATCCTCTAATTAAATTCGTTATTCGCCAGGTGCCGAGTGGTTTCTCAAAATTTGCTTCTTGTTCAATGTGCCATGGCATCCATTGACACCTCATCGCTTGCAGACCTGCGTCGGCAGTACGATTACATTGTCGTCGGAGGTGGCACATCTGGCTTGGTGGTCGCCAGTCGCTTGACCGAGAAACCTGCCATCAGTGTGCTTGTTCTTGAGGCTGGAAGCAATCGTGTAAATGATCCACGGATTGCGGCTCCTGGTCTCGCGGCAAGTACCTACTTCGACCCGGAGTTCGATTGGTGCATCACCAGTCCGCCTCAGGTACATAGACCTTGTTTATCGAGCCTCCATACAGGATACATTCTCTATGAGCTAGTTCCAGTCAATTGATTGTCGGGCGTATATAGGAAGGCTTAAATGGACGATGCCTCGCTGAGCCTCGCGGGCGAACACTTGGTGGTTCTTCTGCCATCAGTCGAGGGATGGTGATCTATCCCAGCCGAACCAATTTCAACTCGTGGGAACAGCTAGGTAATGAGGGGTGGAACTGGGATTCGCTTTCGCCGTACCTGAAAAAGTCTCAGACATTTAATCCGCCTTCTGCGCAGATCGCGGAGGAATTGTCTCTGCAATATATCGACCCGTTTGCCCATGGCACCTCCGGCCCACTTCAGGTCTCATTTGGCGACGGTCCGTTTCCACCTTTCGTTGGCGCTTGGCCAAAGGTGTTCGAGAACCTCGACTTACATATCACGGGCGATCCCATGTCCGGTGTCGCAAAAGGAGCCTTTTGTGGCCCGGGGAGTGCTCATCCCACTGCCAGGACAAGCAGCCATGCTGGTGTGACATACTACAACGAGGATGTGGCCAAGCGTCCAAACCTCCGTGTCATCACGGAAGCCTTGGTGGAGATTGTTGGTCTTGAAAAAAACAGTCATGAGGATGTTGTGGCCACTGAGGTTCAGTTCATTGGCAAGGATGGCATCCAGCGGACGATAGCAGCCAGGCGTGAGGTTATTCTAGCCGCAGGTGCAATTAAGACACCCCACTTGCTGGAACTGTCCGGTATTGGTAACAGCTCCATTCTCCAGTCCCATGGCATTGAGCCGATTGTGGAAAATGAGAACGTTGGAGAGAATCTCCAGGAACACGGCTTTGTCCCGTTCAGCTGGGAAGTCGCTGATGGGCAGCCTACCGGCGAGGCATTACGAACCCCTGAGGTTGCAGCCGCCGCCATGGCAGCTTGGCAAGGATCGGGTGCAGGTCCATTTGGCCTCTGCCCTCTGCCATCCTCGTATGCCAGCCTCGAGTTCCTCAAAGAAGGTGAATTGAAATCCCTCATTGATCAATTTTTGCAAGAGAAAGATCTTTCGCCAAGTCTAACGGCACAGTACGAAGTGCTTCGTCAAATGCTCGAAGACGAGGATGAACCTACAGGTCAATACACCTTGGCACCATCCCAGATCTTACCGGACAAAGGACCGAGCCCCAAGGGGGTCTTGGGGATGCTCGAACCGGAGCCAGAGAATTTTATAAGCATCATTTCAGTTCTAAACCGCCCTTTCTCGCGTGGTAGTGTTCATCTCACCTCCGATCCCAAGTCAAATCCGACATTTGATCCGCGCTTCTTCTCTCATCCGCTGGACCTGGAGCTTCATGCGCGTCACGTTCGCTGGCTGGAAACTCTTGCGTGGACTGAGCCGATGGCCTCCCTTCTCAAGGCAGATGGCCGGCGCTTACAGAACTCCTCGCAGGATATCACTCTTGACACAGCTCGAGAATTGGCTCGGGATCGAATTCTTGCCCACTACCATGTTTGCGGTACCGCTGCAATGATGCCGCGTGAGAAGGGTGGTGTTGTTGATTCCCGCCTCAAGGTGTATGGCACAAAGAATCTGCGGGTGGTCGATGCTAGTATCTTCCCTCTGATCCCCCGTGGAAATATTCAGACCACAGTGTATGCTGTTGCAGAGAAGGCCGCAGACATCATCGCTGCCAATTTTTGAGCCATAACTCAGCATCAAATGTTTGCGTCTAGATTTAATGCATGGACGAAAAGAGCGGAGTAATAGAGATCCTGAGTAATATTAAAGAGCCGTCTAACTCTGGTACTAGTTGCTCAGGAACATGGTATATTGCGCGTGAGAGTATTTATAAGAATCATAATATCAGAGCGCCGTCACGTCACTGACACTTTCAATGAATTATTTCCACTCATGAAACGAGACGATTTGCTAGATGGCCTCAATTTTCCTTCTCGGCCTTTACACATTATGCTTTCTCAGTACCATTCACCACTCCTGAGAGGAGTCATTTCTGGTTAAGGAATAACGTAACGGATGTCGTCGGCAGGATTCATCTCAGACCAGGGTTCCGTCGTTTGCTGGCACCAGTGGAAGACGGTCGCAACACATTGCGTCAAGCATCATGGCACTGGACTTAGAACCGCCACAACTCGAGCTTATCCACCATATGATCCAGAGTAACTCGCTAACAGAAGGCCGATGCCGCTGATTGTAGCTAACAAACAATCCATACTACACATCCGTTCCAACCTGCAAGTGTTTGGGAACGTGAGAGCCCCCCCCGAAATGGGTCCTAATCATACCTCCGATCTTCCTCCGTCACCGAATTGGAGCAATGGAATGCTATTCCTTTGCGAAGCAGTTTTTTGCGGAGAGGCGTAATCGGTGGGGAATATCGGGTCGATGTTATTCAAGCTTCTATCAGATGGGGTGGAGGGGTAACGTTGGAAGTTGCAGGGGTTGGCGCGCATTGCGGTATCGTCCCATCTGTGAAACGCTTCACTTTGTTGAACACCGTAATCATCATGGCTAACGAAAGAGTTGGCTCTCATATTTCTGGGCCTGCTGTAAAGACAGACGGTTAGTGACTTTTGGTTGAGGCCTACGCCATCGGCTTTTGTTCGCCAGCAAACAACAGAAACCTAGTCGAGACAGACGTTTGCCTAGGATATCATTCGTTATCATGTTTCCCAAGGCCAAAGAGACGCTTCTCAGGTCTGCCCTACAAACTCTTCGTACTTCCTTATTATAACTCTCAATACCGACTTTATCCGACTTTGTTAGATCCGAAGCGCCTGGTAAACAGTATTTGAAACGGGCTCATACCCAGCTCCGAATAGCGTCATGCACAGCCCTGGCTAGTCTCCAGGGTAGGAAAACCAACCCCATTGTACTTAGCCCTTTTTGGATAAGGCAACTTGGCATTTTGTAGACCTCCTTATCTACGGAGAACGAAAGTGAAAGTGATTCGTTGGCGGAGTGCAATTTTCTACCCAGGCATGTAGGCCTCAAGTCCCCGTAGACCCACTTTTTCTATACGCGTATACATGCGTTTAGACCTGGATTCAAGTCCGAAAATAGAGCAATATTGCCTTGTGGCATCATATATAATTTCGGAATGTCGCTGAGTTGGCTATAATTTTTTTTCTCGGCTCAGCAATCAAATACGGGACGTTCCGGAATTCTACCTCTTGTGTGAGAGCTGCAGATAAAGTCCCCAGCATGGCCAAACTCAAGCCTTACAAAGGCGGCTACTATCTTTGGAAATATGTTCCCTCTCTCGCCGCCGCAGTTATTTTTCTCCTTCTCTTCCTCGTCGCAACAGTTTTTCACTGTTGGAAACTCCACAAGACTCAAGCACGCTTCTGTATTGCATTCGTTCTTGGTGGCTTATGTATTGTTTACATCCCCACAACGTCACATGGATTCAGAATTGATCGTTTTCGTTTAGTTGAGATTATCGGATACGCTGGTAGAACCGCTTCACACATCAAGACTGGCTCAATAATGCCCTACTCCATTCAAAGCGTCTTCCTCCTTCTCGGTCCTACTCTTTTCGCTGCATCCGTTTACATGGTGCTCGGGCGTATCATTCGCAGCGTACGCGCTGAGAAATACTCTCTCGTCCCAATCAATTGGCTCACCAAGGTCTTCGTCATGGGAGATGTTCTCTCTTTCATGGTGCAGGGTGGGGCTGCTGGATTGATGGTCACTGGAAACAATGCAAGCCTTGGGTCGAAAATTGTTGTCGTTGGCCTTGTTATCCAGCTGATTACATTCTGCTTCTTTATTGCCATATCAGTGGTGTTTCAGGTTCGCATGCATCGATTGCCCCCTAGAGAGGCTTTTGAGGACAGCATCAAGTGGAAGAGACACCTCCATGTCCTCTATGCTTCCAGTTTGTTGATCTTGATCCGGAGCATTTTCCGGGTTGTTGAGTATACGCAAGGTATTGATGGATATTCATTGACCCATGAGTGGACGCTTTATATTTTTGACTCGATTTTGATGTTTGCAGTCATGGTGATTTGGGGGATCTGGCATCCTGGGGAGTTGAAAAAGTTTCTTGTTTCAGACAGGGTTCCAATGAGTCTGGAAAGTATGGACTAAGGGACGGACATATTGTGGCAGAATCATCTTGCAGCTTTTTACCTGACCTTCTTTTGGGCCCTTCGTTCATCCTGTCTACTCATTTCTTCTGTTTCCTTTAGTAGTATTGATAGAGTTTAGAGCTCTCGAATGTAAAATACCGATTCTACTAGATGTGTCCAAGCCTGGAATCATTAGAATTCCTCGTCTACATACAAAGCGAGCTGACATAGCCACACAAATCTACGATGCCTCAGGATTGGAACGGGCAGGATAGTTGTAACCACCGCTGAAATCGGCTCTACCCGACTGAAACCTTCAAATTCTCCGCAACAGAACCCCAATAGTTACCCCTATCTCCGATTGTCAACACCAAAAAATGCACGCACCGAGTTTGTTTCGGCGATTCCTGGCCCGCGATGAGGATATTAATGGGCATCAAAGCGGGTATCCACTGGTCCGTGCATACGCGTATGGGCCCACTCAGACATTAAAGGACCATCCAATCCGGGGATCGGAGTCAACGTTGAAGGGATGAGAGAAATTCAGGATAGGATAGGCTGCAGTTTTCACCTTCAAAGATATCGGGCTTCTGATGCATTGCTAGCCCCTTACAACAGCAATTTGGCTACCCTGCTCATAACGCCGGGTATCCGCGTATTGCCGAATATGTCTCGCAGGACACATAAGAAATCTCGCAATGGTTGTATTGAATGTAAGCGTCGGCACATCAAGGTATGATCACTCATATTCAACTGCCGAACACCGTTACTGATATTAGCTAGTGTGACGAGCGATGGCCCGTCTGCTCCAATTGCCTCTCGTCCGAACGGCAATGCGACTTCGTGGGCCTTCCACTCCCTGAAGGATCCTCACCAAGTACCAGCCACGAATTTACTTCACCTTCTCCTGCTACGAATTCCCCCGCGCAAAATTCAACACCGCATCTGACTGGCTTCTCTGATGATGCTCCAGTCAATATGCTCCATGTGGAACTCTTCTACCATATCGTGTTGGAAAGCACCAATTGGATCGATACTCCAGACCTCATCTCTGAAGTCTCATTCCCAGACCTGCTTAGAGGAGGGATGAATGCGCCTTATCTCATGAATGCACTTCTAGCCTTTAGTGCTTTGCATCTCAGTATCGTCAAGCCAGAGCGTCGGGATTTCTATCGGCATCATGCTTCCCAGCTTCAGACTTATGCACTGAACAGCTTCAACAGACTTCCCCCTCAGATTGATGAGGACACATGCATTCCAGCCTTTTTATTCGCCGCAGTTTTGGGACTATATCTCCTTTGTGATACGTTGGTATTCCGTGAAGGAAATTTTGAGGTATTTCTCGATCGCTTCGTGCAATATGTGTCGCTACATCAGGGGGTCCGAACAATCGCTGCAGACGGGAGATGGGACATACTGCAACAGACAGCGTTGAAACCATTCTTAAAGTTGAACATGCAGATTCTTCTGATGCATGTAGATTTCGGACCTATTTGCAAGACGTTGATTGAACGTATCCAAGCTTCAGAAACGAACGAAGCCAGACTACAAATTTATCGGGAGGCTGTCCATGCGCTACAGTCTGTGATGACAGCTATTGATACGGGAAGTTCACGGAACGGGGGTATTGGTGCACTTGTCGCGTGGCCGGTTCTTGTCCCGCGAGAATATGTTAAATTGGTGGCAGCTCGGCAAGGCGAAGCACTTGTGATCCTGGCGCACTACGGCGCACTGATCCATCCTTCCCGTGAGAAGTGGATGTTTCAAGACGGAGGAGAGTTTCTGATCAAATCTGTTCGGCAGTACCTTGGGCCTTCCTGGCAAGAATGGCTAGGTTGGCCACTCGGAATGTTGGCCGAGACGAATTCCCTGTGAAAAGCAAATGATAGTAACTCAGCAAATGGAATTTCTCATTTCGGTCTCAAACTTGGTAACCGTCATATCTAGCACGCGTTCCTAATCCTCTTATCAGTCACTTTGAATGCTATTAACCGCATTAAGCCCCATTTTCTAACGAGTCTAACGATTTAGTTGGCTAACTGGATTACGATTTCCAACGCCGACTTACTCCCGGCTTACAATACTTTTCTAATGCCAGCACACGAGGTTAAAAAGGATTCAGAAACTCATTTAAGTCTTAGCTAAGTACAAGACCATCACATCTTCGGTTTAAAACATCAATTTGGTAACATGGACAGAGCGCAGTGCGTATCTTTTAAGTGGCAAATCACAAACTTCACAGACGAGCGCGGCCCGAGCCAGCCGAGGAAGTCAGGTCGAAGCGATCAAGGTTCATGACCTTGTCCCAAGCAGCGACAAAGTCCTTGACGAACTTCTCCTGTCCATCGGAGCTACCGTACACCTCAGCAATGGCGCGCAGCTCCGCGTGTGAGCCAAAGACCAGATCGGAGCGAGTAGCGGTCCACTTCTTCTGGCCCGTCTTGCGGTCTACGCCCTCGAAGAGCTCGGAGTCGGGGGTGGCGGCCTTCCAGACGGTGTTCATATCCAACAGGTTAGTGAAGAAGTCGTTGGACAGCTGGCCAGGGCGCTGGGTGAAGACACCGTGCGCGGAGCCGTCGTAGTTGAGGTTCAGGGTACGCAGACCACCGATCAGAGCGGTCAGCTCCGGAGCGGAGAGGGTGAGCAGGTGAGCACGGTCGATGAGGAACTGCTCGGTACGGACGCGGGGAGTGGATTTTCCGTAGTTGCGGAAGCCATCGGCGTACGGCTTCAGGTACTGCACCGAGTCCACGTCGGTCTGCTCCTGCGAGGCATCCGTGCGGCCCGGGGTGAAGGGGACGGGGTGGCCGGAAGCCTTCTCGAGGCCGGCGCATCCGGCTAGCACGATGAGATCGGCCAGGGAGACCTTCTTGTTTCCACTCTGGGAGCTGTTGAAGCGGCGCTGGACATCCTCCAGTACGGCCAGGACCTCGCGGAGCTGGGCCGGATTGTTGATGTCCCAGTCCTTCTGGGGAGCCAGGCGGATGCGGGCACCATTGGCACCGCCGCGTTTGTCGCTGCCGCGGAAAGTAGAGGCAGAGGCCCACGCGGTCGAGATGAACTTGGTGGGGGCGAGGCCGGAGGCGAGAATCTCCTTCTTCAGCGCAGCAATATCCGACTCGTCGACGAGCGGGTGGTCCACGGCGGGGACCGGGTCTTCCCAGATCAGCGTCTCCTGGGGGATCTCGGGACCGAGCCAGCGCGAGCGGGGGCCCATGTCACGGTGAAGCAGCTTGAACCAAGCACGAACAAAGGCTTCGTGAAGCTGTTGTGGGTTCTCCAGGAAGCGACGGGAGATCTTCTCATAGGCAGGGTCGAAACGCAGAGAAAGATCGGTGGTCAGCATGCGAGGCTTGTGCTTGACGTTGGGGTCGTGGGCATCAGGGATGAAAGCATCCGCATCCTTGGCCACCCACTGGTTGGCACCAGCGGGACTCTTGGTCAACTCCCACTCATACTTGAAGAGGTACTCGAGGAAGTCGTTGCTCCACTTGGTGGGGGTCTTGGTCCAGATCACCTCCAGGCCGCTGGTGATGGTGTCCTTGCCCTTGCCAGAGGCGTGGCTGTTGTTCCAGCCGAAACCTTGCGCTTCAAGGCCAGAACCCTCGGGCTCCTTGCCGACATGATCAGCGGAAGCGGCACCGTGCGTCTTGCCAAAGGTGTGGCCACCGGCAATCAGCGCAACGGTCTCCTCGTCATTCATGGCCATGCGGCCAAAGGTTATGCGGATATCCCGCGCGGCCGCAACGGGATCGGGAACGCTATTGGGGCCCTCAGGGTTGACGTAGATCAGACCCATGACGACGGCGGCCAGAGGGCCTTCGGGATCACGGGTGTTGATATCGCTCTGGCGGTCCTTGTCGGATTCCGACTCGGGGTGGTAGCGCTCGGCATTGGCGAACCACTCCGTCTCGGCACCCCAGTAGACGGACTCGTCGGCCTCCCACTTGTCCTCACGACCGCCAGCGAACCCGAAAGTCTTCACGCCCATGGATTCCAGGGCGACGTTGCCAGTGAGCAGGAGCAGATCCGCCCACGAGATCTTGTTGCCGTACTTCTGCTTGATCGGCCAGAGCAGACGACGAGCCTTATCCAGACTGACATTATCCGGCCAGCTGTTGAGGGGTGCAAAGCGCTGCTGGCCCTCTCCACCGCCACCCCGGCCATCGAAGACACGGTAGGTTCCGGCGCTGTGCCAGGCCATCCGGATGAACAGACCGCCATAGTGGCCAAAGTCGGCGGGCCACCAGTCCTGGGAATCGGTCATCAGCGCATGCAAGTCCTTCTTGACGGCCCAGTAGTCCAGTTTCTTGAAAGCCGCGGGATAGTCGAACTCCTTGGTCATGGGATTGGTGACATCGGTGTGCTGGCGCAGGATGTTCAGCTTGAGCTGTTCGGGCCACCAGTCACGATTCCTGGTGCCGCTGCCAGCGACATTGGCGCTGGTATTCTTGCGGACGGGACATTCACTCATGGTTGTAGATGGGGGAGAGGAGGAGGTGGGATGGATGGAGAAAAGACAGAGGAAGGGGAAGACGAAGAAGGACGAAGCAGGGGGCGAGCCCCTCTTAAGAGGTTGGACAAGCGTAAGGCACGATTAAAGCGTGTCTCATTGGGCACAACGCCGCGTGCGGGGAGGCGGGGTTTCGTTGGCGGGCTTGACCGATCAATCACGGCTGTTGATCGATGGCGGCAATCCCCGCGTTTCCCCGGTGATTATTGTGGTCGCCATCATTGGACCATTCGCGGTGGACGATGATTGCTTGCGTGGCATTCTTCCACAATCACCAAAACATGTTGCGCAATCTGATTAGAATGGCATTGTTGACCGGTGATGATGCCACGATCACCCATGTTTGTCAGCGCCGTGGGCGAGACCGATGCCTCGGACCCGCGGGACGCTTTACCTAATGTGTGGGGTTGCTCCTCTAGTCTGGCGCAACGATGCCCTCTATTCCACCCGGCCAATTCCGCACATGAAGAAGTGTCTGGACAGAACCTTCATTTGACGATCTGGCGGTGACACATGATACTGGAACCAAGGATTCCGAGCAGTGTCTTTTTCTTTCCGTGGATTCAAGGTTAGATATCCAATCCAGGGTGAGTCGTTTGCGCCAGGATAGACAAATCACGAGGAACTAGAACCAGCCGACTATCCGTCCATGTCCAGGCCCAAGAGATGACCAATTCAACAGGGCTGACTGTTTGATGCCAAAAACACCAGGCATCAACGGGAAGACAGTCTCCGAACTTTGGATGTGTAGAAGCCAGGGCTCGATGGATCACATGCTGTCACCTGACCTCTCCTGACTGCCCAATTTTTTTCCTTCTTCCGCTCGGCCATCGTCCGAACCCACCAGGGTTAAGGATTCACCCCGTGGTCTGACGAATTGGAAAGAGAACGCTTGTGCATCAGCTGCTTCTGCTGGAGCCGGTGGCCCAGTGATGTACATAGAGTTTATATTTTGAAGCGATGCAGAATGACCCGGAAAAGACTTTGCGAGTTCGCTAGAAGAGTAGTGTGGTATGATAGTGACTCGATATCCCGAAACCCTGTGCCAGGATCTCTCTGCAAGACGGTAGTCTGTTCACCGAGCCATCGGACGAGAAAAACCTGCGCCACAACAATTCCAGTAGGAGGCCAAGCATGCCTATATACTGCGCGTCGTTTGTGCCAGCCGGCTGAACGTTCTCTCCGGGGAAAACGCTCCCCCGGCCCAAGTTCCCACCGCAGGGCATCATAATCCGCGAAAGCATCATCGCTTCACTTGCAAACCCCATGTTGCCCCAGTCTATGGGGGAAGACGCGGCATGACTTGTGGAGAGGGCTCGCTCAAAGGGAAACCCACACGAACGCATCCATTGAGGTGGTCAATATTACTTAGGAACCCCCAAGGCCCATCGTTTCTTCCTCACCCTCCCGGACTTGAGGATTTTTTTTTTTGCCCCATCACCAATTTCCCCTTCCTCCTCACCTGATCGCTGTCCTTTCCTCACAAACAATGGGCATTCTCGCGCTCGTCGAGGACCGGCCGACGCCCAAGGCCGTCTACAACTGGCGAATCTACCTACTCGCCGCTATTGCATCATGCGGCTCCAACATGATCGGGTATACGAGTGCCTTCATTGGTACTACGATTACCCTCAAGTCCTTCGAGCAAGAGTTCGACCTCACAAACGCCCACACGACGCAGGCACAACGAGACATGATCAGTGAAAATATCGTGTCTCTTTTCATTGCCGGGGCCTTCTTCGGGGCACTGCTCACCTACGGCGTGTCGCATGTCTGTGGCCGCAAATGGAGTTTGGTCCTTGCTTCGGCTATTTTCACCGTCGGTGGCGGTCTGCAATTAGGTGCGAATCATGCCCGAGGACTTGGGATTATGTACGCTGGGCGTGTGCTGTCTGGTCTAGGAACCGGCATCGCGTCGAATGTCATTCCTGTCTATCTTTCTGAACTGGCACCCCCGCTATTCGGGGGCGGTTGGTCGGGATGTATGAGCTGGGCTGGCAAATCGGTGGCTTGTTGGGATTCTGGATCAATGTATGTTTTCTTGCCCACCGAATCATTTTTCACAGGAGTGCTAAAGTTTCCCTACTGTATAGTACGGTGTTGAACAGCACATGAACCCCAGCCACGAGCAATGGATCATCCCATTTGCCATCCAGATCGTCCCATCGGGAATGCTCTTCCTCGGTGCCCTCTGGATGAAGGAATCTCCCCGCTGGCTCTTTCTTAAGGGCTACCGAGACAAGGCTATGCAAAATCTCTGCTGGGTGCGCCAGCTAGATGCAACAGACATCTACATCCAGGAGGAGGTAGCAGCCATTGACCAAGCATTAGAATACCAGCGGGTCACTATCGGCATCGGTTTCTGGAAACCCTTCCAGGCAGTCGCCACCCGTCACAACGTGATGTGGCGCCTGTTCATCGGATGCATGCTGTTCTTCTGGCAGAACGGATCGGGAATTAATGCCATCAACTATTATTCCCCAACTATTTTCACAAGCATCGGGGTGTCGAGTGCCAATGTGGGCCTGACCACCGGTATCTTCGGTGTTGTCAAGGCTTTCATGACCATTATCTGGCTGCTGTTTCTGGTCGACCAGCTCGGTCGCAGAAACCTGCTTCTCGGGGGCGCCATCACGGGCTCGATCTGCATGTGGATCATTGGCGCCTACATCTGTGTCACCAAGCCGCAGGCTCATCCTAGCAGCCACCTCAGCAGCGGCGGTATCGCTGCTATCTTCTTCTTCTACCTATGGACAGCCGTGTACACGCCAACCTGGAACGGCACACCGTGGGTTGTCAACTCAGTAAGTCATTTAATAATATACTAAAGATCAGTCCATTAACATTAAACAGGAATTCTTCGACCCCAACTTCCGATCCCTGGCGCAAGCCGCCACAACAGCCAGCAACTGGCTCTTCAACTTCCTCGTCTCCCGATTCACCGAGCAAATGTTCGCAACAATGCATTACGGAGTATATTTCTTTTTCGCCTCGCTGTCCTTCCTGGCTTTCTTCTTCGCCTTCTTCCTTGTCCCGGAGACAAGCGGTATCCCGCTGGAGAAGGTTGACCGTCTGTTCGAGTGCAAGCCTGTCTGGAAGGCCAATGCGATCCTGAAAGCGCAGCTTAAGGACGAGGAGGAGGAATTTCGTTTTGAGGCTAAGGAAGGTCCGGTTCACCAGGAGAACGATGGCCATGAACAACAGGAACAACAAGTATGAGCGCTGGCGCAGTGCTAAAATTCGTAGACGGTTCTCATAGACTGGGCTTTGATTTCGGTGTACAATAGATGGGATAGATGGATGGGATAGAGCATCTGGTTTTGATTATGTGTGTTTTCACACAGAACATGATTTGCAATGGCATTTATTTTCCTAGGACTCTGGTCAAACACATGTATATGCGAACGGCCAAGCTAAATACATCAAACTTTGAAAATTATCTCCCAACCTCCGCTCCCCAGGGAAGGTTCTTGGGAAAAGCAGGCAGATCTTTACTGTCAGGGTGATCATCATCGAAGTCCCACCTATTCGGCACATCCATTCCAGCCTCGAGATGGTGCCTCACCAAAAGCATGGACACACCATCGCGATACAGCCACGCATCCTCGGTACGACGCTGCCACTGCTCAACCGCCTGGCGCATATCCTCCAAAACCGCGCTATACTCAGGATCCTTAGCTAGATTGCGCACTTCATTGGGATCAGCCTGGATATCGTAAAGCTCCTCAGCGGGACGGAAGAAGTAATCCTTCAGTGGCCTGGACCCAATCATCTTAGGACTAGTCTCGGAGTTGCGAATATCCTCCCAGGTTAGGGATCCGTAGATATCAGCGGCAAAGGGGAAATCGAGCCGCCAGGCGATGTTGCGGTGGTATTTAAATCGGCGGTTGCGCATGAAGCGTGTGGGCCAGTAGTTAGTGATTTCGTGGAAGGTATGCGAGCCGAAAACACAGCCCCAGTCTTCGAGCTTGGTTGACTCGGACACAATGGGAAGAATCGAGCGGCCGAGTCGGGCTGGATGTTGTGGGGTTGGGTACTGAGCCCAGTCGAGGATTGTGGGGAGGATGTCAATGTAAGAGACCATGTTTGGGTTGGCAACGCCTGCTGGTGAGCCGGGGCACTTCATTATCATCGGAAGACAGACACCCGCGTCGTAGAGGGTTGTCTTGGAGTTGATGAAGGGGGGTCCATTGTCGCTGAGGAAGATGATCAAAGTGTCGTCTGCGAGTCCAGATTTCTTCAGTCCGTCAAGGACCATGCCGACACCTTGATCCAGGCGGGAGATAGACTGGTAGTACTCTGCGAACTCGAACCGGACTCCCGGGAGATCATTAACAAAGTGCTCGACCTCGACATCCGAGGAGGAATATTCGATCTTCTTTACTCGCGGATCGTACTGGCCATCATTTCCAAATCCCGAGCGGGTACGGTCGCGATGAGGATCAATAAAGCCAATGGTCAAAAAGAAAGGCTTCGCCTCCTCACTGGAACGCCTGATGAACGCATTCGCTTGATCTGCTATATCTGCGACATCACGACTATCGCTCTCAGCGCGCAGATCCCAGGGATACACGTTTGATGGCCCGACGTGGACCTTGCCAATCAAACCGGTGGAATACCCATGCTTGGAAAAGAGCGCAGGTGCCGTTTCAACATGATCATAGGTGGTGAAATGATGCCGGCCATTGGCGAGACCATACTGCCCGTTCTGATGCGTGTGAAGACCGGTGTAAATGACAGAGCGACTGGCGCTGCAAGAAGCTGTGCTGGTGAAGGCCTGATCAAATTTGGTTCCCTCCGAGGCTAGCTGGTCGAGATTGGGCGTTTGGATTTTGGCGTTTCCATAGCAGCCTAATTGTTTACCCAGGTCATCCGCGATCATAAGAAGAATATTTCTCTTGGCCATGGTGGCGGCGGTGTGAATCTCAGTTGGTTGTTTGCAAGAGGAAAGGCTGCCACTTCAGCCTTTATAAGTTCTGATAGATCTGGATCGACCGGAGCTTATTAAACCAGGGATTTTCGGCCATTTATAGGCCGCCGGATATCGCTAAAGTAGCTCCTCCTGTACCTGGTTGGTCGTATGCAAAGCCTTGTGTCGTTTCCAACAAGGCAACGAGTACGAAGATGCTAATTTTTCAAGAAGCCAGGTGTAGATGCAATTTTACTGCCTGAAAAACAATTTGACGCATGCAGATGATTCCCTGAAACAAATCAGATTATGAATTTAGCTCTAGTATGGCGTGCGCACTCCTGTATTGCCCATAGCACCAAGTCAAGCCCCGCACCCGATGGTGGGTCGGAAGTCGGAACGGATCTCGGTTAAAGATGGCAAGTCGTATCAACATCTGCTTCGATTGTACAGAATTGAGGAATTTCCAAGGTATAAAAACACTAATCTTATGATCTAGGTCCCCTATTTCCGGACGGATCTGCAGAAATCTTTCGCATTCAAATAAACACACAGGGATGATTATTTCCCGCCTTTGTTTCTTTTCGCAATACGCACAGGACATCCATACCCATAAGCTTTTTGGTGCTTAACTGACATATAAAGTACAACCATTGCATCCTGGCAACAATTCCAGTGTTGCTTATGTATTATGTATTCAGAGAACAAGTTACCTGGCAAATCACATCATTATACCGCTTATGCCTTTGGTTCTTCGGCATAGTTCGCTGCAATCTTGCCCGCACTTAAATCCTCCTTGGCTTGTTCAATATCGGCAGCAAATCTGCTTGGTTCGGTCCTGGCCTTGAAAGCCCAGATGCTTTGTTTCTCAAATATCTCATCAACTTCTTCCAAAGATTTGCCGCATGTCTCCGGGAACAGGAGGAACACATGGATGGAGGCTGCCACACAGAAGGTGCCGAATACACAGTAGAGCTATATAATAAACTTAGTCAAATATTCGGATGCTGACGGTTAGTACTCACCCTCCACTGGATATTCTGGAATGCTGGAGGAGTAAAGAAGGTAAGAGCAAAGTTGCATGCCCAGTTGAAGAACGTGGCGAGTGATACCGCTTTGCTGCGAATGTATAATGGGATGATCTCCGGTGGATACGCCCTATTCCGTGAAAGTTAGTACTGTTTGAAATAAAACGGGTCCTGACGTCGTGTAACGCACCATCCCAAAGGTCTGCAGTATGTAACGTTAGCCCATTGCTTCACAATTCAGGGAATAGTACAGAATCAAGACTCACCCCCAAGTGGGCGCATAGCACGCAATAAATAGATATGAACAGGCAATAATTGCCTTAGATGCTTTGCCGTTGGTGACTTTCCATGTCACGGTTGGGGAGTTAGGAAGACCCCCTGGAACAGCATGACCATAGGAGGCCATGAGGCCTGCCTGTGTAAATTGAAGGACTGCCATAGCTAAAGCACCTCCAATAAAAAGCCAGCGTCGAGGAAGTCGGTCAATGAATATCAGTGCGGGCAGAGTCATGACCACATTGATAATATACTGGATCGATGCGGACAGCAGAGCGGTGTTTCCCGTGAGGCCGGCCATCTGGAAAATATAGACGATGTAGTACATCATGGCGTTAGTTCCGGACATTTGAGACCAGATGTGCGTGAAGATTCCACAGTGAACGCGGATAATATTGCGGGAATTAAACAATTCGAGCCAGGATGTGCTCTGGTATTGGCGTTCGAGTCTACCACTAAATCAGCACGCTGCCATAGATATGCCTCCAGAACGAAGCTTACTCGATTTTCTCTCTGATTTCTTTTGTTTCCGCCACCACAATAGGATGAAGCGTATTTCCTTTGGCGTGAAGTCGTGCCAGTACTTCAATAGCTTCCTCCCACCGATCTTGCGATGCGAGCCAACGCGGTGAGCGCGGCATCATCGGCAGGAGGCAGAGCAATATAATCGCGGGAATCATCTGCAGACCCCATGGTAGACGGAAAGATCCATAGCCGCTCATGAAGGATGCCCCGTAGCTGATGAAGTACATGATCAGAATCTATGTCGATGTTAGCCTCGACCATTCAGTTCCACTCGGCCGTCACATACACCCCATGTAATCATCCACTGTTGTAAAGATATGAGGCGACCGCGCTGATGAGGAAGACTGATCTCTGCGATCAAAATTGGCCTAAAAAGATTAGCATGAGTTGTGCATGCGATAACCTAGCAAAGTCTGTTACCCTTGGCTAGTGAGCATTCCAACCGCAAATCCATTGAAAATACGGGCCACGATCAACATGGGTACGTTCTGAACGGCACACATTAGGGTCGAGCCAATCAGCCAGATGATGCACGCAATGGACATTGAATCGCGACGGCCAAAACGATCGCTCGTCCACGACGAGACCAACGACCCAAGCAACGAGCCACCTGCCATACTGGCGGTAATACCGCCCTGCAGAACGGAATCGGGCTTGTTGAAGTACTCCTTGTACTGTGGCGTGCCAATTATCGCAGACATGCTGGACACATCGAAGCCCTGAATAAGGCCGCCGATGGTCGCGAGCCCGCTAATGAGATAGACATTGCTGAACCGGGGAGTCCCATGGTGACGACGGGTACCACGAGCTGCACTGCAAAACACCTTCACAATGCGCGTCTGGGGCCCCGGATGCATGTACTTTTAAGTACGCAGAAGCTCCACCTGGAGTCTGCAAGCACCTCACCCCTGTGCCAATGATTTATGGCCGACATCCGTATCTCGGTCGTCGCAAAGGATTCGTACCGCCGAGAAGCGGGGCCCCCGCTAGTGCGGCAGAGATCTGACTAGGCCAGTAAGCGGCCAATGTGCCGCGGGGGAAAATACCTCCTGGAAGTCCAAGCTCACAATCGGCGGTACACAATTCCCGGATCTCGAGTCGATGCCTCCGACGTCTTGACATTGTTGGAACCACCCGTCGCAAGGCATGCCACCCCACAATCGCGTATCGGGTGATGGATGCTCTATCATGCTTTCCGCGGGTGGGGATGATGAACTAGGGGATGTGCAGCTATCGCGAAGCTCCAGTATGCCTTCAGGATCACGAAGATCACGATCAGGTTTGATGCTCACACAGTTTTCGCCGTTTTATGTTCGAAGAATTGATGTTTAGACAGGATGTGCGCTTTGTAGGGCTCGCAAGGTCAAGTGTGATGAGAAGTGGCCCGTTTGTTCGAATTGCCAACGCCTCAAATTAGACTGTCCAGGCCCACCTGGGTCAAGCAACAAAGGGCCGCGTCTCTATCCAGAACAGAGGCCTCCAAGGCAAAATGGGGCATTCACACAGGCAGGCACACTCCGCCAGCGAGTGTCTAGATCATGCCAGCCATGCCGATATGCAAAGACTCGGTGCTGCGGAAGCCAGCCGAAGTGTACGAGATGCTCCAAGAAGGGGGTCAATTGCATATACAGACCCGAGGCAATTACCCGTCCGAATAAAACACAGTCTTCAACTCAGCAGATCCAGCAGAACCAAACTGATGTACCGCAACCATCGCTGCAAGACGCCGCAAATGCGATTTCTTGGTATGCCACACCCCTCATATCAAGTGTCAATGTTCTGGGAGTTGCCTTGTTCTTTCCCGCAACTCGATGCTTTGTTATGATTTAAACTGACTTGTCCAGGATGCATGCTCCTGAACTCCCCGATAAAGATAGGATCATCACCCTTGTTGAAGAATACTTCGCCCATGTACATCCGCTTCGCTGCTTCGGTTTTGTGCACAAACCGTCATTCATGCAGCGCCTTGACGACGATTTTGACTCATGTTGTAACAATGAATCACTTCTACATGTTATATGTGCTTTGGGTGCAAAGTATGTTTCTACTTCCCAGAAGTTTTACTACGTCGCTAACGGATCATTAGATTCTTGGCCTTAGGCTATTCTTCTCGTCATGGTCTGTCACCTGAGGCTGTTCTAGAAGCAGGGAACCAGTGGGCAAAAAAGGCAAAAGTACGAATATTTGCTGACTTGGATGACTTGTCGCTCGAGAAGCTAATGGTACTAAACATTCCGTTCTCATTCTATGTGGTCCTCATTTTTAATGATATTGCAGACTGCAATTCTCCTTTATGACCATGATTTACGTATTGGAAGCTATGCGAGTGCGTTCATGCTCAGTGGGATTACTTCGCGAATGTCTCAAGCATTGCAGCTGAATCTTGAGCATTCTGCCGATGTGCTTTGTCTGAAAGCAGAGTTATCCTCAGCAGCAGTAATAAATGAAGCACGACGGCGTCTTATGTGGAGCTGCTATGTGATGGATAGCTGGGTTGGCAGTGGTGTTAACCAACTCACTTTGCTGGAAGATCGAGATCTTAAGATCCAGCTCCCCTGTGACGGCCACAATTTCTCCTTAGGGATCCCCTGCATCACCGAACTTTTGGATGAGGGAAAAATACTGGGGTTCGTGCCAAGGAATCACATTCCACCACATCCATCCCAGAATATGGGCATTGAAGCGTACTTCATTCGCCTCGTCAGCTCGCGGAAGAAAGTCTTACGGTGAGTTAATCAAACCACGACAGGTTTCGTTGAATTTTGACCATATACCAGCTATGTGAAGCATCTGGACATTGCAAGGCCCCCTTGGTTAGCAGGCTCCGAGTTCTTGTTACTGTCAGCCGAATTCGACAACTGGCGATATTCCCTTCCGCAGAGCCTACAATGGCGCCCAGATGCCATCTACGCACGCAGAGAGTCGTCGCAGCTCGGTGCACTGACCCTTCTCTGGTGCACCTACTACCAAACATTGGTTGACCTATATCGCATTGGGATGCCTGCCATCTTTCGCATTCGGAAAAACGTTGAGTTTCCGCCTGACCAGCAGGACTTTCTCAAGCATTGCCGTAGAGTTTGCTATGAGAATGCCCGCGAAGTCTCTAATGTCATATCAGAGGCCTTGCGACATGGTATCAAAGCTCTTGCTGATACCTGGTTATGCATCATCGCCCATGACAGCACCAAGGTCATGCTTTATTATATGAAGCAAGATGAGATGGCCCAAGGAGAGGTGGGCGACACCAAAGCACTAATTCAGAAGAACCTTGATGGACTCCTCCAAATGAGACCTATGGTGGCCACTGCCGAATATTGTGTAGGTTTTATGCCATCCTGTCTCTTTTTTGCAGTGGCACAGAAGCTGACGGACCTTCTAAAGTGCCTCTCGATGGTCAGGATGATGATTGCAGCTGGTATACAGCCTCACATTCCACAAGGAGCGGCAACCAATGGGAGCGCGTCCGAGCCAGTTGACGAGATGTATGCACTGAAACCGTTCTTCCAACTCAATCTATTAATCCCGTACAACAGGCCTTCCATACCAGGATCCCCTGTCCAGGAGTCCCCGGAAAATGTTTTGAACCCCCTCGCAATTTATCGCATGGCACGAACTGCCTTGCACGAGAAAGATTCCGGAATCTCAGCATCCCTGTCACCCTCGACCCACAGTGAACTTTCAACAGCGATCTTGCAGCCAAGATCTGATCGCCAGCGTACTTCAACCAAGTCTACCACGAATAATCATCCACAAGGCCGCCGACGAGATTACTCTGGTCAAGAGATATACCAGCAAAATCCGCCTTCACATCCGTCAGTTGAGCAAATCCAGGGGTATTCTACTCAGCTAAGGCAAGAGGATCAACCTTTATCACTCGGAAATAATTCATCACAGTTTCCAGTCACGGGGTCAGGCGGCGCCTGGGATCCGGCGGACATGGCCGTTATGGATATGCTGAATGGTGGGATAACCCCATGGACTGCAGAATATCTAACAGATGGCCAGTCTGGCGGTGTGGATCCTTTCCTGTTTCCCTTCTAGCATTGAAGACACGGAACCTTTCGCCCGTGATATATGTCGCTCCGGAGGCATGGGTTGGCTGCAGCAGCGAACAATGTCTCAAGCTCGTTTAGCAATACACGAATTCATCCTGTCCACCAGGCAGTATTTCACAATTTCACAGTTACAATGTAGGAGAGGGGGGGCCGCATATTGATGGTGGGAGGATGACAGAAGGATGACTGGCCATCGTATAAAAATAGATTTGCATTCACTACATACTGCCTCTTGGCATCTGACTAGTACAAGATCTGAAGGATATTCCTCTGGTCTACGCATTCGTTACTTTATACTCTTGTTTTATCACCTCTGCCAGCAAGATCGCGGGTTCGGTCCGCGTTGGTCGATTCCATCGCGTATATGCGCTTGACTACCCCGTGAAACCTGTCCAATGCACGCTCAGTTCTGCACACAAACAGTAGCCATACTATAGCATCTTGTGCCTCGGCAAGGCAATTTCCTTTCCTCTCTTCGTCGGCAAACTGCTCTCTTGCCTGCACTAAAATCTCGGCAACGGAATGCTTCACCTTGTCAGAAGCCGGGTACTGCATAAACACGACCCGATTAGATTGGGTTTTGGAGAGGGAGGTGGCGGTGGGGGGGAGGGGTAGGGGAGGGGCATGTATGCTTCCCCGATGCAGCTATTGGTCTGCCGGATCCGGCAGTGACTTCACCACCTCCGGTTCTTACACTGCTCACCCTCTCACAAGGATTTCGGTCATGAAAATCACTCTATCCTTTTGATGCTTCATCAGTCTTGGATTGTCTCCAAATACTCCTGCCGCGGCAGAAACATGAACAGGGTTGGTAACTCTGCCTACGAAACATTCTGCCGCAGATCTTCAGTTACACCTCAGATTCCTCGGGCATTCTTTGTCTCATATACATCTTCGTCGGTATCGGTCGCCAATAAACTACATCGACCACCCTCGAGTCGACCCGTCCTTCAGCACTACCCCTTCCGACAGCCACATAGACAGACGCATTCTCTATCCTCTACATTCTCCAGAACAAGAATGAGCAGCCAGGGAGTTCCCATTGATCCGCAGCGCGTTGATGGGCCCCTCACACGCTCGGCAACTTTCCTCGTGTTATCAGTTACCAGGAAGCCGGACGCCATCCAAAGTGTACAGTCCACACTCGCCGGCCTGGACAGTCTCGCCAAGAATGTTTCCATTCGCGATCTCGATGCCAAATTCACATGCACGGTCGGAATTGGCAGTGAGATCTGGGACCAACTGACCGGTCGCCCTCGTCCAGCGGAGCTACATCCCTTCCGCGAGTTCAAGGGCAAAACGCACACGGCAGTCTCGACACCCGGCGATCTACTGTTCCACATCCGCTCCGACCGGCGAGATCTATGTTTTGAATTCGAGCGCCAGTTACTGGACCAGCTGGGCGCCGCGGTGACCGTCGTCGACGAGACCGTGGGCTTCCGGTATTTCGATGTTCGCGACCTCCTCGGCTTCGTCGACGGCACAGCCAACCCCGTCGGGCCCGCGGTGCCCTCTTCTGTTCTCGTGGCGGAGGAAGACACCTCCGCCCAGGGGGGAGCTACATTGTTGTACAGAAGTATACGCACGACCTGCCAGGGTGGAAGAACCTCTCGTCAGAGCAGCAAGAGAAAATCATCGGCCGCACCAAGCTGGAGAACATTGAGCTGGACGATGCCGAGGAGGGACAGCAGCAGTCGCACAAGACGCTGAGCACGATTGAAGATGAGAATGGCGGCGAGCACTCCATCTTGCGCGATAATATGCCTTTCGGATCGCCGGGCGAGGGCGAGTTCGGTACCTATTTCATCGGGTATACGCGGCGGCTATGGGTGATTGAGAAGATGCTCGAGCGGATGTTCGTGGGGAATCCGCCCGGTTTGCATGATCGTATCCTGGACTTCTCGAAGCCGTTGACGGGGACAACGTTCTTTGCACCGTCAGCTACTTTTCTGGCGAGTCTTGGGTCGGACTAGGGATGTGGTATTGGAATGATGAAGACATTCAAGTGTAAACATTAAAATTATTAGGTCAACAGAACAATCCCGAACAAACATAGTGTTGTTGACCTTTTACAGCTGATGTCCATTTTGGTTTGGACATCATGTCAATGTGCTGCCGGTCAAGCCATCGACCTCCGTGGCGTGACTGCCCATGGCTTTCGATCCATAACAGCACACTCAGCAGGACCGGTCCTAGCTGATGCCACATTCCTGGTTTCCATGGCGGTGATCTTGACACCGACAAAGTAGTTTGTTTACCCTACATGACCCTTGACACGAGGAATGTCGGACAATAAGTCCGTCCTTAAATAAACACAACAATCCACTTCCCACAGTCCTCAAGTATTCTCAATCCCCTTCTCTATATTCAGGCAAAACCACGTACCACTACATATCACCATGAAGCTCTCCATCTTCCTCCCGCTGGCAACATTCCTCTCCCTCACATTCGCTGAGGACTTCAGCCCATGCGCCGTGCGTGAACCCTTTCGAGTAGATTAGTAGAAAGGGGGTGGAAAAGCTAACGCCGAACTCTTTTATAGGCGACATGTCTGGACGAAGGCGCATTGGTCGCTGGCTGCGCTTCAGTCGTCGACTACCACTGCACCTGCACTAGCCCGGCTTTCCGAGCCGCAGTGACGACCTGTCTGAAGGTTGCGTGTACTGCAGAAGATGCAGCAAGTATGTATTTCCTTCTGATCATTTGAGCGATGCTCTTCCGTATGAGAATTCTTGCTGATTTGTTCTCTCTCTTTTATAGTAGCGGGACAACTGCATGAGAAACGGTGTGGGACTGCACCACCTTCCTAGAAGGAAGGTTCGACTCTTATCTTCTATATTGCTGTGTGAAATATTGTATTCCCTTGCAGAGGTTACTCCAGATTTAATAATATCGGTTTCGGTGTAAAATATTCCTCCTTGTCTTGATGGTGATATAGTTTCAAGGTTGGTCGTCGATATATATCCAATGCACTAGTTACCTCATTTGTCAAAACAGCCAGAACATCCAACTAAGACCATTTTTATATCCATGTCCTACTATTCGAGTTGGGAATAAAAACAAGTACGGTTCGAGCAGTGTAGCAGAGAATAACCTCCAAGTGGGTAGAGTTTACTGAAAACGCTCCACACATTATAGGCACTCACGGAACGTTTGCTTACGGTTACTTTTGCTACAGATCAAATAAACCCTAAACTTCCCATCGTTGCATTGGCACGACACTGATATCAAGCTAGTTGGGGGACTGGAAAATGGAAGACAATTTAAAAGAACATGATATTTTTCGCTCTTGACTTCATATCTTGAATCCATCCATCATCCATTTAAGCCTGAGACAGGTTCTCGTAGGCCTCGGGGAAGCGGCGCATGTTCTGCTCAATCAGACCGTGGCCAGTCAGGAACTGGACGTAGGCACCATCCTGCTTGAGCTTGCCCTCCTGGCGGAGCTTGATGTACTCCTCGCGGCGGACGGGGGTGAAACCCCACTTCTTGGAGACGATGATCTTTTGGCGGCCGGGGAACTTGTACATCGAGCGACGGAGGGCCTCGATGGCGGTGGCGCGGTGGGCGTCACGGGTGCGGACAGACAGGATGATCTGGCCGATGTTCACACGGGCGACGGTACCCTGGGGCTTACCGAAGGCACCACGCATACCAGTCTGCAGACGATCGGCACCAGCGCACGACAACATCTTGTTGATACGGACGACGTGGAAGGGGTGCACGCGGACACGGAGGTGGAAACCTTCCTTACCGGCGATCTTGACGAGGTACCTATTATGTTTGTTAGAAAGGAATCCAAGATCGGACAGAACGGGAAGTCACGTACTTGTTGGCGCAAATACGGGCAGCCTCGAGAGCCTCGGAGGACAGCTGCTCGTACTCGTTGGAGACCAGGTGGACGCAGTTGGGGAAGTCGTCAACGGAAGCCTTCTTACGACCAAGATCGAAGATACGAATCTTAGGGTCGGGAACACCACGGTTGAACCGGGACTTGGGGTAGGGCTGGATTGGAGATTCAGTCAGCTATTGTTTCCATGCAAGGCCCTCCAAAATCTTCCAGATCAGGCTCGCCGAAACGACAAAAACCGGCAGTCGTGATGCACCGCGACTCGTCAGTCATAAATGCTGCCGGTCGATGGCACACCCACAACCACCCTGTTTCGTCATCCGCACAAAACCATCTCCAGTCCATCTCCTAACGATGCGACATTTCCGAACGCACCTTGTTCTTGCAGTAGCGGTAGCATCTCGCGGGACGGCGGGCCATTTTGAGTGCGGGAAAGAGGTCGAATGCACTTCCTGCGAACGGTGGGTTGAAGGGAGATCGGCTGGTCAAGGACGAAGAGGAGAAAAGAAAAGGAATCACGTAATCAGTGGATTGATAATCCGCTTCGCTTATGTCGCTCAATGCGGATTAGCGCGCCACTTGCCTCGGTGGCCAATCAGAGTGGAGAACAGGGGGCGCAAAACCCTACGAGGAAAGCCCTAATCCTGAATTGGGCGAAGAGAGGACTCGTCTTGTATCGGACGATCTATCGCAGACCAGATGACTCTTATATACGAGTCGTTGCATCCGGGCCGTATATTGAGCTAGTGAGTCACGGAACGAAATACACAGTCATCTAAAACTGCGCCTCGTTGGATTATCAAGCACGCTTACACACCCAACTACGAGGAACGAGTCAGACCAAGTAAATGGCTTTTGATTTTTGTCATCACTATCTCATATGCGCCTTGAATCCCTACCGGTATCACCAGCACATACTCCGATCCAGCATCCGTCCCCTAGCAACCCGCTTAGACGGTACCAGTGAGGATGTCGGAGTCACCGGCATCCAGGATGGCCATGGTCGCGCAGCGGAAGAGCTTACCGCAGGCGGTACCCAGCTCGATCTATTAAATTTCAGTTAGCCATTGTCTGCCTGGTCACAATTCGCTCGGAACGTACGTTGTTGCCCGAGAAGTGGTGAACGGGGGTCTTGGCGAGCATGGCGTAGTACTCGAGCTCGCTCTTGCGGAGGGGAGGAGTGTTGGCCGCGATGATGACCAGCTTGGCCTTACCCGAGCGCAGAGTCTTCATGGTCGACTTAGCACCCAGGGTGACCTTACCGGACTTCATCACCAGGGCGAGCCTGGAGTTGATCTAGAATTTTGATTAGACCCTCGAAGAAAGAAAAAAGTAGAAACAATTGCACGCACGTTGTCGGAACCCTTCTTGCTCTTCTTGGGGGCCATCGTTGCGCTGTGAAGTTCGTCTAGGACTTCGGTTCGGTGGGAGTGGAATGAAAAGGGTGCGCTCCGGCCGGTGTGGATGATGGTTGGAATCGACCGACGACAAGATTTGGTGAGAGTTGTGTGGGCGCCCGGAAAGTGGGTTGTTCCGTTCCGTCACGGGCAGATCACATGACCTAGATGAAACCGAGGATGCCTCAGGCCGGGATAACAGGGACCCTGAAACATTCCTTCATGATATGACATGATCCGTCCTCAGCTAGACGGTTCAAGATCCTCATTTTCCTTTGCTAGGTTCTTCTGCATCGTCCACGCCTTTCTCGTGTTTTCCCGCCCGCTCCGAACTCTCCCTCCGCACTTCGCCCCTTTTGGTTGTCGTGACGATACAGTATTTTTAGATACAGCAAGGGATTCCCGCATTCCTCGCCCAGAAAAACAATCCTCGCCTGCAAACAGCACACTTCCTTCGATTCCACGCTGGTCTCAGATACCCTCCCGTCTTCGATGATCCTTTGGAGTTGATCAGCCATGTGGCACGCATTCAATCTCTGACAGCTGCCACTATACATTCCTCATATACACGACAGGAGTGACCCTCTCCACACGCGGTGTCCACTTTTGACCGCTATTACTATTATCCCCCTTCCGCTGTTCTCTCCCGACAGCCGTCGAATCGCACGGGATTGACAGCCATTGTCACAGGGATCTTTGGTTTCTTCACGACCTTCCGTTTATTCGTTATTCTCCTTGTACGATGTCAGCGACGCCTCGCAAGCCTGGAACCCCCGGCAGTTCCAACAAATCATCGGCCGCAGATCCGCCCTCGACCAACGGGTCCACCACACGAGGCCATGCTCGCTCGCCAAGTGCCACTCCCAACGGCCTCAACCGCACCCCTTCCTACAGAGGCTCAACTCCCGTTTCTGCGCGCGCCGCTGCGAGAAAACCCGGCAGATCGAACCTCAGCATGTCGAACGTCCCGCGAATGTCGAACGACCCCTCGGACGAGGAGGTGCGGGCCCAGAATGCCGCTCTGATTGACGAGCTCAGGGAGCAGTTACAGAAGGCGGAGACCGCGTCGGATCAATACCAGAAACAACTCGGTGTTCTACAAATGCGCCTGGACGAGGCGATCAGCGAACAGGGGAAGCTGGAGGATCAGGCCCACGAATGGGATAGCCGGGTCGAGACGCTGAACAACGAGATTAAGGATCAGGCCCGCCAGATCCGCGAGATGGAACAAAATCATGAGTCGGAGCGAAATGCGATGCTGCAAGAGAAGGAGCAGCAGGCGAGCCGAGAGGAAGAAATGCAGGCGACGATTCAGCGCCTGAAGGAGTCCATCTCGCAGAAGGATGGGCGCATGAATGCCGAAGGCGATCGCCAAATTTCCCGATCTTGTATGTGCTCTATTCGCCGATCCAGCTTATAGTTACTAACATTGTGCTGCAGCCAGTTTCCGCAATAGAGCTTCGCCGGACCTCGAGGGTCAATTTGCTCCCTCGGCGCAGCTCGAGCGCAGTCCCTCCCGCAATAATTCGAACCTTCTTCTGCAAAAAGATAAATTGATTGAATCTTTGCGCCTGGAACTAGCCGAGTCCCAGATTAAGCTCGTCGAGATGGAAAACAAAGGCGGGGGCCGACAGCAAGAATTGGAAAAGGATCTACTGGAAGCGCGCATGGCTAATGCTCGCTTGATGGAGGATAACGAGAGCTATCAACTGCTCCTGAGCGAGAAGACTCTGACTGGAGACTTTACGAAAGGCGACTTCATGCGCGATGCCCATCCAGAGAGCAAAGATTACACCGGTGGCATGGGCTCGTTGGCGGATGAGCTCGAGTCTGTGGACGAGGGCCCTGAGATCGACCCCAACCGCCGAGCAGAAATGGAGATCAAGGGTCTCAAAGACCAGAACAAGGCCCTGACGCTGTACATCGAGCGCATTATTAGCCGCTTGCTGCAGCATGACGGGTTTGAGTACATTCTGGACAAGAATGAGGAGGAAGGGGCGGCTGGCCGGGACCACCGAAAGAGTGGTAGTGATAAGGAGCTTCCTCCGACCCCCCCGGAGAAGGACGAGGCTTCTGGTCAAACGCTGCTGCAGCGGGCCAAGTCGGTTGTCGCTGGTCCCCGCTCCACGCCGCGATCACGCCCGTTCAGCATGATGCCTCCTCCTAGCATCACCCAGCCCACCACGAACGAAAACCCCGATACGGCTCCCAGCATTCCCCTCCGCGGTTCGTCCGTCCGAGCTAGCCACCGCCGCGTCCGATCAGAGCAAGTCGACCCGAACGCCGCTTCCGTCGTTGGTCAGATGTATCGCGGCAACCATTCCACAGGGCCGACCAGCCCTACTGCCCTGGGCCCCGGTTCCCGACAGAGTATGTTCCCGGGAGCCCCTGGGAACATCTCCAGTATGAGCCGTGCGCCGTCGATGTCCAGCCAGCCCGATCGGGTCGGCCACAACAGCTCGCCCAGCGTTACCAGTGATATCGCCGCTGATACTGCTTCGACTGGCGCGACCTCCAGCCCGCCGCGTTCCAGCAGCGGGATGACCAATTACCCTGGTGCCGTGATGACGCAGAACAAACTGCGGCCCCTGCGGCTCGTGAGCGAAACAGCCAGGCTGGAGGAAGAGGAGGCCGCACGCAAGAAGGCCAACCGGGGCAGCTGGATCCCGTGGTTCAACAAACCGCCGAACCTGGAGGAGGCCCCGCCGTCGTAAGCGGTTGATGATACGGATTTTCTCTTATGACTGTTTTCTTCCCGGGCTGGATGATCTGATGTGGTCTTACATTTGTCTTTACCATACCCCCTTGTGATGCACATATAACGCGATCCATGCCTTTCTTGTAATGGGCGCCTCTGGATGGTGGAGGTGACTGAGTTATGTTTTACTGTTTTTGAATCAACGTGCTATTCTCTATTGATATACCAGACTAGTTATTGAATAATGTTATCCCATCACTATAAACATACCTGTCTACCTTGTTTTGAGTGGTATTCGTTCTCATACTCCGCGCGATGGGTGTGTACTGGGTGGGCAGTGTGTCTACTCCGGAACAACATTCACCCGTCTCCGCCTGCGGCCAGTGTGGCTCTTGACAGCATCAACAATTCCAACCCTCACAACCATACCTCCCCTTACACCGTCACCATGCCTGGTCCTCTGTCTCTCTTCTCCGTCAATGCCATCCTGGTCATGTCGGCCGATGATGGGTCGCGCATCTTCACCAAATACTACTCAGCACCGCATCCCCCGCGGGCGCCGCACCCAACGCGACCAACTACCCAGGCGCCAATCCCTACCAGACGGTGAAAGAGCAGCGGGCATTCGAGAAGGGCCTGCTGGAGAAGACCAACAAGTCCGCCAGCGACGTTATTTTGTACGATAACCGTATCGTCGTGTTCAAGATGGAAAGCGACGTGATGCTGTACGTGGTGGGGAGCGCCGATGAGAACGAGGTGCTGCTGTATAACGTCGTGCTATCTCTGCGCGATGCCCTAGGCGTTCTGTTCAAGTATGTCTTTCCTTTTTATGTTCACTGTCCAGTGTGAAAGAGAATCCACTAACTTGCAGAAACAGGGGCGCCACCGACAAGCGCACCATCGTTGAAAACTACGATCTCGTCTCCCTGACCATTGACGAAATCGTTGACGACGGAATCATCCTCGAGACTGACCCGGTCATGATCGCCTCGCGGGTTAGTCGGGCACCGGCTGCGGACGCCCCGAATATGAAGAACATCGATCTCTCGGAACAGGGCCTGCTCAATGCGTGGGAGTTTGGCAAGCGGCGTCTGGCCGAGCAGTTGCGGCAGATGTAGACCCGCTTGTTTTCTTTCATTTGGAGCATTGTTTAATTTAATTCCTGGCTGGTCCTGGCGTGCTGTTTCTTTGGTTCTTTTGGTTTGGTGGTGACGATGGTCCTCTCTCTCTGTTTGACTGACCTGCTGGTGGACTGGACTCTATAGACTCTGCTGTGGCTTCTGGCATTGATGCATGTGGCACAAAAAATAGGTGGCTGATGCCTGCAATGAACAACAATACATACATACCTCATTCATAAGGTTGTCCCCATTGATGGCGTATGCTTTGCTTGTTGACCTGGGTCGATACCTGAGGCAGTGGAACTACTTCCCTCTATAAGCAGCTCCCCTGCTTGCCCTTTCCTTCTTTCCTTCTTCTCCCTTTCCACTCCGCACTTCCTCCTCTGCTGTCCCCTAGTTCCCTGTATATTTATATATCATGGATGCATAACTATATGTACGCCTTTATCGGGAACTCATGGACCAATTATGGGAGAATCGTTGATCTATAGTAAGAACATGGGATGATTAATGTATTGGCCTTGCCGTATCCTTATACCGTACAGTCCGAGAGAATAGCTGTCCGAGTTCGAGTGGACAAAAGCAGGGCCCCGCTACCAAGAGGAGAATGTCAAAATTTGTGCACAACCGCTCGCTACTGGCTATCATGGCCATCAGTTGTTTTGCTACGTTTTAAATTTTCGGCGGCAGTTTTATCTTCGCAAAAGTTTAGAGAGTTCTGGCGTTCGAGCGATACGGATTCACGATACACACTTTCAACTAGGGGTCCGTTCTCTGCGATCGAGATATATTGCTTTTGACTGGTGGTTCTATGGTGTGATTTCTGGGTACGTCCTGGGTGGAGAGAACTTGGTCGATATGGGTACCTTCTGAATGACGAGTTAAAGGGCGGTTGAATCAGTCGTCAATATTGGCAGTCATGCCAACTCCCGTGACCCAGGCTTGCCCGCGCAACGTCCATACCAGCATCGCGAACGATGCAAAGTACGAAAACCAAGCAAAGGTCAAGACAAGAGGACATGAAATCCACGTGGATCATATCTGGACTTAGGTCCTTCGTTGCTACTTCCGGGGGTCCGACTTGGGGGCGAGTACATAGAATTTCTCTAGGGACTCGACCAGTTGATGAGACTACGCGTAGGACTGTTGGTTCCCTCGAGGATCGAAATGCTCTTCTGCAAAACCTGGAGATCTCTCTACAGTCTCGACAATGTCGTGTATGAAATATAAACTGCTGAATGATCGTATACCGGAGTGTATACTCCACTAGCCCCGCATACGTCACCCACGAAAATCCCTTTCTTTCTCTCTGTCAACTCCCGGCCTGCACAACATGAAGCAGCGTTTCTCGTCATTGGACGTGCAGGTATTAACCGTGCCCTACTCCTCCTACATAGGACAAGACTAACCCAATCAACCCACTGCAGGTGATCACCCAGGAACTGGCCGCCGAGCTGGTCAGCCTGCGCGTGTCCAACATCTACGATCTGTCATCGGTTCGCCCAATCGCCCCCCTTGGATTATGAGCCGACACTGATCATTGACCAGCGCATCTTCCTTTTCAAACTCGCAAAACCCGACCACCGCCGACAGCTGATAGTCGACTCCGGCTTCCGCACCCATGTCACGCAGTACTCCCGCACCGCCGCGACCGCCCCCTCGCTCTTCGTGACCCGCATGCGCAAGTTCCTCAAGTCTCGCCGGATCACAGGCATCGCGCAGATTGGAACAGACCGGATCATCGATTTCTCCTTCAGCGATGGCGCATACCACATGTTCCTCGAATTCTTCGCCGGCGGGAATATCATTCTCACGGACCGGGAATACACAATCCTTGCCTTGTTCCGCCAGGTGCCCGCGGGAGAGGGCCAGGAGGAGACCAAGGTTGGGCTGCAATACACGGTGACCAATAAGCAGAACTACGGCGGGGTTCCCGAGATCACTCGCGAGCGGGTGAAGGACACGCTGAACAAGGCGCTGGAACTCTTCGCCCAAGAGGGCAACGCCCCTAAAAAGTCGAAGAAGAAGGCAACAGAGGTGCTGAGAAGAGCATTGTCGCAAGGTTTCCCGGAATACCCTCCACTGCTCTTGGATCATGCCTTTGCTGTGAAGGAGTTCGATCCAGCTACCCCGCTGGACCGGGTGCTTGAGGATGAAGGTCTACTTCGCGGACTAGAAGGAGTCTTGGAAGAAGCGCAGCGCGTCTCTGAGAGCTTCAATGTCGGCGACAGTCATCCCGGCTATATTGTTGCCAAGGAAGACTCTCGACCCCGTGCAGAGGGAGAGAGCACGTCGCAAACCCCGGGCCTTCTCTATGAAGACTTCCATCCCTTCAAGCCGCGGCAGTTCGAACGAAACCCGGACATTACGATATTGGAATTTGAGCGTTTCAACGCGACCGTCGACGAGTACTTTTCGTCGATAGAATCCCAACGGCTAGAGTCGAGACTGACCGAGAAAGAAGAGGCAGCGAAGCGAAAGCTGGAGTCCGTGCGGAAGGAACATGAAAAGCGGATCGATGCGTTGAAAGATGCTCAGGAGCTCCATATTCGCAAGGCGGACGCGATCCAAGACAATGTCTATCGCGTCCAAGAAGCGATGGACGCTGTCAACGGTCTGATCGCACAGGGCATGGATTGGGGTGAGATTGCCCGCCTGATTGAAATGGAGCAGGGACGAGGCAATCCAGTTGCACAGAGCATCAAGCTGCCTCTCAAGCTGTACGAAAACACCGTCACGTTGCTCCTCGGCGAGGTGGGCCAGGAGGAAGATGAAGATGACGACGAGCTTGCCTCGAGCGATGAGTCCGAGTCTGAATCCGATGACGATGAAAGAGAAGAGCAGAGGCGTGAGACTGAGTCTCGGATGCTATCGATCGACATCGATCTCGGACTGACTCCATGGGCAAATGCAACGCAGTACTACGAGCAGAAGAAGGTGGCCTCGCAAAAGCAGCAGAGGACGGCACAGTCGTCCCAGAAGGCACTCAAGAGTCACGAGAAGAAGGTAACGACGGATCTCAAGCGGAGCCTGAAGCAGGAGAAACAGGTTCTGCGCCAGGCCAGGACGCCGTTTTGGTTTGAGAAATTTATCTTCTTCATTTCTTCGGAAGGCTATTTGATTCTGGGGTTCGTCTATCTAAACATTCTGATTGTGACATCTGCTAATTTCTACAGGGGCCGAGACGCCATGCAGAGTGAGCTGTTGTATCGGCGCTACTTGAACAAAGGCGACATTTTTGTGCACGCAGACCTAGCAGGAGCGACCTCTATGGTTGTCAAGAACAGATCCCAGAATGTGGATGCGCCAATCCCTCCTAGCACTCTGTCTCAAGCGGGCAATCTGTGCGTCGCCACCTCGACAGCATGGGATTCCAAGGCCGTGATGTCTGCTTGGTGGGCATATGCCCATCAAGTGTCCAAGACGGCAGCAGCAGGTGGCGGAATCTTGCCGACAGGCGAATTCCAGATCAAGGGCGAGAAGAACTTCTTGGCGCCTTCGCAACTGGTCCTTGGGTTTGCAGTCATGTTCCAGATCAGCAAGGAAAGCCTTCGGAATCATAAGACACAGCAATTCGAAACACCTGATGTCGCAGAGGCGGCATATGTGGCTGCGAAAACCAACGAACCTTCGCCTCCCGGACAAGAACCCTCGAAGGAGATAAACGCTGCAGCCGATGTGAATGGACATGAACAGGATGAAGAGTACGCGTCCGGCGAAGGCGAAGATGACGGAAGTGAACAGGCTCGAAATCCCCTGCAGCGAGGTGATTCTGAAGTTCTGTCCGCTCCTCGGGAATCTGAATCCGAATCTGATGATGAGAGTGGAAAAAATGAAGATCAAGAACTGGATGAGCAGCAAGAGGAAAGAGTCGACCGAGAAGATGCTGAGGAGGAAGAAACCGCCTCGGTGGCTGAACAAGATGCCGCATCTCAACCCAGAGATCTGAAGGATCTTTCTGCACGCGATAGACGCTCTGTACGACAGGGCAAGTCTGTTGACCCACAACCGCCACCACCTCCCCGGACAGCTCCCACCCGAGGCAAGCGAGCGAAGGAGAAGCGCGCTGCTGCCAAGTACGCACACCAAGACGACGAAGAACGTGATCTGGCACTCCGACTTCTCGGCACGAACAAGGGTAAAGCTGCAAAGGCGGCCCAGGCAGCCGAAGCCAAAGCCCAGCGGGAACGAGAAGTCGAAGCACAGAGACAACGACGTCGGGCCCAGCATGAGCGTGCTGCGGAAGCCGAGAAAAAGCGTCAGGCTCTCTTTGCTGAGGGAGGCGCGGACGACTACGACGAAGAGACCGCCGCGGCCGAAGCTGCAGATCTATCTTGGATCCCAGCTCTGATCGGAACACCTACTCCGGACGACGAGATTGTTGCCGCTATTCCAGTTTGTGCACCATGGGCTGCTCTAGGGCGGTACAAGTACAAGGTGAAGCTACAACCTGGCACAGTGAAGAAGGGAAAGGCCGTCAAAGAGATTATCGGCCGGTGGGTATCAGAAACAACCGCTGGCAAAGTCAAGAAGGAGCACGCTGAGGATGCCGGTGTTCCTCGTGCGGACGCAGAGCGGTTGCGGGCGCGCGAGGGTGAGTTGATCAAGGGCTGGAAGGACACGGAGGTCATTAATACCATGCCCGTGGGCAAAGTGCGGATTATGACACCTGGCGGTGCAGGAGCTGGGGGCGGAGGTGATAAAGGTAAAGCCAAGGGAGGCGGCAAAGGTGGCGGTGCCAAGGGAGGGAAAGGTGGGAAGAAGAAGTAGAGAGAGGGGATTATACCACTGATAGAAGCGATAGACATGCATGATGTCGGTGTTGATTATCCACATCTCCGAGTAAAGCAAGAGAGAAAGCTCATGAATAATAGCTGCTATATGAAGGGGTCATGTGAATGCACACTGAATGGTTCTCGCCAGTACACAGGTAGAAACACCAGTGGTTGCCTCTTGGGGAGGCGGCCGTGGGTAGCAGCAGAAATATGTAAGATTCCGTAGTTCAATAATGTGCTTTTTACCTGCGGCGATGAATTGTAGATTCCGCAATAGGATGTTCATTGTGGTGGAACTGGATATTGGTATAGTCGGAGTCGAAAAATACTAACGAACTACATTTCTTGAACCCTATCTTGGAACAATCTATATTTGGCTTAATCGGCGTAATAGGCCTCCCGAAATGCATATTAAAAGACGACATGCGGCGAATATCCAAATTAAGAAAATGGATGGTGACTGGATGAGACGGTATTGTATACTTGCCGATTTGGGACACTACCACCAGGTCCAAATCGAATACGGAACAGTTCTGCCATTGATATTGCATCTTTACGAAGTTCATATTCCGCCCGCTCCTTCTAGGTATCTACTTCTCTGCATAGTCATTCTTTTGCCAGTGGGACTTGATGCGGTGCCTGGTTGGATGAGTCATCCCACGTCATGGTCCCTGTCGCGATAAGAGGGAAAAAAACCGCATCTCTTGAACACGCAAGACACCCACGACATGGCACCTCCAAGTCACATTTAATGGGATAGTGCACCCCCGATTCGCTGACTCCATTCTACCGGCCAACAGACGCTTTATCGGGGTTGCCCCCTCCAATCCTACCGCACTGGGTCGGGCCGCCATACGTCGCTCCCGCTCTTCGACCGGATTGCGCGTGCGCGAGGAGGGCGCGTCGTTGATCGGATCCGCTTGAAACATCGGACAAGCTGCTGCTCCTCGCATCTTTGCTGGCAGCCGTCAGCGCAGCGTTGCTAGGCTCTTGACCATGGCGGCCCAGGACACCACCCGGGTTGTCTCTGTGGAACGACTCAGCCGGGGACCGGGCGACCGATCTCTGGCGGAGTGGTGGGAGACAGAATGCAGTAAACAAACCCCCGAATCCAAGGCTATCGAAGAAGCCGCCCATCTGCTCCGCACCAGTGATACCCCCGTCGCCTTCCCAACCGAGACCGTGTACGGATTGGGTGCGGATGCGACCCGCAGCGCCGCCGTACAGGGTATCTACAAGGCGAAACAACGGCCATCGGATAATCCGCTGATCATCCATGTCGATTCCCTCGACATGCTTGATCGCCTACTCAACACCACCCTGCAGACCAGCCCCAGCGTAGCCAAGATGCCGCGCATCTGCGTTCCGCCGATCTACAAGCCTCTGATCGAGCGATTCTGGCCGGGCCCGCTGACGATCATCCTCCCCAATCCATCTGGATCTGAGCTGGCTGCAGAGGTGACCTCCAATCTGACGACGTTTGGTGTGCGCATGCCTTCTTCTCCGCTGGCACGCCTTCTCATCCATGTCACAGACCGCCCGCTTGCCGCGCCGTCGGCCAACGCCTCTACCAAGCCCTCTCCGACGACAGCACAGCATGTCTACCACGACCTCAATGGACGGATCGATCTGATCCTGGACGGTGGCCCATCCGGCCTCGGTGTTGAGAGCACAGTGGTCGATGGGCTCTGTGAGCCGCCCGCTGTTCTCCGGCCAGGTGGAATCGGCATTGAAGAGCTGCGCGAGTGCGCCGGTTGGGAAGACGTGGTTGTCGCATACCACGACGGCACGTTGGACGTGAAGGAGATTCCCCGCGCTCCCGGTATGAAATACCGACACTACTCGCCCAAAGCACGGGTGGTACTGTTCGAAGCCGGGTCAAGCCCGGCCGGTGTGGAGGCTCACGTCCGCAAAGATCTACAAGATACTGCTATTGGCGCGCATACTATCGGCATTGTGCGCACGCGCAATTGGGCACAGGGGCTGAATCTGACGCCAGCCGACGAATTGGCTGGGACCCTGACTCCCGTGTCTGCAGCCATCGATAATCTGGTCCGTTTCCCTATTCCCGTCCCCGAGACCGACAGCCCGAGCAGCCGGACCAAGATGGCGTATGATTATCATCTCGGCTCGGATGCGGTCTCTATTGCACACGGACTGTTTGCTGCCTTGCGCGCCCTGGACGAACTCGACGTCGATGTCATCTACGTCGAAGGCGTTTCAGACCGAGACGGCGACTTGGCTGCCGCGGTGATGAACCGACTCCGCAAAGCCGCGGGGGCGGAATTAAAAGTATAGATAGAATGTTGATAGAGGTCTTGCTTTTAGGGTTGTATTCTTAATAATATTCTCTTGTTTGCCATGTATGTACAGAGCAACATCAACCGAAGTACCGCATCTCTTGGACCTGCCGCATCGGGTGCGCAGTGTCTCGGTATACTCTTCGTGGAAATGCTTATCGGGGACCTCCGCCCCTTATCGATTCCCCTCCCCTAAATACATATCTGGGCTTCTTCCCGCCCAGTTTTTTCTTCTTCGGGGGAGGAACTCAATTGTCAACGATTATTGCCATTATGTGCCAACACCCACTCCACGAGTTCCTCCAGGGCCTGCCGAAATGCGAACACCACGTCCATCTGGAGGGGTGCTTGACCCCCGAGCTGATCTTCCAGCTGGCCGAGCGCAATGGTATCACCCTGCCCGACCCAGCCACCAACCCAGCGTACGCCTCAATTGAAACCCTGGCGGCGCGCTATGAGCGGTTCACCTCGTTGGACGATTTTCTGTCTTTCTACTTCGAGGGCATGGCCGTGCTGCGCAGGGAGCGCGATTTCTCCGACCTCGCCTGGTCGTATTTCCAGCAAGCCCACGCAGACGGCGTGCACCACGCCGAAGTCTTTTTCGACCCGCAAGTGCATCAAAGCCGCGGTGTTCCATACGAGACCATCGTCGCCGGCTTCGCGGAGGGGTGTCGACGTGCAGAGCAGGAGCTGGGGATATCAACCCGCCTGATCCTCTGTTTCGTGCGCCATCTGTCCGTCTCCTCCGCGAAACAAGTCTATGAGGAACTCGTGCAGCACAAGCACGTTGAACTGGGTGTCATCCACGGCCTGGGCTGGTCCTCCACCGAAGTTGGTCCGCCCAAGGACATGTTCCGCGAGATCTACGCCTCGGCCGCGGAGAAGGGGATCCCCCTGACCGCGCACGCAGGCGAGGAAGGCGACCCGACGTACATCAGCACCGCGCTGGAACTGGGCGCACAGCGTATCGACCACGGGATCCGACTGATCGAAGACCCGGAGCTGATGAAACGTGTCGCGCGGGAGGGGATCCTCTTGACGGTGTGTCCGCTGTCGAACGTGCGGTTAAAGTGCGTTCCGGACGTGTCGCATGTGCCCATCCGCCGGTTTTTGGAGGCGGGCGTCAAGTTCTCGATCAACAGTGACGACCCGGCGTATTTTGGAGGCTATATCCTCGATAACTACTGTGCGGTGCAGGAGGCATTCCAGCTGAACGTGCTGGAGTGGCGCATTATCGCGGAGAACAGTGTGCAGGAGAGCTGGATTCCCAATGAGCGCAAGGCGCAGCTGTTGGAGTCGATCCAGGCACATGTGAAGAAGCATATGCGGCCCGTGGAGGCATAAGGCTGATGCTACCCATTGTGAATAACCCATGCCCAAGTATATACTGCCATTAGATACATATACAGTATTTCTCTCTATTCTGAATGTACACATAGTTCAAGACCTCAATATGCCCCAGCCATCAACAGATGACTAATCTACACCGTTTCTAACTACGCCGCCCGCTGCGTGTTTACCTTCATCTGTCATGACTTCCATTCTGTCGTCCGGCTTCCTCACCCGGTCAACCCGGCACCTCCGCCTAGTGCCTGTACAAGTATCATATCTCCGCGACATTTCCCATCTTTCCTCGCAAGCAAAGGCCCCGCAAGTGCGCAGTCGAAGGCCTCTTCCCAAGCAGACCATTGCTTACACTCACAACCGCAAAATGTCGACTTCAACCCCAGTTCCAGAGCGGTACAAACTAATCTTCTTCGTTCCCCCATCCCACCTGGAGCCCTGCAAAGAAGCCATTTTCGCCACGGGCGGCGGCGCCTTCCCAGGAGGCAAATACACCAAGTGTGCCTTCCAGACCCGCGGGACAGGCCAATTCCTACCCAACGAGGGCGCGGATCCCGCAATTGGGGAGGTGGGTGCGCTTGAGCAGTGCGAGGAGCTCAAGGTGGAGATTATGTGTTTGGGGAGAGAGGTGATGCTGAACGCAGTCAAGGAGCTGGTGAGGGCGCATCCGTATGAGGAGGTTGCGTATGAGGTTTATCGGATGGAAAATGTGTAGATGCTAGGTCAGTGCCGGACAGCGTTTGTTCTTTTTTCTCTCCTGCTTCACTTCGGCGCTTCCTTGACTCGGTGATGGGGAAGCTCGAATCAATCCGACATTTCAGAGCGGTATGCATTAATCTATAAGTCACAGTCTCCAAGGTTCATCCTCGTGTGTTGTATGTAGCTAAGCCACAAGAACACCTCTAAAAGCTACGACTTGCGAGTGAGGCATGTTGATGCCAACGAACCCATGCATATCAGCTATAGCTACCTACAAAAATAAACGGGATTGATTATAATAATAATATTGGCGACGGTCAACATGCCGCCTCGAGTAGCGATCGGCTCTAAGATCACAGGGTGAGTCGCTCACTGGGCACTCAGAGCTGGCCCTGAGCGGGCTCTGAGCGATCTGTTCTTTATATTTGCTCGCAAGCTCGTTCATTGTTCATCGTAATGGTAGTGTGTGACTCGGGACCGTCAGTTGTGGTGAACGTCGGCAGTTACCAAGCACTGTTACTATATATAATGCATAAGAATGAGGGCTAATATGTTGATACGGTCTTACGGGACGGAAATGGCCGGATCTCTGTGGTGGTACTAAGGGCATCGATGTCCAATTGCCACCCTCCCGTTAGGTTCGCAGATCCATTTGCTAAATTGACGCGAAGTTCAGCCGCATTTTTTCACCCATTGGCGACCTTCCGTCTGCTTTTTCCAGGCAGTTGATAATGTCGACTTAGCTATGTGCCAAGGGCGGTGGCCAATGGCCGATGGCCGATAAGGCTTGAATGGGTACCAAGAAGGGGCAGCCGGTGTGATCGGCCGATAGGGCGATAAACCAGACGAACCCCAGAAAACGCGGCAACTCGCCGAGAGTCGGCCCGCAGAATTGCAGCAAGTACTTACTGCCTGTGCACTCTGATGGCTTTGTGCTAGATAGTGGCCGTGTCTTCTGACAAAGATCCCTGGTTGTCAGGGCCGAACTTAACTCAAAGCCCCATACGGGCGTGGGCTGGACCTATCTGCCTTTGAGATCAATTGAACCTAAATGCCTCCGCGACGTGGCGAATATTTTTATAAATATGATACCGGAACCACGACGAAAACCAACCCTCCTTCCCGAAGGAATTCAGAAGTCACTCCGGGTTAGCCGTCAATCACCATCATAATAATCGTTCCCATCACACTATGGATGAAATCAGTACCGAATCGAACAATTCTCATGTGGTGGCATCAAAGATCCAGGAGGACAATGATGCCATCGCCCTCGCGAAGATCACAGGCTACGAACAGCAGATGGTCAGACGATGGAGTCTGCAAAAGGTCATCGGCATGGGCCTCGGGTTGGCTTCGACCTGGGCATTTGCGGGTGCAGGTCTCACACTGGTGATTGCTGAAGGCGGACCAGCAGCTGCGCTGTATGGTTTCCTCTTTGTGTCAGCCTTTACCTTTTGTGTGGCGGCGTCGATTGCCGAGCTGATTTCTGCCTATCCCACTTCGGGTGGACCCTTTTACTGGACGGCTCGAGTCGCCTCTCCGAAATATGCGCGTTTCCTGTCCATGTTGACCGGCACGGCCAACTGCATGTCCTGGATCTGTGCCTGTGCCAGCGTTGCCAGCACGAATGCGCAGCAGATCTTCGGCTTTGTGGTCATCACGCATCCCAGCTTTAAGATTGAACGCTGGATGCTGTACCTCTTGTATCTGTTCTTCATGGTGGCCGGCATGCTCTTCACCATGTTTGCCTACCCGCTTGTGCCCATCGTCAACAAGTGGCTAATCTACTGGAGCCAAACGGCCATGATGGTGAGCATCATCATCATGCTGGCCAGCTCCAGAGGCCATTTTGCCGCCAGCCACTTTGTCTGGGCAGAATACATCAACCAGACCGGGTGGGACAATGTGCTCTGTTTCCTGACCGGTTTGATCAACAGCGGTTTTCAATACGGCCATCTGGACGCGTCCGTTCACATTGCCGAAGAGGCCAGCCGGCCCGAAAAGAACATCCCCATAGCCATCGCCGCTCAGATGGCCGTCTCATTCCCGCAGGGATTCATTTTCCAGGTCGTTATGTTTTACTGCATCAAGGATCTTGACAAAATCATGTCCGCGACCATTCCGGACGCCGAACTTTTCTTGCAAGCGGCCGGTTCTCAAGCAGGCGCCATCGTCATCCAACTAATGGTCGTCAGCGTTCTCATCTGCGTGAACCTAGAGGTTCAGACCACGGCATCGCGCCTGGTCTGGTCCTTTGCTCGCGACCGAGCCTTCCCATTCTCCGACTGGCTAGCAGTCATTCACCCAAAGTTATTGGTCCCCGTCAACGCGCAAATTGTCGTCAACTGCATCGTCTTTCTCCTAGGATTCCTCTATCTATTTGCTGGCCAGGCCTACAGCGCCCTGGTCGGATCGTCCTTCATCTTGGCATACCTCGCCTACTTTATCCCTATCGCATGCTTGGTCGTTAGCGGTCGCAAGTTCAAACCCGGCCCGTTTTATATGCGGAAATGGGGCGTGGTTGTCAACATTCTTTCCCTGGGCTGGCTGTTGATCGGCATCGTGTTCTGGCAATTCCCGTTCTTCCTTCCTGTCGTCGGCCATGTGGCGGCCAATATGAACTGGACCGTCGTGGTTGTCGGAGGTATTCTACTACTGGCGACCATTTGGTACTTCGCCGCTGGATCCAAGCAATACAATATCTCCATCGGATCCGACAACGACGCCGCTGTTCTCGAAGGATCGCAGCCATCAGAACAAAGTAACGAGCCTGTCTCAGTGCAGGAGACGAAGGCTTGATTTTTTCAGCACTTCAGCAAATAATTTTCTGTGAATAAAGGGGCTCCAAGGGTCATTATAGATATAGATGTTAGTATATGATTATTTTCTTCGACAATGGGATATGAAAATCAACTATGAGAGAAATTAATTTAGAGTCCTTCTTTCTTATGAAAATACAGATAAGCTTCTGACCCAAATCCTACATGCAATTGACTGAGTTGTCAGAATGTAAATCTGGTGTCATCATCAACACATGTAGTACTATGGTTTTTACTACCATATTGATAGTGAAATACAGACAGGCCGCTTAACAACAACAAGCTGGTTTACTCCGCAAACCGCAATAGGTCGGAAGTTAAAATCTTCGAATACTGTAGGTTTCACTACAGAACCATGGCTAGGTCTTCTCCGGAAACTTTATTATTCCAAAGATTCCCCCGATAGATAAGAACTACCATGGCCTTTCTTTTGCCTTCGGCCGATAACCCGATAACTATCTATCCCTTGGATAATCACTCGATCCAACGTCTTTCCCAAAAGTCTCGATTAACCTTCAGTGTTTCCATCGTTCAACAATCCTCAATCCTCAACATTGAACTCTTCGTATTTTCATTCGCCCACCCCCAACCCTCAAAAAATGACTGGCAATATCATTTTCTATGGGAGAATCGTACACAGCAAATCGCTCAAATGTCTCCAAATCTTTACCAAAGCAGCATTAGGCATCAACCACCATGGTGAAATCGAGTTCCTCGACGAAAATGTGGCATCGGGTGAAGAGGCTGCGCTGAAATATACCGGGTTTGGAGATGCGAAAATAATGACGCTTAAGCCACTTCAATTTCTGTTCCCGGGGTTTATTGACACGCATATGCATGCACCTCAATGGCCTAACTTCGGGATCGGGATGGAAGGTGATAACCTGTATTGGCGAGAAAACTTTACCGATCCGCTCGAAGTTACCTTTAAAGACACAGACAAGGCGCGGCGAGTGTACAGCCAGGTGGTCCAGAAGGAGCTAGAAAACGGATCGACAACGGTGGCTTACAACACGACGATCCACCACGAGGCCACAACGGTTCTGGCGGACTTGTGTCTCCAGTACGGACAGCGCGCCATCATTGGCAAAATCTGCATGCTGGTCAATGCCACCCACGGTAATTCTGAGGCCTCGGTTGAACAATCTCTTGAGGACGCGAGCAAGACAATTGCCTATATTGAGACAGTTGATCCCGACGCCCGGCTGCTATCACCCTGTGTCGAACCCAGAGGTGGATCTTTTGTGCCCGGAGCCCTGATGAAGGGGCTAGGGGACCTGTGTTCTCGTCGCAAGGATGGGCGTCTGTATCATGTCCAAACCCACATGGCCGAGACCACGCAGGATGTCGCTCGCATGAGAAAGCTACATCCGGACTTTCACCAGTACTCGGACATGTACCATCACTACGGTCTGCTGCACCAGAAAACCATTCTCGCGCACTGCGTGCACCTATCCGATCACGACATCGACATGATTGCCCAGAATAACGCCGGGGTGTCCCATAACCCAAATTCCAACACATGCTTGACGGCGGGAGAATGCAGGGTGAGACAATTGCTGAACTCTGGGGTGAAAGTCGGTCTGGGGACGGACTGCTCGGCCGGATATTCTCCATCCATTCTGAATGCGATGCGCGAAGCAAGCAATGTATCCAGGCACCTCGTTATCCGCACCGGCGACCCTTCATGGCGGCTGTCGATCGAGGAGATTATTTTCCTAGGCACTCTGGGTGGCGCCCAGGTTTGTGGCATGGAGGACAAGATTGGCAACTTTGAGCCGGGCAAGTGTTTTGATGCATTGCTAATCGACGTTGGCTTGAAAGATAATATCAACTCCGATGGTTGGGAGCATGATGATCTTGCATTGGTGAAGAAATGGGTGTTCCTGGGCGATGACCGGTCGATTCGGCTGGTGTGGGTGAATGGCCAGCTGGTGGCTGGAAAAGACAAATGTTGAATATGTACTATTTGGAGATTATCAATAGATTACTTCAGTTCAAATTTTTGCGTAGATGGCGAGGTGGGAGCAATATCCATTGGACCGGCTATAACACGAGCAAAACGTCTGTTGCTTTCGCGGGAATTGTTATAATTAGCATCGAATGATGAACTCTCCAGCTTTCCCTGTGCGAGGTAGACAAAGAACAGGAAGAATATCATATTCATTCGAAATTACAGGATAAATATACGTAGATGAAAAGACGTCGATCGTGAAGACTATAGACAGATTTATTAAAACAGCCCATGTATCATCCGTCATTAACTAAGTAGTCAGTGATCCACAGAACATCCAGCCCGTCAAACAACAAGGAAAACGAAGCCTCAGTCACTATTCCCTAGTCACTTCTCTAGGCCAAACTCTCCTGCTTCAGAGTCATTCTTAGGCTTCATACTCCGCCCCTCAACCACCGTTCCTTGCAGATACTCCGGCACTATCTCATCCTCCGGAAAGAAGCCCTCCATATACTTCATCACTTCCCAGCTATCATCCTTTGGCCCAACCTCCAAGGGATATACCTGCAGCGGCCAAATCTTGCAGCATATATAATACAGAAGTCCTGAGAAAGTCGTTGAGAGCAAGAATCCCATGTCGTAGATATGTACAGCCGCGATTCCGATAGATCCAGGTTTGAGAGCGCCCGAGACTCCCGGAATGACTAGCGTTATGCCCGCGGCCCAAGCAACGAATGCACGTATGTTGAAACCGTGGGTGTAGAAATACGGAGCGCCGGGGTTTGGGTTGTAGAGGGAAGGGACGTGGATATTGCCCCGGCGACAAATCCAGTAATCGACACTAGCAAAATTTGATTAGTAGTCAGTACGTTGAATGGAAGTGTGGACGGTTGTGACTGTTCGAGAAGACAATTGGAAGAAGCTTACATCATGACGGATACGATGGGGCAGATAAAGCACAGATAGGACCCGAGGAACGTCAGGAACGACGAAGCGGAATAAGTCAGTTTCCATGGAGCTAATGCGGTTAATTAGCCTATGCCAACTTCAAGGTTGTGAGACGGATATGCTCTTACCACACGCCCAGGCGAGCAGGAAACAGACTATCTGGCCACGAATAATTGTAAAGTAGCGCGGGAATAAGCCGGCCAGATCGCATCCGACAGGGATAGAGTTACTGGTGATGTTGGTGACGAAAGTCGCGAATGCCTATTGGATTCATAGTGAGCTGAAGAGTAGTAGTTGCCAAATAAGCGGATGTAACGTACCTGAATGCCTGCAGCCAAAAACACAACTGTTCTGGTACCTGGACCCCAGTATTTGTCCAGGACACCTGAATAGAAGTCCCACATGTTCCAATATGCCTACCATGACAGTCAGTGCCTGTCAGATTTTTCCTAATAGGAGGCCACCTCGTGAAGAGCATCGTACCTCGCCAAACTGCTTATAACCAGCACTTGTAATAATCATGCCAAAGAGCACCACAACCGGTTTACTCAAAATAATCCCAATAGGCAAAGGCAAGGTGTCTCGGGGGCGCTTTGCATATCTTGCCAGATCGGGAATATTGACCAACGGAGGAATTACATTTGAGATGATCGTGTTGATGGACAAGATGAATGACCATCCCAAAGCAGCACCAGAGGCATCTGCTTTACCGAGGCCGTTGAAATCTGTACCATGACTAGTGACCTGTACATAATACGTCAGAAGGGGTAGAGATCCACGAGGCCGGATTGATATCTCACCAATGCCCAAATCATAGTCCCGATCAAACCAATTGGTGCAAGAACGGACTTTGCTTTGAATACCATTGTCATCTTACTCGGGTGCACGAAAGCAAATGGGAACTGAAGCAGCCAGAGAATAAGAAAGGATGTTAATTCAGCAGAGGTGATGCCTGCTGCCGGCGGAAGATCTGAAACTGAAAGTTAGCTTTCTGTAGTGTTCCAGGATAGCTTCAATAGCTCGCGTACGGTTGGGAATTTGGGTCCACTTGTAGCCAAATATGCAGCGTAGCATCACATTCACAAAATAGCTGGCGTATAGCGTCTGTATGCTCATATAGAGGACCGCAACTACCTGCAGAATTTGGTCAGATATTTCCTAGCATTTGGTGAGAAATGCGATAACGTACCCCTCGGACGAAAACAAAGATGAGAGAGCCATAGATACCAGCTGACATGCGAACAAAAACTGGATACCCCACATGGTACCTGCAAGCCCAGTTAGTCCGACAGACATTGGCTCTGGGAGATCAGTGGCTTACCGGGAGGCACCTCTAGCATTCAACCAAAGCATTGCGGCGACCATGAATGAGACGATGACTATCTCACGGTTAGTCCTCGGATCAAACATCTCCACGAAGGACTGAAGCTTGACTTACAGGACGAAATCAGGATAATCCACCAGCTCAAACCAACAGCAAAGAGACTGGCCCCAACATTGTATGTAGTCGGAGAGAACGCAATGCTGAATTGGAATGCAAAAAAGGACCACGGAGTCCAGGTTCGTTGCCACGGGGGAGAAGGATCTAAGTCCTTGTTGGACCAGCTTGTGAACAGCCCGGCATCCTCATCACTCTCCTCTTTTTCGATCCGAATCGCTTCGACAATAGTCCGAGGACTGGAGAAGATTTGTCTTACGCGCGTTGCACGCTGCCGTATGGTCGTCATCTTGAATGATTCAACTCTATGCGCTTTCTCTCAGCGTGAAGCCCTGTAATAAGGACGTTGAAAAGAGAGGTCTTTCACCAACTACACGATAAAACTTCCACGAGAAGAATCGAGATGTCTGCTCGTATTTATCTTTCAGCATCCATAACCACTAGTCTACGCAGATCTCTAGGGAATATCATGCAACAGACCTCCTTTTCGTCCATAGTGGATATTACTAGAACGAGCTAATCCCCCAAACACCAACCAGCAACCGATCGATAACATACTCAGTAAGTGAGCAGGCTACCCCAAATTACATAGTACAGGGGTATTGCAAGAGGTCTGAGAACCTCTTCGTTCCCTATCGGGGTTAAACCACTAACTAATGGCAATTTTGGAGTGGGTCGGTCTCGAATTGCCATCAGAATAAGTCGCGCGGTACTCCAACGGGTTCCAGACGTTTGTAACGCCACCGTATCCGCAATAAACTTTGGGTTGGTGGAGGTTTGGTATTCCGAATACGTTAAGAGTTGGGGCGGCTGGAATTGAAGTGGTTGATGATCGGGCGATAAGATCAAGGCCAAATCCGCCGAGTGAGGGGGATAGAGGCGCACGTGGAGTTTTTGACCACTCGTTGCTGTACTTCTATCGCATGAACCTTGGTAGCTCTTAACGGTCATAATCCAAAAAAAAAAAATAAATCCCCATCTCACCGCAGAGGGAACCCTCGAATGCCCTTTTAAACAAGTTGAACTTCAGAAATCTCTCTCATCAAGTCCAACCATTCAGGACTACTTCCTCCATCAGTTCCCTTACCTGTCACAAAGAACCTGATCTACTGTCACCATGGCCAAGCGAATCCGCCTCGGTATCCTCACACCCTCCTCCAACACCAGCCTCGAACCGTTATCGCAAGCGATTATCGCCAAGCTCCCTAATGTATCCGTCCATTTCTCTCGCTTCACTGTTCTCAAAATCAGTCTAGAGGATGACGCACTCGCCCAATTCCAGACGCAAAAGATCCTCGAAGCTGCCAGACTGCTGGCTGACGCCAACGTCGACATCATTGGTTGGAGCGGCACCTCCTCTGGCTGGCTCGGTTTCCACGCCGATGAGGAACTTTGCGAAACCATCACTGCTGCAACGGGGATTCCCGCGACAACATCTGTTTTGGCCTTGAACAAAGCTGTCCGAGCTCTTTCGATTACTGATCTGGGTCTTGTGACTCCATATCTGGACAATGTGCAGGCTGCGATTGTAAAGACGTATGCAACGATCGCGGTTGATTGCCGCAAGGAACGCCATCTTGGGCTATCGAAGAATAGCGATTTCGGAAACGTCGAAGAGTCCACCCTCGATGAGATGGTCGCAGATGTGGTGGCGCGGCACCCGCAGGCTATTACGACTTTCTGTACGAATCTGCGGGCGGCGCAGAGAGTGGATTACTGGGAAGACAAGCACGGGGTGATCGTGTTGGATACCGTGGCGACGGTCATCTGGGATATGTTGTTACAATGTCGGGTGGACCCCGCGGGCGTGGAGGGATGGGGACGTTTGTTCCAGGTGGACATATGATCCTATACCGGATCCCTGTCAGTCGGGGATAGAATCGTACTCAACCCTGCACCTGACATTGGCTAACCGATTCGTATCGCAATTTGCTATCGCTCGTCGCTTGATTACATGTATATTCTTTGCTTCAAACTGGAGTCATCAATTACAATATCCCGGTACAATCAATGGATGAGAATTTTACCTACCCACAAGACTGTGTAGTGAGCCTATCCCAGACTCGCCACATTCAAGAGAGCATGAGGGAATAAACGGAGGGATAAGGATCGGCCGATCGCCCGAACGGCCGAGTGGGTCTTATCGGCTTAGATCCACCGGCTGCTCCTTATCAGCCCTGCCGATCAGAACAATACGGGGGACTGGTTCGGCAATCAGATCCAATTCCGAATATTTACATCTTCGCCGAATTTCGTCCAGTGGGTGTTGCACTTTTTCCTCCTAGTGCTGCGTATCTGGTCCTTATCGATTCGATCACTACCGACAGTGGAAAGCAGTTGTCGCTGGTTTGCCCTGACCATCTATCGGGTCATCCTCCCTTTCTGTCTCGTTGGACCTTCACGCTAAAGCCGAGTCGATCGTTGTGGTGTCGAGTAAGACGATTCGAATTCTCGTGGTCCCCTCGCGCCGTTCATTGATTAAGAAACGAGACCGCCGTGATGACGATGTATCCTGCACTTCCAACCATCCCCTCGGCCTTCACGTATGATTGCCTGATTGTCAATGGCACTGTCGTGACAGCCTCGGATACAGCTTGCTATGACATTGCCATTAAGGATGGGAAAATCGCACTTCTCACCCCCACGGGTGTCTTGGATCATACTGTCTGCAAGCGCGTCATCGACGCAGAAGGTGCATATGTAATGGTGAGCGAAGATTCGTGGAAGATTCCTGGGCTCATGCATCAGAGACTGACCGTTTTAGCCCGGCGGGATCGACGCCCACGTTCATCTGGCAGAGCCCCAGCTCTTTGGCAAAGGACGCACGGCCGACGACTTCACGACTGGCACCCGGTCCGCCATCGCTGGCGGCACGACGACCATCATCGCTTTCGCACCGCAGGACAAGAGAGACAACTCCCTGCTCCCTGCTCTGGAAGAAACTTCGCTCAAAGCGTTGGACAGCACCTACTGCGACTACTCTTTCCACCTGCTCATCTCAAACCCCTCGCCAGCCGCCCTCGACGACTTTACTCGCCTGCGAGATCGTGGCATCTCCTCGGTGAAAATTTACATGACTTATGAGGCACTACAGCTCCGTGACAACCAGATCCTCGACGTTCTTCTCCGCGCACGACAGACAGGCATCACGACCATGATCCACGCTGAAAATGGAGACGTACTAACTTGGATGACCGCCAAGCTCGAAGAGCAGAATCTGCTCGCTCCCAAGTACCACGCAACTTCGCGGCCGCAGATCTTAGAGTCGGAGGCGACGAATCGCGCGATCGCACTAGGACAACTCATCAACACGCCCATCCTGATTGTACACGTCTCATCTCCGGCGGCGGCGGAGGTGATTCGAAATGCGCAAACAAGGGGACTACCCGTGTATGCGGAGACGTGTCCGCAGTATCTCTTTCTAACTCGACAAGATCTGGATAAGCCCGGTTTTGAGGGTGCCAAGTGCGTGTGTTCGCCGCCTCCTCGCGAAGGAAAGGAGGACCACGAGGGGATCTGGAAGGGACTACAGAACGGAACGTTCACGATCCTATCATCGGATCATTGTCCTTTCTTCTACAACGATAGCGAGATTGGGAAGAAAGCTGCGATCACGGAGGATGCGCCGGTCGGACGATTTAAGTACATCCCGAATGGGTGTCCTGGGGTAGAAACGAGATTGCCTTTGGTCATGAGCGAGAAGAGACTGACCGTTCAAAAACTTGTCGAGGTGACGAGTGCCAACCCGGCCAAGCTGTATGGGCTCTATCCGAGGAAGGGCGCGTTGATTCCGGGCATGTCCGATGCGGATCTGGTCATTTGGTATCCAGATTCTATGCCGCCATTCAGTATTACCAATGACATGCTGCATCACAATGTCGACTATACACCGTTCGAGGGCAGAGTTGTCTCTCAGTGGCCGCGGTATACACTGATTCGTGGAGAGGTGGTGTGGGACAGAGACAATGGGGGCATAGTTGGCAAGAAGGGCTATGGGCAGTTTATCAAGAGGGATCGAAGTGTTTGGGCGAGTGCTGACCCATCCGGTTGGGATGTTGAAAAGTGTTGAACAATTAAGTTGTTGTTGGAGCGGTCTATACCGGAGGTAGTATTTCTAGGTGCATCACCGGCTAAGACTATTATGCATTATATAGAACATAGATTCCCCCCCTTGAATCGCAGATGCTACAATAATAATGTACATTACATCGGCAGCTCTGCCTCGGTCTGATCCTGCCTTAAGACTTCAGTCACATGTGGCGGCAGAATGAAGTTTTTCTCTAGCCCGCCCATCTGCAATATATGCACCCGGACCAGACCCAGATTCATCAATCCTTCATGGCTTCGATGCTGGCTCCGAAGCGTACGTGACCATATATCCAGCAGGTGCTTCGATCGCCATGCATGTTGGGCAGTGGGCGCTTGAACCAACAGGAGGGTGACGAAATTTGAAACCGCAGCGAAACAAATTCGGGTCCCTTCCAGGTATGCCGATTAGTTTATCACACTCGTTTCAGGCACGGTGGAACGATTGTGGATCTACGTCAAGAGGTGGAACTTACAAGGATGCCAAAACGATCCGAAATCACGAGGAAGCAAGGTCCCAACGAAATTGATGATAATGGCCGTGCACTTCTCCGCGGCATTCAAAGTTGCTTCGGCAGCCTCTCCAAGCTCTAAGAAATTCGAGGCCGGGAGCTGGTCGAATCCATGCCCGTCGAAAGTCAGGTCTTCCAGAAACCATGGGGGGCTCATCGACGGGAGATCATTGTCATCTGATATCGGCGGAGGTGGTAGTGAGCGGGCAAGAGGACGAAGGATGGCGCGGTAGAGGAACATTTCGAGAACCAAGTAAGAAATGTGAAGATCTGCGGCGCCTTCTACTCTACCATAGTTCATGTGGATGTTGGCGTCAAGCCTGGATTTGAGCTGGAGACTGTCCGGGAGCGAGGAGTACCAGTTCTGCAGCTGAGCGCGAATCGAGCGTGCTGCGTCGATGGAGGCACGAAAGTCGTCCGAGAGTTTTTGTGAGGCCTTGAGGGTACTGTTGAGTGAATATCAGAATTGTGTAATATGAGAGACACCTGTGAATAATATAAGAAGTCCAGATAGGGGTCGATTGAGCCTTACTAGAATGTCTGATGCATATTCTCAACCACGCGGGCTAATTTTGTCGCATAAATAAAGATTGGTCCGCCTTGGTGGTCCTTCGGTGAATGAACATATGCGTCTTGATTGCTATCCACCACGAAGTCATTACCATCAAGTTCGAACACGTCAAAGTCCTCATGGTGAATGAACGGAGGACGACCCATTAGCAGACTTCGCCATTTATCTTCCAGATAAACAGCCCACCAAAGTCTTCTTCGAAGCCTTTTCTCCCATGCAGGAATGCCCCATGGACGAGGCTCAAGGTACAGACCCAGGGATGCCGCTTGCGCGACTATGGAGCCTAGGAATGACCAAACGAAAGGACTGTCAGAGAGAGAACGTTGATTCCCGGTTGGCATTTGTTGGAGATAGAGTAACGAGGACTGCAGAACTGAAAGTTTTGGCGTATGTATTTCTTCGGCGATCAGTTCATAGACCATGCGCCACAAACGCGCACAAAGTCGCTCTTCATATGCTGCGGAAACACATAAAATGGGGTCGTGGACTACGAAAGGAAATGCCGAGGCGTAGATTGCTGCAAGTAAGTGGACAGGGACTTGGCTTAAAAAAGAAACGGATCCCGATGACGATATCCCAAGTTGGGACCGGGAGATGACCGGCATAGTTGGGAAGACAAATGTTAAGAATCTAGAAACATGTTAAACCAGTCTTCCTATCCCGTCATGATGTGGTGGTATAGCCGGGTATACCAAAGGAGAGTGTCTTTTGGCAGGACTCACAAGGAAACCAATCGTCTCCCATGTTCGGGCGCCACCATAGCATTCAATTCCTTCCTCACCTCGTTAGGACGTCCGGGTGGTCTAATCCCAGTAGCTTCTTTGGCTGGTGCCAGAAGCTCATTTTCGGTCACCAAAAAATGAACTGGCACCAGGCCTTCGACCGGCACTCCACCCACATTTCGAAAATGAGTTCGATGCAGATTGCGCATTCCATACTCATCATATCGGCAATGCCTGAGGAGCCATGGATCGGACTCAGAGGACATACCGAACAGCTGAGCAGTTGACCCCTCTATCTGATCCAGTGACTGGATACGCTGAACACTTGGTACTCCACTGTTATTGCCAACGAACCCAAGTTGCTGCGACAGTCCCAAATCTGTTTCTAACCCTGGGGAAGGAGTAGCGACCGCTCCATCTGACCTCTGACATTCTGCATGGCCAGCATGAGCCTGTTGTCGATCGTTCTGGAACTCTTTTCTATATCTATCCGGTACTGGATCATATGTATCATCTGCTTGATTAGGTGGCCCAAAGTGCGAATGGTCACCATGATCTTGCATTAGAGTCTCCATTCTGTGACCTTCAGATGTTCGAAGAGCTTGATCACGTGTATTGGGCTGCGGGTGTCGAACGACGGCACGCAGTTCAAATGTGCATAACTTGCCAACCCTGTCACAACTCTTGCATGGCCCGCTCTCCGGAAGGATGCACACCGTCTTCCTGGTGCGACACCGATCACACGGCCGTTTCATTTTCGACCGATATGGACGCCCGGTTGGAGCGGGTGGATCCATGGGGACATCAGTGCTACAAGCAGCGAGGGTATGGACAAATTAAGGGACGTAGAGATGATCCATTTGCGAGCGTCGTTAAACTAGCTTTGGGGTAATCAATCATGTGAGCATCACGTGATTATATGTATAAGGATCGGTGCTACTTATCATAAGAGGCGGAAGCCTTTGACCGTCGGCCGAGAAGGCCACCGAGCTCACCTGATCCAAGTTTGGTCAAAAGCTGGAGTTCAATCACCCTTTTGAGTACATCTAATTTGCCAACTCACCATCGTAGCTTTGCTTCGGATTTCACCACTTTAGCCTAGCGTTGTGGTGTGAAAAAAATGGAATAACGTTACAAGTTATTCTTCGGATAAATATTATGGGACCTAGGACTTAGAGGAATCGCTGTCTCCACATTATATTCACCACTTGGGTATGCACAATTTGCAAATAGGCCTGATGATGATCCTGGAATCTATACTCTTCAATTCTTTCTTGTAACGCCAAGAGACGCTAAGCTACCTTCGATCAAAGTCGAGAAGCCTTGCCGAGAGAAAAAGCGACCGCAAGAAGTCAAATTTGATTTATTTGCCAATTTCCTCGGTCTTCCATACCTATTATTCTGCATCTGCGTCCTGTTAACTTTCCGCCGACTACTTTCTCTGTCTCTCTCCCCTTCTTTTTTTTATTTTTATTTTTTATTTTAATTAAACTCTTCCGCCTTGCGACCTACATGCCGCTCTCCGACCTCGACACAGCGCGGCTGCTTCCCATTTTTTCTCTACTCACTGCGACGATCAGCAACCTCATCAGCCCTAATGGACGCAGATCTTTCGTTGAAGATGTGAAGTCGAACATACTGGCTTTCTCTCCATTCCGCTTTGGTGCAACCGCGACAGCACTCGTCCTCGAGTTGATCGGTTGCAGACTCCTGAATATCGCCGAAATACATGTCACTTTTGGGCGCCTCGCCGATGAAAATTCTTTACTTGATCTTGAGCTCGGATTCTGGTCTCGTTTCGCGCGGCGAGCTTTCCTCATAGGGGTAACACTCCCCCTGTACATGATGCTGCTAGCCTCTGCGAGTTATCGATGGATCCAAGCATTCGCGACTTTGTTAGTCGCTGAGGCCGTTCTGTCCGAAATTCTTATATTTTACCGGAGGACTTCATTTGAAGTTCGTAGAGACTGGCCTCACCGTGTACTGCTAGTGAAGTCCCTCGCCCTGTCGGATCATCTCAACCACGGCCATTTTGAGAACGAGAGCAAATCAGGTGAATTCGAGGAAAAAGAAGAGCACGAAAACATACCACCGCCGTCTGCTCTGGGAGATAATCTCTGCGATCGCGTACATCAGCTTCGGCCACCAGCGGCTGAGCCGGTTAAATTCGCCTCTCTAGAGAACACCCCTAAGCTAAAAAAGATTTTCGATCCAACTGTCCGGGCCCAGTGGACGTGTGGACACTGGCGCTGTCTCGTCTATATGGTTTTGCATGTCACTGTGCGAGCAGTCTCCTCATCATGGACAATCATCGAACTAGCGTCGACCTTCTGGATGCTTCACTGTGAACTGCAGCCTGTGACGCTCCGGGTTGCCGATAAGTTGTCGCAGAGTCATCTAGTCTATGGTTTGCTCTCTACGCTATACCAAGTGGGTGGTCTTTCACTCGTGGTCATCTTCGGTTACATTATCGCAGGATTGCTACTCAACCGTCTGCTCATGCCTCTGGTCACCCGTCTGGTCACCCGTCTGTCCAAAAAAAGTCGCGTCCTACAGGGGATACAGCAAAAATTCCAAGACCTTGCTGAAACCACTCCGATCACCTACAACGTTCTCAACTTCTTAAGGGCGAGTTTCTTAAGGGTAACGCTCACTCAAGGTTTTATGGTTTATTACTTCGGTCAAGCTCTAGCCCCGCTATACCGAAATTTCTCACCGGAAAAATTCTCATATATCATTGAGATCATAGCTATTCCAACCATTCAAGTTATGATATATTGGCTCGTGTGCATTGTGACTAGAACAGAGCAAGCACCCCAGGAGCTCGAATCTCACTTCAATGCTGGACAATCTTCGGGGCCGAATATAGCTACTGACAGCGACTGCAAAGGCGCCCAAAACCCAGTCGCTACCGATTCGCGCTCGACATCCTCCAATGAGGAAGAAAAAGTACCGAAAGATGGTTCCGTATCTTCTCGAACTATTAAAGAGTTTCGCTTGACGATAGTCCGATTGGCCACTCTCGTCTCTACCGCGACTATCTGGATTTTTTGTTTTCTTTAGATTGCAGAGCGGATACCCTCCATGCGAGGCGTTAGATTAGTCGCTCGGACTACTTTAGCTGGAGAATGTCAAATTGTCATTAGCTCTTCTGAGCGCAACTCTAAATCCAATTTCATGAATAACAAGGGAAATAGGAACACCACTATTCAAGAACTGTTCTTGATGCGACCTACTCAATCCTAGCACTAGGGTTCGAGAAATGATCGAAGAGTCTAGATGACGATACCGGTTTCCGGACACACTGTACAGAGCATAGTCCAACCACTAGGGCCACTAAGCCGTCATAGACGCCAGTTTTTGATTAACATCACGGCTAGACTTAAGGCACGTAGATGCACGGCCAAACTCGAGTTGCAGGCGAAAGCTAATAGATCTGCCACTTAAAATATAGGGAACAGGAGATTGTGTCAGAATCTGGGCATACGACAGTCCCACATGGACGTGTAAGTCACGAAGAAATAAATCTCTAATTCAGATAACGTTAAATCTGGGAATGCCTGACAATTTATGAGGGCCCACTAACTAATAAATGACTAATACATAATAGGAAATAGTTATTGATGAACGGTAAAATCTCTGTGTGACCTGTAGGAATTTCAATTCGTGATGATATAACCAATATACACGTGCTACAACATTGCCCTATCAAAAGATCCTGACATGTTTAGATCCCTGCAATTACCATCTCAAGTGGCTTGGAGGCTTTTATACATAACCTGCTGCCCTAAATTGAGCATTCTGCGCCTGAAATTGTGGGCACTCTGCCATAGTCAGCAAAACCACTAATGGGAGCGTCTATGACTATGCCCATGCTCCCTAAGTAATAGTGCTGGCCGTGGTTGGCAATATTTTATTGCAAAAGTGCAATTTCCAGAATGCTGTCTTGGCTACCTACCGGGGTGATCACAGACTTGATGTGCAGTCGGCGGTCGGCTTGCTCGAGAAGCGATTTCCATTCATGGAGAGTACGCTCTTTCGCATTGAACATGGTCAGCATTTGAAGATTCATAGCACTGGAATATGATTCAGTACTGGAAAATTCATAGAAGGGCTATTGCAGCGTACCTTCTCATCCAAAACTGCTCCGCACTGGTCTCTGCTGGCTCCACCATGACGGTGTCGCAAACAACTATTCTTGACGAAGGCTTCATTGCAGCGATCAAATGACGTAAAATAATGATGCAATATTTGTCAGGCCAGTCGTGTAGAATATGGCGGAGGATGTAGACGTCTGCTTGAACACGCTGTGGGGCGAAGAAATCGTGGTCTTGAAGGGTAACGCGGCTCTGCAAGTTTGCTGGGAGCGCCGCTGTATTAGTGTGCACAACTCCGGGCAGATCTTGTACTATGAAGTTTAAATGGTGGAACTGATTGGCCAATGCCACAGCCAAGGTACCATCGGCCCCTCCGACCTGGATGAATAGGTGATTGGTTAAGCAGCCACGTCGAATTTGGGGATTGAGAACATACATCGACTATTATCGCTCCCTCTGGAAGCTCGCTCCATTCGTAGTTCTCTACAACGAAGTTCGGGGATAATCCACCCCCAGTTGTCAAAGCTGACATGGCGAGACTGAAGCGATCTCTAGAAGCCTCATGACTAGCAAAATAATCAAATAAGCTCTTTCCATCTCCAACCGAAAGCGCGAATCCCGTCTCTCTGGGTTCACTGGCGCTTGGAAAGCGCTTCCAGGCCTCCAGGATACTTGGCTGCGCTGTCCATGCTTCATCAACGAAGTGACCAACTAAGGAATCGAGGCCGGGTTCCAACAAAAGTTTTGACAGCGCATTGTGGGTGACATAACCCGCAGCTGGCTCACAGAATATACCATTTGCGATAGCATGTTGCATCACGCTTCGTACCTGGCGTTCAGACAAAGAGGCGACCTCCGCAATGTTGGAATATTCTACTGACGTATTTAGAGGAACCATCTTCGCCAAGGAATATCGCTGAATCACCGCCAGGCAGAAATAATCTTGGAACTAGGACTTATTTAGAGGCTGTAAGTTTCTCCAGATCATTCACCTCTTTACTTACGCTAAAGGCAAGATGTAACATGGACTCTCTTGGGCCCAGGGCAAGGGAGGCAACTTTTCGCGCCTTATCAACTATATCGTACCGCATCTGCGCAAAATTTGCGTGGTCGGAGTCCATGAATGGATAGTCAGAGGGTCCGTCCACCCCCAGTGAAGGCCGGGGATGGTCATTTTGAGCAAGGGTAGATTCCAAAGTGGCCGTCAGCTCGTGTAGTTCAGTTGCGAGTGAGTGGAGTGAATCTTTTTCACAGTACATTGTGCATGTATCTCAAAGAACTATTCGAGAAGTGTAATTTGCAAAGTATAGCTATGTGAATTCTAGAACTACAACCATTTTAAATAACTCGTGGTGCTGCACGCGTTTAAAGTTCAATATTCATCCAAACAGTGGCGAGATCATTTGTAAGCTTGTCACTTGAGTAGATGATACATGGATAATTGGCCGGCATGATCGGTTCCACTTTCGGAATACGCGGTTCGATAAAGGCTAGAAGAGTTGGCGGCCAAGTGAATGAGTAATCTTCTAAAAGTGCTTATAGCGTTTCTCTGATGAGACCGTCCCACGTCACCAAGATATAGTTGTCAGAATAATGGCCCCCATGTGATTTGTCCAGCTGCCGCATCCTGACGCTTACTCATCTGGGAATTTCCCCATCAGGGAACTGTGCCCCGATGTGGCCAGATCTCACTGTGTAGAGTTTCCTGCTTCTCTACTATAAATATGGACATGTTAGCTAGACCTAAATACCATCGTTTTCAATCATTGTCACATGACACTATCTAGTAGATTTACTACTGGATACGCAAATTCCAGACTCCGACAATAGTGTCAAGCATGATATACTGCGAACTGACTAGCATTGAAGCTGTCCATTGAACATGTTGATTATCCACTGTGGGGCTCCGTTAAGAGACCCTCAGTTGACTGTTTTAGCGTGTTACGACGCTTTACGTCCGAATATACCTGGATTTACCCTACAAAACTAGTGTATGAATCAGTGGACGCTGAATCGGTCCATAGTGGTAAAATCCTTCTTTCTCATCTCGCCATATACTTTTAATGTTCAGACTGTCATGGGAAACCTCAATGCGATTTATCATTGAGCAACGCAGTCAGGAACACCGTAGTACATGCGATATATTATAAATCAATATCTTAACAACTAGTTACCATTTTATCCAAATTCGTACTGAGCCGATAGCTGTTGATAAGTCTTTTCAGCCGTATGTACCATTTTCAAAGAATCGATAAGCATAAAGCCGGGATAAAATATCCCCGTAGTCCCTTGTTGTTGACATATCAAGTTGTAACTTAACTTATCGCATTTAATATAGGGTTCCAGACTGCGCGGCTCCCGGCCCCGGATTATTCAACTCAGTCTTCTGATTAGTAGTCTACCACCGCTTGATGACGTGACTCCTCTTCGAACTGCGGGAACTGACAAGTTACAATTGATTAACCAATCTTAAAATCGGATGAAATAAAGTTTCGGCAAAGAGGTAAAATATAACTAATGACAATCAATGTTTTCTTTCTCTGGGTGGTTCCGGCATTCCCGATTCCAGAGTTGAATATACAGCAGCAGACAACTAAATAATCACCGGGAGCCGTTGAGTGAATTCACTCATGTACCCAGTTAGTTTCAAATCACAACCTTGCCTGAGAGCTCTCGGTCAGTTCTTTCTTTCCAAACCATGCCTCTTCTACAGTCGCAACATGAAGGGTTCACCTTCGCATATTTGTATAGCTTTGCCAACAACATTTTGCTAAATCCCATCTTCGCCATATCTGTTCTTATTGGTAGCTTGGCTATTTTGACCAACCAGCTAGTTTTCCCTTTCCTGACTAATAATTTCGACGTTGAGGCATCCAAACTTTCACTGAGTTTTGCTTTTCTGTTTGGTATTCTTTACAAATCCAACCAACTCCTCAGTCGCTTGGCCCTGAATAACTATGTGCGAGATCCTTCTTGGGACTGGACGCGGGAAATCGTGCTTGTCACGGGAGGTAGTAGTGGGATCGGGAAAGCGATCGTGCGACATTTTGCCGACAAATCTATCAAAGTTGTGATTCTCGACCAGCATCTCCCAGAGTTACCACCTTCCATCGGGGCTACTTTTTACAAGGTCGACATAACTTCATCGAAGGAGATTGGTGAAGCTGCTTTGAAAATTCGCCGGGAAGTGGGCGAGCCAACGGTATTAATCAACAACGCCGGCATTGGATCCAGTTCCTCAATTCTCGAGGAATCGGATGAGCAAACTATGCGCGTTTTGGAGACCAACCTTCTGGCGCATTTCAAACTCGTCAGAGAATTCCTGCCCTACATGATTGAACACAACCATGGGCATGTTGTCACGGTTGCTAGTATGGCGAGTTTTGCGTCTATGGTCAAAAATGCAAGCTATGCTGCTTCCAAAGCGGGAGTGCAAGCTTTTCATGAGAGCTTGGCACAGGAAGTTCATTCTCTACATCATGCCAGCAGAGTTCGAACGTCGTGAGTCAATCGAAGCTATGTTTCATGCGCTGAAAGCTAATTTAGTCAACAGTATTGTGCATCCCACTTGGGTGAGGACCCCACTAGTCGAAAGTATGGTGAATAGACAAGACTGGAACGCATACACCTTGGAACCTGAATCAGTAGCGAGCGCGATAACCTCTCAAGTCCTTCGGGGTGAAAGTGCTCAGTTGATTCTACCAGCTACATTTACTATTCTGACTGGCCTCAGAGGCTGGCCGAACTGGTTGCAGGAGCTAGTACGAGGGACACGAGTGCGTCTTTTACATCATCTAAAGTTGATTTAAAATGGGTTGTGAAAAGTTACCTGAATTCGTTTAAAGTGTAATTACAAGAATGGTATACTTGCTGTACTGACAATTTCGGAGACGCGGGTGAGCTCTTAATTCCACACAGTCCGTCCGAATCGACCGTTCAATATGATTTTGTGTGTCATTATTCGCCATGGACGCATCGTACGTGTTCACAACCCCCCCCCCCCCCCCCCCCCCTCTCTCCCCCCTCAATCCAATTGTATCACTCGTATCCCATCAAAACTCTCGATCTGCAATACAAGCAAACTATCAGGATCAATATGACGCGACCGAAAAGATACCCCAATGTAAGGCCCAGATTAATTACTGAGTCTGCCGACTTCAATACCGAGTACGCTGTTTGGTAGCACTGGCAGCCCCTACTCATAGGAGGCTACTCATAGGAAACAGACGGCTCTTCCAAGACCGATAGGCCATGGTGAAATTTGACAAGGCTCCCATGCTTGCTTTCGGGGAGTTGAACACTAAATATGGGAGTCAAAGAGTACATATAGCTGTGGTAGCCTCAGCAGTTGGATAGCCACTAGACTAGAATACGGATCCGCACTCGGCCTAGTGGGTCGTGCTTCAATATGGGGAACAGGAGATTGTTTGCTCTTTCCTGCGTCTCCGTTTTCCTTCGAATTTTGTGCTGACCACTGCTTCTCGGGATATCTGCAACAGCCAACTATTTGAGAGACCATTAAAGCAATAAATTGTAGCCGGACGCCAAACAGTTTTCGCGGGCGAAACACTGGGTAATACCCGAGCCCGACCTTGGTACTTCTTAGGGCAGAAGTGATCTATATAATCACGTGACGAGAAACATTGTGCTGACTCATTCTTGTAATCTGCCATCGCTGATTGGCCAATCCATCCCTCCCGCAAAACGCCAACTCGAATCCGCCCGAACTCCAAACCTCATCCTCCCGACCACCCTCCAGTTCCACACTCTCTGCCCGCGATGGCTTCCAAGCTCTTTTACGTCCCGCGGGTTGGCCGCCAGGTGCTACGCCAGGTTTCCGCCCAAAGCAGACCATTTTCGGCCGGTCCGCAACGGTTCAGCGAATCCCTTTCCGTGGTACGTTGGAGACTGCGTTGCTCGCACACCCACGAAACTGAGCCATTGAAGCACATGTTAACGATCCTGACAGCACCGCAACAATCCCACCAACAACCCGAGCATTCCCTTCAAGTTCTCCGAGCAGAACCTCAAACTCGCCGATGAGATCCTCAAGCGCTACCCGCCACAATACAAGAAGGCCGCTGTCATGCCACTTCTGGATCTGGGCCAGCGCCAGCACGGCTGGACCAGCATCAGTGTCATGAATGAGGTTGCGCGCATGCTTGAGATGCCTCCTATGCGTGTCTACGAGGTGGCCACCTTCTACACCATGTACAACCGGGAACCGGTCGGCAAGTTCTTTGTGCAGCTGTGCACTACGGTATCACTCCCTCAAATGTCTATTTCTCGCAGTGTGCTAATGTAGCAATTTTCGTTCAAGACCCCCTGCCAACTCGGCGGCTGCGGCAGTGACGCCATCGTCAAGGCCATCACGGAACACCTGGGCATCACCCCCGGCCACACGACTGAGGACGGCCTGTTCACCTTCATTGAAGTCGAGTGCCTGGGTGCCTGTGTCAATGCCCCTATGGTCCAGATTAACGACGACTACTACGAGGACCTGACCCCGGAGTCCATCAAGACCCTCCTCACAGCCCTCAAGGATTCCACGACCGCCACCGGTGCCAGCACCAAGATCCCCGCACCGGGCCCATTGACCGGGCGCGACACATGTGAGAACAGTGCCGGCCTGACAAACCTGAAGAACCCCGAGTGGAACCCGGAGACCATGATGCGGAAGGATGGTGCATTGGACGCGAAGGCTCAGCAATAGAGGGATGATGGAATTATAATTTGGGGGAGTTTGACACCGACACAAGCCTTGCACTTGGAAAATATACACTTACCGAACCCTGACCCCGGGAGTGTCGGGCTTTTGCCTTATCATGTACAGTACGTTGCTCTCCGCTGCTTTTTGGTCTGTCATGGGACCGAACAAAGCGTGATGCGAGTATCAATGGCAGATTTCCTTTGTTTTCAATACTTCAGACACCTGAGATTCTTTCCATGAACAGTAGTAGTATAGACACCCAACAACGAGCCCTCCAGCCCATTGTAAACCATGAAAATCAAAACCCGGTTAAGATCATCGATATCCCCGTTCATCCATCTCCAATTCCCTGTCATCTGTCTCCAGATCGAAAGTAAATTGAAAATATCAGATCACAGTCGAACATCAAATGGCTCGCCTCCACATCGAACAACACCCTCAGCTTCGCTCTCGGCCGGAGACACCCATTCCAACGCGCCACGGCGCTCAACCAGGATCTTGCCCTCTCGTTCCTGCATAACGTTCACATCGACGGTCATCTTCATCAAAAGATGATACACGTGCACTGTCCGCGTCTGCCCATAGCGTCGTGCTCGTCCAATGGCCTGGGTCATCCCGGCGTTCCATTCCTGTTGAGTTGAAACGAGGAGAGGCGAGAGGAAGACGACGTGGTTCGCGCATTGAAGATTCCTAGGAAGTGTCAGTAAATAAACGGTTTGGATTGTGATCGGAGAAGAGAGCGGAATACATACAATCCAGCAGCCATCGAACTACCCAGCCGAAGAATAAGCACCTTAGGCCGAGCATGCTGCTTCCCCGTGCTCTTTCCGCCATTCAGCTTGATGAACTCATTAATTGGGCCCATATTTCCAGCCCGTGCCATGCGATGTTCAATGCCAGTGGCTTTAAGCGCACGAGAGACGACTGGCATCAGATCCTCGAACTGCACAAAGACGAGCACCAGTTCGTTGTCGGGAACTTGCTGAAGTATCTCAACCAGTTTTTCAATCTTGCTGTCTCTCTCAGAACTGCTCTTCCCGCCCTCGACGCTAGATCCGTGGACGATTTTGCTTTGCTTTGCGGATCCATCGCACCCGGGGACCAGACACTGGCGCTCCTTCTCGGGGATTTTGTCGATGCAGTCTTCGCAGAGGAGATGACCACAGGATGTTAAAAGTCCCACTTTGGTGATGCTGTTTTGCTGAGTATTACATTTGCAGCATGATATTGCCATACCTGCGGTCTGTAGGTTCACGATGGCTTCCGAGAAGCGGATATCACGCTCGATTTGAACAATCAGCTTCAAGGTAGAAATAATGTTAACCGCCAGTGTTTTCATCACGGCTCCCACATTTTGAGAATGAGGTTGTGACTTGGAACCGGCAGTAAGGCCGCTGGAGGTGAGCTTGGCTCTCTTGCTGGAGCGCCCTCCAGGCAAGCTGCCGTTGCCCTTGGGGCTCCCCGCCTTTTCTTTCGTATTAGCTTTTGCCGAAGGCTTCTTGGCTTTTTTGGATGCTTTTGCCAATCGCTCTTCCATTTCCGTCGTGACACCTTTGCCGTCCTCACTTCCCGCCCAGTCAGCATATGAAGCGAAGCAACAGTTGATAAGCTCGTAGACTGCCGTGGTTGTATCCAGATCCCCAATGTTGTCGACATGAATTCCCTGTAACCAGTTGTTCCAAGCACTTGACTGCAACTCCCACCGACGGGTGGTCAACGCGGCCTGCTTTACGAGACCCTCCAATTTGCCATAATTCTTCGTCTTCGTCTGTCTCTGAGTCTTCAGTCGACTTTTGTATGCTTCGACATCCCATGGGTTATTTTGCAGCTTTGTGGATGCACAACATTTGATGAGAGCTTCCAGCGGAGCTTTGCTGCTGCTCAATATCTCATTCAAACGGGAAATTACGCGATCGTTGTTAGGATTTCTGATTTTGCGATGCCGGCCATTCTGTTTCAGGAGTGCATTAAACAATGTTTGATAGGTTTGCTGCTCCATCGGGGACTGGTTTATTGGGACAAGATGTATCTCTGTGGCGATGTGGTCAATTTCCGCAATATTTTGTCTTGCAAATTGATCCAGGAACCTTTGCGCAATCTGTCGTCTATTGCAGTACCAAGCATCAGAACGACGAGGCTGGTACGTTTGAAAAGCCTCCGCTGCGGTGTAGCTCTTGCGAATGGATTTCAGTCGGCTGTTCTGCGTGGGCACATCTCCGTCATCATCCACGCCCAAATAGATATCCAGGAACCGGGCAATGCTCTTGATGTCGGCGAATTCGCGCATAGCCGGTGTGCCGGATAGAATCCATTTAGATCGTGAATGCAACGACAAGATAGAACTCAGTCTTTCTTCGCAGATGTATGTGTACTCGTCAATGACAATCCGGTTGAAACTGAAGAGGTGCAGGAATGGATACCGCATTTCGCGCCAATCATGATCTTTCCCGGTCGTTGGAATGTTGAATATTTCCCGGTCGTCTCGTACCCTAGGTATGGTGTTGCTGTCAGGTACTTGGTCGCGTTTTCTTTTTGTACCCTTCTTCTGAGACTTCTCAGAGAAGCGCTCTGTAACCTCCCCTTTACAGGCCTTCTCCAAGCAATTTCCACTGTCCATTGGCTTGTCATCTGGTGTTTGATCGCCACCGGCGCTTGCTTCTGTCTCTTGCTGGGCACGTGTGAAGCCCTTGCCCCGAACTCGGCGTGAAGGCATATAGGTATACCCAGCTTGGCTCTCTTCGACCCGCGCGCGCCGTGTCTGAACCTCCCGAAGATATTCCTCAGGCCCGTCAGAGGTCAAAGTGCCACACAATTCCTTGAGAGCATCTCGAGCATCTTGAAACCAGTTATCAAAGTTGCGGCCTGCCTTTGCAGGAGGCTCTGGAGTGCCTGTAAACTGCTGCAAAGTTTCATAGTACACGTTGCTGCTGAACACTTTCCAAGCCACGACGATGATGTCGCCGCGTTGGATGTCTTGAATGCTGAGTTTGCGAAGTTTTCCAACACCCTGAATGGTCAGCACTGTGTGCTGCTTCCCGAGAAATTTCTTAATTTCGGACTGCCACTGCTCGAAAACATTGTCTGGAACTACGATCAGGGTTGCGTGAGTGGGGATCAACCCAGAAACCTCCAATGAGAGCGAGCGGTCTTTTTGGAACTGCGCATCAATAAGGCCAAGAATGATTGCCGTTTTGCCATATCCCACTTCGTCGGCGAGTACGCCTCCCCGGACAATTCTGGGGATAGCTGCCCTCACTTCCGCCCGCCACGGCATCAGAGAGAGCACAGCCTCTTCTGTTTCCTCCTCCAGGAACGGGGTCACACCATCCTCCTCTTGAGAAATCATCCACGCTAACGACTGCAGCTGCTCCTTCCTCAACTTCTCTCTGAAGTGAGGCGGCTGTGAGCAGGGGGTGTCGTCTTGATTGCTCTTCAGAGTAAAATCAGATGTCTTCAGCTTGGCCAGGTCAAAGGCATCGGGAATGAGTCGCCAGTGAAGACTGACGCCGTCATTTGGCCCAGTACCAACGAGCTTACCGTAAGCCTGATGAGCGAGTGTCTGTACATTGAGAGTGAACCGAAATTCACTCTCACTGTCACGCTCACCTTGCCTGAAGACCAGGAATGGAGACGGCTTCGACTTGACAGCTCGCTCATAGGCGCCTGCCTCTTTCGGGTTCTCGTACGGCACAATGACATTTTTCTGGTCTCTGCCCCACAAGATGCTGGGCTTTGGTGGATGGCAGGACGAGCACGCTGTTTCTTCCATGCGTGGTAAGTTATCCCAGCCAATTATCTGATTCCAGTCTTGGAACTCCCTCCATCCGGAAATCTTCTGGACCAACCAGACGAAATTCTTCAAAGTGGCGGCAGAATCCGCAGAGTCCAAGGCTCTCCAATTGGTGTCTTGTTCTTCATGTTTGGAGGTTGCTGCTGGTACAGACAGCGTGACCAATGTTGTGTAACTTTCGTGGCAATCTTTGCTTCCAATTGAAACTTGGACTCCGGGTTTCAGACTTTTGCAGATAATCGGGCCACTAACAAATTTTTCCAATCTAGCATCTGATACTTTGGCCCAGCGTCGGGAAAACGCGTTGGCATTTGCCACAGTACTGGTCATATTCCATGCTCTCCAGGAGGGCTCCAACTCCGCAATGGTAATGCGACTGTTGTATCCGGGGATACGATCATGCTCAAGAGAAAAGACACAGCGATCTCCATCAGGGTTGCCGTGTTTGGTGGGGTCGAGAAAAAGGTAAATGGCTGGGCAGTCTCCAGTAGCAGCCTTCTTGTGCAGAGATCCAAGTGCCGTGCCACAATCAGGAAGATACTCGTATTCGCCCCGAATATCCACATCCCAGTGCCTGGCGTCTTCCTCTTCTCCGCCAATCGTGAGACGGCTCCAGGTTTTGGAGTTCAAATACCTGTTTGTCTGTAGCCCACACTCAGCCTGGAATGTCTTGACTTGGCTCCCGCTGCCTGCAAATTTGAGAGTGAACTTTGTGCTAAAGGGAGAATAGATCTCCCAGTCGCCTTCAGTAAGCGATTTATGCTGGGGTGTCATTCTTGCTATTGGCTGGTCAAGCATTTCTCTGATAAGACTCTGGGACGGTGCTGATGCGGGTGGGTTCGCAAAGTAGAGCCATTGTAAACCAGTGCTGCTGATTATGAGACTCAGACTAGAAGTTGCATGTCTGCCTTTGTAGAGGACTTTCCAGACCCCTCCTCGTGTAATGTCAAAGAAGCGGAGCTCTTCACCAAGTACAGTTTTGATAATTTCCGTGAAGTTCTGCCACTCAGCGCCCTTCACGCATTCCGGCTTGTAATTTGCGAATTTTTCAAAAGCCATATTAGAGAGGCCGGTGAGCTTGAGCCTCATCGGCAACAGGTCCTTCAGATATGTAATAAAACCCGACGGCTCGCTGCGCGAAAGTGGAAGAGGTTCATACGAGTGAGAAGGATTTCCGGAACATGAGCTGCAGGCGGTATGATTGCAAAGTCCGCATTTGACGATGCTCTTCCTGATGGTAGACTGCTTTTCGCATGTGCAATATCTTGCACTTCTAGTAGCTCGAGCTTGGAGATCAACATGGTCGACTGTATGGACTTGGGCGTCCTCCAGGCTAGTCTGCGTGGTATCATAGCCATCCTGAGGGATGAAAGATGCCTTTACCACATTATCATGGTAGTCCTTCGAATCATTGCCTCTTTCCAGGACATTGTAGCCGACGAGCAGCGCCGCAAGAATGGCAACCCCAACACAAGTGGAACTCATCGCGTTCCCGGCCAGGTCTTGCAGTTCACGCTGTGATTCTCTCGTAAGACTGATTCTGTCCAACGGCAATCCTTGCAGTGCTAGGGCCTCAAGACCGGTAAGTGGCGCGCCACGGGTAGTGAGAAAAGGCATACCACTAGGCGTGAGGCAGCCGATAATTCCGAAACCTTTTGACTCGCCGCCACGATCAACACCCTGGGACAACTCAATCCATCGCCTGTATCTTCGTCAGACATGTTCCTTGTAAGTTAGCAGGATGAGCCTACTCCTTGAAATTCATATCGTAATCCCAGGTCACGATCTTTCGCAAGAAGTTGATATCAAGGGTATCCCAAACTCTCTCCGCCTGCGAGTTTATGTAGGTATGCCAATAGAAATCGGGTGGGTGACAGACAAAGCTGCCAGGCTGTGATCGCGTAATTGGTCGCTGGTTTCCAACATCATGCTCGTTGCGATGTCGCTGGTGACGGACCTTGTATCTCTCCCAAGCGACCTCAGCCCGGACAGCCGTGGCATTTAGACGAGTACTCATGTCTTTTTCAATACGTTCCAGTCGTCTATCGTCTTCACCAAGAAGAAACATACCTGCTGGGGAGCTGGCTGGGCGTGTGAACTTGGAAAGCAGCTCTTTCCATCGGGCCCCAAGATGGAGATAGCGAATGGCATCGTCCTCAGTGTCATTCTGCACCCCAATTTTCCGGAGGCGGGCCTTGTCGATGCAGACCATGTACCCACGCTCGCGAGTCTGAGGAATATAGTACGCCTTTGTGTCGATAGCAGCCCATGTCGCGAAGTAGTCGATCGACTGCCACTTGTGAGCGATTTCGGCCCAGGGAGCGCTCCTGACATTTTCTTGGATGACCAGGGCAGGTCGATATTTCTGGGCGTAATCCAGCATGCCCTTGAATGTACTTCCAGACTCTCCACCATCTTCAAGTGATTTCTGCTGTGAGTTGAGGTTGGAAAAATCGACACAAGCGGTTCCAGCGACTAGGAGGTCTGGGTTTCCGGGGATCTTTCCCAGCGATCCGTATGCGGTTTCCCTGGATAATCATCAGTCGATGTTATGTATGAGATAGTAAGCAATCACTTACGCCTCTGCATTTCCGAGCTCCCGGATATCACGGAAGAGGATGGGAGGGTGGAAGTTCCGTTCAATGTACGCTTGCTTGAATGGAACGATCTCGCAGCTGAAAAGATGTTTAACACGGAGTTGGCCCGCTCCAGGAAGGGAGGCCAGGCCTTTTGACTGGTCAGTTATGAAAATTCAAAGCTAGGACCGACCACCGAACTCAAAACATCAGACTTACCATTCTGGATCATCTCCAAGGCCAGAAGCGGGCTCTCGGTCCCCGAGCACATCGTAGCCACGCGCAGTGGTCTTCCTGCCAGGTGGTTGAGGACAGCAGCAAGACCCTGCTTGATAGCATTTTCCGCGAGGTCGTTGAAGATATCTTTCAATTCGTGCATGGGCGGCAAGTTGCGAGCGAGATAGCGACCAGGCTCGAGCAGCTGTGCCCTCCGCACCTCAGGAATTTCACTTCCATTGCTGATACAACCAAGTTGAGTTTGCTTCGATCTTTCGAACTGACCTGCCCCCTTCAGCTGCTTGTTGGTTGCCTTGCTATTTGGCAGCATGGCGTTTGAGGGACTTTCTACTTGAGGGTTTGAGGGAAGGCCGTGGGGAAAGTGTTTGAAACAAGAGAAGAGGAAAGAATATGGGTAATTTCCTAGAGGCCAGGAGGCCTTGAGCCTCTTTCGAGGCTGATAAGGCTGAACAAAAAGTATTGTATGGATTGTATCAACTAGGGCACGAAGTGTCACGTGGATAGAAGAGGGTGGAGCGGAAGGAAGGAGTGATGGGTGGAGTGGGTGCGCGGAGCGGAAAACAAAACAGAAGTACGTGTTGACGTGTTTGGGAAAGGTGCGGAAGAGGCAGCGACGCTGCAATCTGTTTCCTGGGGCGGCTTCCGTATTAATTCTCTTGCACGTTCCTCTTACTCTACACTCTAGATTCCTGCCTATTGCGTTGTTTGGAAGATACAAACTATTCTAGCTGTTCACATAATCTTGACGTTAAGCACATCCTCTTTCATGCACTATAGGGAATCTAGAAAACCTGGTAAGGCGTAGCATATATTCCTACGGAAGGAGAACAAGAAAATGCTTACACCATCGAAAAAAGACCTTTAAATCTTATAGGAATACACATTCAGCATTGAAAAAATATGCAAAGTATTGGAAAAAATAACTCCTGTTGCGCCGACCCTCCGCCTGTTCAAGGAGCAATCAAAAGAAAGATCCACCATAGCAGTGGTATCATCCGAAAAGAATAGAATATGACCCGAGGGAACGGAGATAATACCAGGTCAAGCCACTAATTACCGCATACCACCCTGCATGAGCTGCTGACGCAGCAGCATGATCTGACTGCGTTCCATAGGAGGCAGAGCATCAATAGCCGACTGCGGCATGCCGAGGACTTGTTGCAGAAGCTCTTCCTGATTAGGGATTTGAGCCTGCGCTGCACCTTGCGAAGGTGGTGGAGCGAAGGGGCTTCCGGCAACCGGCGGAGTACCAATCTGGCCACCATATTGCTGAAACTGCTGTTGGGGCGGTGGAGGCGCGGCCGCAGCGGGCTGGGCGGCCTGCTCGACGATAGAGCCCAGGAGCTGGTACTCGACCAGGTTCATGAGCAGCAGGGCCTGGAAGATGGCATAGGCGAGCTGGGGCGCTTGACGCAGGAGTTCCGTTGCGCGGGCAGGATCCGTTTGTGCGAGGGACTTCATTTGTGTAAGGACATCGAGGAGTTGGTTTGGAGGGAGGGATGCGAGCGTGTGCGAGATGGCGTTGGGGCAGTCGAGGTGCGGTGGCAGTTCCACACCTGGAGGAAGGGGTGGGAGCAGCGACGACCCGGGAACCGGCTGCGGTACTGGCGCAGGATCTTGAAATTGTGGTTGCGTTTGGTCAGAGTAGTCCGGCGGCATGGAGTCCTTCTCATTGTTGTGCGGCCAGTCCACGCGAATCTTGCGGCCCATGATCTCGTAGTCGTTCAAATTGCGCACGGCGGACGCGGCAGCATCGGCGTCCGCGAAGTCGGCAAACCCATATCCTTTGGGCTTGCCGGTTTCCGGATTCATCATCAAGCGGAACTTGGTGACGATGCCAGCGGTGCTCAGGATGTCCTTGACTTGTTCCTCGGTGAGGTCTGAGGTAATTTGTTAGCTCATTATGTACAAGGACAAACAGCATTGTTGTGAACGAACTGTAGGGGATATTTCCCAAGAAGACACTCTTCCCTGTTCGGTCGGGCGCCATTTTTGCGATGGTGGAGGGCACTCGAGAGCAAGAGAAGGATGGCGATGAAGAGCGAAGGTGAGCAAAACGCGGAAGATTCTGCCGGACTTTGGTCCACCGCCTTCAGGTCACTTCGTCCAGCTCTTCCATCTCCGTCAACCCGTCCGCATCCCCATTCACCCTCTCTTTTCCACACTCTACCGTCCCATCATGTCTCAAAATCAACGGGAGGCCTGGGAACGCCTGCAGATGATGCTGCAGCAGCGCAAGGGTGGCTTTGGTGGCGGGTTTCCATCCGGCGGCGGCCGAGGCGGCCTGGGAGTGGGAGCCATCGTGTTGGTCGGCTTGGGAGCCTGGGCTGTGTCAAATTCTCTCTTCAACGGTATGCTTGCCATGCATTGTGTGATGGCAAGATTGCTAATAGACTGTCTAGTGGATGGTGGTCACCGCGCCATCAAGTACTCCCGACTAGGTGGTGTGAAGAAGGAAATCTACAACGAAGGTAAGCATCCGCCTCCTCCCTCGGGTGATTTCATTTCTCACGCGGTCTGTGACATTAGGAACCCACTTCCGCATTCCCTGGGTCGAAACTCCCATTATCTACGACGTCCGCGCCAAGCCTCGCAACATCCCTTCTCTGACCGGCACCAAGGACCTACAGATGGTGAACATCACTTGCCGTGTCCTGTCGAGACCTCGTATAGACGCCCTTCCGCAGATCTACCGGACTCTGGGCCAGGACTTTGATGAGCGCGTGCTGCCGTCGATTGTCAACGAGGTGCTGAAGAGCGTGGTTGCTCAGTTCAACGCCAGCCAGCTGATCACACAGCGTGAAAATGTTGCCCGTCTGGTCCGTGAGAACCTGGCTCGTCGCGCCGCGCGTTTTAACATCTCTCTGGACGATGTTTCCCTGACGGTATGTCACACCATAACAACCATTGACCACTACTGACTTTCATTACCTCCAGCACTTGACCTTCTCCCCCGAATTCACCGCCGCTGTTGAAGCCAAGCAAGTAGCTCAGCAGGATGCCCAACGTGCTGCTTTCGTGGTCGACAAGGCCCGCCAGGAGAAGCAGGCCTTTATCGTGCGCGCCCAGGGTGAGGCTCGCTCTGCGGAGCTGATCGGCGACGCGATCAAGAAGAGTAAGAGCTACGTTGAGCTGCGCAAGATCGAGAACGCCCGCCAGATTGCCACGATCTTGCAGGAGAGCGGAGGCAAGAACAAGCTGTACCTGGACACCCAGGGTCTGGGACTGAATGTGAACGCGAACACCGAGGAGAAATAAGAAGTCCAAAATTAATGGCTGGCGCTGAACGCGCGGACTGTGGAATATCTATCTGTATAAATAGTTGGTTTCAGGAGCATTCGAATGCACTTTGTCTCTTCTCTCCATCTTTCCGGATTCTTTCATTGTATGCGGGGACGAAGGCGGCGAGCGTAATGGATTGCAGAAATATATTTTCTTCTCCGCCACAACCACTACCAGCTACATCACCCACGGTCGCTGAGCCAGTAAGTCTAAGGACAATAAGAATACACAGTCGCAAGCCCGGAACTAACTTATCCTTCAGATCCGCCACCATGCCCGACGCAACCCCCAACACAGACGACCTGCAAATCAGTTTCCAGCAAGTTGACGTCGATCTCGACGTACAAGAAATCCTCCTCGCCGCCTCCCAACACGACATCCCAAAGCTCCGCCGGCTTGTCCGCACTCAATCCGCGCTCCCAGATGCCGCGAACGTCAAAGACCCCGAAACGGGATACTCGCCTCTCCACGCCGCGATCGCAGCATGCGAGTCTGAGACAGAGGAAGAGGAGACGAGAGTAAATGGCGCCAATGGTGCCACCAATGGTGCTGCTGCGGGTGATGACAGGGCTGAGATCGTGCAGTCTGGCGTGGAGACGGTCAAGTTCTTGTTGCAGGAGGGTGCTATTTGGAATGACCTGGATAACAACGACGAGACGCCGGGCTGCTTGGCGCGCAGAATCGGGGTGCAGCAGCTGTACGAGCTTCTTGTTGATGCGGGAGTTCGAGCGGAATTGCTGCTGAATCGGTTAGATGGGTATGAGGCGCTGTCTGATGGGGAGGACGAGGATGGTGACCAGCAAGAAGAAGAAGAAGGCCAAAAAGAGACAGAAACACAAGAGGAAGATGAAACGGCACCGGAGCTGGTTGAAGCCACTGCGGAAACTATTACAGAAGTTCCTACAACAACCGAAACCAGCAACCCCAGCGTGACGAACCCGCGCTATCTGGACTCCCACCTCAACATCAACAACGAGCGGATCTTAGACTCAGACCAGAACGGAGTAATGATGAGCTGGGAGAGCGAGATCATGCGCAAATCCGCCACAGCACTACTCCCGGCGCCAGGCCTCAAAGTGCTAAACATTGGGCACGGGATGGGAATCGTGGACGGATTCCTGCAGGACCGCTCACCAGCTTCGCACCACATCGTCGAAGCGCACAGCGACGTCGTCGCAGCGATGAAGCAAAAAGGATGGGACTCCAAGCCCGGCGTGGTGATCCACGAGGGCCGTTGGCAGGATATTCTGCCGGAACTGGTGATGCAGGGCGAGACCTTTGACGCGATCTACTACGATACCTTTGCAGAGTCGTATGGTGATTTCAGGGAGTTTTTCTCGGAGCAGGTCATCGGCTTGCTGGAGCAGGGTGGGAACTGGGGGTTCTTTAATGGGATGGGTGCTGATCGGCAGATCTCATATGATGTGTATCAGAAAGTGGTGGAGATGGACTTGTTCGAGGCTGGGTTTGAGGTCAATTGGGAGGAGATCCCTGTGCCGAAGCTGGAGGGCGAATGGGAAGGTGTGCGGAGGGCGTATTGGGTTGTGGATAATTATCGGCTGCCGCTGTGTCGGTTTATGGACTGATGGAGATAGAATATACCACGCGAATGGTGTGCAATGCAATGAATCGATATGCTTCATCTTGCGACCAGAAATTATGACGTACCGCTCTATACTATGGGAAAATACAACGCTCAAATGCTATGCAATGCGCCATGGGAAACAAGACAACACCGAATCTCACAATCGTATCAAATCCACCTCTGAGAAATCTGGCGGACTGCGGCTGAAGATTGTCCGACACTTGCCATCGAGTGCCTGGTACTCGTTGCTGACCCAGATATGCTTGCTGAACCGCTGTATGCGGTAAACCTCGTCGTCACTGATCCCGATATCATCGCGGGGGATCCAGATGACAGGTCGCTTGGCGCGAAGAGCCTCATGTTGGAATGCGCGCTGGACCAACTGGTCGCGCTCATCCGGCGTGAGATCCTCCAATTCATCATGGATACCTGCAAACAAAGCATGGCCGATTGCGTCTGTGGGCACCTGAGCCTCAGCGTCATACGCCATCTTCTCGCGCAGGGCTTTGATGGGAGGCGCTGATTTCATGGAATTGATGCCGAAATACTTGGACCGACGGTCCGGGGACCGATCCGCCCACGACTGGTGCTTAAGTTTCGGTGTGGTCAAACGATTATCTTCTTGTTGGCGTTTCTTGTCGCCATCCAGGCTGTTGAGTTCAATGTCTCTTGATTCTCTATTTCGAGAAGGCTCTTCCTGTGCTGCGTGCCGAGGATCATCCTCCTCATCATCTTCGACAGTCAACCCAAGACGAGCGTGTTGAGCGCGCTGAAATTCTCCATCGCGTCGAACAGCGTCGTCTTCCAGGGTGATAGGAAGATACTGAATGAGCGGACTGAACGCGTTGTTGAGAAGGATCTGATATCCAATCGTTAAGATCAGGACCACAATCATGCAGATTGCTTGTCCCTGGCAAGCAACATCGCTATTTTCATCTCGGACCAAGAAGAACATCCCGATGAGGCACACTTCCATGAAATATAGTCCGGTAAAGAGCTGGTTGATTGCGCGCGGAAAAAGAAGACCACCCGTGTCGAATTGGAACTTCGTCACGTAGAGCGTATTATACCTATAAACGAACCAGAAAAGACTGAACGTGATAATGTTGAAGACGAGAATGAGAGGTGCGATTACACAGTAGATCAGCCCTGAAGAGAAGGTTAGATGATCATTTTGACACCCCCAGAAAGATCACATACCAATTGAGGCCAGCGTCGTGTAGACCGGAAAGAACGTGCCCCATTGCATCTGATTCAGATTCGTTGTCCGCGCCCACTTCTTTCTGGCTGTTGAATCCAAGATAGGCGCAAGAATAAACCAGCTGACTAGCCCAAAGATCTGAAGAAGGGCACCCGCACTGACCGACATGGCCTGCAGAATCATATATGAGAAGAAATAGTTGCTCGACTTCGGGATATTTTGAGCCAAGATATTCGGCCAGCTGGTCACGTTGGTGACATTATCGATGATCGTCCCAAAACTGGAGGCGATTGTGACAACGAAAAACAGCTGCACAAAGAGGAAAGCAAAAAAGTAATGCTGAACGGTTAATTCAACAGCCATTCCCGTGGAAAGACCTTGCGTGCGGCTCAGAAAACGGAGGATGAGAGGTAAGATTGCCATGAGAATCGCTAGGAACAGTGGGGGCAGGATACCCTGGATCGCCGAGATGCACCACTCCGGCAGCTGTTTCAGCCAGGATAGCCACGGGAACGCGCTTTCGAGATAAGAGAGTTGCGAAAGCAGACCCGTGAACGCGACGGGGACCGCCCATCCGACGACCATAGCGCACACTAGAGTGAGGATGCCAAAGGTGCGCAGATAGCGTTCCCACCACCTGATCGACATGTTGTCCCAGATGACATCGTCTGGCGAGATCTCCACGACCCGCGGAGCCATCTGCTTGGGCAAATGATGACTCACGGTTTGACAGGCCATGTGCGCAGCCACTTGGTGGTTGAACTGGATAAAGGCTGAGTTCATCAGCGGAAATCGCTCGGGATGCTGTTGATCAACTTCAATCTCCAGATTCAATCGAGCCAGTTCCTTTCGACAATAGTCAATGGTATCGACTTTCTTGCCCATCAGCCAAAGCGAGGGCATCCAACTCCAACCAAAGATAGGAAGACGGTGGGTCTCACGGTCTTTGGATCGGATGTATTTCCTCCACATTGGCTCGCCGAAGTCTTCATTATCGAAGTCCTCGTTGTACGCGACGGGGTACTGGTGGCCTTCGACATCGTCTCCTTCCTTGTGACTTTGCCGTTTCTTGCCTTTTTCTTGGCCGATACCAGGTTTGTCAGGCGAGTCAGGACCAGTAAGCGGATACTCGTCAGGCTCTGGAAGATGGTGGACTTTCGACTGGGACGACAGGTTCCTCTTCCAGAAGGGCCGCTTTGGTGGTAGCGAATGAGAGTCGTGACACAATGTTTGATCACCGGTGGCCGTCTGTGGTGTCGGCGGCTCCGAAATACTTTGAAGGGATTTTGGAGCAGTGGTGTCTTCTGCGATGGGTTCGTGGTTCTCTAGGGAATTGCTTCGGCTCTGAAGGGGTGGAAGAACGACGTCTGTTGTAGCAACGAAGCCACCAGTGCGTGTCAATGTACCATCTACTCCTCCTTCCACCTTCTTCACTCCACCCAGTACGGACTTGCCCAGTTTGCCCACACCATGTCCAACGGCACTAGCTGCAACCAGAGGGTTGAGCACACCTAACCGTGGGCCGTCCTGGGAGGTCTTTTTCGGTTCCCCTTCTGGTGGCCGATGCAAAACCTCCTGTAACGTATGTGCTTGGTGAGGATCGCCTGAACTCACACCAGGTCCCATTGTCATGTTGGAATCTCGTTTCTCGGCTGCCGAGTGATCCTGGTCCCCGGCCTTTTTGTGGCCCTTGCCGGCCCTCTTTGCCTCATGTTTAGCCTGCTTCAACTGCGCCTTTTTGCATTTTACAATCAAATCGGTTTCTGCCGCTTCAAGCCGTAGAGCGACATCGTTCCGCGCTTTCACCTTCTCGTTTAGGTCATCGAAGTTGCGGTTGATCCAGATGTTCCTGATCCCACCAGGAAAGACGTCAAAGAGGGAATCAAGGGCTTCAACGGTGAGCCATTCCCGCGGAATAGACGTCACCAGAACTGTGGTTGCAGAAGCCCGCAATCGGTGCTGAGGGGAGGTGAGGTAGGTCTGTCGCAGACGAATGTACCCCCGAAGCTCGTCGAAAAACACAGCACAAACGTAGAAGACCACAATCACAGCCATTACACAATGAGCCCAGTACCGGCTGGTATGCTGCGGAGTGACATTGCCCCAGGCCAGCTGGTCCAAGCCGGTGATGTTCCAACGGTCGCCGCCGGTGCCATTCATGTACGTTGTGCCTTTGCCGTCGACTCGGTTGAGTGGAAGCAACACTGGCAAGATCAAGAGGCCTAGAGGCACAAAGATTTTAAGGAGCATGCGCAAGTAGCGTAGGAAGAAGTATGCGTCGAGTCCACACTTTTGGATAAATTCCGAACTCGACGTCCGGAAGACGGGAGCGATCCATCGGAACAGGCCTGGCGGCGAGGGCTTGGTGCGTTCGCGGTCCGGGACAAGATAGGTTCGAGGTTGACTGGAAACGATTTCGGGGTCAGTTTTTCAAGACTAGTCATTGCTGTGTTCCAGAAGACGTACTAGATTCGCGTGAGCTTGCCCTTTAGAAGCAAGAACAGTAGAAATTCCACTGCAAAAACGACGATAGCCGTCGCCAGCGAGGCCACGAACGTTTTGATATTGACACCCTCACTTGTCCGGCCACGGGTGTCGGAGTGTTCCAATGCCTGCTCCAGACCGGACGGCATGGTGATCGGCGGCCAGGATGATAGTCAGTCCAGGGGAAAACGTGTTACGAGTGTGACCGAGAGGGCATCTCACAATCTCCCTATCGAGGGAGTTGGTTGTGAGAAAAGTAGGCGAGGTGCTAGGTCAGGAAGGGAGCATGCTGAGGGGGATTGGGGAGTGGTGTGGTGAATAAAGGGAATGCTAGCCCAAGCGAAGCAGTAGTCCGTCATAAAACAGCAACAAAGCGCCAGGCTTGAATGAATCCGCGGTGGAGCGCACTAACCCCAGAAATGGAGGTCGCACAATGACAAAAGTGGCTGGGCGCTTTGCTCTAGTTCCAGGTTAAGACAGGACGACGTGGGCTGGCGATGATGATTGGAGGAACCCCGTGGACGCCGATCTGTTTAGAGGGATGACATCAGGGCGCTTGGTGAAACGCGGTGGTGGTTGGTTGGCCGAGAGAATCTGAGTTGCGCTGTCGAAGCCAGAAAGCAAGCAAGAAAGTCGAGAGTATTCAGCAGATACGACCCTGCCCATACCAAGGACTGTGTACGCTTCTCCCGAACGGGAAGGCTCCACGGAGGATGGCGGTGCAGCCCAGCCACAGGTCATCAGCCACATTAGATAAGCACCAGCGAGTAAACACGCTAAAACCACTTTACACGCGAACGCGCGCCTCGGTCAGATGGCTCGCGTTTTTCTTTCTCCCTTGCCCGCCAGACCTCCAATCCCCATCACCTTCCTATCTTCTTTCCCACCACCCACCCATCCACCCATACACACACCATGTCGTCCCCGGCTTCCAGTCGTCGGAGAGGACGCTCCTCCCAAAACCCCACCGCGTCTCCCTCCTCCTCCCGCCAGGAGCCCCCCAGCAGCCCGACCTTCCAAGCCACGCCCCGCGCGTCCCGCCGTCTGGCTGAGGGAGCAGTGCCCACCTCGTCGCCAATGTTCTTTCAGTCGTCCCCCAACAAGGGCCCCAGTGATGCAAGTACACCGGATGTTCGCATGGATGAGCCTAGCTCGCCAGCACGGGCGCCGTCGACAATGGATGATGGCGACAGAACCCCCCGCGGAAATGCCCAAGTCAGAGGTATGCCAATCTGTTGCGGGTCGAATTGTCCCAGTCCACTAAACCTATAGTACAGATTCTTCTCCCATTCATTACATCCCGAGCTCTAGCCCTACACGAGGTGCCGGCCGAACAGACATCCGTTCCGACTTGCGCTCAGATGCACTAAGCGTAAGCAGTGGCTTGTTTGTTTCATCACACCAAGACCAGGACCGGCGGGGTGCTTCCCGCCGCAGCGATCTGCACTCGGGTGGCTTTGCATCGACCCCGAATCGCAGGAATCGCATGTTCGTGGATGCCAATGGGATGCCGGCGGGCGAGGGGGCGCCTCGCTCCGATGCCACCTTCTCCAACATCAACCCTGGTACCTCAGAGGCGGAGGCCATGGCCGGCAACTCATCACGTGTAATCTGGGGCACGAACATCTCGATCCAAGACTCCATGTCTGCCTTCAAAAGCTTTCTCTACAACTTTTCAACCAAGTACCGTCTCTGGGCGGATGGTGCAACGGAGGATGAGACTCGGAGGATGGGAGATATAGCAGACAAGCGCGAATACATCAACATGCTGAACAATATGCGCAAAATTGGTCTGATGACCTTCAATCTGGATGCCGCAAACCTCAAGGCGTATCCGTCGACACTGAAGCTGTGGCACCAGCTGCTTGCATACCCACAGGAAATCATCCCCCTGATGGATCAGACTGTCAAAGATGTGATGGTTGATTTGGCGCTGAAGGAGATGGACGTTCTCCGATCCGAGAGCCAGCGAGGTGTCCAGGGTCGGGATCGACGGGGCCAACCAATTCTCACATCTGATGGTGCTGTTCCGGCGGGTGATGTTCCTGACCTGGTGGGGGAAGTTGAGGCGATGACCTTCAAGGTGCTTCCGTTCGGTCTGGACAAGACCGTGAACATGCGAGACCTTGACCCAGCTGGTAGGGTTTCCTCGTCTAATATCCAGACCTAATTGCTGACTTCCTCCAGATATGGACAAGCTGGTCGCTGTCAAGGGGTTGGTCATCCGAACCACTCCAACTATCCCTGACATGAAAGAAGGTGAGTTGCTTGTCATCTCTTGGCGTTTCGTTCTGCTCACACTCTGCTAGCATTCTTCCGCTGCAGCGCCTGCGGCTATGGTGTGCAAATCGACATCGACCGTGGCCGAATTGCCGAACCTACCACCTGTCCTCGGGGCGGATGTGAGGAGAAGAACACCATGCAGCTCATTCACAACCGCTGTTCTTTCTCCGACAAGCAGGTTATCAAGCTCCAGGAAACTCCTGACAACGTCCCCGATGGACAGACACCGCACTCGGTCTCGCTCTGTGTGTATGATGAATTAGTCGACTCTTGCAAGGCTGGTGACCGCGTCGAAGTCACTGGAATCTTTCGATGCAACCCGATGCGCGTGAGTGCCCGTCAGCGCTCCCAGAAGTCGCTGTTCAAGACGTATGTCGATGTCCTTCACGTGCAGAAGGTCGACCGCAAGAAACTGGGGATCGACGTGTCGACCGTTGAACAGGAAATGTCTGAACAGGCCGCCGAGGCGGACCATTCGCGCAAGCTCACGGCTGAGGAAGAGGAAAAGATCAAGCGGACTGCCTCGCGCCCCGATGTTTATGAATTGCTTGCTCGATCATTAGCCCCCAGTCTCTACGAGATGGACGACGTCAAGAAGGGTATTCTGCTGCAATTGTTTGGCGGCACGAACAAGACGTTCCAGAAGGGCGGCAACCCACGGTATCGTGGCGACATCAATGTGCTGCTCTGTGGTGACCCGTCTACCGCGAAATCTCAGCTTCTACGCTACGTTCACAAGATCGCCCCTCGTGGTGTCTACACCAGCGGTAAAGGTTCATCGGCCGTCGGTTTGACTGCCTATGTGACTCGCGACCCGGAAACCCGACAGATGGTCCTGGAGTCCGGTGCTTTGGTTTTGTCGGATGGGGGTGTCTGCTGCATTGACGAGTTCGACAAGATGAACGAATCCACGCGGTCCGTCCTCCACGAAGTCATGGAACAGCAGACGGTGTCCATCGCCAAAGCGGGCATTATCACGACCCTGAATGCGCGCACGTCTATCCTGGCGTCCGCCAACCCGATCGGCAGCAGGTACAACCCGAGGCTGCCCGTTCCACAGAATATCGATCTGCCACCGACCCTGCTCTCTCGGTTCGATCTTGTCTACCTGGTGCTGGATCGGGTGGATGAGTCGGAGGATCGTCGGCTGGCTAAGCACTTGGTCGGCATGTACCTGGAAGATAACCCGGAGAATGCCAGCTCTCAGGAGATTCTGGTAAATTGCATCTCATATCAACATTTAGAGAGCTTGAGCTGACCCATTATTCTAGCCTATTGAATTCCTGACAGCCTACATCACCTATGCAAAGACCCAGATCCATCCCGTGCTGACCCCAGCGGCCGGCCAGGCTCTTTCGGATGCCTATGTGGCCATGCGCAAGCTTGGTGACGACATCCGCAGTGCCGAACGCCGCATCACGGCCACAACCCGCCAACTGGAATCTATGATCCGACTGTCCGAAGCCCACGCACGCATGCGGTTGTCGCACGAAGTGACAGCCGATGATGTGGAGGAAGCCGTGCGACTGATCCGGTCAGCCATCAAGCAGGCTGCCACCGATGCCCGGACAGGTCTGATCGATATGGGCCTACTGACCGAAGGCACCAGCGCCAGCGAACGTCGGTTGCGCGAGGACCTCAAGAAGGCCGTGATGGCCCGGCTCGAGGAGCGCGGCGGGGTCAGCGGCGGCGCCGTGCGCTGGGCTGATCTCTTCCGCGACTTGAATGAGAACAGCGACGTGTCGCTGGAACACAGTCAGTTCGGCGACGCGGTGCGCGCGCTGGAGGCTGAGGGAGCGCTCAATGTCATTGGGGAGGGAGCACGGCGGAGTATTCGGCGGGCTGCTGGCTTGCCGTAGAAAATGTGACGAGGCTATGAATTCTGCGTTAATAAGGTATCTGGTAGCATGCCATCCCTTGCATGCTGCGGAAAAGGAGTTGGCGGCGGGCGTTAGGTTCGGGAGAGTGCATGTTTTTGTCAGATGCCATGTGCAATCTCCACGGTTTGATCGGGTCTGTAGATTGGAATGTTATTTCTCAGTCAAGCTGTACGTACAACAACAAGGTATAACCCTCGTTTCACTCGGGATGCTTTAGCAGACAATCGTGCGTAGGGCGCGGTCTCTTCCAGTGTCTTCCAGTGGCTCCGGTATTACTGATAGCGCCAGCGAACCCTCAACGCAGACCCTACTAATAGAATAGGGAATACAGTGTAGTACAGCGCCAGTATATAGAGTGGAGCATTATTTAAGAGATAAGCAAAGTCAAGGCCGAAAATTTTCCATTAATTGGAAAGAGTGTTACAATTCACAAGAATTATGCCTAGCACGCCATGAGAATCTGAGCTGTCGAGATCCTCAATGCAGAGCCCACCTTAATTTCCGGAGCTTCCCACGTCATTTTCTTCCCTGTTTGCCCTCACACTCGCTAAAATTTAATAGTCTCCCAACAGCAAGGCAGGGGACATGACATTATTTGATTGTGGGCCGTGCCTTCATCCGTGGTACGCCGGCGGCGGTGGAGCTGGCCCGCCTGAGCGACAATACATACTGGACAGATCAGGTCCTCTCGCCTCCTGCTGCCCACTTCCACCAATGACCGAGCATGGTTGCCTAAAGGGGGTCCTGTCCCCGTCTGTTCCCAATTCGACGAGCTGAGCGACATAATCCTCTCGGGACCGAGACCCTTTTTTGCTGGCTTGCGTCACGCCTAGCGCTTCCCGTAAATCCGGGTAGGAGGGATCCGGTCGTCGCCAGGGATTGTGGAACAAGGCACTAGGTCATGTAGTTACTTGCTTGGGTCCGCCATTTAGATTCACAAGTCAGTCGATCGTAACTTAATTCACTTCAGGATCGGGCCACAGAAGGATGAGGTCAGCCTCCAACCTTGGGGTCTGTACGGAGGGTTGGTCTCCTTCTACCAGTAATAACCGTGGAATAATAATAAAGACCAACCATGATAATTAAAGACCAGGGTCTAAGACACCAGGATGACCAACCAACAAAGAAAAACGCGAGGGATGGCCCCAATAACCCATGTAGGGTGGTGCGGCCCCCGTTATCCCCAGACTAAACTCTACTCGATTGCAAAAGACCCTCGAAGGATGGCGACATTCCTCCTCCAAGCTTCGGTCGCGTTGCGCACGGATTAGATATCGCAATACCAATTAATTCCCACACCATTGTCAACCCGATTGTGATCATTTTAATATGATTGTTATTTGGGCCTGAAAGTCAAGAATAACTACAGCAACCGGCGCTGCTTACTTTTTAGTGTGAGATTGAGTTACCGCAAAAAGGCTTGGCTGTACATCATCACGGACCCAAGTCAAGTCCCGTAGTTTGGAGTCGGGGCTATCTTGGCGGAACCCTCAAAACAGGGCCAATAAATGCAGGGTCGAGGGCTCAAAGCCAGGGTCCTGCTAATCTAGGCTTGGACAAAAGGTACTCCGTAGTTGGCGGCGCCCTTCCGGCCCCGTTAAGCTTTCGTCGTCGTAATCGCCCCCCTCCTCCCGGCCAAAGGGGTCCACCGTGCAGAACGTCAGAAGAATGTAAGCCAATAATGACTCTGGTCGCCTTGTGTATATAATAGGGGTCCGCCTTAATGTTGCGGGCGCCTGCTGGCACGAATGCTTCTTGGATCTATTTCCTCACTCCTCCATCCACCACCCTACACACGCGGATACATACAGACCACCATGTTGCCACCACACACAGCGTGGATTTCGGGCCTATTACTCACCTTCGCCTCGCTGGCCCACTGCGGCACTCTCACCTTCACAGACCCAAATGGCGATGGACAATGTTACGTTCAGCTAGACGGGCTCCTCGAATGCACGGGGATAACATCCGACTCGATCGGAGAGATTAATTGGGAAGGCTACTGCTCAAAATGTATGAATCTTCCCTTCGAGATTTTTATTTTCCCTGGAGAGTCTTAACGTTTCCTTTCAAACAGTCGATATGATGCCCGATAACTCGCCAACATCAAAGGTCCAAGTCTGCGACAAACATCTATATGTGACATGGTCCAAGGACCTCTGGGGCAACCACATTGCACATTTCCAATTAGGAGAACCATATGAGGATGAGCGACTTGACCTCATCGGGGTCATGAATTATGAGACGGGACTGCCTAATAATGTTGCTGCCACGACGCCGCTCCCGTCGTGGTGATAATCTTGAGACCGGCCATGATGATGACGGCGTACATTCTTGTTTCGGGCTGTACGGTATATGTTCATATGTCTGTATATATAGACGGAGGGAAAGGCGAATATCCATTGGGGGGCTGCACATTACATTTGGGTGGGATTTCATGGCGTCTTAGGCAGAATCAAATACGACATACATATTTCACATACACACTTTCTTTCTCTCTGTCGACTCCGCGTTGCACCTGGCAAGGGAAATCCAGGTGGAGTTGCGGACAGTCTGCATTGAAGGTCAGACGAGAGAAAAGTCTGTGACTCGAAGACTGCGTCGGTGCTGGAGCGTCTAGTTGAACGAAAAGCTTGTTTCTTGATTTATTGGTGAGTATGTACTGTTGTTGAACAGGTTCGCATCAGCTGTTCAAGAGCGAGGAGGGAAACAGGAGGGAGATGACGACCGTCGCAGGGGGCTTGAAGCCACAAAAGATGGTGAAATCTGGCGTAAGTTGGTGTGTCGGCCCTCGACAATCCTCCCATCTCTCCCTTATTATTCCCCTCCACAATCGTCATCACGCGCATGCCCTTCGCTCTCTCTCTCTCTCTCTCTCTCTCTCTCTCTCTCTCTCTCGGAAGATTCCAATGTCGAAGTTTTCCCTGCAGAGCAAGCTCCGCCAAAGTATTGTCCGAAGTCACACAGACCCAACTAGCCCGCCTTACCTCGGGCAGCACTGCATCCCGAATGCACACAGAGGATTGGATCGTTTACGCAGTTACGATGTGCTCGCAGAGAGGATATCTTGTTTTGGAGGGTTGCTAATTGGGGGATAACCGACCACTGACGGCGAAGATCGACGATTTTTCAAAAGGGGAGTGGGACAACGAACGCGATGTACGACGTTTGCTGTTTGAGGAGGTGGTGATGGAGCGCTGAATACGAACTTCAATGGCTAGACGATTCTTATCCTCCGTTTCTCGGCTTCGTCAGCCGCAAGAGAATGAACTCAGCGACATATTCTGGCCGTATGTTCGAGTCATGATCGATGGTGCCGCAAATATCAACTGCATTCTTGTCAGTCTCACTTAGGAACAGCGATCCACCAAAATCCTCCCACAATGATTTCCCTTCGACTCCTCACGTTGGCGCTTCTATTTTCATCGACCTGGGCCAGTCCAACCGCCACATCTCCCTCGATGCTGCCTCCTACAGCGGCGTCCAGCTCAACAGACGTCGCAGCAGTCCAACTCAACCAACTCGCACGTTCCGCACTCAACTTAGCCCTCGATATAGTCATCAACAATATCACGAGCAAAGAATCGGGAGGTTGCACAATGGAAAAACTACAAGTCCGCCGCGACTGGAGAGCGTTTTCACGGGCACAGAAAAAGGCATATATTGAATCCGTGCTCTGTTTAACCCATCTCCCCCCCAGCACGCCCGCAAAAGACGCAAGAGGAGCCAAGAATCGGTATGATGATTTTGTGGCCCTACACATCGTTAAGAGCAATTTCGTGCACCGCACGGTATGTGTTTTTGACTCGGATCGTCGGTTTTTTTCTTAGCACTGATGGTAGGGATAGGCTGCGTTCTTGGCCTGGCATCGGTACTTTGTTTATGGTTTTGAGCAGACCTTGCGCAATGAGTGTGGATATACTGGTGATTTCCCGTGCGTTTTGCACTGTTTCCAATGAATCTCACTCATATACCTTTATGTTAGGTACTGGAACTGGGGCGCAGATACCGAAGACATGACCAAGTCCGAAGTATTCGACGGAAGCGACACATCCTTATCCGGCAACGGCGCCTTCATCCCCAACCAGCCCGATATCTCCATCAACATGGCCGGATACCCTCAGCTGAACTTCACTGCCGGGACGGGAGGCGGCTGCGTGACGAGCGGACCGTTCCGGAACTACACAGTTGACATGGGGCCATCGTCCCTGTCAATGCCCGGTGGGAACGTGAGCAGCATGTCCAACCCACTGGACTATAACCCGCGGTGCCTGAAACGGTCCCTCACGACATCCGTCCTCCAAAGCTACGCCAACTACACCGCGATCGTGCAGCTGATCCTGAACAACCACGACATCTGGGACTTCGAGACGGGCATGCAGGGCGTCCCGAGAAGTGGGCTGGGCGTTCACGGAGGCGGACACTACGCGATGGGCGGGGATCCCGGCCGGGATATGGATGTCAGTCCTGCGGACCCGGCGTTCTGGCACCACCACGGCATGATCGATCGTGTGTGGTGGATCTGGCAGCATCTGGATCTAGAGGATCGGCAACAAGCTATTTCGGGGACGGGCACGTTCATGAATCACCCCCCATCGCCGAATACTACGTTGGATACGATGCTGGATTTGGGGTTGGCAGTTCGTGGTGCTCCGGCTGCCATGCGGGAGCTGATGAGCACGACGGCGGGGCCCTTCTGCTATGTGTATTTGTGATTGTCCCTGTGAAGCAGAATCATCCTTCTTCTGTAACAATGGAGATGCTCGGCAAAAGATATCGCGAGTTTCGTTGAACTAGTCCCCTTTCATACTTAGTGCTCTCGTGCGCAAAGGACTGGCTAGCAGGGCACGTGGAGGGGTGCTGAGTCAGCGGGAGCTATGACGCCAAGTGAGCGAAATGAAGCAGCAGCAGCAGCAGTAGGAGTGTGTGTGTGTGGAAGAAAAAGAAGAAGAAGAAGAAGAAAGTAAAGGGTTCATAGAGATGATATTATTTTAGTAAAGTAAAGCCCATAACTCACTATAGCCTGTCAATTGATCAGATCGAGCTGCGTAGAGAATACTGCACCAAGCTCCAAGGCCCACTCAAACTAACCGTTCGCGGGACCGTTTCAACCATCCCAAGTCTTCTCCCTCGGATCATGTTCTCTCTCTGCTCCCGAACAATCCAATAACCCCCGGTTTGGTCGGACCAGCATTCACCATGAGGTATTGACTCCATTCCGCTGTCTCTCCCTCCACCATGCAGATCGGAACTGCATCAGCATTCCCCTCCCCGCCGGTCTGGTATTCCGCCCGCATTGCTGACCCTCTGTCACTCCAGGTTCGGCGAGTATCTCCAGTCTTCCATGATCAAGGAGTACCGTCCCTTTTATATCGCCTACGACCAGCTCAAGAAAGCCCTCAAGACCGATTTGGTCTCCGCGCCCACCCCCGAAACCCCCAAGCCCGCACGCAAGGAATGGACCGAGGACGACGAGAAAAACTTTGTCGCTTTGCTTGAGAGTGAGCTCGAGAAGGTGTTCCTGTTCCAGAAGCAGAAGAGCGAGGAAATCGTCGAGCGCATCCAGCGTAGCGAGGCCGAGGTCTTCGAGGTTGTCGGTCGCCTCGAGGACGCGGTGCAGACCCGCCGCGGGAGCGTTCGCCTGTCCCGACCACCTCCTTCCGACGAGGACTTCTTCGAACTCGAGCAGGTTCTGAGTGATATCATTGCGGATGTTCATGATCTGGCCAAATTCACCCAACTCAACTACACCGGCTTCCAGAAGATCATCAAGAAACATGATGTGCGTACATCTTCACCTGTAACATGCCGGATTCTGACCAATGACACAGAAAGAAACCCAATGGTACCTTAAACCGGTTTTCGCCGCACGCCTCAATGCCAAACCCTTTTTCAAAGACAATTACGATGCCTTCGTCGTCAAACTGTCCAAGCTTTATGACCTGGTCCGCACCAAAGGCAACCCCGTCAAGGGTGATTCCGCGGCAGGTGGCGTGCAGCAAAACTTTGTGCGCCAGACGACCAAATACTGGGTGCATCGCGACAACATCACCGAATTAAAACTGGTGATTCTCAAGCATCTTCCTGTTCTGGTCTTCAATGCCAGCAAAGAATTCGAAGAAAAAGACACCGCCATCTCCTCTATCTACTTTGACAACCCCGAAACCTGGGAATTGTACCAGGGACGCCTCAAGAAAACTGAAGGTGCGGAAGCCATCCGTCTGCGCTGGTACGGTGGGATGGAGAGTGACCAGATCTTCGTGGAGCGCAAGACTCATCGCGAAGACTGGACGGGAGAAAAGTCCGTCAAGGCGCGGTTCTCACTGAAAGAAAAGAACGTCAATGCCTACTTGGACGGCCGCATGACGGTGGAACAGATTTTTGAGAAGGCGCGGAGAGAGGGCAAGAAGAGCGAGGCGGAGATTGACAACCTAGAGCAATTGGCCCGTGAGATTCAGTACCGGGTGATCACTCGGCGTCTGGTCCCCGTCACACGAACCTTCTACCACCGCACTGCGTTCCAGCTGCCTGGCGACGCGCGAGTGCGGATTTCGCTCGATACGGAGCTGACGATGATCCGCGAAGATAATCTGGACGGCCGCAGGCGGGCTGGAAACAACTGGCGGCGCATGGATATCGGCGTCGACTATCCTTTTTCCCAGTTGCCGCCCGAAGACATCGACCGGTTCCCCTATGCCGTGCTGGAGGTGAAGCTACAGACCCAGGCCGGCCAAGAACCGCCACAATGGATCCGTGATCTGACCTCCAGTCACCTGGTGGAGGGAGTTCCCAAATTCAGCAAGTTCATTCATGGAACTGCCACGCTTTTCCCTACCCGGATCAATCTGCTTCCATTCTGGATGCCACAAATGGACGTGGACATCCGCAAGCCCGTGTCTCGTCGCTATGGGATCCATCGACCGCTCGTGAGCACCTCTCTATCTGCCAACGATGAGGACTCCGACGAGGACGAATCACCGATCATGCAGACGCAGACCGACGACCCGATCGGTTTGTTCTCCGACGCCAACGGCAACGAACTTGACATCGAGGAGCGCATTGCCGCGCTCCCCTCGATCGGTGATGCGGACTATCCCCTGTATGACTCGGACGATGAGTCCGTCGGCACCGACGAGCTGGAGGAGGCTCGTCGCGTGGGGGGCGCGTACTATGCAGAGCAGCTGGTCAAGTACTACGCCCGCCGCACCGGCCACGCCATCGTACAGGGACTGCTGGCTCTCATTCCCCGCCCTCGTCCAACCACCCTGCCTCCCCCCGAACAACGCGGAATCGCCGTCATGGGCACCCAACGCACACTACAACGGTTCCAAGCACCTCCCGGCAAACGTAAGCCTGACCACCCTTCCACCCTCCTGCCCTCCCACCATTTTAGATTTTAGCATTATACTAACACTAGAATAAGGCATCTTCGTCCCCATCCGCGTCGAACCCAAAGTCTACTTCGCCGCCGAACGCACATTCCTATCCTGGCTTGAATTCTCCATCATCCTCGGCGGCATCGCTGCCACTCTCTTGAATTTCGGGGCCGACTCCGTGACACTCGCCTCGTCATGGGCCTTCACCGTCCTCGCCGCAACGGCCCTCGTCTACAGCTTGTTTCTGTACATCTGGCGCGTCGACAAGATCCGCAAGCGCCGCGATGTCAAACGCGTCTATTACGAGAAATGGGGTCCCTCTGTTGTGGGGCTTGGTCTTCTTGCCGTTATTCTGGTGAATTTTGGATTGCGGGTCAAGGCTGGTGGGTTTATGGCTCCCGACGGTGGGTCTGGGAGGCATGGTGGTGAGTTGTGAGTTTTTAGTTTGAGGAATGTATGTATCTATCTACGTCTCCTACTGGAGTTTTCGAGGTTCCTGGCGTTGTTTTGCTGGGATGTATGACAAAATAAATACCTGTAAATTGCCTATTGCAGTTAGTTTCCCCTTTTGAGGTTTAGCACCCCACTATGAACCTCTCCCCAGGCTAGCGATGGACCGATGAACTACATTATGCGTGTTTCCAGAATAACAACAGGTCAGGATTCTTATACCGTCTCTCTGAATGCCATTCAGAATGCCGCTAGTCCAAAAGTGGCAATATATCACCAAAGAACCGAATTATACAAAATTGAATTCTCTAGATTTGATACTACTAGATTACGGCAATCCATGCTGTAAGAACATTCTATAGTATTGAAGAAGGCACTCCCTCATAATAGAGCTTGTTTTAGCAACATGTAGCTGTGACTAAAATTCCATCAAAGTGGCAAGAGATTAAAATAGATGATCAGACCCGTCTCGCTGTCATGTTATCACATTAACTCTAACACGGGATGAACTAGCTAGTTCTGAACAGTTCTCTGCTTTATCATCTAAAAGTGTGTATCTAAATAATTGCATCCAGTTCGTCGACCCAAAGTCCACATCATCGTCTATAGCAATCGACCCATGCGATCATGCCTGCAACGCCGAATCACGCCCAGAAGTTTTATACTGTCCCGATCTGCGCGCTATCTCCTCCTGGACCCGACTCCTCTTCTGATCCGCCACAAGCATCCGCCCGCGGCGATATGCGCCGAGGACCACCAAGACAGCCGCCCCTGATACCGCCGCTGCAGCCACCATGTCGTTGTGGAAAGCTTCCGAGAAGGCTCGGTGCACTGCACTGCGCTGCTCCGACGAAAGCGGCGCTCCGCCGCGACCGAGTGTGGCCTGTTCTTGTGGCGTCAGAAGCCCCGAGAGCAGTTCACTGGTTTTGGTGTTCAGGAAGACGGTCGAGGTGGAGATGCCCATGCTACCCCCAAGGATTCTCAGTTGTGCTATAATGCCCTGCGCGGGTGCTGCGTTTGATTAGCCCCAATAGCTTGACAGATTTGGGAGGGCGTCGATGAAAGTTACCATAGTCTATGATGGGTACTTCAAACGAGGCGAGCATCGTTGCCGACGCGACGTTCAATCCAAACCCAAGACCGGCGAAGACAATGAAAGCGAGTGCCTTGGCATCGTCACCGGCATCGTGAACGATGGTAAGTAGTCCGACCCCAAGAGTCATCAGGCAAGCACCAACGAGCATTGTCTCGAAAAGATAGTTCTTGGTCTTGCTCAAAACTCCCGCGAGTACGCTTCCCACAGCTGTGGAGCCCAACATGGGGAGCAGCATGATACCCGCCAACAACGGGCTTTTGTCGTCCACGACTTGGGCCCTGAGCGGAAAGGCGTAGGTGATTATGAAATAGGGATAGCCAAGGCATAGTGTGGAGATCGCAGCGGCCGCGTATGCTCTGTTGCGGAAGAGGCCGATGGGAAAGGTGGGTACGATGCGACCCTCAAAGACCCGTCCGGCCAAGTATTCCCAAGCTAGGAGGGCCAGCCAGAGGACAATGCCGACGGTCAAGGGCGCGATGAAGATGGCGGTGCCCCATGTCGTGCCTGGAGACTCACCCACACTCTGGAAGGAGAAGACGATCAGAACAGCCGCAGCGATGATAAGAAAGGAGCCGACATAATCGAATTCCTTCCAAGATCGTCTCGTTGTTGAAGGCAAGTGTTCGGCTTTCGGCCAAGAGAGAAAGAAGATGATCAAGGAGACGAAACCAATGGGCCCACTATCAAGCGTCAATGACATATCGATGCTGCAAATGAGGAAGCTTGATCGGAAACATACTTTATCCAAAAGACCCATCTCCAGGTGGCGTAGTGCGTCAAGATACCTCCCAGAATAGGCCCAAGGGCTCCCGACCCGGCGATGACTAGGCCGATTATGCTGCCTATATATTGCCGAAGATTCTCGGGACACAACTCGGGCAAGATTATCATGGGAAGAGAGTAAAGGCCTGGTCAAAATCAGTACGGCCACGGCCTTGGACAATTAACCATCGCCTACCAGAGCCGCCTATCCCCTGCAAAGTCCGGCAAGCGATGAGCTGGTCCAGGCTTTGCGCAAAACCACATCCCAGGGAAAAAGCGAAGAAGAGAATATAGGCAGCGACAAAGGCGTTCCGCCTGCCCACCACATCGGAGACGCGAGTAAAGGTCACAGCGCAGCCAAGATAGGCAAGCGTGTAGGCCAAGACGACCCAGTTGACGCGGCGGACGTCTTGGAATTCGACACCGATGCTATAGATGCTAGTGGCGACGATGGAGGTATCTATGACGGAGAGGAAGAGCCCAAGACAGACTCTGAAGTATATTTTTGAAGACGTTGAGTAATTTGTCCCGTGGGTGTTTGAATATCTAGGGCAGACTTACCCGACGCTAACCATCCAGAAACGCACCGCAGGCACAGTGGTCTCTTTGAATGCAAGCTGCCCTTCGTGTTGCAGATCGGCTCTGGAGTCTGTGCCTGGGGCAAAGGCAACGCCAGGATGATTCTTCTCCATGGTGATGTCGATTAGGGGCCTTGCGAGTCGAACAACGGTGTCGATATCAAGTTTGGTACGCGCAACAGAATCTTGTCCTGTGCTGGACGACGAGGACCACGCAACGGAGGACTTATATATGCCGCCCTCCAACACAGTGACACTCACCAGTCGGCACCCCGGATCATGGGACTCCGAGAGGCCGAACAAACCAAATTCACCACCCTGCCTTCCCTCCGCTCTAATGCGACAGCTTCGGCCGATTGTCGTTTGATCTTCGATTCTCTACATGAGATCGACCTTGCTGCCCACCACGATCGAGCCATAGCTTCACAGAATGGACACCCAAGAGCCAGTCCCAAAGATGCTCCAAGTCCTGATCTGCCACAGCATTCAACGCAAGGCAGAGAGCGCCATGATGGTCATGGACGGAGCAGGCGCGGTCGAGACCCAAGGCGGCTTGTTCTTGTGATGGACTAGTTACGGGTATGGCACGCAATAGGGTACAGAATGCCAACCTGGCCGTCTTGGGCCGACTACGGTATCGCTGAGAGCGAGATGTGCGAGTGTAAGAATGCGACTGAACCGACCCACTCCACCTCAGTTCGGACATCTCGGTTCCGAGAAGCCGAGAAGCCCGCTGACAGCATGGTCTCCAACATTGTCCTGCTAGAATCAAACTCCTTTTTTGCCCCCGGTTTCTGAGCAGTGAATAGTATCGAACATCAATTTGCCATGGTTAGAGCTCCAAAACGGTCTGCCTCCTCCGCCGATGACGATGAGACAGCACGCCCATCCCGGATATCGGTCCCACGGACTTACAGACCAGGGGCGCGGTCCTGTGAAGGCTGTCATCAGCGAAAGGTCCGCTGTGACCGTGAAGTGCCTTGCACCAATTGTTCGAGGTATGGTATGACCTGCGTGTATCCCACGAGGGACCCAGACTCGGCACAAAAACCCCTACTCTTCGAGACATCACCAACTGTCTGAAACGACTGGAAATCTTGCTCTCACGTTTTGCTGAGAGTAGCGAAGCCACTACGGGATCTGCAGTCGATGATGGTGGTGGTCGTGCCGAGTCCGAAATTCAAATCCAGGCTCGACCTAGTGCAAGTGTCAATGCAATTGAAACTGCTAGTCAGCGTCCATCCAACAGACCCCCAAACAAATCAACATGGGAGATATTATTGAACAACTCTGATATCGAGCCATTGCTACAAGAGGTAAGCCTAGATTGATTTTTAAGGCTGTTCCGATTTTTCTTCCCTCTACGAAGAGACCATACATAACCCGAAAAAGCTAATATATGACGCATTTACCAGGAATCTATTGGCTCGGAAGCAGCGCCTTCGCACCTTCGGGTGAATACAACAGCGTACCACAGACCTCCTACGCAGCCGGGTGCTTATGCTCCTCTAGACAGGGACTCCGAGCCATTGGATTTCTATCCTGATTCCCAACTAGCCCTCCGGTTATGGGATGTGTACGTCAAATCGGTCGATCCTGTCCTTAAAATCTTGCATATACCGACAGTACAGTCTGCTGTTGTGGCAACGATTCTGGACCCCAGATCTGCACAACCGTCAACGGTGGCGTTGACATTTGCCATCTATTACGCCGCCGTCACGGCCCTTTGTCATGATGATAGTGACGAGCCTATTGACCTACCGTGGGAGAAATCGGTCCTTTTGAAACGCTACCAGACTGCCTTGGACCGACTTCTCGTGACACCCGATTTCATGAGTCGACCTGAAATAGCGGGCTTACAGGCTCTCGCAATTTATGTGGTGAGTACCGAGGCTAGCCCTAAAATCGATCATGTATTACTACTTGGTTGGTTTATCTAACTGACCACGATCTCTCCAGACCTGCTTACGGGCTCATGAACTTGGTCGTAGAGTATGGGTCCTCACTGGGCTAGTAATCCGGCTCGCCCAATCGATTAGCCTACACCGAGACGGTACCTCTCTCAAACTAAGGCCTTTTGAGACAGAGATGCGCCTTCGTCTTTGGTGGCATCTATGTGTGCTTGACTCTCGTGCCCCAGAGGATCAAGGGTTTCAGCCCACGGTTGATCTCGCGAACCAGGAACTACGGCTTCCCTTGAATTTGAATGACAATCAAATATATCCAGATATGACACACTTTCCAGCGGAGTCTGATGGTTGGACGGAAATGTCTTTTTTTCTGATCCAAACTGAGTCGTGTCGGGTGATACATCCGATCCTTGACACTCAACCGCAGCATTCCGCAGATACTCTTCTTGATATTAGAGAAAAGCGGAAAGTGATTCAAGACCCTGGCCAATATCTGTCAGCTAAATATGGTATTTCACCTGGGTTTGAAACACCGACTGATCTACAGCGCATTGCAATTCAACATGTCACCACTGCCTGTAAGAAAATGGAGTTCGTATTGCAACTACGAGAGGAGATTTGCATGCGAAAGCAAAACGAGGCGCAGAATGATGCGACTCCCGACGTGCTCAGGTTGTCTTTCAAGTTGGCCTGTGACGGGCTGGAAAGCAGTCATGTGTTGTTGAAAGAGGGTCTTGCTTGGAGGTTCAAATGGTTCTTCAGCATGTACACGCAATGGTACGCCTTGGCCTACGTTCTGCGCTGCCTCCGTAATAGCCCTTGTGGGTTCAAGGCAGATCGTGCCTGGGCTTTGGTTGAAGGGCTTTTCCCTCGCGGAACGAATCATCAGGGTCATCCGGTGGCCAGCCCTGATGAGCATGGGCACGGCAGGATTTGGAAGTTTCTCAAGATTCTTCGACATCAAGCTGGGTCCTCGGGACAGGATGCCCAGTTATCTGCGGCCACCGCAGATAACCGGGTTCAGCTGTCCAGCAGTGGAGGGGAATATTTTACTTCCCAGCTTCTTCCAGATGCCGAAATTCCGCGGCCCACCAGCACGACAGTAGCAGATCATGATACATCCATCCTCCCCGAGTGGGGTCACGAATACATTACTGATCCTGACCAAAGAGTTTCTGAATCTTTGGATCTATTGATGCCGGAGATTCCGTTTTTGTCAGATTGGAATGCGATCATCAACGGCCAGTAAATCATAGCTAAGTGTTAATAAAAATGATTCTCACTATACACAATCTACACTCCTTTGAGCTCGAGTCCGGTTCTAGGTGATGGAGAAACTTCTAGGCGCCTGCCACATCAGCATTTTGCGTTCAATCAGAGCTGTACCACTGTACTACTATAGTTTTGATACCAATGGAATAGATAGAGCAATAAGATTTAGCTGCAGAGGGGAGCCATTTTCGGCGTCGTTTTAGTCGCCAGTTTAAATGGGGGAAACAATTGTTGAAGTCGAGCGCCAACATCAGGACTGGAGGATAACTAAAAGCGCGGGGCCTGAAAAACCGAATAAAAGCCAACGAGATCTATCTATAGTCTATGAGAAATTGACAAGAACGAAAATCAAGTACAAACGGAAGCCCTAACCGCCCAGTTCACTAATATCGAGTATGCACATTGATAATCAGACTGGGCTGTCGAGAACTAACATTGAAAAATAAACCCCCAAGCTTGTTTCAGAGTCACCCTTTCTAAGGATTGTAATTCACGACCGGAACAACAGTATCATCGAGACTGACGGCAGAAGGATTGCTTTCCTCCAAGCCTGAGTACCTATTCAGCCAGCCAAGAACCTGCTGGTGCCATACAAGACTATTCTCAGGGTCGGTTACCCTAGATGATGCCCCTTTTGTTAGCACCGTTTTTAGTGACACATTTTTGGACGAGACTATAGACCTACCAATGGTTCTCATCCGGGAAATTGAGTAGACGACTGGGTACGCCACGCTCTTGCAAAACATTGAACAGACTAAGACCCTCAGCTACAGGAAGCCGGTAATCCTTTGAGCTGTGGATGATCAGATGGGGCGTGCTGAATTGCAGAATGTGCTCTGGAGCAGATGGATCCCATCGTCGATAGTTGTATCGGTTTGCCCAGAAGGTGCCATTAAACTTGATAGAGTGTAAGGCAATAGACGCAGCCAGGTATAAAGAAAGGCAAGAAGAAAACTCACGTCATGTTCCATAAACCATAACTCCTCAGTCGAAATCTTAGCATCTGCTACAAACGTTCCGTCGTGGGTGACCAGTGCTTTGAACTTCCGGCCTAGCGGATTTCCTTGGATCCAATTGATCATGAACCCCCCGTAGCTAGCACCTGCGGCTACACCATGATCGGTGTCGACAAACTCGAAGTTATCGCGGACATACTCCCAACATCTTACCAGATCTTCATAGGGATAGCCCCCTACGTATGGTTAGACTGTATTGGTGATAAAGCGGATTCACTCACCCCAGTTGTTTTGAATCATATCGGTTAGCTTGTCCCCAAACCCTGAGCTGCCCGTTGGGTTGGGTGCAACCACCACATAACCCTGGTCCGCGAAGACCTTGTAGTTCCATCGCGTGCTCCAGGAATTTCCCCAGGAGCCTTGTGGGCCACCATGAACGAAAAGCAGTAGTGGGTAAGACCTCGTCTTGTCGAAGTTTGCCGGATATATAATCCAAGAATGAATCTGTTAGATAATCAGTGGTGGTACACAATCTGGACATAAACAGCCTTACATCAGTCCAGCTTCCTTTGAAGTAAAACTCATCCACATCGGCCGCACTGAGCCCCCGAAGGGCAGGGTCGACTTCGTTTGCCAGGAATAGCAGCTTTGGGAAACCGGATCCTTGGTCCGTTCTAAAGACTTTCCAAGAATTCCAAATGGTTGATCCAGTTACCAGCATATCCCCGTCAGGCAGCATGTAGTATGCAGATACCCACTCATTCTCTGTCAATCTGTGTGGAACAAAACTATCAGGTGCATCAACAGGTACGTGAAACAAGTGGCTCCGAGCCTTATCTTCACACCTGACAATGAGGCTCTGACCATCTCTCGTCCATTTGACTGCGTCCGGGGAACGATCCCAGTCCCTGACGACACTAGGAATAGTCTCCTGCGAGCCAATGGTGTACACATAAAGCGTGCGATGATCCGACTCGTAGGAAATGTCTTCCATTTGAAAGTATGCAAGCTGACTGCTGTCTGGAGAGAATGCAGGACCACTGGAATCCCCTCGAATACCGGCCGGTTGGTATGGACTATGCGGTCCATTGATTGCAACTGGATTATGAGAGCCATCGTGAGAAGTGAGGTAGATGTATGAGGCTGTATAATTGGCACGCGGTAGCTCCGGAGCTTTACTCTTGAAAGCAACCAATTTTCCGTTAGGAGAAATATCATAGTCAGACGAGCCGCCGAATGGGGGAGACGGAGATTCAAGGTTCTTGACACCCGCGACCAGATTTTTGAGAGATTCCCGCATGCGGTAATGTGGTGTCGCCCGTTGCCTGCTGTCCGTCCTTCTCAAAGCCCCCGAAAATACGGCGTTGAAAGTCGGAGTAAGCCAGGTATCCCAATGCCTCACGTAGATGCTATCGTAGATGCGAGCTGAGCTGAGAGAAGCTGTCACCAACTTCTCGTTGTACGCGGTGCCGTTAGAATAAGACTGTCCATGGACAAGAAAATGAATATCTCCCGATTCCGCGACAGCGGTCTTCAGCCCCGAAAACGATGCCGGTAGAGACGCAGCCTTGTACCGACTATTTGAGATTAGGAGGTGATCGGACTTTGAGGAAAGCAAACTCACGAGTTGATGAAATCAGACGTTTCCGCAATCCATAGTTCAACACCCCCAGGGATTTCGGTGTTAGTGTCGTTGATGTACAGCACTCCGGAAGGAGTCGACCCTAGCCAGGTCATCTCTGCGATATTGCTGTCTTCGGTAAGAACCGAGATACTCCCAGTATCCAGATCCATAATACTCCACCCTTTCGTTGAGGAATGGGTTTTGAATGAGTACTGGGATGTTTCGAAAAGTGCGATCTCCTGGATAATGGTTAGACAGATTGTATAAGCCTGTAGGGAAGGATGAAGACTCACGCCTGCTGGATTAGGGAGTGCTTCACCTCGCCGTGGAGCTGCGATCAACTCTCTAAGGACTTTAAATTAGCATGAATTAAGAACGAGAGCATTATCAGGACAGACTCCGGAGTGAGTGCACCAGCCAAAACCACCGCCGATCCGAAGGCGAGCCATTCGAGTGTTGCGCGCATGTTGGCGACCAGATACATGCATACCCCGATAAACACAGATGCACTGAAGATGAAATCTCGAAAAGTCCTCGATGATAGTGTGTGATTGTGCTTGAAACTTGGAATATAACGCAATGCGCGCGCCGGCGGATTGTTGGCGGTAGCAGACATCGACTCGCGGGTCGCAGCTTCCAGATCAAGGGCGCGTGCTACATTCCTGACGGGAGGCGAGAGTCTAGCAGCACGGATTTCAGCTCTTATCAGTCAGGGCAAGGGTCTCGATAGCTCAGGCTGGCCTCGCGTTTCGAACAAAGAATCTCGTGATGGGGTCTAGTGCCAAGCTTGAAGCCTCCCATTATTGATTACCTTTTTGGGATTGAGCAATACGTTCAACCCAAAGCCCAGGATAACTTGCAACTAGAGTGAGTTTACCGACTATGTATGGAACAAGTGCAATGAATTTGATAGAATACCCAAACCTCGTACACATTTCCCGTCTTAGTACTCGAAATCATCATCCACACCTCCCTTGCCCGCAGTCTCCTTCGCTACTGCCTCCTGCTTTCGATACATCTCCGCCACAGCGCGGGTTGTGGTCGCCTGCTCCGGCTTCTTGTCCTCGCGGGACTTGATAAAGCGAGGAAACCGGAGAGAAACACCTTTCCCACCGCCGGTAGTCCCTTCAAACTCATCAGCGGCAGCCTTGTAGCGTGGACTGAGAGTCAAGTCTGCAGTCTTGACTTCCCACACCAGTCTTGGCTCAAACCAGACATCTGGCTGGTCCTTGGGGACATTGGAATGCGAGTAAAAGGGTTTCGGCCGGTCGATGACCATGGGCAGAAGCTCTTTGTGGAGCTCTTCGAGACGCGCTTCGGAAAAGCCAGTGCCGATGTTGCAGATGGTCTCGTACTTCTCAGTGTTGGGGTTATAAGCGGCAAGAAGAAAGGCTCCGTAGACCGAGGTTCGTTTACCACGGCCGTAGTATGCACCAAGGACCACAAGGTCGAGGGAGTCACCGACTCCGGCGAGATAATCTTTCTTGACCTATAACCAAGTCAGTGACTGGAAGATACGAAGACCTAAAGAACCTACCTTCAGCCAGTTGCGACTTCGTTTGCTGGGTTCGTAACCACTTTCTGCCGTATCCAACATCTTCACCATCAGCCCTTCGCATGAGGCTTTGACACTCTCTTCAAGTAGATTTTGAATCTCGTCCAGAACATTGCTGTTGCCGAATTGAGCGAACTGGAACTCGCCCTCGACGGGCTGGAAACATTCGTGCATGAGCTCTCTTCGCTCACGAAGCGATTTCTTGACGCAGGGCTATGTTGTGGTCAGCAGGGAAACAAAAACAACAGATGGAAAACTCACCTCTCCATTGCAGAAAAGCAGATCAAATGCAAAGATGCACACCTTGACTTTTACATCTTCCGCCTTCACATCCTTCCGTTTACGGGTCATCAGCTGCTGGAAGGGGAGTACTTTCTTGTTGACAGTATCCCATGCGACTGTCTCGCAATCGAGAACGAAGCTCTTGACGTCATTTTTGATCCAGCCGTCGAGCCTGCCAAGAACGTCAGGATACTTCTTAGATAGGTCCTCGGAATTGCGAGAGAAAATCGCACAGAGGCCTTTGGCGTCCTTCTGGAGAGTGGCCGTGGCTCCGGGATATTGGTGAATCGAGTCGGGTGCGACGTAGTGAATTTGGGCACGTTCGCCATCGTACTTGTATTCGCAGGTAAACTCCTTTCCTTCGAACCGATCAAGTACCTCAGTGATGGACTTGGTGGGTTTCGCAAGCATTGGCTTGAGAGGAATTCCCGGTTGCAGTTTGCATACTTCGGGCAGTTGGAACAGACCATGTTCTAGGATAGCAGGAATGATGACTTCGTAGGAAGGCAGTTCGCTGTATACGGTCTTGAGAACAGCTTCGCCTTCAGCCATCTTCTCTGCAGACGGAGTCTTCTCGCCCTTGACTGCTGCTTCATGGGCCATCACAGCTTGGGAAAGAGCAACAAGCACGGTCTTCTCTGCGAGTCCCAATCTCAGTTTGCCCTCCAAGAAGCGAACGATGAATTTTGCTTCACTGGGACCGCCTTTGTCCTTGGTGATGTCCACTCCTTTACTCCCTTTGCCCGCGGTGGCGACATCAGCAGCAGACATTAGTTTCTTGATTCCCGAGATTTTCTTATCTTGAGAGCCATGACCTTGAACTTTGGCAATTCCGAGTAGTCCCTCGTGCACTCCTCTCACCGTCAATGGCTTTGGTTTGAACATTGTTGGCTGGTTAGACCGGCTCTTAGCTGCTACCAATCCAAGGTCTCCGATTTCATGCTGGTCACTCTTGATCACAGAGAGGCTGCGGCCGGTACTCTCGCCAATCGCTTTCATGATCAGTGATTCACCAATCCCCAACTCAATTCCAGCATAATCGGCTGCGAGCTTGTTGATCATGAGTTGAACGGTTGGAAGGAGATCTTGAGGCGTCAGGCGCAGAACCTGCTGGAGAAACAAGGAACAGTGCGCCGAAATTATCAACCGTTTCGTGGTCATCTCGACGAGGGAGAAGGTCGTGCACAATGCTGCATACGGGACAGGTTCGCCTGGCTTCCAGTCTGGGTATGGGTCTTTCCCACTTCCCTTCAGTGTGGCTTGTACCTTTTCAATCGCTTTCTTTTTCAATTCAGGTTTCGCCTCTTCTTCCTCTTCACTGGTCGATTGTTGGTCCTCTTCGTCCACCTTCAATAACTGTTCTTCTTGTTCAGGAGTCTCCTCCCCGGACGCTTTCTTCAGTACAGGAGGTGGTGATGATGCCTCCGCTTTCGCCCGTGGAGATTTCGATCCTACTGCGGGAGATAATTTTGGGTTTGGAGCAGGAGAGCGATCTCCAGCAGCTTTACGTCGTCGTTTGACGGGCTGGACGTCATCTCCATCGCTGTTTTCTGCATCTGCACTCTTCTCTCGCTTCAGACTCTTTACTTGCTCCGCTCCGTTAGGGCCGATGGAGTCAACCCCATTCTCTTGCTTATCGTCAAGCGTCTCGTTGTCTGCATCGCCACTCGGTCTATGCCGTTTCCCACCAAATGACAAAGTGGTCTGCTTTTTCGGGGCCTGGTTCGGGTTGGCGTTGGATCCAAAGAACCGTCTGGAAATGGCAGAAAGCACGTTAGCAAAGTTATAAGAGGTGGCAGAAACAAATCCAAACTATTGGGCGCCTCCCGCCATGGAGCAACATCGACGCACCCAAGAGTCATCTGGCCGTCGCGCACATACCCCAGAGTAGCTTGTTTCCCGCTTTTATCGTCTGCCATTGTTCGTAGATGTTGCTGCGGTCCCAAATCAGATGATAGGATGTATGATGATTTTGAGGCCGCCAAGTATGAGAACGAGGATACAGTTTGACTCTGCGAGGCTGCGCGGAGGATATATCGGGTTCCTTGTCCCGTCAGTCTGGAGCGCGACGGAGAGATCAGCGCGGCGAGCTCTAAGCTGTGGATGGCGCGCATAAGCAAGTCGCGAGCAGGTCAGTCAATCAGTCAGGTCAGCATGCGGAGGAAATCAACAGAATGTCCAAGGTCCACCCGCTGGTCCAGGCAGAAACGGGCGTGGTTCTTGCTTGCAACGCGAACCTGACGCGACTAATTATCTTGCTAAATTGGGGAACCGCCTTACCCACCGCTTTCAACTGCCGGGACAAACGAGTCGGCGGTCGAGTTTATCGACGTCTGTCTCTCTCACACCAACAACTTGCACAACAGCCACGATCATGTTTTTCTTGGCTTGCAAATTACTGGACTTATAACGTGGGCTGGCGGAGTTTGCCAAAAGTGATTTACCTGCATCGCCGTCAGGCGCTTGAGTCCAGTTGCCATGGACAACACTCAGCGCCAGGAAACCTTCGGCAAGGTGTGCGATTCTACGATGCGATCAAATCATCACAGCCTTGGATTCTAATCTCTCTATAGTTGCGTGAACCATGCGTCGAACTCAGCTCTATAGGCCTCAAATTTCGCGGAAATCAAGCCACAGCAGCGGAGGTGCTCCGGGCCGTCGAACCGGTACACAACGTTCTGAAGCAACTCGCTGCAAAGAATGCCCTCGACGAAAAATTAGCAGAGTACGCCTTCTTTCCGCTAACTCACATTTTCAACGATACGAAGAGGTTATCTGCACGATGTCTGGAATCCGCAGTGAATTGTTTGCAAATCTTGGTGGCCGATGGCTGGAAGCAGCGCCTGTCTCCAGCACTAGGCAAGCAGTTGATCATACTGTTAACGCTTATAATTGGAGGTTCGCCAACCCAAGGTGATGGGAAGGAACCTCTAAAACCAAAAGCATCAGAGGAGTTAGCTGTTGCCGGGTTTGATTGTCTGAGGACGATATTTAATGTGCTGGAGGGCCCGGTGGCGGAGCAGACGATTTTCCATGAAATTGGGACAGCTACGGTTGTTGATCAAACGGTTTATATCTTACTCGAGGGTCTGGTGGATGAGAGATCGGATGAGGTCTGCGTGGCAGCTGCCACAGCCCTGCACGCTCTTTATACTCGCATTACGGATCGCGTCGTGCTGGCCAGTATTATGCCACGTACTGTTTCAGCACTGACGAAAGTGCTCAAACCAACCACACAAGCTCGACGATCGTATAAGCTGCTCCAGACATGTCTGGACATTTTTACGGAATTGGTTCGGGCCGTGCTCAATGACCGTGTTGCCACCGCCACGAAAAGCGTCGTCTCAATCCCGCCAGACGATGATAAGCTGGTTCTAGATGAGTCTTGGTTGAAAGCAACGACGACACAAATCAAACTGGCATTAGCAAATGTCATTCAGGTCCGACGTCATGAACGTCCCGAAGTGCAAGCCGCTTTATTGAATCTCTGCTTGATGGTCATTGAGGAGTGTCAGGCTACCCTTGACGACGCCATCTCCTTGATGGTGCAAACGGTTGTGGTTCTGGCGGACCAGGAGGACCAGTCGCCCAATAAAGCATTCACGACACTGGTCCACCTGGCGACGGTCTATCCACCTGTGCTGGAGTCCCTCAAAGAATCACTCCACACGTGGCTGACTTCTTTCCCTCGGATCATGCATAGCAACGATGAAACAGCGAAACAATGGGGAGTTCGACAAATCTCCACAGCCTTTCAAGTCTTATCCCAGGTTCAGTCAGGATCAGACTTGCTCACCAGTAGCCTGGCTTCGGGGTTATGCGACAGTGTTGCGGCGGCGATCAAGAGCAACAATTCCCTGCAACCTTTGGCGTCGCCGAGTGATCTCAGCCTTGAGGTACTTCAACTTGGCGGCGAAAATAAAAGCTTCCCACCTGTATTGATGGGTCACACGAGCCAGCAACAAACTTTGAAAGACCTACGCTCGATGATCATCAGGCTCAACAGTTCGGGGTCTGGGAGCGATATAACAAGGTCAATCGTCAATCGCGTGCATGCTTTATCCGATGAATCCATTATTGCTCCATTCTGGCTGTCCTTGACATTCTTAAGAGATAATTCGCACTTTTCGGCTGGATTTGACGACTTTGTCTCTCTTGATCATGTGGAGCAGCCACTCTCACTGTCTGCACGCTCTAGTATGATAGAAGAGCTGTATTACACCTCTCTAACAATATTGAACGAACAGTCAGCCGATGCATCTCAAGACTGGCGTATATCAGCGCTAGCACTAGAGGCCATTGCCCTCCAGGCTCAGCAACTCGGGGAAGTATTCCGGCCTGAGCTCATGGATGCTTTATATCCAACACTACAACTGCTCGCATCCAGCAACTCCAATCTCCAACGGCATGCCATGACCTGCTTGAACGTTTTGACGACTGCGTGCAACTATGCAGACACAAGTTCAATGATCATCGAGAATGTGGATTATCTAGTTAACTCGGTGGCCCTCAAGCTTAACACGTTTGATGTGTCGCCATACCCGCCACAGGTTCTGTTCATGATGGTCAAACTGTGTGGTGGGCGACTTGTTCCGTATCTGGATGACCTGGTCGACTCAATATTCGGAATCCTGGATCTCTACCATGGTTATCCAAAGCTTGTGGAGATGATGTTCAAGACATTGGGCAGCATAGTTGAAGAGGGGGCCAAGAAGCAGTCCCTGTTGACTATCGATGACCGCAAAGATAACAGCCCCTACAATCGTCGCAAGCCCTTGTACCAGCGGCTGTCTGTCTCTACTATTGCCAGGGACATTGGCGACAGGAACGCCAAGCGCGCAAAGCACGCTGAAGAAGAGCTGGCCGACTCGGAGGGAAAAATCTCACATCCAAAGCAGCCCTGGTCGGAAACCTACAAACAGCCACCGAAGGAGCCAGAGTCTGTGGAAGAGCTTCTGCAGCAAGCCGAGTCCGACGAACCATTACCACCACCAAAAGAGCCCGAAGACAGCGAAAAGCCATTGAGCAAAACACACAACCTCCTTCTCCACATCGTCAAATCGATCCCATCACACCTCTCCTCCCCATCGCCATACCTCCGACGCTCTCTCCTCTCAATGCTCATCGACGTGCTCCCCGTTCTCGCACAAAACGAAAATAGTTTTTTGCCTCTCATCAACGACCTCTGGAACTCAGTCGCCACGCGAATCATTTTCCCGTCATCATTAACCAACTCCTCCTCCTCCTCAAAGACCCTCATCCCACGCACCTTGGCCACCGACAACACATCACAGCCAGAACAGCATGATTTTCAAGAAGAAACATTCGTCATCACCGCGGCCTGCTCGGTCATTGAAGCAATGGCCAAAGGTGCAGGCGATTTCATGGGCTCGCGCATTGAACCCGAGTTCCCACGCTGGGAGCGTTTGTACCGACGCGTGTGGGAGAAAGTGCGCCAGGATGCTGAAGCGGCGAATGAGCGGCGGGCACGGCATCAGAAGCAGCAGCAGCAGCAGCGGAGCGGCACACTTCCCTCATCTACCGAGACTACTCTAGAATTGAGCACAGCACTGTTCTCATCCCTCTCCCTCGCTCCTGCAAGCGCAAGTGGTGGAACAACCGGTCCCCGAGCCTTCACACCACACCATACCGTATGGCGTGCATTGCTGTCATTATTCCTAACCGTACTCGCATACGTTCGTTTACCCGTCGCGGTGGGAGACCAGATCTGCGAATTTGTAGTTTCGTGGATCGTGCTGTTTGCCGGGGCAGAGTATTACTTCGATTCCACGCGACAGGGTCAGCAGACTGCTGAGACTGAGGATCCTGTGCTTCTCCAGTCTGTGGAGGGTGCCATTCAAACTATGGAGGCCTGGAATGCGGATTTGACATGGTTTCTGTTTGCGCAACATCGCTATAAACAGCGCGGTGGATGGACTACTCGAGATCGGGTGTCTGTGGGAAGCGGTGCGAGCCACGGGCTTTCGGTGGAGGTTTTTGGAGAGAAGGTTTCGTTTGCAGTCGGCGTATTTTAGATTCTAGAATTACCGTCCATGACAATGGAAATGGTCTTTTCACGCTACGGGATGTCATGATAGAGGGAGAAATTCAGCAAAAGGAGTGGCGATTTGTCAGCTAGCTAAGATAACTATCTAAATTGGCTATAGTCCGAGTTAGACTGGCGTAGAACCAGGATATAACCCGAAAATTTGTCAAGCCAAGATGTATAAAACGAGCGTAGTGGCAACAAAAACAGCAGAACAGCAAGCAAAGTCAACGAACAAATTGAGATACGGTAACATGAAGAGAAGGATGAATATGCATCGAGTCGGGCCAGTCCGAATATGTAACGGGTGCTGCAGCCATGAAATGGACCATTCTGCGCGATAAGGAAGATTGGTGGCATCGGCATCGTGGAAGTCGAACGACTCGAGCTCGAACTGCCAGTCCCTCTACTCGTCATCCTCCTCGCTGTCAACCTCGCTCTCGGCATTCTCCAGCCATTCCAGGAAAGGTTGGGCGGCCTTGCGGACCTTCTTGCTGGTAGCGCTGTCGACGTACTTCTTGCTGGCCTTGGCACCCCATGACTTGAGGGTTTCCTCAGACACAAGGTCGTTCTGATAGTAGCCGAGCAGAATAGCGGGCACCTGGCTGATCAGGGCTGGGTGGTCCTGGCCGACGAAGCGCTCAGTACCGCCGAGGAAGGCCTTCTCGTGGCGCTCAGAAGTGATCATCTTCTTCAGCAAGAGAGCGCGATCCTCGATTTGCTTGACAATCTTCTCGTCGAACACACTCTGGGCCAGAACAGCGACAGTCTTGTGCTTGGTCTCGATGCCCAGCTCCTTGGCCTTCTTGTAAATGTCCACATCGCTGACCTTGGTCACACCGCCATTCTCCTCAGCGGTACTTATGATCCAGCTTCCCAGCTGTTCATAGGGCGAGCTGCCTTCTCCCTCTTCGTCATCGCCGTCTTCCAGTACGAGGGCACGCTTGAGATCCGATGGAAGGTCCCTGGCGCGGGCCTTGACAGCCTCCTCGGAGAAGTCGACGGCCCATTTATCGTCCTCAATCTCGCTATCCGCTTCGATGGCCTTGGCCTCGGACTTGATGCGGCGAGTGAGCTCATCATCACTGTCGGCGTCCGGGGCTAAGTCTCCGTTCTCGTCGCCATTCTCGGAATGATTACTATCACCCGGGCTGGCATCGTTGTCTCCGTTCGCTGTGGATTTCTCCTTGTTGCGCTCCCGGCGGGCCTTCTTGTCTTTCTTGTCTTTCTTCCCTCCCTTGGGGTTGTTCCGAACGATGAAAGTGCTCAGCTTCAGACGAGGATCCACGTCGGTGCGCTGACCACAGGCCTTGCAATCAAGCGTGATCTTGTCGTCCTTGATGATGACGTCGGTCTCGGGGTTCTTGCACTTCTTGCACAGTACATACTTGGAGATGAACCCATCCAGGTAATCTTGAAGCTTGGGGGCGTCGTGTGCACCGTTGATGATCCAACGGTCATCAGTCGGCTTGGCATTGGCCTGAGCACCGAGTTCGAATCCGAAGTACTTGATCACGTACGAAGCGGGTCGGCTGAGGGATTGGGCGACCGAGTTCAAGTTGACAATGACGGTTTTGATACCATTGCCCTTGCCCTCAATCTTGGATTGCAGGCGCTCCATTTTGTAGCGGTAGAAGGGATCGGTGACATCCCGACGAATGTTGATGGTGGCCATGGTGACGGTTGAAAGTTAAATTCACGAGAAGAGAACGATAGGCTTGCGGGATAGGAAGCGAGAGGGGATTTGGGCTGTAAAGTTGTTGACGAAACAAGACATGCGGGTCGAGTTTCTTTTTTTGCTTTTGGCTGTATGATTTGGGGGCGGTTGGTCTCAAGGAGAGGTCACAACGAAAACGGGCAGCCTCAAGGGTTCAGCCACAAGAACGGAGATGTATACTGCAAGGTTTCGGCGGCGAGCGAAACGATTGCAGCTTAGGCGGCAGGTGATGTTCGAAATTTTGGACGGAGGACGAATACATAGACAAGTCGGCAACAGATGTCTCTCGGGGTGGCTGTCTCTGGCAGGTGAGATCGAGCGTGGATGCAGCAGAGGGAATCCGAGTCAACAGTCGGAAACCCGGTGGCGGACGGTGGTTGATGGAAGTGATGATGGCGACGCCGAAACAGTCAGTGATGGGGAATGTGAAGTGCTAACTGTGCGAGACAGTTAACGCAGTCAAAGGGCGATGGAAAAGGCGTCACAGATGATGAGCCTGGGAGTGGTGAATGGGGAAGTGGGAACAGAAAAGAGAAAGAAGGGCAGGTGGAAGGGAAAGGATTTTTAAGCGGCCGGCAATGTGCTTAGCTAAGCGGGCACGGGTTTGGGGCTCCAACGTGTTTGGTGCGAAATCAGTATGATTCGGGGGGGACTATATGATTATTGGTGACTCGGACACGGGGATGGTCAGTCGTGAGTGCCTGGAGAAAGATCCTGTTCCTTTCCAACTGCGTCGTCCTCTCTGTTCTGCATTCCGACGAGATCAAACCGTGTCTGGCTCCACCGGCGGGAGGATAGCCCTGGCTCGCTTCGACCATCCTTTGTATGGACTTTCCAGCATTTCACACACTCGCTCTTTCGTTCTAATTGTCTAAGAACTCACACTGTTACCTCTAAGTCGTTGCAGCTCTGGCCCACGCACAGTAATCCGAGCACGGTCGTTCTCTGTGTGCCCCCACCATCGGTATCTCTTCCCGATATCAACCGGCAATCCACACCATGCCGTTGGATCTGTCTCTCTATCTGGTCACAGACTCGACCGCGGCGATCCTCAAGGGACGGGATCTGTGCACGGTCGTGGAGGAGGCTCTCAAAGGAGGTGAGGAGATCGGGTTGTTTCTTTCCGACAAAGGAATCCCAGCTGATGTGGGGTCCAGGCGTGACGGTGGTCCAGTACCGAGACAAAATCAGCGACACGGGAGTGCAGGTCGAAACCGCCAGAAAGCTCCATTCCATCACCCAGAAGTATGGGGTGCCTCTTCTGATCAATGACCGGGTCGATGTGGCGGTGGCAATTGGCGCCGAGGGCGTTCATCTCGGTCAGGATGATATGAGTGCGTGGCCATTGACCTTGAAAGTGTGTATAACATACTGACACCTGAATCCAGATTTCGAGGACGCAAAGAAACTTCTTCCTCCGAATGCGATCATTGGAATTAGTACGTCGTCCATCGAGGAGGCCAAGAAGGCTGTCGCCGATGGTGCCGATTATCTCGGGGTTGGGACCATGTTCGCAACGCCAACGTATGTGTACCAACCTTGGATATCCAACGGTTACTGATTATCGCCTATAGTAAAACGAACACTAAGTCTGTGATCGGAACTGCAGGAACACAGGCAATTCTGAATGCCATCAGCGACTCGCCCTCGGTGGGCACCGTCTCCATCGGCGGCATCAACCATTCCAACGTGCAGCGGGTAATGTATCAATCGCACTCGCCCAAGAAGGGCCTTGATGGTGTCGCCATCGTCAGTGCTATCATGGCAGCCGACGACCCCAAGGCCGCGGCCGAGCAGTTCGCCAAGCTGATCAAAACTCCCGCCCCGTTTGCACTGGCCCCAAATGCCCCGCGTGCAAATGAGGCAGAGGCGTTGCTGAAGGAGGTACCGCATATCGTTCAAAAAATGGTGGAAGTGCACCCGCTCGTTCACAGCATGATCAACTTCGTAGTGGCCAATTTCGTGGCAAACGTTGCTCTCTCCATGTGAGTAATATATACTTCCTCCACTACCGCTGCACCCGCTGACTTTCCTCTCAGCGGCGCATCTCCAATTATGGCACCATATGGCGACGAAGCCACGGATCTATGCCAGTTCGATGGCGCACTTCTCATCAATATGGGAACGCTGACAAACGAGAGCGTCTCCAATTATCTAAAGGCAATCAGGGCATACAACCAACGAGGCAACCCGGTGATCTATGATCCAGTCGGTGCAGCAGCGACTCATATTCGGCGCAAAGCCGTAGTCGACTTGATGCGGGGTGGCTACTTCGATTTGATCAAGGGTAATGAGGGCGAAATTCGACAAATCTGGGGAAGCAGTGCGGTCCAACAGCGTGGTGTGGACAGTGGGCCGAGCACCCTTGACAACCAGCAAAAAGCGATGCTGGCTCGGGATCTGGCTCGGCGGGAGCGTAAGTGAACTTCATACCATTCCCAGCACTTATTCTAACTCAACCCCAGGTAATGTCGTTCTTATTACTGGAGCCACTGACTATCTGAGCGATGGGGAGAGGGTGATCGCCGTGGAGAATGGCCACCCGCTCCTAGGCCAAGTGACCGGCGTACGTTCAAGACCTCTTTCTCTCTCTTTTCTCCCCAAACAAAGACTAATTGACAATCTACCAGACCGGATGTGCCATCGGTACCATCTCCGGCTGTTTCCTGACATCCCACCGGTCCGACAAGCTCCTCGCCGTGTTATCAGGTATTCTTATGTACGAGATTGCAGCTGAGAACGCCGCTTCTAAGGAGTACGTTCGAGGACCAGGCAGTTTTGTGCCGGCTTTCCTTGACGAGCTGCATGCTCTCCGCACTGCAGCTGCCAAGGGAGATGATAGCTGGTTTGTAGGCCGGGCAAAGGTGCGTGAGGTGAAGGTTTAGATGGTTGGTCAGTCAATGTACATGTCAGTAGTTTCAAATATATGAGTGAATCGTAATCGCTCGGACTAAACTTGTTCTTTCTATATATTCATTTAATGGCCAAAAATAAGAGCACAATCATCAAGCAATCAATTTTTTTAATCACGCATTCCCTACCTACAACTCAGATCCACCCATATGCCTTGTCCAACCTAATAACCTCCTGGAGTCTATAAAATTATTCCCATACTAACCAGGCCCTAATTCATGCTCGCTCCCTGAATTTCATCCCGAGCACTAGATAGTTGATCAGAGTTGACATCTTCCACGCGATGACCGCACGGTTGTCTAACAAACTCCTGCGCGCCTAAGCTCACAAAGAATATTACATCAAGGCCGATATCATATTCCAACAAGATTGTATTCAAGATAATCACACAGAGCCTAGTTCACACGGAAGGGCTTGCCAACTCCCTATCAGAATCAAATCCCACCGTCCTGCTCACGCCATAAAGTCGCCCAGAGTTCCCAAAAGACATTCCAATCAAATCGTATGCGTCCCATAAGTCTGCTCGTAGGTCTCATCCTCGCCAACACAAACCCTGTACGTGAGCCTGGCATTCTGATCAACCTGCGCCAAAAGCTCCGGCGCAAGCACAGAATAAGCGCGCCAAAGAATGCCCCAGCACTGAACAAGGGTATCAGCCATGTATCCCCATTGCTTAACAACCAACGGTGTGCCAGGCTTGCGAGGCAACTTCCCACCTTCAATGACATAGCCCAGGCATTCGAAAGTCTTTAGCGCCGCCGTAATAGCCTTCGCCGGCTGGCAAGTGTCGGCATACTTCTGCGCCAGGCACAGCAGCGGCGCCCACATGAACAAGCGTGGGACTTCAGTAGGCGGGCAGGCGTACGTCTCCGTCATAGCAGAGATGATGGTCTCGATTTTGGGCAGGTCGATTCGCTTGCGAGGCATACCGTCAGTAGCTTTGAAGCACCTGTACAGCTCATTTCGCAGTCTCTTGCGCTTGGCGAGGACGCTCTTCTTCGTGGACTGGAAGTCCTTGCAGATGACGCAGTTGCACTGGAAGCCCCAGTGGCGGAGCCGCTTCTGGAGTTCGCGGTTGCTGTCTGGGCTGGGCGTCTGGTACATGAGTGTGATCTCGGTGTTGGGTGGGATATTCTTGCTGGCACGAACGATCATCATGTCCCCGATGTAGGAGTGGTCGGCGTTGCTGTTGCAGGAATGGTTCATAGAAGATGCCAAAGGCCAGAGACCGCAGGAGTGGAAGGCCTTGTCCGGGTCGAGATTGTCGATGATCAGCTCGAATCGCATGTGGTATTCCCGGGAGGAGAGGCAGCAGCCGAAGCAGTTGTAGGACACGGCACGTTCAACCAGAAATCTGATGTATGTCAGTATGGCGTGAGCATCTCCGGGGATTTCTTACGTGTCAACCACCGGCATGCCATCAATGTGAGAAACATCGACTGTTTGTACGATCCATGATAAAGATCCTTGATCACCGGCGCCAGCGACGGGTTTCGGTGAAGCTTCTGGATAACCATGGTAATGAGATCCGTCTGTCCTCCCATGGTCACAGTATTTGTTTCAGCATTGATCAGCACAGTGATATCCACGCTCCCGAGCGCAGGCTCCTCGTCAATAAACGCATGCGCGAGGGCCTTTTCGCAGAGAAGAAGATCTCCAGCTTTGACTGCCTGGGTGGTAAATAGACCACGTCCCCCCTGATCACAGGGCTTGATAACAACCGGGCCAACGTATGTGGCATGGTCAAGGTGCGGTGGACGAAGCTTGCTCGCTTCCGCTTGCATGAGCTTGAATCGGTACCTTCCCTTTTCCTGCTCTGCAACTCGCTCGATAGCGCGGGTGAACATGTCCTTGGCAGTTTCATTCTCGGGATATTCCTTTCGAATGACCGTGAGCGTTTTGCAGCACTCGCGGTGCTTTTGGAGACAGTAGAGAGCTTGGGCGTGCCGGAGTAAAGCCTTTTCGGTAGGCAGTGCCGCTGATTTCATTGGTTTGAGCTCAGCGAGTGCAGAATCAAACTGGCTGGTCTTGAGGAAGCAAAGAGCGCGATTGAGCCGGAGCGCCTGTTCTTCCTGTACCTTGGGTGAGCAGTTGAGGGCTTCAGAGTAGCTGTCAATGTGGTTAGTCTTTGTTCACGCAACAAGGGCGTTGGAGACTTACCAATCTAGAGCCTCGCGAAATTTGGCTTCGTAGAAATAACCATTCCCTACTTCCTTCCACTTGCTAGCAGAAGTGATAATCTCTACAAGTCTCGGCTGCCAGCAATTAGGAATCCGCTCGTCATGCTTGGGGAGATAGATCACGTCCGAGAGATGATCCACACGAATTGCATAGCCCCCATCAGTCGCTGAAACTTTCAAGTAAGGTTCTTTCAGAATCATGACAGTCCCTTCCTCAAGAACCTTTTCAGTTTTGTCCTGGTGATACATCTGGAATCTGACGACATTATCTTGCTCGTCTTCTACAATAGCCATGATGGCAGTCATTCGATGCGGAGGGGTGACTGTTCTGAGAATGATGTAGCTGCCGCGGTGACGAGTTTCAAGAAGAAGATCCCCGATCATGATCTGCTTCAAGTCGCCCACGGGAGAGGTGCATGGAGGATAAGCAAGAGGGACAAAAGAGGTTCGCAGATTAAAGCCGGGCTGGTTGTTGCTGATAGCGAGATGGAACATAAAGTCCACAATCAGTTCGGCTCGGGGCTTTCCTCCTCGAGGCTGCTGGCCCTTCTGAGACCGGTCAGCCTGAAAGACTGATCTCTGCTTGGTCATATCTTTCACGAACTGCGGGTTGCCTGAGACGTCGATGGTGTTCATCTTGCAGTCAGTGCTGAGAAGGGGTTTTGGATAAAGTGGATGAAGCATGGGATGATGGAGATAAATGTCAAGAACAGTAAGCTCAAATAAGTGGAAGAAAGGAGGTGCAGTAAAAAGGTGAAGAAGAGAAACGTGAGTAGTGATCGAAAGATACGTGCAGAAAGCAGAGGAAGTAAACAGTGAGCACGAACGAGAACTCTATCCTTCGATTTATGCTGTCCATCCAACACGCAAGTCCTGCTACTAAATTGATCACCAACATAACTCATTATCCTAATTCCAATATCATGTTGTTCCTGTCCACTTTTCGTATAGTTAGTGAACTACTTTTTTCTGACTAAGGCTCTATACTTCCCCGCGGCATTCTCCGATTATCCCCGCATTCTCCGACGTCTTCTCTTCAACTTCACATACATCACAGCACAGCGACCAATCTCATCTCTCCACTCAAAATGGCTGCTGTCTCACGCGCGTGTCGGATCCGTAAGACTCCTGCCCGGTTTGAAACACACAAGCGCTGACTACTACAGGGAATCCGGCATTATTGTATGTGGTCCACCACCTCTCGTTCTCACGGCTTTCTGTGCTGGAGGACGCCTGGCCATCCCCAGAGACTGATATGCCATCCATGTAGTGTCTGCGACATCCAGGAGAAATTCCGCAACGGGATCTACGAGTTCCCCAAGATGTACTTCTGACCCCAACCGTCCCTGACGCCTCGAGGATTCCCTGACTGAATGTGTGCCAAAATAGGGTCGCAACAGCAGACAAAATGCTCCGCGCAGCATCTGCTCTCCAGATTCCCGTGTTCGCGACAACTCAAAACCGCGCAAAGCTCGGTAACACGGTCCCCGAGCTCCAGCGCCATCTCAGCGGGCCGCACATCCGCGCGGACGCCGACAAGACCCTCTTCTCAATGATCACCCCCGAAGTCGACGCTCTCCTCCCGGCCAAGAACAGTCCCAAAATAGACGCTATCATCGTCGGCATCGAGACGCACATCTGCGTCACGCAGACGACCCTCGATCTGCTGGAACGCGGGCACAGGGTTTATGTCCTGGTGGATGGGGTTAGCAGTATAAATCCCGAGGAAAGAGGTATCGCTCTTGCTCGACTGAGGGATGCGGGCGCGATTGTGACCAGTAGTGAGGGTGTGCTGTTTGAGATTATGGGGGATGCGCAGCATGAGCAATTCCGGACTGTGAGTGGGTTGGTGAAGGAGACCAAGGAGGACACCAAGTCTGCACTGGGTGTTTTTTCGAAGATTTGAAAGGTCTATCTACTTCCATGTCCGCCATTTTTTATACTCAGTGGATATGGATAGTCTGGTTGGACTACGTAGAAAATGGGACGTGATTTTTTTTTGGACATTAGGTGGGACGGGGCGGACGATGAGAATATACATTCTTACCTCAGCTAAACGTAACCTGATAGAGCACTTAGAATATGTTTCCTCTCTGTCGCCTAGCCCGATTGGCGGGGCTTGTCGTGGCCACCATAGGAGAGTTTATATAGATCTGGTAAATGATCCTTATTAAAAGCCGAGGCTACGAACATCTTTCGAACAGCCTCTGCGAACTATGCACCTACCACAGGGAAATAGAACTAGGAGATGCCTACAATAATGACAACCACTCACTCAAAAATCATGGTGAAATTATGGCTATCATACGTAGCATATGTCTCATCTCATATGGGCTAAAGAAGGCAAAAGGATCAGAGAGCAGACGAAAGAAAATAGAAAACGAATACAACACCGTCCCGTCCCCCAAACCAGGGACAACAGAAAAAAACAAACCCCTAAAGCGCCATCGTCTGATTCATACGACCCCATCACCACTTCCATCCAGCATGCACACCTAGAAAAGGAAATAATCTTCTAGGATTTCGCATTCGCCGTGCGATCCGCTGCGTGACCCGAATTAAGCCATCCAAACGCCGAGGCGCCTCCGACGGGATTCGTCGCGAAGGACTTGCTGGAGCGATTCTCGTCGCCGGCTTGCGGTGCAGGACGCGTCGAGTCAGTCGGCAGGTGGTCAACTGAGCCTTCGGCGTGGTCTATGGTTGCGCTAGTTGGGGTGGAAGTTGAGCTTGAGCTTGGGCGGTTGGGAGGCTTGCTTGGACGGAGGACTTTCATCGTTCGGCCTCGGGATGCTTTCCCTGCTGCGGCGGCGGCGGCGTTGGGGTCGAGCTTTGAATCACGGCGCCAGGAGCCCCAGATGCCGGCTCCGGCGTTTTCCTGCTTGGTTGGCGGCACGGTAGAAGCGGACTCGGTGGATGTGGCTGATGTGGGTGGCGTCTCGACAGGCTCGGGGTCTGGCAGGCGGGGTCTGCGGGCTTCGTCGGCTTCGCTAACTGAGACGCGAGCCGAAGCGGGTGCAGACGTGCTTTGTTTAGGGAAAGTGGTTGTAGGTTTGTCAATCACCTGGTTGGAACTGCGCTCGTTACTGGCGTGTGGTCCTGCCTGGAGACGAACAGTGGCCAGCGACTTGAACATGGAGTCTTTCTCAGGGCGTACAATCGGGATAGAAATCCTGTTGTGGTCTTCGTCAACCATGACGATCTTGTCCTGTGAGAAGAGAATATCTGCATTGTGGGACCGCAGCACATCACTCCCCAGGATGATCTGAATGCAGTCGTCGCTGGCCTCTGTCTCGCTAACCGAAAACCGAATGTTCAACGAAGGAAGCTGGGGCGTAGGACTGCCAGGGCGTGACGAAGACTGGTGCACACTGGCTTCGGGGAGGTACAGTGGAAGCTTGATGAATGGCTGGTCACCTTCGTGCATAACGAGATCCTCCAAGCCGAACTTGCGGATCATCGCCGTCCCCAAAGATGAACCGTAGGACCCTGAACAGACGGCCGCATACAGGAGAGAATCATTCGAGAAGGTCGTGGTCAGCCAGCACCGAATGATGCAAGGTGCCGGTCCCAGCAGAAACAAGCCCGGAGGGGGGGGATCAGTGGCGAGCTGCTGAAGGATGACCCCATCATTCTGCTGGTCGTCTCCAGTCCCAGACTGTTGGTACGTGCCGAGTGATGAGAGTGTCCCGATGAGCTCTGTCTTCCATCAGACCGGTGAGAAAGAGACCGCTCAGTCAGCGGATGACTTCCCAGCCCGCTACCAGTCCGTAGGGGCAGCTCAGTGCTGGACCGGTTGGCCTGCCCGTAGTACCCGTGAATAGCGCTCTCATCAAACCGCACACTATTGGCCCTCGATGCGCCCCGCCGGGGCTCATCGTCGCCATCCAGGCCCACCGCTGAGCTCCCCATGCCGTGCTGACCTTGGTCGAATCCCTTGAAAGCGTCCGGGGGGGAGTGAAAGGCGGGCTCTGCAGCGGAAAGAAAGGGTCGTCAGTTAGGATGGATCAGAGGACTATATAATGTCACCTACCTGTAGGAATGGGACCGGCCACGGAGCTCGGAAACGGCGACAAAGGACCCCAGACACTTTTCATGCGCGCATCCTCGTCTCTGCGTCGCTCCAGGCGTGCGATGCGTTCAGCCTGCTCGTACTGTGCTTCGTGGAGCTCCTTGAGCTCGTCCAGGACACGCCAGATGTCGTCACGGGAAGCAAAGGGGTACTGTGCATCCATCGCCACCGAGTTGGTTGCAGAGTTGTGGCGATGGACAACCGCGAGACTGTGATTTCCCGACCAAAACTCCTTTCACCCACGGTCTCGTCTAGGCACAACGATCCCCTCCCTCCTTCGATCTGGAACGGCCCAGCGGCCGTCCACCCGGATTGTGTAGATGGAGGCTCTGGCAGGTCAGATCAAGGCATGCACCGGTGAGTTCAGGGTGTATTTAACAGCTGGTGAAGCTTGGTGGGTGAGGGGTGGCAGAGGTGGAGGGCGGAGTGGGAGGAAGGGGAGGGCGAAGGTGATAAGTGTTGGTGGTCGTGGTAGATTTGAAGGAAGAAGAGAATAAAAGTGTGGCGCAGCGAGCAGAGAAAAGAAGAGAAGGGATGGTCGTAGGTGGGAAGGCAGAAGTGGTGTGTTGTGGATGGTGTGGAGGGTGTAGATGGTGTTTGTGCCGGCAAGACGATAAGAAGAATAATGCGGAGCTGTGGCCGATCCGCTCTAGACCGCTCTCCACTAACGATGACGCTGGGGATACTACAAGTATACGCCGGGATTCCTCTATGTTTATGTTTATATGCTGATCTTAAACGATTATTTGGGGGCATCCAACCACGAGGGAAACACCATCGGCAGCACCTCCGGGTCCTGGTCGGGCCAATTTCCCACAATGGCCTGCATCACCGCGTCGTGAACAATGCGGTACCCGTTCGGAGTGAGATGCAGTCCTGAACAGAGTTACCCATTAGCAAACTATTAAAAGGGCCACACTCCGGTCAACGTACCATCCGTAAATAATGACTCCAACTTCGCGTTATTCGGCGCGTCCCGCGATCCAATCAAGGGTTCTCCATCCCGCCAACCCGTCGTCTTCATAAACGCAGTCCACAGATCAGCCACCGGAACGCCGAGCTCGGCCCCGACTTCACGCGCCGCGGCAGCATAGAGCCTGGTGTGGGCTGCGGTTCGGCTGGGGTGCGGGATGTCCTTGGAGGCATCAAAGCCTTCCAGTTGGTACTCATTGACGGGCGGCGGCGTCAGCAGGATCACCCGGGGGTTCTGGGCCTTTGTGGCGGGGTGTTCGATGATCTTCTTCAGGTTCTCCTTGTACTGGTCCAGCGGGACATGCTGGTCTCGTCCGGAGACACAGGCGTCGTTAGCGCCGAAGAAGATGGTCTGGCATGAAAAAGGTTAAACTAAAATCCAATTTTGGTTCGAAGAGATCGATGCGCACCATCAACCGCACGTTAGCTGTCTGTGGCGATGGGAAGAATTTGTGGAAGATCTTGATGGCGTGGGCGGTGGTGTAACCTCTGCTGGATGTCAGCGTGGGAGCGGTCGGTGGGCATCGCGTATGCTTACGCCAGTCCTCGGTTGACCACGTCGAGCTTGCGACTATATGCTGGGAGGGTGTTAACTAGCGGTCTTCACTATCAATGGTCAGACTGACCTTCTTGCAGGGCGGCATGCCACGCAAAGCCATTGTCCTGGTTGCAGGCCATCTGGGTGATCGAGTCCCCGAACAGGATGAACTGGTCGTAGGGCTTCGCGGCATCGTCCTCGCTGGCCTGGGGAGTTCCAATGGATGTCATGTTGGGCGGGTGGTGGTTGTCCTGGCGAGAGAGAGAGAGAGAGAGAGAGAACGGTGGATGGGCAGAAGATGTGGGGGAGTGAGTGATCGAGCCGTAGGAACGGGAAGGTGGATCAAGCATTTATCCACCAACAAGAAAGAACCAAGAGCACCGTTCTACTATCACAGGAGATAAGCTTATATGATCCCGTTAGCTGTCAGTCCTGCATGCATCTGCCGAGCGACCGATCGATGATCCGAGCACCTATGCTATCTATACACCGACCCCTGGACCGAATTAAACCACGCTGGATTGATTAATATGATCCGAGGCCATGATGATCCTTCCCGATGGTCTCACTGATCCCTCATGAATGTCTCAGTTAGGCATGTTCTCCTCCTTCAGTGGATACACTGTCGCGACTCATCGAATCATTTCGTTACGGCACTCTGTCAGGCCACCGGCGGGAAGCGCGGGGCACCAAAATACCTCTCCGGCCACACCATGGGGGTCACTTCGTCTGTGTACTAGTTACCTCCATGCCCAGTGACAGATCCATCTGATCCTCGGTGGGTCATCCTCTCACCTGACGCGGTTCCCCGTCGATCGCCCGTTAGTCAACTTCCACGCCCCTCCACTTCCTTCTTCCTACACCTATACACAACTCTGGGATAATATGACCGAGATCGAGAACGGCCTGCAGCTCTTGGATCTGCCAGGCACCATCAATCAACACCTACCACCACCATAAAGGGGTCCCCGCTGCTTGACCCCGACGACATGCCTCGCTCTGTTCCACCGATGATTTCGGATTCGCGAAGCGACCCTGAGCCGGACCTGGAACGAACCCCGACCAATCGCACCGCACCGCCATCCCCAACTGCCTACCGCCGCACCCAGAGCTACCTCTCCGAACCACACACCGGCTACCAATCCCTGGAGCCGCCCCTCGAGATCACAGAGACCACCAGCCTGCTGGGGTCCAGTCAAGGCAGCCGGAGAGTGCCGCGACGCTCCTACACCAGCACCTCTGGCATCGCCGGCCCGGACTCGCTACGCCATCTCCTGGCCGCAGGGAGTCTCCGCCGAGCCAACCACAGCCGCACGAGCTCGCAGGGCCAACGATTCAGTCGGCGGGAAAGCTTTGGAGAGGAAAGCAGGACGCCCAGTGCTCCCCCGTCCACGAAAGATGGTTTGACGGCTTCGTCGTTTCTGGATGAGCGCACGTGGTATGACCAGTTCACCTCCACGGACTGGGTGCATGACAGTATCGCCGATGGCGCGCGTCTGCGTCAGCTCCGACAACGGAAAGACATCCGGGGCAGACTGCTCTCGGCATTCGATGGTGTCCAAGGGTGGATTCTGGTTGCCTTGATTGGATGCATCACTGCGGCCATCGCTTACTTTGTGGACGTAACGGAAGAGTTGGTGTTTGACCTGAAAGAAGGGTTCTGCACGAGGCACTGGTTTTCGAGCCGGAATAACTGCTGCAAAGATGTGGAATATTGTTCGTGGAAGTCATGGTCCTCCATCTTTAGACCGGTTGGACCCGATAATCAATGGGTGAACTTTGGCATGTTCGTTCTATGGGTGTTGGTGCTTTCCGTCATATCCTGTGCCCTCACATTGCTCACCAAGACTGTCGTGCCCTCTTCGGTGTCGTTGACAACCCTGGATGAGAATTTGGGGGCCGATTCTCGTGGTACCAAGACCGGAGGCGATCTCACGCAGCTCTCTGGTTCTCCCATCTCCCAGACGAGTCCGCATGGAACACTTCCCAACGTTCCGTCGCGGCCCGCCATGACCTACTACTCTGCGGCGGGGAGTGGAGTGGCCGAAGTGAAAGTGATCAACAGCGGCTTCGTTCTTCATGGATACTTGGGCTGGAAGACCCTCGTTGTCAAGACCGTCGCCTTGATTTTCAGTGTGGCATCGGGCCTCAGCCTGGGGAAAGAAGGTCCATACGTTCACATTGCCACCTGCGTGGGGAATATCTGCTGTCGGTTGTTCGCCAAGTACAACCAAAACGACGGCAAGCGTCGTGAGGTGTTAAGTGCAAGTGCGGCTAGTGGTGTTGCGGTGGCTTTTGGGGCACCGATTGGCGGCGTCTTGTTCAGTCTGGAGGAAGTCAGCTACTACTTCCCTCCGAAAACACTGTTCCGCACCTTCTTCTGCTGCATTGCAGCAGCGCTGTCGCTGAAATTCCTCAACCCCTATGACACGGGCAAGATCGTCCTCTTTCAGGTCAGATACTTGTCTGACTGGGAGATCTTCGAGATATTCCTCTTCATCTTTCTGGGGGTACTTGGCGGTGCGGTTGGCGCACTGTTCATCAAAGCCTCGAGTCTCTGGGCCAAATCTTTCCGTCGAATTCCCATCATCCGGCGGTGGCCCATGCTGGAAGTGATTTTGGTGGCGCTGTTGACCGGCCTGGTGAGCTTTTGGAATCGCTACACCAAACTGTCCGTCACCGAGCTTCTGTTCGAACTGGCCAGTCCCTGTAACGAGGAAGCCGTGGAGATCACTGGACTGTGTCCTCGCGAAGAAGGCATTCTCGAAATCATCAAGTACCTCCTGGTAGCCTTTGTCATCAAGAGTCTCCTGACAATCGTGACCTTTGGCATCAAGGTTCCTGCCGGAATCTACGTCCCGTCTATGGTTGTTGGCGGTCTGATGGGCCGCATCATTGGACATGTCGTACAGTACCTGGCCCTGCGGCACCCCACCTCCTTCTTATTCGAATCGTGTCCTGCCGGCACGGGCACTGAGTCCTGCATCGTGCCGGGCGTGTACGCCATGGTCGCTGCGGGTGCGACCATGTGCGGTGTAACGCGACTCTCCGTCACGCTGGCCGTGATTCTGTTCGAGCTGACGGGGAGTCTGGATCATGTTCTGCCGTTCTCGCTGGCCATCCTATGCGCCAAGTGGACGGCGGATGCTATTGAGCCGAAGAGCATATATGTAATTTCCCTCTGCCTCCCTCACTGTCGGAACAGTCATTGATGATCAATAGGACTTCCTAACGGATATGAACTCCTACCCCTTCCTCGACAGCAAGCTCCAACCCCTCTCGGACGCCGAGCTGGGTGATATCGTCCGGCCAGCCCGTCGGAGCCGAATGATCGACATCTCCAACTCGCCATTCGTGGCTGCGACGGAGCTCCGCTCGAAACTGGAACACCTGCTCATGGCCGGCGAGCTTGACGGCGGACTTCCGATCCTGCGTGACGGTGTTCTAGCTGGCTTAATCCCTGCCCCGGATTTGGAGTATGCGCTCGATACCCTCGGCGATGACGAAGAGGGTACAATCTGCTGCATGGCTATTGATGCCACGGCGGCTATCTATGATAGTGAGAATGAAGAGGAGGCTACCCGGGTGGATTTCACCAGATATATTGACCCTGTAAGTCTTTTTCTCTTTCTCCCCCCCCCCCCCCTTTCTCTCTCTCTCTCTCGCGGGAATTTCTGTCCTAACAATCACCGTCATTCAGGCACCTATTTCCCTTGACATCCACTCCCCCATTGACTTGGTCTACCAATGTTTCACCAAACTGGGGCTGCGCTACCTGTGCGTCCTCCGGGACGGGCAATATGCCGGCCTCGTGCATAAGAAAGCATTTGTGAAATTCATGAAAGAGAATGAATAGACCCGGAAGGGCAATCATCAAGTTATATATACGGTTCTCGACACGAACGAACCGCATCTCCGGGCGTTTTGGGGAATTTTTGTTGTTTCTAGCATTGCATTGCACTGCATATTTTTTTCCCTTGTCTACTCGAGACTGGACAATAGCTTTTGCACTGTACACATTCTTGGTACGAGTGATGTGATTGGACTTGACGGACTTGAGTTGGATTTGATTTTGGAATTTGGAATTCGTACGGCGCGACGTTTGCATCTCATCTCCTTTGGAATGACTCGCATTTCATCTCCAATTGAGCACACTGGCAATGAACTACTTCACTCCACTAACCGTATATCATAACATCCAGAAGGATTCTAATTAGAGACGCTAGAGTATATCTCAGACTCTCTCAAACCCAACCATCTGAATCTCCACCTCTCCATCCTCCTTCCATTCCCCACTAACCTCCTCTCCAACCCACTCCGAGACCTCGTCCTTCGAAGCAGTCCGCCACCCATTCTGCACGCTCAGCTCATCCACAGGGAAGAACGTATCGCAGTCGAACGACGACGATGCTTCTTGGTCTTCTTCATCTGCAGTGCGTTTACGGGCCACATTCGTCATCACCACCCTGATCGGTCTGCGTGATAGTTCCGTTGATGCTGCGGAGGAGGATGGTCTCGCCAAGGCTGACGCGTAGATCTCCGCGCCGCCGATTATATAGATTTTGCCTAGGCGGCCGCTAGTTCCGTAGTGTTTTTGTAATTCGGTGAGGGCGTCGTCGAGACTGCGGGTGACGATTGCGTCGGTAATTGGTTCTTCTGGTTTCTTCGCAGGCTTCGTTTCCGTATCTGCTTGGCCCGTAGACCCCTCTGCTCCAGCAGCACCACCAGAAGCAGCAGCAGCAGCAGCACCACCAGAAGCAGCAGCAGCAGCAGCAGCAGCAGCCTTAGCAGCAATCTTCCCCCTCCTAATCTCCAGCTCCCGCATGACCCCCTCCGCCACAGCCCCAGACTTGTCCCGGGTGATAACGACATTGATCCTCTTCGCAAGCGGGCGCAGATGCGCCGGGACTGAATCGTACGTCTTGCGGCCCATGATGATGGCGTTGGTGGTTCCCGGCGCGGGCGGGCGCGATGTCACGCGTGCGAAGAAGTTCATGTCTGCTTTTATGCGCGGCCAGGGGAGGGTGCCTTTGTGGCCGATGCCGAGGCGGGTTGTTTGGGACGGTGTGCCATTGCCATTTGTGGATGTGGAGGGTGTTGGTGGCAGTCGGACGGGGGTCGTGGCCACTATTAGGGTTAGGGGAAGGGTGTGCTGGGCGGGAGGTGGCATCTTGGGCGTTTGGTGTTTGGTGGTGGTGTGGTGAAGGCAGACGTGGGAAGGGTTTGTTTATCGGAGCTGTGCGACTTATCGGCGTTGATAAGATCTATATCCTGCATCACCGTCAAGGAATGAATCACACCCCTATTTTCTAGTAAAACATAATAGCGGCCATGAATCTAACGGTTTATTAAAGTGGTACTTTGGAATACATACCTTCAGAGATTACTTTTCTAGAAATTACATGTCTATGGGTGTAGAAAGCCGTCAGTTGAACCCGATTGGGAAACACGGTGTGGAGTGTGAGAATATGGAAGAGGAGCCTATGCACCATATTTGGGAGCGGTGGGGCCTCGATATCGCCGATGGTGGTAGCAAGGACCGAGAAGACCTGTCCAAGTGGGTGTTCTAGTTTCCTTCCCTGCCTGTGTGCCGTCCTGGCTCTGGGTCGCTGCAATTTTCTCTCATATGGGTCTTGAGATAATCAAATGATAGTGGCATGTCAGTGGGAGTCGCTGCACTTTAAAACAAGATAGAGCTCGCTTGATATACGTGAGTCGGTAGTCATTGATATTGGCTACTACAGTTCATTCCATGTCGTCTTATTGACAAGATTGATACCTCATTCAAATTAACTCAACCGCTTGACATCACCCTTAACATCCGATATCCGATAATGACATGGGTATACCTTCTTTTAAACGGGCGAAACAGTGTTGATCCACTGCTGGCTGACACCTTTTCCACAAGCAGAAAAGCAAACGGGGGTATCGTTGTGAGATAGGAGATCCTGAACCAGGTACTTGGACGTCTGCATACCTTCCTATCTAGATCATCCATTGTACCATCGCCAACCCAAAGATACTACCCACGAGTCCCTTCATAGCATCCCCGTTCGGACCCGCCAGTTGAACTGCCGCATTAGACGTGCTTGTACTCGCTGCACTCGAAGTCGGGGAAGACGCGCCGCTCGAAGTCTCAGAGATCGTTGTTGCAGCTGGACCTGTCGTAGCTGGGCTTGTCGCAGCTGTCGTCTGAATTGTTGTCGATCCGCTGCCACCGCTGCTCCTCGTGGAGGCAGTCTGACTCGCCAGAGTCGTTGAGGAGGTCGTCGCAACGCCGCTGACGGATGTCTCGGTCGTGGTAGTTGCGGACGTTGTCGTTGACGAAAGACTCACGACCTTGAATCCGTGCAGAGCCTCGGAAGATTCCTTAGAGAACGACTCGGTCGCCATGCCTGCTGCCTCACCGGAGCACTTGTTGTTCGTGAAGAGAAGCATGTTGATACCCGATTCGCCCTGGGAGTCGATCTTGAAGAGATGGCCCTTGGGGTTATCAATCACGATGCAGTCGCTAGGGCCCTGGCCGGATTGGCTGTGCTCTTTATTGTCGGCGTCGGTCCATGTGATTTTCCATGCCCCTGTAGAAGGGAGCAGAGAGAGTGTGGAGATTGCCAGAGGAAGAAGAGTCGGCCACTTCATTTTGTGGTGGTTTATCGAATGAAGTGAGGAGAGAGTGTGGTTTGGATGGACAAGGGGACAATCACACAACGCAAACGAAGACCACGGGCGCGCCCTCCTTTTCTTATAAGACTAATCCATCGCGAGCCGCTTCCTGCAGTCTCGATTCCTCATTTCTCCAAATCTGGTAGCTGGATGCGCAGATCCTCGTATTCGAGGCACCAAGAGCCAGTCGAAATAGGAACACGGCAGCCACCGTCCTTGGCAGGCTGCGGGAATATTTGGGGATACGAAACTACCACTGCCGCGGGCCAAACCTCCCCAGCGGCTTGCACCCGGACATGAGGTGATATGGCGGTGGGCGTTGATGATTGGCGGGAATTGATTGTATCGGGGAGACACCGGCGCGAGACCGTCGAAATACGCGGTCGGGGGAGCTCCACAAACGGAAGGAAGTATAGGTGAGCCGCAAATCCAGAGAGGGCGACATGCGATCCCTGATGCACTGGCTGCATGGAACAAAGAGGCAATGATTCACATGTCCCTCCATACCATCTATATCCGTGTTGCTGTAACGCCAAATCCCAACACCAAACACCCTGCCCATGCAATAAGACCCAAAAAGCAGACCACCACCGCACCCTGTATGCAAGTACGCTACTCAGACGACGGCTTCAATAACCCACCCTCCTCAACAGCCTTTTGCACGGCAAGTACATCCTTCTCCAGCTTTTCTCTCCGCTGCACGTCACGCTCGTCTTCGCCCAGTGTATTCAGTTTGCCAAAGAGCCAGGTTTCTTTCATGGTGCGGGTGAGGGCGAGGATGTCTTCTGCAGCACGGATCTGGATGGGCCATGGCATGTTAGTGTTTTCAGTTAATTAGAAAAGAAGAAAGAGAGGTAACTGTTTGGAGCTCAGAGTGGTTGGAGAGGGCGGCCTTACCAATGCAGTGGACTCTACATCTAGCTGGTATGTTTCCACGGCGGTGGAGGTGTAGCTTGGGTTGTCGACCTGAGATTGGGTTAGTAGCCTCCAGGTGCAGAGCGGAATGGACTTACTGTAGCTGTTGCCATGATATTCTCGAACCGTTGGAGCAGTTGCGAGATATCGGCATTGATGCGGCCTAGACCGAGATTGTGTTAGCGGACACGGAGTTCGAGAACTGTGCGCAGAGCAAGACTCACTTTGCAGGGCTTTTGCGCTTGGTTGGGACTCCATGGTGAGGTTGAGGAGTCGGAGGTCGGAAGATCGCCTTGATAAGGCGGAGGGCGGTGGCCCTGGGCAATATGGGGCAGGTGGGGGATGAAGAAAAGCCCGAACAACATAGAAGAACTGAGCTCAAGCATAACCAAATATTACGTTTAGTACGAGTATTTCTGTCACTAGCGACGGGCTTAATGTCATGGATAGTTCATAACAAAACGGTGATCAGCTTGGGGCTATGCGTCCTCGACGAGAAATATACATCCAAGACTGGGAAAAGTTAAGTAATTTAAGGGTTTCCTTAGGGAGTGATATATAGTTTGTGGTCATTGTTGGATGGGGTATTCATTGAAAGTCTTTAACTACTACCAACCAAATCCTCCTGCCCCGAAGAAACATCTATCGAACGTATTTACCCTAGATGCTCAGTTAGTACAATCCCAGAGAGCCGACCGTCAGCAGTACATACCATAAAGCGCTTGTGGAAGTCGGAACGAAGCAGATCATTGACAAATTCCTTGCCATCCTTGCCCTCCGTGCCTCGAGCCTGGTTCTTGAACACCACGTCGTCGTCCCACCGCCGCTTCATGTTGAAGTCCTGCGTGTTGAGCAGCGGATTGCCGCGAGCAATCTCGACTTCTCGTTGCTCTTCTTCTTCGACTGCCCGCTCGCGTTCCTGGACATCTGTTAGCATATCGTCTCGAACCTCTAAGAGAAAGAGCCATACCTCTTTCTCTTTTTGCTCCAGCCGCTCTTTCTTGATCTTCTCCAGCTCGCGCATCAGCTCTGCCGCCTCATCTTCGTCGTCATCACTGCTGGGGTTAGTAACGCTCTTTTATTGTATATTGCGCGGACCATACCTCTCCTCCTCGCTGCTATCGTCTTCCGACCCGTCAGAATCTGCATCAATGTCTCTTGTCTCCTCTAAAATGCGTCTTCGTTTTGCCTCCGGATCTTCCTCTGCGTCACCGTCGGCGCCATTTCCGGGCGCGCCTTCCAGCTGCCGCTTTGGGGCGGCAGATTCAGCAACAACAGGCTCGTCAACGGGAACACCGTTTTTCTTAGCAAAGTGCGCCGCCTCGGCTTGGAGCAGTTCTGCGCGAAGATCACGGGCTTGCGGATCGGCGTCGCCACCTTGTCCGGGTTGACTGGCCACATTTAGCACTTGTCTTGTCCCATATCTGTCTTGTACGTACCGGACTTTCAGGTGTGTGTGTGCTGGGAGGAGTCGCTGGTGGTAGGCTGGGCCTCGGAGGGCCTCTTTCCCTTGCGCCTGTGGCTGTTAGTTATCCGTCGCGAATTTGGGGTGGGCTTGCGGGTCATACGGGATCGAAGGTCGGTCTGTGAGCTGGACAGAGTTAGCAAGAAACATAAACCAATTCAAGGGAAGCATACCTGTAGTCATTGTGGACGAGTGAATGGGAGGTGAGAAGTGTATCTTCCGGTCAAAAGGTCAAGATGATCGCCCGCCCGACCGCATTTGCCCTGGTATGCCTCAGGCTTCAAACACTTTTCGCTCACCGCCTTGTTCCAGCCAGGCAAAAAGCGCATCGCAAATCCTCTTGGTCCCCCGCGCTTCTGCAATCATGTCCAAGGAGGCCCCTCTGTCGGTGGCAGAGCGTGACTTCATTCTTGATGCGCTGCACCAGAATGTCCGTCTGGATGGCCGAGGGCTGGACCAGATCCGCCCGTTGAGCGTTTCCTTTGGCAATGAGTATGGCCATGTCAAGCTGCGGTTGGGCAAGACCAGGTGAGTGCCTCCCTCTTTTGTTGGTCTGGTACCAATTTTTTTTTGGCGATACTGATTAGATGATAGCATTGTCGTGCGCATCTCTGCTGAAGTTACCAAACCGCGCGACGACCGGCCCTTCGACGGTCTCTTCAATATTTCACTCGAGCTATCGGCGATGGGCTCACCAGCCTGGGAGAATGGACGGTATGCCAATTGACACAAGTCTTATCGGCCATTATCTAACGAAATGCCGCTCATGCAGTTCCAATGACCTCGAAGCATACGTCTCTCATATCCTCGACCGAGTGATCCGCCATTCCAATGCGCTTGACACCGAATCCCTCTGCATCATCCAGGGCGTGAGCTGCTGGAGCATTCGGGCAGACGTGCATGTCCTCGATTTTGACGGTAATCTGACCGATGCAGCTTGCATCGGCGTCATGGCAGGTCTCCAACATTTCCGACGTCCTGATGCCGTGGTGAAGGATGGACAGGTGGTGGTCTACGGGGTGGAAGAGCGAGTCCCCGTGGCCTTGAATATCACACAGAAGCCGCTGTCGACAACGTTTCACAGCTTCGACGAGGGCAAAACAGTGATTCTGGATGCCACGCGGAAAGAGGAACAGGCGTCGGAGGGCGAGCTGGTGATTGGAATCAATAATGCCGGCGATGTCTGCTTTCTCTCCAAGTTTGCGGGCGACCCGATTGACGCGCTATTTGTGGTGAATAAGTCGAATGTGGCGCTGGAAAAAGTCAAGGAGATCAACGCCCTTGTCGACAAGGTGCTGCAAGCGGACCTGGCTAAGCGGGCGAAGAAGGGCATGGCCGAGGAGGCCAAGGCAGAGAATGACCGCGAGGTATCACCGAACGACCCTTTTGTATGAATAGAATCTTGATGATCGGGACTGGAGTTTCGCATTCTTTTCTTAATGATAAATATTTCTTTAGTATTCCTTTTCTTCCTAGTTAGGCTTTTCTCTAAATCTTTCCTTGCGTAGTAATAATACTCCTGCTCATAGCACTGTATCTGGTTGATGTGTTGGCCGGATCGACGCTATCCTTAGCGGGAGTTAGTGGCAGTTGGTGTCTCAGGATAGACACCCCTGTAAGCACAACAAAGTGATCTTGAATCAAACTAACCTTGGATCACAGTGCTTGGACAGTAGTCAAAAACCACAACACTATGAAGAAAGATACCAAATAGAATCCCTGCTAGACATCCTTTTCTCCATACATACTGCAGCAGCACTCACCGCCCGCCTCGCCCAGAGCTCCATACTGCTGCCTTCGGTCAGCCACGCCATCGCAACCTCTCCCGCTTTTTTTCCACCTCCCGCTTATTACTTGTTTCTGTCTCCCCCTACCTCCTTTTTCCCTATTCTCCGCGTTTATCCCTTGTGAACTGATCCCTTCCTCGCGCTTCGTTGATCCACCTCCCCATCTCCTCGATCAATGCCTCAGGGGCATTGCTCCGCCGCGCTACCCCAGTGAGCGTGTTCGCTCCCCCTCCCCATCATGGCCAGCGGTAGGCCCCCCGGGTCACATCCATCCGCTGGCCGCGATGGTGACCTGCTGCAGCTGGAGGACTCAGGTCCCATGTACAGCTCCGGCCAGCGCCCGCCAGTGAACGATGAACACCTCTTACAACAGTACAACATTGACGACTCCGACCAACCATACTCCCAACCACGCCCCTCCGTATCTTACGATAACTTTGTTGGAAATCGTCCACAGCATGCCGGAGCTTATCCGCCTCGAGGCGACAGCGCGGCACACCCTCCCGCCCAACCTGGAATGCACCTCAACGACCCTTACTCTGGAGCATCAATGGACCGGACGTACTCCCAGACATCAGGTTTAGGAAACTACCAGCGGTACTCGGACGAATTTAGCACGCGCTCGGGCTACTATGATCTCGACGCAGATGAGGACCGGATTGTGGGCTCGCACCGCGTTCGCCAGGCAAATGAGCGCAACAGCATCTTGGGTCTTGGCGGTGGACTCATGGGCAAAGCAAAACACATGCTTGGCATGGGGCCGCAGCAGTACTCGGAGATGGACCTCCCATTGACAGAAGCGGGAGCAGCTCGACAGCCAACGGTCGACAGCGCTGCCGAGACAACAAGTGAACGAAGGAAATTCCGCGCGTCCGACTTCAAATTCGGCTTTGGTCGACGGAAGGTCGATCCGTCGACTCTGGGCCCTCGCATCATTACCTTGAATAACCCTCCCGCAAACGCCGTGCACAAATTCGTTAGCAATTACGTGTCAACCTCCAAGTACAACATCGTCACCTTTATCCCCAAGTTCCTCTTCGAACAATTCTCAAAATACGCCAATCTGTTCTTCCTTTTCACGGCTATCCTGCAGCAGATTCCAAATGTGTCGCCAACGAACAAATTCACGACCATTGTCCCGCTGGGTATTGTCTTGTTGGTCTCGGCAATCAAAGAGTTGGTGGAAGATTATAAGCGGCGGGTGTCCGACCGAGGACTCAACTATTCCAAGACTCAAGTGCTGAAGGGCTCCGCGTTTCATGACACAAAATGGGTGGATGTCGCAGTGGGAGATGTGGTCCGAGTCGAGTCCGAACAGCCTTTTCCGGCCGATTTGGTGTTGCTCGCGTCGTCTGAGCCCGAAGGCTTATGCTATATCGAAACAGCAAATCTGGACGGCGAGACAAACCTGAAAATCAAACAAGCAATCCCAGAAACCGCACATCTGGTTAATCCCACTGACCTGAGTCGCTTGAGCGGGCGTGTTCGTTCAGAGCAGCCCAACAGCAGCCTATACACCTACGAGGCGACTTTGACCATGCATGCTGGTGGGGGTGAGAAGGAATTGCCCTTGGCACCCGACCAGCTTCTGCTTCGTGGGGCAACTCTGCGCAATACTCCGTGGATCCATGGCATCGTCGTCTTTACCGGTCATGAGACGAAACTCATGCGCAATGCGACAGCAACACCGATCAAGCGAACCGCCGTGGAGCGAATGGTTAACGTCCAGATTTTGATGCTTGTTGCCATTCTCATCGCCCTCAGTGTCATCAGTTCCGTTGGTGATCTTATCATCCGTCGAACGAAAGCCAACAAGCTTTGGTACCTCGACTACGGATCAACCAACGTGGTGAAACAGTTCTTCATGGACATCTTCACCTACTGGGTTCTTTACTCCAATTTGGTTCCGATCTCTCTTTTCGTGACGATTGAAATCGTCAAGTACTTCCACGCGTTCCTGATTAACTCTGATTTGGACATCTACTACGACAAGACGGACACACCCGCCACTTGTCGCACCTCGTCTTTGGTTGAAGAGCTTGGTCAGATTGAATACATCTTCTCTGACAAGACAGGCACCCTGACTTGCAATATGATGGAGTTTAAGCAATGTACAATCGCTGGTATCCAATATGGAGATGACGTATCGGAAGACCGCCGAGCTACTGTTGATGATGGCGCCGAGGTTGGCGTTTTCGACTTCAAGACACTTCGATCGAATCTGCACTCGCATCCGTCCCAGAATGCCATCCAACAGTTCCTCACTCTTTTGGCTACTTGCCACACTGTCATTCCCGAACGCTCCACCAGCGACCCAAATGAGATCAAGTACCAGGCCGCTTCCCCTGATGAAGGTGCCCTGGTGGATGGAGCTGCCTTGTTGGGCTATCGCTTCACGAACCGAAAGCCTAGATCGGTTATTTTCGCAGCCGACGGCCAGGAGCAAGAGTACGAGCTGCTTGCTGTGTGCGAGTTCAACTCTACCCGGAAGCGAATGTCTACCATTTTCCGCTGCCCAGACGGAAAGGTCCGCATTTACTGCAAGGGGGCCGACACGGTCATCATGGAGCGGCTGCATCCTGACAATCCCACTGTGGAAGCCACGCTTCAGCATCTGGAAGAGTATGCATCGGAAGGTCTCCGGACGCTATGTCTGGCCATGCGCGAGATCTCCGAGGCTGAGTTCCAGCAGTGGTGGCAGATCTTTGACAAGGCTGCCACTACTGTGAGTGGCAACCGTGCCGACGAACTCGACAAAGCAGCGGAACTCATTGAGAAGGATTTCTATCTTCTCGGTGCGACCGCTATTGAAGATCGTCTTCAGGATGGAGTGCCCGACACGATCCACACCCTCCAGACGGCCGGTATCAAGGTCTGGGTCCTGACCGGTGACCGACAGGAAACGGCCATCAACATTGGCATGTCCTGCAAACTTATCTCGGAAGACATGACTCTCCTTATTATCAATGAGGACTGTGCGGAGGATACGCGGTCCAATTTGGTGAACAAACTCGAGGCCGTTAAGAGCCAGGCGTTATCCGGTGATCTGGAAACGTTGGCTTTGGTTATTGATGGAAAGTCTTTGACATTTGCTCTGGAGAAGGACATGGAGAAGTTATTCTTGGATTTGGCGGTGCAGTGCAAGGCCGTGGTGTGCTGGTAAGCTCTCTCTGTCCGTTCCTACGCGTTGCATTTTAACACTGTTTTTAGTCGTGTTTCCCCGCTTCAAAAAGCATTGGTTGTCAAGCTTGTGAAGCGGCATCTGAAGTCTCTGCTCCTGGCCATTGGTGACGGTGCAAACGACGTGTCTATGATCCAGGCAGCGCATGTTGGTGTCGGCATTAGCGGCGTTGAGGGTCTCCAAGCTGCACGATCAGCCGATGTGGCCATTGCACAATTCCGATTCTTGCGCAAACTGCTTCTGGTGCACGGAGCATGGAGCTATTCCCGCATCAGTCGAGTGATTTTGTACTCGTTCTACAAGAACATTGCGCTATACATGACACAGTTCTGGGTAAGTCGGGGAACGTCCCAAGGTGTTTTATGTGCCATGTCTAACTTGATCGCAGTACTCCTTTCAAAACACATTCTCCGGAGAAGTCATCTACGAGTCGTGGACGCTGTCCTTCTACAATGTTCTCTTCACCGTTTTGCCTCCCTTCGCCATGGGTATCTTCGATCAGTATATTTCGGCTCGTTTGTTAGACCGCTATCCCCAGCTGTATCAGCTCGGCCAGAAGGGAACGTTCTTCCGCAAACACAGTTTCTGGGCTTGGATTTTGAACGGATTTTTCCATTCTCTTGTCCTCTACATTGTCTCTGAGCTGATCTTCTACTGGGATCTCCCGTTGGCCAATGGGACGACCGCTGGCCACTGGGTTTGGGGCGAAGCTCTATACACCGCTGCCCTCGCCACTGTCCTCGGCAAAGCTGCGCTCATCACCAACATCTGGACCAAGTACACCTTTATCGCCATCCCAGGTTCCATGGTTATTTGGCTCATTTTCCTTCCGGCGTATGGTTTTGCTGCCCCCGCGGTTGGTTTCTCTACCGAGTACTACGGCACTATCCCTGTCCTTTTCAAGACTCCCGTCTTCTACCTCATGGCCATCGCTCTACCTTGCTTGTGTCTTCTGCGTGACTATGCCTGGAAGTACGCCAAGCGCATGCACTATCCCCAGGCGTACCACCATGTCCAGGAGATCCAGAAGTACAACGTCCAGGACTACCGTCCTCGCATGGAGCAGTTCCAAAAGGCTATCCGCAAGGTTCGCCAAGTACAACGCATGCGCAAGCAGCGCGGCTACGCTTTCTCCCAAGCCGACGACGGCGGCCAGATGCGTCTTGTCAACGCTTACGACACCACGCAGGGCCGTGGCCGGTACGGTGAGATGGTTAGTTCCCGGGCTTTCTGATTGAATCGGCCGCGAGCGCCTTGCTCCGGTATATTTGCATTGTTGCTGGGGTTTGAACCACTAAGAGTTTTTGTTTGAGCGCCATGTCCTAACTTTTTTTGTACCATGTTTCTTTCCTCTTCCTCTACATTGTTTTCATACTTGTGCCTTTGCTTTGAAGGGCTGTGACATACCCTTTTTTTTTTTTTTAACTTTGTGTTTGTATCTTGTATGTTGCAGCGGAATTATGAACATGATCTTTCCTCATTGCCATCTTCAATCGTATAGAGTAGTCGGCATCCTCTCGTTTCCCCGAGCTTGGCACTCGGCTAAAACGCGGATCTATCTCAATGGGGCCAATTCCTCGGTCTTCTCTCGGTGGACTTTGTATCTTCCCGACCTCAACCACCATGCTTGATTAAAGGCTTGTTCTTAGGTTAAATTGGTTCCTGCAAGTCAAAAGTTGTATCGCTGTGTGTAAAATGCATGCAGATACCCGGATATCCCCCGATGAAGCACCGCCCAACACACGCAGCATCCAAATTCACGATTGGGACGGAGAAGCGGACCAGAGCAACCCGCGCAACTGGTCTTTCCTGCGCAAGACCGCATCCACAGTAATTATCTGCTGTATCGGCTTCAACACAACACTTGGAGCATCAATCTACGCACCAGGCCACGAACAAGTCCAACATGAATTCAACGTCTCAACAACGGTATCATTGCTGCCGCTCTCGGCATACTCTTTGGGGCTAGCATTCGGGCCTATGATATCATCCCCATGCTCAGAGACATTCGGTCGCAAGTTCGTGTACCTGCTCACCGTGCCAATATTTGACATCTTCATGCTGGGCGCGGGTTTGTCGCAGAATATCGCCTCGCTGATCATCTGCCGCTTCCTAGCTGGCCTCTTTGCTGCCCCCGGCGTCTCTGTTGCAGCGGCTACTATTGCAGACTTCACGGCCCCTTCGCGAAGAGTCTATGCCCTGGCCGCGTATTACACCATCCCGTTCATCGGGAGTGCCATCGGTCCGCTGATCGGTGGGTTCGCCGTTGAGCAAAAGGGGTGGCGTTGGACCTCGTGGGTGGTTCTTATCATCGCAGTGGTTGTTCATCCACCTGCTCTCTTCCTGCGCGAGTCATACAAGACTATCATTCTCGAGCGGAAAGCGAAGAAGCTCGGTGTTGAGGGTCCGCGTGAGTCTGGTAGTGCCGTCCAGCTGTTCCGGAAGTTCATCACATCTACTGTCATCCGACCGTTTCATATGCTAGCGACGGAGCCATTAGTCGGATTCATCTGCCTCTACACGGGATTCCAGTTTGCACTGCTGTACACTTTTGTCGTCGCTAGTCCCTGGGTGTTTCGCACAGTGTACGGTTTCTCGCTTAGTGCCCAGGGCTTGTCTTTCCTCGGTCTAGTGGCGGGTTGTATAGTCGCACCGTTTATCCTCATCTCAGTCGATATGATCCTACAAAGAAAAAAGAGCCTCAGGCAAAGACATTCCGCAAATTACGCTCCAGAAGAAAGACTCTACACAGCACTATATGGGAGCCTCGTCCTCCCAATAGCCCTATTTTGGTTCGGCTGGACAGCAAGGCCATCAATCCACTGGATCAGCCCCGTTATCGCCGAGGGCGTCGCCCTTCTGGGGAGTATTCTCATCTACGTCCCATGCAACTTTTACATGCTTGACGTATACGGATCGAAGTACGGCGCGTCGGCTAGTGGCGCCTCATCTTTGTCACGGTATACGCTGTCAGCCGCATTTCCACTTTTTGTGACGCAGATGTATGAGACGCTTGGTGTTGGTTGGGCGACTAGTGTGCTTGGATTTGCAGCGCTGGTTATGGCACCCATTCCTTGGTTATTTTATTGGTTTGGGCCGAAATTGAGGGCGAGGAGTGCCTATGAGCATGGGACGTGATGGAGACGCTGTAGGCACTATATAATTCGTTCTGATGCTTTATGGTCAGATATTGGAAATTCAATAGAAGACTTAAGCGGATTATTCGCGTGCGACAATTATCGTAAGACAGTACTTTGTTTATAGTAGTTGCTTCTAGGGCTTTCTCATTTGGCTATTTTATGTTTGAAAAATTAGAAAACATGGAATATTGGTCTACGTGTTCAATAGCCAAAGACATTATACCTCAACAGCGTTTCTATTCAGTATATCTTTATGTCATAACAACATTATTTGTTTCCATATTCAAGCTCCACCAGTGCGAAAATTCAAAGGAGTGGCATTGTGACGCGGTTCGAGTAATCGACGTTCTCTTTCACGCTTTCGATGCGGTCATGGCAGGTACCGAATATTCGGTCCCAAAGACGGGTTTGCTTGCCATAATTGTGGCTCTTTCTCCACCCGTAGCGGTGATGGAGATCGTGGTCTTCAATAACTAGCTCTGCGTCGAATATCTCTAGAATCCAGTTCACAGTGGAGGGCGCACCACCATGGATTCGAAGGCCACTGTGTCCAATGATCTCCGAAAAGGCAATATACTGATAGCAGACCCACCACTCATAAAATCCCATAGGCAGCCCAAGGACCTTCAATGTGACAAACGCCATCAATGGAATGCCTGTTATATCCATAAACTCCTGCTCATGGTCGGCGTACGCAGAGAGTAGCGGGTTGGGATGCTTCGTCAAGTGGTGTCGACGGTGGAACTTCCACAGAGAGCCGGTCGAGTGCATCATGCGGTGATACCAGTAGAACCAGAAATCGACCGTGATGCTGTACAGGCCGATCTCTAAAGGAAGCCATCGCCATCTGAGAGTCTCTGGTGCCTCATTCGGTTGGTAGGTAAGGTAGATAGACATGATCATGCGAAACGTCGATGTCGAGATCAGTTCTCGCATAACCTTGCCAACCCCAGTATCAGGGATCTCGTCCCGTGCATGCTTGTCACCATCCAAAAAGCCGTAGACTTGACCTAGGCGGCGCATGATATTCACTTCGTGTATTCCATTCACCTTAAATGCCGTTGAGTATAAGGCAAATGCGCCAATAAGGCCTAGGTTCTGGCCGGTATAGGTGGTGTAGGCGTGATGAAGGATGAGCGGGACGGCGGCGTGCAGTAGAATCCATATATGAAGAGACCATTCTCGCACAGCTGGTATTTTCTGCTTTTTGGAAAAGATTGGCACTTGCTTATCGAGAGCGACGAGGTTCAGGCCAAACAATTCCACCATCCAATGCCAGATGGTCCACTGAGATCGGTCGTGGCGCCAGGTGGACACCATCGAGTCCGCAGGATTGCGTATGGTTGTGGTCTGGGTTGCCATTTTGTTTTTCAATATCCCCAGGTGATGTAGTTGCGACATGCACCTATACAGGCATACACAGTTCCTTATATTATTATTCCTGGGTCGGCCCCCACTGCTCGGCACCGACCATGGCATGTGAACTCCTGATCGCCAACCCCAACATTCTCCCTAGCGCCACTCGGGGTCTGTGGAGACACAGCCAGCCGCAATCGCTAGGAAATGGACATTGGACGAATCAACATAGACTGTTCGGGCCCAGTCTAGATAATGTTGGGCGTGGCAGGTGAAAAATTAAAGCTCATGATCGAGATCGCCTGCCTCGGTCCCCGGGTGCATAGGCGGGGACGCATCGTATATTCTTCTCGAAGCCGATTTATGCAGGTATCATATACGTCATCTTTGCTTTGGACTGAAGGTGAAAAAAGGCCTATAGACATTTAGAAGCAAACTGAGGGTATTTTACCATTGGGTTCAACTTGATGCGATCGACCCCAGGACGTGCCAGTAAGTTCCTTGTACATTTATTTCACTCGTTTTCCATTCGCTGTGCCAGATATTTCTTGCAGGGAGATGCCAGCGCGAGACTAGTGTGATCGGTTAGCGATCATTGCAGGCCGTTCACCCGGACTGTGACAGTGACTGTGCCTGCCAGCTGTCGAACCCTCTTCGGCGGTGTTGACCTCGTCGGATTGAGGGTCTCCCTGTGGTGAGGCGCTTCTGACATATTACCCTAGACGAGGAAAGTAAAACACAGAAATGGAGAGAATTGCGGGGGAGAAGGAACAAAAAATGTCGAACTGACCCGGTACATTCAAGCATAAGCAAACTAGCAAAGAAATTCCAGAGAGCTGGCAAGCATCCTAATTCTGGAAACCAGCGGGCAATATAATACAGCCCAATACCTTGGGGTGGAAATTTGATGAACATAATAGCAATTTGAATCATGTTATTATCGATGCCTCAGTACTTTCTGCGCTAAAGCTCGGCTTTCAGTGCGGAGATGGCGTTTACTCTTTTCAGCTCTCTAGAGAGCATTTCTCCGGGGGGAAGATTTCATCCACATTCATTCTCAGCCCACAAACAGTTCCAGGCTCCATTTCGGCAATACCTTCTTTGCCTCTGAAGTTAAAGTTTTTCCGCTTGCGAGTAAAGCATGCCGTCGAGGCGCCATGCCATTTTTGGCTCAACTCCGGCGGGATGAAATTCTACTAGCTCATGTCAATTGCACAGGACTACTATGCATATAATAAGGCATGAGCCACCGTAGGAAATTGGACGGTAGCAAATATTTGACCAAATGCAGTTCTTAAGTTTTTTCGCTCTGATGCCATTGGCATTTGGGTCGTCGATTCGGCGACCTCAGCCGGAGCCCTTGACCAACATTACGATATTCGATCCCCCCTCAGACTACAACATCCCTCGTACTCTGTACGCTCGCAATGTAGAGTTGCCCAATGGTGATCTACTTGCTACTTGGGAGAACTACTCCCCCGAGCCCCCGCTGGTCTACTTTCCCATCTACAAATCCTCGGACAGCGGCAAGACCTGGCGTGAGTTCTCGCAGGTCCACGATCAGGCCAATGACTGGGGTCTGCGGTATCAGCCTTTCCTGTACTATCTTCCTGAGAGAATTGGAGACTTTCCAGCTGGTACCTTGCTGCTTGCTGGGAATAGCATTCCGACAAATCTTTCTTACACTCAAATTGATTTATACGCCTCACATGACCAAGGCTTGAACTGGGAATACGTTAGCCGCGTGGCTTCTGGCGGGGAGGCGGAGCCTGATAATGGCTTGACACCGATTTGGGAGCCGTTTTTGCTTGCTCAGTTCGTGTGGACCTCTGTCTATTCAGGAACTTTCGCTGATTGCATAATAGTGAGGGCAAATTGATTTGCTATTACTCCGACCAGAGAGCCAACGCAACTCATGGTCAGAAATTGGTCCATCAAGTTTCGACTGACCTGAAGCATTGGGGCGCTGTGGTGGATGACGCGTATGTGGTGTCCATAAAAGCTATGCCAACCCTCTTGACTGACCGGTATGCAATCATTCAGTGTATACCCGACATATACCGATCGCCCCGGTATGACAACTGTAGCTCAGGTATGTCTTCTAAGTGCTCTTTGCTACACTTAACTGAAAACTCCAGCTTCCTAATGGCCTATGGATTATGACCTATGAGTATGGCTCTTTCTTCAACACCTCCGACTACAGCTTTCCTGTGTATTTCCGCTTGTCCAAGAACCCTGAGACGTTTGGCGAAGTAGAAGGTCAGCGTATAGTGGTGAGCGATGGTACTCAGCCCGCAAGCTCGCCTTATGTAACCTGGACGCCTTACGGGGGACCTGATGGAACAATTATCGTCAGCTGTGGGACTTTCAGCTCCGTCTTCGTCAATCAGGCATTGGGAGATGGCGAGTGGACAGAGGTCCCCACGCCAGAGGGTACGAGTTATACCCGATCTCTTAGGATCTTCGCGCAAGACCCTCAATTTTTGTTGATTAATGGGGCTGGTGTCCTCAGTGGAGAAGACAATGGTGTTACTGTGAGCGTGATGGACTTGGGAAAAGCGCTTCCGCGGGACAAGAAGCCGTAGGATAACTTGAGGCAGTTACTAGGCAGATAGTATCTATGAAACACTTCATGAAAGGCCCGGATACACGCACAGTTTAGGGCAGTCCGACCGGAGCTTCTCGTTTGAATTGATTCGGCGTAATACAGAAATGTGCAATAGAATAAAGTCTACAAAATTGGATCGCAGTAAAAAAGACAAAAGGAGTATAATGACAGGGTTGGTACAATAGTTAGCGAGGTCAAGAAAGCAGGATTTATATCATCTGTATGATCATGCCCTGCTTGATTGCATCCATCTCTTTCTTACTCAGAGGATCTTTCTTATCAAAACAGTGCTTCTTGCGCGTCGCGCTAGGCCAGGTCGTGATGTCGCAGCCATCACCACCCATCTTGTTCGGCTTGATCGCGTACCACGGTATGGCTTCGCTGTAATCCTCGTAGTTCTTCAAGAGCTTTTGCCAACCCCAGGGATCATTTTTTTTGGCCCCAGATGCAGGAAGCGAGATCCTGTCGGCCTCTGCCTGCAAACCATCAACACGGCTCTGTAGTTTCGAGAGACCACGAAGTTTAATGTTTTTCTTGGTCGCATAGGCAAACACGCGAGTGTTGAGATCCTCGAAATGCCAATTATCGTCAAATCCAAGTCGGATGTACAGTCCCATGACCGTGCCGAGATTCTTGACCTCGGAATCTTGCTTCAAGAGGCCATTACGGTCCAAAGTGGCCAGCATGGATAGGAACATGATTCCAGTCAGGCCACAGAGCTGGTTAACGTGGTCGCCCTCGGGGACCCTGTATCATTGAATTGCATTAGGAAAATCCCCCAACTGGTAGATTAGATGCGAATCGGAAAGGGAACGACTCACATGTACATCGGCATCAGATCACGACGTAGCCAAAGCATGGCAGTGGCCTCGCACATAGCCCACTGCTCTTTCCAATTGCCCTCGGCTTCTTTGAAATCCACAAGCACATTCTCCACGACCTCCATAATACCCCAGCCGTAGGAATCGTTGTATACATACATGTCAAAGCAGTCCGGGTTACGGAGGCTCAGTTGGAGCATTGACGAGAAGAATTTGTGCCGTCCTGCAAAGGTGAAGACCCAGGGGTGGTCGGGATGTTCCGCGGCGGATTTTCCGCAGAGACAGGTCTTGCCGTCGTCACAAGTGTCCTGGTTGGGGTCAGCACGGGAATTAAATAAGCCATTGATTATGGCCACTGACTTCTACTTCATCCTCATCTTCCTCATCGGATGCAGGCTCTTCCTCGTTATCGTCAAGCTCTTCGAATGGCGCTTTACACTGACATTCCCACGCGTACGCATCGGGAGCATTGCTCGTGCTTCTCTTGTAACCCTCGTAGATGTTACCAGAGCACGAGACTTTGGACCAACGGGACTCCTTCTCCGTAGTCACACCTCCGACCTTGGACCGTTTGGGCTGGGCGTCCGCATTGTCCGATGACTTGCGCTTGGGAGGCATACCGGCATAAGACGACAGGAAAATGTATACGTAGGATGAAGTATGCACTTAGGGAAGGATGGGATCATGGGGTTTCTATTCGGGGATGAAAGGCGGAGAAATACATGATTCACGGATTGTGATGATCGTCAGCGTCGCAGACGCGTTCCCACTGTGACGCGTCCAGATCCTGATACGCACTAATTAGGCGTTTTATCGTACCCACTCGGAACGATAGCACTCCGTAATTTGGCTGCTGCTTCGCGTACGGCGATAGGAACGATTGATTTGTCGTGAGGAACATGAGAATAAAGGTGGGCTCACTGGATGCTATCCGACTATATTTTAGCAAAGTAATGTACCATATAGATCTATGAAGTCGGCGGAGTTCAGATTTGCGTCACGCTAGATTGATCTTTCCACCCAAGCTATTATCTACCGTGTGCATCGCTCCTCCGGCGGCCTCCATCCAACTCCCAATCCCTCCATCACCAACCTCTCCCTTTCCTGCCAAGTTTCTCCTCCACGCTCAAGATCAACAACCTGACCGCCAGATGTTCGCTCTCGAACACCACTCGAGTCAAACTTCCATGCATGGGCCTTCTTTGCATAGCGGCGTAGATCCCGCTGGAAAGTCGTGTCGCCGGACCAGCCAAGCACGGCGCAACCGACAGTGCGCCAGGGCGAGATGATAATATCCACCCGACGATGAGGGTTTGGGTTCTTTTTGCGTAGAGTGCTCTTGTCGATATCGACGTCTCCGATGTCGAAGTGCGGGTCTTGCCAGACCACTAAGGCCTTGTCGAGGCTGTCAAACTGTTTTCCGGAACTATCGCCGCGAAAGGGAATGGTCTGCTGCTCGCGGTGCGAGGAAGTGAGGTTCAAGGCGAGAGTGTGGGTGACGTAGTGCTCCTTCTCGAGACTGGCAACGATATCAACGACGAGATTTCGCGTTACCGCATCATCGCGGTGAGTTATCATGATATCCACGTCACCACTGATGACTTTTCCTCGACGATATCCACCGACAATAATACAGTCAATATCATTACCGGCATCGGGGCGAACAAGATTTGCATGCCGGCGGATGACAGCAACAATGCTTTCCGATTCAGGGCGAGAAACACCGGCCAGAAATTCGTCGTAAAATTTGACTCCTATTTGCTGCACACGAGAAAGAGAATCCCAGCCGTGTTCGACAATATCATCGAGATCGCGCCAGCCCCGGTGATAATAGAACTCTCGTGCAGTTTTGGCACCAACGCCCCAAATCTTATAGAAAGTGTGCAAAACGCGCAACGCCGGATCCGTGTCGAGAGCATCTGCGGCAGAAACCGTTCCATTATCTTCGGTATGACTGCCACCACCATGCTGCTGAAACTCGGCAAAGAGGTTCGCAATCTTCACATCGCAACCGGGCAAGGCGATGATATCGTTTGGTCTATGAATAGGGTGGGGATACGAGGCGAGTGCGGCAATTGACGTACTATACGCCCGCACTCCAATATCATCAAGAGTGAGCTCTCGAATGCGGCGGATCTTTTCGAGTTGTGAAATGAATTTCTCGTTTGTGGGGTGCAGGGGCGCAGAGCGCAGGCATGCGTATAGAACCTGGTCGCGCACCCAATCTGGAACAGGTGGTGGTGGCGTGGGTTCGTCGTGCTCAGAGGTTGTCTGACGGTATAAAGTTGGGGGTTGTCTTTGAGAAGAAGATCCTCTGTCAAATGCCTCTTTCGAGCGCCGAACACCGAATCTACCAGAGGAAACTGGCGGTGATTGCAGCGCAGCGTCTCCTTTGGCGCGCTTAATTATTTGCCTTGATGCTTGTCTTGCGGCACCTAAATGATTTTCCGCTTCCGCAGGAACAGTAGACACTGTCCTCTTTCGACCTTGGTAAACCATATATGGCTCTTTCGGCAAGGGTTTCCCGGCCTTGATAGAGCTGTCAAGCCATTCAAGCTTGATCACGTTAACTGAGCTTTTTTGATCATTAGCCGTGGGAAGTAGATGTCTTAGAGGACGATTTCGGTTTTGCACTCTCTCTTTTTCGGACCCGGACTCGGACTCGGTGCTGAGATCGACGAGATCGCTTTCGGCATCCCCGGCTCTGTCATAATGCTCTGTTCGCCTTCGTTTAAGAGGCGGCTGAGAATCTTTCAAACTGGCATCATCTGCGGGCAAAGATTCCGAAATGTCCTCGGTCCAGATACCGCGCGAGCGCAGCTCCAATGCGGCCCGTTTTTTCTGGCCGATTCTCCCCAGAATCAACCCCGCTTCAGCGATGTCATAGGTGATATTGCCCCCGTGGCTGACGAGCCGGCTTTCAACATCATGCAATCCGTCCAATGACAAATGAGTAGGCAGAATAAAGACCGGCGGGATCGACGAAAATATGTCCAGCTGGTCGATTTCTGTACTTGCCTCTGGCGGAGATGAACTTGCAAATAAGGGATCCGGCATACTGTGTCAGAGCTTGATCCAGCTGAGGCCTCCTGGTCATACGCATATAAAAAGCAATATATAAAGGATATGTGCAAATATACCGGATCAAAACGTAAGTTTATCGAGTTATATGTGCATTGAGGAAACCAGGGTTACCGATTTCTATGCCTTGCCCTCTTACATCGAGTGGTGATCATGGGCATGGCGATGAAAGGGTATCAAAAAGAAGTAAATGCAATGGATAAAAGAAAATCATAGTCAGAATGCGGAGCAGGGGTGTAGTTGTGTAGTTGTGTAGTTGGAGATATGATGAGGCAGATTCGCGCTCCCTGCTTGACGTCACGTTGTGTTTCTGCCTGAGGCACGAATTCCTTATTGATCGATGGAGAATACCGAATGAAAGATCCTAACTCTTCTTCAAATGTTCCAGATTAAACTTCTCTAAGGTTTCTGCTTCGTAAACGTTATCAAATGCCTCATATAATTCCGATCACCACATCCAGCTAGACTCCAGCTAGACGATCTCATCCTCGAGTCGCGGCTCACCCGTGGGCTTCACCGCAACCTGAGAGACAGTCCCTTTACCAGCAGTTTCAGTCGGGCATTGCTGCTCTTCTTCAGATGACCCATCAAAGACCTCACAGACCGGTTCCCCACCGCCCAGAGCATCGTCCCGATACTCTTCTTCATCAATAACCACACTCCGGCCATGCCGCCGAGTCATCCATCGTCGCCATGGTTTATAGAGCAGAACGCTGAAACCGCCGAATATGATAAAACAGCCACAAATAGACCCACCAATGACATCGTAATAATCCCCTGCTGTTTGGACACCATCCCAGAACTTGCCTTTGGCATGCGTCACATTCAAAATCATTGTGAGAAGTTGAATGACTCCAATCACGATGGCCACCATAACAGTCAATGAAGTTAGGACAATCGAGTAGTAGAGAAAGGCGATGGGATCTCGGTGGTTGTCGTGCGATTGCGGCAGTTCCTCGCCGTCACTAGTGGTAGAGGTCGCGTCCGATGTGGTATTGGGAGGTTTGGGTGGCAGGAAGTTGGCCGAGGGTTGAATGTAGAGCGAGAACATGAGGGCGCCGTCTGTTGTGTCTAGCAAACACATTCCCGCTGTCATGCATCAGGATAGGTGACCGATATTTTTTGAAAGAAAATAATATGGCTTACCAGTGAACAGAGCTGGGAGAATTAGAATCACCCAAAAGGAAGTTCCCTTTGCTGCTTCAATCGACGAGATACCGAGTAATGCAATTTCAGACGAGGTATCAAACCCAAGTCCGAAAAGAATTCCCAATGGGTACATCTTCCAGGGCCTACAGAAGAAAATTATTCAAAGGTGTCTAATGAATTAGTTAGATGCCTCCGCTTACCGGTCAATCAATTTGAACATTTTCTTTAAAATTGAAAAGAGGATCCCACCTCCTTCAATCTTCCATGCTTCATCTTCATTCCCCACTGGCAGGCTGAAAACCTTTTGCATCTGTTTGATGAGTTTGTACAATATGTACCCATTCATCAAGCCAAGCAGAATCAAGAAGACCGCACTGACAGAGCTGCCAATGATTCCGCCAATAGTGCTGAAGCTACCGAATCTCGATGATACCGCAGCTGCCGTGGCTGCCACAACAATAGATGTGATTATGACAATCCTAGCTGATAGTTAGATGGAGTCATATTCCAGTTTGAAAAACCAAGGCTTACGTCGAATGGCCCAATGAGAAAAATGTCCCCACTGTAACAGGTCTTTGGCCAGTGGCGAGTAGGCGTCGGGTCATTAGATCAATGGCCTGTTTACTCTTTCGTTAGAATTATCGGACCGCGTACAGGAAGGGCATAGATACAGATATGTGGTCTGCATCGAATGCATGTCTCAAACCAAGTGTATAGGCTAGAACAGCGGTAGACACCAATGACCTGGCGGATCAAGTATTAGCAGAGTAATTCAAAAGACATCACAACCAAATGAACTATCTGGGCGTGCGTAGAATAAACATACGGATGATAGTGCTGGATGAAAGAGTTAGCTCTCGATTCCAACAAGTGGGTGGACCTATATTTCAATCATACCAACACGATTGCAGCAGCAATCCATACAACCATATTCAGGAAGGCAATGAACAAGATGATACCAATCGCTCGAAGTGGAATTCTTCTAATCCCCGGCATCCGGCTGTGAGAATGCTCCGCATGACGTATAAGTGGTTGCAGACTCCATTTTCGGTCGCCATCTAGTCTGTGAGTCTCTACCGATTCGTCGACGGCCGAAGGCATTGTCGAAGTGTCACTGTCGAGCCAACGCGAACCTCCTCGGGCTCTTTCTTTCCCTTAGTGAGATGATTGATAGTGCTGTATTGAATACTTCCCCAGACGGAGGGGGAAGAGGGCGAATAAACAGCAGATATGTCAGATGCGGGCCAAAAAAAGGATGGTGGGGAAAGTGGTTTACGTTATAAACCTCGACCAGTTCGCAGGTCCGATAAGTCGATGAAAAATACTCATTAGTCTTATCGGCCGCCGTCCTAGTGCTACCAAGATCTTTTTGAGCGCACTTTCGATCCTGTTGGCAACCTGCAATGAATGATCCTGAAGCGAGGCAATAATGCAAGCTGGGGTGCTGTCTGCAGAGGCGGAAGAAACCCCACGACGCACTCAGTTAACATCTACGAAAACCAAGGGAAAAGAATCATGTTGTGGTCATTGTGATATCGTCCCACGTGACATCGCGGGGCAGCGGAAGGCGCCGATAGTGAGAAAGATAGTATTCATTAGCTATTGCTATGTAATGTTACAAATGAAATTATCCACATGCTTTGAGTCCATGTTCACGATTGGACTGGGAGAGATTTTTTTGAGCCCACAGTCCACAGAGTGGCGGCTAGTCGGCGCTCGGCAAACTAATTTTCGTGCACCGCCAAATGAGGTGGTTGAGTTTCGCTCTCTGTGACTGACCGGTCCTCATTATTGGTTCGGCGAACCCAGCGGGTCTAACATCAACAATAGTGTCGGCCAGCGGCTGATCTTGAAGATCGGATTTCGTGCCTCCTGCAGATAGGGTTGCAATCCGGCAGCTAACAAGGGTATTCCTTGGGCAGTTCACTAGAGGCATTGCTCACTGGGAAACTTATTTGGTCTTTGATCGAATCCGTTTGTCGGATCGAGTTGAGAAAATCATTGACAGTTATAGATTTCACGCCACAGCAAATACTGTTGGCGAAGGCGTCCACTTGGTGACAGTGGGCTGCAGCTGCCGAATGTCCGTGCTCACAAGGATGTTCCATTCATTCCGAGTGATGGGGGTAACATCCGAGGCGGACAGTGGAGTCTTGGGACCACGCTTAGTCGACATACTGGACTTAGCCGGTGGCGGTTGTCTTCGCACACGAACAGGGCGAATCGGCGACTTCCGAGAGTGTTCTTTCCGAGCCTGAGAGTGTTCGGCCTTGGCCTGAGGAGGAAGAATGATAGCATCCTGCTTGTGGACGGTCCTGTAGGCACTGGCGACCTGGGTGAGAAGGTCGTCGCGGACATCCAGCTGCTCATAGACACGGTGGAAAAATGCCTTGCTGAAGGGACGGCCTTGGAAGTCGGTGATGATACGGTGCAGCAATGTCACGCAAGAGTTGATGGATTGGTCATCGGTACGGGAGAAAGGGCGGTTAGAGAAGATACAGAGCCGGCGTTTGAAGGTGTAAATGCGGTCCATATTGAGCAGGGTCAAGCCCTCTTGGCTAAACACGACCTCATTCTGGAGGATGGACTGTTCCATGAGATACTCATTGGCCTGGCGTTCATACTGGCTGCGGTTCAGCGCGTCGGTCCAGCTCTGGCCCAGGGAAAACTTCTTTGCTGCCCTGGCGATGGCCCGTTCCAGTATTCTCCACGACGGAGAGTCGAGGGATGTGACTGGAATGATCATGAGATCGGACGGCTCCCCGGTGGGATAGGGTTTGCCACGGCCAACGAGGAGTGTGACATGCATCATCTTTTGTTGCAGCTTAGAGGATACGTATTCAAGGGCTGGCAGGAGGGAGGGGATGACAGCGTCAGAGTCGAAGCTGAATTCAGGAGAGAGTGGCGGCGAGATCATGTCGTTGGTGAGTGTTCGTGGAGAACTTGGGACATATATGCCCATTGGGCGAGGCAATCGGATGACGCCCATGGTGAGATGAAGAATAACTTTTGGCTAGATAGGGGTATATACTGAATGAAGAAAAAAAACGTAAGATACAAGAAGATGAATTGAATTGCCCTGAGAAAGACCAGACGAGGCAACTCTGGACTGTCGGGTTTCATATACCATGCGAGCCTCATAGTCACGAAGCCCCTTCCCCGCACCTAATCCGGTATCTTAACTTAGAAATCTCGCTAGTTGACTTAAATTAGCTACATTTTTCTGTTGCTAATGTTAGCAAACTTCGCGAAGCAGTGGCCAATCATCTCGTCACGATCGAGGAAGCGCTGCAGCGATCAGCGCGACCAAAATACCCGTAACCGCCGCGGCGCACCTCGTGTCACATCCACCAATCATTTTCTTCTGCTGTACGAGATCCTGCAAGCTAGGGCACGTTGGCACATAACTAGTCCAAGAACGGTGAAGGATCCAGTCAATGAGCTGCGAGCTGCTGAGCAAAGTGCCACCAACTCATCGCATCAGCAACGCTATCACCGGCTATACGGGATTATGGCGATGTTGGCTAACTCGATAGGCCCACAGTGTCTCCCAAGTAGGGGGCTTGACAGCCCGACTCTTTGGGTCTTGAGGTGACGACCGCATGGCACCTGAGCTCGAAGACGACAGCGGACGCTTTGGTTCCTTTGCTTTCCCACATTGCATGTCAGACCGCGCGGCTGTTGACAACATCCAATGCTTACCCGCTCATTCTTTTCGACCTGTCAGTGACTACCAACAAAGAGCTGTTGGCTCTAGCTGGTCGCCACGTCATCTACAGCAAATTTCCAGATCGCCATTTCATTTTCGTTTTTCCCAGTCTGAACAGCACAGAAAATCTAAGGGAAGCAGCAGAGCCACAGTTCAGTCAGTCACCAACATAAGCAAATATAACTTCTGAACTCCCAGTAGACTTCTTGGGAAGCTAGCTTGGTTATTAATTGTTCAACATAATATGACAGATCATCCTCGGAGTCATCGATGAAGCATCTACTATTTACAAGTGGTGTTCTACAGAATCTCCACGCCCCGATTGAGAGTCGCACAGGTATCGATGACATACCTTCTCCATCATCGCTCTATCCTATATATTTTAACCAACGACAGTGTATCACTCAAGATCAAGGCCTGTATGTAACTTAAAAGTGCTCATTAGGACAGGTATTCTTCTCGGGAAGTGCTTGTCATTATCTGCCGTGATACATGTCCTAAAACCTCCGAATTTCTTGGGCAATGCTTAAAGGGTCTTCCAGGGGTATCAGATGTTTCACATCTTTGGCGGACTTTATCGCGACTCCCAACCCAGACTCAATGAGGAACTGACCAACTTCAGCTTTGACTCGCTCCTCTGGTTCAACAACGTCCAATTCGCCAACGATAATGCTGGCTAGTAGTCCAACGTCTTTCAATATCTTAAGAGTCTTTCTCAATCCAATTGAAATATCTTCTCCCATGCCATACGTAGGCCAGGAACTTTTGGCAAACTGATTACCGCAAAGACTGTTCTCCACCACCAACTTCACGTCTGGCTCACTCAGCTTGTCAGTATTTGCAAGGACATTCCGAACTGTCCATAGTACAGATTCCCGCGTTTTATACGCCGATAGCTGCTGGTCCTTCATTTCAGAAGGCAGATTCAAGGCCGTGGGTGGTGCTGGGGCGGCTAACACCAGTCCCTTGACTTTGTTCAAAAGCTCAGCGGGCAGGAGGCTGAGAGTTGCAAGAGCTACCTTTGCTCCCATCGAATGACCAACAAATACCAAGCCATTTTTAAACAAATCTTCGTTTTTTTCATCTGCTTGGAGTTGTTCTAGGACCGAACGAATATCCGATGCCAACGCAGAGATCGAATAGGCAGATCCGTTATCCGCTACTGGGCCAGTTGATTTGCCCCAGCCTCTGAGGTCGACAGCAACCGTTGGATAAGTGGTGCTTATAGAATCCGAGGAGTATGGTGATGTAAGTTTGTGCCATGTAGAGGAAGAGCCACCCCAGTAGTGAATGAAAAATACCAACGGTTTATTTCTTTGCTCTTCTGGACGAGTAATAGATGTATATATGGCTGTAGCTGAAGATGTGTTGACAGTGAGGGATTCCATAGTGGACTGTGTATGTGCTGATCGGAAGACAAAGTGTTCGGTGAGAAGAAAATTGAAGTTATTGTTTCTCCTGGAACATATGTCGCATGCTGACATTTATAACAAAGCTTTTAAAAACCGCGCAAGATTATTGTGCGTCACATCTACTTGGTGATTGATGTGGAATCAGCTTTCTTGGCGTGGGCAGAGGCACGGCCCCATTCCGCACTGCTTACACATTGTCAGCTGGAATGAAAAATCGCAGTGGCTGTCTCAAAAAGAAGTCATCGATATCTGTAGATGTAAGCTTGTTTCACGTTTGCTGTTGATAAATTCCAGCTACAGCCTGTAGAGTTCTTCATGGGGGTGCTCAAAAAACAATCGGAAGATGGTCAAACTTGAGCTGGTCAATCATCGGGTCCCGGACAGGATGCCGCCTCTGTACAGAACCTGTGTGGCCACGAGAACGATTTCTAATAACGGCAAAACCATCGTATAGTGCATAATGCAGCTCATGCTCAATGTATCTTCTCGGCACCTGATCAAGAGAAACCTGTACCATATATATATTTGATCACTCGAAGTAGGCGGACGTGCAATGCCCAACCCTCTCCGGAGCAAGCATTCTCTGCCAAGTGTCATCCCGTCTTGGTCGACTTGGCGGTAGGCCGAACAAGAAGCCAGAGCATGACCTACCCGACCAGGGTTGATGTCGATCTCTTGGAGTCTTAAGTTCCGCCTACGCCCTTTGTCTTACAACTGAGAGTGCGATGCCCGATTTGTATTGTGTCTCCGGGATGCTTTCCACAGTCATCATGGTCTCCATCAAGAGCTCTGATCTGCATTGTTTCTAGAATGTCTACTAATGTAAAGCAAGTTTAATCCATCCCCACACGGCCAATGTGGATACGTCTGTAATACCTGTTGCGCTATCAATGTCTTGGCAGTTGCGTGATTGTGCGATATTATTCGTTATCAAGACGGTCCAAGAAGGGCTCCAAGAAGGAACCGATACGGATTTCACCCCTGTTTTACTGTGGCCATAAGGTTGTATTGATTTTATATCTTGCAGTTCTACCCCTGTCCAATACGAACATGGCTGTGAGGGAGGCTCACGTGGCGCTGCATAGCCATACTCGACGGGGACGCTTGGGCATACTCAGTAGGCGTGTCGTTCCAAGCCCCTCTTCGGTTTGAAACTTTGGTCAAGATCAATGGCCACTAACTACTTTCCGCTCTGTAAGCCCCGTAGACTCAAACCGAGATGGCTTGGCAGTCTCCAGTCCCCTTATCTGGGGGTTCTTATGTCGACCGCGCCCCGTTTGTTTCTTGACTCAATTTACTCTTGCATCGGCGTTCCGCTACCATTCAGGCTTCTGTGGCCTATCGCCACTTCCAGGCAATCGCGTCGCTATCCAGAACTCTATAGGAAACTCTAGGCTGGCCCGTGTCATTTTGACCCCCAAATCTCCCGCTTTTCAAAATTTGCCTTGTTTGCTGTCGAAAAGACAGCTCCAGAGTGAAACAATTTGCCTGTGATCTGTTCCGCATCAATAGTGCTGCATACAGCGCAGGGCTGCAGCCACCATGTCCGTTTGGAACCTGCGGGAGGAGGGCTTGACATCGGAGAATTTCGTGGCAAATGAACACCACGACGGGGGATTTATGGAGGCCGAAGAAGGTGGACTACTTGATCATAACCATGTTGAGCTCCATCGGGCCCTCAAGGCCCGGCATATCACCATGATTGGTATGTTGGATTCTGAGCATAAATATGTAGAAAGAGCCAACTAACGTCGGCTAGCTATCGGCGGTGCCATCGGCACTGGGTTGATTATTGGAACGGGAGATGCACTTGCAAAGTAAGCTTCGCATACATCATATATGCCGAAAACAGTCAAGTTAACTAACGTTCTCTATAGATCAGGAGTCAGTTTTTCGATTAACCAAGCCATGACCAATCTTGCTGACCTTTCAGCCCGCTTCAATCTTAATTTCTTATGCGTGGGTTGGGTTCATCGTCTACTTGGTGATGTGCGCCCTTGGAGAAATGGCTACATGGCTACCACTGCCTTCTGGCTTTACCGGTTACGCTGTCAGATTTTGCGATCCTGCTCTCGGGTTTGCTCTAGGATACACGTAGGTGACATTTCTTTCCTGTCAAATGCGAACTCTGTGCTTACATTGCTCTGTCAGATATTGGTTCAAGTATATCATTACTACTCCGAATCAGCTCACTGCCGGCGCGTTGGTTATTCAGTATTGGCTCCCAGCAGAAAAAGTCAATCCCGGTGTGTGGATCACGATTTTCTTGGTCCTGATCGTCAGCATCAATTACTTCGGTGTGCGGTTTTTCGGCGAATTTGAGTTCTGGCTGTCCTCGTTCAAAATTATTGTGATTCTCGGGATTATTCTGCTATCGTTAGTCCTCATGCTCGGCGGCGGACCGGACCATGATCGCAAGGGGTTCCGGTATTGGAACGACCCCGGCGCATTCAATACCTATATCGCTGATGGAGCCGCTGGACGTTTCTTCGCTTTTTGGTCCTCGATGGTTAATGCTGTCTTTGCCTATCTCGGCACGGAGCTGGTTGGAGTCACGGTTGGCGAAGCACAAAACCCTCGGCGAACAATTCCACGTGCGATCAAACTGACCTTCTATCGTATCTTGGTTTTTTACGTCCTGACCGTGTTCCTTGTGGGCACTTTGGTCCCGTTCAACTCGAAGAAACTTGCCTTCGCGGTAAATGCGGACAGTTCTGCAGCCGCGTCGCCTTTCGTGGTTGCCATCGAGTTGGCTAGTATTCCAGCTCTTCCGCATATTCTGAACGCTTGTATTCTGGTCTTTGTTTTCTCTGCCGCCAATTCGGACTTATATATTGCAACGCGCACGATCTACGGTCTCGCACGAGAGGGCAAAGCGCCATCATTTTTCGCACGGACCGATCGCCGCGGCGTTCCTGTGTTTGCACTATCAATATCTTCACTTGTCTCACTGCTAGCATATATGAACGTGTCGAGCAACTCGAAAGATGTTTTTGGATACTTCGTCGACCTAGTTACAATCTTCGGCCTCCTAACCTGGATTTCAATCCTGGTCACGCACATTTGCTTTGTGCGGGCGCGCAAGGCCCAGAACGTCCCGCGAAGCAGCCTTGCGTATGCGGCACCGCTTGGGATGGCTGGTTCGTATGGCGCTCTCGCATTTTGCATCCTGATCTCCTTGACCAAAAACTACGATGTGTTCACTCACAACGCGAAGTGGGGAAACTTTGACTACAAAACTTTTATCACCGCATATCTTGGAATTCCGCTTTACTTGATTCTCATCTTTGGTTATAAGCTGGCCACTAGGTGCGAGGGTGTCAAGCCGGAAAAAGCTGATTTGTGGACAGGAAGGGCGGAGATTGACCGTGAAGAGGCTGAGTACCTTGCCAGGAGGGAGGCCCACGGAGAAAAGCATGCCCAATCGCATTGGTTATATCGTACTTTCGTTTCGTGGCTCTTCTAGTGTGGTGGGCCGTTGGTCTAAAAGGGCGTTCGTGATGACTTGTGTACCTTCAAATAGTACTTATTTATGATGATTGAATTTTTGAAATTTGTCAATGAACGTATGCTTGATGAGTTCGGAGTAGTGGGACTGATTCTTCAGATTGACCCCAGACCGAGCCTGTGGATATGATCTAATCAGGTCTTCAATAGTTAATGTTTGTTCAATGTGTTCAAAATCGCGGTCAAACAGACCATGGCCCATTAATCTAGTGGTTATGGTTCTCATATGTTCTTTTCTATATTGACCAGTAAGGCACACTCTGATTCGCTAACCTTGGGAGAGGTTAAACGTTACTAGTTACATCACTAAGAGGACTTCATGAAAATAAATCATGGCTCCGCTCCCAGGTGATCGTCAACCCACGCACCCATCTGGATATGGATTCCTTGGCAGTCTCTGCAAGGCTCCCCACACTCGATCTTTGCGCGGTACTCGATGCTAGTATTATCTGCCGAGTACCCCTTTGACCAGCAGAGCTGGTTCTATGCAAACTGACTGACTACCACCATGCCTCATTCATGATTGTGCACGATTTATAACCACGCGTCGGCTATCTGCATGCCCCTAGATCCTTGCGGTCATGCCAACACAATAAGTCGGAAATGAGGACATCGTTATTTCCAATGCGACCATAGATTCGTTCATTCAGTCCACATGGAAGTCGACTCGAGGCATGTCTTATCGTGCAGGAAGCGTAGCCCTGGCCCAATTGTGAATGGAAGGCCAATGGTAGCATGGCCCCCGACTCAGCCTGGTATCCCGGCACCGCACTATGGTTATGTCATTCGGACCTGGACCATTATTTTCTATGCACTTGTCTGAGGCTCTATGGAACGTGTGTGTCTGATCCAGGGACAACAGACGCCCCCGGCGCGGGCAATAAAAGTGAGCGCCACCCATCACCCGGCGTATGAAGTCGGTACAGTAAATAAGTACATGCTTGATCCGCGACCACTAGGAGCATTGGCTGGACAGAACTTGCTACTGTCAACATCTCTGTTGAATTGCCTGGCAGGTACGAGAAATACTGTATTTGCTAAAGGTAGTTATACGGAGAAACCCCAGACGAACGTTGCGCACCCACCATAGGGCAAATGTCGGACTACAGATCGGCATCGCGGGGGGTCATTGCCCCAGTCCTCCTCCAGTCACAACCAGAGTGGACCAAGGTCAGTCTCCACGGCCCATTGCACTGTTGTCTCGAATAAGCCAATCCCCCTCTCCACACGGCAAAACATTGAGTTTGGGCCGGAACTACCATGCCTTAAGAGGATGCACGAAGCGCGATCATGGGCTGGTTCGCAATCCTAGCGACCATTCTTGCATTGCTACGTAGTCGATTTCCGGCAAAATTGATGATCGCCAACTCCGAACTCTACTACTGCAAGTCGTTTCGGCTTTTATTCATCTCCTCCCCGGTCGACTGGTACCCTTGCGTGTACCTCGGCGGGAAGCCTTAGCCAACTGTCGTCTCCTTTCGAACACTCGTTCTTCCCCTTGTCCTTTTAAAGAATTCGCTCTCGGTGTGACTGTTGAAAAACACTCTCTTCCTTCTCCTCCTCAGGTTGCTCCTCATTTTCAACCCCAATTCCGGCGTTCTACACTGCCGCTATGAGTCTCGAAAAACCAGAGCCAGTTGGCCTGGGCTCTAACCAAAGCGACAGCTCAATAGACCTCGAGCAAAAAGGCGAGCGCGAAGGCTATGTTCTCAATGCCCAGGACGCGCAAACCCGCCGAGAGCTCAAGACAACAACCGACGGACAGACGATTCTCATCCCCCAGCCCAGCGACTCGCCCTACGACCCATTGAACTGGTCGCAATACAAAAAGCATCTCGTTCTTATTGTGATTTCATGCACGGCTTTTCTGCCCGACTTTGGAAGCGCAACCGGCGCGGTGACCCTGAATGTGCAGGCTGCTGAATGGGGGATTTTGCCGACTACAGTCAACCATTCGCAAGTAGGCAATGTCTTTATGCTTGGCGCTGCCAGTCCTATTGTCGTCGCATTAGCAGCGTATTTTGGTCGTTATCCCGTTCTGTTCTGGTGGACGGTATTGGCACTGGCGACGGCGATCTGGTGTACGGCGGCACAGAGCTTTAATTCATTTATGGTATGAGTGGAAGTTATCTTTGAAAGAAAAAGAAGCTATACTGACTGATCTGCAGGCTGCCCGTATCTTGAATGGCATGTTCTCGACAGTAATGCAGGGTGTCAGTACTACGAAATGTCCTCTCTGTTCGATCTAGCAGCTAATTGATCTCTAGGGTGGTCTCATGTTCATCAAAGACATATTTTTCTTCCACGAACACGCCCGCAAAATCAACATCTGGTCTGGATTCGTTATTCTCTCACCGTACATGGGTCCCATGTTCTCAGCCTTCATCCTCACAAGCCAGACCTGGCGTGTAGCCTTCGGTTTGCTCACCGCTATCACGGGCCTGTGCCTGCTGGCAATCATCTTCTTCGCCGAAGAGACATACTATGACCGCAAGAACCCCAAGCCAGACCTAATTCCCAGCGGTCCACGCTGGCAGCGCATGCTGGGAATTCAGCAATGGCGTACAGGGTATATCGAAAACTCAGTAAAGGATGCCGTCATGCGGCCATTGATTATCATTGCCAAGCCAGTGGTCGCCCTCTCATGCTTCTTCTATTTGCTGGTCTTTGAGTGGGTGGTTGGTATCAACACGACGCTCTCGCTGATGCTGCCACCGATTTACGGCTTTCAGAGCAAACAAATTGGTTCGTGAACAAGAAGATGCCCATGAGAGAATGAACGATGCTAATATTCCTAGGATTCTTCTATTTCACGCCCATCGTCGCAGCAATTCTCGGCGAAGTAATCGGCCACTGGCTACATGACCTAATTGCAAAGATCTACACAAAGAGAAATCAAGGCCGTCTCGAGCCCGAAGCTCGCCTCTTCGCCGTCTGGGCGGCCAGTCCATTTATGATCGCCGGGCTGCTGGTGATGGGCTACGCGCTGCAGAACCACTGGCACTACATGCTCACCGCGCTGGGCTGGGGCTTGTATGTGTTCGGCATCATGATTGTCACGGTGGGAATCAACGCATACGTGCTTGATTCGTACCCGGAGGCGAGTGGTGAAGTTGCCGCATGGGTTAACGTCGGCCGCACGCTTGGCGGGTTCATTGTTTCGTACTTTATGATCGAGTGGGAGCAGAAACAAGGCTCGGTTCGCCAGTTCGGTACTATGACTGGCATTCTCAGCTTTGGATTTATCATTATCATTATCCTGCAAGTCTATGGGAAGAGGTTGCGGCTGTGGTCTGGACCGGCTAAATTCAAGACTGCTTGATTGATTGGCTTTTAGAAATCTCGAGGCCAGGTTTTACACAGAGATTTTTCGTCTCTTCTGATGAGATGATGTTGGATAATTGTTTATGTTTCGGTTTTCCTTTCCAGTTGGTTTCATGGTGGCGCGGAGAGACAATTTTGTTTCTGTCCGGTCGTAGTAGACAGATATTTTAGTCCGAAAGCCTCTGCCGGCATACTGGCCAAATAGCTTATATATGTCTTCTTTTCACAGGACTGTCTACGCCGTTACTTCCAGAGGTCTACACAGAGTGCAACAACTAGCACCCATGGATATATCATAATCGTATCACATTAAGGCCTGCATGAGCATAACAATTCATAAGATCTTCAAGATCGACAGCTAGATGTACAAGAATGGCGTCAGATCGGAGCAAGGATGACATAAAACCCCCAAACGCCAATGAAGAAATATGCAAAATACATTCTCAAAACGGTTCATCAGCCCAGAGGCTTCTGCTCTGCTGTGCCATACCCAGGATCTGGAGGCGAAGCCTCATCACCCCAGACAAACTTGCCAAACGTCAGAACAGCATTGAAAATCTCTTTGCCCGTGGGGACAATGTACTCCGACGGCAGGAGAAAGCCATAGCTGCCACGATCGCGTAACTTGATCTGGTACGAGTAGGTGGCGTGCAACTGGTGATAGAACCAGTCGAGGGCGCTGCCGCCAGAACTCACACCCGACGTTGTGTCTGAGCGAAGAATGCCCTCACAGGCGGAGGTAACAGAGTATGACTCTCTTGATGTTTGACGGATGGCCTTGGCCAGGCCTAGTGCGAGTTCTTGCAGACTCTCCAGGGTGGGGGGAATGGACGAGCAGGTGTATGAGTAGGGGTAGAGAATCTGCTGAGAGTAGGAGTGCAGGTCCAGGAATCCAACAATATCAGCACGGCCGCTGTCTGTCTCGTTCCGGGCCCACTGCGCCAGACGCTGGGACTCCAGTGCTTCAAATGGTTCCGCGCCCGCGTAGTTCTCGGAGCATGGATTGGAGCGGGTCGACTCGCCATCCCATTCATAGTCCCAGGCACGGTCAAGATCAACGCCTGGGCAGAGTGGCAGACCTGTGGGCTGGCGATTCTTACGCCAGAGACGATCTGATTCCCACGAGTAGACATAGCCATCCGGGTTGAGCGTGGGAATTAACACCCAGTCGTATTCATTTAAAAGTCGCGTAACTGCCGGGGAGTCGTGATATTGAGTGATCATATTGTACGCAATGTAGGTGACAGTGGAGGTGCTGATCCATTCCCGCGCATGGGTGCCGCCAACAATGACGATCGTCTTGCGTGGGTTAGAATATTCATCATGGGGAGCCACTCCAAGTCGCAAGGCAGGAATGTCACGCCCCTCGTAGGAAAATCCCACGCTCGTCAGACGGGCATGCGATGAGAACATCGACGCCATCAGGCGCATCCATTGCACAATGACGGAAAGCGGTTGGTAATCCCCGAAGAAGACGTCCCCCACCGCGGCCGTTCGTTTTCCTCCTTGAATGATTCCTTGCTCCAGGTCGAGTCCCGCATGGGGGTTTGAAGGGTATGTAGCGTAGATCATATCTGCCAGATCGTCCATGAGGGGGTGGTAGGCGGAACGAAGAGAGCGCGGCAGCAGCTCGAGCAAAGAGGGGATCTATTCCAATCACAAAATCGTTAGCGAGATGTTTTTCCGTGTTCACATCCCAGCCGTACCATTTCCTCGGCCAGTCGAATGTCCACAAATTCCGACGTTATGGCCCAGACGTCCAACAAGAGAACCTGAGATGCCTCGGCAAGTGCCTCTGCCTCGTCTGCCTGGCGCAAGTGAAATCGGAGGACGACATCACTACCGTAGCGGGAATGAATGTTAGACGGCGGCGGTGCATTTTTCGGACAGGTCTGTTTGATGCCCCAGACGGATTCCACCAGCCAGTCGCGCAGTCGGGTCCATGGCCGGCGTGGGTCAGATGGCTGGCCCGACAGCTGCACGGGCTGGAGGGGCGGCGGTGGAGTAATGCTGGATCCAGCAGGGACCGCAGAGACGAGAGGAAGGAGCGTGCAGAAGAAGAGCAAGAGAAACGAATTCAATACATGCATGGTTAGGGGAAGGGAGAAAGAAAGGACGTGAGGGAGTGAGTGGGAGAGGAAGAAGAGGGAGGAGTGGACGACGTCAGTTGGTTGGGTACATTGCTTGCGAGTAGTAGCCAGGCCAGGCACCCGCTTGACTGGACTGGACTTGATTGTTCTCGACCAACAGACTGACGCAAGGGTCTCTGCTCTGCCCCACGATCGCCGTCTCTCTTTTTTCTTCTTGTGGCCATTTCTCTGATTTTCTCATTCATTGGTGGCGCTCCTGAGTGGCCCAGACCCCCTTCGTCTTCCCCTTCCCGCCGTTCCCCTTTTCGCTGACGACGACCTCCACATCTCCCTCCCGGTCTGACCGCGAATCTGGCCATGTCCAACTAAATCGGTTCCTAGCCCGCCCATCCATCCCTCTTCCCTTCTCTCGGCTGCGCATGGGTTTGTCTGCGCTTGCTTCTGGGACCCTTTCCGTCCACCATGCATTGGAAAGGCCTGCGACTCGGCGCGTCCGACGGCTCCAAGAGACACAGCGTCCTCGACCTCCAAGCCCACTCCCCCGGCCGTCACAGTGAGCAGCTGCCTCGTCCTGGTCCGCCGACTGTCGAGCCCCGATACTCCGAATCAATCCCTCGCCTGAACCCACCTGAGCAGCCGGACGGAAATGCCGACCTGTCAATACCAGAGGATGGCCCGGTGGGCGACGTGGCCCAGACGAACTTCGCGGGCCCATCGGTAGGGGATACACCTAGCTTGCGAAGAAATCGCTTCAGCTTCATGAGACTCCGCCATTCATCCGATCCCCAGCTCTCCAAGTCCTACGCGAAGGCCGAGGAGGACACACCTCCAGTCCCCTCGCTCCCTCCACCGAAGATCATCACCACCGCGCCAACCAGCAATGAGTTGGACCAACCTATCAAACAACGCCATAAATCCACGCTTCTATCCAATTTAAGGAAACGGTCGATGGAGGAGTTGTCCCGAACCCAACCGGAACAATCGAGCGTGACACCCCACCACAAAGGCCAGGGGTCGACCGATTCGCAAATTGCCGATTCCAACCTGTCCACCTCTCAGATCGTCTCCGAGGAGCCCGGGCGGCTCTCAACAACATCACTGCGAAGCGGAGGCCGAGAAGCCTTCCCGGACTCCCACCGGTCGTCGGTCACCGACCCTCGATTCTCCGAATCGTCACGGTCAGATCACAGCTATGCCGATCACGCCGCATCTCGGACCAATTCGCCTCTGGATAATTTGGCTGCAGCTGGCGGCAAACGATTTCGGCTTCCACGCTTGAAACGCAATCGCAGTCCTCTCTTCCCCCTGCCTGCCAAATTGCCGCCCCCGACGGAGTTGAGAAATGATGGCCCCAAAATCCCTCCAGCTGAGACCCCGGCATCTGGCCACTCGGATGACCAGGACCGGGTCTCTCCTCTACCTTCACCGTCTCGTTCATCAGTTGGACTGTCGTCATCGGGTCCGCCCGCACTATTAAGGCAGGACTCGACCACTTCTGCCCGCTCTGTGCGGTCTAATCCATCTGCATCTGGTCGAATTCCAAAGAACGGTCGTGGAAGATCGTCCACCATGGGATCACTGGCCGAGAACCAGGACGATTCGTCTCAGGCCCCATACTTGGCGTCTTCGGGACGCACCTCGACCTCGACCAGCGGGCGTAAGAGCTTCGGAGATATGTTCAACTTCTCTCAGCGAATGAGGCAAAATTCAGAGCCCCCGATACCTCGCAATGGATCTCCCGCCCTGGGAGGTTCGGCCACACCAACGTCGAAACCCGCCTCCTTGTCTCTTGCCCGCGAACTTCCCCCGTGTCCCGAACGGGAAGAAGGCGATACTCCCGCTACTTACCTGACTAGGTTAGAGGAAAATCTTCCTCGTGGTATGGTTGGAGGTATTCTCGCTCAATCAGACGAAGACTTCTTCAAGGTTGCTTTACGGAAGTATATGCGAGGATTTGCTTATTTCGGGGATCCCATCGACATGGCCATTCGCAAGCTCTTGATGGAGGTTGACTTGCCGAAAGAAACCCAGCAGATTGATCGCTTCCTCCAAGCATTTGCGGACCGATACCACGAGTGTAATCCGGGCATTTTTGCGACCCCCGGTATGGCCCTTTCGTGTGTAGTTGAAGTTGTCGACTAAACTGACAGTCTCCTAGATCAAGCATACTTCATTGCATTCTCAATTTTGATCCTCCATACCGACGTTTTCAACAAGAACAATAAGCGAAAGATGCAAAAGCCCGATTATGTGAAAAACACCCGTGGAGAAGGAATTGCCGAGGAAATTCTGGAGTGTTTCTACGAGAATATTTTATACACACCTTTCATTCACGTCGAAGATGTCAACCTGCGTGATCGCCAACAGTTGAAGCCGCGTCGAGCCTTGTTCAAGAGTACCAGCTCAGAGCACTTGTCGAAGATTTCACGGGAGCCCGTCGACCCCTATGCTCTTATCCTGGATGGAAAACTCGAGACTTTACGGCCAAGTCTGAAAGACGTCATGAGCTTGGACGATACGTACGACCATTTCGGCACCGCAGGGGCGCCTGATATGGAAGATCTTCACGAGGCATTTACCAAGTCTGGTATTCTACAGATCATATCTCTTCGCTCGCGACCCGACGCATTCATGCAATCCAGCCTGAACAACCCGGCCGAGGCCAATCCAGGTTTGGTGGACATCAAGGTGGCCAAGGTCGGGTTGATTTGGCGAAAGGATCCCAAAAAAAAGAGAGCCCGCTCACCGTGGGCTGAATGGGGTGCGGTGCTGACCTTCTCTCAGCTCTACTTCTTCCGCAACGTGAATTGGGTACGAAACCTCATGGCACAGCATGAAGGCTACGTGAAAAACGGACGCAAGGGAACTCTTGTTTTCAAACCTCCACTGTCTGAATTCAAGCCGGATGCCATCATGTCGACGAATGATGCCGTTGCTCTTTTTGACTCGGCCTACAAGAAGCACAAATACGCATTCAGTTTCTTTCGGCACAATGCACTGGAGGAGGTTTTCTTGACCACCTCGGAATCTGAGATGAACGATTGGATGGCGAAACTGAACTATGCAGCGGCATTCCGAACCACTGGTGTGCGTACCAAGGGCATGATTGATACCAATTACGAAGGTCAGCGCTACCGCAAGACTCAGCGAGCTGGGTCGATTTCGTCGCAAAGGTCCCATCAGTCAGCGGACAATGAGCCCGCGTCTCCGAGTATTGACACTGATGTTGTCGCTGAATTCATCACCGCGCGCCGGCACTTGATGGCGCAGAAGATTCGTGAGACGAACGAAAAACTGTTCATTTCGCAGAAGCAATTGGATGACCTTTTGCGGAACGCCCGACATCTCCAAGTGCTCACACCCGTTCATGCCCGCGCCAGGGAAAGCGTCATCTTGGCAGCTGGACGTATGGCGGCGAAAGTGAAGTGGGTCCGACAGGATATTTGGCGCAATAAATGCTACCGGGCGGTTCTCCTGCGGGATCTGGGAGAAGATGAGAGCGTGGTGGAAGGTACTGCTGAGTCAGTAACGGATCAGATATCGACTCATATTCCTATCCACTTGGCTTCGGTATCAGGCCCTTCGGTCACCTCAGGACCTAGTGCAGATCAACAAGCCCCTAGCATTGTGCACACAGTTTCCAGCCATGACACGGCCGAGCAGCCTGCTGCGGAAACTGCTGATAGACCCGCTGAACTTCATGCACAGATCTCTTTTGATCAAATACGCCGTCCCAGCCTTCCCACGTCTACCGCTTCGGCCGATTTTGCTCGCCCAGGACGACGTCTCTCTAGCGGGGCGCCGCCTGACCGCTCCAAGTCATATTCAGTCGACACGGCAGCGAGCCAACTGCAGCGCGAAGCGTCGATTTTGAGTCGTGGTAGCAAATTTGATGGTGCCAGTCTTGGATCTCGTGCCTCCAAATTGACAGCCCCGGTCAGCTTTGATGATGACGAGGAGCGTCTTCTGAGGGAAGCAGGCTTACTGGGCTTGGGCAATTCACCCTCTACGCGCAAGCACGCCGTCGCTGAAAGCGATACTGGCGCCGACAACAAACCTGATGAGTCATCCGAGGTTTCCCAGAGTGACAGTAAACCAAGCCGCGCGCGTCGCAGTCTGCACCGCACGTTACGCGACTCGCATCATTCACACACCTCTCGCCATAGGAAGAATCGTGGATCTGTCTCTAGCATCGGGCCTGTTGATGACGATCAGATTCCCCACAACGGCGAGGGCCTGTCACGCAAGACGCCCAGCTTTACTGTCCACGGCAAGAAAGCCTCTGTTGTCACCTTTGGGTCTGAGTGGCAGAATATGCCTGCAGAGGATCGCCTCAAACTCCGCAAGCCCACTCCTTCCGATGAACCGCGAGCTTCGGACCCTGCTGTGATGGGCAGTGGCGGCGAATCCATCACTTCGGACCTGCACGCAAGTGGCCGTCCTCACTCTGTTCACAGTGCGAGCACCACGACTGGACTGAGTATGCGTTCCGACGAGCTGGTAGATTTCAAGGATGCCCCTGAAGAAGTCACTGAAGAAGACCGGGATCGGCGATCCTCCGTGATCAGTAGTGCTGCCCCGGACTCCGCCCCCGATCAACGACAGCCATCATCAAAGCGAGCTTCTATGCACAACGGCCATCTCGCAGCCCCAGGGGACGACCGCTCACCGTCGGCATCGTCCACTTCCCTGGGCGAACGACCCGTGGACCCGCCGTCCCAGGAGAACCTGAGAGAGCAAGCCGTGGGCGCATGATTGACTCGTGTCAAATCTTTCACTCTCCTGTATAGCCTGCCAGCTTCTTGTTTTCGATCTGTGTTTAACGACTATTATACCCCTGTTTCGACTTTTTTTTCTTTCTGTCTGGTGAATTTCGGGTGTATCGAGTATGTGTGTATGAGAGAGAGAGAGAGAGAGAGAGAGAGAGAGAGAGAGAGAGGGAGGGAGGGAGGGAGAGGGAGGGAGGGAGAGAGAACCGTGTCGCGATGACCCTGCTACGACCTGCATATTGAATTGTGTACTTGGAATGAAGCATAGCCTGCCAGATAAAGCCATTGTGTTTGCATATATTCTTGTCATACTCTATCTAAGTAAGCGTAGGCACATAGTCATCTCCAGACGAAAGTAGCTCGGCCTCTATAAAGTCTATGAGACCTACTAGATCTAAGAAAATACTTCCTTAGAAAGTTTGGTTTTGTTACATGTTTAACATATTAAAAGCTAATTTTGAATAATACTTCCGTAGGTAAAATTTCAAACATTCGCCGACCCATAAGGGGCATATGCTAGGCCGGGTTAAAGAAAGTTCATAGCTAGTTATTCTCACTGGCTCGCATCTGGCGCATTCTACTGGCTCGACTTGACCATCCGCGACTCACTGCGAACGCTGTCCACGTTGTCCGCTAGGGCAATTTCGTCATTCTGACCATAGGCAGTCTTCCACTTGTTCTGGGAATCTGTGTAGGTGTTATCCAGGTAAGGATTGCCGGTGGCAGTCTCATCATCACCCCAGCCGGGGATGTAGTGGCGCATGAATGGGCGCAGGATAGGTAAGCAGGGGCAGATTATGATGAGATTGGCTTCGACATTGCTGACAGGGAATAGGAATTAGGTTTTTCTGTGGAAGGCTGAAGCATACGGAGGGGACACTCTTACATCCACAATTCGGGCCAAGCCAGCTTGTAAGTCACGTCTTTGGCGTGGAGAAAGTCCACCAAGGTAACCATGCGCAGGATACTCGTGATGACAGTTCTAAATCATTGTTAGTGACTCATCTTTTCTGTATCTGGGAATATAGAAACCACGTACGCGCAACCAATGACGAACATAAGGAAAAGGTAAACCTTTTGAGAGCGGGGCATGTTGAGACGAAGCACGAGCGGGATAGGGAGTGTGATGAGCGCTAGATCAGTGACAATGTTGGTCACAGCGGTGGCGATGTATAGAGCCGTGCGGTTGACGCAAATTCCATCGACATTCGAATCCCAGTTCCTGCTGACGGGGTGGCATGCAAGGATCAAGGCGAAGATAATTGCAATACTGTATCCCATCACGACGGCCGTGATAACATGTAGTGCCATCACGTAAATCTTTTGCTTTTTCATAATCCGGTGGTAAAGGATGATAAGACTGATTTTCGCTAATGCGAGCGCGGGCACGTAAAGAATAGATGTGGATAGGAGATACTAGAAAAAGATAATGTCAGTATTCATCTAGTAGCGTAGGTGACAAGAAATAATCTCTAGACACCTTTTCATATGACCCATATGTTTTTCTCGTCACGTTCCACATATGACTGCCGACTCCGCCATATGTGAATGATACTATTGACGAAGGTTTTGTCAGCTCGTGCTGAAGCAATGCCACAAACTTTATCAACCACGTACGCAAGGATGTCATCTGTGTTCCGATGGAGAACAGCTATTGTTCGATGTGAGCAGGGCGGCCATAGTTATAATCACTCACAATGCTTACCCATGCCATAATAATTGACGCTGTTTAAAAAAAAACAATTGTCAGCAAGATTCTGGCGAGCCAAAAAAAAGACTGCCTCACCATCATCCAAGCCAAACTTGCGTAGCAAGTAGACTCGTGTCCACGCTCGCAGCCCAAGACATATACAGCTGATTGTCAACCCGAAGATAATAATAGTGACGTTGGCATTGTATAGCCATGGATACTCGTTATGAAATGTGGGTGTCACGCCCGGTGGCGGCGGTGCCATTCCAACTATACTGGACATGATGTTATTTTAACGAGAATGTATGGTATGAATGGAGGTGTTGGAGAGATGGTGGGGGAGGAGCCTGATATGAAAACACCCTCAATGTACTAAGTGAATCCCCCTGAGTGCGTTCCTGTGCCGTTGACCACTCTACGTATGTGGTTCCCGCAGTAGTCAATCCCGACAAACTTGGCTTCGATCCTTTCAAACTCATTATTGATTCAGTTCGTAGTTGAGTCTTGACAAAACCCATTGTCATGGGACTGATTGTCAATCCTGTTGTCCTGCATAAGCAATAGCTTCGAGAATGGCCCGTTCGCGACTTAGCCATGTCGGTTATAGGCCGAAACCGCCACTGACCGCATGGATCAATGACGGCCTTGAATGGTAGCAGTGACTTGTGGCGGCCCGCAAAACCGCCGGGACATTTTTGAGGATGGTCCACAATAAATGCAGAACGAATCCTTGGGGCCGGTGATTATGCCCCCTCTGTGACAACGTTGATCCTTCAAGGCCGCTGATCGGCACCTTCGATCAGACATGTCTCCCGTCTTTGCAATTGGACTGTAACCGCTATTACCACGCCTGAAGAAGCCCCCAAATAAACATCCTTGGGCATTATATTCAGATCAGCAGGGATGCTGCGGAACACCGTTCTGGGCGTATTTGGCCCTCTCTAAATTAAATACTGCGCTGCCGGTCTTACGAGTTGTGGCCCCCAAATGGCCCTCATCAATCCTCGATCCTTTATGGACGCCTTCAACGGAGATTTGGGTGAGCATTCTCGACCATTTCCTCGACGTTTACAAAATGCTGACACATACCCTAGAATTTAGTTATCTAGAATATCCCTGTTTTGCCTCGTGGGTGGGAGTATATTTCCTGGATCCCCATAGACTAGTCGTCCTTCCTACACTTGTGATTGGCCAGGCAATTCCACGCAGTCGAGAACTCCATCGCCGACCTGTCGGCATCGGTTTGAGATTGAGTACCGTCCGAGGCGTCTTAATCGTCTTGATCTATTTGAGAGAGTGATTATTAGTACCCTATGCTCATCCTGAATGAGTATTAGAACGGTACCCGTGACACGTTCGTACGAACGTCTTCAGTTACATTAAGTGAGTTAGTTGGTGATTTGCATGCAGGCTTTACGGCGTCCCTCCCTATTGGTCCGTTGCGTCGCTAGTCTGTGCACACTGCCGGTCTGGATGAAGTAATTCTTCGAATTCACGAACTAAATTTGGAAGACACTAGCTTTCATTAATCCAAGGTGTTCGTTCAGGTGTATATTAGTGAAAATATATAGACTTTAACTACCTAACCCAGGTCCGTAGATCGCTCTGGTGCCGAGAATTGGCCTCCTCTTTCAAATATTTCCTCTCAGGGTTACCTAATGGGTCCGAGATAGAAATTGCGATATCCGAGACGGGCGAAGTATTTCCATGTGTAAGCAATGCGGCCTAGTTACATTTCACTTAGGGGGGCTGCCTACATTAATGGAAGTGCTGTAGACAAGGAGGTTCTTAGTACTTGTAGGTGATAGGTCTCAACTACGCTGCTTAATCTCGCGTTCATGCATATATACATAAGCAGCTTCCAACCGGCCATCCTAAGGAACCTCATCATGCTCCACTTCGGAGCCTTACATCTCGACAAACCCTTCCAGCAACCTGTTAAGGTAGATTAAGTTTATCGTTGATTGCTTCTTGTATAGAACGACATCTCATGTAAAAATATTCTCCAAGAACGATTAGATTATACAAAAAATGGTAGTAGAGTGTCTGTCTCGACAATGCGTTCAAGGGCGTGTTCTGAAGGGCCATACAAAACGTTAGATATCATGAATTGAGAAACGCAGCGGGCGTCACTCACACTAGAGAGTATTCCTCGCGTGAGCTCTCAAACTGAAGGGCATTTCGCATGCCAGCGAGCTCAAACATCAAAATTGCGCGACAGATCACGGCGGAGCCCATGAACCTCGCAATAAGCGGAATGCAATCCATATATCCTGAAGGTCGTGAGCACAAAATTGTAGTTAGAATTCCGTGTAGAGTAAGTCTCACCTATAAATTGAATAGAACTGAATACAACCGTTCCCCATATGAGATGCACCACTGTAAGCAAAGAAGTCCACCAAGATATCGCGACAAACAAATAGCTCTCCGGTTTCCAAGTCAATTCCAGTTTCTCATGCGTGATACAGGGTGTAATTTCATGTCTGATCCACCGACAAAACCATCTCTCCGCCTGGTTCCGGCTGCCTTTATTCTTCTTAGTCGTATTCACTCGTAGTGCTAGACACCATGAACCGAAAATGTGAATGATAAGTGTAGTAACCGCCCAACTAAGGGGATACCAATTATCGCCACAGCTGATTGTGTTGATAGTCCAAGAACCCATGTAGAAAGCCGTTGTGTACACGTTCGCGATAGCCCCCATAACAAGGACATATTCCAGAATCGATACAAAGATCGCTTGTATCGGGGAGAAATGCATTATAGCAAGGTGGTTGTCTCTCGCTTTCAGCTCCTCTATTGGGTTTGGGTAAACGAATGTAGGGAGAGGACTGACTGCTGGAGAGCCGGATGCTATGAGAAGCGCGAGTAGCGGTCGGCGTCGCGCCAGAAGACTGGTCTCTGCTGTGCCTGAACCGAGGAATGTAAGAATTGTTGGTGTTAGTCCTAAGGCGACGATTCCACTTGCTGTGTCGGCTTGTATCACCTCACTTGTATTTTCTAGCATGCAATTTAAGAGACTCCAACAGACGTCAGTCCCGGCCTGTTGTAGGGCAAATTTTGCGGCACATGGGCCATCGCGGGTCTGGATAAAAAACCTCCGGTAGGCTGGGAAGAAATTTATGAACCGAGTGTTCTTTGCAAAGGCAATAGGGACACAGCAAAGCACTACCAAGCTTAGCATGATCGGTGCAGTCATCATTGCTGAACAGATGGAAATTTCTAGACCTCGAGAGTGTTTACTTGTGGCTTCAGGAATGAATTTTCTCTCTGGGAAAAAAAGGGGGGAAGAGGACAAAATATCTGATGTGGTGGCGCTGAGCGTCCGATGTTTGTGGATTCCTGCCTCTACGTGGACCCCCGAATAAGCAATAAATCAAGTCTCCCAATAATAATATCAGAAACAAGGACACCCGATCCTTAGATGCTTCTCAGCCTTACATGATGAGCCTGCCACATCATTAGTGCTGACACTGCTACACTCGGCTCGACCCATTGCGGTCTAGACCTGGCTGGGGAGGATCTGAGGGTCTATACGCGCGACCCACCAAGGACCTTCAAGTATGTGAAAGTGTATAAACCATGATGTATAAGAAAATTACCTATTTAGACCGATAGTTATATACCTTGAAGTCTTACCTAAAAGAGTCGAGGGTCGAGGGTCAGATTTTCGACACCGAGACGACCAGCCTCAAAATGCTCATATATTCGTGTTCATAATTTAGATCCCGCTCTCCCGCGTCACTGAACTCAAAAACAGAGTTGCAACTATTTAGGTTCGGTCCGACTCTAAATTTTATTGTAAGATGATACAGAGTCAGTCACTAGCAGCCGTAACCCTTCCCCTGATGCTATTGAATCTTCCCCCCCCCGCCACGGTTCCCGCCTACACTCCTATTCCACGATGCCTACCGATATTGCCAAACGTGCATCTGCCCTCGGGTCGTTTCTTTAGGCGACCCATGACAAGTGTTAACAGCCTTCGAAGCCACGCATATGCTATGAAAGGTAGGCTTGTAAGGAAAGTAAATTGACTCTTTTTAGAATTACTCTGCTTTGAGAGGTGGCTCGCAAGACAAAGCTCACATCAAACCTTCCAATTCCGGATCCTGAGGCCACAAAACCGGAAAGCCTAGCTCCTGTCTACGAACCAGCGTCTGCTTTTTCCACTTCCAGAACGTAGAAAGGCGGTCTGTATGCCACACATCGCCAAAGGTGTCTTGCTGGTTAGTAAAGCGTAGCGCAGCTAGTTCAGTGGCGAGGTCGATTTCAGTCACTCCTTCTGGCGAGAGGATACGGATGGTTCCAACCCGCTCATAGAGAATTTTCCCATACGACGCAAAGTGGTAAGACATAGTCAGAAGACCATGAATCTGCGACAAAAGATATTTCGCGAGCCACTCTGGTCGCGTCCGATACCTCTCGAGCTCGATCGGATTATCGGTTTCGTCAAAGATCAAGTCGCGGAAATGTTGACCTTGCCATGCGTTGTAGCTAATATTGTCTGGGGGAAATGGAAGCATAGGCTCGGCTGACTGGAAATCAAGAGTAAGGATCTCGACGGTTATATCGCGATCGTCGAAATTCAAACTCTCCCTTCTAAAAAGGGGGTATTCGATTTCGTCGGAAATTTGATTCCCGATAAGATCCGGATTGGGCTTTTTCTTCTTTTCGTCCACGGGCCCATAGCGGAGAAAGCGTTCAAGCAGGGCATAGAAGCTCCAGTGGAATCCGAGGCGCCCCCATCTCCCCGGAGGCGTTTAGCTATCTTAGACGGGATAATACTGCCGAAAAGGCGCACATCTGTATACAGCGAATAAACGCGATTCGTGAGATATGGCACGGATATCCATGTCGGAAACAGGTCGTAGTCGTTTAAGACGGAGATATCCAGAATATATATGAGTTTTGATTTCTTGCGATTGAGGACGGATTGGGTTTCGTCATGCATTTGGCGACTGGTCAAAAGAAGAGGAAGACAATTCGATGGGCAGTGCGTGCTGCGTTGTTCATGATAGATTTTGGTCCTACTGCGCCAGGCCTTATAACTAATATCATGGAAGTCGATTCTGCCTGACTTCGATGGATAGGTCGGTGGTGTATGACAGACACATAAGACATGTTCAATGATGTACTCTCGGATTTCTTGGGGCAGAAGTAAAAAGGAAAGCATTTTCAATTTTGATTCGAGGTTTCTCAACGCAATATTGTCATGACGAGTGTAAAAAGGGCCACGGTTGCTTGTTGATCCCGGCCTCCCACGTTAGATAAGCAGGAGTAAATGATAACGTAACTGACAAGGCGTAACTAACTAACTAACTCAGGTAACTAAATAATGTAGTCACGGGACCTAGGCATGTTTGTATCGTTTGTGGCCCGTTTAGGCGTTCACGGTCCATTTTGGGGTAGAACTAGGCGCAATGCCCAACCCATTCGTAGGTTGAGTTAAGTTGGGCCTGGGCCAACCTGAGCGCTGATAAACCTATGCTAACTTCCCGATCTCCAGGGGAATAGTCATAAATCCCCCCTGGAGGATATACTACCGCTCTGTGTTTTAGTCAACATTCATACGGCCCCCCAATATTCCCATCTATATACTATGTGTACTGGTTTACGCCCCGCCCGGGCTTAGATATCTGCTTTAAGATTGTTCGTCTTTCGCCCTTCCACGCTAGTACTATTTTTATAAAAGGGTCCAAATCAGGTCCACACAGCACGATGGTAAATGATGATGTTAGTTGCATACCCCCTCGGGTTAGTCGCATACCACCGGGTATGCAACTAATACAATCCATGCTAATACCTGTGTCCCTATTTGGTGCCGTGTCCACTTTTTGTAATCAATCAAGGGCGATTTATATAAGTATTTATCTTCTAAGGTGCCTTAAGCGTTCATTCGTGAGAGCAAAAAAGATGAATTATATAACCTTAATCAATGGGGGCTATCGCAACATGGCATCGCGTCCACTTGTTAGGGCAAAAAGAGCCAATGCTGATTATGTCATCCATCTTATCTCCCCAACCTTCACATCAATCATTACGCCAAGTTACTCCAACTTCAACAGATCCGAAAATTAAAAATCATGGCGCACTCAAAGCGCAACACCTCCCTCCCTCACTTTACCTCCTACGAACGCGGCCTACTGCGCTCAACATGGGGCACAAAGCGCGGCGTAATCGGCCGCGACAGCTTCCTCCCCTTCGCGTCATGCCGACTGTGTCTCCAACCCGCGCGCGCGCCGGTGGTGGCCTGTGCTACGAACGGAGACCTGTTCTGTCGTGAGTGCGCAATCAATGACCTTCTCGCGCAGCGGCAGGAGATCAAGCGGCTTGAACGACAGCGCGATGATGCGCGGAAGAGGCTGGCAGAGGGGGAGGAGGGGGAGCTTGAGGAGGCGAGGAGGAGGGAGTTAGCTCAGTTTGAGCTTGTTTCTATGGGGCTGGAAGGTAGTGGCGGTGGAAATCAGGCTGGGAAGAAGCGGAAGGCGGAGGGGAGTGAGACGGAGGAAGCTATGGCGAAATTTAAGGCCAGAGAGGTGGAGATTGATGGGGAAAAGGAAGAGGGTGTTTGAGCTGAATGAGAAGGAGATGGCGCGGTATGCAGAGGACGAAAAGGAGAGGTTGAAGAAGGAATTGAAGCGGGAGAAGGTACTTCTATCTATTCTTCTGGGCTTTCGCGGACTTGAATACTAACTCGGCTTCATAGTCCTTGAACAAATCCGCTCTACCCTCCTTCTGGGTCCCATCCCTCACCCCGGGCACGGATCCCAATGAAATCACCGCCCAAAAAGCAGTCAAGCTGACGCCCATCTGTCCCGCCTCCACGGAGTCTAATCGGCATAGCTACTCGCTCAAATCGCTAGTGGACGTGCATTTCACAGAAGAAACCGGCGCCGATGGGACCGTCTCGCGCGTGTGTCCGAGCTGTAAGAAGAATTTGAGCAACGGGCTTAAAGCGATGCGTATGTTCCCTCCCTCGGCTATTTTTTGCTCGTATCATGTCAATACTAACGGGATAAATAATAATGACAGTCACCAAGCCCTGCGGTCACATCATCTGCTCACCCTGCGTAACGAAGTTCATGACTCTCCACGACACACCGGATCCGCACGCTTCCAAAGAAGAACAAGCTCGCTCGGCTGCGTTGCACGGGCGGATGTTGTGTTATGTCTGCGAGACGGATATCACGCCTCGTAATCCAGAGCAAAACGGCGAGAAGAAGAAGTCCAAGAAGAAGGACAAGGAGAAAGATGGTGGAGTTCTTCCCGGTTTGGTGGCAGTTTGCTCGGAGGGCACTGGATTTGCAGGCGGAGGAGGCAATGTGGCTACGAAGACGGGGGTCGCTTTTCAATGTTAGATGCCAAGATAAAAGTCAACTGTTTGATGTGATGATGCTAATGATGATGATGACTGCTCAAGTAAGTCATCATCCAACGCCCGGCCATGCATAAAATCCGCGAATGCCCTAATAGATATACAAAAGTAGAAGATCGCACAATCCTTTCTTCTCGTGCATTACGAAGCTGCTTTCTTAGCGTTGTTGAATTCGCGCACCACAATCTCGCAGCGCACCTCCTGACACAGACGGCGCCGGCGGCTAAGGTCGAGCGTGTTGGCAAACTCCAAGCCCGACGCGCGCTCCACGGCTTCCAGCGGAACCTCAAAGTCGGACAGCCGCTTCTCGTTGGGAATGCGCGCATTGGGCAAGACGAACGCGCCCAGCGCGACCTTGCTGTCGGGAGATAGCGAGCCATCCTCCGCATAGATGACCTTGTAGAAGTGGGTCGGCACCGCGACATTGGGCGGGTTGCCGATAACCTCGTAGTTGACGCGCCACTTCCCATCCGGGTCGCGGTGTGGCAGATACAGTGGGCCGGTGACGATGCGAACAGAGGGGTATCGTTTAGTGAGATTGCGACAGAAGTCCTCAAAGTGCGCCCAGTAGTCGCGGTTGAAGCCCTCTCCGACCTGGGGGCACATATTGCTCAGCGCGAAGGTATCATCCATCGCCGCCTGGGACCACTTCGCGTCCGCGGCCGGGACCTGGTGGCCGCGGTCATAGCCCGAACGAAAATAGTCCGCCAGCTTGGCGCGGAACTTGGGCGGGAGGGTCTCGTCCTCGACAAAGGAGCTGTGGCGCCGGTCGGCGTTCTTGATGGCCAGCGACTGCAGCGTGATGTGCTCGGCGACCCAGGCTGGGTTGCGGGTGCGGCGGTCGAAGGCGCCAGTCACGGGGAGGGAGGAGAGCTCGTCGGCAACGGGGCCGGGGAAGCCATATTGGAAGATCCCGGAGGGGTCGACAGGGCCGGCGGCGGCGGCAGCCACTTTAGCGGCGAGCGTTGGGGTGGGTGTGCCTGCTGGAACTGGAACTTTGACGGCGCCGGTGGGAGGAGAGGGGAGCTGTTGTTGTTGCTGCTGCTGCTGCTGCTGCTGACGAGGTTTGGAGGAGTAGAGCATCGCGGTTATGCCGGCGCCAGTGGCAGCGCTGGCGGCGGCGATAACGGCCAAGGTTGCTTTGGACATGGCGAGTATGGGAGAGGAGAGAGGAGACCCAAGGGGCCTTTAAAAGGAGAGGGAGAGAGGTTGAAGAAGAAAGAGAAAAACCGAGAGAAAGTCAGGCACCGAAAAGGAAAATCAAACAAGTCACGGGCCAATCAGCGGGTCAGCTGCGGTGGGCAGGCGGACATGATTGGTGTCACGACAGACCAGCTGATGATCATCCAACACGTACATAGATAGAGTTACGACGTACGGAGACGAGAGAGGTTGGCTCTACACGGGCTTCGCGGACAACATACACACCACCCGGTCACCACCCTGCCCCCCATACTCGCTCAAATCAAAGTCAATCGGCTCGCCAACATCGCGGAACCCGCACTTCTGGTACAACGCCAGCCCAGCTGACGATGCCTCCAACCACGCCGGCACATGATGGCGATCGGCCTCTTCCAGCCCAGCCCGAACCAGGGCCGAGCCGGCACCGCAACCCTGGAACTTGGGGTCAACGACGAGAATCTGGAGGACTGGAGCAGGTGAGTATCAGCACGCACGGTAGGAACCCTCAAGGCGTGCCAAGTTCACGTACTGCTAGCCGGCTTCCCCGTAACCCACTTCCGTCGTCTCGCGGCAACCGCGCGATGGAAATCAAAGAAGAGCGCCGGACTAATCGCGACGTCGGGGGCCGTTTTGTGTCGCTCCGCCGCCGCGGCTTCGTCGGCGGCATGCGTGTCGCCGTCGAGGTACAGACTCCAGCATGCCCAACCCAGAACGTTACCCGTGGAGTCGTCGACGGCCTTGACGAACCGTGCAGTTGTGCTGCCGAGAAACCAGTCTCGCAGATCTTGTTCGAGATTGGGGTTCCGCTCCGGTAACCCGTACATCAGATGCATGAGGGCATCGTTGGCGAAGGCCTCGTCGTGGATGCGGGCGAGGGTGGGGAAGTCGTCGACGGAGACGGGGTGGAGGGAGATCATTGCGATGGTGGTAAATACAAGTCACCGAGCGAAGCGAAGGTCATGGCTGGTAGTTAACGGATTTCGCGAGACTGCGAAATTCCGTCTTTATTGACCGGCGAGAGGGGGCGTTGTCCGAATTAGGAGCCCGACGGGACTAACTGTGAATGGCAGGTCCGTTGCAGTGTAGATCGGATGCTTAATTACGGTTATCTGGAGTCCCTTCATCGGTACCACGTAGACTAGGATGGATATCATTCGATTATTTCGATCGATTACCGACCGGGCCATATCTGGGGTCGAGGGTAAGACGAGTGAGAACCTTGGGGACGATAACGCGGTGGTCTGCCCGATGGAAGATATATATATATGCACATAGTATCATGTCAAAATCACTTATCCTATCTCGCTTGTAATATTTTTATTGTGGCGTTGTGAGTTGAGAGTGCCTGGACTTGACCGCTGATTCTTCTTTCCGGCTGACATCACGGTTTTCGCGTTCTTGCCTCCTGCCACTCCCGCCATGGCTGCTTCGAACGACCTCCGGGGCTGGGTGATGAGCGCTGTGTCGGGGATCGGTGAGTGTGAAGTCCTTCCTGCCCCAGACCTGTCCTAACAACTTCATTCCCAGCTTGTGTCCTCGGCTCGACCGTCATCTGCGTTGACCTGGTGCTGCGCCGCCTCACCCACTACAAGAGCTTCCAGATCGCCAACAGCAACAACTTCCTGGCGGCGTCACTATGTCTAAGCGCGGGTGTGATGGTGCGTCTGCAGTTGTTTTCCCTTATTCTCCAGCCAACTAACCCGCGTTAGCTCTTCACCTCCCTGTACAGCATGCTCCCCACCTCCAAGGAATATCTCGCGCGCGCCGGCTTCTCCTCCTCCACCGCCGCCTACCTCCTGACGGGGTTATTTCTCGCGGGAATTATTGTCATCCGCATAGTGTCGGGTTTCATCCATCGCTTCATTCCATCCCATGTCGTCGACTGCGCCCATACCCACGATGAGCCGGAGACCGATCCCGAACGCGGTAACGGCCCAGGATACGGCCACCACCCGCACGGGGATACCGAACACACGCCTCTGCTGCGACCCCCAGAGCCTCGGTCGTCCAAGTCGACACCGGCCGTCGTGCAGCGGCCCAATCCCGACGATTGGCGGGTGTCTGACACGGCGTCCAAGGAGTCCTTGCGGGCGATGGTCACACGGCGGTTCAGTTCGCTCATGGGCGGTGTCAAGCCTCTGTGTGACGAGAACGGACCCTGCTACGGGTTTTCTCAGACCTGTGGCCGCGAGTGCACCAAGATTCTCCCGCCCGTGATCGCACCGAGTGAGATTGGCCGCCCCGGTTTGCCACCGCATCATCAGAGTATTGCTGTGCAGCTTGACTCTGGTGAGACACATCCAGATTCGGCGCCGAACACAGGACACACAGTATCGGCGCATCACTCGGTGCCGGCTAGTTCGTCCTCATCGTCTCGGACTCAAGACGTGTACTCGGAGCATGTTGATCACTCGCATGCAAATCACGAAGGGCACGATCACGCACCTTTGAAGCCTGGAACTGGTAATCCGCATCACCACCACGTCCCACAGAACGCATTCTTATCCATTGGTCTACAAACATCCCTCGCCATCGCCCTCCACAAACTCCCCGAGGGCTTTATCACCTACGCCACCAACCACGCCAATCCCACACTCGGCCTCACCGTGTTCCTAGCCCTTTTCATGCACAACATCACCGAGGGATTTGCCATGGCGCTCCCATTGTATCTAGCACTCAGCTCGCGCTGGAAAGCAATGTTCTGGTCCAGCCTACTGGGCGGAATCAGCCAACCCGCCGGTGCGGGTTTGGCTGCATTGTGGATCTGGAGCTCGGGACGCCACAACGGCCACGATGGCACGGACCCTTCATGGGGCGTATATGGTGGGATGTTCGCCGCCACAGCCGGGGTGATGACATCCGTTGCGCTGCAGCTGTTCAGCGAGGGACTTGGTCTGACGCACCACCGGGGTATGGGGATTGGCTTTGCCGTAGCGGGAATGGGCCTCATGGGTTTGAGCTTTGCGTTGACGGCATGAATGGACCTGGATTGGATTGGATATACGAGAGGGATTGTTGCATTGCGGTGTTTATTCATTCTATATTGGCACATGCACATACACCACTAACAAAAAAAGAGGGTTGGATGTTTGGAGTCTGTTTATTCTCTGCGTGGCGCAAAGGCGCCAGGACATACTGGTTGCCTTGAACAGAACAACGAACTGTCTGGGATTGATTGCATGCATGGATCGTTGGTACAGTCTATGAATTATGAATACCTATCATTATTCCCATAACCGGATGGGCATGCGCTTGCACCTAATCCGTTAGCTAGCCCTATGTAACTCAACGAAAGTTAAAGTCTCTGACGCGCGAAAATGATTGACCCTCGTCTTTCACGATAACCGGCATTCCCCGTATTCCATGACCAGAGCCCCAAAGCCCCACCCCCAGATCTGTCATGGCCGCATCTGGTAATCCCCGCATCGCCGCATTTGGCATTTCTCGGGACGGATCATAACGGCGCGAAAGTCATGACCACATGGAGTCGGAGTTAGCCGAGAATTAACGTTCGTGCCTTTTGTTTCATTTCTGCCTCTGCACAGCTAGCTAGTGATATCGACGATCTATACCGCCTATCTCTATATCACTACCAGGCGAAAGAAGCAAAAACAACACCCTATCCCGATAGATAGTCAGCAAATCGCCCACCTCAACTTCTTTCTACCAGTGTAGACTGAAAATCCAGATCCAAATACAAATTCGGGAAATCCGACTAGCATAGAACACGCCTCCTAGACCTTCAATAGCGCGACACCGCTCCTCCATACTAAATGCATTCTTATTTTATCCCACCCCACACCACTCCGATTCGCAGCCCTGGTCGTCGTACATAGAACCCGAATTCCTCTCCTCTCTGGTGCACCATCACCATCACCATCAGGATCATCGCCACACAACAACGGCCTTCTCATTGGGATCCGGACCCAGCGGATCGAGAAGTATCTCTCCAGAAACGCATACTCATCGTTTCATCACCTAGCACCCACCTGTGCATATTCTCACAAAGTCTATCCTCCGGATCTGTGGGCTCCTTGACCTTGACCGGAATTGGGAGATCCATGGATAGGAAGAGCATGTTTGCCAGGGAGAGAGAGACGGTGACGACGATTATGGAGACTACTATTAAGATGATCATTCCCTTCTTGCTGAGTAGCGTAGTGAAGACCATTTACTGTTCATGGTCATCACCAGAACCTCACCCCACTCCAAATCTGGCGTCGCCGAATCCAGTAATCCCGTCCCCGCATCGACGCATTTGGACTTGTCGGGTCGGCTCCTGAACGGCGCGAAAGTCATGACCACATGTACTCGGAGGTAGCCGAGAACTAACGTTGGTGTCTTTCTTTGTCTCGGGATGTTACGCTAAATTAGTTAGTGCGTGCCGAACGCATGAATCATCGGGAACACGAGGGATCTAGACTACGGGGATTGTAGTTATAACTAGACTAAACGATTTAGCAAATAATGGAGAGGACTCCATAGTACCCACAGACAACTAACTTTGGCCGAGTCTGGCCGTCCCCTCCGTCCTTGCCGAGAGACTGGAATTACCCTTGTAATTGACCCAACTGTCTCGGAAGAGCAGACATCATCTCACCGAGCCAAGTCGGTCCGAGCAGAGAATACAGCCCGAGAATAAGTGTTCGATACCTCACACGACACACTCAGCCCACGACGCAAGGGAGATCCATTTGATCGGTATGATCCGTATACTGTACAGTACATACCAGCATGGATTCCATGTGGTCGAGGCCCACTGACCCAAATCGGGATGCGGAGTTTAGGGGTAGGAATGCTGTACGATCCGGATCTGGGTCCATGCGCTCCCGTGATCGGGTCATTTTGACAGCCGGTGACTCCTCCTGTTCAGCGGTTGGTACGAATTGTAGCTGTCGGGCGTGCAGTAAGTGAGCCTCGCAGGACTCTATAGCCAGTCGGGATGCACACCGGCGCGGGTTTGGTCATACCGCACCCAGCCACCGACCTTGTTCTGCCTCCAGCTCGGAAAATTAATTTAGGAAACAAGACCAAGACTGAAAAACAAAACCCCCTCCCGGAAATCGGGAGAAATATCACCGACTTAGCGGCTGGCGCTAACCCTACCGGTGCCGGTCAAATATCGGGAGGGAGAGCAGTTTCTGCACTCGCGGATCGCCGAGTAGGGGTAAGGAGGATAGAGTATAGCGCAGGAATTATTATTAAGGGACATCCATCCTAGAGTCGTATTCTGGGTCCCCTCGACACTCGGCCAGTCCGGGCCGGAACCAATGGCTCGCTGTCTCCAAAGGGACAAATGGCCGGCTGGCTCTTAGCCCGATGCAACCATGTGGCGTGCCGCCAGACGGAACAGGCCGCATGGACCTGTAAAGTATTGGCGGAAGCCCAAGCTAGGAGAGCCTTGGCCTTCGTGTTGGCGCAAACTCAGTGCAGGCGCCAGGCCGGGGGTGGGTTAGCGTGTTTTCTCCGCAAACGTGGAGAGTTTGTTGTTTCTATATATCTGCTCCTTTCTTTCCCTCTTGTCCTTCTCCTTTTCTTTTTTCTTCACCCACTTTCCTTCTTTCCCCTTTCCCTTTCCTTCTCCTCCCCAATCTGCCATCATGGGCTACACCATCGGCAACATCTATGTCATCACCACGGTGGCCGTCGTCGGCGGCGCACTGTTTGGTTTCGACATCGCCTCCATGTCCGCCATGTAAGTCATTGGCGCTTTTAACCTCCTGGTGGATACACTTCTGACTTTCCACCTCCCAACCTCCAGTCTTGGCACTCAACAATACAAGTGTTTCTTCAACCAGACCGGCCATGATGACCAGGGCAACTGTGGTGGCCCGACCTCGTCCAACCAGGGTGGTATCTCCGCCGCCATGCCCGGTGGCTCGTTCGTTGGCGCTCTGATCTCCGGTATCCTGACCGACTGGATCGGCCGTAAGCGCTCCATCCAATCTGGCTCTCTCATCTGGTGCGTCGGAAGCGCCATCGTCTGCTCCTCTATGAACATCGGTCAGCTCGTCGCCGGCCGTTTCATCAACGGTCTCTCTGTCGGTATTCTCTCTGCCCAGGTCCCTGTCTACGTCGCCGAGTTGGCCCAGCCCTCCAAGCGTGGTACCGTCGTCGGGTCCCAGCAGTGGGCTATCACCTGGGGTATCCTGATCATGTTCTACGTCTCGTACGGCTGCAGCTTCCTAGCGGGCAATGCCGCCTGGCGTACCCCCTGGGGTCTGCAGATGATCCCCGCCGTCATGCTCTTCGGTGCTGTCTTCTTCCTGCCCGAGTCTCCTCGTTGGTTGGCCAAGCAGGACCGCTGGGAGGAGGCCCACGAGGTGCTGGCTCTCGTCCACGCCAAGGGTGACAAGAACGCTCCCTTCGTGCAGACCGAGTTGGCTGAGATTCGCGAGATGGTCGAGTTCGAGCGGGCCAACTCCAACGTCAGCTACCTCGATCTCTTCAAGGGCGACATGATCTTCCGCACCCACGTCGGCATGTTCACTCAGATCTGGTCCCAGCTCACTGGTATGAACGTCATGATGCTGTACATTACCTACGTCTTCGGTATGGCCGGTCTCACCGGTAACGCCAACCTGGTCGCCTCGTCCATTCAGTACGTGATCAACGTCGTGATGACCATCTTCGCCCTGGTCTTCATTGACCGCTGGGGCCGTCGCACCCCGCTGCTGGTTGGCTCGACTCTCATGATGATCTTCATGTTCGCCAACGCCGGTATGATGGCCTCCTACGGCAAGCCCGCTCCCCCCGGCGGCGTGAGCCACGTCCAGGAGGAATCGTGGGATATGTCCAAGGCCCCCCACGCCGCCAAGGGTATCATTGCCTGCACCTACCTGTTCGTGGCCTCGTACGCGCCCACCTGGGGACCCGTTAGCTGGATCTACCCCCCTGAGCTGTTCCCGCTGCGCCTGCGTGGCAAGGCCGTCGCCGTGTCGACCGCGTCCAACTGGATCTTCAACTTCGCTCTGTCCTACTTCGTGCCCCCGGCCTTTGAGAACATCCAGTGGAAGACCTACATTGTCTTCGGCGTCTTCTGCTTCGCCATGACCGTCCACGTCTTCTTCCTCTTCCCCGAGACTGCCGGCAAGACCCTGGAGGAGGTTGAGAGCATGTTCACCACCCCCGGTCTGCGTGCCTGGAAGACTGAGGTGCAGTTCCAGCACGTCCGCAAGCTCGAGCAGGGCGAGATCGTCGCCGACAAGCTGGGTCTGGCCGAGGAGGCCCACGAGCCCGTCGTTCACGACACCAAGGACGTTGCTGCCGAGCCCGAGAAAGAGACTGCTACTACCACGCAGGTCGAATAGATTGTTACCCCTCTTGGTGGCTTTGGTTCTGTGATGTGATACGGCAACGACAGATGTGGTATCTTTTTTTGCCCTTCTTTCGTTCCTGTCGTCCATCATCCTAATATCTCGATACCTTCTATTGTGTATCTTAACTTCTACGCTTCTACGCGTCTATGTGTATCCGAATTTCCGAATCGAACTTCTGCTTTGCACTGACAATTGTTTCCGTAAACCCCGCGCGCCGAGACATGCATCCCCAGACCTGAAACAGGCCTAGTAGTAGTATTGTAGTATGTCACATCACATGCGGTGAAACATTTTTTACTCGATCCTTTCATTGTCCGGCTATTTTAGCGTGGCGCACTATCCGTGGGAAGAGTAAGGCCTCCACACTCGGGGCCCTGTATAAACTCAGCCCCTAGTCTGCCTTAGCGTCGCCCGCTTTGACCGCCACAGACCCTGACCGAACGCGACCAGACCCTGGTACTAATTTAATTAGCGTAGTGTAGCCGAGCAACAATCCAGGTTTGTTCCTCTTCTGTGGCCTGGCTATGGAAGGAGGGTCCGTCGTTTGGGATGGTTACATGGAAAGGAAGAAGAAGCTACATTCCTTCACACCACAACTGAAACAAAGAACCGAACCAAATTTTTTTTTTTTCTTTCTCGGCTGGCACGGATACCAGTCCTACGCCTCTACTCCGTTTCTGATTGGACGCCTTTGCAACCCTAACACGAGGACACGATTGGAGATCCCCGCGGGGATAATTTCGAGGGGGGGGTGGGGCTTTTGCTCAGGACGAGTAATAATAATTCGTGAGAGGTTTGGACTTCATTTATTTGCCTATTTGCCGCCTCGTACGTATATGGCAGCAGCACTCTGAGTCAGTCTCTACCGAGTAATATGGAGTGGTAAATCAGAATTAATACATAGCAATACAGACAATAGTAGTCTCCCTATTTGGCCCCAAATATCGCTTCAACCCCTTATTATTCCTTTTCAGCTCTCCTCAGAAATAGGTATCATCATCCTTCCCGCCCGCCACGACCACGCACGGTGGTCTTAGCTCCCCGCCGTTGCCGCTGTTGGGCTGCATGTACATGTACATGCACGCACCAACAAATCCCGGCACGCCGCGTCGTGTTCGAGCGCGGGCTTTGACGGCTGCGGTCGCTCGGCTGGCGCTCGGGCTCGTCCATCGTGGCAACTACCCACCCTGCGAGTCATCGCTTAGGGGAAAGTAAATGGCGCTAAGCTTTGCCGAGGACGCCTTAAAAGATTTTTTTTTAAGAAAAGGAATTATTTTGGTGTCTCGCGCGGCGGAAACGTCGGAGATATCGGGGTTTCGGTCATTTTCATTAGATTAGTGAGCTCGCGTTGATGATGGTCCGATGTGGTGGGCGAGGCAGTGAAGATGGGTTGAGGCTTATTTTTGTGTGGAGCGTATATGTACAGCACTGCGATGAGGCGGAGAGCGAGCTGGTTTGTTGAACCGGCACTTTTGGTCTCAGGGCACTGTTTTTTCAAGTCTGGGGTTCGAGTAGCTGGGCACTGGCTTGTCTTCAATCTGTGGGTTAGGCATCTGGGATTCCATAGGAGTTATGCCTGTGGTTCCTATTCATCATTTCATATAGTGCGCTAAAAATGGAGTTGTCCCGATATACTTCACCTGTCAGTTAGTACGTCTATAGTATCCTCTTACTCGTCCTCACAAACTTCAAATGGGGGTTCAAGATCTGTTGTATTGTATCCTAGATTGACTGCAATGTCCAATTATATGGATTACACTACAGGGCCACCCTTGTCCGTCGGACTATACAATATAGCTCAAATTAGCCCATCTCGCAAAGAACATCCCTTCCACGCATCATACATACCTCTGCAAAGACTTCTTCCTCATATTCCAAACAACCTTCTCATACCCCCTAAACTCAAACGGCACCGTCCGCCTCAGCACAGTCCTATGCTTATTCGTCCACCCACGCACACTCCCCAGCGACTGTGCATTATGCACCGCGCCGCCAACCATCGGATCGAGAATCAGACTGACTTCCCTGTTGGCGGGGCTGATAAACAGCGGGTCGTGGGTCACGTCGCCTTCGAGTCTATACTCATCTTCCAGAGCCCTGTGTTCGCTCTCTGGCGTTGTGCTGGACGGATCGTAGGGTGATTTGTGCTGCGCGACTTCGTCGTCTGTCCCTGATTTGCAGGTCTCGTATCTTTCTGGGTTGAGGGCTTGTCTCTCTGACGTCTCTGGGTCTACTGAGAGCTTGGGGGCGTGGAAGACCTGGGTGTAAGCTCTTGCTTGGGAGGGTTTCAATTGAAAATGTGTTCTTGAAACAGTCCCTGTTTGGAGTATAGATGTGAGCGATCGCATGCTCTTCATTGTGGTTGGTTGTGTTGAATCCGGTGGATGGTGCTGGATTTAGCTTGGGTGGATTGACGATAAGAGCTAAAACACCGCTTTTTGTAAGTGCCAACACTCGGGAAATCTCTCTCCCTATTAATGGTTTTATTGAAATTCCCTCATCGTAGTTCGTGACATCATCTGTGTTGCTCTTCCTGAGCTTTGGCTGTCGGTGGCGATAATGTTGTCACCTGCCAAGTATGAACCCTGGGTTTGTGATGCAAGCGGCCAATCCACTGGGGAACAAACGAAAGACTGTTCTGGCCTTGACATTTTGCTTTCTGGGGCAGTTCAAATGGTCAATAGAGTATACTAGTTTTGCAAAAGAAATTCTTGTATTGTCTAGTTAGTGAAGTGGAGATATGACTACAATTGCTAAAAGGTCCCAATCCATCACACCTTTCCCTTCTGTCCTTGAGGCGTAGTCACTTTGCTCGTAAAGGCAATGCACCCACGTATGTAAATCATGCCGCTAAATATCGACACCTGTAAGAACCCATAATGGTCACAAAGAACACCATTGGCTGGAGCTCCAATGAGCGTTGCCAGAGAGACAATCCCCAAGCCCTTGCCCATATAAATCCCAAAGTCTGAGATCATAGTCACCGACTGCACAAACCACTAACCCCTATGTAGACTGATCTTTAGCCAAGCAGAGAATATTCACGCTCGT